CTTCTCCGAGGAATCTCCTAGTTCCTCTGAGCTGAGATCAGGGAGGGGAGGGGGGGGGGGAACACTTTGCATATGAGATCTCATATCATGTTCAAGGGGGAAGGGAAAATGTGGGAGGGGAGGCTGGGGTGGAGTGCAATGGACTGACGTGGTTGAGGGAGGCCCGGGATTTGATTACCCCTCGATGTGACATACGAGTCGTTCCCAGCTGTCGACTAACTCTCTAGCGTTGCTCTGCCTCGATCGCTTCGATCTGCCATGCGGCGTGCGGCTCGCGTATCGCGTACGTCTACTCCGTATTCAATCATGTAGATTCACCGGGTCAGCTCGCTAGGCTGGTGTTTAGGCTAGCCTCCTAGGCTCCGAGCTGAGCTGACTAGGTGGACCAAACGAATTCGGGGAATCAATCGCGAGACTGTCATCGGAGATCCTCCCAGTGGACCCCGAGTCAGGCCATGATGACTCCTCCAATCAACTCGTGCAGCAACAATAGGAATACCCACTTGCCCGGCCTGGCATAGGACTGCGAGCCGCCCTGTTCCTGCGAGAATAAGAATACTTGATTTTCACGGTAGATAGATGAAGTCGGGTCCTCGCCTGTCAAACCCCTAATGTGACACCCATCATGTACCGGTGCCGTGACATCTCGGATGGGTTCCGCCCTACCTACATAAGTCGACGCCATCCGACCCAGATTCTCCAGAATCCAGAGTTTGTTACCCAATCCCAGGCCAAAGAGGGTAGTCAACACCGGGGCCTCTTGTTTGACGCCACAAGACTCCCGATTCAACTTCTAAATGATCCACATGGGAACCGGACGTGCCATGGAATTCGTATCGTACAGTATCCTCGTGGAGAGTTGGATCTGGATCTGGATCTGGATCTACCCGGACCGTCACGTCATTGAAGGGCGATCGGGGTTTGAAGTAGCCGTAGCCCTTGCGGAAAGATCTGACTGGACTTCTATGTCCATTCGGAATTTGTCACGTTCATGTTTGCTTTTTTTTTTTTTTTTTTTTTTTTTTTTTCGGATGATCGAGGCCGCCCGGCTGCGCAAGCGACGTAGAGAAGAAAGCACGGGACGAGCTCCACCGGGGAACCCCCCTGCCACCCCCAGGCACGAGAATTGGACTGACGGGATCGCCCATACCACATAAGATCCAAGATCGTGCATGAAATGGAGTAAGGATGCAGATCATAGGATCTTACAGGGATTCTCTGATCGGGGGTCACTCGTCAGGGCCCGAGGAATGGAGGATCGGCTCGGAATTACTCCCACGCATACTGCATGCAGGAATTTGTCACTGTGTAACCCAGCTATCCCGGTACTTGGGACTAGGGATGAGATCTGGTTTAATTCAGTTATTCCATCCTCTGCTAAGCCACAGGTGGATGTGGTTTGGGCACCTGCGAACCCGGCTAAGAACCTTATTATTCGGCGACTTGCATGACTTCTCCTCGCAGGAGGTCTAAGCGCCTACGGTCTGGTACAAAATACATGGTAAATGGTAAATGGTAATTGCTAAATGGGAAATGGGAAATGGGAAATGGTAAAATTTCAAAAAGAATAATGAGTTAGTGCCAACAACACTATCGATAGTGCCCTTCTCATTTTCCAGGTTCTCGGGTCATCTCGATTTTCGGCCGGATTTCGAATCTCAACTGCATCGGTTACTTCGTGAATATCAGTCCAGAATGTGAGGAGTGGCGTTCAATGCAAGGATAACTTTAGGCGCCTGCCATCTGCCGCCTGTCATCCCAACCCCCTGGTCTCGGGCTTCTAACATTCTCTTTCTACATATTGTTTCCCTGGCTACTCCGTACTCCGTTTTCCTTTCTCCATCCCCATGTGGCCCGGTCCCGATCTCTTCTTTGGGTCTACATCGGCTTCAATAGCGCCGACCACGGGTGTCATACCCTGCTTCCATAATCCCTGTCTCTTAATCTCGGGTCATTGGTTGATCGCTGTTCGATTTGCCGTATGCTCTCGTGGCCATTCATAGCGCGGGATCGTGTGGCTTTGTCCGCCAAGCGAAATGATAGGTCACCCACACAGGGTCGGTGTGAGGGGAATGGTTCATGCACGATGCCGGGTCCTTATTTCGTTCTCAGGACGATGCTACATGCCCTTGCTATTTGACCGCGTTTGTTCACTGTCACAGACCTCCTTTGACACCGCTTCCTCGTCGATCGCGAGTGCGATCAACATGCGGACGCGCCACCCTCGAGGCATGGACTCGGCGTTGGTGATATCATCTTGGCATGCACAACCTATATTCCGGGTTCTTGCCACGTTTGGCAATATCGTATCGAATAAAGGAAACTATGGATATTGATCTAGACTACCGGTAGCCGATGCTACGGGCCTGTCGTCGAAGCAAATCTTACCATGAGAATGAATCATGACTCTGTGGGTTTTGACCGGTTCTGACGGGACAGAATTCCAGACACACAATGCAGCTAGAGCAAACAGTGGCGAGGTCCGTGTATGGCGATACTGACGTTGTGATGCACTGCATGAGAGCCGAAGTCTTCCGTCCGAATCTACAGGCATCCTCAACCTGAACCTTCCGATCAATCAACTTTATCAGATGTCAATAAAGCATTCGCAGCGGATTACCACTCTGGGATTTCTATACAGGTAAACACCGGATCCTGTTACCGATCCGCTTCCTACTCGCCCTTGACTCTACATAGGCATATTCAAGAACTAAACACTTTCTACCCGGGGGACTTCCAATGCTATCCAGATAACCCGGTATCCCCGCCCTTCGATTGAACCAGTTCGTGGATCACAACCGACCCCGGACTGTTCAGCAGTACGCTTTTATGTTCTATACCGGAAGCAGCAGTGCAAGCCTTGGAAAGAGTGGAGCATCAGGTCTGAGCTGTCCGGATCCCTTGTCGTATTCACTTCCGCTGGTCATCGACAAACGGAACTTGCATGTCATTGTAATGAAGGCTCAGTTCGAACACCAATGCCTAGTCCAATACCTAGGTGAATGGCTTTCTATGGACTTACAGAGACCTCCCGTGGTCTTTTGTCTGTGCAACTATTCCAAGGTTGCTCATGTGCGGGACTCGTGGACTGCAATGGTATTTCAATTATTGAATGGCGTTCTTCATTTTAGTCTATACTCATCGTAAAGTTCCATCGCAACACAGATCAATGCAAAATTCTCCATCAAGGATCACCCTCAAGCCTTTTTGCCCAGCTCAGCAGCCCGCTCAGTCGCCGCCGTTACAGCCTTATCAACAATCTCCTTAAAGCCCTCCTTCTCAAAAGTCTGCAGCGCCGCATACGTAGTACCATTGGGACTAGTCACATTCTTGCGCAGCTGACTTGGCTCATCCTCAGACTCAACAAGCATCTTACCCGCACCAAGACAAGTCTGTGTAGCCAAACGCGTAGCCTGCTCCTTCGAAAGACCAAGGGCAGTAGCGCTAGAGACAAGATGCTCAACCATAGCGAAGAAGTAAGCGGGACCGGATCCTAAATCACAATTAGCATCCCTCATACATCCCATCGCGTCAATAAATATAATAAGGCAAACTCACCAGACAACCCAGTAACAACATCCAACAGCTCCTCCCGGTCAACCCACTCCAAAGCCTTACTAACACTGGCCAAAAGGGCCCCAACAAGCTCCTTCTCCTCGTCCGTGACACCCTCCCCGGCAAAAGCTCCACTGGCCCCCTCCCCAACAAGCGCCGGCGTGTTTGGCATAACACGAACAACATGTGGCGTGCGCCCATCCACAGTCTTCGACCACCCCTGCAGCGAATCCAGCGTAATACCAGCCGCAATGCTCACCACAACAGGCAGATCCTTCCTAGAACCCCAGCTCTTCCCGAGCTCCTCGCACACGCTTTGTGCAACCTGCGGCTTGACAGCGATGATAACGATATCCGCATCGGCACCCGCAGTCGCGTTGTCGGTTGTTGTCTGGACGCCGGTTGCCGCGAGCTTTTCGCGGTTCACGTCCCAGGGCTCGGAGACGATGATGTTGGTCTTTGAGACGCCCTTGGCTGTCAAGCCGCCGATAATGGCGGAGGCCATGTTGCCTCCGCCGATGAAGGAGATCTTGCTCTCTTGAAGAGTGGGCATTGTTGGTTGTGTGGTGTGATGTGGTTTGGTTTTTGTTGGACGCTTTCAGAATTCCCCCACCTTTTGATGGTCTTATCGATGTGGGGCACGGAAGTGCTGTGAGGACCGATGTCGGCTTGGGGTAGGAATTGGGTTGTTTTGGGTATTTGGGTGAGTTATTAAAGGTAATTGATTGGATTGAATGGTTAAGAACTGGACAGAGGCCTTTGATGGTTGCTATTTGGCTCTTTTTATTCATCGCCGTGGATATCACGTGATATGCCACTATCGCGCACACCGGCCCGGTTAACCGGCCTCCGCGGTCATAGAAATTGAATTCCGGGGAAAGTGGTTGAGGGGGATGAGTCACGGGGAAAAGAGGATGCAGATCATTGGGGGAGAGACGCTTTAGCTTCTGTGTTGCACTACGCTGGTATATAATATGCCTTGGCAGAGGATAATTCTGGGAGATGACTCCAAGGTAGTAAATCAGAAGAGGTGTCAGATTGAGGATCGATTTTGAATCTAAGTAAAGATGGACATAGAACCTCCCATAACTGAATCAGACAAGCAAACAACAAAGGTCGAAAGGATCCTGATTTTGGTGAAATTGAACCATGAGGGATGATGATGAAGTCCCGAACTGAAAAGATAGATAAAGAACCGCCCCGCTAAAATACAAGAACCAAAAAAAGCCTGGTAGATTGGGACCAGCTGGGCGTAATGTTGCGTGCCCTGAAGACTGGTCCTTCTCAAGCTCAATGCAGAATGAAAGATGTGAATCATGACGATGCAGATGGTGGAAAGATGGTATGTACAGATCGACGATACTGGCGTGGTCAAGAGCCTGATCGAGATATCATGGGTGTGAGGCAAAGATGCTTGGCTTGAGAATCGTATTGCCCGTGATCAATTACCAAGTTTCAGCAATGTACTGACCAGCCTCCTTCTTGCGTGTCCAGAACAGCTCAGCTTCCTGAGAGTTCAAGTTACCCTTTGCCATCGCAACCTCGACAAGAGCAGCCTCAACACCCTCACCCATGCCCTTGCCACTACCGCAGACAAAGACACGGCCATCAAGGGCGTTGATCACATACCAGACCAGATCAGCCTGGTGGCGGACCTCCTCCTGGACATAGCGACTCTCGCCACGACGGCTCTGCACGACAGTGCGAACCTTGTCCTCGTGGACACCCCATTCACCACTATACAGCTCATCAAGCAGGGAGTCACGCACACCCTGGAGCACCCACACCTTGTTGGCGCAGTTGGCGGACTGCAGACGCCGCTGGACGAATCCACGGAAGGGAGCGATACCGACACCGGCGCCGATCAGGAGCATGGGTCCATCAGAGGCAAATCGTGTGGCGAGAGGGTTGGCCATCAGACCGCGGAACATGGGAATGTGGATGTCGTGCTTCTCTCCAGCTGCCTCGGCGGCAATTGCGCGCCGAGCGAGTTGCTCAAGGTAGCCGGAGCTCACACCGGTGCGCATGCCGCCCTTCCAATCGTCGGAGTCGGCGACTGTCACGGCGACTTCGACTAGCCGGCGGCATTCGGTGCCCTTGAATTGGCAGGAGATCTGGGGATCCTGAGAAAGAGAATAGAAGCGGGGCATAAGAGTGTTGAGCACGGAGAGAAGGTGGTCCAAAGGAGGCTGAGATGAGGGGAAGGCATGGAGCAGCTGGGACAAGCTGATGTGAGAGTTGGTGCGAAGTTCACAGAAAGCGCCCTGGCCCTGGGCGGACGAGAGGAACTCCAGAATCTTCTTCTCGTTCTCCTCGCTGGTGTACTCTGCCAGGAGTCTGAACAGCTGCTTAGATGGGGCGTAACTCTGGATATCTGAGCACCAGCTCAGGACCTCGCGTCTTGTGGTAACCAGCTCGCGGGGCTTGTCGTCGCCCCAGATGGTGGGCCAGCGGCCCTTGGTTGTGCGCATGAGAACCTTCTTGTCTCGCAGCGACTTGGGCACACACAACTTATTCAATACATCCTCAACCTCCTCAGGCTTGTTCATGGGGCATACGCCAATCGCGCCGCCAACGACGAAATCCACCATACCGCTCTCGGCAGGGTAATCGGTGACATCGATATCAAAGTGATAGGTGCGCTTCTCTGCACCACTCTTAGTCAATTCACGAGCATGGTGAAGAGGAGCCCGATAAACGTCATAAGGAGGATGGGGCTGCACGAATGAGGGGGGTGCTCTGGCGGGCCAAGTTCGACCTCGGCAGTATATGCGGGGGCGGATTTGAATGACACCGTTTTCTCCGGGAGGGTGGCAATGTTGGAGAGGTCACTATCCAGCGTGAGGAGATTCAAGGTCAACCCCAAGCTAGCAAATGCCTTGTTATCGGGAGGAGTGATCGAATTGAAGCCCGAAATCGGACCATCCACCGGCCGCAATTTCTGTCCTCGGCAGCAACCGCCACCACAGCATGAAGACTGGATCTTCTGAGTACCACCTGTGCCGACATTCTCCAGCACTCTTCTCATATCCTCCGAGTTCTGGGAGATCAGAATGGTCGAGGCTCGACGGCGACGGCCATTGGTCTCCTCAAGCTCTTTTTCGCTCAGAGAATCGGGTGGTGTGATTGGAGTGGCGGGGGTGGCGGGGGAGTTCGAGCCGGTTGTATCGGAGCTTCCTTGGGACGAGACATTGAAGTTCATGTCTGTCACGGACAACGATCTGACTCCGCGTGGTTCTTCAGGAATCGGATTATCGGGGTGGGAGGTGGACGAGACGGGGATCTCTTGGAAGGTACCCTTGCGGGGGCGAGGCCCCGTAGAGGCGATGGTTGCCGACGGCATGACTGGTTCGATTGCGTGAACTGTGTAGTTGAAGAGTGTGAGTTTTGCAATACCAGTCCGGGAGTAAAGCTTTGGACATACCCACGGGGTGTAGATATGAGCCGAGGGCCAGTGGAGGAGCTCTCGGGAATGGCCGCCGGAGGAGATGGGGGAGACGGGCGCGGAAAGAGATGGTGAATAGTCAGAGCCTCGGGGGCATGGGAGTACTTTAAAATAGATCGGAAATTGGTATCTGAGGGGATGTGATCGGTTTCACGTAGACGGGACAGGGTCTAAAAGAGAACCGCAAGATGAAAGGCGAAAATTGCGGGTGTCGGCTGTGGAGCGGAAACGCACGCCAGATTTGGGCAGGGAATTATCTGATTTTGCCACATTCTTCGTCGGGTAAACTTTCACTCTCCGTTTGGGGAAGACTTTCTAACTAGGGGAATTATATCCATTTCCCCCCCAGATCGACGGTGCATTTGGGCTCCATTTGATTTCCATTAGGTACCTTCTTACTTGTCGGCTTTTTTCTTCTTATCAGATCGTGGCTTTTCACCACACCTTAGCTACAGGTGTTATCTCGGTGAAGCCGGAGTAACTGCCGAGCCTATCTAGTATACGGAATCAGCGTAATAGAGATTACGAGGAATTCTTGCAGGGGCCTCCTGGTGTTCCAAGTGAGAAAAGGAATCGGAAATCAAAAAGGAGGTTCCGGAGTGGGCCGACACCGGATCAAACTTATCAATCAATCAGATAGCGCGTGTCACACCACACGGGAACATACAGTCTCCCTTATTCGTCCCCATCACCCCCTAAGAAAGGGGGTCAAAAGGGATGGATCTCACCGGTCCACTTTCCGACCAGCCGGTTATTAGACCTTTCTCGATTTAGACTCGGTACCTGCTACTCGGGTCTGCCATTTCCAACCGTTGGGGTCCTGGTGGATAGGCCGTTACCAACGGTGGGTCGCTCTAGAAACACCGTGGATGTTGCTAGCTTGAAAGTTCTAGAAGAAAAACCCCTGGGTGCGGTCTGGCCTGGCCAGTATCGTCAGATCTCAGCTACAGAGCTGGGGGCTCGGCGGGGCTCGGCATCCTTCCTGAGACTTGAGACCTCGGGTCACGGCTCGAACCGGTTGACCAGTGGGACAAAACTTGAATCAGCCTGTGAAACCTTCCCGCCTCAGGCAATTCTCGGCGGTTTGGAACGGTCCCATCAGATCACTTAATCCCGGACTAGTGTAGGGCCTTTCTGTGACGCTCGCGACACCATCGATTTGAGTAACAGCCCCCGTGAGCAAGGATTGTCATGTCATGCGACAAGGGGTATGGAGAGATCTAATTCGCACGATTCCGGAAGTACTTGATCCGATATTCATGTCCGTTCACCGACCACGTTTTTCCCGTACGGAGTATATTATTAACGTCACATTCATCCAACTAAATACAAGCGGAGCACTCCAAGTCAAATTATAGTCATAAGAAATCCGAATCCTTGCACAACCGAGGTCAACCTAAAATGCCTCCCCGACCTCCCGCTTGACTAAGGCCACAGGCGGAATGAAATGATGCCGCCCCCTAGCCCAATAATAGATCGTTGCCGATCCTATGACGCCAACGTACATGGCCACACTCCAGTTCATCGTCTCACGTGTCACGGGCGTTGATAGGGGAAAGAAAGCAAAAACGAAAAGAGGGAGTAGGAAACAGAGCGCTCCGACATTCACCGCCAGGCCGAACCGGCCCAGTGACCAACGGTGAGGTGGGAGTGGTTCTCCGCGGAGTCGCTTCAGGAGCACACAGCCAATCGATACGATGTACGCTGACATCAAGGAAGTGATCGTCAGAGATATGATGGCATTCAAAGCTGCCTGGGATCCGATGTTGATCATCGACAGGAGAACGGTCACTGCTAACGACACCATCACGGAGTTGAGTGGGATGTTCCATCCCGGTGTTACCTGTTGTTTCGGTCAGCCGGTCTCTTCGTAAAGCGTCGAGAAACATACGTAGGCGAAGAAAGACGAGAATGGGACACCTTCATCCCGAGCAAAAGACCATAGCTGTCGTGATGCGGTCGCGACTTCGGTGATGGTGCTGGCCGTTAGGGTTACTATCAGCACGGCTGTCATGGCGTTGGTGGCTGCTAAGCTGCCCGTCGTATTGTAGAAGATTTGAATAAATGGGAATCCAGTCGCGCTTTCTAGCACAGTCTCGACCTCGCCAAGGGTAAAACATAGCGTCACTAGCATAATGAATCCCAATACTCCGTTGACCGCCACTGAAGACATCATGGCCTTGGGTAGCGTCTCCGAAGCATCTTTGATCTCCTCCGCTGAATGAATTAGCATAACAACAAATAGTCTGCGAAGGGTTATTTGACCTACACATGTGGACGGAGCAGTCATAGCCCAGCATGGACGTGATGGTTGTGGAGAGGCCGACCATCGTTGCCGTCCCAGCATTATCCCAACCACCACCATTGTTAAAGTTAGTGAAAACAGCATGGACATTATTCCTCGGCGCCAGCACCCACAAAGGAATAATAATCGCAAATAGTCCAACGACATGAACGATCAAAATCAGCCCTTCCACAAACGGCAGGTTCTTTGCCAAGAAAGTGTTGAAAATGATGGAAAAGGTCGAAATGGCAATGACTAACATAGTTCCATGCCAGCGCTGGAAGTCATAGTCTGGCCGGTTTAACACGATTAGACCCTGTATGATTGTCCCGGCCAGGTAAGCAATGGAGACGATGGCACATTGCCAACCCATTGCAGAGAGCCATCCTAATAGAGGTCAACAGAACTGATCGACACATTGTCAAGAGCGTCTTACCTGTGATGTAGCTGAGGAATTTCTGTCCTTTTTTCGGAGCAAACTCTGACACCCAATGGTACTGTCCACCAGCTGTGGGAGCCCTGTCCTCATCATCAACACTGCGAAAGTGAAACGCCATGTACGAACAACTTACATCGACGCCATTTCGGCTATACTGGCATAAACTAGAGTGAACCCCAACGAGACTCCGACAAATCCCCAAACTAACCCCGCCGTCCCACCGTCAGTTAATCCAGCTGATAGCAATCTATTTGCGATTAGCATTCGTCCTCAGGAGACCCACAACGTCGTATAAGAGGATCAACGTACGTCAAAATAACCTCCCAAGTACAAATCAATGTGCATCCAAACCCAACAATCGAGATAAATCGAAAATTCCTCTTCGCGACATCAGCTCCAGTCCCAAAGAGCGAATCCCAGATCAGGAACACTCACTCGCAGAACCTGGACTCTCCCCAACGCATTCATATCCTTTTTATCCGCAATCGTCCCCATATACCTCGGCGCAACAAGCCCCTTTTGAGGATAATCCTCTTCATCATGGTCATGATCATCAACAGTTGCAGTCATTTGAGAATCATTCCCAGACCTGAACCGAGACATCTTGCGCGATTAATGTCGAGATTAAGGTCGAGATCAAGATCGTCACCAGGAAAAATCTCCGACCGGCTCAAAATCAAAGCTGGAATGCGCAATCGAACCACAATCGGTATCGTTCCGGGGGGACACAGCATGCAGTCCGCAACGCAATTCTCTCGATTATGAGAAAGAAGAAGAAAACCGGCAACGACAACTCCAACCAAGGCAAATTCAAGTCTAAATTCGAAACAGGATTAGAATTCGACTTCCCCTGATCAGTCCCGAAGAAGCAGGTCCCTGGAGAAGAGTTTAGCATCTAGAATCTATCGAAGTCCATGCCAGGCACAGTAGCATTGAGCGTGGTAAAGGGCGTGGGAGCAAGGCATGGTCAGGGGAATTTAGGCGCCATGTGGAATCCGAATCGATTGACACATCGCTTGTTTGATGTTGGACAAGGGCTTTGGTACTGAGCTTGGACCGCATGATTCATGGTGTTTTATCCCTTGGTGAATCGAGGGTTGAAGAATGGGCGATGAAGCTATCGGCGCCTTGCATGCCAGGGGGGTACGTGCAGGGGCTTTGGAAGGCAAACTTTTGCTTCTACTGCCCCGCGGGCGCTATTATTGTTGAGCCTTAGTATTTGACGAAGAGGACTATTGCTGTCAGGTTATTTGTTGGCTCAATTATCGCGAATAATCGTCTCTGATTGCCCCGGTTGTTGGGGGGTTGGCGACCCAACGAAGTATAAGCCCTGCGCATATTCAATTCCACCTCGGAAACCCCAAACACTTGAACAGGTCGGACCTATCACTCCCGAATCCCTGCGCGGATCATCCGTTAGTCCCCTGCCCCAGTCCACGCCACAATCCCTCCTCGCATTACCACCTGAAAGCATACACCACATGGCCTATCGGAACCCAGCCTCGAATCCACGAACGCATCGCTCCATCGCCCCAATGCAAGAATGGCAGCGGCCCGCTTGGCACCATTACTCGGATGATCGGAGTCAGACGTGAGGGTGAAAACGCTAGCTATTCTGGAAACTGTGATATCAGACCTGCATTGACCACATGTTCCTACATAATATTGAGCCGGCGTCATTCTCACTGGGAGCCTGGGAAGGGATGGACGCAAACCCGCCACGGAAAGTGACCGGCGTTGGCCCTGCACCCATGGGCGGCTACCAGCACATGGGCTACACTAGTCAATCGACATTTTGATTTGGTTTTCTTTCCTTTATCTTTTGGGCTACATGGTCGCCGGGGCGGCTTTATTGTATATAGGCTGCTCGGGTGGAGCTCCCGGACCTTCCTAGGTTCCTCGAGGCCGGCTGTGCATGTGGCCTCCATTCATGGCCCTTTCATAAACTACTTCATCCATTCAATCAGTGGCTATATCCCATGATCCTCTGTGCACTGGCTTGAGTTTTGGGTGTTCCTGTCATGGGCCCGTATGTGCCCCCGGGCCAGTCACCTCCTTTCGAGGTAGTGGATGAATACCATCATGGCGCGTGGATAATCATCACCGCTGCGCTGGGGCTCGTCGTCTCACTGGCCTGCTTCCTGATCAGGCTCTATGTGCGACTCATGCTGATTCCGCCCTTCGCGAGGGATGATTTCGTGTTATTGGGAGCTACGGTATGCTCGGCGGATTTGAATCAAGCTGAGAACTGTACTTAGACTGACCGAAACAATAACAGATTATGGCGATCGTACAGTCCTCACTAATATTCTACGCATGCTCGCGCGGTTTTGGTACATCCATTACTTTGCTAGACGATAGCCGCCTTAACCAGATCCAGGCAGTAAGTCGACAACCCAGCGATGACTTGCGGAAACTAAACAGTTAGTTAATTGCAACAAGCGATATCTTCGCCCTGATCATTATCTACCTTTCAAAATGCTGCGTTCTCGCTATCTACCTCCGTCTTACACCCCAGAAGCCACATAACAGAGCCTCGTGGGCAACGTTAGCGCTTTGCACGGCGTGGTTAATTCCGGCTGTTTTCATCTTGTTGGTCAATTGTGAGCTGAACAAACCGTGGCGGTCACAGGGTGGACAGTGTTTGAATCTGGTAAGTATATCGTGGGCGTTGGGCTTCGGCTAACAAATCATCGATATATTCTCAAGCACACGTCTCGAGCGGAACCGGTCACGAGGCTAACACAAAATCTTAGTTCAAACGCTGGCAATTCATCGCAGCAGTCAACGTGATAACCGAACTTTTAATATTCCTTCTGGCGGTCATCCTCCTAAAAGGCCTTTTCATGTCGATGAAACGCAAACTAGCCATCGGCTTCGCATTTATATTTCGATTCCCGTAAGCCAACCATCCAACTTCCTACCCAAATCCATGCAAAACCAAACATTGAGATTACTCACATCGCCTTCTGCAGTCTGATAATATTCACCCTCCTCCACATCTCGACTCTCCACTCTGCTCTTGCCGAGACTGACGTAACCCTCGCCGCCGTCGAACCCACCCTCTGGCTCCAAGTCGAAGTACACTACGCTCTGGTCGCGTGCAGCGTCTTCTGTCTCCGTCCGTTCATGGCAGCAGTGAGTACAAATTATGGAACAGCCGGGGATTCGAATTTGGAAAGTAGTGTATCTGCGTCGCGGAGTAAGTCGAAATCTGGGTCGGGATCGGGATCTGGATCTGGGAGTCGCAGTAGGAGTTTATGTCGGGTTCAGAGGAAGAGGGCTGGGACGGAACGGGATACTAGGGGTTTGAAGTCGGCTTCGAAGGAGAAGTTGTGTGAAGGGATTGTGAAGAGTGATCAGGGGAATGGGGGGAAGATGAGGGAGAAGGGAGTGCCGATGCGGAGTTCTATGTTTCCGATTGGGGAGCCCGGGAAGAGCTTTACGCGCTTGGATAAGGCGAAGGGTGGGCGTGGACTGGGGTCAGGCTCGCGAGAGGACATAGATGCGATTGAGCTTATGCCTCAGACGAAAAGGCATAGTCGGATGGTGAGTGACGGGATAGAGGAGGATGCAGACGCAATGGTCATCAGGAAGGAGGTCCAGTATTCAGTTCAGTTTGAGTACGACGAGGCGAGAAGGAGGGGCCAGGGGCCTTCGAAGAGGGTATCGAATGATGCCATGGCTTATGTGTAGCTGAGCTTTGTTCTGTGTATAATCAAGGAATGGAATATATTGAAATATTGGGTGTTGCCATGTTTTTGTAGATGGTAGAAAAATGAATATATACAGATCCAAATGAAAGTGATCATGATTCCGAAACGCCGACCTTGGAGTCACTCCTGGTGATACTTGAACGCTAATCCAATCAAAAAAGTAATTCTAATCAAATGTACCCAGAGGGCCGCTTGAAGGGATGTGCCTCGGTACTCCTGTGATGCATTAGCGCCTCCACGTAACAAGTAAAGATGAATGCAACTTACAAGACATACTCATCCAAGCTGATGAGATCAGGCTCGGAAAATATAAGATAAAGATACTTGAGAGTCTCAGCAAGCCAGAAGCTTTCCATCTTATCGCTATGCTCCGACACAGACGTGCGCACGTCCTGGATAGCAGAGTGGCCGTACTTGGTGCGCGTCGCCTTGTCGATATTCTGGAACATACGCCAAGCTGCATCCTGGAGGGACTTGTCGCCTGTGATTCGGTACATGATGAAAACAGATTCGAGGGCTTCGGGTCTGCTCCATTGTCAGTAAAAGCCCAGAAATATTGCGCTAAAGAATCCAAGACGAACCTGAGCTTATATGTAGGATCACGGAGGCTGAGGATACCCGGGGGGATACCTTCAAGCTCGACGACCTCTTGAGCCTTCTCGCGCTCCGCAGGTGTGTTGACTGGCTTCGCCATAACTTCCCTATACCACCGATTCTCGTCCCAGGGACAATCGTCGATGTCTTCGCAGGCGGATACCTTCATGATCTCAGGCATGATACCAGAAGGCATCTGATCGTAGGCCCAGATACAGCCATCTGTAAGTCCACGGGCGATAGCCATATCTTCCTCGCGGTCAAACACCTTGGCACCGATACCAACCATTCCACCGAGGAAACATTTCAAGTGATCCTGAACGTACTGAACACTATGCATGCCACCGCCTTTGGAAGACCAAACATCTGCAGTGAACAGGACCTTCTGGCTCTCGTCCTTGGTCATAATCCTGAAGAGCATATTGTCCTTGATCGCGTCCATGGCATTGTTGTACATATCACGATACTGGTCTGTTTGGGCGCCGAGAAGGATGTGTTCCTTGGGAAGATACTCGTAAGCCGAGTCGGCGCACCCGCCGAGCGAGAAATCACTCGAGTCGAACTTGAGTCGGTCTGCGTTGACCCATACAGGCCATAGACCAGGGATGCGAGTGGCATTCTGGCTCGATTCAAGCTCGTTTGTGATTCTTTGAACGGCGTCGAAGTATTTCGGATCGCCAGTGATTTGGGTTAGGCGGGTGAATTCCACGCTGAATGAGCCTAGCTCGGCTAGAGCCATCCTTTCTGATGGTTGGATTTCTTCGCCTTCGGCAGATCTATAGCTTGTTAAAATTTGTGCCCTTAGTACGATAGTAATGTGACTTACCTGGACCATTCCCAGCGCATTTGAGGCATGCGGTTGTGCGTATCAAAGCAATTGAAGATCATCTCACCCAACTCCACGGCTTTCTTAAGAAGAATAGGATACTTGCCCTCGGTCAAATCATGAGCAGCAAGGAGCCCACCCATATATCGGATAATGATTTCAAACACATTAACATCACGACTAAACGTGGTTGTGAAATCAATATGTTCTAAAGCTTCCAGGGCAATGTGGAGTTCCTTGTCGAGCCCCATAATAACAAGAGCATCTAGGGAATCAACAAGTGTAGCGCCCCACCCGCTGAACGAGTCTACGTATCTCCCACTGTTGGGCGATACCTCATCGCGCATCCAAGCATGCGATTTATATCCGTTCCACGAGTGCATAAAAGCCTCCTTGACGGCCTTCTGCCTCTTGACTCGTTGTTTGCGTTCACGTTTTGACTCAGGCGGGAAGTCATATTGAATGCGGGGAATTGGTGATGGTTGTGTTGGTAAAGGAGTATATGAGGTAACGGGGAACCTCTCGGATGAGAGGTTCAAATGAATGGCATTGGGCGATGAGAGGTGGCTGTTGAGGATGGGCGTGGGCCTTGGATGGTATAATTGATATTTGTGGAGGCGGCTGAGGGGAAGCCAGATCAAGAAGATATAAGCGACAGCGAGAAGGATGATGGAAGATGTGAGAGAACGGCTTTTGCGGTTGGCAAGCATAATGAGGGTGGGGTTTGTCGCGCTAGGATGCTAGCAAATCGAGTTCATGAAGGAATTGAAGGAATGGCGGCCATCAGATGCAAAGAGTGGACAAACTGAATAGCTTAGAAAACGAAAATCAAGAGAAGGAGAAAGAATGGCTGTGAGTGATCATGCTCGGAAGCATTTGCCAGAGAAGCCAGGGATGAAAGAAGGAATTGCGGAGTGTCGTGTGGGAAGCACGTCAGGCAGAAGCGGGATGGGGAAGGATCGGAGGGCAATTACTCCATTGATCGTCAGAGAGGTTTGATACCCTTGACACGCGTCCCCGGAAACATAGCCAACAGCATTGGCATGCAAAGGGGGCCATATGCACTCCACTCTGGGAAAACGGTACATGCGGTAAGGAGCTGGCGATGCAGGGTCCAGTGTTGTTCTTGGTGCTAGCGGTCTAGAACATGACAATGTACCAGGTACATTAAAAGTGGGCGAGACCAGGGCAAAGTCTCGGGTACCCTTTACTCTTTCTGTTTTGTTAGCTGTCAAGCCCAGCTCCACCTGTCCCCTGAAAATGATCCGATCGGGTTAGTAGCGTCTACCTCGATCGATTCGGCTGTGTTGATTTGTCGTCGAGGACCCATTTGGTGGCTGAGCTCGGAGCCGTGCGGGTCTCGATTGTTTCTTGCTTTCTGGCTGGCCAAGCTTTGTGTGAACCTTGGCATGGGCGACACGCGATCTGCTTTCCGTTTCGTTGTTTTGGCTAAGCTTTGGCACTCTATTCCACTAAGAAAATAGTTGCCTCCAGTCTTGCGGATACCATTTCCTACATTGATGTACACAAACACGGTGGAATAGAGTCTGCATTAGATCGTGGGATCGTTGGAGAGATATGAGAGACATCGAGAAAGGGATAACAAAATGGAAACGTCCATGGCTCAAGGCGCCCGAACAAGCTTTTGCAAAGCCGTACAAATGCAAGAAGTAGCTAACCCGCAAAATGCGCCCCAGTAATCATTAGCCCAAGTCCCAAAGACACCTAGTCGTTGCCACCAATGGCAGCAGCATACCAACAACCCTTCGAGACATAAGCATCAAATATGGAGTAGATTACAATGTCAGAACAAGTCCTGCACCATAACTTAGGCTAAGGGATTGAACTCCATCGAACCGGCGCGGTTGAGCTGCACCATCAGAGGAGGTCGCTTCCAGAGCGAAAAAGACTTTTGAGTGGACCACCCCATGGACTCGGGTTCGAGCTTCAGGTCGAAGTTGAAAAGGATTTTGGTAAGAATTAAGCGCATTTCAGCATTGGCGAGACTGTTCAGAAGTCTGATGTTAGTACCCTTGAACAGACAGGGCAGATAAAGTGCATTGCTTACTGCTGCCCAAGACAGTTTCGAGGGCCATAAGAAAACGGCTGGAATGCCTCCTTCTTATCAGACATGAACCGACCAGATTCGGGGCTATCAAGCCAGCGCTCAGGGAAGAAGGCATTTGGGAGCAGGAAGTTGTCTGCGGAGTGGAAGGCCGAGTACAACGAAATCGAGACAGATACCTATCAACGGTCAGTTTCCAAGGACAGTTAAACTAGAACTGGAGGGTGCTGCAGAGCCTCATCACTGGCTTGGCACTTACTCCTTCAGGCACGTATTCGCCGTCGATGAAGGCACCCCCCTCAGGGACAATTCGGGGTAGCATGGCCGGGATCGGGGGATAGATACGCATCGTCTCCGCCAGAACTGCATTTAGATAAGGCATCTTCGCAATGACTGACAAGTTGATGTCAGACGCCTGACCAAAGACACCACGGACCTCACGGATTAGTCGAAGGTACTTGTCTCGATGACGAAGGAGATAGTACACGCAACCAGACAGCAGGGCAGCAGTTGTCTCACTGCCCGCCAGCACGAACACAGCAGCATTGGCATCAACCTCTGAGGGAGTCAAACCCTTTCCGTCCTTACTATGCCTAAGAATGTACGAGGTGAAATCAGGGCGAGTAGTCCCGGACTTGAGACGACGACGGACCTTCTCAACGCTCAGATTGAAGCTATCCGTCCGTTTCTGCATCAGGTGGCGCGGGATCAAGAATACGACTAGCGGCAGAAGAATAGGATAGAACCAGAAGACTTTGAGGTATGAGCTGGCCTTGACCGCGTCCAGGATGATCACAACCCACCAGTGGTACCGGCTCTCGGCGAGACAACCAAACGGCTCGCCGAAAGCAAGATCACCGATCAGATCAAAGGTTGCGTAGTTGAACCAGCGCGTCATGTCGACAACAAGAGACTGCTCTTGGCCCAGTAGGCCTTTGAGCTTCTCGATGAGCATATTGGCGTAAGTGTGCAAGATGCCTTCCTGCTCGCCGAGGGCCTTACTGGAGAACGCATGGGTCAACAGACGACGCATGCGATTGTGCTGCTTGTCATTGGCAGTGATGATGGCATTCACTCCGTTGGGGGTAGGTGTGTACAGAGCGGGATCTTTGCGGAAAGTCAAATGGCCCTTCTTGCGATGACCGTAAATGTCTCTCCAAGCAGGCGCAGCGCGGTAGACAAGTGAATTGGGGGCAATACGAACGATATCACCGTACTTGTCATGAAGTATCTTGATGGTTGAGTGTTGTTTACCCTGCACGTCCCAAAGCAAATGGACCAGCGGAGTGATAGCAGCCAGCTTGGGACCGGGATAATTACAGAGCGGGTGAAAGTACAAAGTGTAAATGGTCCAGACAGTGAAATAGACACCCAGCTGGATTTCGCGATTGCTGTTAGTTCCAGTTTTACCAGTGGATCTTGAGATCACTCACCAAAATTTGTGCGCCGATAGCCACAATCCAGGAATACGAAGCCTCCGACGAGACTGGGCTTCCAGAAGCAATGTTCAAAAACATTTTGAGACTTTAGGTAAATCACAAAGGCCCAATTCCAAACGCTTGGAACCCCAACGCACAAGATTGAGGAAGGAAAGGAGTCTCCGGTGTATGAATTTCGTGGAGTGAGACCTTGCAAAGAATCCGCAGTGATAGAGAGGAGAGGATGCTTCTCACGATGAGGATCAAGCGAAGTTGCATGGGATGTAACCAGCTCTAGCCTGGAGTGAGAAGGCAGCAACTTATATTGTAGCTGACACTCGAAATGATCGAACCTTGACCGCTGTATACAGAACTCGAACTTTGCGGATATTCCCAGTCTTCACTTTAAATCTCATCTATCCTTTCATCCAAGATATCTCACCGGCTAGATTGGATTAATGACATTCGATTCAGGCTCAATTGAATTCAGTGGACTAGTTCTTAGACACTCTTTGACAAAGAAGCGTTGAGAACCCTCTATATGTTCGAATTGACGCTCTGCCCCACTAAATACCTACACGGACTGGGTCAACTACTCTAGCCTAAAAATTGCTCTAGATCGGACGGAGTCTCTTATCGTATCAATTCCAGGCTCCGATGCATCGACAACACAAGTGTGAGTTGGCATAGTGTTCTTGCGGGTCTGGTGCATGTTTTTCTTTGTTCACCCAAGAGGCTTATGCAGCTCTTGTGCCATTCATGCAGATGCACATGCAGGCGACTCGATCTAGAAGCTCGGGTCCTAAGCTGGACCATATATAGTTTGATTTTCAGGATTAATCTACAGCTGATACGGCTGAAATCTCCGGGTGATCGAAGGGAAAGATAATAGCCTGGAAATTTATTTCCAACGGTTTCCATGAATATGTGTATGCCAGATCTCAGATCACCGACGATGGTCATCCAATCGTAAATCATAATTGTTGTCTATTTATTGGTCGAGGTGATATATATATATGTAGGTAGGTATTGCTCATGCTCAGAAGAATCATCTGGCGACAAGGAAACTCAACAGACTGCCTGCGGTCAATCCACCCACAAGCATCATACCCATGAATCCACCCGCGGCCTCTCTCTCATCCTCCGAAACCCGATGGCTAGCGCCCATCATGCAGCTAGACGCTAAGTATCCATTGGTTGCGCCAAAGAACAACTGCACGATGAATAGGTAGAAGAGGTCACTTTGCACCACAGCTCCGAGGCCGTTGATATTGCAGAGTAGATAGAGAGGAACGAATGCGAAACGCGCAATGGCGAATCCAGACGCTATTAACGGGCGGTGGGCGAGGGAGAAGCGTGGAATAACCACGAGCATTCTACCGCCAAGATCTCCAATATTCCAGAGGAGGAATCCAAGCGGGATGAATACAGACGGGTCGTACATCCGGGACTTGGCCGGGTCATTGACAGACATAATCTCTGTGGTGTAGACCGGGAAGAACATCATCGTAGCTGTGAAGCACATGAAGATCGAAAAAGCCAGATGCCGCAACTTCTTGAACAACGTCCACAAGCTGACCGACTTCTGGTCTATCTGGTCATCTTCTCCATCCTCATCCTCATCCGAGGCCTTCAACTGCACGCCAGGACGGCGTCTGAGAAGATGAAGGAAAACCAGCAGTGTGAGTATAGACACGACTGTAGCAGTCAGGAAGTAACTAAAAGCCGATTTGGAAGACGACTGCGGCGGCCCGTCCTGGCCTGCCTTTCTCGGCACAGCCAGAACCGAAATAATCTGCGCAAGACATGGCAGAACACCAGCCACACCCTGTCCACTCATAATCGCCTGCATGTACTCTTCTCTGTCGAAGCCTGCCACGTACGCAAAGACGCCATTTTGGTTGAGACCGGTTGCAAAGCTTGCGCCAAACACCATGATCATCAAGAATGCAAAATAGCTGCCCACCGAGATGTCTTTCATAACCACCGTTGAAAAGGCCAAAAGTGTAAAAACGGCGCAATTTATAAGCAGTGACAGCGTAATGCGCCACGGGTAGGACACATTCTTCTGCATTCGGGCGAGGATATATACAGTTCCAAGGTTTGTGACTGTTGAAACAGAGAGAATGGAGGACTGGTAATGTGTGGCGACCCATTCGTTTGATTCGAACCGGTCGTGAAAGTAGGGTGCTGCAGCTAGGAACATGTTCCTGAAGTGTCGAGTTAGCTTTCAGAGCTCCGCATACATTCCTGAGACCGTCTTTGGGAGTATATCGCCGGAAGACTTACCAGGCCCATAGCATGGCCATTCCGAGGAGGAAGAAAATGCTGTATTCCAGTCTGGAGAACTGGGGTGGCCGTCGGGGATCATCGTGATCACCGTCCTCCACGGAACCTTCCAGTGGCTCGTAGGCCGGCGACTCGCTGATGAGTCTGCGTACGCGATCCATGGTTGTTAAATATGTATTCCTTCAGATCGAAAAAGATCCGAAGTTGAGAAGATCTCCTGAGACCTTGGGGGAGCTGACGAGGTCCAGGGTCCAAGCTGGGAGTTGCAGCTGCGATGATTCAGCGGGGACGGGCGGATCCGCGTGACCAATTGCGGATTTGCAGATTGCGGAGAATGCGAACTACATGCGAACACCTTCAAATGTTTTGAAGTCCATTAATTACTAAACAATAGTGTAGTGTTTTCAGTCCATTATATTGGTTGTTTTGTACATAGTTGTCAAAAAAGAAAGAAAAAATTCTATCGCCAGGCGAATCAAATATGCTAAAGGAATATGAGAAGAGAGGATCCAGTGAGTGGATGCAAAGTGTATCCCAGCTTTAATTTTGGGACGTCATTTGGGGGGGGGGGGGGGTAAAAAAAAAAGCCGTCTATTCCTTTTTCTCCGGCTTGGACTCTTCGAGTTCTTCTTCTTCGACTTCGAGGTCCTGCTCCATTTCCTTATGGAGCTCGTAGAGTTGGTCCGGCTGCACAGAACGGGCCTGCGGAGAGCTAACAGTGTCGCCACCACTCATCTGCCATTCCATGAGCTTAGTGAAAGCACCATCCGGACGGGCGCTGAGCTCTTCGTAGCTGCCTTGTTCAGCGACCGTGCCGTCGTTGCCGAGGACGATAATGGTGTCGGATCGCTTGATAGTGGAAAGGCGATGAGCGATGCTAATGGTCGTGTTGTTGCCACGCAGGAGAGCGGCCAACGCGCTGTTGACAAGAGTCTCAGACTCAGCATCGAGGGCCGATGTGGCTTCGTCGAGAATCAAAATGTCGGGGTTCTTGATCAGAGCGCGTGCGATGGCAATTCGCTGCTTCTGTCCACCAGACAACTGCGCACCGCGGGCGCCGACGTGAGTGTCGAGTCCGTCGGGCTAGAGAAAATGTTAGTGAACAATATAAAGTAAAACAAGTCGATTTGAACTTACGAAATCGCTGATGAACTGGCAGTTAGCTTTGCGAGCTGCGGAGACAATCTCGGAGCGAGTAGCGCGGGGAAGGCCATAAGAAATGTTATCGGCGATGCTTCCAGAGAAAAGAACAGGCTCCTGTGAAACCACGCCGATCTTGCGGCGAAGAGACTTGGCGTTGAAGCCGTTGATGTCTTTTCCATTGATCAAGACTTTACCCGTGTTAGGGCTGTAGAAACGAAGCAAGATAGACGCAATAGTCGATTTGCCACCCCCGGAGGGACCGACGATCGCAACGTTAGTTCCCTGGGGAATCTCAAAGTTCAAGTCCTTGAAAATGGTAACGGCAGGTCGGGTCGGGTAACTGAAGGTTACGTTCTCAAAGCGGATAGGTCCACGCGCGGATTCCACCTTGAGACCCTTGGTCGGATGGATGGTCGGCTGGCGGTCTTGCAGCTCGAAGAGTCGACTAGCAGCACCAACACCCTTCATAAGCTCTGAGTAGAAGCTTGAAAGACCGAACATGCTGGACCCAGCATATGCAGTGTACATCAAGAATGAGGTCAACTCTCCGATGCTGATGGCACCAGATTGAACCATACCACCTCCAACGTAGAGAAGACTCAAGATCGTCATGTTACCCATCAATCCAGTCTAGCAACAGTCAGTAAATAGTTCCGGAAAGTGGTGGGGTTTAAGAGAAGTACTAACCGTGCTGAAGAAGGTCGCGCTAATCAAAGATTCCTTCTTTCCGAGGTCGAAGATCTTACGCACTTGCTTGTTGTATCGGTTGACTTCAAGAATCTCACCCGCGAAAGACTGACTTGTCTTCACGTTACCCAGGCGTTCTTCGGCAATCTTGGTGAGCGAGCCCAGGTTCTTCTGGATCTTGCGACTAAGATTTCGAATAGCTCGTCCATAAAAGAGAGCACCCAGGCCAATCGGCGGAAGCAACAAAAGTAAGATACTGGATAGTTTCAAACTGGTGTAGGCCATGAGACCAAAACCAGCAGCGCCACTAACGCCGGCACGAAGTCCATCAGACAGGTTCTGTGTGATACTCTTGCCCACAATGATAGTGTCAGAGCTGAGACGGGAAATGAGATCTCCGACCCGGTTGGCATCAAAGAACTCAGCGTCCTGCACGAAGGTCTGGCGGAATAGCTTGGAGCGCAATCTTGCGACAATGCGCTCACCCACGATACGGAGAATGATGATACGACCGTAGTTGGCACCCGCTCCGAGGAGAAGGACTCCACCCAGAGCGCTGTAGAACATGGGAAGGCTCAAGCCGAACAGCTGGTTGCCACCTTCCTCGGCGCTCTTCGTCGCCGTATCCATGATCTTACCAATCGAAAAGGGAATCGACATGGTGATAGACGAGGAGATCAGCAAGAAGAAAAATGCGAATCCGAGCCATTTGGCTTCAGGTCGCGCAACCTTGAACAGGCGCCATATCTCGTCGAAGCCAGACTTCTTGCCACTAGCGCCATCCTTAGCCAATTTGGCTCGCAGATCGACCTGTGCAGCCTGCGCGGCTCGCTCAGACAGTTCAAACCCTTTGTCTTCCTCCTCCTTTTCCGGCTCGGAGCGGTTGGTAGGTTCGGGGCTATTCGGAGAAGAGGTAGACGGCTTCGCTTGGAGTAGGTGTGGCGTTGAACATAAAAGGCGTACTTGAGAAACAATCTGAGACGTGTATGGGCTGTATTGAGGGCTCTTCTGGCGAAGCAGGAGAGGAGCCTCGGCTGAGCGGAACGAGACGGTGTGGTTGCGAAGAGTCCCGGAAGCGGTTGAGTATAGTCGACCGGTACCGATGGAGTCGCCAGCGCTGTAGAAGGACCGGGTTGCCTGCGGGAACAAGTCGCGCAGGATGGCGCTCTGTGTTCTTAAAATCGGCCGAGGACTGATGCCCGGAGCCCAGGCCGCCAGTCGGAGACTGCGCATCTTCGGAGATGGATCAGGCTCTCAACGTTGGTACGCTTTCAATGGTAGTGCGCAAGATTGTCAAGGTCAAGTTTCGTGGAGGGCCATTATATAAACAAGAAAGTAGGTGCTCACTCTAATGACAGTACTCGGAGCATGTGGAGATGAGAGATCGCAGCCAAGTTCGGCAATTCGATCTCCGATTCTGCCATTGCCTACCGCCCATGGAAGCTGGTCGAGAGCTTTCGATGCTTGTTTTTACATGTTGTTATTTCCCTGAGTGTTTTTATCTTGGTTGGGACCATTTGACTCTATCACTCGATCTATTCCAGAGTCCCAAGGTTCTCTTGTGCTTTCACTGCAACAACCTCCCACATTGCTTGCATCACGCCCATACCCCACCCCACTTAAACTTCTCGCGATATTCGCGATATAGCCAATATGGTTCTCGACTACAGCAAGTGGGACCAGCTGGAGCTGTCCGATGATTCTGATGTTGAAGTTCATCCTAATGTTGACAAGAAGTCTTTCATCCGTGCCAAGCAATCTCAAATCCATCAGCAACGAGAGCAGCGCCGCCGCGATATCAAGACCTTGAAGTATGAGCGCATCATCAACGATGGCCTGCTTACTCGCATCGACAAGCTTCTTGAGTCTCTCAAGAAGCACGAGGATTCTTCCGCATCACCCGAGCAATTCATCTTCCAGACCATCATGGAGTTCGCAAGTGACCCCGCAGAGGACCAAGCTCCCACACCCCCGGAGGGCATCTACCAGAACGAGCCCGAACAACCCAAATACTCGCAAATGATGAGTTCGCTGGTGGACCAGGTCAAGAAGGAATTTGAAGACTCGAAGCCCGACCACCTTTTCAAGGCGTACATTCAAGGCGTGCAGGGACACCAGGACAAGGTCCAGGGGCTGCAGACGCAATTGTTTGAGAGACTTGCCCAACTTGAGAAGGAAGAGGGTAGCAAGATCACCAGTGACCAGCTGCATGAAGGCTTCAGCCAATCTCACATTGCCAAGGCCAAGGCCGCTGAGCAGGCTAAGGCTACGTCGTCCAAATCGACGGAGGTTGAACTGCTGAACCCCGGTGCCGGCAGCTCTGCTAGCAATGCCGAGAATGACGAGGATGATGATGACCCCGCAAATGTGGAAATCAGCCCACTGGCAAAGAAGTTTGCACAATTGAGACCCAATGACTACAGCGCCTATCTGCAGTTCATCTCCGAGAACCCGGAAATTGTGGCCGAAAAAGAGACTGATGGTCTCTTGGTCGAAGCCTTCAACAGCCAGATCAAGGGCCAGGAAGACTACGCTCGTCAATGCGTTCACCAGGGCCTGCTTTTGCAATATTGCCGTTCTCTTGGCCCTGATGGCATCAAGCTCTTTTTCACCCGGTATGTTCCCATCAATTGCCTGATCCTCGAAATCTAGCTAACATTTATCCTGCAGCATTACAAACAAGGAGCATCGCGCATTCACACTGTTCAACAATGACGTGCGAGACACCTACAACCGCATCAAGACCCGCTCGGCCGAGCTCAGCAAAGAAACCGGCAACGACCCTGCCGGCGTCGAGCAAATCCAGCTACATGCAGTTGACCCCAACACCAAGATCACCATCAACATTCCCGCGGCAGGAAGCCAAGACCTCGTCGAAATCGAGGCTCGTAAGGTCTTCGAGAACTTCTCCCCAGACCTGCAGAAGGCCCTTGCAACAGAGTCTCTGGACGAGGTGAACAAGGTGCTTGGCAACATGTCTGTTGAGGAAGCTGAGGTTGTCGTTGAGCAGCTTGGTGAGGGCGGTATGCTCAGTCTGGAAGAGGGCATTATCGATGGTACCACGGAAGAAGGCCGCAAGAAGCTCGCTGAGATCGAGGCGGAAAGCAAGCTTGAGGAGATTCAGGAGGTTGGAGAGCCTGGTGGCGACGTGACTGAATTGGATTGAAAATAGTTATGGATGAAAAATATAAGTTGCCGATGTCATGAATAAACGCATTGATGTTTCACTTGATGAGTTGTCCTCAGGTTTCAATGTGACATAGCACAGAGCAGTGGGGCAGGAGAAGTCGAGGGGAATATTCTTGCTTCTTGATTTCATCTAGATCCCGTACTACTGTCAGATTGTACATGTATCGCTAATAGTGAACTCTGCGGCTCAAGTTCGGCATGAAAGGGGCCCATCATTTGCCTAGTATAGAATTACTTTCGACTGCATTCATGAATATTCCTTAGTATTAACGATGCCACCAGTCTGAAATACTTAAATTACACAAACCCCCTTGAAGACCTCGCTGCATGGAGTGGAAAATAAAAAAAGGAGAAACAAGGCGAAAGACCTCTAAGCTGGGCGACTGAAGCATGATGTTTGAAAGCTAAAGAGCATGATCACTGGAGCCAGTCATCTCACAATCGCCTAGGTATTGAATATGACCATGGCAGTAAAGTAGAGCAACCTAGATCCCGCTAGCACCCGGAGCTTCCTGGTCCTTCCGCAAGTCGATCAACATCTCGCGGAAGCGCTCCTTGCCCGAGCCGCTGCCACCACCGATAGCGCCCTTGCCCGAGACATCAACCAGCTTCGCAATGCGCTCCCAGCTGGTGCCACCGGCAGAGGTGTCCTCGCGGCTGGCCAGGAATTGTTCGGCCTCGGTCTTGGTCTGGGCACGGTGCTTGTCTGACTTGTTGTTGTAGGACACGTAGAAGTCGTCAATGTCCTCGCGGGCCTTCTTAACGGTTGCCTCCTTCTTCTCGTTGGAAACCTCTGCGCGGCGCGCAATCTCGGCGTCTCGCTTCTCGCGCCATTCCCTAGATTAGTGGAAAATAAATGTTAGCCAGATGACGTGGGCTGCAGGGACGGCCCAAAGCGTGGGGCAGACGGCATGCGCCTGTTCGCCTGGGAATCATTGAATCTCCTTACCGAACAGCCTCTGACTCTGCCTCGGTTTCCAGGGGGTTCACGTATCCGGAAGATGGGAAGGGAGAGCCAGAGCCGGTGATTGTACCGCCGGGGGCAACACGCTGTGGAAACACTCAAGTCAGCATGACACGCACTCGAAATAATGGCCCACGGTCAATCCATACCTCGTTTTGTGTGTGTGTCTCAACTGATGGGAAAGAAGACTCGAATTGACCGAGCTCCTCCGCGGGAACCTCGTCGCCGCCCAATAGGTCGTCGCCCCCCTCTAGGCCCTCAGCCACATTGTCTTGAGGGGTTGCGAATTGGTCTGCATCTTCGCCGAGAGCGGCGCGCTCACGGGCGAGGAAGTCATCGTCGCCACCGGCATTGTTCTCGGCGACTTCGGTCTGGCCTAAAGTAACGTTGTTAGTGTTGACTGCGCGGACGGGCTCGGGGCTTCTGCAAGCGGGTGGATCTTACCCTCAGAGAAGTCCTCCAGGGAGGGGAATCGGTCGGCCATTATGTGATTTTTTGTATGCGCGTATTAGGGATAGAATACGGTCAAGATAAAGAAACCCTGGTAATTCAAAGGATGAAAAGTGAGGTGAGGAGAGCTTAGAGTAGCAAGTAGTTGACAGTTGTTGCCGGCGAGACGCTCGGAGCCCCGTATACTGCCACAAAGGGCGGTGAGTAGCTCATGGTTTCAGTGAGTGACAGCTTCAACTTGGTACTCCGTTACTGCTACGCATCTGGTCTGATTTACCATTTGCTTTGAGTGGCCTGACTTCACTTGGTTTATTCCACTCATTATCACTGCCATAACTTCGGGCTTCAATTGCTCGACTCTTCTACTTACTACTTCTCCCCCAATCCCGATTGTCGCGTCTCGGCTTCTCACTTTCTACGCTCTCCACAAGCTGGCATCGGTTCCTTCCGATCATTCAACCGACAATGGCGTACAGCGACGATCTCGTTAATTCTAAGCTGTCCACTCTGCAGGATACTGCCGACAGTGTCCCTCACGTCGGTGCTTGGCTCTATTTCCATCGGTATACTCTTTCCCGTTCCTCGGCCGCATTAGAAACACGCTGACTTGGAAGATTGATTTGCACAGACGCTTCGCCGAAAACAGTGTGCGCCTCATTCACCAGAGGCTTCCTGACTCCCCACCTGCCAAACGAATCGCTCTGATAAGCCTTCTAAACGGTGCGAAAATGGAATATCCTTGGCCTGGTTTCGCTTCATTAACTAACAATGCCATAGAGCTTGCTCAACAATCGAAGGCGCGAGGTAAAAAGGAGTTTGTGGTTGCTATCTCGCCGGTTAGTTATGCGCTGCTGCCCCGACACGCTCCGGCGCAACCTAACAAGAAACCAGATCATCGAAGAAGCCACCGTCATCACATGGAAAGGAGCGCCGCATTATGTTCAGACGAAGTTGAGGAAGACCTTCGACGCCTGGCTCGACCGTAAGGTCTTTGATATGCCGGTCATGGAAGCTATAATGGCTCGCATACCCGGTCAGTTAGCTGCTACTTGGTCCTTTGGCTGCGTTGTCGTAACTAATAGTATTCCAGAATTCAAACCCAAGAAGGAAGACGAACAAACTACCCAGAAACAACCTCTCGGTGGCTCTTTATTCGGGTCCACGCCCTCTGAGCTCCAGTCACTGGTCCCTCTCCAAGTTGCTCTCACGAAAGCTGCCATGGTCTCCAATACTTCGACCGACACTGCGTCTACAGAGTACAAAAGAATGAACGACCCCCAATCTGAGCAGCCCCCGCTTCCGCGTCAGGCAGCGCAACTTAACCAATTGTTGAGGACTTTGACCAGCGCCGAAAGCTCCGTCTCAGAGGTAATTAAGTCACGGCGTGCGCTAATCGACGGACTCGAGAAGCTCCTTACCACCAACCGCTCCGAGTTGGCCAAGGAAGAGACCGTCTCTTCCGAGCTCGCAGAGAAAAAGGCTCAAACGGATGCCAAGAAGCGCGAAGTTGAAGATGCCATCGTGCGCGGCTTCGACGACACGCAAGACCCCGATCGACCCACAGTCGAAGCATTGACTCCCCCTCCAGTTGAGGCCATCACGCCTGTAGGATCGCCAAAGGCCAGGCCATCGCAAGCTTCCCACGGTCCCTTCATGGACGAGCCGGAAGAGCCTCTCCCCGAGGAATTCTCTCTGTCCTATAGTGGCCAGCCTGACGATGGCTCTGCGTTTCCTGAGCTAGGCAACCTTTCTCCTGGTGGCAGCAATGACTTCGATCTCGGTGCAAATGGGTCAGGCGCAAAGCGGCGCAAGACGACCCATGGCGAGGATGATTATTCGCAATTTGCAGGTGGAGATCTGGATGAAGATGTGTCGGCTTTGCTAGCCTCGCAAGGGAATTAGTGGAAGCTGCTTTGTATTTCCTCGATTTTTTTTCTCAACCTTTAACCTTGTCTGTAAATTGAGGCATCCAATCTGGCAGTTGGTGAGATTTGTGCCCCGAGTTTGCTTTTTCGAATGCGTATACCATCAAGTGACACACTAGCAAGTTAATGATTTAATGGAACACAATGGACTGTTACTGGAACATGCTATTGTTAGAGTCTTGGATGTTGCCCAGGTAGGATGATTGTAAGACGAATAATGTTATAGCATGTATTCTCCAGCAAGAAAAGGGTATTTACTACTTGGTTGCGATCTAACTACATATGAGAAGTACGTTGGTACGTACGTATGAAAGGAAAGGCGTAAACCTTGACATGAAAAATGTCTTCCATCATTCGTATTAACTATGTTTCGAGGGTATGAGCGCGTGAAAAGAGATCATCGAAGTATATCCGGGTCCATCCACCGGTCCCTCGCAAACCGACTGGGCAAGCTACGTCTCCTTTCCCGATCCACTGAAGCCAATAGAGATCGAATATTGTTCGAAGACTCTTCGGCAGGGGGTGCTGGAGCACTAGAATGTTTGGGTTTCACGACCAAGACAATAATGAGTCCAACAACCACCAGCGCTAAAAGGATCATCACTTTGCGCTTAGTGGTGCGTTTTTGGTAATTCGTAGCCTGGTGGATGTTAGTAACCAACAAAAAATTCAAGTATATGGTTGTGAACGTACCACTTTGAGTTCCTTGTCCGCAGCTTTGACCTCGGTCCCCATTCTTTCCACGTTGTAATCAATGCGGTCTAGCATGGTTCCTTGGTCGATGATCATCGATTGTAGTTCCCGGAATATGTCTGATAGCTCGATAATTCCCTTTGCAATATCATTGATTTCGCGCTCTCGCTGCGCAATGGCGGCGTCGTTCTGGCCCGTGTGTCGTTGGGATGTCTGCTGCAACATGGTTTGCGAGAATGACTTGTCGGCGTCGGATTCCATCAGCGAGGGATCTGTATACGGGTTCTGGACTGGAGTTGGGGCGCGGTCAAATGGCGTCGAGAAGCCCTCGAGGTCTCGTAATTCTGCTCGGTACGTCATTGATTAGCCTAGGTCTTCATGCGCTTGCATGAGACAGCTTGATAAAGGACGAGTCTTACTCCTCAAGTAAGTGCTTTGTTTCTTTCGGAACCGAGCACTTGACTCCTGGACTCTCGCCGCTAAGGAGATTTGGATATTCTTCGCCATCGTCTCTTCGCCGTTACTCACTCCACCCTGTTCCTTCGAGTCGCGCACCATTGTCTCGATCCGCTTGATAGCCTTCTGGCAGTCATGGAAGCTGCGAGTAATCTCCTGCGTCAGACGCTCAATTATGCCCTCGTCCTGTCTCCGGAGATCTTCATCGCCGAACCCGGGAAGCAGATGCTTCTGGTGCAGCTTATCCAGTTGTGAAGACTTTTGCGCAATATCGGCTAGGTGCTCGGAGACTTCTTCTTGAATATCGACCCAGCGCGGTGGGAGCAAGTCCATCTCAATCACCATATCACCATCATCGTCGAAGCCGCCTGTCTCGGAGATCAGGCGCCGGCTTTCCTCCGGCTGCGCGGAGGTCTCGAAGCCATTGGACGGGCCGAGAAATCGGGGCTTCTTGGAGGGGTGGTGTGCAAAGGACTGTCGGTAGGATATGTAGCTGTTGCAGGCGACTTTGGTTAAAATCCACGAGGGTCGAGATAGCAACTGGGGATACGTACAGGTTGGTGCGATCCCGCCACATCGTGTCCAGGGTGAGGGGATATGCGCGAGAGGTTTATTGTAAGAAGATCGAGGTAGATACGGATGTCATGATCAGCTGACGGGGGCGAGTCAGGGAGTCGTGGGGGTGTGTCTGTCTGGGGGGTCGGAGTCGGAGTTGGAGGATGAAGCCGAGAGTTGACGGAGCTCTCCCGCAGGGGTCAAAGGTACCGTTTCCGCCCGGTACGGATGGGTCTGCCCCACGCATCTGGCCCGTATTTTTCTGTGTGACGTATGTACGACTATGTCAGGCACTCCAAAGGCGCATAGCATACCAAGAGATTTGGTTTGAAAACTACATGGCTGTCTCTTTTTCGCCGGTAATTTCTTCTTGACTTTTAAGAAATGGGGCAAATCGCAGGTCGCGAAAACACCAAAGCTTTCCACGCCCTATAGCACGCCGTATAGATGAATATTACCCTACAGGTGTCGAGGTGAGCTATGATTTTGCTCTACTTGTCTTTCAGCTTGTCTTGTTATCACCTCTGCTGTATCAGCTGGATTTGTGGCAAGTATAATTAGTAAAGGATCGTATCAAGTTTTTGTACAAAATCTCCGGTGCTTGATTTTGAGACGCCCTCAAATCTGGATGGACTGAGCTAGGCAGCTTCACATCCTTCACCTCCGTTAATTTCTAATGCTATATGTCATACATACCACAGGGGAAGTTAATATGTACTCTACTTGGTGTGCAGAATGACCGAAATCCCATCGTCTAACTAATAAGTCAGCGCAACCTTCCGAGGTCGTAGAAAGTCCATTCTAAGCTCGTGTTCAACGGTGACCGCGCCCTTTCGTGAAAAAGAAAGACCATGTGGCTTTCTTGAGTTGGCGATAGTGAACTACGGAAAGTGCTTGTCTGGAGGTAGGTAAATTGATTACACGGTTCCCTCGCCAATTGATTTACTGTGGACCTAAGTCTATAACTAAAGCATAACAATTAGGACCTAAAAAGGGCCTGCTCGACTTTAATCTTGGTAAATAATTCCCAAGTTTATTCTAGTCATTCAGTCATAATAAAAAGATACTTATACATCACAAGAAGAGTCACAAGACATCCCAAAGACCCTACTTCCTCCCCTTTCCCTTATTCTTCTTCTTCTTGACTTCAGGCTCAGGAACACTAACAGTGCCTTGTACAATCTCATCACTCTGCCCCTGCAGGCGCTGACTCCCACTAATAAAGAAAGTAAGATCCCGATTCTGCTCTTCGAGATCCGTCTTCTCAGTCCTAAGTGTGCCGTTCTCACTGGTAAGAAGTTCAAGTCGTTCCATAAGACTCTGGTTCATGGTCTTTTCTTCCCGATAATCCTTTTCCATAGCACGGGCCATGCTCTCAAATTTATCGGCGCGCTTCTCTAGCCGAGCGCGATCGCGCTCAAGACTGGGTATCGTCTCCGAAGAAAAAGTTTCAAATTTTGTCTGCATCTCGATGAGACGAGCGGATGTCGCCCTCGCTGCTTCTTCGGCTGCTGCGGCTGCTGCACTAGCCTGTGACGCCTTGTCAGCTGCACGCTCGACAACTTCTTCAAAGTACGCGCGCTGGCTTTCGAGTTGGCTAGTGAGTAGATGTGTGTACTCGACGCTCATATTCTCGAGCTTCTCACGTGGCACAGCATCGCCCCAGTCGGGTGGATCGAGTGCGCTGTGGTCTGCCGCCGGAAGCTCAACTAGCTTGCCGTCGGATTTGCTCTGGATGATGCGGTGCACGTAGGCGTCACCGACATAGTCCCATACACGCTGAGAGTTCAAGTCAATGGAAAAGGCGTGCGCGGTTTCTTTCCAGTGGTCAAATGCGTGTGCGCCATCATATCGGCCACAGCCGACGGTACCGCAGATCAGACAAGCCCAGAGATTATCTTCAGTGCGACAAACCGAGCACTCAGCTGGTTCTTGATCGCTGTCGGTTGCCATCCCGCTTTTGCGGAAGTCGTCTTGCGTATAGCGGCACACAGGACAGCCGCTGCCTTTCCATTTCTGGAGACACGTGCAATGAAAGACATGCTGGCAAATGATTGTTAAGAGGCCAGTCGTCTCGTCCATTCGCTCGAGACAGACAGGGCATGTGGGCAGCTCAATCAGCGCCGGTGTTGGTGGCGCTAAGGGTTTACCAGTAAGCTTTGATTGCCCAGCAGATGATTCGTTAGGAGAAAAGGCAGATGGTGAGCCGGGCTCGACGACCTGGATCTCAACCGACTTGACAAAAACAACGTGACATGTCTCAGGCTGTATACGGTCACGTTAGCCTGACTCCCTTCTCCCCAATGTCAAAAACAGAAGATGGAAACATACCTCCATGCTGTTGAAAACCTTCCCATTCCACTCCTTCTGCCACTCCTTCGCTTTCCTCCCACTGCGGAACTTGAGCAAAACCATATACCGATTCGCCCTTGACGTCCTAATCATCCGGAAATGGCTAACGGAGTCCCTCGTTTTCTCACCCACGAACCCCAGGAAGTCCGATGGCGACAAATACGACGGAACCGCTAGAATGCACAACGTGGTGCAGTCCTCTTCCTCAACCGACGCCGAAGCTGTGACAGGGAATGGATAGGAAGCTTCCATACCCCGACCGCGAACCTGCCCCGAGCTGGCTCCACTCATCGACGACTGTAAACCAGCCTGCTGTTCACCAGGATGTCGCGCAGCAGCGGCGGAGCCCTTGAGGTAGGTCGGATAGTCATCATCATTACCGGCGAGGTAAGGAGTTTCTTGCGCATCGCGGTATAGGTGGACGATACCGAAGACGCTATCAGCAACTTTCTGGTCGAGTGGTATGTATCGACCCTTGGTGCGCAAACCGCCTAGGATGTCGGTCCCAATACCTGCTGTGACAAGGTTATCGTCGGCGGTGGGGAGGCTACCGCGCTTGGAGGCGCGTTTCGCGGGGCCATCTTCTGGCGCCACCATGTCGATGCACTCGATGACGATGGCGCCGGAGCGGATGTCGTTTTGGATGTCTTTTGTGGTTCGGGTAGGATTAGAGGAGATTGTAGAGGGGCCGAATGGGTGCGGTTGTTTTGGTCTTCTTTCAAGTGTGAGGTCTTTAATCGAGGATTGATTGCTGCTTAGTGAATCGCTTGTTGCGCCCGATAGTGGGCTGGAGCTCGACGGCCCGGATCGCTTCTGGAATGGTAGGAAAGCTTCCCATGCGGATTCCAGGGCCAGCGGTGAGGTTTCAGAGGATTTTGAGCTAGGTAGGACTTCGAGACTAAGGTGGTAGAAGTAAGAGGGCATCCCGGGCGATGGCTCACATGCTTGAGCGCGAAGCTCTGATGCTGTCCAAGTTGATTCCGCGATAAGACGCGATTAGTCAGCACCCCCAGATTACCTGGGATGGTATCGCCCTGTCGCGCCTTAAGGCAGGCTTCATGGACGGCAGCTCCCACTCGGAGAAAATGGTATTTAGAAGTCTGGAAAAATATTTTGAAATATATGTAGAGGCACTTATAGACACTCTGTCGAATAATTTCTAGCAAGATGCTAGTGAGCATTACTAGATTGATATTTAGAAAAATTACGAATGGCGAACCCAACGGAATTAAACTAAGACAACTTCAAGATTTCCAAGATTGTTGATTTTTGGCCTAAGAAGCTCTCGCAGTCCTTTCATTTCCATTATTAGAGTCTAATCTTTCCCGTGCACTTGACGGGCTAACTTTCTGATCTACTAGGTAACATTGCAATCTGTCAGTACTATCCCATAGATGGCTCATATTAGTACATCGATGAAGCAGGCCAAAGATATTAACTCAAATAGCGATTCCTACCAAAGCAATTCTGGAAAATGTCCCGTTCTGAATAAGTTCCAAGCATGCCTTTTAGATATCAGTCATGAACCCAAGGACTCGTTCCCATTCGATCTGAAACGAGGCCCATTAGATCCAGCCGTAACATTTGCCAGTACACTCGTCTGATCATTGCTTCTGGTAGACCCCTGCCGAGGAAATGATCCTTCAAACGCTCGAGAGCGTACGATCCATTGATCCGTACATTGAAATCAACAATGAGAGAGCCTCCATCTTTGTCGATCATAAGATCAACCCCAGCAGGAGGGTAATAACCCCTCTTATGTAAGAACTTCACTATCTGGCCCATCATAATTGAGAACTGCCTCTCTAGCTCGGGTTGATTGGACGGGTTGACAGCTTGTAACATCTTACGGAGCTCTGCTTGGAGGAGCTTCGAAGCTGCTTCACGTTGAGATGAATGTTCCCAAGCAGCCGATAGCCTGTGGGGCTTTAATAATAAAAAGAATCTCTTTTTAACGCATAGGCCGTATCATGCTCTGAACCTCATCCTCGATCTCACTTGGTGACAGTTCGCTTCGAGGAATGCAGTCAATAATGGTGGTCTCGGGACTGGGTAGCCCAGAGTAAACAAGTCCCTTCTTCGAGAGTGAAATCATAGTAAACATCCGGGTTGACAGCGTGAGTGAGATGGGATACACAGTTCAAGGTACATAGGACTACCACCTGTTTATCAGATGACTTCAGATGAATATGCTGGTCCGCCATTAGGCATAGCACCATTTCAAGTTTCCAAATTCTATCGTGATCAATGACATCGAATATTTCTGTATACGCCTATGATAGCATTGCTTCCTCTCGAGTGTTCCGAGGAGAGGAAGGTAAAGGGCCAAGAAGCACGGGGTGTAAGATATACTTTCCCTAGATGAGCTATTCATAGAGAAAGCCTACTCACACTAGCATTTCACAAACATCATTACCGTCACCCTCCTCAACTGCCAGAGGCGTTTTCTCCTAGCCCCACTATCCAGCGAACTATCATCTGGTCAGACAACTAAGGCGACGTGACGGTGTTCTAACATATGATGATACCCAAATTGGCTACCCTACAATTCGAGCTCATTCATTCTTGGTCATTCGTTATGTCCCGAATGACTGAAGTTACTAGTAGCAACAAGCGTTCTACAATTGCGATCCGGTCCAACTTGGAAACAAAGATAGACTAAAGAAACCTGGTACCTACTAAGCTCCTGGATCGTCACTTAGGTGCGATACAGAAATATTAGTATTCCGGGACTATCCCCAATATAAACTAGTGGATACCGGTATTATTAATAGTTATACCTTTGGGATGTTTTTCTTTTTGCGGGTCTAAACGTCGTATCCCCGGGTAACCAAAAAAAGCAGTGTTGTTTATTGAGACTAGCCTATTAAAATCTGTATCTATTTTTACTCCTATACAAGTCAGACTGAAACCCTCCAGGCAGACTGATCATACAAGGCAGCACTGTTATTTCTCCACATTTTGTGCTTGGCAAGGCCCCCTCTTCCACAGGTCAGACTGAATACTTCCAGGCAGACTGATTATGCAAGGCAGCAGTGTTATTTCCCCTCATTTTGTGCTTGGCAGGGCCCCGGAGCCGTCAAACCAGTTGCTTAATGAATCAACATCCTGACATCCGGATCACCGCAAACCTCATATTTAGTTCTTATGCTGTACAGCTAAGGAAAGAACCATCAAAGTGAAAATGTGCCAAAGAATGTATTCCTCTAACAAACACCCGCTCTCTAGAGCTCGCAAGACCCAGATCCTTCTCTCATTGATTTCGTGGCCATGCGCTCTTGCTGCCGTTTTTACGACTCGTCATAGCCCTCAAGCATGGGTTCAGCTCATAGCGGCATGTCTGTCTCTCCTGAAATGATAAAAAATGATCTAACAATTTGAAGATCACACTTTCCAGCACCACGCCTATATTCATGCTCTCCAGATATCGCAAGTCCGGAAGTCAATCTTATTCGCCGCTTGAAATCGCTATTGATATCTCGATGTGCTTGCTCTTGCTCGGAGTATACATTTCCGGAATCTTCATCCTTGCTTCCCGAGAGATTGGCGAATGGGCAGATATCTACAACTACAAGCTTGCCCGTGGTATTCCACAGGTTTACTCCAACCTCTCATGTATCCTCCTCAGGTAAGTCGGTCCAGGAAGGAAATACAAACTGGTCTTCCGGATGAACTAATTCTTCTAGTCTGTTATACTTGCGCTCATTTGCTCAGGGGTTCTTCCACAAATGTATCAAGCCTATGTTCGAGGCCCGTCGTGTTAACTACACCCTTTGTCCAGCCTGCGACCGGTCTGTGGACGCTCCTATGACCCAGAGTCAGGATGTGACTGTGGCGGGACAGGAAAGACCCTCTATCTCGACTGATAATCTGCAGGGTTTGTATACTGATGATGTTGAGTCCCAGCCGTTGTTACCTCAGAGCTCTCTGGGTGTGGAAGATAAGCAGACTACTGGTATCGTGACCAATAACTGAAGCTTTCGGATGCCAAGACCCTCCAGGAGGTCTGATATAGATACAAGCATTGGTTTGTACGACCTTGCAAATGCGGGGGAAGTTAAGAGCCTGGTCCTTTGACCTTGAAATTGAGCGAATTGAGGAAGTTGATCGTGGGGATACTTTGAGATTGCAGGGTGTGAAGGGGGACAGTGTGATACTTATTGGTCTGCCTGAACCTTGACTGGTTTATCATCTACATGTGGTGTACTTGGTTCCTTGTTGGGCTGTTGAACATAAGATAAGCATCATCTAGAGCTGTGAAATTTGAATGAAGAATGTGACCACGGAGTGCAAGGGTCTCGACCCAAAATGGGTTATGCGAAAATCTATGCAACACATATCTTGGAGCCATGGGATGTAAAAGGGAAAGAACCAGGATTCTTTAACACCACCAATAAACCAACAGTGGTTCCAATATCTTAGCTGATCGACAATCTATTAATACAGGCGATGACGCATCACACTTGATGTGATGAACTAGATGCATCTCGGAAGCATCGACGAATGCTAGCTAATTCCTCGCGGTAACTTTTGTTTTAGTGTCAGCGTTTATTGTCTGGTTGGCAATGATATGTATTTCCGGCATGCGACGCCAGTAGCGCTATTTGTGGAAAGAGAAAAGCAGTAGGCAGTACCTAGGGATCTATATGACTATGTAGCCGTCATATAAGAATACCATTATTGCTACCATCGGCAATCAGAGATTAAAAGTCAAAAATTATATAACAAACACGCCTGATGTAACCCACGATGCACAGGAGACCCTCAAAGCGCCAAGGTTGAAATGGAGGGCCCACGCCGGCTCCTCGTGTTGACTTATTTGCGTCCATATAGAAAGTTCCAGCTATAATGGCTACTATATACAGTAATTATACGAGAATTAAGGTATTCTTGAGAGTAAAATACTATTAGGGTAACCTTACAGAAATATTAATATTCCAGTCTATCCCTAACATGGTGTAAGATATCTTAGCATTAGCGTTCAAGAAACGATCAAAGAGCGTAGGTGGTGACACCAGTTTCGGGAAGTACTGTAACTTCAAATGCACACGTTACAATAAGTAAAATAAGAAGCTATACAAGGATAAACTGGCCTCTTGGAACAGACCAGCGTGGAAAAGAGGATATCAAATCCATAGCCCACAAGTAATAAAGCCCATACCCAAAAACCCCAAGGGCAAAGTCTACAGTATTCCACTCCTTCTGCTTTTGCCTCTTTTTGATCAGTCCATCTCCAAGTCCTTCGATTCTCAATTAATTGCGTGGATGTAGGGGATCAGTAATTAGTATGTATCCAAGTCTTTCTCAGAGACCCAGTCTTTCTATAGTCGGCTTGAATGCGCATCGTCTTCACAACCTACTCGCACCCTTGCCTTCTTGAATCTATAATATATTCGTAGTGCGAAGTCTGATGTTTAAGCGTAGCTGGTCTAGGCAGCACAGACGACAATGGTGCTTCGAACGATACGCATCATCAACTACGAAGGTGCATGTGGCACCAAAGCAACTACACTTGAAAACGACGATTACAAAGAAAATGAAGTAGCTAGAACGGCAGTAATGCCACGTTCAATTCATAGATAGAAACTATGACGGCTCTAGGGCCAGAAAGGAAAGAGTGCCCTGAAACCAGAGAATAAAAAGGAAAGAAGCCATAGCTTCAAAACCGACCAAACGCCATGCAGGTCAGAGACCCATCTCGAAGTCGTTAAAAAGAATCCTCAGCAAAAGCCCCGGTTCCGATTTACTGTCCGCCACGAAGGCGAAGCACCAGATGGAGAGTAGACTCCTTCTGGATGTTGTAGTCGGACAGAGTACGGCCATCCTCAAGCTGCTTACCAGCGAAGATAAGACGCTGCTGGTCCGGGGGAATACCCTCCTTATCCTGGATCTTAGATTTGACGTTGTCGATGGTATCAGAGGACTCGACTTCAAGCGTGATGGTCTTGCCAGTCAAGGTCTTGACGAAGATCTGCATACCACCACGCAGACGGAGGACGAGGTGCAGGGTGGATTCTTTCTGGATGTTGTAGTCTGAGAGGGTGCGGCCGTCTTCGAGTTGCTTGCCGGCGAAAATAAGACGCTGCTGGTCCGGAGGAATGCCCTCCTTGTCTTGAATCTTGGACTTCACGTTGTCGATTGTGTCTGAGGACTCAACTTCCAGGGTAATGGTCTTGCCAGTGAGGGTCTTGACGAAGATCTGCATACCACCACGGAGGCGGAGAACGAGGTGGAGGGTGGACTCCTTCTGGATGTTATAGTCGGAAAGGGTGCGACCATCCTCGAGCTGCTTGCCGGCGAAGATCAGACGCTGCTGGTCAGGGGGAATGCCCTCCTTGTCCTGGATCTTGGACTTGACGTTGTCGATGGTGTCGCTGGACTCGACCTCAAGGGTGATGGTCTTGCCAGTCAAGGTCTTGACGACTATGGTGGGATTAGGACGATGATGGTAGAGTGGCGGTGAAAGTGAAACTTACAGATCTGCATACCACCGCGCAGGCGCAGGACCAGGTGGAGGGTGGACTCCTTCTGGATGTTGTAGTCGGACAGAGTACGGCCATCCTCGAGCTGCTTACCAGCGAAGATAAGACGCTGCTGGTCCGGAGGAATACCCTCCTTGTCCTGAATCTTGGACTTGACGTTGTCGATGGTGTCGCTGGACTCGACCTCAAGGGTGATGGTCTTGCCAGTAACTAAGAAGAGAGTCAGGAACGAGTCGGGTGGCGATGAACGCAGTCCGCGTCGCGGAGGCAACGGTGACGGGGAACGATGAACTTACGGGTCTTCACGAAGATCTGCATGGTGACAGCGGTGATTCAGAGAGGTAGATTGTTAAGGACAGGTATCAAAAACGGGGGATGCGCAAAGGAACGCGAAAGGTTGGGAAAAGGGGAAGGAGGAAGTCGGGAGGGACAGGTTTATGTAGGAGAGGGGGCGAAGACTCTTAGTCAGGAAGCCTATATTTGGGAAACGACTGGAACCTTAGAGATGCCGCGTGCCGGATGAGTCAAGTAGAAAGGCACTGGCCAGTCATTGACGCCACCACCTGTTTTGTCGCGGTTCCTGCCTTATACGCTTATCCTTTCGGATTTTTTACAGTTTTGCCTCCCTAGCCTTCATTCCTTTGCCACGGAGCACTCCGGGCTATACCAAGCGGCCCGAATCCAAGACGGCTTGCTTGATGACGTGTGCCGTCTTATCGCGAAAAGAGGGGGTGGAACCCGAAATTGGTCTCTAGCGCTATCGAGGTACTCGGGAAACGGGGCTGAGACCGGTAAATCAGGTGGAACTCGCCCCGTTACGATAGTACCATAGCACGATAGCGGCTAACTAAGATAGTCATGTGACTCATCACGTGGGAGGCACCGGGTCAGGTGATGCCGGATCCGGTCTCGGAGAGCAGCCACCACCCCCAATCTGGCTGTTTACGACCACATATACATTCAAGGGAAAATGTTCTTTCAACTAGTATGCATAAAAGCTATATAGACACGGTCCCGCGGTTCGCAAAAACGGAGAATCCCACCCTTGTCGAACGCCGTTTTCCTCGGCACTCCGAAATAAAAAACATTGCGAGCGATCAAAGATAGAATGCGACACGGTTGCTTTTACCCAGCCCAGGCGAGGCACGGGTACTGTCGCAGGAAAAGAAGAAGAAAGAAGCAAAATTCAACAACACACTCGGCCGTACACAGGTCATAAAATTCGTGATCCTCGTCCATCGCTGGAAAGCTATGCGAGAAAGGTATACCACAAAGACAAATGGCTAGGAAATAAAAGACAGTATTGGCTTGGGAAAAGAAAAAAAAGAAAAAGAAAACAAAAACGAAAAGAAAACAGTTGGTTACCTGGAACCAGTGCAAAAAGAGTAAAAAGAAACAAGAAAAAGACACAATTCACTTAACAGGCATCTCGCCGGGAGAGTTAATCATAAAGAGCGGTAAAGACGCGCTCGCGCATCGTCACGACGGAGGTCGGCGTAAATTCTTTTCATCCAGGGCAGGGGCATTGGGTAATTGTCACGGGAAAGCAAAAAAAGCGCTGGATTGGGAAAACTCGCTGCGGAAAACACAGGTCGTGAATAAACATCATCGTCGTCATGCGCATGCGCATGATCTGGTCGTCTCTAGTTGGCGCGAATCACAAGTCGGGAGACAAATTTGTTGGAGAGGCAGTCGAAGTCGCTGCGGTTGAATTTGGAACTTGAGCGGCTGCGGAGGTAGGTCTCTTTGGGGGCATTAGTGTTTGTACAATAGAATTGGGGGACAAGTCATATTCTTACCGTGCTGTTCAACGTGCTGCCGAACCTCGGTCATGGTGTTGCACACGTCGGGGTTGGAGTAAAGCAGCTGGTGATGTTTCTGCGTGTCCCACTCGGTGAAGGGGGGCAGCTTCTGTGAGATGGCCTGGAACAGACCGACAATGACACCGACGGGAGTGGTCTCCATGTCGGTGCAGAACTTATCGACGGCAGCCTGGTCCGGAGTGCGGTAGGCGGAGTCGAACTGCATCTCCTCCCAGACAGCCAACAAGATGGAAGCCAGGATGAAGATGGTCGGCCAGTTCTTGAGCTTATCACCACTGTACACACTGGAGTACAAGGCAGAAAGCTCCTCCAGAACATCCTTCTGAAGCTCACGCCACATGCTCGCCATAGCACACTTGATCTGGAAGTTGATCATCACGGGGGCCATGACCTTGCCACGGAACTTCGAGCCCGGCTCTCGAATCTGACCAAGCAATCCTTCCTCGCCACCCAGTCCTTCGACCATGGTAACGTGCAGGGTCAGGTTATAAGCAATAATCAACTTCAGTGCCTTCCGGATAACCGGTAGCTTGGTGCGGTAGTAATAGCGGAATGCAGTCTTGAGCATCTGCGTCAAGAACGGCGTGCCCTCAAAGTAGTCGTCGACAAACTTCTCAAAAGTTCCGTTGCCGTCAATGTGACGGTCCAGGTAGTCAGACAACATAGCGTGCGAGATGCCCTCCATGCCAGCGGAGAGTTTGGCAGTCTCGACTTCGTACTCCGTGGGCTCGCGGTGCATAGACTCGACCCAGTCGACGGTGAAGCACTGCTCGTCGCGGACGTAGACCTCACGAGCATTGATAGGCAGAATCTGACCATAACCGTGCGTAATGAATAGCGTGCGCTCCTGGTCCGAGAAGCCCTTGATGTTGCCAACGGAGAATCCCATGGAGATATGGCGCTCGTAGTCGGCCTTCCAGTCCTTCATGAAATACCCAATCTCCTTGATGTCAATACGAGTGCAAGGCACCTGCCACAACCTAGCATGAGACGGCTGGCAGCCTGCACAGGGCTCGCCCTTGTCGCAGGTCTTCTTGAGGAACTTGCATCGCAAGCATGCACGGAGCTTCCGGATCTCGCTGGCCTGCTTACGCTGATCGGGCTTAAGAGGACCCTTTCGCTTGCCGACTCGCTTCTCAGTCTCGGGCTTGCCGTTCTGAGATTGCTTGCGGACCTTGGTCTCGGCAGTCTTGGCGGCGATTGGGCTCTTGCGGGACGGTTTCCTGCTAGGGGGAGAAGCAGAAGACTGAGATCCGGCTGACCGCGTGGGAGAAGTTGACTTCTTAATAGGAACTGGAATTGGGCGAACCATGGCACTTGGGCTGACCGCAGACGGAGAGCGGGAGCCGTGCGAGGAATGCTCATCATTGGCGCGGGGAATGATAGAGCTGATTATGGGAGATGTACCTGACAGGCTCAATGAGTGGCTGTGGCTGTGACTGTGGGAGTGGCTATGATGGTGGTGATGATGGGGGTTATAAGGCAATTCCATATTTGTTTCCGAGCTGGGAGAACTGATGGGATTGGCAAGATCAACAAAGCTGCCGTAGGAAGTCGAATATGAAGACTCGGAGAGACTGCGGTCATGGAGAGTCTGGGTGGGGTTGACAAAGACACCCTGCTCGGGGAAACCGAAGTCGAGGGAACGGCGGTGGTCGACCGTGCTCCAGCCATTGTCGCTACTGGAAAGGGAACGGACCTCGAGATAGGTGTCTGTAGGCGAGCTGCTCTCCAGAACAGGGTGCGGGGCCGAGTGGTAGACATCATGAAGTCCATTTGGGAAAGTCATCAGGTCGGTTTGGAAGTCATGATAGGTGAAGGGCACCATATTTCCGACGGGGCCCGATAAGGGCAGATAGGGACCATCAAGCAGACCGGCGCTCATTTGACCCTGGGGGTCAGACATGAGATCCACTGGAGACGACTGAATGGCCATGGCATAGCTCGAGGTAAACTGGGGCGCGGATGACGGGTCCTCGGGCGAATAGGGCAGCGGCTGGTGCTGATGTGGGCTGTGGTGTAGTTGTTGAAATTGCCAGTCGACCATCAGGTTGTGATCATGGGCCACCGACTGTTCCAGGGTGTGACCGCTGGTTTGAAGGCGTGAGAGATCGTGGGCTTCGTCAGACCGGGAGGGGTTCTGATCTACCGGCACGGGCCATGTATGCTGGAGATAGCCTCTAGAATCGTAGTCGACGCCGAGGAGGCCATCGCTAGGTAAATCGACATTCGACATGGCGTCTTGGAGGTCCAAAACGTGGTGGTTTAGGTGAGGGAGAAGGGTAGGGGAAGGGCCAGCCTGGATGAAAAGGCCTTCTTCAGAGAGTCACACAGCCATGGGGCAGACTGCGAGTGAGGCGGTGGGGGGGGACAAAGCAGCGGTGAGCAAGTGATGCGCTAGGGGAGAATCGTGTGGAGAGTGGGGAGGCTGGCTGGGATGTGTGCATCACAATTGGAGAACACACCCTACTGCCACGCCGTACCATTACCTGGCCTAGTTAGTCTGCTACTGTAGTCGGTTTAGTTCTAGTCTCTCAACACTATTGGATATTCTGGGTAGGCCGGATCGCAAGTCCCGGGGTCCCATGATCTCTCGCATGGAATGCGGACTGGGTAGCCTTTCGATGAGATTCTTATTCTTATTCTTATAGCTCTAAGGACGCCTAGGTATGCTCTCAGGAGGAGTGCTGACGCTATACTCACCTAGAGGTATGTGGTTGTTTACCCTTCCTATTTCCGGTACTGGTGAGGTGAGGACCGTGGGAATCATCGGCGAGACACACGGGAAGCCAGCGGAAAGGGAGATCAGTGGATCCACGCAGAGACACGAAAAACGGGAAAAGGGAAAAAGAACATTAAAAAATTTAGACGAGAACGCGTGGCAATAAGCGCAGGCCCGTGCTGCGAATCGATCTGACATCGGGATCTTGAATGATAGTCAAGTCCTTCCTAATCTGCTCCAATCACCGTGCCCAGTGATGAGCAGCACGCCCGTGATTCGCGCGCAGTCCAGGGTCTACCTTGAAAATAGGACACCATCCCTCATGGGGAAGGAAGCATGGTGGGGGCTGACCATGCAGTCGTAGGAAGGGTTATTCCTGTTGGGGGGATCACGCCGATCCAGTATGAAACCGAGTCGTTCTTGTACTCCGTAAACCTTGAATCCTTCACTCCCTCGGGAGAGGCGTTGGGGGAAAGATCTCAGAAGTGACAGGTCATGGCCTCGGGGCTCGTTCTATTTCTCGCACGGAGGCTTGGGCCATATGCAGCAAGCAAGGGAGAATAACAAGCCACTGGGGGAAAGCCTTGAGAGTATGAGGAGCATTGGGGGCGCATTGGGAACATAGATTAAAACGGCACCAGCCACCGTCGCGTGCAGGAGCCTAAAACTTGGATATATCACATCGCAGGGCGTGTCATCATTGGTTATGAGTTCACTGTTCGCCTCTGACATGCGGAGGTTTCAATAGCTGCTGCACGCTGTCATGGCATGATGCATACAGTCCGCTATCCCTCATCGGGGTTGAGCGTTGTGAATTTGCAGTAGAGAGATGTACAACATGTCCGTAGGAGAGAGAGAGGGGTTGGCGGGCGGAAAAGCGAAAAAAGAAAAAGAAAAAAAAACTAGGAAAGTGGGGAGAACAATACCAACGTCAAATCTTCCACAATAGCGACAGTTACGTCCCCCCCATCCATTTAGATTGTGGGAGTCCGGTCCCGATGTGCTCTTTGTTCCTTTGATTCCATCCATCTAATAAAAAGGGTCCAAAGTCCATGCCATTTACGGTCCCGGGGAAAAACCGACGAGTTCGATTCCCCTCTCAATCCGCACCGATAGCGCGCGAACAGAAGCGCCCAGGGAAGCGCCCCGCGAGCTCACATCCGGCCGGGAAAATGGCCAGCCAAGAGGTACCCAGGCCGGGGATCCCAGCCCTGTTCACGCAGCCGCCGCCCATCCGCGACCCGCTCGTGACCGAGTCTATCGATCTGCAGGACGCGACCCTTGAGAAGTGTCTCCCTTTTCTCAAGGGCATCCATAGTAATCAAAAGGGCCCCTTCAATGCATGTGGAGTTCCTGCACTCCAACGTGACGATCATGTAGCCTATCTCTATGATGCCCTGGAAGATTACCCCGCCGGGTTCGTCGCCATGGACGCCAGTCGGCCGTGGATGGTCTACTGGGCCCTGGCGGGGCTGTCCTTGTTGGGTGAAGATATTACTCGAGTTCGTCAACGGTCAGTCTCATTATTTATTTCGTGATTGACGCCATCAGCCTCTTTTTTTTTTTTTTTTTTTTTTCTTCTTTGGTTTAATATGCTCTTGCCTGCTTGGTGCTAGCCCGTGCAGCTCTGGGGAATTCCTCGGCAGCTTGGGCATCACTGGCATGGCATATCATCAATATGAGCAGGAAAATAGTCGAAGCTAATGCGATTACAGCGTCATCGAAACACTACGGCCTATGCAGAACCCCACCGGCGGCTTTGGTGGCGGCCATGGTCAAACATCGCATGTTGCTGGAGCTTACGCCGCCGTTTTATCGCTGGCCATGGTTGGGGGAGAAGAAGCCTTTGCAGTGGTGGATCGGCAGTCAATGTGAGTTGTCTTTCCAGAATTTAGCGCGTGCGTCTGACCCGTTCCTAGGTGGCGATGGCTCGGCCGATTGAAGCAGGCGGACGGAGGCTTTCGCGTTTGTGAAGGCGGGGAAGAGGACGTACGGTAAGCAAGCTCATGTCTGTGATGCACGATCTAGGCTCTGACTCGCCGTGGCAGCGGTGCATATTGCGCCATGACTATCATCTCGCTTCTCGACTTGCCCCTGGCTCTGCCGCCCCATGCGGTAGCTCGATCTGCAGGAATGGAAAAATTTACGGACGAGCTTCCTAACTACCTGGCAAGATGTAAGGCATGTCATTGTTGGTGGTACGGACTTCGGTGTTGACGGGCTTTGTGCATCCAGGTCAAACCTTCGAGGGAGGCATCTCCGGTAGCCCCGGTGTAGAAGCGCATGGAGCATATGCTTTCTGCGCGTTGGCTTGTTTGTCGATTATAGGTCCTCCGGAGGAAACAATTGGCAGGTACGATATCTCCGGCGATTACTGTGACCATTTATTCATGTGATGCTGACTACCTTGAAGATGCATGGATCTGCCCCTCCTTCTATCATGGCTATCTGCGCGGCAGAATGCTCCGGAGGGAGGATTCTCCGGAAGAACAAATAAGTTGGTAGATGGATGTTACAGCCACTGGGTCGGCGGATGCTGGCCACTGCTACAGTCCGCAATGGATGGAAAGCCGCAATCTGACGGCCCTCCCCCGCAAACCGTGGGCAGTCTATTTAGCCGTGAAGGATTAGACCGATATATTCTCTGCTGCTGCCAGTCTCCGCATGGCGGGCTTCGTGATAAACCGGGCAAGTACGTGACCAGTCCATCCCTAATTTGTTTGCAGAGGAGTTGACCGTGATACCAGGAGTCCGGATTGCTACCACACCTGCTACGTGTTGACGGGCTTGAGCGCAACACAGCACCGTCACTACCGCACAGACTCGAGTGCTTCGTCCAGCGAGACGTTTGCATCCGCCTTTTCCTGGAAGTCCAGGCCGATCCGCGAGGATAATGTATTTGAAAGAGGCGACCGACTTACTGCCTTCCACCCGCTGTTTGTCATCCCACACCAAGCCGCTGAAAGAATGCGGCTCTGGTATGAATCCGAAGCCTTCTGAGGCCAAGCGGTCGGTATGTGCACCACATATTCATATAAGATGAGCCACGTCAAGCCATGGTTGAATATTTGTGAGCTATGAGACACAAATGGGTGAAGGATGGAATCGAGGACTGAGAGCCCTCGGCTATCAGAGCAATAAGCGACGGGTAGTAAAGGAATGACCGGCAGAGCCCTAGACAGTTAGGGTTCCCCGTGGGAGCCACGCGGGTGAATTGTCAGGACGCAAGGGATCAATTTGGCCTGGGCGGCTGAAAGAGTGCAACGTCGGACTCGGAGCATGTATTGTCATTTTCAATTTTCACTTCCAACTTTACCCCTAGTAACTCCTATGATCTTGAGTGATCGTAGATCACGGTTTGCCTTCGGACAGACCAAGGAGCTGCAAGAAGCCCAAGAGGGCAAAAGTCCTAGTCATCACGGGCGCAGATAAATCAACGCCCATCCCCCACCGCAGTGCCAACTCATCACTGCGTCCGACATGCCTGTCGAGTAACTTTGTCTGTTCAAATCGTCCCGAGGGGGTGCGTGCATCAAGTCCACAAGTCAGACGCGTTCTGCACAACATGAGGGGCCTTGGCGCCAATCGCCGCTCAGGCCGTGGACTGTGGATTTCCTGCGCGTTTGAGATGAAGATCCATGGATTAAGCGGTTATGTCTCAAGATTTCTCGGCGTCTAGTGCGGGGCAGATCAGTTACCCGAGCTGAGCACAACTTGACATTGACACGGAGATGTTCTGAGTATTCACAACCAAGACTCAGGCTGCAGACCTCGATTCTTTGTTTTGATCGGCGAATTGCAGGGGGTCAACAAGCCAGGCCCAGGAAGGGCCGGGAAGAGACCTCAATTCGGCTCCATTTGACTGGCAAGCAGCCATGCCAGCGCATCAGTACCTTAAAACCCGCCGAAAGATGGGGACACATCCAATTGCCTCGCAGAGAGTAACAGGAAGACAATTGCGGGCTTTTACCTTTTAGCCCCGGTCCAATCTCTTCCCTGCGTTCCGCATTCATGACATCGAGCCCACCGATACCCTAATACGACCCAGTTTACATTCTGGCAGTGTATACCTAGGTATCCTAGGTATTCTTAGGTCCCCGGACCCATGTCCAGGGCCGAGAGTTAGTATGTATCGGGATTTTGTGTTCCTCTGTTCTGTTTTCTGTTTTCTGGTTTCTGCTCGAATTGAGGGCAATTGGAGGGGGAAAGTGTGCTTTCCTTCAGCTATCTTTCTCCTGATTAGGACTAAGTTAGTCGCTCAGTTACTGACGCGTCGGATCTTCATCGAGCTAAAAGATTTTCGTCTCGATTGCAACCGTTGCCTCTTTCGTTGTGTACTCCGTACACGGGACAACTCACGGTATGGCTCTTTGTATCAAATGCCCCACTTCTTTCCATAGAAGTAATTAAGTATAGCTTGAAAGCAATCTCCCTGAATTTTTCATTACTTGCCTTTTTTCTTTTCCTAGTACCGTGTGTTTTGTACTTGTTGTGTGGCTTCCAATGTCTTTTTCGATTTACTAAAGTCCCTCTCTCATCCTCTTCTCACCTTTCGCACATTCCGGCATCCAAAGGTTGGCGTCTCACCAAACGTCCCGGGCGTGCTCCCTGTATAGCCTCACGGCAAACAACCCCCCAAAGGTACTATTGTCGAACATTGGGCATCACCTTCCGCATACCTTGTAGCTGCACCGACAGCCTCGGCCTCAGCCCTACCCGCTTCCCGTCGCTGGTCAGCCAATCCATTCAATGCTGTCGGGGTAACCGCCTCTCGCGAAGTCGTCAGTGGGCACCGCATCCGCTCTTCCCTCCTCGACTGGTCCAGATTCACCCGAGATGTACTATATCCTCTACCTGGCGAGTAAGTAGCTTGTCCCGCATTGCGTCTCCACCCTAGAAGCCTAGCTGCACTAGGGAATGACATCAAACGGCCCTATCAATCCCGATCTCACCAGCAAAGAAGAAACAAACCCAATTAACAAAATTAACAGGCCTCTGCCGCCGCCGCCGCTGGCCAGAACCAACCTACGAAGCTTACACCACAACTGGCGGGTACACATGCGTGGCGCGGGTCAACAACCGCGAATACCAAACAGACAGCATCCACGAATCCGAGACCCTAGCGCGCGAAAACGCAGCCATGCGCGCGTACCTGATCTGCCGCAACTTTTCCGTCAATGACGGCATGTACCCGAGTGGCCACAAGCACGGCGGCGCTGTGCAGGGGATACCCGTTGCCATTGGCACGGGACGCAAGGCCAGCCGCGATGATGATACTGATACCTCTGTCAGTAGTGGGGGGAGCTGGAGCGGGGAGAGCAGTCCCGAGCGGATGATGAGGTTGGATGCAGAGGGGCAGGTTGTAGTTCCTGCGAGTGTGGCAGGGAGAGTGCTTGATTATGCACGGGAGTAAGGTAGTGGAGGTTTGATTTGGTGGTTTGTTGGGGGGCGAAGATGGTGTGTTTCAAGAATAGGGAAAGTGGGGGTGACGACTTTACGGCTTATGATGATGCTTTTTTTGCGGCTTCATTTGAGATTATTGTGAGCTTTCATAGATGAAAACGTGTATCTGTTGAATAATGCTTTGATCGTGCGGGCTCGAGCCATGGCTGTGCTTGGACTAATGGTGCATAGATGGTGGATTGGTATCGAGCTTCAAGATTGTGCCCTTTGAAAATTTGCATCATTTGGAGGTCAGCGGTCAATCATTTTATGCGACTGTGTGGATCTCTCAAGTGCTGTTGAAATGACCTGGAATGATTTTCATCTTCATTTAGCGTGGCTTGTTGATTGATGGATATTCCGATGACGATGTTATGAACTTTCCTAAAGTTGTTCCAGAGCTTGACTATTAGTCAAATACATTCATTTATTCTCTCATGGTCGACTAAATGGAAATGGCTCACTTTTTAGCTCAAAACTTAGCAAGACGTGAATAAATTAGAGCGAGGAAACATTTGTACGTTTCACGATTAACATCGTCATTCAAGACCCAGACTTGATGAGTTCATAGCAACTAGTCAAGCACAACAACGCTAGGCCAACATTTGAGCAGGCCCCATCCGGCGACATCGAGCTTGCACATCAGCGCGTCAAATCCTCATAACATCCTTTTGTACAGCCAATTGTTTTTAACTCAGCCTTGGGTCCCCACAGGAAGTCAAGCTAGGCAAAATCTTAGAAGAAGCATAGATGACGCCGCTGTTGTAAATGTGAAGACTGATCTCATATCTTAGTTCCTGACTGAGCCAGACCTCAAAATACTACAGGTCCCGCTAACTTGACCTTCAGATTAAAGCTGCCTATGTCTCGTTTTCGTTTACCTGTTGTGACCCCACGGTAAATTTGGCGTTCTGTAAGTGAAACGCCATGTACACCACTTTCAGCAAGGTGAAAATCCTCGCAATGTTTGTCTTCCAGTCATGCCTACACAAAGATTCTACATTCAGCCCCGACAGCGCGCTTGAGTCGCAGGATGTCTGGCTTAGCTTCCTTTCTCTACAATCCCAAGTATCAGCCTAAACGTCTAAGATACGGCGAATATTCATATTTGACAGAGACATGAGTAAATATATCTGTTGGGAATTCACTTGCAATTTTGTAGGCTTCGAATCGTTCATTTGTTGATACACACTACGCAAGTGGGTTGCCGGCGGCAAGTGCATGCGTATCTTGTTCCAAAAATCCCGTGCAAATATGATGAAGATAAGTAAGGAGATTAAATTGACGAGGGTGTTGCTTCAGCCTTTACGCGTAACCAAACGATGAGGAATATTTGGCAGCGGTGTGAGACACGAAAAAAATATACAGATGACCTCTCATGTATAATGTGGGACAGACGAGCAAGATGTTGGAGGTAAGGGTGCCTGTCGAGTACATAGAAGCAACCCCTGCAAGGCGATAAAATAAATCACATAGTTTCATCTAAAACAGCAAATATTAATCCGTGAATAAATATAACTACCACATAGCCATAGCAAGATAAGCTTTCACCAGCCCCAGACACCGCCACGATAGCACAAAGTCCGCCACTCGTCTGACATGACGTCATGTCGCCGATCCAGCCAAGGCAGCACAAGATGACATCGGAAGTTGTTGCTGTGCCTGGACCTAGACTTGGATTTGGCCTAGCGGTGTTGACCGCGCACACCCGAGCTTCTCCACATTTTATTGAAACGCCTCTGCGTCATGAAGTGATCGCGCATCACTTTCCCTCCCCCTTCCTTCCTCGAACTATCCATGGATGTCCTCTACCCGCAATAGCAACAATACCGAGTGAAAGACATACCAATAAACCAATTTCACGATGCGTCACGCGACGCGAAACTGCGGGGCCCTTGTGTCGACGGCAAGACACCAGACGCGCCGTGTTGGAGTACACTCGTTAGTTGGCAGATCGGGGACAATGACTTTCGGAGGGTGTCGCCAATTACACCTGCTCTCAAATGGTGCATTCGAGCAGAATACCCCCCTTGGGTGGCGGTTATCGACCTCAACGACATTATTCAGACCCAATGTTGGAGCTCTTGGGCAGCTTGGACAGACTCAAACTCGCTTCTTCAAAAAAGCGAACTACATCGAGAGAATTGGCGATAATGAAAGGACCGAAGACGTCCTTGAGGCACTCGAGGTCAGGGATGATGAGCCGGACACAAGACCTTCACCGAAAGTACTAGGCGCCAATGGAGAGAAGCCATCTACTGAGCACCAGGATGCCAAATGGTCCGAAGACATGACCAAGGGTAAGCAGCACTTCATGGCAGCGCAATATTCACCAGCTAACCGTAACAGGGAAAATGCTAACGACCCCATCCCGACTTTTCAAAATGATCATCCCTTTAACCACCGTCAGTACACGCGGCGACAAAGGTAAAACCTGCCCTCGCGCATCTATACCGCAATACCAAGCTAATCAAACCCAGGAATTGAACCAATCGCCATACTCATCCATCCGCATCAACCACTCTCTTACCTCGAGCGCCTCATTCAATCCGAAATCCCCCCAATCGAAGGTGAAAGAGAAAAACTCCGCCCACCGGCCATCTCATTCATCGCCTTACAACACGAAGATAACGCAATCAAGCCTCGCAAGCGCATTGAAGATGATCTGAGCGATACAAAAGGCGAGAATTCAGACGGAAACAACAAGAAGCCCATCAAACGCCGCCGGTCCCGTGATGAAGATGCAGAGACCTACAGCTACCCCCGCAAGACTGACTCCAGCCTCGACTCTCTAAACGGGCAACCCGAGCGATTCGTCAGATGGTCTCAGGCTACCGAAGTGGGTGATTTCATCCGCGACGCTTCCCGCGCACGAGAGTTCATCGTTACAATCGAGGGCGCGCCTGAGGGACTAGGTCAGATCCGGGTAACTGTACCCTCATTCCACGAACGGACGTATTTCCTGCGTCTCCGACTGCGGAAACTATCTCGCCGAATCCAAGGGATCGCAGATATAAAGCATACGTGTGACGAGCTCGCGCACCGCGGGGCGCAGCGCGTCGCGATGGGTGGATTCGGTATTCTCGCTGTTTGGTGGTATAGTGTATACAAGTTGACCTTTGAGACGGATCTGGGGTGGGATACCATGGAGCCCGTTACATACTTGGTCAGTTTGTCCACGCTGATGGGAGGCTATTTGTGGTTTTTGTACCACAATCGGGAGATCTCCTATAAGTCTGCATTGGACTTTACTGTCAGTGCGAGGCAGAAGAAGCTGTATCAGTTGCATAATGTGGACTTGCAGCTTTGGGAAAATTTGATTGACGAGGGCAAGTCTCTTAGGAGGGAGATTAAGAGTATTGCGGCGGAGTATGATGCTGAGTGGAATGAGAGGGCGGATGAGCAGGATGAGAGAGTCACGGAGGCGTTGAGATCCAGGAAGGAGGAGAAGGAGGACAAGAAGAAGGACAAGAAGGATAAGGATGATGAAGATGAAGATGATTGATTCATTGATTGAGTGGAGGTAACGGGTTGAGATGTCATTCTGGTTTAGATCTGGTTTCTCTCTTTCTACATCGAGTTCATAGCGCTTTCGGATTTCTTTGTAACTATTACTAGCATCTCACTTCAAATATTCCTAGAACAACCCGATACTTTTCTTCTCAAATGCCAATAAACAATTAGAACCAAGTCACACCTAACAACCATTACAACGTTCCATTCCGCACAGGGTCATAGTACCCTTTCTTCGGCGGAGTCGTTTCCTCGGCCTGTTTTTTCCCTATTCCCAGAACCCCCATTAGCTCCATCCATCAACCAACATATATCTCAATAAAACAAGACGTACCATCAGTAACAGCGCCACTCTCCCCCTTCCTCCGATTACGATTATTGCGCACATCCCTCGACCGAAACACACTATACAGCAACCAACCAGCAACCCAGTTTGGCCCGTACTCGCCATTAGTACCGCCTAGATCGAATAGTCGTCGCGTGAGAGTACTGGCATTACGCCAGATCTCCATGATTGCGTACCGCTGGTGGTCGGGGCGGATGTGGTGCCAGAAGAATGGGGGCCGGGTGTTTGGGTCGGCGCGGACGCTGTCGAGGAGATGGGAGGTGTCTTGGTTCATGCGGTTGTATACCACGATTGCTTCGTCCTGGGGAAGTTAGTTTGGTTTGAGGTCTGAGGAAGTGTATCTAAGGTACTGAGAAGATACTTACTCGCATGGCGCGGTAGAATTGCTCGTCTTGTGGATTGTGCGCACTAAGATTCAGCGCGTGCATGAATTCCTCTTTTGAGACTCGTGGGCCGACGGGCGCCATGGTAATTGTGATGGTGCGAGATGTAGTATACGTTATGATCTCAAATGCTTGCACAAGCCTGCTGCTGTGCTAGGGAGACCGGGATGCCGTGTACACTGGATCAAGAGTATAACTTGAAGGACCGCTTATTAAACTTAGAGATATGAATAAGAAAGTGTTTGTGTGGAATGAAATCTTTTTGCCCTCCAAGATCCACACCCTTTATATCGTGGTCTACCCCCGGTTCATAAGCCCAACGACGATCTCATTCAACGGTCGCTAGTGCCGTGACTTGCACACGGCCGTTGGGAAAGTCAAGGGTGCAATGCAATCAGATCGTCCAGCGGGACGAAGCATGACGAACGGACAAAAATCAATCGAGCGAGTGGGTAAGTCGAGGCGAAGGACAATGCAGACGAGCGCTGTTCGTCATGGGTAACAAGGAGACACTCGGGATTTACCAGGTAGATGATTAGCCTCGGGAAGGAAATTGCATAACCCCAGGCTAGAAAATTGAAAAGTAAAAAAATCAAATTAGATCTAGGTCGACTGGAAAGGGTGTGGCAGAATTAAGCTCACCCTGTCTCTTGCTGTATTCGGGCATTTGAACTATCTAGGATTTGCATCGATGCGTCTACAAGTTCTGTGGCTTCTCTTTGGCTGTGCAGGTTGTACAATGTGCCCGTTCGTCCATCGTACACCCGATGGCTTCCAACCCCAGCCTATTTACATCGGACTGGGGTTTTTGTAAGAGTTGGAGGGGTAGTTTCTGGCTTCATGCTGCTTAGTGGTAAGTATAGGAGGGCTATATCATAACGTGTCACTATGACCGTATGTTCCCATGACCATAGAAAAGGAAGGAGTATGAAAACTGGCAAACGGAACTCTACCGAGGACATAAGCTCGATCTGGGGGTAGTACACCCTTTCGCCAAGGTGGACTCGGAATCGATACAAACATTGCATCATTAGACATAGCTTCGGGTCGAGGGCTGAATGCTGTGGATAGGCGAATGCGGGAGGCTTTCAAGGGAGACTTCCCGAGAGCCAGTCTACTATCCGAGACAGACAGACGGGAGGTTTATGTAGACTTGGATGCAGGGGGGTCTTCGAGCCAAGTATACCTCTAGGTATAATCAAATTTGTAATCCAATAAGTCAATAATCTTACAAAGCTGCACCCGGGGGCTGTATGCTTCTATCCGTAGCATCAGAAGAAGTAACCCATCGGGGCCACATCAGAATAAGCACCATCCTCGAGTTAACCTATCTGATTAACGCGCGCTAATTACTGCATGGCAATGTTCTATATTTAGGATAGCTGAAACAACCATTAATCTCCCCTTCATCTCCAGTAACTAGAGATGATCCCAAAAGGGCAGGAACCAGTATCGGTCTGCGGCCCAGGAGCCATGTCGTGTGACGCACCAAGCCGCGCTCAGACAAAGATCGAATTGAAATCCGACACTTAACAAAGCGACCAGTCGTACATCTGTATCGGAAATGATGCCTCCACAAAAACCGTGCTGTACGGCCAAAGCATGCATGAAATGTGAGGGAACTGACAACGTCCTATCCCAAGACACCGTGACTCAATCTCGGCCTCGTTCGTAGACCCATTTAACCAGTCCCAAAAAGGCAGGACACAGAGCCCCCCGTCTAACACGACCACATGCGGTAAGGGCGCAAGACAAAAGAGCCGAAACCACAACGTAGATAAATCTATCTCTCCCGATCTAATAGTTACAGACCACATTCCTGCAACCAGAGGATCATTCATTCCCCGTCCTGGTACGAAGCACAAGAGCCATATGTCTCCAGTCAGTCTCGAGGGGGGGGGGGGGGGGGACCCGGCATAGAGAAAGAAAAAAAGTGACAATAGCCACTAGGGAGACAGAGGGGTAAACGGGGTGACACAGGCTCACAGTCCCTTTCGGAGTTTTTTTAGTTTTACTTTTGGAGAAAGGCATAATACTCAATCGCCCGTCGAACAGATTGCGGATGTCACCATGGTAAACACGAGGCTGCGACACATCGTCCGCAGCCCCGTGGTTGCGATGCGTGTTGCCGAGAGTGACGCTATGCCAGAGTATCTTCACTTGATCGTTCGAGAAAGTTACCGGTAATCTCACTCGGATAATCTGAAATGCCTATTTTGAGGAATTATAGAGGTGTGAGCTGTGAATTGCCGCCCGAACTTCCGTCCTCGACTGGCTAGGATGCAGGTCTCCTGGTCTCCGTTTTCAAATCGCCCCCCAGGCCATACATAGCTTGAGGTGTGGGTCTGGGCTCGGATGGAGATGCAGCTTTCCTCGGGGAAGCTGGGAGCCCTTCGGTACCCCGGTTTTTCCAGGTCATTCGTTTGATAGAGGCTCTAGCGTAGATCCACACTCAGGTCGGGCATCGACGTTGATGGAACGCGTCTGTGGTTGTATGGCGAGCTGCTGGGATGTTGAGTGGTGCATTGGGTCTAGATCGAGATAAGATTGAAAAGGTGGAGTCAGATAGAGACCTCAATATATATATTAAAAAAAAGGATATATCCACAAAGAATGTAACATGAAACGGCTGAGACTAACCTTGATACAACCGATTGATCTCCACGACCATCTGCGCCACTGCGGCTCTGTGGGAGTCGATTCAAGCTTACCGAACGACTCTTGGACCCGCGGTGGCTTGAGGAAGCTTTCTGAGGCACCAATCGTCGCACTGGCTGCATGATGTCAGTGGATCAGGGCCTGGTCTACGTGATCTATGCACGTCTTCGCGCTTAATTTCTGCTTCCCGATGACTCCCCTCCCGAATTTGTGAGAGTTACGATAAAGCTGAATCTCTCGAAAAAAGGTAAAATGCAGGATGTGGAGGAGATAGCCAGGTAGTAGCACTCGGATGCCGTTCAATACTCTTCAAATCCCTCTGGAAAAGTGCACTGTCGCGAGTTCCCCGCATTTCTCAGGCTGACCGTACCTGAGGGTAGCCACAAACAGTCGAGCCGAGGCGGGTTTGTATGTACGTCAAGAAAGCAGAAATTGGAACAAAACAAAGGTCCTTGCAATGCTCCATCCGTCGCTAAAAAAGGGAAGCAAACTGCGAGCCGCTTATTTCTTCGTGGGCTCTTCCTTTTTTTCCTTCTCGTCCTTGGGCTTGGACTCTTCCTTCTTAGGCTCCTCCTTCTTGGGTGCCTCCTTGGATTCTTCCTTCTTGGGTTCTTCCTTCTTGGGTTCTTCCTTCTTGGGCTCCTCCTCCTTGACCTCCTCGCCGTAGTACCTGCGCAGGAACTTCTCGACCTTGGCGTACTCAACCTTGACTTCCTTCAAGGTAGTGGCGATCTTCTTGAAAGAAACCGTCTCATCGGGCTCGTCTGTGGAGCCGGACTCATCCTTGCCGGCGCCGTAATGCTGGATCTTCTCGCAAGCGTCCTTAACGTTGGTCAAGCCCAGTGTGGCCGAAGAGCCCTTCAGGAAGTGACCGAGCTGTGAGAGCTCCTCGAGCTTTTTATCCTTCCTGATGGATGTTAGAGTGGACCTGTGTTGACAGGCCAGGGAAACATACAGTGCGTTCTCCATTTTTTCAAATGTGTTGTGCGCCTGGTCGAAGAAGCCGTAGACGATGCCCTTGCTGAAATCACGGTCGTCGTCATCATCCATTTCCAGGATCTGCTCGAAAGTGCTCTCATCGATAAGTTCCTTGACATCAGAGAGCTTCGGAGGAGTGCTCTTGGGCTGGTCATCTGGTCAACATATAATAAGCGCGAAGAGAAAGGTGGTGCATACCGCCTCGGCCCTGGGTTCAGTGGGAGCCATGTCTTTAATGTGGGGGAGTAGATAGTGTGAGGGAAGGATCAACTAGTGCACAGCACGGATCGTCGCGGTCGTGGAAATCGAACTCCGGTTGCCCGATCTGACACTGAGTCCAAATCGAGGAGCTCGACAGATCTGTGTAAGTTTAGTCAGCCACAGTTAACTCCAGTTGAAAGACACATCTTGAGAGGTGCATAGTGAGGTGTCAGATCGGCTTGGAATGTGATCCCGGGCTGGGATTACGCCCCCGCTTCATTTCCGATAGAGAACCGTCGAACCGTCGAATATGTCCCTTATTAAAGCGAAGGGTGTTCTACAGATCGAACGTGAGGTGGTGAAAGGTCACAAGGGCGGCAGGTATGATGCTGATCCGGGCCAACGCACAGGTCAGGGGGATAATGGGACAAGCCACCGAGGGACAGGCCGGGTCTTGGGGATTCTTTGAAGCGGGCCAGTCCAACCGGAAGGAGGGGCGAGAGGGGACCGGCTTACTGTGGGAGACCGCAAGCCGAGGGAACAGGGTTGAGGGAGATGAAGAGGGAAAAGGGGAGTAGAATGAGGAAGTGTACAAGCCCTGATAAATCAAGGCTTGGCCCATACTCACGCGCCTATACTCTCGCCCGTCACGGCGGGGCTTCAAGCTGCGAGGAAGAGACCAGGGATCCCACACGGAGGGGAAAATGAGAACGCGCGAGCATGAAAAAGGAAATAAGAAACGGGTCGAAGATAGGACCCCAATTCAAACAAAACGAGGGCCCTTTAATCGGGTATCGCGTGTAGAGGGAATTTTATGTCCGGGCTAAAATGGGCAAGGAGGGGCAGAATGTCAAACGCAGATTGGAGTTCATCCCACCTTTCGTGTTCGGATCTGTTCAGGAAGCTCAAAGCTTCTCACGGCAACCTGGGTATCTTTTTATGGTGGTTCTAGGAGCAGGGAGGAGGTTCAACCACGCCGGGAGAGGACACGCGAAGGGAGGAAGGGAAAATGGGGTTAGCGAGGAAAGGGGAGGGCGGAGAACGTTTAGGTGGGTAATTATCGCGGCCCTTCACAAACCGAACGAGCGGAGGACAATGAATCCTGTTCCCCCGCCCTCCTTCCTTCATCTCCTTGCTATTTTAGCTGATTGAAATTTCTTGCTTACTCGTGACCACTAATCTAGAGGGAAAAAACCCTCCATAGAACAAGTTCGTGGCTTTTCCACTGGCGGAATATCTGACGAGGCCTTCTGTATACTTGGGAACTGTGCGCTAACGCGCATCTGGAATCATGTCTTGTACCCGGAATTTCTAAATTTTTTTCTTAATCTTTTTGGCTTTTTGGGAAATGGGTAAGCCTGGATCATGCAGGGTGTCCGAACAACTGTATCCCTTCAAAGGTTGCCGATTCCCGGTGACCCCCCCCCTCCTCCCTCAACGGCATGTTTAGACCGTAACCCTCTTTTTCTTCCAGGACGCTGGACCCTGCCCGCCAGGGAACGTGAAACCTGAATTTTAAATTCTGAAGTCAAGGCTGCCAGTGATCACGACCATCCGGATAGCGTCCACCACTAGCAGCAGTCAGTGGAGCGAAAACGACAAAACCCGGGCCTTCGCTCCACCGGGAACCAAGTGAGCTCTGAGATCATTTCCCCCCCAGGCCCCTGCTGTATGGGTATATTTGGGTACATGGATAGTGGGGAAGAAGCAAAAAAACCAGGCTACCAAGTAGGAATCGCCGACGAAGCGACAGTCTAAACCAACTGGGGCCAGAGATCTGGCAGCGGGCAGGGGGTGTAGCCGCAAAACGACATCATCGGGGCGCCGATCCCAGCCCAGGCACGTCATTCGCTTCTCCAGTCTGTGACGTTTGGTTGCCATATCCCGAACCGCACGTGGAACCAACAACAGCACAAGGCTAACAGCAAACACAGACCATCTCCACTTGAGTCTTAAGTCGTTAGATAAGAAGAAGAAAACGGTCATACAGGCCATTCTAGGTAGAAGAGTGGGATCGGTGTTAGTATTTTTTTTTGGTTTCGGTTTTTCTCTCTTTTTTCTTTTTTTCTTTGTCTCTTTTTTTAGTAGTAGTCGCAGCCTCAGAGGGCAAGTGTGGGAGGCAAATGAGCCGCTCCCAAACAAGATCAGTGTTAAAATGGATTAGACCGCAAACCGCGAGAACCTGACCCAGTTCAGTGGATGGTCTGGGCCCTCGTCATCCAAGGCCAGCAAACCGGAAGGGCGTTTCCCTTCCCACCTGAACCGTGTCAGGTTGCATAGTTGCATGATCTCTGAAGTGGTCAGTGTGGGTACGGCATGTTTTTCTCCCTACGAGCTGGGGGCTGGTCGGATCGGGTTCGCGCCAAAGGGGTGCTGGACCTAACACACGAGCCATTGTGCTGTCACCGATGACGATACTGGGTGGAAATGAACGTTTTGGCGGGATCGCATCCCGAGAGTATGAATTGTCGACATTGACTTCTATTGAACGATTTGATGACTTCTGGGACCCAAATCGTCCAGAAAGGAAAGCATTCGTCCACATGCGAACTCACGCCGACTCTTTTTGTTTATATAGCAATGGGGGCTTCATGCTCATCGTGGCCTTCTCCTGGTTTTTCGCGTGAGGTGGTTCGCCCCGAGTTCCAGAAACCAATCATAAGGCCCCAAAGCAGCCATGACATCACTGCGGAGCGGCCCACCGATGTACGCAGCCTCTGATGTCATTTGTGTCATTCGTGTAATCTGTGTAATGGAAATATACGAAAATATGCATCCGAAATTACGCCTTGACTACTCCGGGGTCATGTTGTTCCTGCCCGTCTACTTCCCTGCCCTTTCCGAAATGCACGCCGACATCATGATTCTAACTACGTTTATAATTGTGATTATGATCATGATGATGATGATGATGTCGGGCTGCAGATGACCGTACGACCTAGGGACCTTAGTACATTGTACTAAGAGGGGCGCACCCGGGATGTGCGACGGACCTCAATCCTCGGTCGTACACAGTTACGGCCCTGGTGGAGTCGGCAAATATTGTAAAGGGACGTAATTGCTGTGCTATCGGCAATAGCAGCAGCCACACCCGCAACGGCCACAATGGCTTCAACATTCCGATCCTTGATTAGCACTTGGGCACCCTCCAACGAATGCCTTCCTCAACGGGGCCACCGAGCTACCACTTCACAACCTGGGACCAAACAACATGATCAAGACGCAGATCTAGCAATTTGGCCCCGCCGATGTTTGCTATTCATCCCAATACGAGGCGACAGGGTGGTGTCGGCCCCTAGTGAAAATGGGGACTAGATCGTGCAGGGGTGGGTAAAACACTACACACCTGGGATATTGTCCGCGCAGTGTAGAGGGGAAGTCTTCCGGTTGGTTCCCTCGGCCAAGTAGCCCATACTGTAACTAATAGATAGTCGTGGAGGCCAGCAGAGACTAGCAGATGCCAACAGTGGCCAGCAGAACTAGGTAAAATCCGCAAATAGGAACACGAGGTCGGCCCTGAACCACGCCCCCGGCAGAAGGTAGGTTTGAACTACTGTACTCAACCCAAATGCGAATAGCATGACACCTCTAGGGGCTCCGCAAAGCCAATGACTAGGCCCAGTTAAAATGAAGGCAATCTGTAACTTGGAGCTCGCCCTCCCCCACAAGTTCTCAGCGGCTTCTGGAATGCTTATGTAAGGACCCGAGGTCCCTTCCCATTCAACAAAGTTGAAGCTTAGTGAATTCCCAACAGACTCTCCTCGACCCTACTGGGCTTCAATTGACCTAGACTCGACGTCGCAATCAATCCATAATCACACAAATCCGTCTGTCTACTCGTCGACAACCAAGATGTCCTCCTCTGCGCCCACGGGGCTCACAAGAGCCTACCTCTTCACCTACAACACCCTGAACCTCCTCACCTGGGGCAGCTGCGTAGTCTATGTCGCCAGCCTTCTCCCCCGCAGCCATCACGAACAATAAGACCCCTTCAATCTTCAATGAAACGTTCAACCCTCTCCTACTTACCCAATCCCTCGCCATCCTCGAAGTCGTCCACAGCCTAATCCGCCTCGTGCGCGCGCCCTTTGTCACAACCGCAATGCAAGTCGCCAGTCGCCTGCTGTTAGTCTGGGGAATCATGGCACCCTTTGGCGGCGAGATCGTCGGCAGCAGCAGCACCCAGCTCGGCGACTACGCGTACCTGGGCTGTGTCGCGGCTTGGGGAATTACGGAGATTATTCGCTATGGATTCTTTGCGATTACGCTTTCTGGGAACAGTGTGCCGAGCTGGTGGACTTGGTTGCGGTATAACACTTTCTATGTGCTGTATCCGATTGGTATCTCGAGCGAGTGTACGCTTATTTTCAAGGCTCTGGGACCGGCCGCGGAGATTGATCCGTTATTCCGGTGGGCTTTGATTGCTATTCTGGCTATTTATGTGCCTGGTATGTTTTCTTTTTCTTTTTAATTCCCTTAGGAGTGCTCTGTGATAGGGTTCATGTTTTGCTGACTTTTTTCTCACTTGTTTCTAGGCTCCTATGTGCTTTATACCCACATGATTGCGCAGCGCCGAAAGGTTCTTCGCGGAAAAAAGCGTACAGATTAGATCTGAGGCGGTAGGTTCCCTGAAGCGCTGTGCTATTTGCTGGAGAAAATGAGGAAAGGGGTGCTCCTATGGATATTGACCTCGGTGCAGGGGTCATTGTATTGAATATCTGACTGTATAGAATATTCCAGGTTCATCACATAGTAGGACTGTGTGTGATATCTTTAATGAAGTCCAAGCTGATTACGAGGCTACTGGGTCACTTGGAACCTCCAGACCGTAACTCTATGATTACCGGGGCTCTTGATATTGAGCTGTAGAGCTCTGGAAGCTCGAATATCAGAGAGAAAACCAGAAAATCGAACATCTAATTGTGTCCATCATAATTGCAGCCAAGATGGACCTTTATAACCAGCTACCCAACCCCGTTAGCAAATGAGACTTTTCTCATAAATCCCGCATAATATCTTGTACAGCCTTCGCAGCAAATCTCTTCCTCTGAGCCTCCGGCATATCAGCGCTCATATCTAGAATACGATCAGCACAGCCCAGTCCCAAGTTACACAACCAACATACCTCGTATCGACTGCATGCGCAGCATCAGCGCCTCGATGGACTCAACCTGATCCTCCTCCTCCTCCCCCTCATTCTCACCCTCGCTATCGTCATGTCCATCCCCACCACGCTCAATAGCCATCCGCAGGCCAAACATTTCACGCTCCAACTCATTGACTTCATCCCCGAAACCTCGCGAGTGTGATTTATCACCACTCATAAATTCATCAAAGTCATCATCCATATCAAGCTCGTCGACGTCGAATGAATCCCCGGAAGCTGTCCAGTCGTGTGTTTCGAGAACTTCTTTGATACGGGGCATGCCCTCGTACTCTATACACCATTAGCGCCTCTCAAGAAAATTCCTCTTCGAAAAAAAAAGAAATAAAGAAAAAAGCAAAAAGAAGGAAATAAATACCTCCAAACTTATTCCTCGTAACTTCACCACCCTGCTCTGCAGGATCCCACTCAATAACCTCCCACCCAAACAACCCCATATCAAACATCTGGTCCTCCCACCAGCCAACCGACAACGGTGCCGCATCTTCCCCAAGCTCATCATCCCCAACACCTAATCCCAACTCATCCTCGGCCATAGCCGTAGCCGTAGCCGTAGCCGCAGCTTTGGCCGTACCTGACGCACTCTTCTTGCCTCCAACAAGAACAAGAAGACCAGGAACATCCCCCATCCCACCCCTCTCCTCATCAATAACAGACTTCACAGCCCCAACATCACGCATCAACTCGCGCACAGCACGCACATCCTCCCGATCCGCAATATCCGTATCTCTATCAGTAGGATTCGAGCTCAGTTCCGGCGCATGCACGCAAACAACCAATGCGCCGACTGCTTCGCGCACAATCTCGGCTTCACCGCTTAGGAACTCTGTGCGCCATTGCGTTGAGCTTTCTGTTTTCTCGAGGAGCGGGATCTCGTCGACCCATAGAGGGACTTCGGCAGTGTAGTATTTTGTTGAGAGGCGGAGGGGGCTGTGAGTCGTGTAGCCTGCGAAGGAGGTTGTTTGTGTAGTAGGTGCTTCTTTGGATTCGGGTTCTTTTTCTTGCTGCGGAGGGTTGGTAATAGGGACGCCGGTTAAGGAGTGTAGGAGGGGTGGGATTGTTGTTAGGGATTGGGTTGTTGGTGTTAGGATCAGGAGACGGCGGGGGTTCGTGATGATTTTGACTTTTGGTTTGTCCGCGGGTGCAGAGGTCAAGGGTGTTGTCATTGTGGGATATTTGTTTGATCTCGATGTCGTGGGAAGGATAGTGGTCGTCCTGAGGGATGGCTGGTGGGGTGTAAAGAAGGAAGCTCCCCGCATGAGCGAAAAATGCTGCGGAGATGCGACGAGTCCGACAGGTTATCAGTATGACCTTGCTATTACCACAGCGTACTATATTTAGGTGTTTTCTATACGAAAGCATTCTCAGGTTTTCCTGATCTAAGGGATTTTATTACAATCTTGATGTATATTCGTGTGGCTCTGGGCACAATGGCTCTCCCGCTACCAAGGCAAGAAAGCCCTCCTCCTCAAGCTTGAGGCACGCTCGATGCAACGATGCCACAATCTTCCCATAATCATACTCATACGTCTGGGAGAGCTTCAACCGCCATGGAAGTAAAGACATCCGTCGATTCGGGTATTCATTCATGAATGGGAAGATACAGTCCTCGCGGACAAATGCCCAGCGCAGCACGGAAGCCCTCGAAATTTCCTTTGATCCTTTGAAAACGCAAAAAGTATAAACGCCAACCACTAGAAGCTGCTCTTGAAACTGCGCTCTCTAAGTTCATTCAACCTCTCCGTGTCTGGCCCCGCGCGCGCTGCACAGTAGCCTTACCACGGGCCAAGCCGACACCGCGTCCGCGCACGCCTCGTGAGCGGAACATGGGAGCGTTCCTGTGAGAAGAAAGAAAACAAGTCAGTTCCACTGATTGGGTTATGGGGACGGACACAACTGAAGCCACAAGCAATTCAATTGACCGGCTGTCCACGTACCTCAGCATGTCCGGCACGATGAAGAATCGCACATGGCTACCGCGGATGTAGACCTGGTCGAGATGCGAAACGCGGCCGTCGCGTGCTGTGACGGTGATATCCTTCAGCTGGACGTTCATGTTGTCTTCGGCTGTGAGAGGATGACAAGTTAGCGAGATTCAACTGGCGCGGGTTGAACAAGTTGAATAGTCGATGAAAGACCAATCGCCCTCTTCAACATCAGAATGTATCAAGCGTCTCACGCACCTTCCAAAAGTTTCCCCCGGTAGACGACACCGGATGTGATCTCGAGCGTCACGACGTGGCCCTGCAAGGTGAAGTTAGCGGTCTGCGCACGCGATCCAGACAATCCCCCTTCAACCAAGAATTGTATCCATTCCACTAGAAGCAGAAAGCACAATAGTCCAGCAGAGAGCAAGAACACACCTGCGCTTCGTTCAGGAGCTTGATCGGGATACCGATCGTGCTGGTGAGCTTGCCCATTTCAACGGCGGAATGTGCGACACGAAAAGGAGGATTCGCTTCGAAAAGGCGAGTACAATATTGCCGCGACGATCGAAGCTGTCTGATCGCGATCGAGGAGAGGGAGACGAGGGGACGTGGCGGGTGGTGGGACGACGATGGAGTTGGAGGATCGAAAGGCGAGTTTTGCGGCCGAGCTCCCTCCTTTCCGCTTTGGGCGTCAGACCCATTCTACAATCTTTACTTCACCAGAACTATAACCTTCACTCTACCCATCCCAGTCGTGGTCTAGGGTTCAAACCAAATAGAGAGAAAATGGCAGGCTCACCAAACTCGAACCTAGCAGCCTTCAACCTGGCCGTGCAAACCCTGCTCAAACAACCAGCCCAGTTCCTCCCACATCTCACCATCCCGACCATCACGCATCTCCCCGAAGAACTCGGTCCACACCTGATCACCAAAGGCACAGAAAAGCCTCCACGCACACCTAAAATCCGCGCCCTGGTCTTAGACAAAGATAACACCCTCTGTGCGCCCAAAACAACAACCCTCCGTCCGCAAATCCTAGCAAAACTCCAAGCCCTCCGTACATCCCCAACATCCCCCTTCCACCAAACTAGCAACCCACACTCAATCCTTATCGTCTCGAACCGTGCAGGAAGTCACCCTTCCTTCGAGAAAGAGGTGCACGAGCTTGAATCGCAGCTCGCGCATCTGCAGATCCCGGTGTTCAGGCTGCCGGAGGGGACAGGGAAGAAGCCGTTTTGTGGAGATGAGGTTGTGAAGTGGTTTAAGAAGAGAGATGTTGTCAAGTCGCCGGATGAGATTGCTGTTGTGGGGGATCGGCTAGGGACAGATGTGCTTATGGCTGGTTTGATGGGGTCATGGAGTGTTTGGACTAAAGAGGGCGCTTTTGAGGTTGGGGAGGAAGGAAAGCCCGATAGGAATATGTTGGAGAAGATGGAGGTTTGGATTGAGAGGTATCTGAGGGAGAGGAAGGGGTTGAGGGCGCCGACGCCAAGAGGATGGGAGTCGTAGGGTCAGGGTGATTGTATAATATTTGCATTGTGGACTACTTGTACGATAGGATAAGGTCCATAGATCAGTTGGCTAGTTGCATGTGTACTTATAGGGCGGATACGATACCACTACAGGCCCATGAATGAAGGACAAAAAAAACTGTTCAATTCGGAGCCTAGCGTCAATCTCCCTCGTGTACCGCCAGAGCAGCGCCAACTGTAGATGCCCCAAGATATTTCAACCCAGGGGACAGTCGAAGTAACGCCGTCATCGGACCCAAACAGGTGCCGACATGACAATGGAAGCGAAAAGGCCGACTCCAAACCCATGATAATCCACGGGGAATGCAATCCACACTGGAAAACATCTTGAAAGTCAAAAGTCACAAATCACACAAAAAGGAAAAGGGGAGAAAGATCATTTGATCAGGGAGTCGCCGTCCAAGTCGGTCTGTAGGGCATAACCACATAAAAGAAGATCCTGGCCAGTAAATCAAATATTCAAAAATATAGAGGAGTGGCCAGGATGAAAAAAAAAAAAAGTAAGAAAGAAGAAAAAGCGAAGAAAGAAGCAGGAATCGACCGGAACATCCGGAATTCCATGAAATTTAAAAGCAGAAAATCGCTGCAGGACCGGCCCCAGAAAAGAAAGGGTATTAATACAACGCACAAGACAGAAGGGATATATGTCACGCAATGAACAGAAATAGCAACCATTCCATCGGATTTGCTTTCCCAGTCATCGCCAGCGAGACGCGAGCTGTCCGAAGACGGAGTCAACAACCAGACCGAGATGGGGTGTTCTTTCCACTCAGTGCTAGTCACGGTCGACGAATCCATCCAGGGACAACAAGGAAGTCTCCGAGGTGGAACCAAGAACCAAAAAAAAAAAAAAAAAGCGCCACAAGCACTCCCAAGGCCGTGAAACATAAAAGATATCAGGAAAAAAAGAGCCTCAAATTTGAGTCCCGGGAGGTCATCTTGACCCTGTGGGCAGGCCCTGCGAGTTAATCTCGTCCAGGTTAACCATCCCGTGGGTGTAATCCAGCGCAGGAGACGCATGACCAGGCATGCCGTGCATCGGTAGCTCGAAAGAAGGAGCATCGTGCGAGACCGTGTAGTTGAAGTTATGCTTGGGGTACATATCATTCATGGAGAGGCCGTCCTCAGCAAAAGCAGACTTTTGATCGTGCCCAAATCCATACATGTCAGACGAGTGAGACATGTTGGAGAGCGGGGGAGAGTGGTTGGCGATCATAGGGTCGGCAGGACTCACGCCGGAGTAGGGTGATGGTGCGTGTGACCCGACGGTTGAAGAGTCTGGTGGTCCTTGCCCGTAGGGAACATTGAATTGAGGCGCCATGCTGGCGACGGGAGTCGAATCCCCATTAGCAGCACTGCTGAACATGGATGGACTGGCGAAGTCGGACGGCGACGCAGTGGTGGTTGCAGACATAGGGTTCGGGCGGAAGTCAAGACCGTATCCATCAGTGTCAATGCGCAGGTCGGTGGGCAGAGCGTGTGCTGACTGCGGGACTGGTGCATAGATGTGCGACTCGGTGTGGTTGAACGGAGCCGGTGTCTGCGGCATATGGAATGAGCTCATCGGACCCTGCAATACAGAGATGTCCACAGCTGCTGGCACCGAGCGGCTTCGCTGGCGCTTGTGTCCACGAGCAGCCGGCATGTTGAAGCCTAGGTGGTTGTGGTCCTGGTAAATATTCAAGTAGGCGGCGGGCTGGAAGTGGTTGGGTTGGGAGGCTGGGCGCTGGATGAAGGGTGGAGACATGGCACCAGGCACGGAGAAGTTGTTACCGTTGTTGCTGTTGTTATACGCAAGACGGTTCTGGAAAGATTCCAGGGAAACGAGCTTCGCGAGCTGAACGCTCAGAACTTTGGGGTGGCCTCCCAGGTGATGAACCATAATTTGACTGGCTTGCTGCTCCTCGGTGAAATCACCGCATTGATAGAAGCCACCAGAGTTGGACGAATCCATGTAGAACAGCGGAGGGCGGTTCAATTCTACCACCAGGCCACCAGGCCGGGGCGGTGCGCCATTGGGCCCAGGGTTTGGGTCTCCAGTCTCCAAGGTAATGTTTTTGATATGCGCGAAGGGGTATTCGATCTTGTAACCGGCAGAATCATTGTTGATATAGTAGGTCATGCAGGCCTTGTCGGGAGAATAGAAGACCACCAGATCCATAGCGTTCTGCCCAATGCGGCGCCAACTTCCAATAGTCAAAGACCGGCAGGTGAAATGAGAAATAACAACTTTGCCATTTGGGTTAGACTCATTGGCATACATGCTTGGTGTGCCGTACCCTACTGAGCGCCCGAACGGATCTTGGGTTCCCGGTTTAGTGGGATCGAATTGCATTGCAAGGTAGTGGCGCATCGAATCGGGAATCGAGTCGCAGCCCTCACCAGTCTCAATGCTCTTCTTCGCGAGCATCTTAATTTTGGCGCGTCGATTTTGGAACCAGATCTGAACCGATCGCTCGGTCATATTGATGTCCGATGCGATACGTTCCCGGGTGGCCGCAGTGGGGGTAGGGTTCTTGTTAAACTCGACCTCCAGGGTGACTAGCTGATCCTGCGTGGCGCGTTGGCGTTTGTTGTTCTTCTGCTGTTGAGTCAGAGTGCTCTTGCGCGGCGGACGGCGTGAGGCAGAGCCCGAGGCAACAGTCGTAGCAATCGAGGTGGACGGGGAAGGGGTGGAGTTTGGGGGCGACGATGAAGCCGTGGTGCCCGCGCCCGAGGGGTCGGGAGTTTCTGACAACGAAGACATATTGCGACACAATCCAGCAAGATATCGGCTGGAAAAATCAAGGTAATGAGAATAAAAGAATTTCGAAGAGTGGGTTTTGTTTGCGTATAGCGTAAACGTTTCTTTCAAAGAAGAGGTTCAATGTGTTGACGATCCGGCCGACGAGTGGAGATGCGGTGCAGAAAATGACGGATGGTCTTCCAAATCTTAGTCTCTCGAAGCAGCGTCAAGCGCGAGAGGTATAGACGAAAAGAGAAATGAACGAAATCGCTCTGGCGTAAGGAGATCGAATCGCGGTCGCGTTCACGTCAGAAACGGGGGGGGTTGGGTGGTAAGGGTCACGTCGCAGAGGCGTCCCAGTAAAGGAAGGAATAGAAAAAAAGGCTGGCCTATGCAGCTCTAGTATAAGGGCAATTGATCCTCAAGGATCGACCGTAAATCTTGACGAAGGTCGGACTTAGGGGAATCGCAATACCCGGGTTGAATCGATCAACTGGGGGGTCGGTTCGAGAACAGGTTCGGGAAACCGAAGAAATGAAGTGAGAGACGGGTAGAAAGAGCGGTCTAGGTCGTCGTTGAAAGAGTGAAACGAACGACCTGGCAAAAAGAAAAGAATGGGATGGCAAAGGGAAAGGGAAGACACACAAGTGTGAAGAGAAAGAGGGAGATCAGGAGATGCTGAGTCAGTATGGAGATGGGAGAACCGCCCGCGACTATTGGCACCTCGTGGGGCCGTTCAGTCGCTTTGGTCCGCCTCAAAACCACAAGGGCCTACTACATTCGTGTCTGTGCCTGCATCGGCGTCTGCGCCTTGTGGCTGTCTTTCCCCTCTCGGTTTCTACATTGCCCCTGCATCGCTCTGCATACAAACTTGCAGTCTGACTTTTCTTTCCCTGTTTTCGGCACTCCTTGCTCAACTTGGATCGTACAGATTACGTCTGTACTACGGTCTTTTTTTTTACTGTGCCAGTGTATGGCAACATGGAAGGATGGAAAGGAGTCCGCCCACGGACCTAGGTCATAGACATGTCCACCACCAGCTGCCGTGGGCATGGTGGCGTCCCCCTCAGTACCAAAGAAACCAGACAGACCACAGACACACTCAACCCTCTACCATCCATACACAATCGATCGTCGCCAAATGCCGCCGACCAGTAATCACCACGTGAGATCCGCGGGGATCTGAAACACCGGACCTATTTGTGACGGTTGACGCGTCGATTTAACTCTGTGCCAATGCCTCGGGCTGTGTGCCGTACATTTTCCTTATCACGAACGTAGCATCTACAAAAGCCCTTATGAAAAAAAGGAGTCCCAGGTCCCTGAAAAACACCTTCCCCCTGATTCGAGAATACAACAGCCACGACTCCAGTCCCCACCGTTGGAAGCCCGCGGTTCCAGGGGCTGATCCATCAGGGCACCGCCAATGAACGTGGAGCCTTGTCTGTGGCCCACGGAGCCCCGAGTCTTTCGACGGAGAAGGGGAACACCATTCAGGTACCCGCCCCGGGTTCACTGTTCATTGGCCTGGCGCATCATGACAGGTCATTCCAGACCTTCGTGTTGGAACACTGTCCGGGACACAGTCCGGGACCAGGGTGCTACCTGACCTAGGCCAGTCCCCGGTATCTCGACCCCCCCAGCTTGGTCTCGAAAATGTTCCGTGCGCTTCCTTGCGCGGCCCCATTGGCCCGATCGGTCCGAGGTGAGCAGGGATGAAGCTGCGAGTTCTCTGCCTGCAGCGCACGTCGCGAATACGACTCCGTGCGCGCCATCCGCAGCATCCGATGTTTCGAACTTTTAAACGGCAATAGAAGTGAGTGCCGAGACATCATTTAGGCTGTTCACATTTTCTAGGCTGGCTGTCAGACTTTAACCGGACAATTTCTGTCGCAACGAACCAGACCCGGGTAACGGAGTTGTACCACCTCAGTGTGTGGTACACCCAAAGAAGGTCTTAGTTCAAGAAAAGAACAAGAGAATTGTGGGCGAACCCACTTTCCCCGATGGGGTGTGGCAGCGCCGCGAATCCTTGCATGTGTATGCCCAATATGGACTAGCGTGCGCCTCCTCGTTGTCAACCACCACAGTACTCGTGCGGAAATAATTATTTCGCGCTACCTGGACACTATTGAGCGCGGACTGGCTAGTATGATTTCATGGGCTACGTCAGGCACAAACTTATATCCAAAGTTTCTCCCTTCTTGCCACTGCAAACTCGGTGGACACCCGTCGGAACTTTGCCACCCGCGATATATTTAGAAACAGGCCTGTCAAAAAATGAATAGACAACTTTGCTGGTCCATAGCCCTAATCGTCTCGTCTCCATTCGATACCGCAGTGACTGGCTGCAACCCGATAGAATTTGTAACATGTGCCTCATCGATGATATCCCACACTCGCTGGGTTAGATGCATTGCCAGATTCCTCTGCTGCTCACGATAGTAGTCCGTCATTGACTCATGCTTCTGCCGTACCCACGCGCGATCCTCGAGAGTAACAGCTTCCCGAGCAGCAAGATAGAACGGCTGCGGCAGAGACGAATCCGGTCCACACCCAGTAGACAATTGATCCATGAGCCGGAAGCACGTGTGCATCAGATGTTGTACCCGGGGACTGCGGGTCGAATCGCGAAATACGCGACGTGCCAGTAACAGATGTGCAGTCCAGTAAAAACACTCGGTGAGAATATCTAATGGCGGGCGCACGAAACCATCTGGAATAGTCCCTGTACCTGTAAACTCAGAGCCCCAAGACCGAAGGTCACTTTCGAGCTGATAAGCCTGTGCAAGGATGTCGCTAAAGGACACAGCCTGCTCCAGCCGCTCTTCCACATCGCACGCCAGATGCGAGATGCGCGCAAGGAAGCACAAAAGCGGTTGGGGACAGCCGGTCATTTTGCGGAATGAGGGCGTCGAGTTGTCCCATCGCTCCGGATCTGGCTGGTGGAGTACAAAGTTGCGCGGGGCGTAGGGTCGTCGTTGCCGGGAAATGGCTAGCATCACGTCTACCATGCCGAATCGTTGCACTGCCATGCGTGCAAGCGTGCTGTATGGGACCTGGCAGAAGTGATCCAGGGTTTGCATGAGGAATGATGCGCATTTGACGTGTGGTTCTAGGACCCCGTCGGCCGATTGGGCCACCACAACCCCTTGTAGGACGACTGCCGTGAGAAGTGCCTCGTGATCGATATTGCTTGCTGCAGGGCCTGTTTCATGGAGCCCGGCTGCATCTATACCGTGGAGGCTCTCTCCAATGGTTCTGAGCATTCGTTGCTGGCGCTGTGCTGCGGTTGACACGTTTCCGAGACCAAAGTTGAGCATATGCTCTGTCGCGATGCAGACAATAGTCTCGAGTAGAATTGGCGAGGTCAACGCCGTGAATGATAGCTGCCGGTATGGATTATCAGGGCCATCCAGCGCCGGTACATTCGAGGATACCAGCCTCACATCTAGAAGACTCGATCAGTACCGTAAACACGGGACATTGAAAGGACACGTACAATATTCCCAGGCATGTCTATCCTCCTCAGAATGAAACATAGCATCTGGAAAAACAGCTGGAGATCTCTCCAACATCCCCAGTTCATCCATTGGCCGAGGTCCTCTGCGAGACCGATGTCTCGACGACACCGGCTGCGTCTGACAAACCCATTTTAGCCCGGATGGATACTGACAATCTAGATCCCGCAGAGAACAAAAAGAACAAGCAGGTTGGTTCTCGTCGCATTTATGATGTTTCCTGCGACATTGTAGACATCCTGCAGCCCCATATTAGCGCCTGTCCGATACTCCTCAAGGATGCTTAATTACCGGTCTTTGATCGTTGGAATCGATCTCCACGGGTCATCCCGCCGGCAGGACTAGTCTGTGCACAGATGATCGGTTATTCAGATATCCATGAAGATGCTTCTCCATGTCTTGACTCCCCCGCTTATCACGACAAGCCGATCACATGATGGTGGTGCGGCCAATCAACGAATGGCAGCGTCGTATTTCCCCTTCGGGTTAGGGATATATGGTGGGCTACGTTGCCTGAAGTATGAATATGATTATTCACATCTGCTTGATGTCTATATACTTGATACCTAGGTGTCATGACAGCAGTGATTCCAATGGTTCCGTAAATCTCGGGGCGCCTCAAGGTGACGACTTGTGCATGTGAAACAAGGATTTGCCGGCGGCGCAAAATTGAGGCGCATCGGATACGCCACATTAATCTAAGGGCCGGAAATCAATTGAATTTCCGACGCTCTACTGAAGCGCAAAAGTACTTTGCAGGATGATGAGTGAGATTGGTGAATAGGTAGAACGAGGAACGTATAATTCAATAAGCTAGTTGGGCATCCGTTCGTCATTCTCAAGAGGAACAAAATGTATTCATGGATTTCAAAATGACATAATGGAAAACCATTGTTACACTCAAGTAAATGAAAATATATAGATCAGCCCAACACCTCCTTAATGACACGAGATGTACGTTCAACAATCATTTCAATCTCAGAACGAGTGGTATTGTATGGCGGCGCCAAGCAAATGTGATCACCATTGATGCCATCAGCACCACCGTTACCGGGCATCAGAGAGATAGCATACTCTGGCTTGAGACCAGTAACATGAATAGTCCATGCAAGCTTCTTAGCTGGGGGATATGGCTCCTTCGTTTCCTTATCCTGGACAAATTCAAGCTGCACACAGTTAGTGAAATTCCAAAACACAGCAGAACTTCTTCACTTACAGCCCAGAAGAGTCCTCTGCCACGAACATCTCCAACATGAGGATGTCCATCGAACTTCTCATGGAGAAGTTGACCAAGATAGTCACCCATCGCGCGAACGTTAGGCAACAAATTATCTTCCTGAATAATTTGTTGCACTCTGACTGCAGCAGCACAGGATACTGGGTGGCCTTGATAAGTCTGACTGTGAGAGAATGCGCCGGTGCCTTTTGTCAGAGTATCGACAACATGCTTGTTCAAGAGCAGGCCGGCAATGGGGGCATATCCGGCCCCGAGACCCTTGGCCATGGTCTGCAAATCTGGAACAACATCTTCCTGCTCCCACGCATGAAGCGTTCCTGTGCGTCCCATGCCAGACATGACCTCATCCAAAATGAACAAGGCTCCATGCCGCCCGCAAACCTCTTTCATTGCTTTCAGGTACCCGGGTAGAGGGGGAACGCACCCCAGCGTCTAGGTTCTTAGATTAGTAGATCTCTCTCAGGACCGAGCTTCAGAGCTTACCGCGCCAGCCATGGTCTCCGCTACAAATGCACAGACAGTATCTGGTCCCAACCTCTGGAACTCATCCTCCAATTCTTGCGCAAGCCTGGCAACATAGCTTTCAACACTCTCACCAGACTGCATGCCACGGTATGGGTAGCAAGGAGCAACATGTCCAGTATTCTTCGCAAGCACCTTCTCATAAAGTGCTCTACGGCCAACGTGGTGCCCGACCGAAAGTGATCCAAGCGTGTTGCCGTGGTATGACTGTTTACGAGAGATGAAGTTGGCCCGCTGGGGCTGAGGGGTAGGCAGCTCCATAAAGTATTGAACGGCCATCTTAAGAGCAGCCTCTACAGCCTCCGTGCCTGAGACAAAGTCAGCGACTGAAAATTGTCGGATAAAGATCATGGTCAAGCATACCCGAGCTTACAATAAAAGCCCTTGTCATCTTCCCTCCAGTTGAATCCACCAGGATCTTAGAGAGGCTCTCGGCAGCAGTGTTGGTAAAGAACATCGAGTAGCAGTAGGGAATCTTCTGCAGTTGCTCCATTATGGCTTCTTGCACGCGCTTGTCACTGTGGCCGAGGCAGGACACCGCAGCGCCGCAGGTAGCATCCAAAATCTCCAATCCATCTTCGGTAATGAGGTAGCTTCCCCGGCCGCCGGCAATATTGAGAGGCTTTTGACGAATCTGGTGGTATAGGACACTGCTTTGGTCTTGGGAAATGCCAGTCTCAGGCTTGCCGGGAGTGGCGGGACCCACCACGTCGGTTGTCTCTGGCTGGTAGTCACCCATGATGATATATGATGTAAATAAAAGGCTTAAGAAAGATTAGTTCGAGAAGGGAGGTATGAGAGAAACAAGTATGAATCTGTCTGCCCCGGGACATCTTCAGCATATAAATAATGACAGGTCTTGGCGACAAGCAACCACAACCCTATATGCCCAGCTCAATGCAACCGAGTATTATCTAAAGGAAACCACCATGATTGGCGCACAACACCCGATCCAGAAGTAAACGTGAACCCAACGCAGCTTATCAGTCGCGAGACTAAGCCCGAAAGGGAAATCTTTGTCGGACCCACATCATCGGACTGGGATGTTGATCATCGAATCGGAGGTGCGATAAGGTGAACAATGTCGTGTATTGCCCCGAATCGCCGGTTTATAAGGGTATTTGAGACTCAAGTTGGTAGGTGATAACGTCGGATCCGTTTTTCATTACGTGAGATTGGCTGAAATCTCCGATTGCTCGATAGGGTTGGAGCTGATTTGGGTAAAACAATATGATGGTTACTATAGTGGGATCGTCATTTCTTGAATTAAGTTCTCATATGCAGACTTCCAGGTCTTGCAGGGAATGTAGTAGGCATTGAATAGGGCTCAGCCACTGCCCTTGACCTTGCCTTGACTAATATGCCACTCAATCGTCTTTCGCAACCCCTCCCTCAACTGAACCGTCGGCGCCCAGTGTAGCACACTCTCAGCCAGCGATGTCTGTGGCCGACGCAAAGTGGGATCATCTGCAACCTTTGCATGATAGGTAATTCGCACCTGAGCCTGCCCCGTGATCTCCGAAACAAGCTCGTTAACAATCTCAGCCAGTTGCTGAATCGTGAATTCCCCCTCATTCCCAATATTCACCGGGCCCTCGGCGTAATCACTGTTCATCAAGGAGTAAAGTCCGGCGAGGCAATCAGTGACAAATTGAAATGACCGAGTAGCGGAGCCGTCTCCATTGATTTTCAAGTCTTCGCCTGCCAACGCTGCAGCAATAAAGTTTGATACCACCCGTCCGTCGCTGCTGCTCATGCGGGGCCCGTATGTATTGAAAATGCGTGCAATGCGAATATCAACTCCATGTTGCTCGCGATAAGCAAAACACAGGGCTTCTGCGACTCGTTTCCCTTCATCGTAGCATGAGCGTGGACCGAAGGGGTTGACATTTCCCCAGTATTCCTCTGGTTGAGGGTGGACAAGAGGGTCTCCATAAACCTCTGATTTGGGTAGGCTAAAGTTAGTTAGGATTTCAAAGTGTGAGAGGTATCACGAACCAGAGGTACTAGTGTGTAGAATGCGAATATTCCTCGACTCTGCGAGCTTTAAGAGGTTCTCGGTACCAACAAAACACGTTCGCAAAGTTGAGACCTGGTCTTTTTGATATTGGATCGGACTTGCGGGACAGGCTAGATTGTATACTTGATCAATTTGCCCTATATCATCTAGCGAATTCTGGATGTCGTGTCTAGTTTCGAGCAGTTTCTGTGATTAGTATTCTCTTTACTTTAGAATGCCGAATGCGGTGTAGGGTCTCTACTTCATCAGAGTGAATTTAGGATGATTCTCGAGATGGCTTAGATTTTTTGGAGAACCTGTCTCAAAAGTGTCGAGTCCGATGACTTCATGGCCCTTTTCTAGCAGCAAGTCAATCAAATTGGACCCGAGAAACCCGGCGCCCTAGACTTTTGATTAGCACAGATTAATCGGGCAGAGAATGAACTGTCTGGCCTCACTGACTCCGGTGACAAGTATCCTTAAATTATTCTTTGTGCTGTTCATGTTGATTCTTATTTGAAGAGAGAAACTAGATGAGGTGCTTTCTTACTCTGACATGAGAGGAGAAGGTGAATACAAAGCTTTTTTGAGCAAAATTTGAGTGGATTTTCTCAGCTGAAAGGAACCCTAAAGCATGCGACCATTGCCCTTTTTCATGCAAGCGATCACCAATTATCGAAATGTTCAAGCCGTCTTGATCTGTTATTGGTGACTCAGATCTCTGTGACCTCATAGTGCTGTATTTGAGAACCTCATCACATGCAGGACGATGGGGGCGCTTGTCCAAGAAGTGTAATGAAATTCGGCGATCTCAAGGCATATTCACCGCCCCGCTAACTAGACGGTTGATGTATCTACAACGGACAAGGGACAATCAGGGCTTATCACGAGCCCTAAACAGTGACCCAATTACCATGCGGTCAAGTATGATTCGTTTGAACTCCTTGATTTGCAAAGTTCCTGGCTAGGTAGTGAGAGTTGTGTTAACTATACATCCCAACATGTCTTGGGTTGAGTCGAAGTGTCATACCTTCAAGAGAAAATTAATCCACAGCAATCCGGAATCTCAGCAGGTCTTTCTCCAGAATTTCATCGAATCGTTCCTCGAGCTTGGAAACATCCCATTTGCAGGAGAGGAAGCGACCGTTTAGGGCCTTTCGTTGTCTCTCAGAGGAGCCGGGTGTCGACAACCAGACGCAGAATGCCCCAACCAGATCAGGGCTATCATTTAACACTGATGGGTCGCGAAAATCAGCTTAGTCCGTGGAACTAATTTCACAAGAAGTAAAAAGGCCTGGCACTTACTGTTCCTGATATTTTCAGGCACGTCATGCTGGATGAAACCACTATTCATGCCCCCTGGGTGCACGCTGGCGCAAAAGAGTCCACGATTCGAATATTGCTCATTGATCATCTCAATTAATCTCGCTTGAGCCGCCTTGCTCACGCAATAATGAGCGTGACCACCCATCCCACCAACAGTAGGCGTAGCCATAGAGCTGATCGCGATAAAAGACATGGCGGGCGACTGGGTTGCATCAAGCAAAGGGAGCAAATGATGCGCCGCATAGAAGAGGCCAATCGCATGGACATCGAACGCAGTCCGGTAGTCCTCCGGTGACTCTTTAGTGATATCAAGTATCATCGGGCCCGAGTAGCCCGAGTTTACCACTACAACATCAAGGCGCCCGTCAAATTCGGTCATAACAGTCTGTGCGACCAAAGCGAGGTCTTTCTCGACGGTAATGTCGCATTCTGAGATGACTACTTTGGTCTTAGAGCCGATTGAGCGTACTTCGTTGGCTGTTTCTTCGAGACCCGAACGTGTGCGAGCAGCAAGGATGATACCCGATGCGCCGGCCTGGGCGTATGCTCGAGCTAGTCCGCCACCTGCTGCGCCCCGTCCGCCGATTATGCAAACAACGAAAGGGGAAGGCAATTTCACACTTGATGGATCTATTTCTGGATAGGGCGTGGTATGAAGCTTAGGAATGAAGTTGCGGCAGTGCTGTGCATTGAGCTGGCTTGGCGTAGGCGTCATCTTGATGATAGACCAACAGCACAATCTTGCTTTAGATATGAGATGGTCCAAATGTTCTTCGAAATGGTGAATGATTTCCATGAATTCTTATGTTGAATACTGCCCGGACTTAGCCGGACTTAACCCGGAGATTCGCTAGCAACGGTTTGACATAGAAATTCTACAGGTAGCTGGTAGCTGAATGCCATTCAATAAGTCTAAAGGTACTTTCAAAGTTACAGTATTTAATTTGATTCAGAGAATTTGAGCACAATCCGAGTCGCAAAGAATTACCGGCCGCTTCTGCTAAGCAGAAGAAGGTCTTCGTCTCTTTCGAATCCTTTACCACCGAGTATTACTTAGTCTCAAGGTCACTTTCTTCGCGTAATTAATTTGGGGATATGGTACTTGGGAATAAGGCATCCAGGCTTCAACGGAGGAAGAAAAAAAAAGAAAAACGACAGCAGTGCGGTTCGAACGCACGCCTCCGAAGAGAATAGATAACTCGATAAGATTTAGTCTCGTTCAAGTCTATCGCCTTAGACCACTCGGCCATGCTGCCACGTTTAGAGGAAGTGCGAAAGTAAGTCCTGATGGACAATGACCTCGATATCCCAAAAAGTGGCTTACAGTTACCTAGGCCGGAGGTTGAATAACAATGCCCGGGGGGTAGGGAAGGATAATAGTAGAAAGCTACGGGTATAAAGGCGGCCGTTTTTGGCCTTGATAGTGGTCATCTTCGACGTTGTCTCAGAAGCCCTCAGGCTTTATTTCTCAGAGGTTACAACTAGTATAAGTTTAAATGCTTGAGGGCTTATCCAGACTTAATCCTGGAACTTACTAGTGAGGGTTTGACTTATAAAACGTACAGCGATAGATTACAGGATGGATCGAAATCAGTTTCACCACTTCTTCACAGAGATTCTTTCTCGAACCCTCTTTCGAAACACACTATACCTATTACGGCTACTCTGCCCCTGAACCCCTTTCTTGGCGGTATTCCGATACAATCGTAAATAACAGCTTAAAATAGCTTCTGTATTTGACTCGTATGGTCTCCAGGGATTCTAGAACGTTGACCTAGCAAACAAGCCAAACCAACGAATGCCTGCTGCTCATTTGGAGACGTGGCAGGAATAAGAATCCCCATTCTGCCAACCACTTGCCCTCTAGAGTGACCACTGCGAACGAGCGAGTTGTATAGAGACAGTACTAGTGGGTAATATTTTTTTACTTCTTGTAACAGGCTTGGCCTTCTGATTGGGGACTAGCATCTCCTGAACTGACTGGTCGTGATTATGCTGATGTTGGATCTGCTAGAGCCTTGAAACGAGCACGATGACTGCTTATTCGTGTCCTAATGACCATGATTCTCAGCCGCATGACCTCGAACTTAGGGATCAAGATTCGCAATATGCCCCCACTCCAGGATTCTACGATCGCACGCCTGCGTTAAGTTATGGGCGTAGCCCTTCCCTCGAATATCACTTCAAAAACGATCCGGATGTCCTGTCACAACAGCAACCACAACCTCCTCGACTACTTCAGCTATCCGAATGGTACAGTATGAGGGAATGTCAAGTAACGAATTGACGGCAAATTGCATCCAATATACGATAGAGTGGAAAGTCACCGTGAATAAGAAAGTGCTCTTGCGGGATACTGAAGAGGACGTCGCCCTGACTCCGAGTGCCTACTGGCCGACGACCCTGAAGGGTAAGTTGGAAAAGTTGTTAGATGGAAAGACCCCCGGTAAAGGAAGGGTAAAGTCGGACGACACCTCGATCGTCGTGCCGGTGAATGATCGCTCCCAACGCGACCTGACGAAACGATTTGACCATCTCGACATCGATTGGACTGCCGTGGAAAAGCAACTGCTCAGGTGGGGCGAACTGTGCCGTCGAGGCAAGAAACTGAGGTTAAGTATTACCTTTAAATATGTTGAGGACGACCGTCTCTTCAAAACTGCCTCAGGTAGGGTCGAAAAAAAGAGGAAGGTCATCGGTCACTAAACAGATGCTCAACGAACTAGACGTTCAAGTGGATGCCGAAGAGAATTCATCTGGGCAAGAATCCGTTTGGCGAGCTGTGTACAACCTGATGCGTTGTCCATCTTCATCATGCCATCTTGGCCCACATTGCTGGCAAGACCCACACGGGAAAAGCACTATGCGCTGAGGAGCCACCATTTAAAACGTTTAATTGCCTTCGTGGAAAATGGCAACACCCTGCAGTCTCATGAAGACGTCCCGGAAATTTGCTGGAAGCAGTGCCCTCTTCAAGCGATGAGGGCCAGATATTTATCTGGAAAATGCTGGCTGGTTACGTGCACAGTAACAGGGTTCTCATTCGATCTGACTTTTGGAATCGGGTAGACCCGTTCCTGGGAACGTCATTACCCGCCCCCACATAGAAGTAAAATTGACACAAAACCATTCAGAAAGCGGTGTGTGCGAGCTGAAAGGTGCAATTAATCTTCCTAGCTGATCGCGCTAGAGTCACATGATGATGAGGCTAAGGAAGTTCCCCCTCTTTCAGTTCGTCGGAGTCCCACTGAGATTCTCGTAATAAGCCACATTAGAACTTTCTGAAAAGAGCTACTTCTTAGGGTCTCCTGCTGGAAGAGAAAGTGCTTGATTAACACAGCGCGTGGTTAGTCGAGCTGTTCTTCATCCATTATGGCTGAGAATTCCCAATCTCAGCCAGAGCAATCAGTGTCAGGACAAAACAAAACTAGTCCTGACACACCACCATGCCGAAAGCGACTCCAACACGATACCTATACTATCGGATGGTTGTGCGCCCTTCCAAAAGAACAAACAGCAGCCAGAGCCATGCTAGATGAAGAGCACGAACCTCTCCCAACCCCTCGGAATGATCATAACGCATATACTTGTGGCTCAATACGCGGCCACAACGTCGTCATAGCCTGCCTACCTAACATGGGAACCAATTCTGCCGCAACCGTCGCGACCTCAATGATCAACACGTTCCAATCAATCAGGTTCGGGCTTATGGTAGGGATAGGCGGCGGAATTCCGTCAAAGGTCAGTCTGGGTGATGTGGTCGTCAGTCAACCTGTTGCTGACTATCACGGGGTGATACAATGGGATATGGGGAAGCTGGAACGGGATGGGCAGTTTGTCCACAAGGGCTCACTGAACCGACCTCCGAACGCGCTACTCAACGCCTCGAACCACCTGAAAAGTAACCATGCGATGTACGGATCAAAGATGAATGACTACCTGGACGAAATGGAAAGGAAATTCCCGCGGCTAGTGCCAAAATATACGCGGTGTGAGGCCTTGCAAGACCCATTATTGGTATCCGAGCGGTTCCGGACTCCGAGGGAAGTCTATTTCCTGTCTTGGTTGTGGCAGGCGATCATCGCAATTATCGCATATCTTCTTGGTTCATGGGCCATTGATCCGGTAAATGAGGAGAATGTGCGGGTATCAGAGAAGGCAGAGGGCGCAAGGGCCCCAAGAGAAGCCAGGGTACACTATGGCCTGATCGCATCCGGGAATAAAGTGATTAAGGATGCCCAATCCCGAGACCTCCTTGACAAAAAATACGGCGGGCACTTACTATGCGTGGAGATGGAGGCAGCTGGGCTCATGAATGACTTCCCATGTATTGTTATCCGAGGCATTTGTGACTATGCGGACTCGGGAAAAGAGAAAACCTGGCAAGAATATGCTGCAGCCGTGGCCGCTGCGTACGCAAAGGAACTTTTGGGATGTGTGCAGCCCAGGGTTGTTGATGCCGAGGATCCAGCAAAGGTTATATTGGAAAAGGGTTAGTATATACCTACCTGAATAGATCATATGCAGGTGTTTAAAGTACCAGCAAATACCCGAGACGAATGACATTTGAACTTGGGAAATATATTCTGACTACGAGTAGTGCAACAACAGATCGATAGGGTACAGCAGATAACTGCAGCAACAAGAGCTACTGCAGATTCTATCAGATCTGACCTTCATACCGATGAGATCAAGCGCTGGCTTTGTCCCCCGGATCCATCTTCAAACGCCAGCCATGCTAGGACGCTCCGCCATGAGGGGACTGGCGCGTGGCTGCTCGAATCCCCTGTCTTCCAAGAGTGGCACTCGGGGTCACGTCGACAGTTATGGCTGCAAGGGCTCGCGGGGTGTGGAAAGTCGGTTCTTAGTACCACTGTGCTTGATCATCTCGCCAACGGAAACGACGATCTTATCCTTAGCTTCTTCTTTGACTTTAACGACGTCGCAAAACAGACATTGGAAGGCATGCTGCGCTCGCTTGCTTTCCAACTTTACCGCCGTGGGGTGGACTCCGCAAATCATCTCGATGCTTTGTTCCAGGCGCACCGAAATGGCAGCGACCAACCTACGACAAAGGTGCTTTGGAGTGTTATTTTCAAGATGCTCGTAGCCCAGAGGAAGGTCTCTATTGTCCTGGACGCATTGGATGAATCGAAAACAAGGGACACTGTGCTCGGGTGGATCAAGGATATGGTGTCTAGGCCAGAGTTGGTCCATGTCCAGCTGCTTCTTACCGGTCGACCTGAATCCGAGTTTCTGCGCGACATTCCCCCCTTAATAGGAAAGCAAAACTGCCTGGCACTTGATAAGCAAGCCATCAACTCCGATATTCGATCGTGGGTCATAGCACAACTTTCTCAACGGCGTGATTTTACAGAGAAGCCCTTGTCCCAGAACCTTCTGGAAGAGATCCGGAAAAAAGTTGGCGACGGCGCCGACGGGATGTGAGTAATCACTGCTTTAATCAATATAGGATAGCTTACTGACGCCTTGATCAGGTTTAGGTGGGCATTCTGTCAGTTAGACAGCCTGGCTCGATGTCGTCACGAGGCAGCTATGGAGGAGGCTCTTGAATCTTTGCCGCTGAACCTCAATGAGACATACGAGCGTATATTTGAAAGCATACCGACGGAGTTGAAAATTGACGCGATACGGCTTCTCCAATTCCTAGTGCATTCCAAGCGACCTCTAACGCTGGCTGAGGTTAAAGAGGTAATAGCGACGCAGATTGAAAACGAGTCACGAGGGTTTGACATGAAGCGTCGATTGTTTTGCGAGACTGATATCTTGGCTTACTGTCCCAGCTTAGTGACAGTCATCCATGCCAATGATAAAGAGTTGCATCTTGCCCATTTTTCTGTGAAAGAGTACCTTCTCAGACATAACCAATTCCAGATAACGACTGCCAGCATTTCCATCACGAGGACGTGCTTAACATATCTGACGGACATCGACGGTAGCGAAAGAGAGATAAAGCGGTATTTCCCGATGGCAAGATATGCGGCCGAACATTGGACATACCATGCTGCGTTGACTCGGGCTGACGAAGAGATTATGGGAATAACAGTCAGGTTTCTAGAAAAGGAAGAAACGTTCCAACGATGGGCTCGGTTGTATCAGGCTGATAGGAGTTGGGACGATAGCCCTGGTCCTCCAAGAGGCTCCAGACTTTACTATGCTTCCTTCAGTGGGCTCATGGCACCTGCACGTGATTTTATTGACAAGGGAGCGGATATCAACGCGCAGGGCGGCGAGTATGGCAACGCTCTCCAGGCTGCCTCAGCGGAAGGCCATCAAGAGATTGTCAAGCTACTTTTAGATAAGGGAGCAGATATCAACGCGCAGGGCGGCGAGTATGGCAACGCTCTCCAGGCTGCCTCAGCGGAAGGCCATCAAGAGATTGTCAAGCTACTTTTAGACAAGGGAGCAGATATCAACGCGCAGGGCGGCCGGTATGGCAACGCTCTCTATGGTGCCTCAGCGGAAGGCCATCAAGAGATTGTCAAGCTACTTTTAGATAAGGGAGCAGATATCGACGCGCAGGGCGGCCGGTATGGCAACGCTCTCCAGGCTGCCTCAGCGGAAGGCCATCAAGAGATTGTCAAGCTACTTTTAGACAAGGGAGCAGATATCGACGCGCAGGGCGGCCGGTATGGCAACGCTCTCCAGGCTGCCTCAGCGGAAGGCTATCAAGAGATTGTCAAGCTACTTTTAGACAAGGGAGCATATATCGACGCGCAGGGCGGCCGGTATGGCAACGCTCTCCAGGTTGCCTCACTAAGAGGCGATCGAGAGATTGTCAAGCTACTTTTAGACAAGGGAGCAGATATCAACGCGCAGGGCGGCCGGTATGGCAACGCTCTCCAGGCTGCCTCAGCGGAAGGCCATCAAGAGATTGTCAAGCTACTTTTAGACAAGGGAGCAGATATCAACGCGCAGGGCGGCCGGTATGGCAACGCTCTCCAGGTTGCCTCACTAAGAGGCGATCGAGAGATTGTCAAGCTACTTTTAGACAAGGGAGCAGATGTCAATGCGCAGGGCGGCCGGTATGGCAACGCTCTCCAGGCTGCCTCAGCGGAAGGCCATCAAGAGATTGTCAAGCTACTTTTAGACAAGGGAGCAGATATCGACGCGCAGGGCGGCCGGTATGGCAACGCTCTCCAGGCTGCCTCAGCGGAAGGCCATCAAGAGATTGTCAAGCTACTTTTAGACAAGGGAGCATATATCCACGCGCAGGGCGGCGAGTATGGCAACGCTCTCCAGGCTGCCTCAGCGGAAGGCCATCAAGAGATTGTCAAGCTACTTTTAGATAAGGGAGCAGATATCGACGCGCAGGGCGGCGAGTATGGCAACGCTCTCCAGGCTGCCTCAGCGGAAGGCCATCAAGAGATTGTCAAGCTACTTTTAGACAAGGGAGCATATATCAACGCGCAGGGCGGCGAGTATGGCAACGCTCTCCAGGCTGCCTCAGCGGAAGGCCATCAAGAGATTGTCAAGCTACTTTTAGATAAGGGAGCAGATATCGACGCGCAGGGCGGCGAGTATGGCAACGCTCTCCAGGCTGCCTCAGCGGAAGGCCATCAAGAGATTGTCAAGCTACTTTTAGATAAGGGAGCAGATATCGACGCGCAGGGCGGCCGGTATGGCAACGCTCTCCAGGCTGCCTCACTAAGAGGCGATCGAGAGATTGTCAAGCTACTTTTAGACAAGGGAGCAGATGTCAATGCGCAGGGCGGCCGGTATGGCAACGCTCTCCAGGCTGCCTCAGCGGAAGGCCATCAAGAGATTGTCAAGCTACTCTTAGACAAGGGAGCAGATATCAACGCGCAGGGCGGCCGGTATGGTAACGCTCTCCAGGCTGCCTCAGCGAAAGGCCATCAAGAGATTGTCCGCCTTCTTCAAAGAAGAGGCGCTGTTACATCGTCTTCACAGTAGTCTTACTCTATTACTGTCAGAAACCTGGTGGAGAAATTTGGTCTCAAGGATTCCGGACTTTCTGATGAAACTTTGTAATTTCTTCAGTCACTTCCACCGTAGTGTTCAGCTATAGCTTGGCTTTAAGCCTTATCACCCCTATCACCTCGCAGGTTATAGGTCTGCCTATTCAGATAATAACAATCCCCGAATACCGCTCTTTCCGGGCAATATTCCCGATTCGTCCCAGAATAGATTATATCACCATTCCTTATGTCAAATAAAGGACAATCCGCTAGCATCTACAAACAAGCTAGAGCTTTCTATTGCCCTCTTATCTTGACGATCATCAAACACTGTCGGGGAGACCCTTAATCTACCCAAGGAAATCTTAGGTAAAACCAATTTGATCAAAGGTAATGTCTTCAAGAAATTCGACGTCCATGAATTCGAACCAGGGCCGGTGGAAAGACACTGAGAAGCTCCGGACATGGGCGATTGAATTCGAAAGACAGAACTCAACCAGAACTATCCGCTTTCACATAGTATCTTCTGGGCATAATGCTATAGCCATTGATGTTCTTCGAAATGTTTGTCTAGGCAGAGAGAAAGACTCAAATTACATTATCCGCATACTCTAATTGTCCACTTCTCGAACATTCCTGGTGTGGGAAACGGAGAGGCTCAAATCATTTTTTAGATGAGTTATATAACCGTATATTTCAACTTTCAAGACCAATTTCTGCCTTGAGTTCGAACTTCGAGGAGGTATTATTCTGTTGCTGATCACCTTACTGCACATTGAGCGAGATTATTGACTAGGTCACTCGAAACTGTCCTTACTAAATATAGGGATGAACGTAGTTGACGCAATAGTGGAGAGGGTTCCATAAGGGCCAGACTTCGCGGGGCCAAGTGTACGCGTGTTTCACGTAATTTTGAAAACCGAGATAAGTATAATCCCAAATTTCAATACAATTCGGCATTTGAAACAACGCTAGGCTAGATTCAGATTAGTGTGTTTAGAAGGAGGGTTCGAGAAAGAGTCTCTGTGCGCAAATGGTGAAACTGATTTCGATCCTCCCTGTATTTGACACTTTCAAAGAGCAAGTTAAAATTGAAGGTACAGAAGCACTTTAGAAAACAAATCATATAAACCGGCTCAGTTCTGGGGTGCCATTTCTGATTTCGCAGAATATAATCGTGACGGCTTTTACCCTTGAGGATATACATTTGAAAGATAGAGATAGCTACTGATCTGCCGTCGTAATTGGCGAGCCGCAATAAGAGCAAGTCATCCTGACTCACTCCAGTCTTCTTTCAGGGTGGAAAGCTATCATAGGGTGTTTCAATGTGATAGCATCTCAAGTCAATTCTCAGGATTGGAACACACGCACAGACACACAATTGTCGGACATAAGAGGGTGCCCATTGCACGCAAGGATCACGCTATAGCACCATCTGCCACCTCACCTTCTTTCCTTTGATCATGTCCAGCACGCCCATAGGCAAAAACTGCTTGTCCACCAGATTCAGCCCACCAAATTTGGTCAAAAGGTCCTCTGCATACAGGTACAGATTCCACTCCATTTCCGCCCCCGGGTTCCCGATATCGAACATGTTCCGAGCCATTCTCACCGCATCCCCCACTGCGCGTGTTCTCGCTGGGTAACTCGAGCTAGGAACATCCATGAAATGACCATACAGTTCGCTCAATTTGAAGCTTTTGGCTTCACGGAACTTGCTCCACTCGTCAAAAGACAAGAATCTGCCTTTCTCACCTGGTGAGAAAGCTTCCTTGAGCTCATCAGGCTCACTGTTGCTTTCTATGTCCTGCCAGATTCGACGTTGCTGAGTCGCGGTCTTCTTGTCGAAGAATTCCTTTTCAACTCCATATGATTCACGTTCGCTCTTCATGAACTCTGCCATTAGCTCTCGTGGCGATTTTGTCAAAGTGTCGCGCAGCATGAAGATCGAGACGAAGGGGTTTCGCAGGCCAAGACCACCAAGCTTCTCAGGAAGGAAGAAAAATGCGTCTGGAACATCGAAAACGTTGAACTCAGATTCAATTCTTCTCCTCAGATAGTCTGTGACAGTATGCCCGGGCTGGGTATTCTCTGTACCAAAAACTATATCATACATCTTCTTGTACGTGTCAAGAATGGCATCGATATGGGGACGTCCAAAACAGTACGCCGGCTCACCAAATGTGTTCTTGAAGAACCGCCCAATGCAGCTGTTCCAGGTACGAACCCATGAGATGACACTATCGCAGTTTTCAAGCTGATTTTTCAGCTGCCGGACATGTGTATCGACTTGAGAATGATCAATAACCCATTCTCCTGTTGACGGGTCCAGCATCAAGAAGCCAATTTTGACTGAGCCCTGAGGCATGCGGGACTTGACTTGGTCGCTGACAGCGTCACCGAGACAAACCGACCCAGATTTGCTTTTGTTGAACTGGAGGCCGGTGATGCCAGCGAAAGTTTGCATGACTTCCCAAGCCTGAGCACATTTTTCAGGATCACCGGTCAGCCAAATATCATCGTGGAGACGATACAGAAGCAGACCGGTCTTTTCATTCACGGCATAATCCATGAAGAATAGGATCAACTCCCCGATCACCTTCTCTGAAGCATGTGCGATCGGGATACCTCGTCTGCGCTTGCGAGGTCCGATTTTCTCATGTCCTTCAAATGCGTTGTCCATGTTTAAAGGCGTTTCAAGGTACTTTCGCAGAAACTGAATCCATTCTCGCGGGAAACCGATGAATTCCAAGATGGCAGAGACGGTACTGTGCGGAATCGACGTGGCATACCACTGTAGATCCGATTGAATTACAGCAGCCTGACCATAGAATTGACGGCGGAAAAATGTTTCGGTCACTATCTTTCTCAGAAGCTGCTGTTTCACACTCTTCGGAGCTGAGCTTCCTCGCTGACCGTCATCTTCGTCTTCATCATACCCGCAAACACGGCTCGCTAATGTGTCTTGACCTTCTGGCATAGATGCAAGGAAAAAGGTATCGACAAACTCCTGCTCGCGACAATGTTCCACTTTGTTGGAATGATCAAAAGCTGAGATTTCTTCAAGGAAATATCGTCGTCGAAGGCGATCACGATTCGTCAATTCCGGGCCCTGCGTGAACTTCCAACCAGCGTTGCTCTGGATGTAGTCTTTCAGAATAATTTTAAACGTAACGCAAAGCTTGATGCAAATGTGTTCCACAAAAATGGTCTCGAGGACATCTTCGTCCATCCAGATTCTGTATTTGCCATTCAGCTGCTGACGAGGAAGCACGGGTACGCCCTCGTCATCAGTATGCCAGTCCCAATTCTTCAGGTCCGCATATCGCATGTTGAGGACATCGGCAATCTCGTTCAGTGCGATTTTGTTGTTGACGAAGTGTTTCAAGGTCTCTTGTTTCTCTTCACTGACTACCTCCTCTGCCTGAATGCCACGGATGCAGTCAGACAGCGAGTCGATGGTAAAAGGGTCTTTTTCTTCCCAGATAACCACCAGCTCCCTCCCTACCCGCTCGCGCAAGGATTTCAGGGCGTTCTTGCTTTTCTCGGTTGTGAACAGTCCGGAGAGAAACAAGTCGATTTCAATTTGATCGGTTTGATGAGGCTCGAAGACTGTTCTCTCGAACTGATCGCATAGTTGCTTAAGTCTTTGTTTTTGTCGCTCATCAATAAGGAGGAAGTCGTCGTCCTCGCTGGAGGCTTTTGTAGCCTCATTGGTCTGATTGGATGGCGGGTTCATCCACTCAGTCAACAGTCGTGAATACAAATCCGCAAGACTCAGCTTTCGACTATGGGCATCTAGCGCGTTACATAGGTGTGTTTCGAAGCACTCGAGCTTCTCGGAAGGGATTGAGGAATCGTATTTAGCCTGTTCAATCCAGTGCTCGATATTCAAAATGGCATTATCTTTACTGGCGCCCGGTGCGAGCTCCTTGGTTCCAGCCAGGAGGCATGCGACTTTATCGCGTAGGGCGGAGCACTGAGCTGCGGTCACGAGAACTTTGGCTTTGCGAGATTCGTATTTACTGCGTTGTTTTTTGAGCTCGTGAATTTTGCTCCGAGTCAGCGACTGGAGAGTTCGAGAGAGGTAGGGATCCATTTAGAGTAGATTTCCTGTGTGTGCTTTGCATGAATTCGGCGCTACTCAAACCAAAAAGCCTTGCGATTAGACTGATACCATTAGGTATACGACAGCTCTATTTATGCTTGAATCCTCTAGCATCGGACTTTTTCAGCCTCACGTCTTCCATTGCTTTCAGAGGGCTTCCCCTCCTTTGCTGCCTGCTGCGATCGACGAAGACTCGTAATGGCCAGCCCATCACTAGCCTCTAGGCTTCGATCTACTTCGAAACATACCTTCCAAGAACCCCGCAATTTGAGGGGTGACATGACTCACCGACAAATGATCCTTGCTTGCAATGGAATTGAGCCTCGTGTTTTCTACCAATAACAAAAAAACTCTCGAGGTCTGAGCCCATGGTTGAATTTCTCGAAACTCCTCAAGTGCTTCATCTATTCCACAAGGCAGCTTTTATCTACATGTTGATTGACCAAGTAAATATTTGAATAAGTCAAGTTGTGTTGTATAGGTAATTTCCAGGCTCAAATCCAAGTCTCACGTAATTCGGGCTACAATCCCGGCTGGCGCTGCCCCGCATCAGACAACCCCCCTGTTCAAGCTCTTGGATCGAAGCTAGGTTCTATTGAAAGACAAGTTGTACGCTCCAAAGATTGAAAAATTCACTGACATCCAGAAATGGTGTACCTCGGTCGCTCAAGGGGCTGCGAGACCTGCAAGCGACGGAGAAAGAAGGTGTGTATTCTGTCGGAATATTGGGCCGATAGAACTAACAATCTCTCAGTGTGATGAAACTCGACCAGTATGTCCACGATAACTTGAGTAGATTTGGAGTCCAAGGAAAACAATCTGTTTGCTATTTTTTAGCATACTAACTATCAACGGTAGTCATGCACACGTTGCGTGAATGCGCGGCGTACTTGCGGCGGGTACGAAACTGAGAAAGCCCTCACAATCCAAGAATACGATGGCGGAAAGAAAATAGCTCTTCCAATCAGATCCGCCGCACGAAAGTGCTCTCTTCCAGTCAGACAAAGATTACCTGGGACGGTCGCCCTGGCGAAAGACATTCTTCCCAAGGAGGTTCCAGATCGGGATGTCGACGACTTCAGCCTCCGGTCATTTTTACACGAGTTCTGTATTGTGCCATCAGGACCTACCGTATCCTATGGTTTTCTAAGTGGTATCGAGCCGATATTACGTAAAATGGATGACCAGTCTAGTTTAGCGAAAGCATGCAAGATGGCGGCATTTGCTAGCCACGGCATCAAGCTCAACCGCCCTGTTTTAACCGCCAAAGCCGAGAAATTGAATCATGATCTGGTCGCTTCTTTGGCAGTTGGTCTTCAAAGTAATGCCGCAGCGTCCAAGAAATATGACGTCTTGGTCGTGATGCTTCTTGGAATTTATGAAGTCAGTTGTATCTTCAAATGACTTGTTGCTTGGCCTAACATTTATAGATGATTATCGCGAATGATGCACGAAACGGTTTCCACAATGTACATGCAAGTGGCCTAGCCGCACTGCTTAAACTCAAAAAGCACCCAATCCTCGTTCTAGAAGCTCTTCTTGGTGGCAAGTCGCTCGGTAGTCTCAGAGAAGCGTTGCCGGTATGCCCCATTTCTCTATCAGGAATGCTCTATACTAAGTGATCATATTCAGAATGACAAAGAAGGCTTACTCGCTATTCCAAATGGGGCAGTTTCGACCAAATCATTGGATTCGCTATTGATCTCGCTTGCAAGAATCGGACAACGAGTAAAGATCACAGCCACGGAAGGTCTCATGGACTGTGACGAAAAGGGTTGGCTTCTACTAGAAGCATTGAACCTTGATCGAGAATTCGTACAATGGAATGAGTCTCAAGACCAAATACACAGACCCACAATGATTGGCCAAGTGAGCAAAACCACTGCCCTCGAGTGCAATGTTGGCTACTGGCCTGGAAGGGTGGACGTGTACTTCGACCGCTATGTCGCAGGCATCTGGAACATCTACCGGGCTGCTCGACTATATCTTTCCGAACTGATTCTGAATCTCTCAAATGGAAATCGAAACCCAAGAACAGACCCTCGACACGGGCAGGATATGGATGATCTTGTTCAGGGTGTGCTATCTTCTATTCCCTATCATCTGACGGAAAATCTTTACGGGTTTCTCAATCAAATTGACAATGGAGCTCCGTTGGCGAATGTTGGGAAAGCAGCCTCTGGGCTCTTTGTTATGCACCCTCTGCATGTGATTTCGAATCTCTCGCTTGTGGACCTCGATGTGAGGTGTTATTTGAAGAGATGTCTTCTTTGGATTGGGGATAATATGGGGATTGGACAGGCTTCTGTCTTTGCAAAGGTGAGTAAACAAGTCATTAACTTTGTGCGTCCCAGGATAAATGATGCTGACTTCTTTGTTTATCAAGTCCTCAACTTTTGAAACCGAAGACTTTGCTAGCGGCTGCATGCTTACACTTATCGGAGTGAGGGTTTAATACCATTTTATGCCTGCTAATCCTACATGGATAAAATTGATTATGAGATCTTCATGAGAGATTAAAAGTAATTTGTATTCATTCTTCACATCTAAATCGTCGGAAGCACAGTCCAAACAACATCATATCACAGGATAGCGCCACGAACGTGAAACCAAGCTCTGGCGTTATCCAATCCTAAAACTGTCACCAAGAGCATTTTTCCAAACAAGTCCAAATCACTAGGCTGCGCATTCATCAAAGCCAAGGTGAAATCAAGATTATACACGATGAAATGCTCCCGCTCCGCCCATGCAATTGCGAAGTCGAACGCACTCTGTGCATTCCACAAATGAGCCGACAGATACCACGCATGGTCTCCAAAAATCCCAAGCTTGCCATCACATTGGACGGGGGTCATGCCATGCAGGAGTTTGTAGATTTGCATAAAGTAATATGTCAATAGGACAGTACGTCGAGCGGATTCCTGTAAGACCCATGACTCCCAGAACTCGATAGTTGGGTTCATGAAGAAGGGAAGAAGTTCTGTCGACTGTTTCGGATCTGGAATATAGATTGTTCTCAGAAGGGTGAGGACCGATGCTTCCAGAGTTGTGAAGAGGGCTTCGGTTGTTGCTTGAGCGCCGATGTCGCTGTCAAATAGGCGCATTATTTGATAAAGAATTAGAGCGTGGGTGCGAGCAAGTATTTCTCGGGTGTCTGTTGGTTCTGGCGATTCAACGAGCTCTCTGGTTCGATTGTCAAAGAGGGACATGATCACCGGGGCGTTTATTTCGGTTTTGGACATGTAGAGGGAGCAGCAGGCGTAAGCATCTAGTTCAAGTCCGGTAAGAAACCCATCTGAATAGGTTATTGAAAGAACCACTGACCTTGCATTGCTCTTGGCATTTGTTTCTTGTAAAGAGAGGGATGGCACCACGGGGTCTGATTCTGAAGAACCATCATCCGTGGTGTTTCCTTGAGGACATCGATCGCAAATTGGAGATGGGAGGCGACAATCTCGGGAATAGGCCTTAGCGGCCTGGTCCTCGGCCGCATTAATTGATTATTCGGGTGGCATACCGAGTCGCCACGACTAGCCAGCTCTTGGCTCCGAGGTAGATAGGAGAGTGGATCTCGCAGCTGTGAATCATCTATGTAGCTAATATTGGGCGTGACAGTTGTTTGAGGACAAAAGGTAATGTCTAAATCAAAGGGCGACGAGAGCACTGTCGGCTGTAATATATTCACTGGGGCCAAGGAGGTAGGTATCTCTTCGACAAAATCGGGATAAGCCGAAGGCTGCGTCCCGGGATACACGCATGGTAGATTCCGGCTAACGCATCGAGAGCAGAACGGGAAGACAAGATCACATCGTCTTTTAGAGGTCTTGCACGCCTCACAAGACTTGCGTCGCGGCGGGGCACCTGTATCATACATAGTGGCGGCCCGATGAGCTGAGGTTCAAAAAATTTGGCTGTAAAAGTAAGCGGATCGATGATTTCTATTCCAGGACTAGCGTGCGGAGTTCCACCAGCTGACGGTGGACCAACCCATTTTATTATCCACTTAAGATTCACTTCATTCCACCCTCAGCGGAGTTCCACGAGGTATACAGTCTAGAACGGAAAGAAGACGAAGGATAGCATTAGTAGATAGCCTGTCGGCCAAGTATAAAGAAGGGCAAGATATCCGTGAAATGGCATCAGTCAGCTTCAATCAACCATTTCGCCTCAAACGCTCTACTCAAACAACCATGTCCTCGCCGAAAGTGTTCGTCTGCGGCGCAACCGGCAACCAAGGAGGCGCCCTCATTCAAAATTTACTTGATCATCATGTTGAGATCCATGCGATCACCCGCAACCTCGAATCCGATCCCGCCAAGAATCTTCTTTCTCTCGGCATTTCTCTTGCCGAAGGAGACTTCGATAATGAAGAACGCCTCAAGCAAAGTATGATCGGCTGCACAAGTCTCTTCCTCAACCTGAGTGTCAACCACACCAACCCCACGGGAGAACTCGAGCAAGCTCAGCGACTTCTCTCTCTGGCCAAGCAAGTCGGCATCCAGCAAGTCGTCTACACCAGTTCCATGGCCACCATGGATCCTACACGTCTGACGCACTGGGATCCCAACAGTCTTGTGGCTACGGTACTCCTCAGCAAGCAAGCCATTGAAAACGAAGTTCGAAACGCAGGTTTCAAGCAGTGGGTAATCTTGCGACCGGGCAACTTCATGTCAAACTTTCTCAATCCCCTGGTTCGGATGTACCAAGGCCTCGTGGAAACGGGCACATTCACTACCGCCTTTGCTCAGGACACTGTTCTGCCTATGGTCGACCCAAATGACACCGGAAAATTCGCTGCTGCGGCTGTCCTGGACCCTGCCAGATTCAATCAGAAGGAAATCGAGATCGCATCGCAGATGATGGGATTGGAGGATGTGATGCGGGATCTATCGGAAGCAACTGGAAAGGATTTGAAGATCAGTTTCATGTCGGATGAGGAAGCCAAAGAAAAAGCAGCACAGAATCCTCTACTCGGCGCTCAGTTGGCAATTCGCAATCTGTCGCTGTTTGTGGACATAGAGGATACCAAGTCTTGGGGGATTGAGCTGGGAAGTTTTGCCCAGTTCTTGAAGCGGGAGAAGGCGCGCGTGGATGCTACCTACATGTAAACCTCGTTTTGCAAGTCAAAGGAGGTGATTTATTTCGTGTAATGAAACATTGTGGAGGATGAAAATAGTGATGGTAAAAAGTTCGTATTGTTGAAAAGGTTGAAAAGGTAACCAGGCGTTCACTGGAAATTATTGGTCGTAGACTGCGCTTTTACAGCGACATAAATCTGGATGTGTACCATGGAGTGATGACTGTTCAGTCAATTCACCCCTTGTATGAAGGTTCCACGCCGGTGAGGATTGCTGATGAACTGCGCTCATATCCATTCAAACCGTTCTCGTCTGGGAACCAGGACAATTGTTAGCCGGCTAGATCCTCGTCAGGCCCCTCGCCAATGGCGACCGACTTGAATATCTCGAAATAGAATGTTCCCTTCTGATTTATTGGGTGGCCTTGCTACGACTTGACAATTCCGCAGACCCATAATGCTTGATCAGGCAAGTTTTGAGCTCTTGTGCATGTAAACAATGAAACAGTTTCCTAAAACCAGCAGTCTTTTTATAGACCAAGGCACCGGTCTTGAAGACACAGTCCATCTGAGCTAAAAATTGCCAATCATATGCGCAAGCAGACGAATAAGCACCGCTAGGGTGAGCGCCACCAGTCACATGAGCAGCGGGCCTGACGGCGGGCAGATTTCTAAGCCTCACCGCACCGCACCGGAAACCAGATCTGGTGGAACACGGTAAGGTCGGTGTAGCAGTAGGTGCAGTGTACGCCTGTAGGCGGCACCGGTGGCTTAGGTTCGTAGCCCTGATCGACGCGGCAACAGTATCCGCGACAAGGGAACCCCGGGATAAGGGACCAAAAAAGGAACCTAGCGTGGGGAATCAATAAATTTGGAACCGGGTTTCTCTCCAGATGTGCCTTGCAGAGGGTCATTGGCGGATCTCCCGAAGGGGAGGTCCACACAGTGTAAAAAAAGAAACGGCATTGGGCGTCTTACCGAGACATCTTTCCAAGATCTGCTAAGATCTGCGGAGACTCGAGTCACTCCCTGACCACGGTCGCCTTGAACCATCCTTCAGGTCTCGAAAAATCGAGTTTGATTCCTGGAGAGCTGCAGATAAATAGCTCGTGTCCCGTAGCTCTAGAACACTCAATCCACAATATTCTACACTTTCGTTTAAGCTCATCCTACCTTCTTGCTCAAGTCTCTATTTACAAAATGAAGTCCTTCTTTGGTCTTGCTGCCTTCGCTGGTGTCGCTCTGGCCCAGAGCGCCCAAATCGGGTTTCCTACTGTCGGACAGAAACTCCAAAAGGGCAGCAACGTGGTGGTCCAGGTTCAGCGTCCTGTATGTTCCAAATTCCCCGGTCTTTAAAGTCGTGATTCTAAACTCAGCAGAACTCCCTGACCGGATCTACCGAGATGGCCGTTGCGATCGGCATTTCCTCTTGCGCTTCTAGCGTCTGCAATGATGCTGACGAGGTCATGGGAACTATTCTTTACAATGGCAAATTCAACCCCCAGTACCACGAGCCTAGCCAGCCTCCCTACCAGAACTTCTCCGTCAAGGTCCCCGCCGATTTTACCGCTGGTACTGCCCAAGTCAATGTCGCTCACGCTACCCTCATCGGGGTAAGTTATTAGACGCAAATGCCTTTATCGTCTGTTCTAACAATTTTACAGGCTGGACCTTTCCCCTTCCTCGAGGCTCTGAACCGTACCGTTGTCATTGTCTGATGACACTAGACCTTGATGAGCACCTTCGACTTTTTTAGCCCCATTTTCAAAGTCTTGTATATTTTGTCTTCGTGTTGTACCTTTTTCACACCCATTTTTGTCGCATATAGCTTCGTCTATGTAAAGACTAGTACAGAAACTGAATCTAAATTGCCTTATTACCATATACCTTGTTCCACATTAAAGTTCATGATCGTATAACGGGCTACTTTCGTGATTCTATGATGCCAAAGCCTTTGATCGGGATTTTCTCTGTTCAAAATGTTCGTGACTTCGCCTTGGATGTTTGTCTTTGTCAGCTGACCAATTCCTTTCTTCCGGTAATTGAAATACATTCTGCTTTAGAGGAAGTCTCCAGGCTTTTGATTAAGTTTCATACGAGCATCTATTTAGGCATTCTCGGTACAGTTCTTTCGAATATCGGTGTCACCACTTACACACTCGATCATTTCTCGAACCTTAATCCCAAGAAGTGCTAACCCGTTTGCGGCATAGGTTAAGAGCACCCCTGCTTTCGAGGCTTTGTATGATCAATTACTGGATTGTTATATAAGCCGAATCTACGTTCAATACCGGCCGTTATTCCTTATATGTTTATGCTGTTTGCATAAGTCTCCCTATTGTTATAAATTGTCCATCTAAGGGATTAGACAATACCAGATTTTCAATGTCAACAATGAGGGTGATCGCTTTTCGTATTCGACAGGTTTTAAGATTTACATCACATTCGCCTGTCAAAAATTCGGCCACCCCGCGACCCTTTATAGCTCGCTCGGTATGACCAGTCACCGTCGTCTTCGCTCTCAAACTCTTAGTAGAAATGCTCGCAAACGCCATTATTCAATCGATTTGAGTGAGGTCAATATAAAAAGTTACAAGAAAGCGTCAGTTGGGGATTGCTTTGCAAAAAGCGGTATATGAAGTATCCATCTATCGATGCACTGGCTTTTGGCTGCTCCTTTCCCATTTCAGCAATGTTTCAGAACTAGATAACGCCTGGAGATGATTAGGACTTAGTCTTTGGTCCCGCTTGGCTACGCAAGTCCGTAGTAAGTCAAGAGCCTGGGCCTGATGCCCCGAAGTCTTCCATGTGAAAGCGAGACTAGCCATACTGGACAGCGGATTGGGGTGATCCGAGCCGAGCCGAGCCTTGCGAGCCTCCATCGCCTGCACCAGGAGCCGCTCGGCCTCATCCAGCCGGTCCTGCTTGCGGTACGTCGATGCCAGACTGGCCATACTAGACCGGGTAGAGGGGTATGTTGAGAGCTAGCACGTTTCCAGAAACCGGATCGACCCGAGCCAGAACATTCAGTTCAGGGTCTGGGGAGTTATCTGATTGCTGGCTAGATTCGGAAATTATTTTCTTAGCAGCTTGGCGTCAGGTTTTGGGGGCCAAGTTGCCAAGACAGCCCGTGGGTACCTGCCTCAAGTTGTGACCTTGCTGTGTTCTGCTAACAATCTTGACAAGTCACTGCCGTTCAAGGCTTGCTAGCGTACAGAGCTCGCACTACGTTCCACCTTACCCAGTCCGCCGTGCATTCTTCGACTTCCGCCTGGGTCGTCGTGAACTCCTTGCCCTCATAATCTTGGAATTCGCACGAACATGTCACTCCCAGAACCGCCTCTGTGGTGTCGTATGTATGCGCACTTCGATAAACACGCCCGAATAGATCTTGGCTGACCAGAGCAGCATCTTACTGATCTTCGCCATCAGTTCATTCCTTCCCCAGATATTGCGTATCCGGGCGAAACAGACGACTAGTGGGGTCTCTACACTTTACATCTTATGGAATTTGATTTCCGCAACGGAACAGCTCACTATATATATCTTTGGTCTCTTTGTTGAATATGACCCAGATGGCGGTACCACTTTCCTGCACTCTCCCCCAAGTGCCGGGGACTGGTTTAGTCTGTGCCACTGTGCCGTGGTCACAATCCTTTATCTGACACTGTGAGACTATGTTATGATGCTTTCCAGACACACTTGTATAGGCCCTAACCTTTGAATCTCTTCTTCTAGATTTGCGCAAGCTCTATTCTACAGCAACCGCAGGGTTTCTCTCATCGCCAGATACACCATCTTTCTCGTCGTTTCACTTGTTCCTCTTATTATCAATGCTTTCTCGCCGTTCGACGATGGAGAACAACGATGGTTCTCGGCGCTTTACTTCGCCTTGCATTATTTGCTCCTTTATCGGATTATCACGGCTCTAGTCATTTTGAGCATCTACTGTCAAGCTCGTGAAATTTTAGCAGTACCTTTTCCCAATGCCCTGAGTTTACAGGGGTTGGCTGCACAGGCAGTCGTCTTCATGCTGATCACAATGACGTGGATATGGAGTCTACCGTTCCCATGGGAGATGTGGGATGGTAAAGTAGATTGGAATAGGTTCTCCGTTTGGTACGGTTGTGTTGGTTGGGTCGTCGTTGACAGCTTTGTCTTCACCCTTGGCCAAGCGGTACTTCTGATGTTGGCCTTGCGTCGTTTGTCTTCGAGCAAAGCCATCATACAACGAGGTGACGAGACAGAGCCGCTTCTAAGTGAACCGAGACAGTAATGAATTTCCAAGGCATTACCGCCTCCTTCTCAAACTCGTAACATATTTGACCTAGACGATGTAATGCCTCGTTTCTTTCTGTTGTTTTATTTGTCCTACTTAGCCCCAATCATTGAAGGATGCTTCTGATAGAAGCTGTTGGTAGATTGCCGCATAGAGAAGTGCCATTTGTAGCGGGAGCGTTCAAAAGAGCCCTCCTGCCTCTGCCTCTGCTTGCTTTCTTTTTCTTACATCTAGTTGATGTTTTCCGTGTTTTGGACCTAAACCAAAGGCTTCCCTTGCACTCCCTCTTTTTAAGTTCGCCTAGGCTTACATATCTCGCGTAGGGCGAGAGTTGCTCATCCGTAGAAGTCTGGCCAGAAGGATGTTGCCTCATGAAGACATTCGACATTGACAGGGTCCACTTCTGTTACAGCCCCAGTGTTGCCGAGACAGGCCTAAGTTGCGACCAGGTCCAAATCTCAAGGGGAAAATACTGTCAAGAAACCACCAATTCGGGCCCTGGAAGTTCCGTTAGGTGCCCTTTTTTCTTTTGTTATAGTCTCAGACCTCTTGGGATTCTTCGATGTGCCCGACAAATGACCACGTGATTTGGCTACTAAAGCAACAGTAAGGTGCGATGACGGCCAGGTGGAGGTGTCTGCACCGAGCAACTTCATCTAGCACGATAAGCACGTTCTGGACCTCGGGGCTGCAGAGCGGCGTGGCCGTGGCTACAGCCGTGCAATGAAGACCTCCCGGCCCCTCAAAAGTACGTACCCGGACCACCGCATCGGTCCCAGCCCAGCAGTCACCGTGGAGAAGGGATGCCTATCCACCGCACCCTATTCGAGCTCCTAAATGGTCCTATTGGATGTTTGCGGCAGCACGGAGCCCGACATTGCGTTATTTTGCATCAGCCTGCATCGCCAGTGGAGTCAATCTTCAGACGGGCAACTAGTTCAGTGGGGTTGGCTGTGCACGCCACCGTGAGATGACATTGAACCTGTTCTTCGGCGAAGTTTTGATCCAAAGTTTGGTTTTGCGGGCCGCGGAGTCAGAACCTTGGGAGCCGGGGATCAATTGTTTACCATCCACACCATTTCTTGGAAATCAACCCCTCAGCCCCTGGGAGACAAGCTGAAAGTTGTGAGGATTTCGGCAGAGGCGAACAGCGGGGAAGCCGAGGAGTCTGTTGGAGGTCCACAACTTGACGGCAGGGAAGCCCAGTGGAGCCGGGCAAACCACTCGCGAACTGCTTCAGATCTGGCGCCAGATCATTGGACCTCATTGCTCCCAGTGGAGATGGAAGACTGCTAGCTCGATCCACTGTTCGTCCTACATCTAGCGCGATCGGCCCATTGATACAGGTCTTAACCTGTCATGCAAAATTGTGGCGGTAATCACCGATTATTCCCCTAGAACTGGCTATGTAGAGGCCAATCTTTCATACTGTATACAGTGAAACAGAACCATGATCATCATAACACATCTCCACAAAGGGTATCATGACTGCGCCGTCACTCGCTTCAGCCGAATCTCAAGTCCCTGAGCGCCGGGTGGCAGATCAGCTCCGTCGTCATTATGATCAAAGTACAATCGCCAGACTCCGCGCCCCTCGTCGATCCCTAGCTCTTGATTTGTACGTTCCTGGGTGTCATCCTCCGGCAGCCGTACAGCCAGCCAGCCCTCCCAGCCCTCCAACGTCACGTACGTCTCGTCTTTGGACCAGTCGAAGGGTCCACATACGTGGCCCTCACTATCGGGACGCCCACCCCAACGCAGCTCATGCGTGTTCACATCCAGGAACACCCAGCGGAGAGTTGGAGACTCCTCCCCACTGATGGTCACTAGCCCGGATGTATTATCGGGCGGGAATTCTGGATGTGTGTAGAATCCGCCATTGTATGGGACCATGGTGGAAGCTGGCTCTTTGGTGATATAGAGCTGCAGCACATTAGCGCTCTAGTCCGAGCTTCCGAAACTCGCGTCATGGACTTACTTTCCCGTCTCGACCCACTTGCACCGTGGCATTGTGAATCTGCTGCCGTTGCTCCTGCGTGCCCTGGCTTAATGACACTGTGGCCACGAGGTGGGTGCGCGCCTTGCGCTTGTTGCTCAATCGGTCTTCCTCTTGTTGTCGACTCCCTTGAGTAGCTTCATTCAGACCGATCATTGTCGGCATCATGGCCGCAATCATGACGACCCCTAGTACCATTGTGATGGGGGAGGGCGCAGGTACGATCTCGGAGGGGTGAGGAAGAGGTATTGTGGCCAGCCTGTAACAGATAAATACAGCCTTTTCAGCTCTGGCGGAGAAGAGATGGCAGTGGAGATGATCTAAGTGGGCTCCTCCACTTTTCTCCCCACGGGTTGCATCACTTTGCTGCAACTAAACAAAACGAGCTCGAGGAACACAAGGGTCGGTTCACCCATTGACCCAGCACTTGCAGATCTCCGATGCCTCTCCTAGCTCCTACCCGGCTGAAGGAAAACTTGAAATAGCTCAGGACGAAAGTCTCCATTCTCTTTCTTATTTCCCTTCGTCCCCCACTCGCCTCCTAGACAGCCCCAACCATACAAAACCCCCAGTCCACAATGGCCGACAGGTATCTTGACATCTTCCAATTCCTCGTCCCCCATCTTGACCTGCCCATTGTAACTTGGTTCTTCTACTTCGCCAGTCATTCATTACCAATGTCTAAGAAGAAGACCAAGAACAAGCCGAGGCCACCCCCCAATCCGAATCCACCCAGACACACGCCATCTCCTGAGCCTGAAGCCTCCGCTAACTCTCCTCCGCCTAGTATTTCTTCCCTCACCGATACTCTGCCCAAGGGAGGCCGCAAGGGCAACCGTCCCGAGGAAGAGCTCGGCGATGTTACCAACAAGGTTGGCGATGTCCTGCCCAGCACTGGTCTGTCTATGCCCAACGAGACCACCAAGGGTGGCACTGAGGGCAAAGAAGGAAGTCTGAACATCAGGATCCACCTCAACCTCCACGCTAAGGTCCGTCTGGACCTCGATGCTCAGATCTATGGTGATATTGTGATCGGTCTACTTTAAACTTGGACATGGGTATGTATGCTGGTAACCGTTTTCACTTGAGAAACTAATGCAGAATAGATTGGTGGAAGTCTCGGATATCCGACTCCGAGCATAACGAATGTATATACATGAATTGAATATTACCCGAACAAGGGTTCACTCAACTTTGACAAAAAGCCTTAGCCCTTGGCCAGTTATTCTTGCCGTCTATGAAGTAGAAGTACTGCGTATCTCATGTACCAAATGTAGCAACTTATGCTATACTATGGGTGTTGAATATGCTCAAATATTTCTGTTCTAAAGATTCTCTGCGTTTGGCCCCAAGTCGGCCAGACTCCATTCTAACACCCCGACGTCAACCCCCATCAACGAATCCGTACCACAGGTTTCAATTACATTAGAATTCCAAAACAATTTACCTCTCTCAATATTCACGCGTTGTTCTTCACGCGTTGTTCTTCACGCGTTGTTCTCCACCCGTAACGATCTGGCAGGGTCCTCCTTCCAGTATTTTACATCTTGGTTTCAGTTTCCTCACGCACACGCGACCATCGCCTACTCTCATTTGACATCTACTAAAAGGCATCGATATCAACAGTTCCCTAATTACCTGAGAGCTCCGCCCGGGTTGTGTGAGTAGGTAAATCGGCTAGCATTTCAGCCGGAGCACCAGTTGCACCCCAACTGATTTCGTTCCTCGCATCTAGCTCCTGCTTCTTGACGGGATCGGGCGAAGCCCCAGAATCTATTTCGGAGATACCCCCAACCTTATCTCCAGGTAACTCAATTGGTCGTGAGACCTCATCTCCTGAACGTGCCCGTTTGCGCCGCCACCACAAGATGAAGCAAGCAACCGCTATGCCTATCACAACGACGGGGATGCACACTCCGATAGCAATCTTGGCGCCAGATGATAGCCCACCGTTGCTACCACTAGAGCTACTTGTGGTGGAGCTATTTGTAGAGGAGCTGCTTGTAGTGGTTTCTGCAGGAAATGTGGTGGAAGAGCGTATGTCTTGGATGATCACGACGGGGAACGCCCGAAAGGTTGCGCTCGTGTCTCCGGTGGCATGGACTCCGTTGTATGGATATGAGGTAGTTTCAACACACTTATCGCCAGACGTAGTGAGGAGAGTTTTTGGGCCGAACGATGGATCGAGCTTGGCGCACCCGTGTACATCGAAGAAGTAGCCTCTATAATTGTGTGAGCTCCGGTCATTGTTCTGTCAACGTCCATGCTTGATGGAGATGCCAGCGCAAACCTACGAAGGACAGCAAGCAGTAGCAACATCATATTCTCCCAGGTCTGTCAGAAACGTGACGAGTTCGTTCCCTGACTTGGACCCCGTAACTGCTGCAGCAGACTGGAAGCCCGAGGGACAGCCCAAGCCTGGATAGAAACCCTTCCAGGCGATGTCGGCATTGCTTGAGAACCCCACCCAGCCTGGGGGAAAGCACGAAGAGGCAAAGCCGACTGTCCCCGAGTTGCAGTCCGCGCCCCAGCGAAGCATCTGCCGACTGGAATCATGTTGGTACCATTTCTCATCGAAACAGTCCTGCGGCGGCTCAAAACGGGTGGTCAAGGGACCAAAATTGGACTTGACAGTCGTCATTCTGGCAGCGTGTGCGTCATGAGAGGATAGAAATCATTAAAGGGGGACAGGCATGATCATCGTCGGGGCCATTGGGGGCCACTTCACGCGGCTCCAGTTACACTTTCTCCAGTCCGTTCGAATACGAGCTGCCCCTCAATCTGGTCCTGCCATTCTATTCGGCACACCTAATTAGCCGGTGTTAGTAGAGTCTCCATGGGTCTGTGCTGGCGAGCTGCAAAACTCTTGGTCGGATATAGGTAGCCCCTGCGGCTCCAGGGATCAAGCTTCCCGCTCATCCACCCGGTTCCACGCGGGGTACTTCCGGAAAGCCAAGTTCGAGCGTTACTGTCGTTGGCTAAAACAATATTCTCCTGGGCGTATGATTACGCACGCCGACTGTTTCCAAACTATGGCCAGGATACTTGCCCTCCCTGTTGAGTTGCGCATCTCCATTTTGCGAGAGCTATCCGACATCGGGGATCTTTCCGCGGCAGTGTCTAGCCACCGTCTGCTGGCCGAGGCTCTGCGCGAATGTCCTGGTATTGTTGGCCATGTCCTGGGAAACGAAATTGATCCTCGACTTTGGCCCATTGCAGTGACTATATGGCAAAAGCAGACCCGTAGAAATGATCTTGAGGTTTTCGACGAAGACGACTCGTGGGCGGTCCTTGACGAATGCCAAAGAACTGCCCCCGAAGAAGCATGGGAATATCTGACTACTGTTGATTTGGCAGAGGCGCACAAATACTTCCACCAACTAAATCGCGCTATTGACAAGTTTACGACCGATTTTCTATCTACGGCCCTTGACTCCCTGGCTATTGAAGGAAGGCTAGATCACTCTCCGCCCCTACCGTCACCTACTGAGATTTACCGTGTACAACGTGCCTTTTATTTCTTTGAATTCTTCTGTTGTCTCTGGGGTGACGGCCTTTTTATCACGAATGATTATGATCGTCAATGGTCAAGGCCGTTATATGTTGGATTTCACCCTTGGATAAACGAGCAGCTCGCCTCGGTGTATGAGTATTTGTTGAGACAAGTCTCCACCGGTAACTGTGCCAATCTACATTACAGAGATCGGAATGAAGCTGACCGAATTCTTCACCTAAAGCTTTCAACGACGTACATTGTATCCGCTTGGGTACCATGAAGACGGCCAGTTTGGAATTAGCAGACTATGAAAATCCAGAAAATTTTATTTTGGTTAGTGAGCAATCCCCAATAGGAGATCTACTGAACTTTATAGGTCTCGCGCGGTATAAGTTACGTCTATAAGCTTACCACAGCACCGACATACGACGCCCGGTCCCGTTTACTCGTTGACGAGACGGAGCCGGGAAGAGGTTTTATGCTTGGCATCGCTTTTGAGGATCTTATCAGGTCCTATGTACACGAACGACACACTCTTCGACACCCTCAGTTTGGTGCAGCCTACATGAGAGAGTTGCAACACATGACGCAAGACCCTGATTATTCGACTCATGACCTCTTCCTACCAGATCTGGGCAACTCCGGGCCGGCAGAGATTTGGTGTCAGGCGCATCTATCCGATGATCATACCCTGTGGGGCTTGGATTTTGTTATGAGCAAGCTCTTCGCTGATGAACGGAAAGCCGGCTACGTGATGTGGGACGCATGTCGTATACTGGATTTCGAGAATTTTAAGCGAAAGAAATAGAGTCTCAGACAGAGATGACGCCTAGAAAATCGATTAAGCCAGATAATGACCGTCACTTATAAGAGCCTGTGCTCGATGAGTGCGGCGAATTTTATACCACAAGTCTAGGAGTTACTAGGAAATTGGCCATTTCACATGGATTAGAACTATTGAGCATTTCATAGGAATTCAGCTGACTCTCAAGGGCCTATTTGTAAGCTACGGCCCCTTACAGACCTGGCTTTTACAGAGTTCGTAACACCTAGCCGGTCTGCGTTGACTTGGCCGGGGGTTGCTAGGTATAGAGAGACCCTCAAATTGATCAAATACGGCTTGCCAGAGTAGGATCTATAGGAAAAATCAAACGAGAACTTGTCAGCCTAGCAATATTTTGATTCAATAAATTAGCACACGCTTTGCTTATAGAGGAGGTAGACGTAGATGCGAAGACTGCAGAGGGTAAAGGAAGAAAGTGCCCCCCACCTCTCCCTAGACCTTTTTATAGATTAGTACAGCAATTTACAATGACTCATGGGCATTACAGCCCAATACGTTACATACGATGATTCTCTAGGCAGACGATAGTCTTCAATGTAGCCTGATATAGACTGGAGGCGGAGTTGGAGGAGGGGGAAAAGAGGGTTGAAGAACGGGAGATTAAAGGCTTTTAGCCTTTTGATGTGCCTGCTTAGTTCTGAGGCTGCAGATTGGGGTGGATGGGGTGAATGGGGTGGATATTTGCTATGACTGTCTTCTCTAAGTGCTACAACTCTCCTCATGTATACTACTTCTTTGATGGGTGTATAAAACGATATGCAAAATAAACCGAACTTTCTTGTATAGAACAGCAAGAGTATGATATGTACCAGGGTGAACCCCAACAAAAAGCAAGGAACCAGACGTCCATAGACGGGGTATCTTAGTCTGTCTAGACTGTGCACGCATGAAGAAAAGGAACGTTAAAATAACAAAAATCCCACCAACACCTTTTGGCGGCATCGTAAAACGCAACACAAAAAAGACGCTATGAGGGACTGACAAGATGACAAAGGAAGGAAATGGGAGCAACAACCCACGTATACATATTATACACACGTTCCATGGATCATTTCAGATGGCCCTTGTGAATAGCCCCAAAGCCCTTACTGAACAATTCATGGATCTCAATCGAGCGCCTCGGTGCACACGAGTCACCCGGAGACCTTGGTTCCGCGTCCGTGATGGGGGCTGGCTCCGGCGCACTGCCGGCGTTACTAGCGCTGGCACTGACGCTGGAGTAGCCTTCCATTTCAATTTCGTGGGTGACGGGTTTGGACTCAGTCATGACGCGGGGGCGAGAGAGGAGTTCTTGGACCTGGCGTTCGCGGACATCCATTTCGGCGTTTTCGCGCGCGATTTCGAAGCTGGATTTCTTGGTTCCGCGGTCCCAGCCTTGCTGGAGTTCTGGAGCGGCGGCTTCTTCGAATCGTTTGCGGATGTCGAGGTCTTGCTCGTACTCTTGGAAAATGTCGACGTCTGTCGGGAAGAACAGGGCGCGGAGGGTGCTCATGGTGAGTTCGAAGAGGAGGACGGAGGCGATGGATATGAGAAGGACCACCCAGAAGAGGAGATTGTCGCCGGCGTGGTGGAGGAAGTTGTCTGGGACGTCGTAGACGCCTTTGCCGGAGCTTAGCTTGTAGCGCTCGGAGAGGATGATGTTCCAGAGGAACCAGCCACCGACGGAGATGATGATCACGATGATGGAGAGGTAGGTCTTGTTGTGGACTTCCAGGGCTTGTAGCTTGATGTTGATTACCGCCACACAGGCTGTAAAGGTGAGGAGGCCCAGGGAGAAGGTATCGATGTCACTTGGGTTGATCTGGCACATGCCGTAGAGACCGTACATTGTGAAGAAGATGATCATGGCTTCACAAGCTGCCATGAACGTCCAGCCCAGCCACAAGCGGATATTGAATCCACCGTGTCGCTGACCTCGGGCGTACAACTCAGGAACAGCCAATAAGGTCGACGCGGCCAAGTCTTTGGTGAAGATACCAAGAAAGATGACAGCAAGCGAGGTGAAGAGAGTGTTGAACATACTCAAACTCCAAGACTCGTACAAACTGGTTCCGGTATAACCATTCCAACGCTGGTACAGCGCCTGAGTGAGATAGAATAGCATTTCCTTCCAGAATGTGCCAAGAGTGTACTTGCACGCCCGCATGTAGTTCCACCGTCCATGAACAAGGAGCAGCTTCAGCAGGAAACGAAACTGCGCAATCGAGTAATCCGAAATACGCGCAGCCTGAAGACCTTCCTTGCCGGCGATACCAATCCCAACATGCGCCTCCTGGATCATCGCAATATCATTGGCACCATCACCAATAGCAAGAGTAACGGCATCTTGCACATGCGTGCGAATAGACTTCACCAGGAACGCCTTCTGCTTAGGACTAGCTCGACAGCAGATGACGGAGTCCACACGAATAGCGAGTTGGAAGAATCGTTTCATGACAATCTCATCTGCTTCAATCTTCGACAAAGTCTGGCCATCAACAACCACAACAGAATGAGCCACGCGGTTGCAAGTTAGATCAGAAGTCAACTGGACAATAGTCTCCTCGACATCCCCATTCTCATGATCCAGAATGGTCAATGTTGAGTAATCCTTCACAAGACGGCAAGAATGCCCAACATTGATAGCAGTCTCACGTTTGTCACCAGTCAACATCCACAACTTGATATTGGCACGACGCAGCTTTTCAATAGCTTCGGGAACACCCTTCTGCAAATTGTCTTCAATGGCAGTGGCACCCGTCAGTTCGAGCTGCTGCTCGATTTCCTCGCCAACGCGCTCGATCTTCTCCTGTCGGTCGACGATACTGGTGGACGCCTCGTGATACGCAGTTTTCCAAGACTTATAGGTAGCCTCGTCCAGGAAGCGGTGACCATAGAGCAAAGTACGCAGTCCTTCAGTAGCGAAGTCATTCAGGTGCTGGAAGCATCGCTCGAAGATGGCAGCCTCGTTGACAACAAGAGCCTCTTCCACCAGATCCTCGTCTTCCTCGCCATTGGTCTCGCTACCAGAGTCGGAGATTGCGGTCGAGTTCCGCCCCATCTGTGCAGACGGGCGTGGGCTGTAATACTCGCTATCAGGCCTCCGGTCGAGTATACCACCATCCGTCTCACGATCGCGGAGCCAGACATCGATACTTTCGCGCAGAGTCGACGCATGATGCCCAGAGACAGAAGAGCGGCGACGGTTGAAGCTAGGCCGACTCAGACTGCTACGAACACCGCTGTCCTTTCGGCTGTGGTACTCGCTGTTGCGACGAATAACCTGATTCGCTTCAGCAGCCTTGCGCTTGCTGACACGGCGCTCAATCTCGGTGGCTTTCTCCTGTGCCAGATCGGCCTTCTTAAACAGACGCATGAGAGTGGTATCGGCGCCCTTGCAGAAGAGACAGATGCGCTGATCAGGCATGCGCACCACAACTGACATGCGCTTCCGGGCGCTGGAGAATTCAATTACGTCCATGACTTGGTAGACTTCGTCTTGAGCGGATTCTTCGGAGCCGTTGGGGTAGGTGCGGATCGTCAATGTCTTCACCTGGCGATCAATCACCAGATAGCCGAGTTCCTGGGCTGCCATAACAAGAGCCAGCTCGTCGGGCGAGGCTGCTTGGAAAGAAACATTGCCATTCTCATCCTCCTCTGGTATACAAGTGTGGCAGAGGGCGATGGACATGATGAACAGCTTGGCCTTTCGCGCGAAAACGGTGTAAGGCTTGCGCTGGATGTACTCGAGCATGTCGGTCGTCTTGTACGGCGAATGACGAAGGCGGCGCGTGGCCTCGAGGTTGGCAGAGATATTGGAAGGTCGGGGCCCGGAGGGCATACGTGCCGCAGACGCAGTGGACTTGCGGCCAACAGCTTTCTTTCCCTTGAGATTACGCTTCTTGTGGATGAGCTTGGCGTGGTCGCCTTCACGGGCGGCTTCTTCCTGAAGATCCAGATCATGCAACCACGCTGTACCAGCAACGCTCATTTTCCGGAAACGCATCGAGTTGTTTGTTAAGGTTCCAGTCTTGTCGGAGAATATGTAGCTAATTTGGCCCAGCTCTTCGTTGATTGTGGATGTGCGGGCCTCGAGAGGAGTATTGGTTTCGGGGTCGTACATGTCGATATCGTTGAGCAGGAACATCTGAACAACCTTGACAATTTCCATACTCACATAGAGCGAGATGGGGATCATGGTATTGAACATGATGAGGAACGAGGTAAAGACTGGGCCGTAACTAACGCTCGCGTCTGTCAAGTACCAAGAGTGGCTTCCCACATTTTCCTCCCAGTACTTGTAGCAGATTGTGCAGACAACAGCCAGGATAACCACGAGAGCCACGATCAGCATGACAACATGGTTAACCTTCGATTGCAGAGTGGGCTTTTTGATACGTGGGTTCTTGTTGGCGTTCATGCGGATCTTGCATTCTTCGCCAGTGTAAATCACCATGCCGATCGCTTCGTCGGTGTTGCGCAGAATACTTCCTCGGTAAACGATTTCGTTGTTGGTCAAGGGCAGCTTCTCCTGGGCGTTGACAGTAACATGGCCGTCAAACTTGTAGAGATCCAGGTTCGGGTCCTCCACAACAAATTCAAGCGAGTTACTGGTGATATCCTCGACTGTAGAGCAAGCCTTCGAAACTGGCGGACACGGCTGCTTGTTCTTCAGGTTGGTCTCTCCATCCAGGGCCATGGTCTCGATATAGGCCACGCCATTGGGCCCATTTGCATGCAGCAAGGCGAAATCAGCCGGAACTGGCTCGTCTCGTCCGAGTTTGATGACATCTCCAACTCGGATATCCTGCCACTTGATCTCAACCCAGTCTTGCCTACCGTCCTCGCCAGACCGAAGCACGCAGGCAAATCGGTTATTCTCTTCCTTGTCCAGACGATAGCGGCGCCAGTCATCAAATCCTTCCTTACCCATCGAGATACCGACGAAAATCAAAAGTGGAACAATGGTTGTGTAGGTTCCAGTGGTACTCAGACCGGGTACCATTTGCAGAATCGCCACAATCAAAAAATAGAAGTTGGCCATTTTGGTGAACTGGTTAAATAGCTGCCGGGGGAAAAAACTCCAGAAACTGTAGCGACTCGAACGGATCCAATTCGCGATATAGGCCTTGCCGGTTCGCTCGTCGAGCAATGTCTCCACTAATGACGGGTTCAAATCGATGTGGCGTCCGTCCTGGGTAGGTGGGATATCCTTGATGCGCAAGATAAACTTCTGCATAGAGGTCATGACAGCCTCAACTCGGTTGCAGATCGCCGCTGTGGCAGCCTTCTTCTTCACCCATTTGTCCTGTGCAGATACATAGTAGTCTTTGAAAGCGCGCTCTGGAGAATCAGTCGAAGGGTACGTCGAAGTTTCTTTGAGAGATTCGGCGGTCGCAGTCGAGGTCACGGTCAATTCGTTCTTCTCGTTGATAACGGCAGGCTCAATGGGAGCCGGTGCTGGGCCATCTTCAAGCACAGGGCTCGGTCCCTTAGCTTCACCCAGCTCTGCATCTAAAATATCTGGTTCGGTTGTCTGTATGTTCCTATTGAAGATCGATCGGCGGAGGGAGTAACCACGGTTTCGCGAACGTGATCGCCCAGATTCAGGGCTCGTGGGGGAGGTCGGAGAGAGGGGAGAGAGCGTTGCCCCGGGGGCAGTATTGGGCGAAAGAGGGGAGGTAGGCGAGTTAGCAGGCGATTGAAGCGTCGAAGGCGCCAGCGCCGTATCGATGGTCAAGCCACGCGAGCTGGGGCGTCGGTCCCAGCCCGCCTGTCGTTCTTCGACAGGGGCTCGGTCGAGGTCTGTAGAAAATCGCACATGCTGTTGGGAGGCGCGCCGCCCAGAGTCGGACGTGGAGCGCGAGGCGAGAGAGGGGCGCCCTGCGACATCGTGCTGCTCCGGGAGCTGGTCATCGGAGGAGTACTTCTGGTTGGACATGGCGGAAAATGCTGAATGCTTCGGATCGTGCCTGCGCGGCGCCCGGTCGATCGTTGCGCTCGAGATCTGCGATCGACTTTCCTGGGCTTCCTTCCTTCAAGATGATCGAAATAATCGATTTAAGAGGTCGAAGAAAGATGAGGCATTCTCTATCGCTCACCACATGGTTCGGCGAGTTCGCCGATCAAATGAGTGGTGCAGAAGATCGCAAACGAAGGTAGGTCCAACGCAAGGACTAAGTGAGGGGTAATAACTCAACAGGCGCGGAGTAGAGCGAGTGTATAGAGAAGAGGATATCTCAAAATCGCAAAGTCGCAAAGTCGCAAGTTGCCAGCGAAAGAAGAAAGTTGTTGTCGAAACGGAGCAACACCGAAAGTAGGCAAGACCGAAAACGTCAGGAACCCGAAACGGGGAGGCGACAAGACACACAGAATTAAGATTAGAATTGAGGGAACCAGAGGAGAGAAAACTGGAGTCGTCTGTCAGTTGTCCAGACTCGTCGTTCCTGGGGGTGTGGAGTACTGCACGCGCAATGGTGGGCTGGCGGTGGATGGTTGCATCCACCGACGACCAGGGACCACACAGGCCCTGGCTGATTGCGACGGCACTCAGCCACCATCAAAGTTTGGAGATACGTTTGTACTCCTGCCGCATCCATGGGTTTAAGAGGGCTGTGAACAGGCATCCAGAATTATGGGCCAACCGGCTGCATTCCTCGTTCGGCGTGGCCCAGACTTTTCTCCATGTGCATTTTGGTGGCAACCCTATTTTATTTTAGGCATTTAGGCAACCTCCTACGCAGTACACAGTACACAGTCCATAGGACATAGGATATAGGACATGGTACGTGAATGCCTACTTGGCGTAAGCAAACTGGCGGTCGCAGCATAAATTCGGATTCCCGTTCTCGGTGTTGGGAACCCTTAGCGACATCTCCGTAATTTGGCTCGAGCGATTGCAGGGGCCCGGGAGCCCCTACGGATGTCCGATTTGGGAACTTTGGGACTTGGCAGCGGAAACACATCTTAACTTCTTTCAATCTATCATGATATATGTGGAGATTGTTAATATGGTAAAAGGTAAAAAATAAAAATAGAAAAAGAATCAAAAAACGTCAGAAAACACAAGAGAGAATTGGGCCCGTGACGTCACTGCCATCAATAACGGCGTGGGGGCGCCTGTCCCTGGGATCCGTAAGGCGGATAGCCTGCTCCACCAGGTTGCGGCGAGGGAGCACCATATCCATATGGTGCTTGGCCTTGGCCATACGCAGGGTTGCCGCGGCTATTGCCCTGGTAGGGGGGCTGAGGCGGCTGTTGAGGAGCCTGCTGGTAGCTGGGCTGCGGGGGGTAACCAGCTGGGGCATTGTATCCTCCAGGCGGTCCCTGAGGTGGTGCTTGACCGTATCCACCGTAGCCACCTTGCTGGGGTGGGGGTGCGTTGGATCGTCCGGCGGCCTTCTCGTCTTTGGTGTCGTATGACGAATCGATGGCTCCGAGCATGAGCTTCGCGCACTGTGGAGACGATCAGTTCAGGTCCATCAGGAGGCATCATGAAAACTTACCCAAAGCTCGCGGGTCAAATGCACTGGAGGCACAGCTCGGGACATCTCATCTTGCTCAACTTCAAAGTCTATTGCATGGTTAGGTTAGCACGCACGAAGTGTTCCGCGGGGCACAGTGCAACATACTCGAAGTGCAGTCAATCAGCTGTCCGATCTGAGGGTCCTCGTCCAAATCGGACAAGAATTCACGCGCACGCTGGTCATTGCCAACCTGAGTGAACTGGAAGGAAACAGCACCGCGGCCATACCGAGTGCGCGACACCTCGTTCACGGCGTGTTGAATCACGTCGCGCAAAGCACCGTGTGGCTCGCCTGCAGGCTGTCCATCCGTAATAGTAATGATAAGGACTGGCTTGTCGAGGCGGTTGGCGCGAGCAGGGCCCACGACCATGGGGTCGACGACCTTGTCCTTCAGGCCAGTACCCAGAGGGGTCAATCCTGCGAAACGCACACGAGACACCAGATTCTCGACATCAATAGCACTGCGAATGCCATCACCGCGCTCCTGGTTGTTCATGAATCGGACCGAGATTCCATCCTGGTCAAAAGTAGAAGCAGCAGTGGCCACGATACCCAGGATCTGTCTCAGCTGGTCCTTGCGAAGTCCCTTCTCTTCGAACTCAATGGATCCACTGTCGTCAACGTAGAGAATCACGTCGAACAGAGCGAGCTTCATAACATCGGTGGCCACTTCCATAGGGACGGACCATTCGTTGGTCAACTTGGCCAGCTTGACAGGTGCATCATTGACGAGGGTTTGGACGAGTTGGTTCAGTCTCTCTGGTGGGTAGAAGCTCTCAAGGCTCTTCTCTTGGATGGTGCTAATCAACAACTGGCGATAGGCATTGAGCTGCTGAGGAGTGGCGGGAGCAGCCTGGGGCGGAGGGCCACCGGGAGCACCATACTGGCCACCAGGAGGTCCTGGCGAAGGTCCAGGACGGCCTTGTCCGCCGGGGTACGGAGCGCCCTGGTTCGGGTAAGGTGCCTGGCCCTGTTTATCGTTAGCATACATTCAGGTACTGACAAATCACGAAGCAACGCAAAATCATAACACAGAGGCATTTGGGGTTCAATGTACATAGGGCTGCTGCTGTCCGGGATACTGGGACTGGGGCGGCTGTTGTCCAGGGTAGGGTGATTGTTGAGTCGGGTAAGGCGACTGGGGTGGCTGCTGTCCAGGGTAGGGTGAATGTTGGGTCGGGTACGGAGACTGAGACTGCTGTCCAGGATAAGGCGATTGTGCCGATCCGTAGGGCTGACCTTGACCTTGAGGCGGCGGTGGGGGAGGACGTGCATAGCCTTGCTGAGATGATGCGGGGTAAGGCTGTTGCTGCTGCGGAGCTGGCGGAGCCCTATTGTAGGCACCACCGGGGGGAGGAGTATTGTAGGACTGGTAGGGTTGAGCAGGTGAGCCGCCGTACTGGGGATGACCCTGGTTGTAATAGGGACCTGACATGGTTTCGAGTTGTCCGACGCTGGTTGGGGGGGGCCGAGGGAACCGATGGAGGGGCAATTCAAGGGAAAACAAAGACCAAAAAGAAGGATGCAAAAACAGTATCAAGGGAAGCTTACCGATCCCTGAGGAGGAGGGGATCCTGGATAAGCCTGGTACTGCGCTTGTGGCTGTTGCTGCAGAGAGTGTCAACAATATTGTCCCACCATGACGTCGCGAGGATAACAGGTGACTTACGTATCCACCAGGCTGCAGGGCAGTCGGAGGGCCTCCAGTGTATCCCGCAGGGGGTGCGCCTTGGTAGGAGCCCGTTCTACCAGTATTAGACATGGTCTGATTCTGACTCTGGCTTGGGTTCGAGTTCTGACTCTGGGTAGCGGCTATCTTCGAGGCGAACTGATGTTTTGGAAGTCGAGTCAGCTCAGCTTATTGCGGGGTAGAGGCAAAAGGGTGAAAGAGTGAAAATGACTGATGAAATACTTACACCCATTGTGTAGATGGAGAGAGTTAAGGAAGAAAAAGCGAGTGGACAAACCGATGACGCCAGACAATTACACGCCACACCAGATTGGGGAAAGACTCTGATGCCTGGCAGGGCTGTGTCTGTGGATACGGATACGTGAGCGTCAACGTGAACGTGAACGTGGGAATGTGCTACTCCGGCTGAGGGGGTGACCCTGACCTCGGCCCTGGTACATCTACACAGCCTTGGACATTCTGACGATGACTAGAGTATTGGAATAGTCACATAGTCAGGCAAGATGTAGTTTGTTTATGTACAGGTACTGAATGCACCGCTCATCAATTTGTGCCTGTGGGGCCCACCAGATCCACCTTCCAGAACAAATGGAAACCACTTCCTATACTTCCGTTCTGTTCTTTGGACTTGGATATTAAATTTACAGTATATACTTGATCTGCTTTACAAGACTTCCAAGGTTCTCCCCTGCTCGCCACTGAGATATCCGTCCTTGCTTATCAACCTAGGCTTTGCCCCATGACCCTCATATGCGTAATACAGATCGACACTACAGCCGCATGTCGATGGCTTCAGAATCGCTGATTCCCTAGAGCTCTGAACCGATCCATGGGAACTTTCCGGGGATGCGTCAGGGCCCAACCAGGTCTCACTCTAGCACAATGGGTGGCATTAGAGGCGACTGATGTCACGGCAGAACCGGTTTGCTGTTTTGCGGAATGGACAGCCTGGACATCAGGAGCTTCCTTGGTCCTTCCTTTCTTTTTAAACAGGTGCTTCTTGGTGCTACCTTACTTCTAGAGCGTCCATACCTAAGAAAATCCTCTATTGCTTACACCATTATAACCCCCTACCATCCCCTCCATCAAGAGCATCCTCCCTTGATTCCCTTCTACATTCGCCACGCATCCCAGAAGTTTGTCAAGGTCCAGTCCAAAGCTCTCTCTCTTTCACTTCAACCCACCCGATCCATCCTCCTTTCATCTTCAAACTTGCCACCATGTCTACCCCGGTTCTCCGCATAGGCATTCTCGGCGCCACCGACGCTGTCGAAACAACCTATCTCCCAACACTAATAAGCCTCAAATCCCACTTCTCCATCATCGCCCTTCAATCCAGCAACCCCGAGGCCCTCAAAAGCTGTCAAAAGCTCTTTGCCATCCCCAGCATTACCACAAGCCCCGAAGAAATCCTCTCCAACGCCCAAGTAGATGTCATCCTCAACCTCTTCCCTTTCGAACACCATGAAAAATACACCATCGCCGCCCTCGAATCGGGAAAGCATGTCATGGTCGAAGTTCCCCTATCAATGACAATCGACTCCCTCCGCCGAATCCGCGCCGCAACCAAAAAAGGCCTCTTAGCCCGCTCACCCGACGAAACCACCTCCGCCCCTCGCGTCTTCGTCGGATGCGCCCGCCGCTACGCACCATGCTTCACAGACATCTTCAAAAAGGAACTGGCTACCCTCCCCCGGATTTATTACGCGCGATGCCGCAATATCTCCGGTCCTCTCCGCGTCCCGAAAGACGGGTACGTTGACAAAGTCAACGAATTACACGGATCGAACGACCCCAGCGGCAACGAAGTAAGTGGACGTACAAGCCAATCGCAATTCCAGAACCTGCTTGTCGACATCTTCGGCTCGGATGGAGACATCACGCCTGAACGGGTCGCGTTCTGCCAGTTTCTTGGTAGTCTCGGATGTCATGATCTATCATTGATGCGCGAGTCGCTTGGTTTCCCGGACGCCGTTTCCTGTGTATCGATTACAGATCCGTTCTACTCTGCTGTTTTCCATTACACGGATGACTCGAGTAGTGATGGAAATCCGTTTACGTTGCTCTATGAGGCTGGGGTTGATACGCTGCCAAGGTGTGATGCCCATCTTACTGTTTATGGGGCGAGGAAGACGCTTAGTGTGGTTTATGACTTCCCGCATCCTGGGGAGGCGGCGGGGGAGGAGAGGTCGGTGAAGGTCATTGTTGAAGAGGTTGATTGTGGGGAGGAGATGGGAAATGGCAATGGCAATGGCAATGGAAATGCAACCAATAGAAACGGAAACGAGACCGCACCTAGTGTCGTTCGTCCCCGCGTCAAGAGAACAGAGTACGTGAGTTCCTGCAACGAAGCATATGATCGTGAATTGCGCGCCCTGCACTCCTATCTCACGGGTGGAAACGGCCCAGAGGCGAAGACAACCCCAGAAGACGCCCTGAGTGATCTCCGTCTGCTGCATATGATCTTCGGACACTATGACCGGCAGTGTGGAACCATTCGCACCCCGTTGGGTTAAGCTAGTATAACTTATGTTGAAATGCTTCTGCTGGACGGAGGAAAAGTGCAGCCAGGATCAAGGATCCATTAATTCTTAATCTTTACAAGTGGATGAGATCGGCGAAAATGTAACAGTAATAGGGATATGCAGACGGGAATCTACTCATTTCTACCATCCAGCAATGAACTCCACTACCACTACCGCTTGCCCTTCTTCTTATTCTTCTTCGCGTTGTTTCCACCTCCAGACTTTTGTTGTTGCGGAGCAGGGGATTCCTCTGCCCTTTCGCTGACAACGCCACCCTGGGTACGGTCCGCGGCGCGCTGCTTGTTCTTTCTTCCCTTGGGTCTGTAGGAGGATCGATCGCGCAGAGGAAGCCAGCGCTCGGGGTCGGACTTCTTGGACTCATCGTAATCCTTAGGCAGACGAGACTTGCGGACACGTTTCGTAGCGTGGTCGCCCTTGTCCGTGGCAGAACGCTTACGGGCACCAGCGAATGCGGCCGCAGCCGCAGCAGCAGATGAGGCGGAGGGCGCAATGCCTGCGGACTCCAAGGCAGAAACGTCAACACCGGCGACGAGGTCGCTGATCTCGGGAAGACGGTCGAGCTGCGATTCAACCTGGGAATAGTCCAGTGTAGCCTGGGAAGCTACGTAGCCGGCGATGGCGACGCGGTCACTGGAGTCTTGCTGGTACAGGGAGCGGAACAGATCTCCGGCTGTGGCCAAGTCGGAGGAGTCATCGGAGTGGAGGAGGGAGGTAGCGGCGGCGCGCAGGAGGGAGGCAGGAGGCTCAGGCTTCTTGCGCCAGTAGTCGGCTGCTTGTGCCAAAGTGGATTGGATCTGGAGTTTCCGACCTTCGCGCTGGTACAAAGAGACGAGAACGCTAAGCAAGCCTGGGTTGAAGCGGGCATCCTGGTCGGCTTCGGAGATGGACTCTTCGAGGCTGCGTAGGGAGCGCTCGACGGCGGTGATGGCGGAGGTGGTGTTACCAACGTTGACGTAGAGCTGGACCACGGTCAGGAGGAGACCAAGGTCCTTAGGCCGTCTTTCCAGGGCTGGGAGAATCTGCTTCAAGGCCTTCTGGCCGGTTTCGCCGCGCGCATAGCCAGCAGCGTTGTAAACGGATTGAAGGTTAACGCTGGCCTCGGTAGAAGGGTAAGGGCTCTTTGAGAGCACCTTAGCTGTTGAACGGATCATGCCGTCATATTTCTGCACGAGGAGATCCGCTGCGTGCGAGTTGCCAAGCAGCGCATTGTTTTGGAAATCGAACAGTCGGTCGTTGTTGATAGCATCAGGGGTTTCGTGCAGGGCCTTGTAGAGGATGAATGGGTTGACCGCGGCTTCACGAGCCAGAACAATGTTGTTACGGGCGACCTTTTTTGTAGAAAGTTCTTGGATGCTGGTTTAATATGTTAGCTTGGGATTTCATGGTCTTTATCTTCGACATACGCATCCACGGAGATCTCTTTGAGGAGCGCCTCGGCCTCCTCCGTCTTTCCTTGCCGAATCAACACATATAAATATTGAACAGAGATGGGGAGCAGCTCTGCGGCCCTGTCCTCGGGTGAAAGGTCCTCTGATGTCTGACAAATGTCTGCAAGTCTGTTAGCATTTATCCCGATGGTCGTTGAGGATGATCCCTACTCTTCGCACGGTTGAGGAGCACCTCGCCCTGCGGAAGGGCACCCTTAGCAATATTCAAGCAAGCCGCATTGTATGCCGTTTCAAATGCCTCCAGATCCTCTCTCGAAGGTCGCTCGTGGCGCACGTATTCCGCCTCGCCCTTCCACTGCAGCTGGGCATCGGTGGCCCATGAGTTGATGCTCAAGTCGTGATCCTCAGAGCTAGGAGTCTGGGAAAGTTTCTCGTATATCTCTGCAGCCCGACGGAACTGCTCAGCGCGGTAGCTCTGTTCAAAACTCAATATCAGCACATGTCACGAGACGAAGCAAAGACAATCCACCATACCACTTGAGCCTCCAAATGGCTGGCACCGCGGCTAGGATCCGCGCGAGTCACAGCATCGAGAGCCTCCTCCAACTTCGCACACTTGTACAATGCATATGCATGTTCCAACCCAGCCCGCTGCTTCAGGGCATCGCCTCCGGCCTCAAGCACCCGCAGCGCATCCTCGTAGCGATCGAGCTTTAATAAAGCGATGACTTTGATGTGTTGGGCGTGAATATCGGTCTTAGACTTGGCGAGGGTTTCATTGCAGGACTGAATGACCTCCTCATGATCGTCAATCGATGCCCGCTGCAAAAGCGAGCTCAGCGACTGCGCAACCATGGCGGGGGTTGCGGGGAGAGTGTCGAGGGCACGGTTTGTGTGCGGTCGGTGAGTTCGGTCGGAGTATGATGGCCTCAAAAACTAGAAGTCGGTGCAATTGTCACAATCGGGGAGATCTCCAGGTTGATATCCACCTCCACAACGCCAGAGTGTGCGGAATTGTCCTTCCCCATCGGGCAATCCTGCGCACGGGGTCGAATGGCCCGCCGTATCTAGTCACGTGATGTCCATCTTCATGCCATATTTATAAGGCGTAGATCTGGTTATCATACTTACTGGTCAATGAAGTATTCTTAGTATTTGAAGCTGTGGCATGCATTTTCTTCTCGGAGACGACCAGTAATAAGAAATCCGCTAAGAGGCTGGTCAGGCCATTTAAATTTCTCAGGTACAATCAAAGACAGATTGACATGTCCTTCATTGAAGTGACTTAAAAGACTGCTCTCGAAGTTCTTCCTAGCCTTTTTCTACAAATTTTACTAGTGTAGGACATGTTCTTTTTTCTTTCGATATAACAATTAAGTACCTTCTTAGACGATTCTATGAAGATAGGGTCTTCTCCTTGGTCAGGCTGTACAATCCATTCCACATTCACATCTTGGCTGGAATATACCAATTATAACGGAACTATTCAAGATGACTGCAAGACCTATATGCATGCCTTTACTTTATTTCAAGTCTTTTTCACATCTGCATCTCAACCGATTACCTCAGGAGTGGTTCCTGTTCCTGATAATCCTCTTCTGGATCCCCATTTGGCTCGGGCCCTGAGAGCTGAAGTGTCAAGACAGCCGTGATTGCAGACAGTGTGCCAAGACACAAGTTCATCATTTTCCACCCATAACGGTGGTCAATAAACCCTCCTATCATCGGGCCAATCACCATTCCAGTAAATTGAGCCATTTGCTGAAGACTGAAGGCCTGCGCTGTGGCTCCGTTATCACCAAAGACTCCAGGGGTTTCCTCCTCCAGCTCATCGACCACCTGTTGCGTCTCCACTAAGAGACAAGGTGAGATTCCATTGTTGAATGTACCGAAGAGTGCGAGTAGAACGCAAAGGAGGGTTTTGTCCTGCATTGTGTTCATCTCCACGAACCGAAGACATATCAACGATGGGACGATGAGTATGAACCCCGTTGTCGCAACCATACGGGCGCCGAGTCGATCGGAAAGAAACCCTGCAAATTTTAGCATAGTCCCATAAAAGGTCAAGAGACAAAATTCACCGCAAAATGGCTGCAATAAGACCGTGGCAACCATTGGAAGGAATATCATCCCAGCACCGGCAGTATCCCAATGAAATCTATCCATTACAAAAATGGGAAGTGTCTATCAAACTTGACATTAGTAGGGATTCAAGTAACAGAGGTTGTGTAGAGGAAGACTCACTGAGTCCAACGCAGAATTGAAAAGCGATTGTAGGATAAATGTCCATGTAGTGATCAAAATTCGTGGCTGCTGAAGAAGCGTCCAAAATGCAAACATTCCACGTTTTGATTTCAGGGATTCATTGCTCTTCTGGATTGCGTCATAGTGCAAGCAAGGTGTTGGAATAACAGGTTCAGGCATCCTTTCGTTTTCCTCCGGCTCAAGCCAATACATCGCAGTCTTTTTCTCAATGACTGCCAGACGCAACACGAGATCAATGCCAATCAGGCCGAAAGCAACTCCACACACCGTATAATATCCAGCGGCATGGTATATGAGCCCGCCTAGCAATGGGCCCGAGGCAAATCCCAATGTAAGGCCGACATCAATATAGCCAAGCATATAGCCCAGATGAGCCTTTTGAATCGTATCGGTAACAATGCTAAATCCAGCTACTGCGACCATAGCCGTAGCGGCACCCTGGAGTATTCGTGCTGCTATGTAGCAGGCAATTGAGAACGCATATGTGAGTAAAGCCATTGAAACCAACAACAGCAATAACCCGAGGATATATAGTTTCCGACGTGTCTCCGACCGGTCAAGGAGGTACCCAAAGACTGGGGCGCAAACGACACTGGCTGCGGCTTCAGAAACGAGCAAAATACTGTTAAAAAATTCACCTGCTCAATTGCTCTTGAATTAGTACGATAAACACCCAATGTGCGCAATTAGTCACGATCACGTACGGTCTTCGAAGGGTATACTGGTGCGAGTGATTAAGGCAGTCGGCATTAAGGGTATAATCTGCCTGCGCATTAGATTCTATGCAAGAATAACTGAAGATCGATTATCACACACCATTCCGTAGAGAAAAGTGTCCTTGAACATATTAGCTTTGAGATCGCGAAAGCGCAAAGTTGACTATCGCGAGACACACCGTAAACATCGACAGCGAGATAGTCGCGACAATGAACTTTTGCGACGAGCGCATCTCGAGCAAATAAGGGCGCCGCCCACTTACAGGCTTAGCCCATGAATGAAACCTTTGCAGATTCATAATGACAAAATATCAACGCCGACTCAAGCAAATGAGGAGAAAGTAAGAGAAGTTCGCAAGAGAAAAAGGGAAAAAAAAAAGGTGCTGACACTCCAAAGACAATACGTGATTACCGCCGCATATGCAGAGGAGATCCCAATCCCAGCACTTGCAAATTCTCTTGAAATTTCCATCGTATTTGCAATACACGACTCCGTAGGTTCAGCCTGCAAGGCTCCTGCAGGATGTCCACATAGTACATACACGGCTGAAAAGCTAAGCTATGCATGAACACCTATCTCCACAAACTATGGAGTAGCTGAGAGCCGAACCCCACGATCTTGCCAGTCAATACACCGCCAATGGCTCAGTCCATATGGATTCGGTTTTTGAAGGAGGAATCGATCCATTTCATCTTAGATAGATCACACGGGTTGACTAGGTGTTCGCAGCGGGATCTGCCAACGGACACAGACCGCAGGCGTTTCTTATGTTCGCCACTTTCATGCATACTTACGCTGTCTCTTTCGAGCCCCGCGATTGCGGTATTTTCTTCGATCTCTTGTGGCCTTTCGGCTTTGCTTGCTGCCTGATCCTCCATGTGCTGTGACGACAGCTGTGCTCTTGGCATGACACAATGACAACTTACTGTAATTTATAAGGCCTTTGAGGACAAATTTCTATGAGCCATTTTGAACTGTTTTCTATCTTTTTTACTCTAGAATATAGCTAGAAAAAGGTCAAGCCCTCCGAGAAGGACTTTGCCTTGCAATCACGTTGAACACATTTCGACTACCCCCATCTACCTAACTTGGGATAATTTCCAGGTTCGTGTATTCTGGACTTTTCAGCTAGCCCACACCCGAGACGTTACTAGCTAGTAGACACAACTTGAGTTCAAAATACAGGTCAGCCCGACCAGCCGATAGGGGTCTGAGGTGATCAATAGTTTAACTTGCGACAAAGTCCTTGAAAGCTGCGCCCGGGCATTGAATCATTTGAACACAGCGTCACTTTTCTCGACCGTTATGAATCTTCGCAGACGTTGCTCAAAATCCGGGTAGGTAAATATTGGATGCTTCCGCCTGAAGAAACACTTTAAAGGCAGTATGGATACTGAAACTCGCCTCGAATTGCGATCTTCTATTCCAAAGTACTGAAACAAAATCTACATTATTTCTTCCAAAGTTTAAGTAAGCCCTTGGAAAGGGGAATCTATCGTATGCCCTGGGACCACCACATGAATAGCATCGCAAGATAGACTGCGTAGGAATGTGAGCAGTAAGTTCTCCCGTCCCACTATGTGGCACATATCTGCACCCAGCCTGCGGTATCTGCAGCCGAATGAAATGTTACTGCTATGAACAACGAAGCTTCTCAGGGCCGAAGTTCACCCCTGCGTCAAGTGATGGAGCCTCGCTACAGTGTAACACTCAATCGTCCAGGTGTCAGATAGGCTCAAAAAGCCTAGTCTAGGCCCTATCATTCCTTCAAGGGCATTTGGGGCGGCCTGGCCCCCAATGCGCCCATTTGCCTAGGGCACAATAATGGACGCCCCCAGAATACTCCTGGACTCAGGCTGGACCCTGAAAGCCCATTGGTGATCCGCTTGGCCGCTTAGGAAGCTTCAACTGGACTAAGCATCTCCCGGGACCCAGTTGGAAGTCGGTGAGTCAAGCTAGCAAGTCATCGACAGGGGCTGATCGACATCTAGATCACCCGAAAGAGTGCTGCACGGGGGAACACCAGACGCTGAGAATTTCCCATGTCTCAGAAGGGAATGAGTCTCAGCGGCACGGGGAATAAACTACAAAATCGAATCTCAACAAAAGACTACAAAATGGACGGAGGCCAGTGCCAAGGGACGCGCGGACGTGGAGCCGCGCAACGGGAAAACGGCGAGTGAGAAACTGCCCTGGTGGCGAGTCTTGGCACTCGGGGTTGAGGAGACATCCGGGGCGCTATACATCTCTTAACGCCGAGTCTATGTGCAAGTGAGGTGGGAGACGTCGTAATCAGGTAGATTATCCCATTGGCTCCGGTGTGATAAAACACTCAGCCCAACCGGCTACCCTTTAACACGTAACAAGGAGAAATAGGCGATAAAGAACGTGCACACGTGACTGTACGTCACCCCTTAACAGAGTTGTGCCTTTGCCGCTTGGAGCATCCATGGAACCATGATCGTCCCTTGACTTCCCGTCCCTCTCTGGAACCTGATTTCGTTTTTTCTTCCCTCACCCTCCGTCCATATTCTTCCTTTTCCCGGTCGGCTTCTCGAACAGCTCGTGTGACCTCGGAGAGCGTCTCCGCAATGCGGATGTCTATTCGTTGACCTTCTATAATACGACCGACACCACTCCCGAATCAGGAGGAATATACAAACCGCCGCGATGCTGTTCCAGAATAGGGAAGGGTCTATTCCGGCCTCATGGGCCTGGAAGAAGATCATGCGCTTTGCCATCATCACCGTCGCCGTCATTGGTTTCGCCGCCTTGCTTTGGCCATCCTCCCCACCTCGCTACAATGCGATGCACGCCTACTCCAACGTGACTATCTCCTCAAACGTCGAGTGCGACCTTGACGTCGAAATGCTGCACCGCCTCGACGTGCGAAAGCTGGTCGCCTACACCCGCCGTGAGATGGTTCTGGACTTCACTGCGGACCCACTCCCCATCCGCCAGGGTATCAAGCAGCCGCTGCTGGATACAAAGTGGAAGCCTTCGGCCTCTGAGCCCGAGCCTGGGCAGTCGCTGGATGGCTGCACAGTCAGGACGCCCATGCAGGTCCAGGTGGTCCAACCGCCCAAGATGGCGGTGGCTCCGCACATCGACTTCGGAGTCGCCACTTCAATTGGAAGATTAAACGATTCGCTTGACCAGTTCGCCCACTGGGCTGGGTACACACGCACTCGCATATTCGCTCTGATTGAGCCCGACGAGACCAAGGAAGGGGTCGCATATGTGAGGGCCAAGGCGGAAAACCTGGGAATCAACCTTTTAATCACCGAATCCGAGGATGACTACCTGCACCGCTACTTTGCGCTCATTCCCCTCTTGGAAGAGCACACGCGGGAGCAGACACAGTGGGCGTGCATTATCGACGACGACACCTTCTTCCCCTCCATGTCCGCGCTAGTGGACGCCCTGGCTAAATACGACCACACCAAGCCGATGTACATCGGCGGTCTCTCGGAAGGCACACCCCAGATTGCAGTATTCGGAATCATCGCGTTCGGAGGCGCTGGCGTTTTCCTCTCGCGACCCTTACTATCCGACCTGGCAACCGTCTACGACGAGTGCGAACAGATGACATACACCGGCGACCGCCGTATCGCCAACTGCATCTATCAGTACACCACAACTCGCATGACGATCGACCACCGCCTGCATCAGCTAGACTTGATGAAAGATGCGTCTGGATTCTTCGAGTCAGGCCGCGAGCTCCCGCTCTCGGTACACCACTGGAAGTCGTGGTTCAATGCCGACATGCCCAAACTTAGCGTGATCTCAGAACTGTGCGGCGACACTTGCCTTCTGCGCCAATGGCAATTCTCCGATGGCTACCTACTAACCAATGGGTTCTCGGTTGTCAAGTACGGATTCCCGCCTGAGTCGGGTGACCTTTCCATGGAAATGACATGGGAGCCGCACAACGGCGCAAATCAGGAATCGTACCTTCACGAGCTGGGTCCTCTCCGCCGAAAGGACGAAATGAAAGAAAGCTATCTTCTCCAGGATGCCAAGGTCGAGGGGAACGGCCACGTTACTCAGTGGTATGTCAAGCGGGACTCGATCCTAGGCGACGAAGTTTTGGAATTGTCATGGCGCAAGCGGTAATATGCATGACTTAGAACGGTTCATTTCGTCCTGTCTTTGCATGGGCTTTACTTTCTGCTTATATACGCTACATGAGGACTGGTGGCATTTGATTTCGGAATCCTCTCCTCATCTCATCAGTCCGGCGCTTGGTCTTGGGCTCTTTGCATGGGATTCTTGTTTATAGATCGGTGATACACCCCTTTTTGTTACACTGTTTAATGCCTAGGACGATCACACTTTAATGTGAACATGGAATAAATATATGGTTATCAAGAATCTTGATTCATAGTGCAGTAAAATTCTGCAGTCGACTTGCCTCTCGCGCGATTGTTCGTTTCTTTCAAAGTTGAATCGTCTTCTACCGATCTCTTGGCTTGCTGTAGGAGGACTTATCCGAATGGTCATGCCTTCGATCCTGGAAAGCCTTTCACAGATTTTAGTAACATTAGTGAGGATGTAATCGAGTTTATTGGACGATTTCTCTTCATGATCTTCAAGAGAGAACCTTCTTTATCCTGATGCCAATCTGTCAATGCATCTCAATCTCACCTAGATAGTAGACTCCCCAACACGTCTTGAAGTCAAGGGTATCAATTTACCCGGGTATCAGCAAACAATGGTACGAGACCCACGTCAAAACCCCACGACGCACCGCAGCCAACGACATAACTCCTGGGCAAGATAACGGTAAAAGGCGAGTGTAACCCCCACACGAAGTCATCACCCCCGCGATCCCCGAGCGGGGGTCATCTCACATCTCATTACACTTCGAACAACTTTCATCTCAAGAGAAAATAGAAAATTTATCCTCCAATGATCTAAAATTCCTCCAATGGTCTAAAATCAAAAGAGCCATGACCCGCCACGCAATCTACCCCAGCCTCGAAGGCAAGGTCGTCCTCGTTACCGGCGGCGCCGAAGGCATAGGCGCCGCAACAGTCGAGCTATTTGCCCGCCAAGGCAGTCGGGTCCTATTCATGGACATATCACGAACCTCCGCGCAAAAAACAATCGACCACATTGCCTCTCTAACCCCCCAACCCGGTGCACCCCCAATCACCACCCCAGTATTCTGCTACTGCGACATAACCGACCTTCCAAGCATCCAAGCCACGACATTCAAAATCCTATCCGAATACGGCATCATCAACATCCTAATCAACAATGCTGCAGCAACAGGCTCCGGCGCCCGCCGCTCCACAGCAGACGTAACCCCCGAATCCTGGGATTTCAGCATCAATGCCAACTTCCGCCACGTATTCTTCCTAACGCAGGCTGTGCTGCCGGCGATGAAGAAAGCCGGCGGCGGGAGTATTGTCAATCTGGGCTCTATCACGTGGCGGATTCCGGATCCGGGACAGCCTGTTTATGCGGCATGCAAAGCGGCGATTATGGGGTTGACGAGGGTGCAAGGGAGGGAGGTTGGCGGGGATAATATTCGGGTTAATAGTGTTATGCCTGGGGCAATTGCGACGAGGAGGCAGAGGGAGGAGGTGCTTACGGATGAGTATCGGGAAACGGTTATGCGGAATCAGAGTCTACAGAGGGATTTGGAGCCGGAGGAGGTTGCTAAGGTTATTGTTTTTTTGGGGAGTGACGAGGCGAGTGCGGTTACTGGGAGTACTTATACCGTTGATGGGGGCTGGTGTAGTGATCCCTGATCATGTCCTGTATCATTGGGACTGAGGTCGTGGATCTGGCATTCCAGGTATGTTCCTGGGTCTAGGAAAGAAAAAGAGTACATCCCATATGCGTGCCAATACAGCTTTTGAATCAAGACCTCCATGGCTCGAGCATAAGATCTCTAGGGTTCGGGACTTACTTGGCGCCCTGGAGTAGCGGGAAGCCGAACATTGTCGATGGCTCATGGGTCCTGCGGGGTATACTTGCATATGTTAGACTGAGTGTAACGCTCAACAGGCCTTGCCCAGTGGACTTTATCCCTAGGTCAGCAGGTCGACCTGACTGTCTGTCATCCAGGATTACAGATTTCATTTAAAATTGATCATCAGACCATCCGAGGTCCTCACATCCTTGCCAAACCCAGATAGCATTTGTATGGCCGGAAATTCGCGGTAATTTCGAGTCCCGATGTCAAAACACGCGTTGTCCAAACTTGATAGGCTAGGTTCGCGGGCACTCCTCTGAAGAACGACTTCACTAGATGTCAGGAGCTAATCATTCTTCCCCTTAACAACCTCGGTGTCACTAAACGCCTATGCCCTCAATGTTCACCAAGTGGCTTGTTATACCCAGAGAGATCAAACAAAGTCGACCCCCCCCCCCCAATCCCGAAGTGACCCGGGTCTTGAGGCAATGGCTCTGCGGGGTAGACCAGGGTACCTTGCAGACCCTAGGCATTCACGCACGAGACACCTGCTCAGCTCTCAGCAGCTACCGCACCCTAAGCCTGGGGCCATTCCAGTCTACAAGAACAACGCTCCACCCAAGAGTGGGCAAGTCAGTACGAGCTTACTGTGCCCAAAGGGCGTTCGGGCAGCCGCAAAAAGCGCTCTTCCAGCCTCAGCCACGTTTCCGATCTAAGATCGAAGCTGTGGAGCTCGGTCACGCGCCGAAGCCGTTCACCGAAAATCTGAAACTTCAGTTACCCTGGCGAGCTAATGGTCCAGGACCGCCACGTGAAACCAGTGGGTGCACGCGAGGGAGTACGAGACGATGATCAAACGGCGGTAAATCAGAGGCGTGTGCGCGAGGCCACGATTTGGCTAAACGCGTTCTCCTCTTTTAATATGCAGATCCTTTTACGCGAGGACAATCCGCATATTCTCCGAGCAGATCCGAACATATTAGGGGAAACAGACCGAAATGAAAGCACGCGCTGATCGGAACTAATTGGGATGGGGCACGTAACTGATGAACCGCGTGGGCCAGTGCACGATTTCCCCAGTGACATCATCCAGGGTACCACAAGGTAAATCCCCCTGGTCGTGATCTCCTTGGTCCTAGCGTAACATACCGTTTTTTTCGTTCTTTTTTTTTTTCTTTTTCTTGTTCCCAATCTTCTCCGTGACTCGACACGCGGTCAGCCCCCTGAGAAACTCTCTCGAAGTTGCGCTTTCGGAAGGAGGCGCTCACCTCCTGTTACTACTAATAGAAAATATGGAGACTAGCGCAGAACTTGATACACCAAAACACGTCTCAGCCACAACCATGTGGTCCTCGCCCCGTACTAGGCATCCAATAGACTTCGTGCAGGCTTCCGGCCTACGACGTTTCGATCGCTCATAACCAGGCATTGCACGAAGTGGTAAGCAACCCATTATGTGAAGGGTCATTGGTTCGAAAAGTGAGACACCTTTTGCAACACGGATGTCTGCAGGGCGAACAATCTCCGCAACTCTCCATCTGGAATGAAGACCTGCAACTTGTTCAAGGTGTATCGCACTACCAACGGTCAGGGGGAGAAGGGGTGTTACCTGAACGGGAAATACACGATTAGGGAGATCACGACAAAGACTAGAGAATGGCACGTGGCTGGGCCAATCGACCGCTCAGTTGACCACTAAGTTGACTACTAAGTTGACTACCAACTTGACTACCAACTTGACTGGTCAACCAGGTGGTGCCCAACCCTTCACCCTTTTCGAGCTTAGTATTTCCCTGCTTTTGCAGTCAGGCACCAGGCACGACTATTTTTCTGTTCTATTATTACCTATGACCTATGACCTAGAGGGTACGCAGAGCACAGTTAAACTCCCGGGCGACACAGCGTCGAAATGGGTCTCGGCGTTGCTCATCACATTAGGGCTCGGACCCATTGACCGTGCAGGATGGAGAACAACGGCGACTTCTTTTTGCGGCTTCCACGGCCCTTCGAATCCTTCTGGTGGCCTTCCAGAAGGTCAGGAGCAGGCATGGCAGACCAATCCAGGGCGGCTTCTTCAGCCCGCTGTGCCGTGGTGGCAGACGAGTGGAGATTCTAGAGGCTGAACGCGGCCGGTGGCCCTTCTAGCGTCCCCAGAGAAAAAGGGGCAATGGACGACTTGGGAAGCGTAATTACCGACGCTCGGGGGGGAAACTTCATCGGTCTCCACTCCATTTGGATCGTCCCGAGGGCTCGAACTTGGTCAGGAAAGGGTTGTACGATCCGGGATGAGCGAGAACGAGGCAGTTGAGTCTTAGCGTGCAACAGGCCACTTCGTGTTCCGTGTTGGCGTGTTTGGATGAGCGCCCCTCCCCTCGTAGAAACCTTCTAGAAGGAATCGATTTAGCCTTTGGCCGTCTTGCATCGGCCGGCAATAGTGGGAACGGACTATCGAGATGGGCTAATCGTCTCTCCTTTGCGTTGTTGATGATCTACTATGCCGTATACATTCATTCGTGTCTCACCATTCCAGCCTCCAGGGGAAAACATGCAACTCATCATTATCATTATCATTATTATTATTCTTATTATCATACACTTTCCCCTTTTTCTTTCCTCCGACTCGAGCAAATGGGGGACAAGAAACACCGAATGTCCACTGTACCCCGTATAACTCTACCCCCCTGGCACTATTTCCCCCTTTCATGCATCCTTGGGGCAGTTTGGAGGGAGATCCACCTCGACCCGATCATAGGAGATTTTGCGTCGTTGGTCGTTTCACACTAGTGCAGCCTTTTAGTTCTTAGTAACGAAGTGAAGAGAGGGACGTAGGACTACTAGCCCCGTTCAGCGAAATTGTGATTCAGATCGGCGTCGCTATCGTGTATCCACTCCTTTTTTTTCACGCGCAGGGACGGGGGAAAGCGTACGTTGTGGAGCCGGGATGCTGACGGGGCTTCTGGTGCGGCCAGGTTTCCTTCTAGCGCACTTCGCTGGGGCCGACTAGAGGAAGTAGGGCAAACTAGAGCGAGCGTGGCCGCCTGCAGGGATACGGAACGTCAGGGGAATAGGAGGTGACCAGTACATATGTACGGTCTAGCTAGCAGTATAGCTAGAGATACGAAACAGGTAGGGTCTGACGTGAAATGAAGCTAGACTAAATAATAATAATAATAAAAGATAGAAATGAAAATACCAAAACAAAAAAAGACAAAAAAAAAAAGGGATTCAATTTCCAGTCTTTCACCAAACCTTCCAAACCAAGTGGGGGCAGTGAAGCAACGAATTCTCGATGTAAATAATGATGTATGCCAGTGGCACCTACCACACCTAAATAACCCAAGTAATCGTCACATATTCCCATCATATTTTCTCTTCCCCTCCCCTTTCTCTTTCACACCCTGCATTCTCGATACTTGATTCCGCCTTCCGCCTCCCCACTTACTTTCCTCTCTCATCAACTTTGCTTTCGCGACTCTTTTTTCTTTGACCTGGGACGAACGCCCGCTCCTGCCTATCCTTTGTGCCTTATCTTTGGCTGTGCTAAGGTTCGTACCTGTCTCCCGAGACTTTGACCGCGATTTCCGCGATTTCCCTGCCCGCGTGGCGCGGCTGCCCAACGGACTGTGCCCTTGCGACATTTGCCTCGAGCCAGCCATCTGTCCGAGCCCGGTATTGATGTTCACTGGCCTGGTGCCGTGTTTCTGGGGAGCTTTTTATTGCGCTGGGACCTCCTGCAAGGTCCACGGCAGTGGAGGACCGGAGACGTAAAGACTGCAGACCTGCTTGAAGATCCGGGCAACTGGGCAGCACTCGCGAATTTGGATCCCCGAGGATGATTTTGAGCTGACCGTATTCGTTCGCAACAGGAATCCTGCCCTTCCTTCTTACTCTCCCTGACGACCACCCCGATCACAAGCCGTACCCTCCGGTTCTAGCCGGTCGCCTTACCTGAACTTTCTCTGCTCTTACAAGCAGCGAGACTGAAACAGGACGTTGTTCCTGCGCCCTCGAGAAAGACTACGCCGCGAGCACCCGCTTTCGCTCCGGTTCGGCATTCAGCGCACAACGCTTCGAAAAGGCTCGTGAGCCGGGTTCTACACCTGAAGACATCGCTTGTTCGCCCTAGCAGATAACAGCTGCATTATTGCCTCGATCTCGCCGAACACCTCAAACCCAAGGCGGCAAAAACGCGCCTGCGCTAATAAGAACGCCACCAGACAGGCGGACCAAGTCAGAAAAATCGTGAACACGAAAAGAGCAGGACTCTGAACGGTTTGCGCAGGACAGGACGCTTGCTGAAGCTGTCCTCCACTACGGGCACTCAGCTGTTCGCTGGGTCGTGTCATGGACTTCACGACCATTCTGAATCGAAAGAACTCTGCCGCAGCAGCTGTCGCCGCAGAAGCACAATTACAGCAACAATACATGCAGAATCAGTTTCACCACAATTCCGCCATGAAGCCCGAGCCGGGTGCCTCCGACAACTCCGTCGGCGCATACCCTCCTCATGCCGTTGCCCCGGGAATGGACTCGGGACTGGCGGAGTCTTTCTACTACGCTCAAGCACAAGGTGCCACCCCTCGGAACATGGCCTATGTCCCTGGCGGATATGCTAGCGATGCTCAAATGCAGCCGGCGCCCGTTCCTGCAGGGAGGAGTAGTGCTGATGCGCCGCCCAAGACCTTCCACTGCTCTACTTGCAACAAGGGCTTTGCTCGACGTAGTGATCTCGCGCGACATGGTAACGTGACTCGTTCTTGGCCCTTCTGAGTTAGTACTGACCGTTCATGTCTAGAGCGAATCCACACTGGTATCAGGCCCCATGCCTGTGACTGGCCTGGCTGCGGAAAGCAGTTTATCCAACGCTCCGCCCTGACAGTACACTCTCGTGTGCACACTGGTGAGAAGCCCCACATGTGTGAGCGATGCGGCAAGCCCTTCAGCGATTCTTCGTCATTGGCTCGGCATCGTCGTATTCATTCTGGCAAGCGACCCTACAAATGCCCGTACGCCAACTGCCAGAAGACATTCACTCGTCGGACGACCTTGACCCGTCACCAAAACCATCACACCGGCACCATCGAGGAAGCTGCTGCTGAGACCGAGGCCAACCTGCGTCAAAATAAGGAACGTCGGGGCCCTGGCGAGGGAATGTTCCCCGACCACGTGTCTATTCATTCTGCTCCGTCCCCTGCCCAGTCTATGTCCCCTGGTGGTGATCTGCCCCCTCTGAACATGCATCGTTCGGCCGGTGATTACTATATGGGCAACGGCTCTATACCCCCTCATGTACGCGGCGACTTTTCGCAAGGCAGTCCTCGTGCTTCTCCTACAGCGACTTCTCCGTCTCTCTCCAGTTATGGTAGCGCCCCTCATGCGCGCCCAGCCATGACGTCTCACCCTTATGCTCCCCCGCAGCCGCTCGAGCCTCCGGCGAACAACGATCACCGGCCGAACAGTGTCGGCGGGAGCCCTCACATGACCAGTCTCGGGTGGGCCTCGCCTTCTCACGGCAGCATGCCCTCCCCCGGCTCAGCCAACGACTTCTCCTACCCTGAGCCGAACGGCCCAGCATACCCAACGTCAATGCCTCCTCACATGTATTTTCCCAATTCAACAATTCGGAGGCCTGGCTCAACCGAGCCGGACCAGTACGAAACCAAGCCCCGGATGGGCGAGCACACCTGGTCTACTCCCGTATAACCAGTGCTCTGAATCGCTTCACAGCTCCACCATTTCCTATGTTGACATCGTTTTATTGCATCGTTCCCCTGATTCCCATGGAAACAAGTAGCTTCCATCGTTCGTTCGAGCTTTTGCATCTCTTATCTCTTTACACAATTTATATCTATATGGAGGCATTCCTCCTGGAGTCAGGACTGTCCATCGTTTTGTTTTTTATTACCTTGTCCTCCCCCACCACTTTCCACCATTTCCTTTGTTTTTGCTTTGCGGATGACATGGCTTTACCGAGACACGACCAGACGAGGAAACAGCATAGATAGAGCGCAGGACCAGGGATCGGGTTCGTTTGGGGTATCATTTGTACTGGATTGGGAATAGGGAATGGGTTTTCTTTGCTTGGGAGATCTGGCCCCTGAGTGTGGTGTCTGGTTGGTATCTGGACTATTTTTTGATTTTTGTTTGACTGCGTTCAAGTTTTGCATATCGTCCCTGTTTTGCTTTACATTTCCTTCGTCCTTTTCTTGGGTTTTTCATATACATCTTTTTTCCCCCTTAATATCCGCTGTTGTATTGCTACCTTGTCTTTTTTCTTTCCTCCTTTCCTCGATTGTTTGATCTGGTCTCATCGCTTTTTTCATCTCACATTTTTTCTTTGTCGCATCGAATACCATTTTGTGAAATGAGGACTTCGATCCCATTCATGTACTATAGCTGTGTATAATAGAGTTGCAGTTTCTTATCTTCAAATCTTGTCTATTCTGCTCCAATCTATCATCGAAACAAGCAATTAATAACAATCTACGAGATGAGCGGATCTACTCCGAACGTCAGGAGAATCTCAAACACCCGCCTCGAACAAACGTTCTAGACCTTGCCTAACCATCACTAGATCCCTCAACATCACCCGTTTCAGGCGAAACTAGCTTGTCGCTAGGGACCCATCCTATGTAATTCTAATTCCCCCAATTCCCCCCCCCCCCTCAACCACAAAGCCTTTTAATACAATAGACAAGGCTGCAAAAATGACATGTCCAGGGTCCCCAAAATACGAAGGTACCTATCCGCTCCCCAAGGTCAACCCATACCACAATGACCTCATGAAACACATAATAAATAGAGATAAAGAATACTGTTTAAGGTATAGACCTGGTGGACCATTCAGGGGCATTTCAACTCGAGGCAAGAAACCCGCCTCACGTCTGAGCCACGTCTATGGGGCGGTACGAGCGCTACCGTAATATACGGGGATTTGCATGATCTACAATCTAGTGTGTAGCGGTGGTCATGGCTGAGTTGTAAGGAGGTTTTCTTTTTTTTCTTTTTTTCTTTCCTTATTTCCCTGTTCTTTTCTTTTTCTTTGTCGCCTAGGCTGGGTGGAGCTAGGCGGTTCACGGTATTACGGTTTTGGGCATGTACATGAGTTGAGAAGTTCGTACCCGAGATTTTAGAGCAGGAAAGAAAAAATGAAGTTAACGGTAGGATGAAAATGAAATGGAAAACGAAGGTATCAAGTTTGTGGCATACCTTGAAACAGAGGCTCTGGTTTTGTTCGTTCGCTAAAATTAGATTTGTCACTGCCCCTGAAAAGCTCCTGTGCCAAGAACTTTGGCAAAATCAGGCGTCTTCGGATGTTGGCGAAGCGGTCTCAGTCTCGAAGTTGCTTTGCATTGGGTATGCTTCGTCACATGAGTCGATTTGGGGGCGAGAGTGAGGAATGTCTCATGTTCATACCAATTGGATTGTTGCCCGCAAGGTTGTTCCGTGTCAGGACTCGTATTTATGTGGCGGGATGCAGTGTCGGGGATTTCAATGTCTAGAATGAAGACTCGGTTATTATCCCTGCTTTGGAAGAGAAAATGGGATTGATAGCTTCGTATTTGATCATATGTTTTGTTCTGTGGGAACTGGTATCAAATGGCATTCTTGTTGGGGGTTGGGGCGCGTTTGAAGATGGGTATATAGGTCAACTGGTGCGAGGTGGGAGTACATACCAGGATGCCCTTGCAAACCACTCCATGAACAAGTAACATTGAATTTAAGGCAGAATCAAAATGCATTTTCCAAATTCCCTCGCTCTGTTCTTCTTGAATACTGCACTAGGCTGTATGTCATCATACACCCACTCGTCAGCCCTACTAACCTTCATTGTATAGCAGCTGGAACGGGGTGCGGCGACGCAGACGCCTGCCTCGGCACCGAGTTCTGCGCCACAGCCACCTTCACGACGCCTATTGCTACGACTATCACAACCTGCATCCCAACTCCCACTTGCCTGGGAGTTTACCGTGAGTATAAGGATCTCCCGGTTGCCCCACTCGTTACTGAACGTACGTAGAGGACTGTTCGTCTGGCGGCCAGACTGTCGGCAACTGCTGTTCGGAATACTGCGCCGCTACCAAGTGTCGGTCGACTGATGGTAAATGGCCTGATTGCCAGGAGGATGGATTCCCCTGTCTGAGTGACGGCAACTGTTGCTATGGGAATCAGTGTGTTGCGGGACGTTGTGCTAAGCCGTTGAGTTGAGAGAAGGTGTAAAGCTTTACGGACTTTATACTCTGTTCCAATATAGCCCGACCGAGAGGATGATCTAAATGGGCCGAAATAATCGATTCTTCAGTTCCTGCTTAAAATCTTTCTGTGCATCTCCGGACAACTCTCATTAGATACTTTTCTAGGCCTTTTTTTATTCTTGTCTGTTTATATGATTTCGAATTTGTCTGAGGAGATAAGACACGAGCGTGTGTTCAGAGCCATTCTCATTACATATGTAGCCTGGTTTGCAATTAATGAATGGATCTTAGATTAAAACCCTTTCCAATCTAAATATTAATATGGGCTTAACAGGATCTCCGCTTGCTGCTGGAATGTCTTCATTGCTGCCTTCCACAACTCAGGCCCAACACTAATCCTTGCGACACCAAGATCGCGAAGCTGCTGCACATCCAAGAACCCATCGCCTAAAGTCAACTTCACATTAACCATGCCCCCCAAATCTCTTACCAACTCCCTAACCTCATCACCAGAAACACCCCTCCCTCCAGGCCCGCCCCAAACAAAGACCGTACAAGCCCCAGCTTCCAAAAACGCCCGTCCCCTCACCACCGCATCCTGAATACCCATTCCATCCTGATAAAGCACATCCGTCCGCGCATTAACCACAAAATCTGGAACACCCGCCTCGGCAGCAGCCCTCACAACAGCCCGGACCCTTGCCACCGCATCATCCAACGCCCTCAATTCACCAGTCTCACTATCCAGATCCTCGATATTACACCCCACCACACCTAGTTCGATGACCTCTTGGATTGTGGCGGAAAGCTCGGCCACTGAGCCGTAACCGTCCTGCAGGTCCACCGTTACGGGCTTGGTGCGGTTGACGGCGTGCACGGCTGACGTGATAGATTTTAGCGCAGATAAATTTTGGGTCTTGGTAAGTGCTGTATCATCTACGCCGATGGTGGATGCAATTGCGAAGGAGGCTGTTGCGACGGCGTGGGCGGTTGGCAGGGAGGCGATTATTGTCGCGGTTGCTGCGTCGTAGGCATTTGTAAGAATGATTGGGTCGCCGGGTTGGTGGAGACTGCGAAAGTGTTTGGCGATTTTGTTTTGAGGATTCATAGCGTTATGATGTAGGTGGATTTCCGTGGGTGTAGTTAGTTATTGTTACGGTTAGTAGGCAATAGTTTGGTGGCTAGGGCGGCTTTTATTGCGTGCACGGAGTAGATTAAATGGATTTGAGATACGAGAACGTTGCTCTAGAAGTATCCAATGAAGTCAAGTCCGTCAAGTTGACCCACGCCGACCTGGGAACACTAGGTACACTTAGGTACACTAGATACAGACCCGGGTACTGGGTATTACGTGCAGAGTCGATCCGAGTCATGCAATGCAGGACAAGACTCGTTATTATCTGTCTCAGACTATCACGGCACTATTGTAGTCGCCCACTCGGTCTAGCAGCAAAGCAGCAACACAAGCAAGGGGAGTCGGCCATTCCCCGCTTTTTTTTACACCGGCCCAGAATTGAGAAATCACGATCGGATCGACTCAAAGGGCGGAAATGCAGCCGAAGCCACAGCCCTGTCAGAAGCCCCGGAGCGCGACGGGCTCCATTGGGGGCGTGCATGAATGAGTCCATGCCGTGCAACAGGACTGCCAATCAATTCGGTGTAATTCTTCTGTACGTGTATCCTCGGTCCAGAGATCTTGGGCACTCCTAGGGCTTACTGATGGTACATTCTCGTCTCGCCCATAGCGTCGGGAAATTTCAACCACGGGCGACCCTGTTCCACCTCCTGCTGGATCCGTGCCTACGTGCATGAACGAGGGGTACTGGCATTCCTTGGCTCTGTCATAGAGGTTGCGCAGCTTGGAATCCTGTGGTATGTGCATACCATGATTGTGAGAAGACACTTACATCGAGGCAGACCAGGTGCCTAGCCCAGGTGCTTAGGTGCTTAGGTTCCTAGGTGCCCGGATGCCAGATGCACAGGTAAAGGTACCTAAGTAGTAAGGCGACTGCCAACATTTCCTGGCAACGTTTCCCGGCAACACCCGTAATAAATTACCTTTTGACTCCGCTGGGGGGGAAGTGGGTTCTGGACTCGGGAAGACCCATTTCTGTCAACAGGCTCTCAAGCTCTCAAGGTGCAAGTGCATCAGTGCAACTCTTTCCCCTCTGCCTTTGCCCGCTTAATTCGGACCTTGGGGATGTACAGCGTTACAGCTCGGGCTTCGGAGGAAAGGGAAGTGTAAGGTATAGTGTAAGATGCGTAAGATGGTAAGTCCGTAAATTGGTAAGATTGTAAAGTGAAATGCGTAAGATTTGTACTCGAAACAGACAAAAGAAACGAAAATAGCCCTACCAGGGTGGAGAGATGGTAGACTACGTCCCATAGACTATGTCCCAGGGACCGTGGGCTATATACTACTACTGTTCCCATTATGATTTCTGAAAGGACGGAAAAAAATCTGAGACTGAGACGGCGCGGATCGCGCTTCCGAATGGAGATCAACCCGAGAATCACCACGGCCCTGCAGAAAGAAAAGAGGCAAAACGGAAATGTAATTTAATTGATTCGCACGTTAGAACAAAAGAAACCTGTAAAGAAAGAAAAAAAGAAAAGAAAAGAAAAGGGTTTTTCTTTTCCACGCATCGGGAATCCCCTGTAATTTACCCAGGGAATCGGCCCCGTCAGCTCTCCCCACTCTCCGCTTCGCCTTGCTCGCCCTCTCCTCATTCCCTCTCCTACACTTTCACTCTCTACCTTGACCCTCTCACCACCCAACTCTCCTCTTCTTTGCGTTTGCATTTGCATTCTCGAACACTCTGCCATTTCTGGCCCCAATACTGTCCTCGATCTTATGGCGTATGGTGTCGCCTCACTTCCCCGTGCAGTTGGCCGCCTGACCTGCAGCTCTCACGCTGCCATCCGACACTGCTCGTACCTCCGAACCCTCCCTTCCCAATCCTCCTCCCTCACCTTTCACTCGTCATGACGACTGGTTTCGATATTCCGGAGACTGGGCTGTCTCTCCGGCACGGAGAGCAGTCCGGTGAATCTGCCTCCAAGCCAGTTCAGATTATGCGTCTGAACCTAGTCCAGAGCACCCTCGACGAGCTGATCGAAAGCCTCCGAAACAATCAACCTGCTCGAGTCCGTCTGGGGAAACACCCGTCCCTACACTACGCCGGCAAATCCCATTCCTTCCATACCTACCCCGAAACACACCGCTCCGAGATCTACCACAGCTCTTCCGACAAGCGGAACCTCTACTTCACGGGTGTGCTGAGCCACAGCCTGGAGGTGGAAAAGGCCAGGGCCGCTACTGCCGCCACTGACCAGGCCCTGGCCAACCTAGAGGAGAGTCTCAATGCCTTTGAGCGAGGCAAGGAATCCAAGAAAACACACATGATCCAACACCCGGATGAATTGAGGTCTCTTCGTGCTGCTGGAGGCTCCGGTCAGCGAGGCCCTAAAAGCAAGGCTGGACTGGAGAAAGAACGACTTCTTCGGACGGCTGCTTCCCGGTCTCTGACCTCTAGCCCGACTTTGGGGTCTGCCAAATCTCCGGCCCCCATTCCGACGTCCGCTCCGCTCTCGCAGACCAAGAACAACGCCCGGCACGAGGCCCTTAAGGCACCTTTCATCCACCTTCTCGCCGTCCGTGCCGTCTCATCCAAGTTCCTGGCCCGTCAAACCCGTTCCACGATTGAAGACTGCACGGTCCTCGCCCAAAAGTACGGCAGCGAGAACCGCCTCAACCGCGAGAAATACGACCTCAAGGACAAGTCTTACAAGGATCTCGATGTGTGGACCTTCCCCTACCCAACTCAGGACGATCGGCAGGAGGCAATTGAGAATGCTGTTTCAGCTTTCGATCGTATGCGGATTTCCCGTACCGACAAGCTGTGGCAAATGCTTCTCCCCAAGGGCGAACGGGGCAAGGGCAAGTGTCTATCCCGACTGAACCTCAGCAATGGCCCTGTCAAGAAGACTACCCAGGGACGATCTCAGGTAGATGGTGGTGACGACTCGGGCAAGAACGGTGACACTACGGGCAACGAGACGGACCGACGCACCGCCCCGTCGAAGACATCGGACGCTCCTCGATCGACTCCCGCCCAGAAGCCTCCCGCTGGAAAGGCTCCTGTCAAGGGACCTGCCGCCAAAGGGCCCCCCAAGAGCAAGAGCACCAACAACACTACATTGACTGGCCGGGTTACGAAGAAGACTGCCGCCAAGCCACCAGCGAAGACGGATACCAAGTTCAAGTCTGCGGAATTCGTGCATGACTCCGATGATGATGATGAAACCCCCGATACCGCTCCTTCTCCGCCTGCCCCCGCTCAACGTCCGAAGGAAGAGAAGACAGCTCCTTCGAAGAAGCCTCAGGCTCCTATTAAGGCTCCAGGCAAAGCTCCGACTAAAGCTCCGGCTCCTGCCAAATCTCGCGCCACCAACAATGCTCCACCTGCATCGAAGTCTACCAAGACTGAATCATCGACTCCCAAACTGGAGTCTTCTCAATCCCGCTCTACCACCTCAGCTTCTTCCAAGCGACCTGCTCCACGAACCTCGACGTCTCCTCAGAAACCCTCTCCTCTTGGGTCTTCCCCTCCTGCCAATGTATCCGATGCCACCGGTCGGAGCCGCTCTGACAGCCAAAACCAGTCTTCCAGCTCGTCTTCTTCCCCGCTCATCTCCCAACTCGCTCGTGCCAACAAAGCTACGACTGGAACAGTTGCTCGGCCTTCCAAGCCTGTTACCTCGACCAATGGTCCCTCCAAGTCTGGGCTTGTCGGCAATCCCTTGAAGCGCAAGGCGGAATCTGACCGATTGGCTCCGCCCCATGCAGCCGCAGGACGCACGACCGGAAATCTCGACCACAAGCGTCGCCGGGCGGTCAGCACCTCTAGTGGAGGTAGCACCGGCAGCGCATCTCCACCCTTAAGCCAGGAGATTCTCCGGGAGCAGCTGCGGGAGAAGTCCATGAGATTCAAGAGATATTATGCAAAGTACCTCTCCTTGCATCGCACCCTCGACACCTCCACCAACCCTTCATCAGCTGATCTCAACAAACTCAGTCGACAGCATGATATGCTGCGAAGCATGAAAGAAGAGATCTGGGACGAACACGCCAGACTTAATGACGGCATCTCTCGTGATTTCTAACGATACCTTTTTCTGCATGGTGGCGACTGTGGTCGTATTCACCCACATGGCGAAAATCTAAACCCTCAATTGACAAGATCGACAGCTCGGCGTTTTTATCCTCATTTTATTCTCGCACATCTTGCCTTTCCGTTTCCCTGTTTTTTTCCATCTGCATATCCCCCTTGAAACCCACTGTGCATTCCTTCATATCGTGATTTTGTGGCATAGACTTTTGCATTTCTGCTCCTATTCCCGGGCACCAATACACATGCATTTTATCAGAACACTACTCGAAAATCCCTATGGTGCAATTTCCAATGTCGACCTCGTATTCTTAGAGTTGATCAACGCCTTACCCCGGATCAGCGAACCGAACATTCACAGCTGCTAGCGGGTGGTGGGTACCGTCCTTCCCTCGTGATTCGCGAGGGCGCACGTGGCCAGGTCACGGGACTCTGTAATATTACAGCCAACAAACAGAAACAATACACTGGTTTACGTCATCAACTGTTCTCCCACTAACCTGCATTAAGTCTAGCTTCCGTGGGAACTTGGGAAAGTCGAATCTCCATCTCAAGAGCATCCAACACGAACGTACCCGTCCAATCCTCGAGCAATTGAAGCTATCCTGGTTCAAGGAGCGCGACAATGACTCCCCCCTCACGCGGACGGGGCACCAGTCAGCGAAGTCCGACCGTCCTGGTAAGAAAGCCCCCGCCCCCCAAATAGCAATTACCGTGCATGGGTTACTGAGACAGCTGTACGGAACATAGGTCACCGACTCCCGCGACCAACAATCTGCCTCTACACCCCGACGCCGACGATCCCCGGCTACAAGATTCATCACCGTCGATAATGTCCTCCAATATGCCTCCGACGTTCCCTCTATGCAGCAGCGGCAACCGCCGCCAATTTCGAGATCCCGCCGCCTTGCTTCAGCCACTGGCGGCTTGATTGGTGCCGGGGGCAACAGCTCTACTGCGATCTCGGGCTCCGGCGGAACTATCGGGCGCCTTGCGGCGCAGCCGCGTCTGCCACCTCGAACGACTAAGGTTAGCGAGAAGCTGGTGCTCTTACCTGATACTGGTAGTGTTGGAGAGCCGGATGTTGAAGAGGATGATGAGGATGAGAATGAGGACAATGATGTTATTGATGAGGAGCTTGTTGAGCAGCTCTCAAGGGAGAGACATGTTGATCCGGATGTCGTGCGGCAGCAATTGCTGGCGCAGAAGCGGCTTGCTGGTGACTTTGGTGTGGACAATGATATGGCGCCCCTGCTGGCTGACGAAGAGCACCAGCGCAAACGACGTGTTGGGCCTGAGCGCGCGAAGAGCTATGCAGAGCGTCTGCCTAAGGCGCGTCGGACAGAGAAGCTTGCGCGTGTGACGGCATATTGCACGGCGCAGGCGTATAAAATGGGGTCGTTGGCTTCTTTTGTCAAGGAGTGGCATGGTGCAAGGACGAAGCTTTATGATGATTGTCTCTACACTGCATATCACACCCCTCTGCTGCCTGGTCATGAGGGGTATCGCTTGCGGAGTAGTCCGGTGGTCAAGTTCCCTGGTGGAAAGTCACTACTGGATGAAGAGATTGAGCGGAATGAGCAGCGTGATCACCATGATGATTACGAGGCTGAGGATCATTCTGTTGGTGGTCATAATCGCCCTGGGGAGGGGCATCCCCATGAAGCTTCTCCTCGGGACTCTGAGGAACATGGTTCTGGGGAGCAGCATCATCAGGGATTCTTGAATCGCATTTCCGAGGAGGACAGTCGGATTCAGGATGACCAGCAGAATGTATCCAGCAATAATGGTGGTCTGCATAATTCGTCTCAGTCTGGACCTGATGGAGAGCATCAGGCCGAGCCAACACCTCGTCGCCGTCGATACAGTTCTGATGATGGTCCAGTATTCCGGGAACGATCTTCCCCACCAATGCCAGCATCACAACCTCAAGCCCCCGCTCGGACTCTCTACAACGTGGCTGAGATGTTCGTCTTCAGCTACGGCGTGGTGGTCTTCTGGAACTTCACAGAGCGACAAGAGAAGGACCTGCTAGCAGATCTGGCATTCGCTACCTCCTCGGCGACTGGCACGCCCATCCCGCTGACCACAATGCCTCTCCACGAAGAGGATTTCGAAACCGAGGAGTTCCATTTCGAATACTCCACCGAGATTTCCCGCCCGCGTGTCTTCAACGACATGATTACCCTCCGAAGCGGCGACCACATGATCAAGCTCGCCATTAGTCACGGTATCTCCCAAAGTACCAAGCTATGCTTCTTCGAAGAGGTTATGGCCCGCCAAATGGCAGATGCAAAGGACGTTCCCCGCCGCCTCGCCATGACAGGCCAACTAGGCATGAAACGCGAGGAAGTCTTCCGCATCCTAGGCCGTCTATTCAAGAGCCGCGTGGAGGTTAATCTCTGTAAGTTCCATCCCTCCCATATCTCAGATCATACTAATAATCCCAGCATCAAACATGCTCGACGTCCCCAACTTCTTCTGGGAAAGCGAACCGACCTTGTGTCCCCTCTACATCGCCGTGCGCGAATACCTCGAGATCAAACCCCGTATCCAGGTCCTCAATGAACGCTGCCGCGTCTTCCTAGACCTCGCAGAGATCCTCTCCGACTCTATCGCCGATAACCGCACTTCCCGTACGTCTAACCCCCTCCCCTCCCCTCCAATATGCAAAAACTAACAACCCTAGACCAAACCTGGATTATCATCATCCTAATCATTATCTCCATCATCGTAACCTGCTCAGAAGTCTTCCTTCGCTTTGGCCTCCTCCATTCCAGCCAAAACACAAACTCCAACCCGGCGAGTATCATCGCCCGCGCAATGGGCCGCTCTGTGCCCCCTTCGCCGCCAGCAGGCTGGTCCTATAATGGGGCGAATATTCCGCCTGGATGCATTTGCCCTTCTGTTCCGCCTCCTAGTGGGTCGAATGTTGGTGGGTTGAGTGGGTATGGGCTTTGATTTGGTTGTTAGTCACCCCGTTCTGTTCTCTAGAACGGGTTCTAGTATTTGTATGTTTTATTGAAATATGGAAATATGGTGTACTGGTGTTATGGGTTGGAACTGGACAAATACGATCCAACTGATTGCCTTTCAAGTGTTACATATTGATATTATGTGGAATGCGTCGATTGGGTTTTATCAGCTCGTTAATTCAACCTTCCGTGTGGAACTTTAAATCCATGACTCTTTTCCTTGTGATCTCAGGCGTATATATAGTAAGTACCTACGCGATGCCTGTGGGTAACAATGACTTCCATTCGGAATATCTAGAAAGAAGATGACTTCCAGAGGCTCGGCGAGGGTTCGAGGTGGATTAGAATTGTCACCTGGACACCATTCAGTACAGAATATATTTAAGAGCCTTCCCGAGGTTACTCAATTAATGAACCCGTCAACCTTATAGCATTTTACCCGTAACGGTCCCTGCCCTCTTAGAAATAAGTCATATGTAGTATTCCACTCTCAAGGGATGATACCAGCGCCCGTATCCCAAATCAACTCAATCCCGAACATAACCTACGTATCCTACCTCATTACAAACACTCCTGCACGTACAATAAGACTTAGACTCCGATGACTAACATCATAACAAGTCAGTTTGGCCGAGTGGTTAAGGCGACGCCCTGCTATGGATCACAGCTCCGCCTGTGAACTGTAAGGCGTTGTGTTCGCACGCACAGGTTCGAATCCTGTAGCTGACGTTTACTTTTTTTCCTAGTTTTTTTTTTTTTTTTTTTTTTGTGGGGTTGTTATTGCGAATGTGGACGTGGCTTGTTTTATAGAATCCACTGCATGCGGCTCTCTGATTGGTTAAGGTGGGAGGATTGACCGTCTAGATTTCGTGGCTAGGGTCAGGAGGGTTGCATGTTTACTGGAGGTACACTATACTATTCGCTACACCTCACTATCCGAATATTTGTCCTGGAAGCTTTCTGTGTACACTAGAGGACAATTCAAGGATTGGCATCGCAAATTATAGTCTGCATGTGATGTATACTGTACTATTCACCAATAAACTTTGTATTTGGGTACCAGATTGGGTTGGACTATGTATAAGGCCGGCTTTCAGTGACCCATTGTTTATGCAAGGTATTTGATATTCTTTGATCTTTGTTATCTACAGCAATATCAAAACACTGGAAGCCTTTCAACTCCCGCGTTCCGATATTTGTAAGGTTTCTTTATCGATACATATACTCCCTTTCGAGGCCCCCGAGGTTGTTTCTTTATTGCTCGGGAGTTTCAACTCAATTATTTGAAAGGTGAGTAGTTTCAAAATGCTACCCCATGACCTTAAGATGCTGCGCATTGTTCTAGTCCAGGACACAAAAAGGCCCGAGGAATTCAGCGTAGGTGGTAATATCGATATCACACACAATCACATTATCCAGCTTCAAGTAACTCTAGCAAACTCAAAGATCATCTCAAAAACTTTGCATTATATTCTATCCAAATTCAACGAATTAATACAAATTTTAAGCTATGTATCAACCACCACCATTCACCATGACTGATCCACCCCGCAGAGGCAGCATTTTTGACCGAATATGTTCTAGCATCTCTCGTCGTAGCTCACAAAACAGTCGCCGGTCCAGTACCGCCTCTAACAATAGCCGGAATGATAACGAGGAAAGTACAGGACAAGGCCTACGGGACCAATTGAACCGCGTACGTCGCCGCGTCAGTAACGCTACTGACAGTCAATTTCGCCGTCGTAGCAGCACAACCCAGAGACCAGCCCCTCGCGAGGCTTCACAGCTCCCTGTTCTGCCACGTGTGTTTCCTACAGGACATCTTCATGAGCAATCTAGCCAGAGTGAACAGGGAAAACCACAGGAAACAGAGGAACATGTGAAATGGACAGTCGACCCATCAACTGGTAAGTCTAGAGGGGGAAGTAGAAGAGCAGTGCCTGTTAAGCAACGGCAGACTGAAGCGCCTAGCACGCCTGGTACCCCGGCTACGTCTGACACTCCTACTACGCTGACAAATGCATGTTATTGAGAAGATGTTTAGCCTGGATGGAAAGGTTAATAAAGCCTGTTTTTGAGATGGGGGGGGGGGGCGTTTGAGAAAGTGATGTTTGCGCTTAGGCCGGGACAGGCCGGTGATCGTAAGCTTGAGTATCCGGAAATGAAGAAGATAGCGCAGGAGTCTGGGGATGAGAGGATTGTGTTGTCAGGGAAGAGGAAGGAGAGGGAGATTCAGCTGTCTGTTGCTAAGAAGTGGTAGTAACCTCATAGGGGGACGGAGGAACTGAACGTAGCACTGGAGGGTTTAGTGGTTTTATGGTTACGAGAAGCAGATGAATCCAAAATCTCCGTTGAGAGGGACAAAGCCAAGCCATGCTAAATATAAAACACAGAGACATTAGATATCAGTACAAGAGACGGCTTCGGCCAATGCCTAGCAGCTCATTTCATTCCCCTTTTTCACGATCAAATCAATGCCCAAAGTTTATCGTGTCTAATTCACTTAACCAGTGACCTTGAAGATGGACTCAGCCAGGCGCTTCACGTTGCCGGAGGTGATACCAGCGACGGAGATACGGCCGTCCTTGGTAGCGTAGACGGAGTGCTCTTTAGCAAGAGTCTCCATCTGCTCGGGCTTCAGACCGGTGAAGGCGAACATGCCGATCTGGCTGGTGATGTGGGACCAATCGTGCTTGCTGCCGAGGGACTCGAGGTTCTTGCGCAGGAGGGAGCGCATCTCAATGATGCGGTCGGCCATGCCCTTGACCTCACCGAGCCACTGCTCGTTCAGAGCGGGGTCGTTCATGATGGCAGAGGCGACGCGGGCGCCGTGAATGGGAGGGTTGGAGTAGAAGGGGCGGATGAGAATCTTGACTTGAGACTCGACACGCTTCTTCTCCTCGGCGCTCTCGCAGACGAGAGAGAACGCACCAACACGCTCTCCGTATAGACCCTGTATTTCTTGTTAGTTGTGTTTTCTATATGACTAGCTTCGCTAGCTGTTATCGGACATCTTCCAACTCACCATGTTCTTGGCAAAGGACTGGCACAGAGCAATGTTGTGGCCCTCCTTGACGAAGTGACGGGGAGCAAAGGCATCCTGGTCAGCGTTACCGCTGGCGAAGCCCTGGTAGGCCATGTCGAAGAAGGCGAAGTGGCCCTTCTGCTTCATGACATCGCTGATCTGGCGCCACTGGTCCTGGGTGGGGTCAACACCGGTAGGGTTGTGGGCACAGGCGTGCAGCAGAATGATGCTGTTCTCGGGAGCAGCCTTGATGTCGGCAATCAGACCCTCGAAGTCCAGGCCAATGGTGTCCTTGTTGTAGTAGCGGTACTTCTCGACCTCAAGGCCGGAATCCTTGAAGACGGCGTTGTGGTTGGCCCAGCTAGGGTTAGGAAGGTAGATCTTCTTCGCGTTGGGGTAGAAGCGCTCAAGGAAAGCACCACCGATTCTCAGGGCACCGGTTCCGGAGATGGTCTGGGTGATGACGAGGCGGTCCTCCTTGAGGACGGCGGAGTCGGTGCCGTAGGCGAGCTCAGCGGCGGCCTTGGTGAAGGCAGGGATACCGGTGATGCCAGCGTACTCCTTGTCGCTGCGCGAGGCCACGACCTTGTCCTCGGCGGTGCGAACGGAGGGCAGGACATAGGGCTTGCCCGCATCGTCACCTAAAAAACAGCAATTCCATTAGTTTTATGTCTCAGTCGGTTTTTGATTTTTTTTCTCCATCCCTTCGAGCTATACGTACGGTAAGCGCCAACACCCAGGTTGATCTTCTCCTTGAAAGAGTCGGCCTTGAAAGCCTCAGTGATACCAAGAATAGCATCCTAGCACATCACTACGTTAGAATTGACCCAGGCAATTGTGCTGCGCGCACAGAACAGGTTATTTGAAGCTTACGGGAGGACCCTGGGGAACCTTGGACCATGCCGAGGCCTGTCTAGCACCGATGACAACAGTGCGCATGTTAGCTTCGCGGGCCGCAGCCGAGCGGCTGGCAACGCGCAGAGTGGAGAGCATGATTGCGATGGTATAGGGGATGAAAAGGCAAGACCAAGCTCAAAGAACTGGGATGGAAGGGAAAAGGGAAGAACCGGGAGAATAAGAAAAGGTCGGAGATGCTGCGGTACGTCTGTTTTGGCCTGACTCATGTGACGGCGGTAGTCGGTACCTCACTCAATATGTAACCCCAAATACTTAACCAAGTATCTGGTACCTCATGACCCGGCGAGAACAGCGATCACGCGGGATTGGCTGCATCCTCCGCACAACGCGGATCATTTTCACTTGAACTGCAGGGGTTCGTCTGTTTTCATCCCTTTCCCCTGAGGTAAAAATGTTGTATCTAGCATAAGGGAATGACCTCTAGCTGAAGCAATTCAATTGTATACGGATGTTTGTGTTCTAAACAATATGACAAAACCAAACGGTTCTCCAGGTTGTGCCCCGACATGGCGCGACATCGGAATTCTGATTCCCCGGTGAGCTGATCGAGTCCTCCTTACTCCACTCGCGCCTTTTTCCCCTCACGAGTTTGGGGTAAATGACTGCCCTATGACCTATGACCTACCTGCAGAAGCAACTCCGAAACCGATGTCCGATTGCTGCAATGGCTCCGAGACTTAACATGTAGATGCGTCCTAGGTACATCCCTAGCTACGCATAAACAAGTAGTAAGCCCACTCGGCTAAATTGTTACTATTACCCTTAGCTACCCGGGATGATCCCCACACGCGGAGACAGCATTGTCTGATCCCCCGGTATTACGTAGCACGCGGAGTCTTCCAGTAAATCGGAAGGACATGTCAGAATTGAGAAATGACACGGCGGATGGAATTGCCTATTCGGGCTGGATATCGTAAGGTTGATCATTGATCATTTTAGTTCTATACACACAAAAAAAAAAAGAGCGAGTCGTTTCAGCCCAGTCGCACTCCGGCCTGGCGGTTTTTCCGCGCTTGAGCTCCCATGGCGTTGTTCATACCCGTGTGCTGACTGCTGTCCAACGCACTCATTGATTCGCGCTTCTTCTCCTCTTCGATCTTCTTCAGACGCTTCTCGGTCTTCATCTTTCCGCTGCCTTTGCCGTGGAATTGGTGACTGAGGTGCTTGAAGGCTTCCTTTTGGTTCATTGAGCGGCCGTACTCGTCCGTGTACTTGAGCTGTACGTCGGGCTTGTACTCTTTGTTAAATACCTCGGCCATTTGTCGCGCATCTTGCTGATCGCGCTGCTTGTTTTCCCAGCGTGCGTGTTCTTCGCGCTCACGAGCAGACATACGGTCCAGCTTGCCTGAGGCACGATCGCGCTCGCGCTGGGCACGTGCACGTCGATCGGCGTCGGTCTCGCGGTTGAGCTTATCTTGAAGGAACTGTTGGCGTTTGCGCATGAGAGCGTTATGATCGGTGCTGTTGGTGTCCTTCACAATGCCACGCTGCTTCAGCATCGACAAAGTAGCTCCCAGACCCTGATCCAAAGTAGCTTCTTCTTCCAGACCAGTGCCAGTAAACTCCTGTTGTTCCTGCTTGGATTCTTCACGCCTGATACGCTCCTCAAGATCCTCTCCATCTTCAATATCATTGTAGGTCCGTTCCATGTCCACACCCTCAGTCTCAGCCTCGGGCTCCGGTTGAGCAGCGGCCTCTTCAGTAGGGGCCGATGCTCGTCGCTCTTCCCGTTCGGGCAATGCGGGTTTCTGAAGGTTGGAAACGAACTCTGAGGTCTCGTCAATCACAAGGCCGGGTTCCTCTGCGCCATCTTCAGTCTCGACTTCCATTGGAGTCTGGGACTCCTCTTCACGAAGTTGCTGTGCAAGGTCTTCGGGACGCATCTTCTTGCGCTTCTTGAAAGCGGCACGACGCTGGAGCGCAAGTGATGCTTGTAGGTCATCGTCATCCACAAAGGAAATATCTTGGTTGATCAGCTTCTTGGGCACAGGCGCGACACCATTTGTTGAATCGATATCCATAGCTGTGCCGTTCGATTCGGTTGTAGGTGTAATATCTTCATCATCCATTACTGCTCTCTGTTTTGTCGTCTTGTTCTTCTTCTTCTTTGGCTTCTTGATTTTAATCTCGCTGATATCCATGTAATCGGATGCTGGAACTTCAGGTTCAAAGTCGAGACTAATGATGCCCTTCTTCAGTCGCTCCGAAACCTCCTGTCGCTTAGCATCGCGTTCTTCTTCGGTTGATCCCTTGGCATCAAGTGTGAATCGCTTGCGTTTCTTGCCCTCAATCTCCTCGTCGTAATGCGAGAGAATTCCTTGGTTCTCAGCTGTGGGATCGTAAACGGGCTTGCGCTTCTTAAGGTCGTTCCGCTCCTCGGTTCGCTCTTTGTCGACCAAGTGGACATCTTGAAGCTCATCGCCCTCCTCCTCGTCATCTATCCCGGTATCCTTGAGAGTAAGGACGTGGTCCTCGCCACCCTCGAAGTCACCGATGGAATGGCCAACCTTGACACCAGCCAGATCTGCGGCAGTGTATTGGATAGCCGCGGCTCGTTCTCGCTCTTCCAGCTCTTCGGCAAGTTTGCGCGCGCGCTCCTTCTCAATCTTCTTCGAGCGCTTCTTGTTCTGCATTAACCAAGCCTTGGTGTCAAGTTCTGCGCCATCCAACTCTCCGAGGGTAGAGCCTTGCAGCTTCAGATTTCTTTGAGCGATGTCGCGTGCTTTCTTGATGGCAGCATTCTTCTCGTCTCGTCTCTTTTTGGCGTCGGCTTCGTCCTGGAGTTTCTGCCAATTTTCGTAACCCTGGGCCTGTCGGGTGTCGACGGTGCTCGCGGGATCTTCTTCTTCGCCAGAATCGCTCGAGTTATCGTCCTTGAAGTCCGGTCCAGTGGCGTCAGGCTCGGCGCCGGGGACGGGGAGTGGCTTTAGGCCGAGGGCCACTCGGATCTTGTTGTTCTGCTCGATAGATAGAGCGTCCGCCATGTTGACGGTGTGATCGAACAATAACGCAAGTGAAGAGGGGATAGACTGCAAAAGCTGTCTTGACAAGTCACAAGAGTCGCCGACCCTGGTATCATGATGTGTCATGTGACTTATACGCTAAGGACCAATACGGTTAGCGCCACAAATTCTTAGCGCGGATAAATAAGAAGGCTCTTCTCTTCCCTTTTCCTTTCTTTCTTCACCACAAACACACCTTAGATCTGTGCCCAGATTTCCCGTTCACGGAGCAATCTGTGTTTCGGTTGAGAGCTGGGCAGTTCGACGACAACGGAGCCATACTCACTTGTGTATGGCACACTTTACGGTTTCCTGTCGACAGATCTCAGATTAAAGCTCCGCGCCAGGCGTGGCCCGGGTCTTGAGCTCCCTCTGGTGAGCTCGGCTTGGGTCCTGGTTGTGGACGGCGTCATATTCCTGATCCCTTTGCCGATTGGCCGTTGGCTAGTGAGGCCAGGGAATAACCATGACTAGCCAACATACCTTTGTTAGCCATTAGAATTATCATTTATTCGTAGAGACCGTCTATTCCAACTTGCTGAAGAGAACCAGGCAGTTGCTACAGTCAACTTGTTCTACAAGTCTTACGACCCTGGCGCATAGTCGCTTTGTGATCTCTTTGATGAACGCAAAATCCTTGCAGGGATCAGGTCAGATCTGCGGATACATGTCGCATTCCCAGCGTCGGGTCGCATGGTTTATCATCATGATCGTCATTGCCTATACCAAAGGATATGTAATTTACAGAAGCTTCAGGTGTCCTGTCACGCCGTCGACGACGCTCTTGGGACCTAAGATACCCAAGACCGTCCGGCTACCGCTTGCAATCTGAGTGCGACCAGCATCCTGAATAACGCGCGCGCAGAGCCCCAGGCTCATAGCCTGGGCCTGCAACAGAAGCAGCTCATCCTCCGACTTGATCTGCAGCGCGATCTTGGCTTGGCCGTTGCGCTCCCAACGGCGCACGATGGGGGAGTCAGGCGAGTGCTCATGGAAGTATTTGTAACAGGCGAGGGTTGCGTGGGAGGCTTGGGCGGCGATTTTGCCTGGAATACAGAAGTCAGTATCATATCGTCTGGTGTCCAAAGATTGTAGAGTTCGTACCCTTGGTCATACCCAGGTCTGTCCGGACGACCAGCACCAGCTTCACCTCGTCGGTGTTATCCTTGAAGCTGGCCAGTTCCTCGCCGTTGCCCTCGTCTTCCCCGTCGCTCTCCTCTTCGGGGTCGGAGTCGCCTTCTTCGTCGGAGGAGTCCTTGTGGACCTTCACGTCGTAGCCATTCGGCCAGCCCTGCTTTTCTTGGAACAGGCCGAGCGATTTTCCTTGGCCGATGAAGTAACCTGCGACGCCGGCGACAATGGCGGTGGCGATCACGTAGGCAGTTGTTGTAGGGGGGATCCGGTCGAGCGGCACGGGTGCAGCCATCTTGATCTGAAGATTTTGGGTGGTGTTGTTGAAGTTGAGTGGGTGATACAGATAATTTGTTCCGCGGCGCTGGACCGCCTCACCATGATGACATATCCTTCGAACAATGCGCATTCAGCCACTGACTCAAGCCTAGAAGCTATACATTGTGAGATTTAATGAATGAGATTTAATGAATAATTATTTCAGAGATATTTCAAAATCCAGTAGCAACTTTCAATGTGCTCATACTGTCAGTTGTGCTCAGGAATATGTGGTGGGCCCGAGATATTAAGTGATATATATCTCCTCACTATGGATCACCATTTCTTTCAAACTATCGGGACTCGGCTTTGAGCATTCCAATGAACTCAACCTCCATGCCTAGGTAGATATCTACCTTCTAATGTCTGTAACAGCATCACTACGTATTATGCCCTAAGGCTGAGCTTCGAGTCATGGGCAAGTTGATTAAAATTCCTACAGCCGGAGACTGCCTCCAACAATTGTCTTCAAAATAAGGAAAAAGAAAGCCAACCGGAGTGCATTAGACCCAGCTTTGGCCGACCGCTTACTATATACATGCCAGAAAAAAGTGATATATTCGCCAGAAGCAAGCTCTTAGTTAGCACTTCCCCCAGCAGGAGCAGCGGCAGGGCGGTTAGTGCCCAAGTTGTTCATACGGCGACCCATGATAGTACGGCTGAAGAAGCTGATACCAATCATGAACAACCAGCTGGGAACAGCACCAATGGCGAAGATGGCATAGCCAAGGGGCATGAGCAGCTGGTACTGAGCCAGCCAGCCGTCAGTGGGGTGGAAAGCGCCGGTGTACTCGGCGGCATCCTCGTAGATCTTCTTGGAGTGGATCTCGTAGAAGTTCTCGGGGGTGACGGTGGTGGTGTTCATGTAGACGACGTGCAGCGGGGTGGGCAGACGCTCCTCGCCCTCGGGCTGGGCCTTGGGGATCTGGTAGTAGTAGACGGAGGGAGCACCGGCGGACCAGGCAGCGCAGAGAACGCGGTTCTCCTCGCAGTCCAGCAGACCGAGGTTGGGGGAAGTCGGATCGGCAGAGAAGAGAAGGACGGATTCCTAGATGATGATTAGATGCTGACGACACGATGATACGGAAGTAGGGCCGAAGCTCACCTTGAACGCCTTATCGGCACGATCGCAGCGACCGAAGCAGGTCTTGTTACCGCCAGTCACGTAGATGTACCAGTCCTGCGCATCGGAGGCGGGCTCCAGGATGGGCTGCCAGTTGTTGAGGGTGATGGGAGTGACAGACTTCTCCGAGATCTTCTCGGCCAGCTTCACGATGGGCTCGGCCGGTACAGCCGTGGGAACCATAGCCTTGGCCTTGTTGAACCATCCTTGGACGCGGTCGGCGAGGGGAACCTGCTCCTGCGCCAGAGCGACGGCAGGGAGGAGGGCGACAAGCGAAGTGAAACGCATCTTGATGGCTGCGACGCGTATGAAGGATTAGCGCGGAAGGAGAGGAGAGGAAGAGATGAATCTCGATGGATCAGACGCGAAACTTACCTTGATTAACAATAGATCAATTCAACGGCACCCGAGAGGAATAAGGAGAGAAGGAATAGGAAAAAGCCCAAGTGAACGTTAGACGACAGCTGGCCTGAGCGCCCGGGCCAACCACAGTCGCGTAATTCGCACGCGGGGAGATCCGCTCCACTCTCACTCTTTCTTTCGTCTGGAGTATTTCCTATTGAACGAGCGCGGTGTCAATTCTAATATTATCTATCCTAGACCTCTGGATTCACTAGAGCAACCGAAGCATGAACATCCGCGAAACTTAGACATCGACCTGACAACATCCCCACCTACACTCTAAATATGATGTGCAGCTGGAGCCTTCCCCGATCTTGCGTTGGGTCCCACTCGACAAAGCTCGAGCCGTGACTTATCTTTGGCCCCTACGTCGTCGTAGTGGAAAGCCCGCCTCGGGGCGGACTTTTGAGGCTCCCTGGTATGGCTCCACAAGGCCGGGGACACCTCCCCACCTTGCGATGGGCGTTTTAAGTTGGTGCGAAATAAGATCAAAGTTCAGAGCGTTGCATGTATCTTGCTTGAATTCTACAGCAGCCACGATCATTGATTGTGCAATTGAGACCCTGCATTGACACAGGGCCACGAGAGCCATCCCATGAACAACAGCTTCGGTGTAACCTGCTGATGCATGCCGGGCCTGGAAGCTGGGTGTACGAAAGGCCACGCTTCTAAGGTATTACAAGGTCCACCTGTAAAACTCCCCCCGTCATAAGCATCTGGGACAAACTGCAAGAAGCAAGGCAATAACATCAACACGCAGTCAACTGTCCGGAATACACAAATCACCAAAACAAATCGAGATTCTTGGCGGAACTGCAGATACTAAGTGATTTTCAACTGTAGAGCCACGCCAAGGCTTGCTTGAACCTTCTAACAAAAACCTCATTGAGTATCTAAGAGGATCAAAATAGATGTTAATGCGGGGACAAGAATCAAGCTCTACATGCTGGCTATCTTCTGACCCAACGGTGGGAGCGCAGAGCTCAATGAACCACAGCGAGGATGCTAGCGGCCTTATTCTTCTGACCGGCTGTATGAAGGCCAATGAAGGCGTCAAATTTGAGTATTTAGAGAAGTGATCAAACCTCATGCTAAAGTGGGGAAGTATAAGCAAAGCTGCAGAAGACTGCTCCCGAGCTTTGCTGCTTCCGTAGCTCCGATAGTAGCCCTCTGCATACCATTGAATCTGCTCTTTGTGCCACAACCCCGCAGCCTGGCACGCAGTCTGAATTGAGAAGTTTATTTGACAATTGGTTGAGATGAAGATCTCCCTCTTGCCATCGGGATTCGAGATGGTGGGGCTTACAGTAGAGACCACGTCATTCCGAGCTTGCAAAGCGTTAAATCTCCAATTTCTACCTTGCTTAACTATCGATACTTTCCAGACAAGCTTCGGACGCGTGTGGTCGAACACGGTCTCATGAAAGTACTTCAAGGTTAAGAAGCCATAACCTAGGTTTAGACCAGCGTGGGGCAAATGATAATGACGACATTGTCTAGAGATCCCATGGACATCAAGTGTTCCTAGTTCCTAAGGTACCTTATCTCAAAATTGGGCTAAGTGATAATTGTAGTATTACCAATCTCAAGATCGTAGACCAGGGCATCGGCGAAGTCCACCTGCATGAGGCAAAAAAAAAGTTATTGAGTCAGGCCCCCGCTGTGCCGATGTCGGTTCCCCTCCGAAACGTCACGGGCAGCGTCAAGTCGTTAAAACCACCATTCCTCACCACATTCCAGAGTAATAGTTGCATAGGGCATATAGATCAACCATTGTAGAACCTTTTGAGTCATAGTCCTGGTGAGAAAGCACAGAATTTAGTTGCAGCTGCACATAGCACGGGCAGAATATCCAGTGAGCGAGAGCGGCCGCTCCCCACACCCCAGGTAGAAAATTTCACCTTTTTGCCGCCGAGCGAAAGAGCGACGATTACTACGCAAAAGAGGAACCACACCGCCCACTCCACCTATGACTCTTACTTCCTTTTCTCCCCAGCACATAAATATCATCCTAGAATTGACTCGGTTTTGAACTCGGTCATTTTACCCTACTTTTTGCATATCCATCTAGTGCTATCGTCACTGCAGCCCACCCGCCACTCTTAAAACCCCTCCACCCCACTATCTACGCACAAAATGTGTCCCGGTGCCGACCCCGAGCCCAATGGGCAAACTAACGGTGCCAACGGCGCCAACGGTAAGAATCTGAGCTGGCGGATTCGGACTATGAGATTGCCATGCTGACTCCAGGAAATATAGGTGACCACCCCGGCTTCGTTGGCATTGAGACCCGCCAGAACCCTCACCCCACCCAATCCCGCAACCCCTACGGTCACAACGTCGGTGTTACCGATTTCTTGAGCAACGTCTCCCGCTTCCAGATCATTGAGAGCACCTTGCGTGAGGGCGAGCAGTTCGCCAACGCCTTCTTTGATACCGAAAAGAAAATCGAGATCGCCAGGGCTCTTGATGACTTCGGTGTTGACTACGTGAGTCACAGAAAATATTACGGTTGACAATGTGATCAAGAACGAAAGTCTAACCATGAATTCGGCGATAGATTGAGCTCACCAGCCCTTGCGCTTCCGAGCAGTCCCGTCTTGACTGCGAGGCTATTTGCAAGCTTGGTCTGAAGGCCAAGGTATGTTTGGGACCCGGAGACAAATTGCGCTGCTTTCAGTGGAGTCGAGCCTAATTATGTATAGATTCTCACTCACATTCGCTGCCACATGGATGATGCCCGTGTTGCTGTCGAGACTGGTGTTGACGGAGTGTGAGTCACTATATTCAATTTGCTGAGACTTTATGAACTGCTTCTAACCCCGTTTCTAGCGATGTCGTCATTGGCACTTCCTCCTACCTCCGTGAGCACTCCCACGGCAAGGACATGACCTACATCAAGAACGCCGCCATTGAAGTTATCGAGTTCGTCAAGTCCAAGGGCATTGAGATCCGTTTCTCCAGCGAGGACTCCTTCCGTTCCGACCTGGTTGACCTTCTGTCCATCTACTCCGCCGTCGACAAGGTCGGTGTCCAGCGTGTCGGTATTGCCGATACCGTCGGCTGTGCCTCCCCTCGCCAGGTCTACGAGCTCGTCCGTGTCCTCCGGGGTGTTGTTGGCTGCGATATTGAGACTCACTTCCACAATGACACTGGCTGTGCCATTGCCAACGCCTACTGTGCCCTCGAGGCCGGTGCCACCCACATTGATACCTCCGTCCTCGGTATCGGTGAGCGTAACGGTATCACCCCTCTCGGTGGTCTGATGGCCCGCATGATGGTCGCCGACCCCGAGTACGTCAAGGGCAAGTACAAGCTCGAGAAGCTCAAGGATATTGAGGACCTCGTTGCCGAGGCCGTCCAGGTCAATATTCCCTTCAACAACTACATCACTGGTTTCTGTGCCTTCACCCACAAGGCCGGTATCCACGCCAAGGCTATCCTCAACAACCCCAGCACTTACGAGATTATCAATCCCGCCGACTTCGGCATGACCCGCTACGTCCACTTCGCTTCTCGTCTGACTGGCTGGAACGCCATCAAGTCGCGTGCTCAGCAGCTCAAGATCGAGATGACTGATGCTCAGTGCAAGGAGTGCACTGCCAAGATTAAGGCTCTGGCTGACATTCGCCCTATTGCCGTCGATGATGCCGACTCTATCATCCGCGCCTATCACCGCAACCTCAAGTCCGGTGAGGACAAGCCCTTGATGGACTTGAGCCCCGAGGAGCAGGCCCAGTTCGCCGAGAAGGAGAAGGAGCTCGCGGCTGAGGCCGAGGCCAACAATGTTGCCCTCTAAGCAACTTCATATATCCTGTGTTCAATAGCGTGCTTTTCGCCAGACCTTTCCCGCATTCATCATAAACCCTGGGTGTCGTGGAAGCTCTGATGATTCGATGTGATTTATGTGTTTGGGACTTTTTTTTTTCTTTCTCATTTTTCTCAGGTTTTCAAAAGTCGTTTTGTTTTTTTCTGAGTACCAAAAAAGAACGACTAGACTGGTGTTCGGAGAGTGACCTCTCCATGTATATAAGCGAAGCCTAATCGGCTGGGGCAATGAAGAAGCATTCAAATGATATTTTCCCGCGTAGGAATACCCTACATATTTAGTGCAAAGATAGCAAAATTCATAACTTTTACCTATAAATTGCAAAGTATTGCAAGATAAATAAGTGGTTCAAGAATCATCCAATACATGTCCCCAGGTTCTTCATGTGGCAGCCTCGGCAGGCGCTAGGAGAGTCCGGGCTCGGCGTCCGCGGGCGGAACGGACGTTACTTAACATCCAGTTCCCCGACTTTGCATCACTACATCTATCCATAGGGAACAAGATGAATCCCCTACTCCCAGTCGCCCTGCAGAACAAGCTGCTGGGCTATGGCCGGGCGTCCAGAGCTCACTTATCAGCCGTGAACCTGGACCTGTGAGTAGCGCCTCCCCCGCGAAACACCGATCGTCATCACTGACCCTAACCGCAGTATCCGCAACATCGTATTTATATTCTTCATCCTCCGCTACACGCGCAAGACCTACTATTCGCTTCGCGGCTACGGTCTCTTCGGAAGCATCCGCAACGTCTACATCGCCTTTCGGCTGTTCTGTTACGGTATCTTCCTGCGCGCTCCCGGCGTCCGCGGTCAAGTCGATAAGCAGGTTTCAGAGGCTATTGGAAACCTCGAGTCGAAGCTTGTGCAGAGTGGGGTGGATGTGACGAGGTATCTTACGCTGCCCAAGGAGGGCTGGTCGCCGGATCAGATTCGGACGGAGCTCACTAAGTTGGCTGGACTGGAACACACTCGCTGGGAAGATGGCCGTGTCAGCGGCGCGGTGTATCATGGTGGCGAGGATCTTTTGAAACTTCAGACGGAGGCTTTTGGTCAATTCGGTGTTGCCAACCCGATTCATCCGGATGTTTTCCCTGGTGTTCGCAAGATGGAGGCCGAGGTCGTTAGCATGGTATGTTTTATGTGTTCTATGCGCTGCGCGATAATCCTTGAGACGAGACGGCTAATTTCCGCAGGTCTTGTCTATGTTCAATGCTCCCTCGGATGGCGCTGGTGTCACCACCAGTGGTGGTACTGAGTCAATTCTCATGGCCTGCTTGGCGGCCCGGCAAAAGGGCTTCCTGGAGCGTGGTGTGACGGAGCCGGAAATGTGAGTTTAGCTGTCCCTTGAAGATTGGTGACATGTAATTGCTAAACCTATACAGGATCATTCCTGATACCGCTCACGCCGCTTTCATCAAGGCTTGCAACTACTTCAAGATTAAGCTGCACCGCGTCCCTTGCCCCGAGCCTGAATTCAAGGTTGATATCAACGCTGTGCGCCGTTTGATCAACCCGAACACCGTTCTCCTTGTCGGCTCTGCTCCCAATTTCCCCCACGGTATTGTCGACGATATTCCCGCCTTGTCGCGTTTGGCGGTCAAGTATAAGATTCCTCTCCACGTCGACTGCTGCCTGGGTTCTTTCGTCATTGCCCTTCTTAAAAAGGCTGGCTTCCCCTCGCCTTACGAGGAAGAAGGTGGCTTCGACTTCCGCCAGCCTGGTGTCACCAGTATCAGTGTGGATACCCACAAGTACGGATTCGCGCCTAAGGGTAACTCGGTTGTTCTTTACCGCAACAAGGCCTACCGCAGTAATCAGTACTTCATCTACCCTGACTGGTCGGGTGGTGTCTACGCCTCTCCCTCCATAGCCGGTTCCCGTCCCGGTGCGCTGATTGCCGGCTGCTGGGCTAGTTTGATGAGCGTCGGTGAGACTGGATACATCAATAGCTGCACAGAGATCATCAATGCCGCGCGCAAGTTCGACTCTGCTGTCCGTGGACACCCCCTTATCTCGCTCCACATGGAGGTCGTGGGTAACCCCATGGTCAGCGTGGTCGCCTTCCGCAGCAAGAACGGCGCTATTGATACGTATGACATTGCCGATGATCTTTCTGCTAAGGGCTGGCATCTCAATGCCCTGCAGTCCCCAGCGGCTCTGCACTGCGCTTTCACTCTTCCCACGGCAAAGGCTGTTGACCAGCTCATCACCGACGTGGCCGAGGTCATTGAGAAGGAATTGGCGAAGGCCGAAGAGCGCCGCCAGCAAGGCAAGGCCTACATCCTGAAGCGTGGCGACACCTCCGCCCTTTACGGTGTGGCCGGAAGCATCCCTGATAAGAGCATTGTGAGCCGTCTGGCAGAGGGCTTCCTTGACACTCTGTACAAAGCCTAAAGGCCCGAGTACAAGCTTCTTTCTTTCACTGTACATCAACAGCGACAGCCACAGATATCCTTACGCACTCCTTAGCCTACGCGAGTCGATTCAAAAATGATTGGCGCTATTATTCCTATTCAGCGTTATTTCAAATTGCATATATTTCTTGTTCCAAGTAAATTTGTGTTTGATTGTGGAATGATGTCCGGTATAGTACAGTAGTCGAGACAAATAGGGGACGTAGAGTACGTGACATGAAAAAGAAGCCCGCTCCATGCAATAAAATCAGAGCAAAAAAGAATAGAAAGATAAGGCTGTATGCCCTTCATGCACCAGCAACAAACCTGGCCTCGAGAGAGCACTAGCCCCAATGAGCCCCATAGGGAAAGGAATGCCTCAGCATTCAATTGGGTCCCAAGAAATCTCCGTTTCATGAAAGAATGATACCCCATCTACTGACTCAACATCTCCCCCCGTTCCTCAACGCAGCTCTTCTCAACATAATAACCGGGATCGGGCTTCCGTTCAAGGTGGACCTGCTGCTTGGTAAGAGCCTGCTCGACCTCCTGGACCGAGACAAGCTCCTTGACGCGCATGATTTGACCGGCCACGGACGGAGACACGGGGTGGAAGACTGTGGCCATGCGCTTTTTGAGACCAAGGGCCTTGAGGACGTCTGTTGAGCGGCGCGGGAGACCGATCGCGGAGCGGAGGAGGGTGATGCGGAAGTAGGTAAAGCTCATTTTGGCGGTGTGTAGGTGGTTTGAAAATCAGATATTTCGTAGTTTGAAGGTGGTGAGGTCTTCACAGTTTCGTGATGGTTCCGAATGGATGGACTGTTCGGTGGAATCGGCTTTGCTTGTTGCTCAGGACAACGATTGAGTATGGAAGTGGGGAAGTGGGGAATTGATAGATCGCAGAATTCTACCCTAGGAGAGAATGGGGATTCTGCGTTGCGCTGCTTCAACCAGTCTCTTAAGATGCCGATATTTGGCGCGATTTCGCAAAATCTCGAGCGGTATATCACGTGCGCATTCTGCCGGATCCCCGGGTTGGCAGCTCCGCAGCTCTGGAACGCGGGACGCCTCCATTACATACTTGACGGTTATGAAGCGTGTTTGGGTGTGATTGTTACACTTCAAGTGTTGCCTTTGCACAAAAACCCACCGAGTTTTCCGTTACATGCCCGCACTGCCGGCTTGCTCTAGAATATACCATTGGAGCTAGATTAGGCGGCTCCGAATTCACCGCGACGACACCTTACCCTTCCTTGACCGTCAACACGCTCTCACTATGGCTCAAGCCGCCAATACCGATGGCACGGTGGCCATGCCTCGCCTGGAAGATATCCTACGCCACCCAGAGGATCTGGACAAGATCAATGGTCTCAAAGCCGAGTACCTGCGGAAGAAAGGTGCCGTCGATTCAAGACTCCGAGAAGGCCTGAGAGACCAGCTGGAGGCAGTGCAGCGCAGTATTGGGATCTTGACGGAGGGTCAGCGACAAGTTCTCAAAACCAAGGATGAATTGTACGGGATCGACAAGTTGTGCGCCGAATCTCAGGACAGTGTGGAGGACTTTGCGCAGATCGACAAGCTCGCTCGGATTCAACGGCATTTCGATGCTACTTTGTTGATGAAGAAAGGGCTGGAGAACTTCAGTGCTGATATAGAAGAGGTGGAAGATCTACTCAGAGAAGACGATGATGACCTTGAGAATCAGCCCAATTTACTGCGGGTCCATATGAACCTCTCGCGGTTGCGAGACTTCCGGGATGAGGCGATGGATCAGATTCGCAAGGCGAATGACTCAAGTGCCGAGGAGACTTTGACGGAGTATTTCCAAGGATTAGACTCTGTGATCGACTGGTTTGACGATCACCTCGGCACGGCGTGCATGAACCTGATTCCTCTGGTTCAGGAGGACAATAAGAGTATGGTTGTTCGACTTGCAGTGGTGGTTGCGAATGAAGAGAAGAATGATGATACCGTGAAGGCATTGCAAGAGGCTCAGAAAGACCACAAAGACCTGGCAAGCCGCTTCAAATCGATGAACATTGGCCCCAAGACCGTTCGTGGGTACAAGGACAAGTTCATGCAGGCCATTGAGTTCTACGCGTTGAATCAGTTCGAAAGGACTAAGGAAGAATTCTTCGGAGATCCTGACCACTTGGAGAAGAGTTTCCGGTGGTTTTTCAATGATCTCTTCACAGTCAAGCAGGGTATGCAGAATCTGGTGCCGAAGAAATGGAAGATATACAAGACATACACCGACATATATCATCGCATGATGCATGACTTCCTCGTTGGCATGATCGACGACCCCGAGATCCCTGCCGACAATCTGTTGAAGATCATCCACTGGAGCGACAAGTATTACAAGAAGATGAAGAAGCTGGGCTGGACGCCAGCTGACCTTCAACCCAACATTCTGGATGACCGTGAGCCCGAGCTTGTGCGCCAGTGGCAGAGTGTCATTATCAACGCAGTGGAGGAGTTCATGGACCGTATCTTCGAGGCAGACAAGCGAGGCCTTATGGAACGGCAACCAGATGCCCTGGACACCAATGCAGACGGATACTTCCGCACCAAGACCCTTGCAGACATGTGGCGTATGCTCCACGAGCAGGTCACGGCCTCCGGAGCATCTGAACGAGCCGACGTGATTGAAGGCGTTATTGACGCCATGTTCCGCGCATTGAAGACCCGAATGAGTGCATGGCTGGCAGTCATTGACGATGAATGTATCAAACACAAAGCACCGGGTGGCGACCAAGCCGAAGGCGTGCAGCTACTACAGGACTGGTTAATCGGAGTAGCCAACGACCAGATTGCTTGCATCGATGACAACGAAGAGACCGGTCAGATGGGCTACCTCACAAGGTTCAAACGCGACATCGAGCCCCTGGTGACACCCAAGTACATGGCCACCCGGGCAAATGCCGAGCTGGACGCACTGCGCGACAGCTACGTTGACCTGAGCACACACTGCCTGGCGCAGTTTGTGGCCGTGATATTCACCGTGGATTTGACAACCGTCATCCCAGACCTGTTCACATCGAAGTGGTATGGCGAATACACCGTCAAGCGAATCACCTCCACTTTCGAGGACTATATGGCCGACTACACACCCGTGCTCCACCCATCCCTCGTCGACATCCTCGTTGAAGAACTATCAGATGAGCTACTGGTGCGCTACCTATCATCCGTCCGCAACAAGGGCGTCAAGTTCCGCCGCCACGTCGATCCTTTCACAGACAAATTCAAGGACGATGTACTCACGGTCTTCGCCTTCTTCCAGAAATACGAGGATTCCTTCGAAGGAACAATCAAACAAAAGTGGCGTTTGGTCGACTGGCTTGTCCGTCTGCTTGAAGCTGAGAAGGGCCAACCTATTGTTAACGTTTACGAGTCATTCAAGAATGAGTACTGGGATTTGCAGCTGTCATGGGTGGAGGCTGTGCTGCGCACTCGCGATGACTTTGAGCGTAGCATGATCAGTTCCATCAAGGCCAAGGCTGCAGAGTTGTCCGTGGAGCGTGGTACGGAGACGATAATGAGCCGATTGAGGTGATTTGTTTGAGATCTTGGAAGCGAGTTTGGCTCTCGGACTCTGGTCTATGAGCAATGGATTCACAAGATTTTGTGGAAGGTTCCTTGATGGGTGTCATCAGAACACCGCGCCCAACACTTTTCGACCAAGCTTTTTCCTCACGATCATCACTGAGACCATGACGCCCAAGGAAATTCGAGGATAACCGTTTGTCCGGACAGCATCTGCCTTCTACCGATACACGGAATGGTGTTTGGTATGCTCAAGCTGGCTTGAGATTACACCGCACTTTGGAGATTTAGCAACATTTATGAATAATACAAATGGAATCTCATCCCCAAATATGTATATTCGTAAACCTTGGACCTATGACTGCCTACAGAGACATTCAGTCCATTACCCTTTTGAACATACCGCCCTAGGTTTAGCCCTCAGTTTGACGAGTTAGCAAAATAACTAAATCCTTAGATAGTATACAACTAGACTGGGAATAGTATACAAATGGTTCTAAATAGGCGGCCGTGACTTATTCTCCTAGATGTTCGAGAAGGATACCTTAGTAGTGGAATAAGAAGACGTCTACAGAGTGCTCTCGAGAGATGTCTAGATGGATATCTAAAAAGGACTAAGAAGTATGCAGTAACGGCAGTCTTGTTCCATGCATGTTTAGTTTCTTATCTAATAAAGGTTTCCTTACAAATGGCAAATTACAGAGTTATTTTTGCCGCTAATTGGTCATAATATCGGACTGCCGACATATACTAGACCACTTCAGGGTCGTGGGTTGGCGAGATTTAAGAATAATGCTACCTACTATGTTAAGTAGGTGACTATATGGCTTGGGTATTGATATCTCCCCAGACCTAGTCGAAGCCATTTCAAAGAAAACATTGGAAAAGGCAAAGAAAAAGGTCCTCAACGAGCTTTAGTGAGATGATCAGAGAGACGTCAAGAAAGACAAGAAAAAACACGTATTTAGGCCTATTTGGATTATATTCTCAGTCGCGCTGTAGACTATTTGCCTAATCTGACAAACCTTAAGTATCTAGCTCAGCCTCAAACCTCCATCACTCCCGCGCTCTCCGTCGATGTAGAACTGTGTGATGCCTCAAGACTCCGCTGAGCAATGACAGTATACTTCTCTCCTAGCCGCTTATTCAAATCTGCATCTTCAGAGTCAAGAGGGAGTTTCCTCGCGCCCATTTCACAGATACAGACCGTGTCGATGGGAATCTCTTTTGCCCAGGCAAAGGAGTATTGAGGTGATAATTTTGTAGGTGGACCCGCGCCCCTATTATCTTCATTCTGCGTAGCTTCCAAGACTTCAGAGCGTGCGGGACGCTCTACCCGGGGGACTGTTCGCGCTTCATCGACGTAGTAATTCTGGTACCGGGCTAATATGACTCGTGCATCGAATTCAAGACGTCTGGAATTGTTCTTCCCCTTCTTGGAACGCCCAGCGTCAGGCTTAGGTTTTGGTCCTCCCCGAACGTAAATTGTGTTCACAATAGTCGCATGCAAAAGCAGAGGACGTGGTTTCGGAATGCGGTTGAGAGCAACTGTGTAGGGGTCCGATGGAATGGGAGCGATTTCAGACTCCGAATGAGGCCGATCATCTTTCACGCCATTCTTATAGTCTTTTTGCTTGTCTTTATTTTCATTCTGTATAAGCCCAGCTTCGATGAACTTATCCCGCAGCATCAGACAAAATGGATGTAATCGTCCAGTGGGATCCTCAGGAAAAGCATGTAGAACAGTCGCGGCTTTTGCCCGTGGCAAGCAATGAAGTGACTGGAGCGAAACATGCATGGGACCCGGATCCCGCAATGTTTTAGTCACAGATGCCCGAGACTCGGGATTTGAGGGAAGGTGAGACTTTCTTTTATCTCGCAACTTCGTGGCAACCCGCCCCGCCTCGCGCATTAGATCAACTAGATCGAGCGAATGAAAGAACCGCAATGCCTCCGCGAGCCGGTTTGGTGTCGGGAGACTCATGACTCCAATAGTAAGGTGTAGCGTACCCAGCGGACGAACTGCGCCTTCGGGAATGATCGCGCGCGCATCTTGTCTAGTCGAGGCATCTAGCAGATTTGTGACCGGTACTGGCGGATATTCTGCCTTGAAGGACGCAACTGATGACTCTAATTGGGATAATGAGGAGATATTGACTAGTGGAAGACATAGAAAATGCGTTAGGGGCGGGCGCTTCTCTGGTCGTTGGTTTCGGGCTTGTTGTTTCGGGGCATTGCGCTTAGCTTCCATCATGGCTGTTCGAGCTGATGTGGAATACTTGGCACATTTATTGAAGGTAAGATTGAGTATATTCAAGGGAACTCGCGGCCATTTGGGACTCATTGAGGTAAACTTGTAGTCGAGGTAGTTGAAGTGAAGTTGAAGAGTGGTCCAACAACTTGATATCGTGCACGGACCACTCGGGTGTGAATAGCAAGATTGATAGAGAAGCGTCGTTTCTTTAAGGCTGAGCTACCCTATGAAATCAGATCATGTCTCAATATTCGCATTAATTTTACTTATATGGAGGAAACCATGGGTCGTGATATAAGAGTTGTATAGCCCGACCGAGAAGATAATCTAAAAGGACCGAATCATTGATTCTTCAGCTCTTTCTCACCATATTTTCTAGGGTGCAGATCTTTACGTGTGCCTTGATATTATGCTTGGAGACTTGAATGATTCTAAAGCCTAAAGGACTGTATACTCTCCTTCAATATAGCAGGATCAAGGATACAAAAGAATAGCCTTGAGCATACGGCCGTGGCTTACCTCCCCAGACATGTTCGAAGTCATCAAAGTAAACAAAAACACAAAGGTATGAAAAGAGGTATCAACAGAGATTTCAAACAGAGATCTAGAAGGAGATACACAGAGACGCAGAGAAAGATGCAGAGAACAAACTAAATAGTCAAGTGTTTCGACTCATTTAGATTCTCTTCTCGGTCGGGCTGTATAAGAGACTTTGAAGGCAAACTCAGCACTCTTCAAGACGCCTTTCCGTGGATAACAGAGAAGACAGTAGAAAGTAAATGCTGAATAGGGTACAATAGCTAAAATACATGAGAGAAAATGCACCGAGTAGTTATCTACTCATCCTTTTTCCGTCCCTCCAATACACGCATCACATCATTAACACTGTTTTTGTCACCCTTCCGCTTCTTCGGACCACGCTTCCGTTTCTTCCCACCTTTTTCGTCTTCGTCAAAGTCATGCAGGACAATATCCTCATCCTCAGCATCTTCTCCTCGGCTGCCTCCGAAGCCCATATCCATATCCGCAGCATCCATGGCATCTCGCCGCCGAGCTTCTTCAAGGAACTTTTTGTGACGAAGAGAAGCCTCTGGAGACTCACCTTCCTCGGCAGAAGGAGAACCCTGGCGTAGAGCCGCGGCTCGCTTAAGCGCGGCCATTATAGTAGGGTCTTTCATGAGAGGATTGGAGCGATCCTCCTCGGGAGCATCGGATGCAGTGCTGGTTCCGAAGTAGTTTCGTGGCTTGGGAGCTTCTTCTTCCGGTTGTTTCTGTTCATCCTGGGTAGGCGCTTTCTCCTTCTCTGCAGATTTCTCAGGTTTGCCTTCTTCATCGGATGAAGACGCGTCGTCTTCAATGCCAGCAAGCGGGTCATAGTCCGCGCCAACACCAGCAAAAATATCATCCTCCTCTTCAGGAAGAGCGTTGGCGGCTTCTCGAGCAGCAATCTCAGCGGGAACCTCCATACCTAAGGGCTTTGCAGCCTTGTCTGGCATAGGAAGCGCAGTAGCAGACCCCGTCGAGTCGATGGGTTTATCAATCCATCGAACCTTGCGCTTCGTATTACCCTCGACATCGGTAATAACGAGGACCTCTCGTCGACGACCAGTAGGCTCATCAATCTCCACAAAGCGCTTCTTCTCTGGCTTACTATTCCCGACCTTTTTAAACCGCGAGCCCAGAACCGGCTCCGGCGGCGGAGGAGGAGGTGCAGCCGCAGCCCGACTAGCCCTCAACTCCTTGAGAATCTCATCTCTCGTCTTCTTGCGCGGCGGAGGCGGTGCCATAGTTCCTTTCTTCTTCTCCTTGTGCTCCTTCGGCACAGAAATAACCTCCTCCTGCGCTTTTGCCTCAATCATTCGCTCAAACTCCGCCTCCGCATCCTCTTCCCGTACAGGCTCTTCCGCGGGCTCCGGTTCTGGCTTCTCAGGTACCTGCGTTACGTCTTCTCCAGCCCTAACTCGCCGTAGAAGCCCCCAATCAAGACCTTTGACCATATGTGTACTGCCGACATCACCACCAACGCCAAGCTCAGCTTGCAACTTGTCGAAAGTCGCCTGGTCGATTTGTCCCAATTTCACCATCTCTTCCAGCGCCTTGATGCGTTTCTCGAGATCATCTTTACTTTCTTCTTCGTCGTTCGCATTGCGCAATTGTGCTCGGTCTTGGTAACCCGTTGGTAGTTTGGTTCCCTTCGGCGCGGCGGAGGACTTGAATCGCTTGCTCGGTCGATCGCCCTCGCGGCGTTGGTCGGCGAGTTGGCGCGCGAAATCAATCCCAGATACAGAGCGCCTATAGCAGCAAGACTGGATATTAGCTTGGCTTGATCACGAGAGCGATGAGTGGGGACGACGTACGGAGTCATGGGAATACTGTTGCGCATTCGCGAGCCGAGGAGCCCGCCTGCGCCCGCGCCGGATGATGCATTGTGAGCTGGAACTGATGACTTCTCGGAGCTCGACGAGGTGTCTAGGAGCCGCCGAAATTGCTCGTTGTTCATGACTGCTGATGGTGGTTCAGAATCGGTCGTTAGATTTAAGACGGGGAAAGGTCCTCGGCGCCGGATAAGGACTTGCGACCTTATCGTCAGGTGTCGGATGAGGGGACTGTCGGTGAGGCGTTGGGTAGACAGGACTCAAGGCAGCCAAGGTAAAAAGTACAAATGAGAATAAATTTAGAATCATTGATATTCTTTTGTTTCCTCATTTTGGTTATGATGGTCGAACTTGTGGAACTTATCTCTTACAGGGTTCATATTGAATCCCAAGTCTCGATCACTAATATTGAACATTCACGGTCTATAACCAAACAAGCAAACTGTAAATGGAAAAGACGAAGAGTGGTATTATCATAAACCCCAAGATAGAAGCAAACAGCCTCGATATACATAGATACACGAGCGAAGCGATCGAAAAAACACGTAAATAGAAACAAAAACAATGAGGTAAGCCCACCACGCCGAATTCGCCGGCGTAATCATAATTCTAGCGCAGCAAACACATCACGCAGTTTTATCGATAGGTCATTCATTAAATCGTTTCCCATCCGCCGTTGTTGATCTCTGCTTCCAGCTTGCGGCTGATTGTCGCGGGGACGGCGTGTGACAGCCACACATCGCGCAGGAGACGATCGTACCGCTTTTGATTTAGAATTAATTGGCGGTTGCGGCGGAGGCCGGGGTCGACTTCGCCGTGGCGGTCAAGATAGGGGGCCCAGTGCCAGGAGCCGTTGTGGTTGTGGAGGTATAGCACTGTACACTTGCGGATGTTGATGAAGAGGCCGATGTTCTTGCCGCATCTATAAGAGAAAGAGGGTTAGATAGGCAAGGCAGATTATATAGAGGTAAAGGTGCTTACTTCTGGAGGTGCTGGTTGCAGCCGCCTAGCTTGTTGTGCATGCAGCATACTGCCTGGGAGCAGAAGATATCTCCGCAGAAAAGACAGATACTCGGGTCGCTGAGTTCCTTCTTGGAGTTGGGACAACGGCGTCGGTTCGCCTCTTCAATCAAGCTGTCAAAGTTCTTGGGCAGACCGACAAGCTCGAAGATAGCAGGGTGGGGAAGGCTGGGCCACAACCGGTGGTCCTCGAAGCGGATGCCGGAGCGCGAGGCGTTCCAGTGGAAGATCCATCCCGAGACGACCGCGTCGAAGGGGCTGTTGGTGTTGCGCGCAGGGTTGATAGTCATGAAAACCTCGTCGATTGAAGGCAGTTGAAGGACCTTGGTAAGTCTGTCCAGCTCCGATGCTCCGGCATCAGCGAAGCCTGAGTTCGGGAAGTCGACACCGTGCTGGACGTGAAGGAGGATCACGGCCTTGCGCAGGAACGTGAGAGCATAGCTTGAAATAAGGCGATGAAGAGCCATGATGACGACCGGAGTAGCAGATTCCTCTCCATCCTTCACATATCCGCTCTCGGCAGGGAACGAGGAGCCTTCAGCACGACCAACAGAGTTTGCCTTGAGCTCGGCCACGATCGAGTCGAAGAAGTGTCTTGTAATATTGTATCGCTCGCCGGAGACTTCCGAGCCCGCAAGGTCTGCCTCTCCTTGTTGAGTAAGTTCCTCCTTGAGGCCCAGAGGCCACAGGACGAAAGTAACGGCAGTTTTCACAATCTCAGCAACGTAACACATCTGAATCAGATGGCGCATATCGATGTGAAGAACTGGAAGCAATGAGAGCGAGCACTCAGCTAAGAAAACAAATGTATCCATAGCCAGCAAAGGTTCAATGTTCCTGACATCGTTTAACAGTGCAGTGCCGCTCAGACAAGGGTGCCCAACAAACAACTGGCAGATCTTCTGGCGATGCATGTCCTGGAACTCATGTGTCGGAAGGCTCTTGCCAATGCCGCTGGAGTGAACACAGCCCACAGCAGCATAGGTTAGGGCTGTTTCCGACAGGACACGCAGGTGCGTCAAGGTCAAAGGAGGAATCTTGTCCAGCAAAGTCGAGCCTTGTTCAGACTCAACTCCACGCTGGGCAATCTCGACCGCAGCGATACTAAAACCGAAGCTTCGAATCAAAGAGTCGGTATGCACGAGATCGTCATTATTCATGGTCTCAGGGGGGTTGTTGAAGAGTGATTGGATGTGGTTCATCTTGATCGTCTTCTTGAGACGCCTGTAGATCTGCAGGAGCTCAGTCATAGGGCTGTCTGATGGACTCGAGACTTGTTGTAACGGACTAGACGGCGCAATATCGTCTCCAGGGAACAGGCCCGGCATTGCGATCCGCGATGAAGAGGAAATGAAGTGCGAAGGCGCAGCGCCTGATGGGCCTGACGAGTTCACAAGTTGGCTGACTTTTGAGGCAAGCGGAGGCACCAGGGTCTTCGAAAGATAGTCAACAAACAATTCTGAATAAGGTTGCTGAAACGCTTTGTCTTTTTCGATCATGAGAACAGGGAAATTTTGTGATTGGTTCAAACTTTGCTTCAGTCCAGCGCTCATCCAGTCATCGAAGGAGCTCGATGTGTTCAATGCACCAGGGTAGGATTCTTCCTTGCCCTTCCAGGTAATGGGAAGGAATGCATTACCAAGCGCCTTACACAGCGGGCATACGAATTCCTTGAGCAATGTATTCTCGGGGTGGTTACGCGCAATCTGTTGAGTGTGGCGTCTCTGCGTAGCTCCGTAGTAGACTTCAAAGCACGAGTAATGCATGATGTGACCGCAGCCAGTTGTCACAGGTCCACGCAGGGTGTTCTTCGGGTTGAAGCCCTTGCTGAGGCCAACCTTCTCGCTGATGACCTCACTTCCAGACGAGTCCAGTCTGCGAATTGTGGTACGGTTTTCTCCGGCAACACCAAATGGACGGATGTCTTCGGCAGATCGATCCAGACTTGTGGGAGTCCGGAGCACTTCACGGATCCTATCCGGGTCTCTGATGTCGGTCTGTCGCAAGATGGTGCTGTCTTGCATAAGAGCAAAAGTACCATAGAGTCTCGAATCGTTGGTTTCCTCCTGGCAGAGAATGCATGTCCCACTAGGATACTTCCACATTTTCGTTTCGGGAGTGGCTTCGGTCTCGGACTCCAAGTCACTAAAGTCTTCGTCGCCCCAGTCAATGTCGCCTTGGCTGTTCAAAAACTGTTGCTGTTGCTGCTGGAACTGGGCCATGACGCGTGCTTGTCTTTCCATAGCCTGCTTCTTCTTGGTCTCCTTCTCACCGTCCAGGTCGATTGCAGGAGAGCTGGTATCGATGCGGTCAAATGGGAACTTGAGAGTAGCGGTAGCAGATGTGTATGTCCGCGGGCATTTCTGCCACAGGCGCTTGAGAATATGGCGAATCTTGGGTCCACAAGATGAGAACTCGTTCATCACAGAGATTCTCTCCAAGAGACCGACTATGGTCAGCTTGCCCGACTTGATCTCGCGGGACTTGGACAGAGCATGCAGATTGAACGACTGGCTCTGTTCCGTCTCCATGTCGCCATCTTGAAAGTTGTCCTCCAATACAGCAGCCAAGATAAGGTGTAGGATGACCTGCAGGAATGTTTCCACGCGGGTCGGTGGGATAGTCGGTGTGCACTCCTGGCACGAAATGACATATTCCAGGCACTGATGGACGATCTGAGCAAAGATCATAGTGCTAGTGAAGCGTGGGAGATCGGAGAAGACACCAGAGCTGATAGGTCGGAGTTTTGGCTCATAGACAATATCCGACGGCTTCTTGCCAGTCTTCTTGGCCATCCATTCTCTGTAGATACTCTCGGCCTCGTCTCTCTGGTTCTTGGTGTAATGTGCACTGTAGGGATCCACCAGATCTAGGTTCTCAGGCTTCAACTCGAAGGTTCCAGAGTCGCTTAAACCTTCGGGAGGGCGGAAGTTAGCGACCTCTTCCAATACATCCTGGAATTCATCCGCCTCGAGCAGCTTGTCACTAAGGCGAGTTGAAAGGTCAGAGAAGGAGAGGGGCTTGAAGCACAGAACATGAGCGATGTCACGACTGATGTTCTCCTTGGTCAAATGAGTACTATCGTCGATTGCAGTCAAAGAGGTACGATCCGTCAACAAAATAACCAGCAGGTGAACGAATTCCTCGGCAACATCGACAATTTGGGAATCTTCGTAGCCAGAGCGAGGCATATAGTTTCGAGACATCCAGTCGACCATTCCGAACCGGTGCGCAATGGATGCAAGGACTCGGCTAGGATCGCATGTCACCAGTGCAGTTTGCAGCAGGAAGATATCCCGGTAATAGGCAAAGTCGCGAGAAGACACACCGCGATATTGGGACATCTGGTGTCTAAGACTCAGACCATTGCGCACCCACATACCAGCCTTCATTTGCGCGAGCCAGGCGCACACTCTGAGGGGGTAATCAAACATGGTCAGAAGAAGATCTTCAGGGCCAAGAGTAAGGAGGTTCTCATCAACAGGCTTGTCAGCAGCCTTGGCAGCATGTAGCTCGTCTCTGGCATTTTGCGCAGCTTCGAAGAGGACACCGCGCATCACTTCACTGTTCACGCTGCGGCCGCATTCAATGAGCCATGACAAGGTATAATGCAGCGCATGATGGAAACTGATCGAGCCTTTCTCCACGACGAACTCGACTACCCGATGGCATGGAATCTGGCCAGAGCGACCGATTTCAAAATCGAAGGGCGGCAGAGTCTTAAAGCGGATCTCTTCCTTAATCTCTGCCTGCTCGAAGCGCTTGCGTTCTACACCAGTGGAGTGAATAATCGCGGTGAGGGTGGTGGTCTTGATAGCGCGCAGGAGATTATGACCATTGTCGAGCTCAGGATTACTGAACGCTTCGCAGAATTGGCGGCAAAGTCGGTTGATCTCCCGCATAAGAATCGACGCGCTGATCCAGGCATCCGTCTCGTATTCGACGTGCTCACCTACTGCGCGCACATTGGGACAGATGCCCTGGGAAAGCTTCACGAGATCCAGGAATTGAGGCAGATATTGTTCCTCTGTGCGGACACGGTGCTGGACAAACTCGGACTGAAGGAGATATCGCAAGTCAAGGAAGAAATGGTACAGGCGTCTGTTGGTCACCGAGCCAGAATCAAACGCCAGGGTGGCATTTGGATTGACGGCTTGGGGTTCACCAACTTGTCTAGTTGTCAAGAAGGTATAAAGGATCGACATGACCTTAGTGAGGAAGTTGCCACGATAGACAATTTCCTCGGTGATGGAAGGTGTAGTAAGAAGCTGCAGCGAGAGGTTGACGATAGAGTGGTCTGGCTCTCGGTCCGCAATAAGATAAAGCTGGGCAAGGGCAGTGTACAAAGCAGACAAGCGGAGACCCATGATGCGCTTGAACTGAGGAACATTGACAACGGTGCTGATATAGAGATCTCGCAGGTCAGTGCGCGTCTTCTTCCACAACCGAAGGTCGAACAGGACCAGCCAGTCGAGGCGTGTACGCTGCCACAGATCCTCGTAAGGAGCAACCTTTTCACCAGGAGCAGGCATAGGTGGTCGCACTTCCCAGTGGCCTTCGGTTCTCGCCGGGGGTGGTTTGACCACGGCGTGGGGCGTCCTTGGGATGGATACATAGCTTGGGGGGGCCGAGTCATTCGCCCCAGACTGCTCTGGTTGAGGTGTCTGCTCTCTTGGCTCAGCAGGCGGCGGACTAGGACGAGGTGGGCGAGTCAGGTTGGCCAGAATGCGCTCCGCAAGAGCAAGTTCGTCTTCTGCACCCATATCCATGTCCATATCGTCGTCGTCACCATCGGCTTCAGCCTGAAGCCTAGCAAGCTCAAGTTCCATCTCATCATCTTCATCGTCGGCGTCATCATGAGCCTCCACATAATCGTCATCTTCATCCTGCTCGTTACCTTCCCCAGCATCATCATCTTCCACATCGTCTTCGGTCGCCAACAAAATCTGACCATGTGGCGGCAGAGTAAGCATAACAGTCCGACCAGGGAGGTGATTATCAAGTATTTGTTGATCATCAATGCCCTTCACGCCAATTTCCGCGTTGTAGGCCCCGCTTCCTTTTCGCCAAGGACTAAGCATCTCTTCACAGATGATTTGTCTGAAAATTTCGTTGTCGCCGAGAATACTGCAGCCAGCAATGTCGGCCAGCCATTCGACGAGTGTCCCGCACATTTGCTCGCGGAATGTGTCGCGGGCGGAGCGTACTGTGACCGTCACCTTGATCTCTTCGATAATCTTGGATACTGCCAGCAATCTCTGAAGATCCTTCGAGTACCTAATCACACTTCGGCCGATGTCGTTGGTCTCATGTGCGCGGGCAACGCCGAAACTGTCTCGTTCGCGACAGGCACGGGTGACCTGATGGGCTACATCCCGGATCGTATGCTTCTCATCATTCCATAGCATTACAGCAAACTCAGGTTCTTCTTCCTCCAGATCACCTTCACCATACCAGCCCGAACGCAGTCTTGAAGCTTCTTCATCTGCCTTGATTCCCTCAATAGTCTTCCCCAAGCGCAATTGCTCGGGCGAACAAGAGATGACATCACAGAAGTAGTCCAGCACTCGCGAGATCGTCAAGCGGATCGTAGATACCAGTTCAGGCGGGAGTTGTCTCTGCTCTCTCTCTTTCTCCTTTTCGTGGCCACTGTCTGTATGAATCGCGCAGAACAGCGGTAACCGCCAAGCCTCCTCGTCACCACAATCGCAGCAGCCGCAGTTGCCGGACGAAAGCGAAATTTGATATTGGTGACCGGTATGATCCGAAGCATCAAAACACCGGCTGCAAAGCACACAAGTATCATCGGCAGCGCAAGTCACGCAACGATAGGTGGCTTCCCCCGCTCGGAAGATGTGACCGCATCGCTTGCCCCGCGCAGCCTCGCTATACTCGGCACCTTCACGGGCGCCGTGGGCCTCAGCCAGCTTCCATGGGCCATTTGGCACACCTTCAGGAAAAAGGTGATCTATCAACTCCTCGTTGTGACCGACCAGCGACCGGAAGAGAAGCTCTAGCAAGTCTTTTTCCGCTGTTGGGCTGTAGCGGTAGTTGTGCTGCGCAGGCAATCGTAGAAGGCCATCACCGAGGATTCTCTCACATTCTGCGAGCATGTGCATGGCTTGAGGTTCGGAGGGAAGTGCAGGTAGAGGCCGCTCGGCTGCCACGAGCGTGAGGACGGAGAGCCGTTGGCGCGGTGAAACGGGATCAAGATACTCTAGGCCGGGAGGGAAGAGCGTTTAGGAGCCGTGCAGGATCTGCAGTCGAGGAAGCAATTCGGATGGATTCGAATAGGAATACGAATCTCAGCGCTGGGTCGTTTCGAAGGTCCCTGGCTTTCTGAGGTTCGACTGAGGTTCGAAGATTGTAGTGGGGGGAAAGACAGGCGAGATGTGGATCGATGAGGTCGACAAGCAGATCGAACCAGCCACAGTGCATTCGTCAAATACGCGAAGAAGGATGCAAGTGATAGATTGGGTCGGACAGTAACGGGAAACGGAGAATTACAATTGTACATAGAGAAGCGAAGACGGAGGAAGGTAGACAGGGCGAGGGCTAAGTATTTTTCGCTATGACATCGATGGCACTGGGAGCGGTCTCCAAACGCCACAACGATCTACGCTACGTCCACATTCAGGTCAAGTTCAATATGAATCGTGTCAATACAGACTTCCAAGTTCTATCCGTACACAAATTCGCAGAATAGAGTAAGAGTAAAATCACAGGGGTCCCTCCGCTTTTCCTATATCCCCTTTGCCGCGGTATATCCCGCAGCTATCACAGCAGATCGGTTCCTTTAATCATCGTCCTCCTCCTCGGCAGCAACGAGGTAACGAGGCTTAATGTCCTTCCATTGACGCTATAGGTGAGATAGAGAGGTTAGCAAGGTGTTTCGCAAGGGTGGTTCCGAGTATCGCCGCGGTCAGGGGATGGGGGCCGAGGGAACATACGCCAGCGTTCCAGGAGTCCCAGATCTTGTTGGAGCCAGTGTCGAAAGACCTATGTCGCGAGATATTCAGTCAGAGATTGTGTATGTCACGAAGGGAGGGTAGCCTGTCACGCACAGCTCGAAGGCGAAGGCACCGGCGAAGATAGCAGTCAAGTAGACGGCGTTCCTGCGGAAGAGGGTCCTAAACACGATCAAAGTCCTCGGTTAGATTCGAAACAAGCAATTGCGACGTTGCTAGGGCGGGGGAGACGTGCTGGTAGATAACGTTGGAGATCTGGAGATGCGACAAGTCAGTCAAGAGCCCTCGGTGCGCGGGGGAAGGTCGGATGGTCCCAATGTAGGGAGGAGAGAAACATACGCCGGCCATTGTGACGAGGAAGAAGACACGACTGGGGAGTCAAGGGCGGAGAGAGAAGTCAGAGTTGCGGAGGTTAAAGAAGAGACGAGGATGGAAGTTCGCAGGACGAAAAGCTGCGGGAATTCCCGGCCCGCTGATTGGCTCTCCCCTAACACTCAGGCCGGCCATCCGCCCTCGTTGTTTTTTACTCTTCAGTTCCACTTCTCTTTATCTACTCTTTTCTTTTTACTTGCGTTTTCTTACGGGAGCCGAGTCTTCGGGCTTATTGTTTTTTCCTTCTTATATTCAGTTCATCTTTCCAACATGGCCTCCAACATCTCCAAGGCCGGTATCACCACAGACGAGAGCACCGGCGAACGATTCATTCCCTCATCCATTCGTGCGGACGGCTCTAAGCGCAAGGAGATCCGTGTACGCCCTGGCTACAAACCCCCGGAGGATGTGGAGCTGTATAAGAACCGCGCCGCGGCTGCATGGAAAAACCGTGCTGCACGAGGTGGGGTGCCGGGTGCGGAAGCCCCGAGTAGCGAAGACGACAAGAATGCACAGGCACCTAGCACTACGGCAAGCAACAAGAACGCCAAACGCAGAGAAGCCAAGCGCAAGGCTAAGGAGGCCGAGAGCACAGACACAACTATTGAGAAGAAGGGCTCAGACTCGGACAACTGGCGGGCAGCTCCCAAGCCCGAAGAGAAGCCCGTCGAGAAGCCCGTTGAGGATCCGGTGGACGTCGAGGCCGAAAAGGAGAAGAAGGCGCGCAATTTGAAGAAAAAGCTGAGACAAGCGCGTGATCTTCGTGAGAAGAAGAATTCCGGCGAGGCTCTGCTGCCCGAGCAGTTGGAGAAAGTTATTAAGATTCAAGAGCTTGTGCGACAGCTCGATGCTATTGGGTTCGACTCTAATGGCGACAAGAAGGAGAACAACAAGCCGGAGAACCCTTGAGCTACTCGCTACATTTGTTCCGTCTGTACGATCTTCCCGGCCGATTCGGATATTTAGCATACATCATCACGACGTTGTCATGTGCATCAAACCGGATCGGGCTTGCGACCGACAGGCAGTCGCATCTCAAAGAAACATCTTCACCAACCAAGCTGAATGGTACTGAATCCCAGTTCCCTCCTACATTTCGCCAACTTCGGTCCACAGGCGCAGCTGTCAGGCAACTATTGCGGCTATCAACACCGAAGTGATTCCTGGAACGTCTCGTCTTGCACAAATGATCAAGGCGATTGATGGTGGGATGTCTCTCTGTTCACCCAACAGAGCCTTGGTTAGAGATAGTGAAGTTGCATGACCTTGATCTATACGGGCAGGTCTCATGAAAGAAATCAAGAGTTCGGCATATGCCTTTTCATTTCAATCTTTTGCATCCAGCACGTGTGCATATGTGTCCAGCCCTAGATGCAGCTATGTTACAACTATCTAATGTACACTCCACCTCAACGTTTTGAATCTCCGGCATGGAAGTCGAAAATTCGAATCGGCGCCGTAGGAATCCCGCCTTCAAACTCCCAATCCTTATAATTATAATCCCTCCAGGGTTCCCAGGCACGATCCTCCACGGGCCGGTCGCCTAGGCGCCAATGACCAGTACCGAGTAGTGTGGCCAGCATCCCCGATCTCACGCAATCGCCCACACTCACGCCAGTATACCAATTCCCAGCGAGAACGAGCCGGCGGTTAAAGTCGTTGCGGACGGACTTGGACAGTGAATACATTCGGTCAAGATGACCGACGGTATACTGAGGAACGGCGTCTTTCTGCAGGCGGGTTCGCGCCACCGTGGGAGCATCGGTGATGCCCAGATGTCTCTCCAGCATGGCGCGAGCCATTTTCACGGCGGAGTCGTGGTCTGGATAGTCGCTGTCTTTCCAGCCGTCCCAGTAATGACCGCCCATCATGATGGTCAACTTGGTTCCTGGCGCGGTATCTTGTGATTCTTCTCTGTCTCTGTAGAAAGCATTCGTGCCGGAACTGGATGCGGAGGCGAAGATGACGCCTAGGCCGCACTCGGGGTTCTGCTCGGCGGGAATGGAGCGAGGAATCAAGTAACCAAATCCTTCGATGGGGAGGAGATTGGGGTTCGAATAGTACAGGTTGATCACCATGATCGTAGTAGCGTAGTTGTGCGATCGAAGCTTATGGATAGTATCATGAGGTGGGGCCTTTTGATTGGGGAATTTTTCTTTCGACTCCAAAATTTTTCCCAGTGCAGGCGCAGGAAGCGCAGCAATGACATGGTCAAAGGAGCTGGTATATTCCGCGGTTTGGATCTACAAATGATGAGAATCGCAACATATTAAGGTGAACAAGATACTTACCTGTATTGAGTCACGACCTGCCTGCTGTGTCATAGATTTGATGTTTGTGCCGGTCAAAATTTTGACTTTGTCCGACTTATTCAAGGCAGTCTCCAGGCCCTCGACGAGCTGCTGTGTTCCTCCCTTGAGAATAAAGGTAGAGCTCTCTTTCACCACGTTTCTCATATGAGATACAAGCATTTCCGAATCCTCATCCGAGCGGCCGCGGACCGCATGCCAGGCAATCATATCATCCATTTGCAGGGGCGTCTTCTTCTCAATGGCGCAGTCAAGCATGCCTTTTAAGATACCATCAGCGTCCATGTTGCGGAGGGAGCCTAGAATAGTCTGGGCACTCAATTGATCGATATCTCCCGCGTAGATACCATGCATGACGGCTGACACCAGGTTTTCTGCCATTTTGGGGTGGAATCGGCGGCCAATGAAGCTTGCGATAGACTCGTCTTTTTGCCATTCGGAATGAGGTCGCGGCGGCTTGGTTGGCTCGAAAAGAAAGCTCGACATGACATTTTCAAAAACTGGCTCAGAGCGGAGTGTTTGGAATGTATTAATGATACTGTTTATACTGGCCGAAGGCGAAGATAGATCTAGGGTAGGTATTTTGACGAGACGATCTGGGTAGTAGATGAAGCGATTCCTCGCGGCCGGGCTTTTTCTAGAGGTCGTAATGATCTGGTCAAACATTCCCAGATCCCACATCTGTTAAGAGTCAGCATCATGGTCAAATGGCGCGGGACTTCAAGGGCGCAATTACCATGGTGAGCAGAGGCATTGAACCCGGGAATGAGCTTCTCAAGGTGCGCGGGCCATACTCGAACAGCACATGTCCACCGTCGACAGGGACCTTCTCAGACTGAAGCCATCCGCCGACTCGTGGTTCTTTCTCAAGGAGTGTGACGCTGGTGCATTTGGGGTTGTGTGATGCTAACCACGCAGACGTGAGGCCGGTGATGCCACCTCCGACTACCGCGAGATTGTAGGCGCGCCGCTGCGACCGGAGGATAGACACGAGGGCCTTGTGGCCGGGCCGGATCTCCCTCGCAGCACCTGTTAACCGCATTTCGGCAAAGGTCTGGGCTTTCAAGGTTGTTGTAGCTGTCTCGAAGGTCCCCGGGCCAAGGCCGGAGGTGGCGTGACTTACTTAAGCTGGCGCGCAGCCCTGAGCAGAGAACCCTACAGGTCATTTTACAATTTCAACTACGATTAAACAGAGAATCTTGATTGAGGCGGTATCGCTCGCGTCGCGTTATTCTTTTGGTGAATATCAGGGGATATCTATGTACAGAATGAGACTCAAAATGTCCTGAGATTAGCAAAAATGCATCAAAGTATGAACGCCCTCCCCACCATTCATCATCACAGATCAGATTGTACACAATATTGCTCCTTTGCAGAGCTGTCTTTCTTACTCCTTCTCCCCTCTTCCCTCTTCCCTCTTCCTTCTTCCTTCTTTCTTCGGCATTGCATCCGTTCATAAAATCAATTCAGGCGGAGTCACGCAGTCATCTCCTGGCCTTGAGACCCGTCGGCATCAGCCTCAGGCTTGATCAATTCCTCTGTTCCTTCCTCGCCATCGACAAATTTGCGCTCGCTCACATGAGTACCGCCGTTGGGGGTCCAGACTTTGTCGTTGAATGCACCCCGCTGGCCCTCAGCGTGCTTGTATGGGCAGTTGGGGTTCATGCAGGGGTTAAATCTGCAGGCGGTCTGAACATGAGTGAACTTACACCCCTCAGTCTTGCAGTCAGCTCCATTGCGGCAGAGCGGCATGCTGGGGTGCTTGAAGTGGCAGAACTTGTTGGTGCAGTGAGGATAGAATCGGCACATCTCCTCGGCCTGGTGTGAAGATTTGACTGCCGGTGATGGATGGCGGCCAGTACATTTTCGGTTTTTGCAAGCCGCGCCGAAGGAGCAGATATCAGCGGGGTCGATTGAGGTGCCTTCGGGGGCGGCAGGGGACTGGTGGGCGAATGGGCAGTCATTGCGCGTACATCGGAGGTTGAAACGGCAGACGCTGTCAGTATTGCTCTCATCTTGCCCTCCACTCATTGAAGAATCCATGTCGACATCGCCTCCCTCTTGGCGCGGCTTGTGATCGCCTTTTTGGAAACGTCCGCCACGGCCGGGACGTTGAACACGTTCACCGAGCGGGCGGCCGGTCTGACTGTTCTGGAAGGATGGGTTGATAGCGGGCGATCCAAAGCCGGGCACAAGCTGGGACATCATTCGTGCCTGTTCCTCCAACATGGACATGATCTGCATCTGATTCTCGGGACTCATTTGCATCATGCCGTTGGCCATGTTTCCCCCCATTCCACCCATGCCCATGCCCATGCCCATGGCCATGCCGCCCATGTTACGACCTCCGCGGCCTCCTCTGCCACCCCGCTGGTCTCGACCGCGGCCACCGATGCGGCCAGTTCCTTGTTGTCCGTTAACACGATGAAGAGCGGCGTCGCCGGTGCGGTCCATATTGTGGTTAAGATGGTTGAGCATTCTTCCTCGACCACCTCGTTGGTTTCCGTTACGCATCGACTTGGGTCCAGTGGGTCTAAGTAAGGAAAAGACAAGTTTAGCATATCGCAAAATGGTGCAGTTCAAAAGGCAAACTTACATGGAATCAGTGCCACCCATCTCAGCATCTCCGTTTCCTTCGAACTGCGCCTTTGCAGGTCCTTGTCCGAATGAAGGAGCCTGTCCACCCGAAGGTTGACTCGAAACACCGTTGATCTGTTGGTTGAGAATCTCAACCTGTCCGAACAGCCATCTTGAGAACTCCAGCGCTTGTGTGTCACCTTCGTCGAGACCGAGGAAATCGTTCGAAAGTTCGGTCGCAAGTTGTTCTTGAGACTTGCCATTAACCAGCATCAGGACAATGTATTCAATGAGAGCAGACTCCTGGCCGGCGTCGCTCCAGCCCATCTCCACCAATTTCGGCTGGATAGTCTCCGCGATGGCCGCCGCCAGCGGCGAATCCTGGGTGATTGTCGGAAGCATATTGGAATACAGAGGAGAGTGATGTTCGAATGAGGACTCCAAATTTGGAGAGGTTGGTGTTTCGCGCCACCTGAGAAGATGCGCTTTCGGTGAGTTCAGTGCACTGGAGAGCAGGCGTAAGATGAAATTCGGGTGTTGCGCCTGGAGATTTCCGGTGTAGTGAAGGATGTGCTGTGGGTTCTGGTAGCAAGACTCTCGAGCTCAGCAAGAAGTTGACGCGATAACTGAAAGCTTCGGGAAGGCGAAAATGCGATTGTTGTCACGTGATACAGCCGGTTGCAAATGAGTCAAACATAACAGTCCCAAAGAGGCTAAGCGTAGTCCGTTAAAGTCGTAGATTGAATTTTTGCTTAAAGACTAGTCAGTTATAAGCAGCTTCTAAACCAAAAAGACAATGGGTATTTTGTAGCGGCGGTGGAGCAGGCTTGATGAACGGTTACTGAGTATTTTGAGCAAAGAGGCGCAATATACATTAGGTATCTTGCAAGCAAAGCCTTTAATAAAGCGACATTCGCATTCATGCAGTTTCAGATCAAGTTTCTAGAATATTAATTGTTCTGTGAAACAGACATCTTAAATAGGAAAAGGAGTTATTCATGTTTACGATTCGCATCCATGGTGAGGTTACTTCCGCCTATATTTACAACTGTGAAGTGCGCATATACCCCACTTAGGAATCAGATGCACGCACGACAAAGGCATTGTTCCAGGCATATTTTATTCAGCCTCGAAGAGCTCAATTGCGTGCCTTTCTTCTATCAATTGGGCTTGTGGTTTAGTGGTATAATACTCCCTTAGCATGGGAGTGGTCCGGGGTTCGATTCCCCGCGAGTCCATTTTTGCTAATTTTTCTTAATCCTTCATGTATCCGAACAAGCCTTTTGCGCTTTCTTTTTGTCAATTAAATTGGGTCGTTATGATAGACTTGGAAAGTTTCCCAACTTAATGTTCGCAATTGACATGGCCCAGTCGGTCTATATCATCATATTGAGTAAATTTTCAGCTTCAAAGGTTGAATGGATCCATTATCATTTTTAACGGATGATAATTTATCTAGAGATATATACAACTAAGCTATGGATTTGTGCATACACATGTATGTATGCAATTTAGATTGGAATGCAGGTGTTCAAATGCACAAGCCCGGGGTACCAAGTACGTAAGAAGGAGCCTATCGTGTTCCTCTCCCATACAGTTCCAAGCAACTCGGATTATTATTCGTAGCCACCATAGGGCTCCGTGAAATAAGCGAGCATTCGTCTATAGAATAATTCATACAATGAATCCACATACGAGAACAACAGATACTTAGAGACCACGTCTATTGTTAAAATTCAAACGTCGAAGAATCATTCGGAAAACTAGAAAGTGCCTGTAAAACCATCCATTAGCAACAAACCAGCCAATAAGCCAAGGACTGCTTACCCAGGAATCCAACTGAGCCCACCAAATTGAGCCCTCGAGATTCTCCAAAACCCCAGCATCCTCCATTGGATTAATAGGCCCGAACTCCCCAGGCTCCAAGATACTCGGCATGAAATCTACATTCTGAGCCTGAGCACCTACAGGCTCGCTTTCATGTCCGTTAGGTGTTACACTCAGCCCCGCCTCATCCTTCCAAGTGCTAATTTTCGTTGTAGATGAATCATCTGAACCAATCTGCCTATGAACCTCCCGCCTCAACTCCTCAAGAATAATCCCATACCTTCGACTAGGACAATTTTTCCTCGTAGCCTCAGCAAGATGCTGCTGACACAGTTCCGCAAGGCAGAAGAGGGAATGTAACTTGTCGAAATCCGTTGGGCTCGAGGCTGAAGGGCTGGGGACTGTCGATTGGCGATGCTGTTGTATAATATGAATATACACGACGAGAATAGCGCAGAAACACACATAATGCGTGAACCAAAAGGACTGTGTCAATAATTTTTGCTGCGCGAGACTATCGACTAGCGTCATGATGTCCTCTGCTGCGCCGATGCATTTATGCGCGTGCGCGCTGACCAAGGGATGCGGGTCTCGTGGTCTGCGGCTTAGGTCCGTGAAGTCGTTTAGGAGAAATGAGCGGGTAACGTGGATCATGGCGTGGGAGTAGGCTAATTGGAGGACTTGGCTTTGGCGACAGAGTGGTGGGATTAGGCTTGCTGGACGAACGCTGTTGAAGAGGGGTGGAACGCTTGCTTTCCATTTTTCAAGGTCCGAGGTTAGACGGACGGCTGTTTCGAGAGGTGTGGTGCGGGATAGCGGATTTATGCTGTAGAGTTGGCGGGATATGTCGCCTAGAATGAGGCCGAGACGGTAATGAAGGACTGAGGCGATCATCATGCTGTCTGTTGAGCCGGTGCGGCGGGATGGGTCTTCTTCGAGGAGATCTTCATCGTTCATCTCGTCGGGGAATTCTTGATCGATGTCCTCGTCGTGAAGGAGACGGGGCCGGCCGAACATTATGCTGAGGTACTTGTCTAGAGTGTAGACGCTCCAGAAGATGCGTTTCCGGAGTTCGAGTTCGAAGTACGTGCAGCCTTTCTTGGATAGTTTGACGGGGCATTTGCGATGTAAGCCGAGGGCGGTTACGACTTGTAAGGCGGTTCCAAAAGAGTACCAGCACTCGTTCGCTCTTGATGATGAGAGCAGATATAAGCATTGGATAAGGCGAGCTTGAATGGTCTCTAATCGGGGAGGCCCCGACTCTAGAGATGACATGAATTTGGAAGCTGCATACCAGCGTTCGCTACCATTTGGTCAGCAAATTACATTTTGTTCTCTGAGAGAGTACCCACCTTTCACTGTGCCCATTTGATAAACCTTCCGGGTCGAGGTCAGTATGCATCGTGCTTATAGCAAATATCATAAGAACGATAGTAGCCCGAGCAACCATGTTTCCGACAGGAAGATTCGACACAGAAAGATTATTCTCGTATACCTGCTTGACCCATTTCTCCACACTACCCCGATGTAGGAAACGATAAGTCACCATAGAGAAGTCGAAATAGATAGCCACCAACTCCATTGCCGTCTCAAACGAAGGCAACGTAAAGTCAACATCCTGAGGATGTGAGTACGGCTTATCACCAAACATGAAAACGGCCGTATTCGCCGAAGACTCATTCCGCACTTCATTGGGAATATGCGTCGTCTCATCCTGATTCAACCGACTCCACACCCGATTGATAAACGACACTCCAGATGCAGGGCCAATATAGTTGCCTTCGAAATCAGTAGATCCTGGCTCCGGCGAATTGCGCAAAGATAAAGGGCCGCGGCTTATAAAAGCATGATTGCCAGAATCCCGATCCGTCTCGGCCCCTGCACTGCCACGAGACCGCGAGCCGTTAGACACCCGGCCAACCTTGCGACATGCTGGCTCATCTCCCGACGGCAGAGGGTCTGGCGGGAGCCCTCGTGAGTAGGCGGCGTTGTATCTACAGAACAAAGACAGTCGCGTACATCGCGTGCAGGGCAAGGTACCAGTACATCGGGTTTTCTTCTCTTTGCAAGAATCACAGGCGCGCGTGATCTTCTGGCGATTGCCGTTCTTATACGGCAGTGAGCCGGACGGTTTCCGCTTGCGACTGGGTGACTCGTGGCCCGGGGAGGGCAGATCAGGATTCAGCCCTGGGGCTGTTCCTGCGCTAGTTGCCATTCGTGGGTACTGTATTGGTCAGGGCATTTCCGGGTTGAGGAGGAGGAGAAGAATCCGGGGAGGAGGTGGAGAGAACCCCGCGATCGGAGTCAACCCGTGCGCTTTCTTCTCTCTCTCCACTTTCGTTCTCCCCGGATTTCTAATGTCAATGCGCAATTGAATGTCATTTTGTTGGACGGTATTTGGAGTGGGATCTACATACTGTACGGGAATAAGCGCTGCACTTGAATCGGATGACCAACCGTGCAGAAGCGAGTTGATGAACCATTGCTGGGTTCAGTTGCCACTGCATACAGTCCTACCGGACTTGAATTAGTTGGAATTGAAATAATGTTCGGTACTTCTGAGCTAATCTCAATCCTGTTTGTTTGTTTTTTGCTCTTCTTTTTGCCTATGTTCTATACAGAATGTTTTTTTCCCAGTACACCGTAGACGAGGTCTTAGGGCCAAATTGTGTTGTAAAGTATTTTGCTTCAGTATCTATCAATCGCAGAATCAAAAGTCTAGTTCATTTTGATAGCGGCTATTCAGAGTCAAACAACCAAACAACGTCACTAGCATGACCCGCGACCCGCGAGCCACAGGGTAGGCGTAAACAGTAGATCACCGGTGACTCGAGGCCAGTGTCACACGGCCTGTAGAAGACTTCAAAGTCAAAGCTTTTGTAGCGCAGGATATTTCCCAATGCAATTTCAAAAATTCGTCACCCACGTCACCTTTCCGCAGACGAAACGCTCGAGGAACCAAAGGGAAGCCGTGGAAGACACGACATCGCATTACAGGAGCCGAATCCATGAGAATAAAATGAGGGGCCATATGCATCGTAATTAGTATGTTGTCGTAGGGTATAGGAGTATAGAAAGGCGTTAGTCTACCACGGTGACTCGGGCAAGGAGACAGTAGAAAGATACAGGGCTAGGGCTCGGAGGAAAAATAAGATATACAAGGCCGGAGGACCAATGATTTGTGACAAGTTTCAGTTTGGAGGTTTCGCACGAGGCATTTTCGAAGAGCCCACTCGGGTTGTACCTCCAGCCTCGATTATGAACAATGCACATGCCCCCCATTCCAATTGGAACAAGAAAAACAGAACGATCGTATGAAGAGCAGCTAACAATCAAGCAGCCACCCCGATGGTGAATCCGGATTCGCAGTCGGGATGGTGCCATGCACGGAATCGATCCGAGTAAATGATCCCTGCGGGTAGGACTGCCATGTGCACGGATGATGGGGAAGAACGAATCCAGATTCACTCCAGTGGTATGCAATGAAGACAATGTCGATAATTAGACCACCAAGGTACTATTGATCATTAAAGAAGTTGGTATTATTGTTCACCACGTTGGAATTGAGTTGGCCGGTCTGAGTAAGGTATTGAAGGGTGATGGCGCGAATGTCTTCCTGCGAGGCGCCGGATCGAATCTGGTGGATGAGGTGTTGGACCGTGTTGTTATCGCCAGCCCGTAAGAGATGTAATAGTTGTTCCACGAATTCCCGTAGGTTGCCGAGATCTTCCTGTGTCCGCTTTGCCGCTGCTTTGCGGCGCTTGTCCGACGTTTCATCGTAGAGACATTCTCGACCATGCGTCTCACATTCAGTGCAGCTAGTACTTATAGGACTCATGCTACACTAAGTAGAAAGTGTTAGATACGGGCTGAAGAGTGATGATGGGGAGGGAGGAGGGAATCAGAGGTGAAGATACCCTTGTTCGACGTTTTTGGCACTCTTTACAGGCTGTGGAGGCCCGCTTCATCCTGCCGTCATCAGAGGCACCTCCGTTGCCATTCGGAGGTTGAGGGCTCCCACTTCCGCCGTTTGGAGGAACAGTCCGAGGCGCAATCGGCCTAAATTTGCCTACGTCGCCCATGGCGAAAGTAGGTGGAAGATGTGGATGGGAGGGGAAGAATAAGACCAAGAGAAGAAAAGGAAAGGAAGAATTATGGCTCTTGACTATCAGGACAATCCACTATGAAGAAACATAGTCTATGCCACATGAATCATATTATCGAGTGGGACGGAGCACAGCTGATTTTTAGCCCCTCCCGGTATGGTCAAGACAATTTCTGCACAGAAGCTGCGCAATGCTCCGGGCGCTAAAAAAGGTAAGTGGAGGAAGAGGGTGGACGGAGGATCGCCAAGTAATAGAAATAAAATAAAAACGGGGGTGGGATTGTGTGTGGGATAGGGAGAGAATGAGAGGAGAGAATGGCAGGTAATCAAGAGAGCTGCGTGTGTGGCGGAAGTGTGGATCTTTCTGAAAGCTGGCATTCCCCTAAAACTGTCTCGGGGGTTGTTAGGGACGGCGCCGGGGGGAGGGGTCCCATGTATCAGTAATGGAAATTCGGAAGGAAAAGGGAAAATTAAATAAAGGTAATAAATGCCATGGAAAGCTAGCCAGGAACAGCGATCTGCTCCTATGCACTAACGTTGTACTGTTAGGTGTATGTGTATGTCTGTAATACACGTTCCGTTTCCAGCGCCACCACGGACAGATCATTGCCAAAACCACTACAATGTCGATTTTGTAGCCCGATGATAATTGGGTGTTCGCGTTGAGTCCTATACAATATGTAGTAGCCTGCAACACCGTTTCAGGCCAGTCTGCTGTCTACTTCAACCCCCGTCCCGGCGCCAAAAGAAGCCTACCCGCCGCCGTCTATAACAGTCTGGTATTCATTTCACGCGAGCGGATATGTTGATAGGCCTTGCTCCGAAGGAAACGCGACAGACGAGTTATGCGGGCGTCTCGGGGTTGAAAGGGCCTCGGCCATGTCCCGTTGGCTCGTTATTCTACAATGCAAGCCCATTTCCCCCCTCGAGGCGAGATACACATAAGGGTAGAAGTGGATTCAGACTGGCGGGGTCGGAATCCATTTCCGAGGACAGCCATAGGGTGAGCCTCAAAGTAGCCAGGACGGACATGTCATCCGGGCGTCACGGGCAAGAATGCAGCCAAGTTGATCTAGTTCAATCGGGAATCAGGATTCCTATCGCTGATCATTAGGTGCCTCTACCCAATCATGATGGGTCTGGTTCCAAGGTTATCCAAGCCTGTCCCCGGTGGCCCTAGACTGTGCCCCGTTATCCGCTTCATCTCGGTACGTGTATTTCTGTACGAGGTCTCGCCCGCTTAGTACTTGGCATTCTCGCTCCTGGGCCTCCCTCCGATCCTTAAGGAACCTGAGACCTATGGTTGAAGAAAATCACCTGCATGGCCCCAGCCTCAGGCACCCGAGAGAGTCCTGACCTTTCGAAGATTTGCCACCCGCTCTCAAACCTCAACTCCACCGCGTTGGCCACCCCCACTGTGGCTTTGCCGCCACTACACGAGTATCGTACAATGGCGGTCATCGTGATGTACAGAGGTAAGAGATACGGCGCCAGGACGGTGTGGCTTCTCTTTGGGGCCGTCGAAGACACCATTGGCTGGAGCCATTATCCCGAAGGCCCGAGCAAATGAATGTCAACGATGGGCGAGAGTCGCCACCGAAATGGTCTAGTGAGGTGTTTCAGTAGATTGTAGATTGTTGGTTGTTGGTTGTTGGAAATGTGATATGACACAGAAATGCGTCTGAGGATCCCTTTTGACGTGTGGCACTCGCCCCCAACGTTCCACTCGACCGAGCCCCGCGTGGCTTGACACGCTTCTATTGAACGACTTTGAAAGTGCTATTCTAAGAATGGTATACCGTGCGTGTACAGTGACGAAATACACGCCTGCACTTGCTGTAAGACCTCTGACCCTGTTCAATGGATCAACAGATCATTAGATAGAAATTGTGTTCGATCACGCTAAACCTTCCTCGGCAAGTTCTCGGACTCTCCACCTCTCCAATTACTTGACGGGATCGAGATCACCACATGGTTTGCGTATCGCCGCGAGTGATATTTCCTTCCTTTTCCTAGACCCTCTCTTACCTCTGAATAACTTCAAGTAATTTATTACCAATAGTAATTACTCACCGCACTAGAAATGCACGTATGCCAGGCGTATAGTAGGACCCTCGAACCCTAGAAAAAGGGCGAAAAAGGACAAGCCGCGAAACCGCACACTCTACTAGTCCCAGCAATCTGGCCACCGCTTTCAGTTGACACTCCCACCGATCCTAGGAACCCGGTTTCCAGCAGCATGATTTGTCTACCCGAGCCAAACAGATCTGGCAGCCCACTTGGCAGCGTCACCTGTTCTGGGTGAACGCAACCCGGCCCAACAACCAGGTCATGAAGCTACACTAGACTCGAATTGGCCCGGTTGGCGTCTGCAATACCGGATAACAGTCGCGGGTGTCCGTGTCCTTCTGCAAAGACGCCTTCCCCGGCTTCCAGATACGTCACGTCTTCCACCCCTAGCGTGTTGCCATTCACCCCCTCGAGACTGACAGGTCAAGTCCTTCGATCCTGGATCCTGGCTCTGAGACTCATAGATACTCCATCCTCCAGGTCGCCTTCGATGGAGGCTTGGGCAGGCAATCATGACCTGCAGACGCTACCAGCCACTAGTAGGCCCGCTGCAACCAAACCTCCCTGGCCAAAGCCATCAATAGTCTACCCTAACACCCCGACTCCTTCTACAGTAGACCCAAGTTCCCTGGACATCGGATGACCCGAGGCACGTTGCGAACACCACAATAAATAAATAAAAAGCGAGGCCTGTCTCGCTTTGTGCCCAGATATCCCAGGGGTACTCCCTACCTCCAGGGCATGATAGGTGAGCTCCATCACCAACACCTACCACCTACTGTACAGTACGAGCGGAGATACGTCGCGCCGGCATTCCGCATGGCGAGAACAGACTGCAAGTAGTCAACCCGAATTGCGCAGGACCCTAAACGGACCAAGCAGACCCCCCTCTATCGGAAGCTCAGCCCACGAATGATATCCGTCAGGAATAAGCAGTACAGCATCTCGCCAGTTGTCGCTAAATTGCGACCTTGATTGGACTCATCCGAGTCTCGCCTCTAGACATTCATTGTGCGTCTGCACGACTCAGTAGTATCCATACTGCGCGGCACAAGCTTGCAACCTGCATAGTAGATAAAATGGCGATTAGCTTAAAAGCTTAATTAACCGAAAGCGTGTACCAGCTTCCGGCTATTATCTATACCAACTACCCTCGCCAAACCAAATACCTTCCGAAAGAGTACTTAGTAGTGCTAATTATAATAATAAATTAATAATTTTTTTTATTAATAAAATTTGACTCACTACCCACAGCGAAGATCTGAATAACAGCCACATACCGCACCGAATACGTATATACTCCCATACAGTAAAAAAGGCGCAAGCCAAACTTTCCCGAAGCACGAAAAAGAAAAGTTCCAGAATACAAATGAAAAAAAAAAAAAGGTGCTGTATTACGTTCAGTCCAGTCCGTGCAGTTACACCCCCACATTTAGCCCTGACCCTGACTCCAGTCTTGGTCCTAGTCCTAATTCTATTTCTTACCTAGTAGGCACCTAGGACTTTGCCCGGCGAAGATTCCCGGCCGTTCTGACAGGTCATTTCCCTTACTTGGATTGGTAGATTGCGTACTTGGACATATGCATATACCTACGTGCGCCCACGAACCTGCAATCCTAATGTTATAACTGGATCAGATGGATTGGGAAGTGGTTGTACTGTAGGAGCATGCTGTCTTTTCGATAACGGCATGGAGAGATGATTTACGAGTTTGTCGCTAGACTTGGCAGGAATTGGGCGCGGGAGATGAAGGTCGTGGGACCAATGGTGAGATCGTCGAGATCGTCGGTGAGATGACACGAGTACCCAGGTGGGCTTGATACATATGGTCTTGGTCTGTGTGGCTAATGAGGTTGTGACATTCATTATTTATTTAGTCAAGTAGTCAAGCAGTCCATTAGTCAATAGTAGTACTCGGATGATATAAGAAAGTAGTAGCTATTAAAGTGGGTAGGATCTGGGTATTGAACATTTCATATGAAGCTAAAATAGACAGGGAAACGAATATGTACTGGAGAAATAGGGAAAAGGGGGTAAAACGTGAAGAAAATAAGCGAGCCGAATGTGCAATGCCGCGTCTCGTGCACTCAGAGCGGGATATCAAAACCAATACATCTCAAAAGATGCAAGGATGCCCAAGGGTCACCCGCCTGAAGCGGGTCTGGATTCAGTAGATCGGACGGCCCTCATCCCAGCGGCGGGTTGGTCGAGGACTAGTAGCTAGCTCGTCCTTGGTCTCGTCCATGTGATGCTGATCCACGTCGGCGTTCCCCGCAGGAGAAGGCAGTGAAAAGCGAGCACTCTCGCGACGAGCGCTTCCTTCAAGTTCGGCGCCGTTACCGCCGGCGCCTCCGATACCGCCAATCCATTCCCAGCATCGCGCGACATCGCCGCTGCGGCCTTCACGAACGGCTGCACGGACGTTGGCGTTGCCTTCGACGACACGGCGGACTCGGGCCCAGAGCTCTTCGCGCCGTTTGTCCCGCAGTTCAGAGCGCAGGACGTCATCACGCAGCTGGCTGATAGGAATATAGGGCTCTATGGCGCCACCGCGGGCATGCAATGCAGCTTGAGTGGATAGGCGGTCGAGAGTAGTTGCGACTAATTCGGGCACGCGAGCGATATCAGAGCGGCGTGCCCGAACACGAGAGCGGGCGTAGGCCAGAGCCGCAATGACCAAAGCTAGAAATGAAAGAGGTAGTCGATACGCGAGGAGAGCGAGTCGGACGTAGCGGCGGGCGGCACATGTGAGTGGGAGTCGGGCTGTTGATGTTGATGATAGGATGAGGACGGATGGTCTGTGATTGCGAGGGCGCCGCTGTTAGTTCCAATACACAATGTCAGAACCAAGACCTTTTTTAAAGAAATCCGGCCGCGGGATAGGGGACCCGGAACAAAATGCGGAACTAAGGAGACATCAAGATGTCCATCAGAGAGGGATGACTTACTCCTTGGTGTTGCTGACGACCTCCTCCTTGTCGACGATTTCGCCAATGGCCCCCTTCCATAGATCATCAAACTCGCTGTCGCTGAGGCCTCGGCGACGCTTCTTGGCAACTTCCTCCTTGAGCTTGGGCTCGCTGATTTCAGGTGATGGTGCCTTTCCATCCTCAGTGAGCTGACCACATTCATACATGGCTCTTCGCTCCCGGAGTTCCTCTACGGCCTTATCCGCAACCGCCTTGACACGGCGTGCCTTCTCGCTGTCGGGCTCACATGTTGGCGGCACAGGTACAAGACCGCCCATGGCGAGAGGGTGAGGCTTGAGGATGAAGTCGTGCTCACAACGAGCCTCAAAGTCGGGGTAGCAGAACGCATGAGGCGGGCAAGGCTCGCAGCGTGGCTCGAGAACGTTTGCCCATTCGGGGACATTGGTCTCAGTGAGCGACCAGGTAGGTTTTCCAAGACCACAGTAGCCAATCTCGATCTTCTCCTTGCGCCACCAGGCACCGAAGCTACCAAGAACCCCGAGGATAACGAACCAGGACGCGATGATACTAGTCTTCCCTTGCTTGCGCGAGCGTTTTCCGAACTTGGGTGACTGGTGCATACTGCTCGGTCTCCATAGCAAGCTGCTCTTCCGGCGTAAACTCCTCGCCGGCACCCAATTCACTTTCCTCGTCCTCTTCGGACTCCTCTTCGGATTCCTCGGTCTCTTCCTTGGTAGGCTTCAGGCGGGAAGCAAAGTCAAAAGATTCCCGCGTAGGAGCCCTAATCCCATCCTCTTGCTTAACGCTACCAGGAGTAGTCGATTTCCGCGACCGTAATCCACTCTTACGGGCCGGGCTCTCAGTAGACAAGCGTCCACCACTCTTGCGCTTAGGCTCATAGCTAGACCTCCGACTCGCACTATAATCCGGGCTTCCACTCTGGAAGGGATTGTCGTCTGTCAGGAGAGCATCGTCCCTAGGCTCAGCCTTTACAGGAGTATAGTCATCCATCTCCATGGAAGGTAGAACCTCGCTGCGCCGCATCTTACGCGCGGTAGATTTGCGCGGTGAGGTACCGACAGCAACAATCGGTGTAGCGAGATTGTCGTCACCGGTTTCCGTATCCGACGCACGAGGGTGCTTGCCCACCGACCGCGCGGTGCTTTTTCGCTTGGAGGTAGCCGGGGTGGCTGGCGCGAGCATCTCGTCAGTTTCGATTGTAGAAGCACGGACGCTTCGTCGAGATGTGCCGCGTCTTGTGCTTGTAGTTGAAGCGACGGTGGATGGGGTGGCAGGTGGTGGCATGGATTCTCGCTCATCCCTAGAGCTGACGACTGATGAGGCTCGACTGCCCATATCAGTTATCCCGGCGCTGGTCCTCCTCACTCTTTCGCGATCGCGCAATATCTTCTTAGCCTGGGGTAGGACTTCGTCCTCCAGGATGGCGATCAGCTGTGCTTTTTTCGCGGAGGCAGGGTAGGAGACATCGTGATTGACGAGAATGTTGCGCAGACGGGGCATGGTAAGGGAGCTCAGGTCAAATCCTGGCTGCAGGTATTCTATTTCGTCCATGGTGTATGGCGTGGGGAGCGCCGGGGGCTCGACTGGTTGGAGAAGGACTGATGAAGTCGCCAAACGGTCAGCTAACCGAGGTTGGTGTGGCTCAGTGGCGCGATGCAGGGATGGTGGCACGGTGCAGTACACGTCCAGTCAGTGTTTCAAGAGGAGAAAGCCACCGATCGCTCCTGCTTTTGGAAGTGGGTGTGAAGTGCAGGGTTAGAAAACCGAAGTGGATGTTTGTCCACTTGTCAATTTGACCAGAGACGGCTGGTCAGGCTCGTAGTCGGGGCAACAGGCGGGGCGGCTGCAATGGCGCTTGAGCACAACCGGCTGGGCACTTTGGTTAGACCTTAGATGGCACTTCGTCCTAGCCCTGGAGGGATGATGGATGTGCTTTCTAGCGCTACGGAGACGAAGGATAGAAAACAAAAGCCGTTCGTCGCACGATGACGTACAAGCAAACAAAGGCGCCACGTGATCTTGCCACTGGCGGACAAAATACCTAGACGGGGTAGCTAAGTAGCGACAAATACATCGAGGCGAGTGAGAGGTCCTTTAAAAATCATACCTAAGTCTCCTTAAAATACACCTATGCTCCACAAATCTCGTGTTTTAGTACCAGGTAGTATTATCATTGTTTGGAGTTTACGTGCTGGAAGCCATCTCAGCTCGGCATTGGTGATAGCGAATAAGAAAGGTATCACCAACATCGACCCTCAAAACCATCACTCTGAAACCCTGGATGCATCAAGTTGTATCCTCCGGATGAAAATGAATCAAATTTCTCGTTTCAAAGAGTCTCAGATTTCAACCCTTGTACAGTTGGACCAAGGAAATATTGCAAATGGGCTTAGTTAAGACATTTGTTTCTCTGGGTACCCTCTAGACGTCAAGTGTCCTTGATACACATCTCCCCTAAGATATTACTTTAAACACCCCTTTTAAAACACATCTTTAAACTCGATGGGCTCATTGGGAAAAATAAATAAGATATGCCCAGATGTGTAGTCGCCTATGTACGTCGTATAATGAAGGTCGCCCTGACCTCCCTGTACGTATACGAATAGAAGACAAACTCCAACTGAGAACGATTCATCATTTCTAGTCAACAGAAATGATCAACAAAATGACATCCCGAAAAGAGACCAAAGTACAAGGAATGACCATATATTCACAATGAGACACACCATACACAACATTTGCAAGCAAAGCCGTGAAGAGAGAGAAGAGAGAATAAAGAGAAAAAAGGAATATCCACCGTGGCTCCACGCCCCAGATGCATCGTAAATCAATCTGAAAGACTCCCCACCCGTGAGACGCCGCCCACGTAGAACAGAACCGAGATAGGGAAGAGAAGAATACGGGGGGAAAAAGCCGAATGAGAGCTCAAAGAGCCATGGGTCATCATTAAAGTGGAAATAATATATATGTGACCTGTATTAACGGGCGTTGTGCGGGAACTCGAAGGTGCGTGGCGTGTCCGCAGAAATGTTGAGGAAGGATGAGGAGGCGGAGATGTCGTTGCTGTTCCCACTGGTGGTGATGTGGATCGGGGAACCGTATTGGGCTGGGGGTACACCGGTGAGGCTTATGTCTCCGATGGCCATTTGTTCTTTTAAGGCGCTGTATTCGGCCAGTTGTGTAGCTAGTTGTTGCATCACTTCACCGATTGGGACGGCGTGGTCTTCAAGGCGGTCACCGGGCTTGAAGGGGCGCATCATGTGCCGCACGGAGAGGGTGTTGATGGTTGCTTCAATGCGGGTCACTTGTTGGTCGACTAGGCTGATTACGGTTGAGTCGTTTAGCTCGCCGCCATGATTCTTAACCATGTTGAACAGGGCGATGTTTGGTTCACGGAGTTGTGGGTTGATGGGGTTCTCGAGAGCACTGCAGAGACGTTCTAGACGAAGGGTAACCTCCCACAGACGCCAGATGAGTTCGGTCTTGAGGTCGAGTTCTGACCCGGGCTTAAGCGTAGCCGGACCGCTAGTCTCGTTACTCGCTTCTTCCATGACTGTCAGGCGACCAGCGAGTGAGTGAGGATAGACGAGGTAAAGAGGCTCTGGGTTCTCAAGACCCTTCAACTTCCGTTCACCCTGGTCCTTGATCACGAAGCCCTGGCTATTGAGCTGATTCAGCTCGCGGCGGATATTCTGTCCAAGACTATCAACACGCGGATGGCTCTCGGTCGAGCTAGTAGAAGCAGAGCGCTCAGCATCGGCAAAGATCTCAAGGTTGCGCTGAATGTCAGTCATGAAGTCAGACGAAACAAAGATCTGCCCGCCATCGGCAACAGCGGAGATACGAGATGCTCGGTTCACCATGGGTCCAAAGTAGTCCATGCGGTTGGTGACAGGATCTTTTTCGCAGACAGGCTCTCCCCAGTGTCCACCCATACGGACGGATAGACCGCGGAAGATAACATTGTCTTCCATGTCCACAACAACCTGACACTGCGGCTGCTCGAGGATCTCCGTAGGCCACTCAGCTTCCAACAGCTGATTCTGACAGTTGAAGCACCACAGCAAGGCAGCGGTCGTGGTTGCAAAGGCGACCATGAATGCGTCTCCTTCGGTTTTGACTTCGTAACCACCGATGATGCCAAGTTGTCGTCGCAGGATGTCGTTGTGGATTTGAATGGCCGAGCGCATTGCTTCTGGACAAGTCTCCCACAGACCTGTTGACTTCTTGATATCCGTAAAGATGATGACCAGCTCACCGACAGGAGCATCCACATAATCAAAGCGAGCCAATCGAGAATCTCCAGGAACATCACGAGGGCGCTTGCGGATTTTGGTTGAGGGAATAATTTGCTCATCGGCGAACGTGGAGGGACCCAAGGACATGCTAGGACGAGCCCACTTCTTCTGTCGCTTTTGAAGCTCGCTCACGCCTAGGATCATCACCATCAACTTGTTGTTTGCACCAAAGGCAATGGCCAGATCTCGAAGCTTTTGAGCAGCGAACATTAGGTCCGGGTAAACAGCTCTGGTGATATCGACCACTAATTCCGGTGCCACATAGTCCCAAAGTTCCTTTGAGGCCAGAATGATCATTTCATCCTGCTCTGTCAAGGTGGCATGCATGGTATGCGGAGCCGCAATGACAGCAGGCATCATTGGGAAGTGACCGAAGCATCTCGAGACGGGGAGAACATCATTCAGCTTTCCATTGCGAGACACGAAACCTCCAGCAGCACGGATACGCGCTCGCTCACGTGGTTCAGCGGGATCGTGGTTCTGTGTCAGATTGCGGAAGGAACCATCTGACTTCACAAGAATGGCTTGCGCGTCACCAACATTAGCAGCATACAAATCCATGTTGTGCAAATACAACACGGTCGCAACACCACCAGATTGAATATCATCCTGGTTGAGGTGCTTCGAACTGATGGTTCGACGGTTATACTGACGAAGCTCGCGATCATCAATCGATCTGTATGCTGACCCAGCCATATTCTTGTTCAAAGCCAAGAATGCACGTCGGAGAGCATCGGCTGGAGTCTCATCCTGATCAAGGTGCAGCTTCTTAAGCTCATGAGAAAAGGTCGCGGTGAAGTGCTCGTGCAAGTACTTCGCAACTCGGGAGCCACCGCTCGACATTGTTGAACCGTCAAACATACCCATCAGTGTCTCGACGTTATCCGGCTTCAAGCGGGGCACAATCATATCGATGATGGACAGATGCTCGGTCCGACCGAGTGTATCTGCCATACCATAGGCGAGTGAGCCTGCCAAAGATGCAGAAGTACGCACACGGCGATCCTCATTTTCTTCTGGTATTGTAGGAATCGTGAGAGTGACATCCATCAAACCGAGAACACGAAGGTGAGTCAAGGACGTAAAGTCAGTCAGATTAGCACCGTTTGTGACCGGTTGGCCCAAGGACGCAATGTTGGGCTTGATCTCGAGACGCTTGTTGCCGGAGAAGTTCAGGTATTTCAAGCTCCGATTCCAGTTCCAGTTCCAGTCATAAGGCCAATTGGAGATGTTGTACTTCAAGCCATTGCTTCCAACATCAAGAATGGCGAGCTTGCTGACTTTGCACAGCTCGGCGGGCAAGACTTGGAATCGGTTAGCGTTGATGTGAAGAACCTTCAACTGGCTTCCTTCCTCGAGGTCATCTGATGGGAGCGAGGTCAATTCATTGCCAGAAAGGTAGAGTTCGGAGAGATTAGGCCATCGCTTGAGAACACCCTGGGGCAGCTCTGTAAGCTCGTTGTAGGAGAGATTGACAATGCGCAATTCAGGGAGACGGGCCAGTTCGCGGAAAATGTCGTCGTCCAGGCGGTTATCGGCAAGGTGAAGATTTCGCAAAGATCCGGCAAAGCTCATCGCCACACCATGCTGTGAGAAGTTTGAATCCTTTCGGGAAGATGAGCTTGGTTCTATGGTTCCTGATCGTGATGTTGATGATACCTTTCGTCCTGCTGTTGACTGTCCAATTGACGGGGTCGTCGAAGGGTTCCGATATGTACCACTTGGCGATGCACCAGATGCTATAGCCCCACTGGATGTTTGACTAGGCCGGCGGAAGTTCATTTCATCGAGTGGTCCCAATTCCTCATAGCTGGGATTTCCAGAAACTCCAGGAGTGGTGGCAGGAGTTGTGGTCGGCTCTCCAGGTATCAAAGGCTGTGGGGCTCCATGCTTGGGGAAAGTCGATAGCAAGTTCGTGGAGACATTGAGAGTTTCCAGCTTCACGCAATGCCAAATTTCCTCCGGCAAGACCTTGAGATTGCACTCTCTCAGGTTGAAATCTCTGAGCTCAGCAAGACAGCCGATGGTAGCAGGCAACGAGGAGAGGGGGTTTTTGATAATACTGAAATGCTCCAGTCGACGCAGTTTGCCAATCTGTATCGAAACTGACGACAAGTGATTTTTGTCTAGGATGAGCTTCGTGAGATTCGTGATGTTCTCAAACATGGCATCTCTAAGTTGGGAGAGTTTGCCAGATGCAAGATTGAGAGAGGTCAGCGTTGGCATGGGGCTGTCAATATCAAACTGTGTCAATGGATTGTGGTCCATGTACAAACTGCGTAACCTAGGGAATGCTCCTCTGTACCGAGATATTAAGTTGTGACCGAAAGTAACCTGCTCTAGTCGCGGCAAACGAGACAGGTTGTCAATGCTAGTGATAGCATTGAATCGCCCGTCGATCTCCTTCAGATTTAATAAGTCTTTGAAAGAATCATCAAGAGATCCGCTGATGTTGTTGTTGGTCATCCAAAGGCGCTCCAGAGTTGTCAATTTGCCGATATTAGGAAGCGACTCGATGCCATTGAAACTGATATCCAGATCGACTAGGCTCTTCAGGTTGCAAATAAATTCTGGGAAGACCTTGAAGCCGTTCGAGGACATGCTCAGACTTCTTAAGGAATTGAAGTTTCCAAAGTAGCTAGGCAGGTCCGTCAACTGGTTGTTTGAGAGTTTGATACTGACCAAGCCTTGAAGCTGGTCAAGCTGTGCGTCATCCAAATTCTCTAGGGAGTTGTTTGACACATCCAAGTAGGTCAAGCGGCTGGCCAGACTGAAACTTGTGGGAAGATACGAAGCCTCATTTCCAACGAATTTGATCTCCCTCAAGTTAATACAGCTCTGGATGAAATCCTTTGGTACATCCAGAGAGAGATTCCTGGACAAGTTCAAGGAAATAATCTCCGATGATTTTTTGTATAGTGTAATGGGAATTGTGACAAGGCTCTTGCCTTGGAGATCCACGTGATTGAACTTTTGCATCTTGTTGAAGCCAGGATCAGCTTCCAGGCTGGTGTATCCGCTGAGCTTCGTCGGCAGGAATATAAAACGGCAGAGATAGCTATGGTCTTCACGGCCAATATCTTCTATCCGGTCTCTTTCAGTATAGCCGACTTGTTCCAGAAGTTGCTTCTGCATGAGGATTGGCTTTTCTTTATGATCAAGCTGCCGAGATAAGTCATTCTTTCGGAACACGATCTCATAATTGTTGAGATGATCCTGCAAGAACGATTTTTTCCCAAGCATATAAAGAATTTCTGCAACAGTTGCGTTCAGGCCAGCTGAAAGAGTAGCAAAGGTGGAGTCGATGCGGAAAACTCGGATGAAGAAAGATGAACCATCGCGATCACGAAGACTGGCAGTCGGCTTGGAACCGCCTTCCTCGGATTCCAAAAGGTCGTTTTGCTTCTTGACATGCCAACTATCAGGCGCATGCCAACTGTCGGCTCCCAAGCTTGCCTGTGTATCAGGCCGGTTCGGAGGTTCACGAGGTGTAGCAGTTCCTTCCGTTCCCTGAGGCATGCGGCCCGGTGAAGTCGAACGAACAATGTCATCCACATTCTTAAGATCGGTGTCGAGTTTGAATACATGTTTGTCATCTTCTCTGTGGTGTGCTCCATCTCGCGGAGCAAGATCACCAGTCAGATTGCTGGCAAAGCGGCGATTGCCGAACTTGGGCCCACGGATACCACCAAGACCTTTTCCAGATTCCTTCTTTATGCTATTGGAGTCTGATGATTCAAGATGGCGGCCGCTGCTAGAGGGGCCTTCGATGCTACCCTGCCTGTGTCGGCCCGGGGACTGGTCACGCTTGGATTTCTCATGCGGCTTGTGTGACCCTGGCAGCAGGTGTCGTCCAATTCTGCCAAGAATGCCACTTTTGTTGGGTGGGCCTCCAGGTGAGTTCTGACCGTGCTCACGGTAGATTGCGCTTTGCACGCTTGGTGTTGGGCTAGTCGAACGCCCACCAATATTGGAAGAAGAGCTCATAGCAGTAGATGAGGTGAGGTAACTGTCATTCCAGGGTCTGAGGCCGACGTTGAAATCGTCAAATCCGCCCGGACGAGCGTTGTATCCGGCAAGATCCCCTGCGAGCGTAGGTTTCTCTTCTTTGCTTCGAGAGTGGCGGTGTCCATTGTGCGCTCTTCGACTTGAGTCTCTGTGGCCAGAACTGGGAGCCCGGGAGGGAAGACGCTGACCGTCAGGTCCAATAGGCACTTGTCGTACCGGAGCTTCGCCATACTGGGGAATATCATGATAGCTTTGATACACCCATGGAGTGATGTCACTTGATGGTAGAGAACCCTCTGCTCGTGGCCGCGAGGGCCGCTGCGATCCAGTTGCTTCTGAACCGTCAGAGTTGGCTCTTTCTCGGGCCTTTAACTGGTCGATTGGTCCCCCACGTCTGCTTGGTGGATTTGATGGACCATCTTCGGGTTCATCGAGCCCCGAGTTGTCTTCTCCGACTAAAGTCTTAGTCTTCTTTCTCAGGCGCTTCTGGCTCGACTTTGAACCTTGGCTGCTCGTCATGCTCACAGCGGAAGGCCTTCGTCGGTCACCATTCCAATCCATCTCGGCCGGTTCACTCGACGCCGTGCGTCCGGTCGTCGGGCGGCGAAAGGTTGCGGATGCGGGGGACTGTTCGAATTCGGAATTATCGTTGAAGAACGTTTGGCTAGATGAAGAGCCAGGCGCTGTAGCCCACGGGGCAATTGAATCCATTTCATCGTGATCGCTGGGAGGAGGATTGATAGGCGGGGGTCGCGGACTGTAAGACATCGATCGAGAGGCTTCGTCGCCAGCTCCGAGAACAGCCAGCGCCTTGCGGTGACCGCTGTACCCGTAGCCTTTGCGTTCTTCCGTTGGGGAGACTTCTGGGGACCATCTGAACTGCCCAAAGTTGATCGGACCTTGGGGCGCGTTGGATCTGGATGGGGTTTAACATGTTAGCTCAGATCCCTACCATAGCGCACGCGTGCACCGCGGTATGAATGAGTTACAGAAAAGAGCTCTTACCTGTCCATCAGGGTGCCTGGGAAGACGTCGTCATTGCGACCGTTGGAGGAAGTATTTGGGGCCCGACGTGAGTTCTCGTTGTTCCTTATTGTTTCCTGCGATAACCCGGAGCTCTCTGAGCCTTGACGCCGGTCGGGTTGCTCGTGATCCCGCGCAGGCATGGCTGGTCTCAGACTCGGTCGAGTCCGCCGCAAAGGGCTTGATCAGGTTGATGCCAACTGTGCTTCCCGGTGGTGCAAAAGTTCAGTGCAGGCCACCATCAATAAATGCAAATAGTTATCGGATACGTCGGAGGATGAGGAAGCTAGAACAAGGCCGATCTGAATCTCACCGATGCTTGCATCAATTTGCGGAGCTCGATGCGGAAGCGCGGTAGGGATTTGTATAGCTGGAAGTGGCGTGTGCTAAGGCGATTCAGTACGATCGGGGATATTCAAGATGGGTGAGGCTGCGTGGCGGGTCTCATCGATGGGCGGGGGTGTTCGGGTGCGGAGTTCCTGAAGCAGGGCGTACAAAAGCTATGAAGCGCGGGTAGACACAAAGGTTAGGGTACAGCAGAGCGTGTCGCTAGAGTGTATCCTGGTAGGAAAGTGTGGCGCGGTCATAGGCTGATGGGGAACATGGCGCAGCGATGCGGGCGGGCGTCATACGAAGCACAAGGCAGGTCTCTTGGACAAATCCGGCGCAGGGCGGGGATAACGATGCAGGACCGGAATACCCGAGCAGATCGAAGAGAAGGTCGTTTAAACGAGTCGGGTGGATGCAAGTTGAGGAAGAGGAAGCTGAGGAGGAGGGGGGTTGGAGGGAGGTGAGGCTCTCCAGGTCCAGTGGGTATTTGATTGGTGCTGGACTGGTCTCACAGTGAGACCGGCGATTTCATTGATGTAGCTGCAGGAGATCGATCGCAAAGTTCATTATTCGCCAGGCCCTGGCTGGTTTGTGTCTGGGGCAGAATGGTCCGTGGGTTCAGTGAGGCTGTCCGTGCTTTTGCTGTGGAGCTGCACTTGTCATTCTGTCAGCGCTCCCGTTCCCGCATATAGACTCCGATGGGTGAGATATGACTTGTCTGGCCATATTTCGAGCCCTTTGGAAATGAGCTATTGAAAAATGATATATATGATGTCCACGTTTTGTAGAAAAGTGTTCCGGAGGCTATCTAGGAGGACTAAGAGCTCAAAGTGAACAGGCCGAGTTGTGTAATCTTGCCCATTGGACGCAGAGGAAGCCCCACAGCTTTGGAGAACCGGAAGGCTGCACGCATTTAGTCATTTAGTATTTCCTCGGTGTAAATGAACTCGTGTTCGACGTCTTGCTTGTGGATGTGGAGGATAAGAAAAAAGAATTCTGAGTTGGAGGAAGCACAAGGGGTTTTGTGGCCAGGCGCTACTCCTATATATCAACACGACTCGCTTACCCGTTGACCAACGGTTGACGTAGCTATTGCAGTCACTCGGCCGTAACACCCCGGCTGCAACTTTACCGAATCAAGGAGATGGGATAACGAAGTGAGCCTGAATGGGAGGCGATAACTCGTCTTTACAGCTGTTTTGAACGGCATTGAAACAACATAGGAAGGTTACTCAGGAGGGTGAGAGCCTTGCTCGGCTGCTGTTACTCGTGAGAGAGGGATAGCTCGAAGGTGATGAGGAAGTAAGTGTAGCAAATGACTTGGATGATCCGATCCACTCATGGCCACTCTTGCTTGTTTTGTATTCAAAGTTGTTGACACCGCCGTTGTATAGAAGAATATCGATGCGGGGTACTTCGTCTGTTATTTTCTACGTAAATTGAAGGCCTGATCTATAGTCTATTCGGCTCAGATCAAAGTATTTTAATCTGGCATTGGGATTGTTGAAGTGTACCTCGGGATCGACATGGAGGGCGTCAACAGCACCATTGCCTTTGGCGGGAGATCGAGCGGCTTTGATCGCACACGGTGCACCTAGGACTAGGCACAGGCGAATGAACTCCTATCCGAGCCCGGTATTTTCAGGTTGTATGGCTACAGTAAGATACCTATATCTGACTCGTCTTGGAAGTGAAAAGTACATAAATTCGCATGAAATCTGATGAATAGAGGACGATCAATTCAAGGCAATATAGCGGACAGTTTTGCGATGGAAAATCATGCACGAGTGGCCGCGAAATTTTCCACCACAATAGAAGCAAAGGTAGAACTGAGCAGCGGGAGGTTGCAAATCCCTTGGCGGTGACCTATTGAGGTGGACCAGCAGTTAGTTGCAAGGTGACCCGGTCACTGTAACCTCAGATCCACCATCTATTGTCTCGTTGGGTTGACAACACGGGCGTGGTGATTGGTCTATACTATTAATGGCGGGAGAGTTTAAGCCTATGTGGCGCCTAGGATCGCCGGTGTAGCTAGAGATCGACATTTCCAAACGGGCTTGCCATCGAAGCCACGTTGCGAGCATTCCAAGGATATCCAAGTGCCTAGACTTATTGCTTTCACTGCTCTGAAAAGTCCATCGCATTGGTGCTATGTACTCCGTACTGGCCCATCGGGTGTGGCAATGCCAGCCCCGCTGGCCTGCCTTGGATACCAACTCGATCTACGGGATAACAGGACGATCACCGACAAGTGTCTATCAGAATCGTAGCCTGAAACGGGGGATGTTGATGCAGAAACGGGGAGGCTGGGATGGAGGATCCACTTGCCGATACCCTGCCCCCTGCTTTCCACATTTCCCCATTTCCCCATTTCCACATCTTCAAGCCACTGAATACGGACAAGTCGAAAAGTGCAGGGAAACGAGTGAGACAGATGAGGTAATGCAGAGATGAGCGAACAATGGAAGAATGGAACCATGGGATAATCGAATAACCGAATGACCGAATACTTTATACCATACCTAGAAATGAATGTGATTGGACCGAAGGCAGCTCAACGGACCCACGGATGTTGCGCCCAATGAGGAAGCGATGATCTTAAAAACACGGAGGCTGGCTCTTTCTTATGACGAGATCGATCCTGCCATTTGGGCACTTGGGCTGTTATGATCTTGACTTTTCATATTCTTGACTTTTCCTTCCTCTTCCATACCCTCTCATCATATCCTCTCCCCCCTAGGTCTTACTGTATCGTTGGATTCCATATCATCATACCGTTGTGAACTACATCATGAGGGCCGCTCTTACTGCAGCCTTGGGACTGCTCTCCTCCTCCGTCTTGGTCACAGCCCAGACGTACACCAGTTGCAATCCGACCGAGAGCAGTATGTGACCCAGATCTTGGTGCAGCCTCGCGCTTTGCTGACCATCCAAATAGCCTGCCCCGCGGATACTGCCTTAGGTCAAGCTGATGTCACTTACGACTTCACCTCTGGTGCCTCAGATCAGTTCTCTGCCTCCGGAACCATCACGTACGATGACACCAACGGTGCCACCTTCACCGTCGCCAAGAAGGGTGACGGGCCCCTGATCCAGTCCGGCTGGTACATCATGTTCGGCAGGGTCGAATACACCATCAAGGCTGCTCCAGGAACGGGCATTGTTAGCAGTGCTGTACTGCAGTCTGACGATCTTGACGAAATCGACTGGGAGTGGCTCGGAGGCAAGAGCTCCCAAGTCCAAACCAACTACTTCGGCAAAGGAGACACGAGCACCTACAACCGCGGCGCATTCCACTCAAACCCTGACAACCAGAATGAATGGCACACGTACTCCATCGACTGGACCAGTGAAGAGATTGTCTGGGCCATTGATGGCGTCACTGTTCGCGCCCTCACGCCCGCGACGGCAGACACCAACCAGTACCCCCAGTCTCCCATGATGATCAAGGTCGGCGTTTGGGCCGGTGGTGATTCCGACAATGCCCAAGGAACCATTGGTGAGCCGAGCATCCCAATCAAGCGTGAAAATGGCGATACTGACGTGTTCTCTAGATTGGGCTGGTGGTGTGACCGATTACAGCCAAGGTCCTTTCAGCATGTACATGAAGAAGCTGGTCGTGACCGACTACTCGACCGGCAATTCATATAGCTACGGCGACAAATCTGGCACCTGGCAGTCCATTGTCTCTAATGGAGGCAAAATTAATGGCAACAGTGCCGATGAGCCCACCGAGACCCAGTCCGCTCCCACTATCACGTCGACCGCCTCTGGAATCCCAATTCCTTGGAGTGGAACACACAAGGAGACCTCGACTTGGACCACCCCCGATGTCTGGCCCTGGGTTGCTACCGGCTCATCCTCGGTTTCTACCTCTCTGCCTAGTGGTTGGGAATCTGCCTCTGGCCGCATTTCACCACCTGGCGGGAGCTCAATGAGTGAGCAACCCCTTGTACCCTTCCTGAGGAGGACCCTTGAATCAACCACTAAGACCGAGTCATCTCCACAGTCTACCTTCCAATCTACCTCAGTATCCTGGGCTTCATCATCGGCTGCCTTTTCCCCTTCTGGTCTTGAGACCTCCTGGGGCAATGTGACCCGTCTTGCTCCCAGCACGACCTCGAAGAAAACCAAGACGAAAACCAAGACTACCAAGACTACCAAAACTACCAAGACTACCAAAACTACCAAGACGAGAGCTAAGACCACGCCCACCAAGAACAAGGAGCCTGCCACTACTCCATCCTCAACCATTGCTCCTGCGGTGAACGGCGGGACCAGCCCGCGTGCTCCAGCCATTCTGAGCCGTTTCTGCGCTCTGATCGGCGGTCCTTTTACTTTTTTTTGAACCCGGGTCACGACGACCAACGACCTGTATTATTACTCATGATGGGATGCTTCTTTCACATGGCGCAAACGACACTTTCACTTCACGACTCGCAATATGAGACGCGGACTTTTTTCGACGGTACCTGACCGCACAGGTTTACAGCATATTGGCGCTTACGTCCCTTGGCTTTTGCTTTTTTTCAATGTTTCATTCTTAGCACGCATACATACCAAAACTCGATGGATATCGCGTTCGGTGGAGCGATATAGACCGCCACCAACCTTCATGTATTAATCCTTGGCAGTGTTTATAGATGGTCATAAATTATACACGCAGCAATGCAACTTCAAGCCTTGATTTGATCTCCAATACAGTGACTAGACCCATGATATCAACAAGGAATGCTCGGTGCTGGCATCACATACGTAAATAGCCTTTAATTCTCTAACTCGCTCCCCTCACTGCATTGAACTCACCTTTCGCCATCCCAATGCAATACTTCCCAACGACCACATTTCCAAGAGAACAAAGCCCACCTCACGTGCCATAGTCCGTCCAATCCCGGCTATTGGAGACACCTGATCCATACCCAGTTCACCCTGCAGCTCAGGATGCAAGTTAGCACAAGCAACGCACACAAGTGGGGCTCGCAGAAATAGAAAAAACACACATACTTATTCAACGTTTATGAACGGAATAAACCCCCAAGGACCGCGTCAACTATCACTTATGTCAACCCATGCAGTCAATGGTGACGCGGAGCTGGCCCGGGTCTGAATTTTGTGCCAGGAGGGATGTCATCCCGTAACAATGATTTATTTGACCCACTAGACTAGTATTTTGATATTTGGTAATAGAAACAGAAGTACTATGAGCACTGCTGCTGTCAAAGTATTGTCTCTGAAGCCTCGATATCACCATGTTTCAATAAATTTCTCGTTCTCTACACATGACCAGAAAATGGAAAAGAAAATACTCCGGTAGAAAAACCCTCGTCCCACCTGAGCAACAAACACAGGCAACTTGTGCTTATTCTTCGTGTCTCTTTTTAAACAAGATTCTGCAGCGCCAGTTTCTTCCGGCAGAAGGGTCCGAATAGACGCTTGATTCCCATCCAGGGTGTATTGATTGGGCTGTCGAGGCCTGTGTATAGGAACAGGTCGTAAACCCAGCCGCCGAAGGTGCAGCCTAGAAATGGGGCTACCATTGGGACCTATCAATACAAACCAGTCAGTACGGGCAAAGGTAGAAGGGGTGGATGGTGGAGAGGAATGAATACCCAAAAGTAGTAATTCCCCGCGGCCCATACTTCATGTCCGTAGCCCAGCATGTAGGAGACAAGACGTGGACCGAAGTCTCGCGCTAGATTGATAGCGTACCCAGTCTCCCAGCCGAAGCAAGCGCCGATTCCGAAGATGACGAAGAATAATGCCAGAGGCGTGAGAGGACCAGCGCCTAGATTGCCATCATCTTTTAGGGCGAAGATCATGAACATCAGGATTGCGCTGGCTAGAAATTCGGAGAAAAATTGTCCTGTCTTGGTCATGAAGTCTGCTGGGTATGTGCAGAATATACCCGCTGTTGCGGTTGCTGAGTAGCCGGGCACAGTGCGGATGTGGGCTCCTCCCTCGAAGGTGTCGATTGCAGATTTGTAATTGCCATAGACAATTGCTGCACCACACATGGCGCCGAGGAGCTGGGATAGGGCGTAGATGGGGAATTTTCGCCAAGGGAAGCCACGGAAGACGCAGTTTGCAAAGGTCACGGCTGGGTTGATGTGGGCTCCTGAGGCGCCGCTGGCGTATACTCCGAGCATGACACCTAATCTGTGGTTGAGGTCAGTTAGTATACGTGAGTGTTTACAGAATGGATAGACCCACCCCCATCCCCAGGAGATGGACTGGTAATCTCCCTTCTGACCATGGCTGAGAAGAACCTGAGCCACCACCCCGTCACCGAAGAGGATCAAGATCATCGTTCCGAAGAACTCAGAGAACGCATCCCGGCCGTACACTCTCAGTCTGGGCCAGAGTAGCGGCGGCGGAATAGGAGCGTCGACACAAGGAGTGAGATCATGAATCGAAGCCTCATGTTTCCTTCCCAAGGAAAGAGAAGTACACCCACTATCCTGACTCACGTTCGTGCCAACCTCCTTATGTGTCTCCGACATCGGCTTATATGCGACAGCCCAGGACATGAAAAATAAACCCCAGATGAAGATCAGAATGTCAGCGTATCTCAGAGTATCACTCCCCTCCAACCGATGGAACCAGCCCACCGATATATCAGTCCAGCCGCCACTGAATCAGACGCCGACGGTGTAACCCTCACAGAAAAACTTTGCGCAGTGCCTTCTCTCACAAATCGGCTCAATTGGACAAATGCAAGCCTGGGAGAGGCTTCTATCTCTCCACGCCCGCGTGAGCCGGCTGACAACTAGATGGAGATGTCAAAGACTCGGGGTGCCCGTGACCGGTGGTAGATATCAGAGCCAGGACCAGAGAGCCAGGACCAGAGAGCCAGGATGAGCGCCAGGATGAGCGCCTTTTTATTTTCTATTATTCCTCCCCGTTGTGCGGTGCCAGAAGAGGGGAAAATTCTGATATACGTTATTGTTCAGGAGCGTTTGTACGAACGGCCGTTTGAATTGAGTAGCCGGAGAACGCCGGTCCATTTATGACTCTGAAGTTTATTGAGGCACTCTGTTTTGTTCTTTTTTTTCTTTCCGGGCAAATATTTGGGTGACACCGGAAGTTGCGCAGTCTTCCTACGGGTGGGTTGGGTGCCTGGCATTGTAGATTGGAAGAATGTTGCGGCACCGAGAGGCTTCTATTCCTTCTGTTACCCATGGGTAACTCGGGAGACTGAAGGCCACGCCAGACCGTATCGTAATTTCTAGAAGTTCGAACTGTGTCACCAAAGACGAAGGTTTGAAATATTGGTTGGAAAGGTGACGGTGTCTGCGTTTGGAACGGTTATTGTTCCGTGCTGGTCTCTTAATCTATGCCCTTCCTCGCCTCTTCGAGGCTATATGTGAGACTGATGGTGGTATTTGGAGATGTTCGGCTCTTAGTGATGACACCCATGTTCAACACCCGTGCGACGCTCTTCCATGCATGTCGCATCACAAGGTCCAGGATGGATCAAACCTGATATTCTAGGATCGAGCAGGGGATGTCGAGAAGAGGGTGAAGGAAGTCCGTCCCGCGAAAGGGTTATTGTCACGGATAGCCTCACCGACAGAGCCGAGACCGGTGAGGAAGTGCAGGCTGCATACAGAGTGCAGAGGTTGGAATTTGAATGGCGTTGTAATTTGAACCAGACGACAATCATGTGAGCGAGGTAGAGCAGGGTTAGAACCGTCATATCGCAGAAGTAGATTAAGTTCTCCATAGGCTTTCTGAAGCTCGAAGTTCTAAGAGAAATAAAGCCGAGTCGTCCGATGCCCCGCCTCCTGGCTACAGTATCAGAGGTGTAGATAGTTGATATCAGGGAACAAGTTCGAATGAAATTGCCCCAGATTGATCACCGAGTAGACTTCCAGGGTAGAGACTATAGTAGAGGTCATGATATAGAATAATGCATGCACTGCTGAAACTGCGAACTCGAGTCTGCAACGCATCCTGCACAGAGTGTCGTTGTCATACAGGCCCATCCTGATCCTTCCGGTCTCGACCCTCGCAACGCTCAAGCCTCAAGTGGACGAGTTGCCGTGGCTCTGATCCCCCCGGTCGTTCATAATTCCACGAATCCTTCGGAAGGTCAAGGCCCCGCAGGTTGTGTCACCATGGTATTTATTTAACATGGTCGCCCTGAGTTTGATAAGAGTCTGCTCTCTGTTCTGCTTCTAAACCCCCGTTTTGATGATTCTATAGATCGGTAGATTTGCTTTCCTCCGACCACCCTCACTATGCAGCCATCGGAGATCTTCGTCGGCTCGATTGACCAGGGTACAACTAGCACCCGGTTCCACATCTTCAATCGAGATGGAGAACCCGTGGCGTCGCACCAGGTGGAGTTTTCCCAGATCTATCCCAATCCAGGGTGAGTAGCCCATTCCAAACAACCAGGTGAGAGCAACTAATGATCGTCATTTTCATTAAGGTGGCACGAACATGATCCTCTTGAACTCGTCACCTCGGTAGAGACCTGCATCGAACAGGCTGTACACTCATTCGAAGCCCACGGCTGCAACCGCGCCAGCATCAAATGCGTTGGAATCACTAATCAGCGCGAAACAACCGTGGTCTGGGACCACGAGACCGGCGAACCCCTCCACAATGCCATTGTATGGACTGACACGCGTTCACAAGCAATCGTGACCGAGCTGAAACAACGAGCCGGCGCATCACAGCTCCAGGGAATATGTGGCCTGCCACTATCAACCTACTCATCTGCCACGAAGCTACTATGGATGCTAGCTCACGTACCCAGAGTGAAAGAAGCATTCGACCGCGGTACGTTGGCGTTTGGAACGGTCGACTCGTGGCTTGTCTATCGTTTGAATGGTGGCGTGGGTGCCAACGTTTATGTCTCGGATTCGACAAACGCGTCGCGCACAATGTTCGTCAATTTGGAGTCGTTGCAGTATGATGATACGTTGCTGGATTTCTTCGGGATCAAAGGAAAGATTCATTTGCCGAAGATTGTCCCTTCGTCGGATGTTCATTCTTATGGTGCTATTGCATCGGGTGTTTTGAAGGACGTGCCAATTATGGGATGTCTTGGAGATCAGTCTTCTGCGTTGGTTGGGCAGAAAGGGTTCTTGCCCGGTATGGCGAAGAACACATATGGCACGGGGTGTTTTCTGCTTTATAACGTTGGTGACAAGCCTGTTTTCTCCAAACACGGTCTTCTGGCCACTGTTGCGTACAATTTTGGTGGGAAAGCTGTGTATGCTTTGGAGGGAAGCATTGCTGTCGCGGGGTCGGGAATCAAGTTCCTGCAGAATAACTTGACGTTCTTTCAGGAGTCAAAGGATGTCAATGACTTGGCTCTCTCGGTGGATGATAATGGTGGCTGTTTTTTTGTGACGGCTTTCAGCGGTTTGTTTGCACCCTACTGGATTGATAATGCCAAGGGCACCATTTGTGAGTTTCCTTGCCTATCTATACCCGATCTGAAACTGACAATATATCTCAATAGTCGGAATTACTCAATACACTCAAAAGGGCCACATCGCACGAGCAACCCTGGAGGCGACCTGTTTCCAAACCAAAGCGATCCTACACGCGATGGAAAAGGATAGCGGGAAAGCACTCTCCGAGTTGGCCGTTGATGGAGGAATGAGCAATTCAGACTTGGCCATGCAGGTGCGAGTCCCACAGCGTACACATGCATAGATATAAACTGATATGACCTGGAACCAGACACAGGCCGATCTAATTTCAATACCCGTCTACCGCCCAAAAATGCGCGAAACTACAGCTCTAGGTGCCGCAATCGCAGCCGGTCTGGCGTGCGGCATATGGAACAGCTTTGCCGAACTAAGAGATATCAATCGTGCCGGCGGCACCGTATTCGAGCCGGGTATCTCTCGTGAAGAGAGTGCAAACAAATTTGGGGAATGGGAAAAAGCCGTACGGATGTCCAGAGGATGGGTTGAAGGGAACGACATCCATGACTCGGCCAGCTCCATTCAAGCACAAGCAAACGGAACACCCAAGATCTCAGTGGGAAGCCGCCATGTTTATGTTTCCAAGACTACCAAGCCAGCTCTTTCATCGTCGATATCGGATACCCCGACGGCGAGTGGAGTCAGTGAAACACCCATGATGAAGACGCGGATATTGAATGGCGAAGAATTCTCATCGGTGAAGGCCCCGCTGGTTAGTATCTCTGGAGATCTAGATGATGCTGATGAGGAAGATTTATTCATGGAGCTTAGGAAGTTGGAGATCTTGCAGAAGTTGAAGAAGTTGCGGAAACTGAAGTCCAGCTATTACTAGCTTTGAAAATGCTGGTTTAGCTCCTACTGCTATTTAACAACATTGTTTTCGATACTGGGCCAGATATCTCCTAGCAACTCCTTCACACCCGTACTGTACTTCCAAGGACAGACGTATTTGATATTTGACCAAGCCAGTCCTTGGAATTGGGGTTTGAGCCACTCCTGAGGAGATTCTTCCATTATAACACACGCTTTCTCCGAGGCCCTTAAAATGGCGTACAATACTACTCTTCATCGTATTTCATTACCCTTGAACGCTCGAGAAGTTGAAGGTTAAAAAACCTGGTTGATAGTATAGCGCTCGATGCGTGCTTTCATTTCTCATATTAATCATATCATTGCCTTTATTTTTCAAAAGAGAAGAGAGATGAACGCCCATTCGCCATTGCCCAACAAGCTTCCACTCCGAAGCATAAGATATCAGAATCCAGGAACTTTAAGCAGCAACCTTAATCTTAGATCCAAGCCGAGTAAAATCCTCTCCCTCCTTCAAAAAGACGCAATTCATCTCGGACCCAGGGCTCAAGGTAACCTCAAACCGCAGAACGGGATCTTCAACGCGATCTTTCCCACTGACCGGCAGCGCAACAATCCGCTCATAAGTCTGTAAGATGCGGATAATAGTATAGCCCATCTCAATGGTCGCGAACTGCTGCCCAATGCAAATGCGCGGCCCACCATTAAACGGAATAAACTGCCACGGTTTCGGCGACCATCCGGACACCCAGCGGTCGGGAATCCATTTTCCTGGATCATAGTAATTTTTCGATTCGGGCCCATCATAAAGATCGGGATCGCGCTGCATCAGCATAGTTGAGTAGATAACTCGCGAGTTTGCGCGTACACCGACGGGCTCTCGGCCATCTGGACCACCGCCGCGAGGGAGAGTTGTGTCGCGGAGTGAATAGCGCACGTTGAATGGAACAACAGGATAGAAGCGCATTGTTTCGTTGATTACGGCGTTGAGGTATTTCATCTCCTTGAGATCTGTGTATTCGGGTTTCTGGGCGTCGGCGCCGACGCCTAGACGTTCGCGGATTTCTTCGCGCAGTTTGGCGACGACTTCGGGGTTGCGCGATAGTTCGAAGAGACAGAAGGATAGTGTTCCGGCGGTTGTGTCTCGGCCTGCGAGCAGCACGGCGACCAGTTGGTCTCGGAGAACTTGGGGGTCGCGAGTGAAGCGAGCCAGAGCATCGAGGAAGGTCTCGCGCTTTGAGAGCTTATGGTCGAGTTCGTCGGCTGATAAAGATAGGACGGTTTCGATATATGGCTGGATGAACCGGTCCATGATCTTCAGATTGCGGCGGAATTCTTTGCGTGACATGGCAAAGTTGAAGACGCTGTGTCCAGATTAGATTTCAATGTTCCAATAGGATAGTTTCTTGCATTACACAAGATCGAGAAAACTTACCCAAATCGGAACAACTCGGCTTGTCGTTGTTGTACATATCTGAACGCTTCCGCGAAGCGTGTCGCCGGGTTCTCCAAGCTGTCAGTGCCCTGGCCCAGCAGGTAGTCTGTAGCGGCGTCGAGAGTATATCGGAAGAAGAGCGGCCCAACATCGACCACCTTGCTTCCACTAGGAGATTGGCTTCCTCCGAGAAGCGAAATGAGCTTCTGGACATGCTTCTCAAAGATCTCGGTATCGACGATGCGGTCTCGGACGAACATAGGCCTGATCAGCTGGCGCGACCGCGACCACATTTCTCCATCTGTAACGAAGATACTGTCCCCTAAGAATTCCTTCCAATCCTTATGGAATGGCTCACCCTTTCCAAAGTCGGCAAACTGTCCAGTCAAAAGTGCCTTGATGTTCTCAGGGTCCAAAGTCATAATCGCCCGCGTGGAGACACCAGCATCGACCTCGGCAGTCTTGACGTTCGTTTTGCCTCCAGCGGACAATATGGTATCCCCCCAGAAGTCAAGATCCTTGTGTGCAAGACTGGCGATCTGGCCCTTATAAATAAAGTCGAGAGCGTAGGGAAGACGGAATGAGATCTTGGGAGCCCTGGCACCGAGGCGCGAGATCTGGATCTGTGTCTGAATTCTCCGAAGCATCAAGACCACGGTGAATATACCCAGAGACCACAGAATGGCCTGCCCAGGCGTCATGCTTTCAAGGAGCTCTTCGATCATATTGGCGATTCGAATCTTCAATGTCGTGTTTGCGTGGCTGTACTGAGGAATACCTGGGAAAGTGGGAGTTTAAAATGCGACCAGAAAGCAGCTTGAGATCCAGGCCACATAATATGAAGGCATAGAGTACCACAATAGTAGGTGGCAGCGGGCCAGTTTGTTTAAAGATCAATACAATGCCTCGGGCGTTCACACTAATGCACGCTTGTGTGGAAGCGGCCCATCCGCGAGACGCCTTTTATCAGTTCGGGCACAAAAGCTCCGGTTCCCCCAGAGAAAGCACGCGGGTCGCCCTATGACGAAGCACGGATTATCCCGTTAGCTCGACTCGGCTCCCCTTCGAGTGTTTCTTGCGAGGTGCTTGCGAACCCCGCTCGATGATCTCATACCGTGTTCGCTCCACTTCATTCACGTATGCTTCGTTGTTTGGAGTATCTAGGCAAGTCCTTTGTATATCCAGTGGACGATGCATCTCGAGTCCATATTAGACGCTGCTGACATTCACATTCACATTTACGGGGACAGGGGAAACCCCGGGTAGTTGGCATCTGAGGACCTCGGTTCCAGGGGGCTTCATATGACTCCCGATGTGGAGATTGCAATTAGGCTTTGTGTCAGTGCCGCGAATTCCCCGCTACCCCGAATTGACGATCACCAGACATACAGTAGAGCCTCTCCGAGTTTCTTTAGCCACAGTGAAGACTGGTGATGTTTCATTGTAGCTGCAGGCAAACTGACGGAAGGATGCCTGGGCCATGTTGCGGTGAGTTCAAGAGCTTGCCCCCCTGCCTACGAATACCTGAAGGAATTGGCGGAAACAATCTCTGCGTCTCGTACATGGACAAAACGTTGAGAGCATTTGAAGGTATATCATCATTCATCATCTCGTAACCAGTATCACTATACACTATTCAAAGTCCACTGGTGGCAGCCCCCTCTTATCCAAAGCGCTCTGTATACTTCTCTGCATAGTGCCAATTGCATCTGCCCAAGTCACAACGCCTTGTCCAGATTTTGGACTTTGATTATCTGCAGATTCCTGCGGGCCCTGGTCTTCATCAAAAAGCCACCTGAGCCAGCGCACCACAGAGACGGCCTTCTCAATATCCTTCTCTTCGGCAACGACCCGTCGAAGGTAGGTACACAGAACCTCGGCATCCTCGGAATATGGACCATCACTAGCAAAGGCAGAATACCAAGCACCGACGGCGTCACGGAGGTCTGGGAGGGTGGATAGACGCTTGGAGGTGAAGACTGGTCGCTCGGGGAGAGGAGGAAGAGGAAGTCGTTTCTCTACCGGGGCAGGGACAGGGGCAGGCTCAGGTGTATTCCGTTGCTGAGATGTTGGTCGGGAATTTGTTGCAGGGGCGACACGGGAGCGTTGGAGCATGCGGTTACGCTTTTGCTCTTCGAGGACCTCTTGGCGAATGTCTTCTGGTAAGGCGGCCAGGAACTCGGCCGAGGCTTCGAGCTGTTCCTCAACGGCTGGAGACTGTTGTCTAGATGGGGGATCTTGAATAGACGAGACAGAGGTAGTCGCTGGCCGTCCGAAACCGAAGCCCGTTTGCTTCAGAGTCTTATTGCTGGCACTTGCCGATTTTGGAGGACGGCCTCGCCGCTTTTTGGGCGGCGAGACTGGCCTTCTCGGCTCAAGTGATCGTGCAGCAGGAATCGGATTAGACAAGGTGGGGGCGGATACAACTGGGGGTTGAGGTGCTGGTGGCTCAGACGACGCAAGCTGGTTATAATACCCCAAGATCTCATTTCGCAGATCATCTGGCAATGCAGCTAAAGTTTCAGGATCCAATTGAGAGTGAGGAGGGAGGTCTGCGGCGGCAAGTTCTGGCGCTCGACGTGGAGGAGGGCATGGCGACCCAGAACGTGAGTCTTGTCGGGGCTTTTGAGCGACCAGTCTTGATCTGATATCACTGGGAAGTTCCGAAATAACCTTGGGATCCGCTTGGGTTGGCATGATAAATTGAGACCCGGACATGTTCAAGGGCTTGTGAGCACTGTTGCTGAGGATTGGATCGACTTGAATTCGAGTGGATTGGTCCTTGTGCGGACTTTCCAGTTCATCAGGATCGGCAGTCACAATGTGTGGCTTGCGAGATGGAGTCTGCATTTGCTTGCCAGATGGGGACGTTTGGAAATTGAGTTGACGTTGGCTACTCTCGAGGATTGCTGCAGGGCCGGCCTTGAGGGGCTCAAGTTTGGTCATTTGAACCCCGAGGCCGCGTAGATCGCCTGGAGAAATGTTGAAACTCCGTAACATCGAGACGGCTTCTTTGCCCAGGGTGTCAGTTGCATTGGTTGCCACGCCTAGGACAACGCTTTTGTTGAATACATCGCATTTTCCATGGCCGAGATGCTTCACTGGCTCGAGTGGCGCATCCATTGAGCGTCGCATGACTTTGAGTGTGAGCTGTTTGCCCTTGACCAAGTTTTCAACAAGTCTCTTGTTCAGCTCTTCGCAAAGAGATCTGACAAAGTCTTCCGCCTGGCCCTGATTGACGAATCGAATACCCCAGTTGACTTCTGCCGACACGGATTTTCTGATGACTTCGTTGCCAACTTCAGACTTATCAATGCCCCGAGCATATTCCCACATCTTGATTCCAGTTTTCGGTCCCAGGCTGCCGATCAGCCTTTCCTTCGTGAGATCTCTCGCATCCTTCACAAGCTTGACTCCAAGCTCCTCAAGCTTGTTGCTGAGACTATAGCCAACACCCGGAAGATCTTGCATTGTAAGATTTCCGATGAAGTCCAGGACAGCCTCCGGCTTCAGCTGAAACTGCCCAGCTGGCTTTGCCTTTCTCAGGGCGACTTTGGCCAGCAAAATGTTGTTGCCAATGCCCACAGAGACTGCACACCCGGTCTTCCCTTTAACAGAATCCCGCAAACTTTGGGCTATCTCTTCTGCTTTGGCTTGTTCGCGATATATAGAACCCTCTGATATGCCCCTCCCATCCGAGCCACCAGCTTCCAAACACAGAGTAGTGATATCAATGAGAGCTTCGTCAATGCTCACACTCTGAACAGTTCCATCTATAGATAGAACAGAGCTGTAAAATTTCCGACTGGCATCTTCGTAGGCTGGAAAGTCATAGGGCAGCACCTGGAGTTCGGGACACGCCTGCATCGCGCCTTTCATCCACATACCATTTTTTATGCCCCGTCCACGAGCCACATAGTTGCAGCTTGCTATCTCAGAACCCGAGCCAGGACCGTGGGCAATAGCAACGGGTTTATCTCGAAGCTCGGGATGTTTGAGGAGCGAGACAGCAGCAAAGAAGGAATCAAAATCGACGTGGAGTATATATCGTCTTGCACCAGCCACGGGTTTTTTCTGAGCCACAAGAGAAATGGCCTTTTCTTTGGTTGCCGCTTGGAGTTGTGCCTTTAGCTCGGCCTTCCATGTTGATAGATGATGAAGTCGCGATTCTCGATAATATTGTTGCAAGAATTCTGGATTGACGACACTTGCTTTCCTCATTCGAGGATCGGATAAAAGTTGCGCGTTATATTCTTCAGAGGTCATATTTGGGTTAACAGCAATGGCCTGTTCTGAGGGCGACGTCTGCAAATTGCTGTGAGATACAAGTAAGTTGCTGGGCTCTTCATGAGGAATATCAGGCGCTGGTGTCTGAATGTTGGAAGGCGTATCTTCCTTGGCTTGATGAGGAGTGGTGGCTCCATCTTGGCCATCCATTGACTCAAGGCTAGGAAAGTCGCCGTAGTCTGACTGAGTGGTCTCAGTCGACTTTGCAGGTCGTGGAGGAGCTGGCTGCGGTGGCTTAGATGGCGTGTTAAATTCCGCGCTCATAGCTTTAAGTTGAGAATTATACCAACTCGTGCTAGATTGCTCCTTGTAGCCCACTTGTGGACTGTTCGTTTGACTGGTGAAGCGGCCATCATTGAATTTCAGCACTTTCTGAGTCTGGCCCTCATCTACGACTCGAAATTCATCCCAAGGAAGCAGCCGCCCGGCTTTCACGCTTTCGGTTACCCACGCGGGCTTCACAATTCGGTATCGTCGGAACTCTTCGCGTTTCTTTGGAGTCAAAGAGCTAGCGATGATGTGGGTCGCAACTGTCTTGCCATCCAGATATTGTAGGAATCCACCACCATGACTGACAATCAGACGGTGGAGGTCCTGGAGAGAGGGTTGTGTGTAGCCGTTGACGTGCATGACGATACCGCGAAATATCGGTGGACGATCACCAGCTGAGGCTCGAATTTCCGCATCTAGATTCTGGAGTTTGATTTTCTTGCGACGCATATAGTCCCCAAATCCGCCAAAGGCAGATGCCTCGTATTCTTCGCCCCCTTCATCGTTAAAGTCATCTATATAGCAGCTGATTAGAACCTGCTTGAAGATAAGATGGACAGGTTCGGTGCTCACGATTCTCAATACGTTTGCGCACTGCGCTAGAAGTAGCATCAAGACGAGAGCCCATGCTGGGCCAAGAGCACCAACATGACCCTCGGTAATGAGGGATCTGATGTACACGGTGCTTTGGCTGATGCGACGCGGGCGAAGGCAAATCACGCGTCGGCGGCAGAAAAGCGTGAAAAGATCAGGTGACTTAGAGCGGTGAACAGGGCGGTCAATCGAAGCAAGTAGGTGAGCGGTGAGACCCTCTCCAATGATATCATTGGCTGATGAAAGCAGTCAGAAAAATTAATTAAAAAAAAAAAAAAGAGCTCCGACGATCTCTGTTGCTGCGGCTTGGGTCGCATCTTTTCTCTTCTTCATCCACGTCTGTTTTCATCCGGTGGTTCATATTTCTCTCTCTCATACCCTCTTTCTTTTCTTGTTTAATTTGCAAATCTTTTTTCCAAACAATCCCTCAGAATGTCTGCCGTCCAGCCTGTCGCAGTCTACGCCCTCCGGGTTCCTGCCGGTGCTATGGTTCCCGCCGTGCCTAATGCCGCCGCTTCGGTTAGTACAACCCTTTACAGTGAGAGATAGAATGCATACTGACTGTGATTCTAGTTCCGTGTGAGCATGGCTGCCATCGACCCTGATGAGACCCCCGAGTTCGAGGATGGCGACTCCAGCAAGCCCGCCCGCGCTACTCTGAAGATTGTTCGCGCTCCTCCCGGTCTCGACATGGGTGATGAGTCCGATGATGAGGACTACAGCGATGCCGAGGATGACGATGAGGAGGACTCCGATGATGAGGAGGTCAACGGTGGTCCTAGTGACAAGGAGAAGGCCCGCAAGCTTAAGCAGCTCGCTGCCCAGAAGGAGCTCCTGGAGGCCATGGAGGAGGATGAAGAATCTGATGATGAGGACGACGACGACTTCGACCTCAAGGCCGCCATCTCCAAGCTCATCAAGGGCAAGGGCCCCGCTATGGACGACGATGAGGACGATGAGTCCGAGGAGGGCCTCGACCTCGACGAGAGCGTTATCTGCACTCTGAACGCCGAGCAGGTAGGCGTGCTTCTACCCTTTTTGTAAACATGACAGAAACTAACAATTACACAGAACTTCCAGCAGACCCTGGACATCACTGTGTGCGAGGGTGAGACCGTCTTCTTCAAGTCCACCGGTAACTACACCATCTATCTCACCGGTAACTACGTCATTGGCCTCGATGAGGCTCACGACCATGATCACGACCACGACGACGAGGATGATGAGGATGAGTACGACCTTTCCCCCGATGAGGATGAGCTCGACTTGGACGAGATCATGGCCATGGATGACGACGAGAGCGATGACCTTGATGGCATGGAAGACCCCCGTATCACTGAAGTCGAGAGCGAGGAGGAGGCCCCCAAGCTGGTTGAGGCCAAGAAGGGCAAGAACAAGCGCGCTGCTGAGGAGGAGAGCCTCGACGACATGATGGCCAAGGGTGCCAAGAAGGCTGAGAAGGCCGAGCCTACCCTCACCAAGGCCCAGCAGAAGAAGCTGAAGAAGAACAACGGCGACGCCGCCGCTGTTGAGGCCAAGAAGGAGGAGGCCAAGAAGGAAGAGCCCAAGAAGGAGGCCAAGGCCGACAAGAAGGTTCAGTTCGCCAAGAACCTCGAGCAGGGCCCTACCCCCTCCGGCGACAAGCCCGCCGGCACTCTCGGTGTCAAGGAGGTCCGTGGTGTTAAGATTGACGACAAGAAGCTCGGCAAGGGTGTCGTTGCCCGCAGCGGTAACACTGTTGCCATGCGCTACATCGGCAAGCTCGAGGACGGCAAGGTCTTTGACTCCAATAAGAAGGGCAAGCCTTTCTCCTTCAAGCTCGGCAAGGGTGAAGTCATCAAGGGCTGGGACATCGGTATTGCCGGTATGGCCCCCGGTGGTGAGCGTCGCATCACCATCCCTGCCAACCTCGCCTACGGCAAGAAGGCCCTTCCCGGCATCCCCGGTAACTCTAAGCTGATCTTCGACGTCAAGCTCCTGGAGATCAAGTAAATGCCTAGCTTAATCATATATCGTTTGCAAGGGTGTTGTTATGGGTCTGTTTGATTGCATGAGTTCTCGTGATATCCGGCTTGTTTCTTTTCTGTTTTGAGCCTCTCCTAATTGAGGACGAGGCTATCACGAGGAATCTGTACCCCCTGCATTTAAAAAGTTGCCCAAATTTGTCATGTAATGCAAGAACCTGTCATTTGCCTGTTGAGATTATATTTCCCTTTGTAGGTTTCTCCAGTAGGCGCGGTCACGTAGCTTGTCATTTCCGTCGAGGCGCCTCTGCCAGCCTTGGAACTGAGCAGTATTGGATCGACACTTTCCGCTTATAAGCCTGGAAGACGGCAGAAATTTTGTGATTGCATCAAGGAAAGCCGTCGTAGGCGACGAATACCGGATGGAGGGAAGGGAAAACCGAACTAGCACTTGACTCAAGACTAGAGTATTCAGTCCTAAAACGTTCGCTATCATTTGAACTCAGTCTATTCGTCCCGATCAGGAAACAGGCCCTATTGTTCCATGGTTCCACTGTTCCTCACATGCCTCGAGATGGCTGGCGTCAATGGCACTTGCCTCTATATGATGATGATTTCCTTTTGCTTTCTGCAATAGTAAAGACCAACCTCACCAACTTCAAGTCCACTTGTTTAACCTGTTCGTGTTAAGCATCCCCACATCCTATCTTTACCCAAGTTACCAAGCTTTGGATGTTCTCATTACACATGACCTCCGCTCCTTGACCCTTCCTGGGGACCTCTTACAATGACAGTATCCTGTGGGAAGAGAGTGCGAAGTCGACGAAGCGTCTTCGGTCTTTGGGTTCCCAACAAAACGAACAAGGCCGCAGGCAAAATCGATCCTTCTCCTGCGGAGTCTACAATATCCGATAGTCTTGCATCTGACCACAACGCCAGCTCTGCAGCCAGTAGAGATCGCCTGAAGATCCGTTTGACGCGGAGTGGATCCAAGATTCTATTGTTGTTTGGGCTGGGTGGCTCCTCGAACAGTAAGTTTGGGTCTTCCGTGGCCTAATACGCTCCGGATGTTGACGATCAGTCGAAGGTCAGAAAACGAGCGTCGAATCTGTATCATGCGAAGACAGTCATAGCATCAAAAGCCGTCACCTTACATCGCTTCCGGTAACAGAACATGGAAATACCCTTTTCCTGGAGGGTTGCTTGCCAGGGAATGCATCGCCCGGGACCACAACCCCAGTCACCGCACAACCAAAGGTCCAGAAGCCCACCGAAGAAAACCCTGGTCCTAAAACAGGAGTTGAAGTTGTCGCACCGTGCGCTTCTGAAGATGTGGAATGTCAACGCAGCAATTCGAGCGAGCCACAGAGTCCATTGAACACGAAGCTGGTCGATCGACTATCCCAAAGGCTTTCTTCCACATTTGGCCAGCCGACGGTTATTCGTCGTACGCACTTACACTCGAGACCCAGTATGCCTTTTATTGGATCCCTTATATTGAACACACTCAACAAGCAGCACGGCGATGGTGCTGATGACAGCTCGGATCCCTCGACATCCCCGAGCAGCAACGGCTCGCCATTGGGATGTTCGACTCCTCCTACCCCAGTGACATCAGCAGAGCCTTCTGCCTCGTCCTGTAAGTTTGAGGGCTCGCCCGATTTTTCCGCTCTCTCGAATCGTGCCGCTGCCGTGACTTCCACTCTGGACAACAAATCTCCGACTATCACACCCTCGATCATAAGCGTAGAGGCCGCCTCCGTGGCCAAGATATATTTAGAGCTCTATTACAACTCCATTTTCCAAAACCAGGACTCACGCTTGCAGCGCCAGCATGAACTTGATCAGCATATCTTCGCGTTTCAGCTTGCACCCGATGAGCAAGCTCAGGCCAGACGCAACTGGGCACTCCAAGAGAATGAATATTTGCGACAGTGCCGAGCTTTGAGAACCAGTAAGAGGTGTTCTCATGATGAAGGGGCCGTGTCGATTGCTGGTTACGAGGTCATCAAAGTCCTTGGTAAAGGCAGCTTTGGCGTGGTTCGCTTGGTTCGCGAGAGAAAGAGAGACAGGGAATTAGTCGCAGAAGAGGTCTTCTCACTAGAAAGGAGCCTATCCGTCTCAAAAGCTAGGTCTCACAGAATGCTCAGGTCTGCGGTGGAAGGAGCCAAACACAGTAAACGACGATTCATGACCGGAGAAAAAAAAGAAGTGTACGCGATGAAGGTGATTAGAAAGTCCGACATGATTCGCAATTGTCAGGAAGGTCATATTCGAGCGGAGAGAGACTTCCTCGTTGCAGCCGGAATGTCACGCTGGGTTGTTCCCTTGATCGCAAGTTTTCAGGATGGCACTAATTTATACCTTGTTATGGACTATATGCTTGGTGGAGACTTCCTCGGGTTACTCCTTCGCAAGGATATACTTCGGGAAGATTGGACCAAGTTTTACATTGCCGAGATGATTCTGTGCATCGAAGAAGCCCATCGACTTCGGTGGATTCATCGTGATATCAAGCCCGACAACTTCCTCATCTCTGCTTCTGGTCACTTGAAAATCTCCGACTTTGGTCTGGCCTTCAACGGCCATTGGGCTCATGACCAAACTTACTACCACAACCAACGATACTATTTGGTCGAGAAACTCGGCATCAATGTCACCGGCGATACCGAAGACCAAGCACATGCCGCAGAGATGAGAGAGTTTTCCGACATAGGCTCTCACGGGATAAACGAGCAGTCTAGCTTTCAAGTCCCCTCAACGAATCTTCTGGACTGGCGCAACAGCAAATGGAGACGCAGATTTGCAAAGAGTGTGGTTGGAAGTAGCCAGTACATGGCGCCCGAGGTCATTCGAGGCGAGATGTACGATGGGCGATGTGACTGGTGGAGTTTGGGCATCATTATATTCGAGGTGAGTCACATCTAATCTTAGAGTATACACTTCTTACTCGTTTTGTGCAGTGCTTGTACGGCTTTACGCCGTTCGCTTGCGAGAATCGCCATGACACCAAGATGAAGATTCTGGTAAGTTGACCGAGAACCCGAATGTAAGGGTAAAAACTAAGAATCGTTCCAGCAACACAACAGAACCCTGCAGTTCCCAAGAGAGAAGCCAACGGACAAAGTGGTGTCTCAAGACGCCATCGATCTCATGGCACGAATTCTACAGGAGCGCGAGTTCCGACTCTGCTCTCAGAGATACCATGCCAATAATGTTTTGACTGGCCGGTCTGTCTCCGCTCAATTTCTCTACTCGATGGATTCCCGGCACATGAACATTCCCAGTTACTATGTCTATCCCAATGATGCCGCCGACATCAAAGCCCATCCTTTCTTTAGAGGCACGCGGTGGAACGAACTTCATCTGACCCAGCCACCGTTGGTTCCCCGTGTCAAAGACTGGGAGGATAGCCGGTATTTCGATGATTGGAATGGCTCTGGCAACATCGATGAAGCATCCGATGACAGTGACGCACCAGAAGCTGATGAGGGCCTCAAAGCAAATTCCGATGGTACAACTGCAATGTCTCAGGGTCGCCAATCTCAACATCTGCCAGACCCTCTGGCTTCTGAGGAGCGCCCAGTCCCGGATGGAGGTCCTGTGGAAGTAGAACAGCCCGACCAACGACATCCAGAGATTGCATCGAGGAAGGAGAAAAAACGACCTCGTGACAAAATCCTTCGGGATAAAAGAGTTGGCCGAGCTGCACTTGAGATCCGCAAGCGAGGTGCATTCCTCGGATATACCTACCGACGACCGAAAGGTCCGGCCATGGCCCTCAGCACTGACCGTGGACGACAGCTATTTGCGAGAGGTCAATTGGGAGACATATATTTTCCGTGAGGTGGCTGCGAGAAAATGAGCTTTGCGTCCCCAGGTGCGACCTCACGGCAGTCCTTCACCGGTCTTCATCACCACCTTGCTTATCCATATACACCCTTTGTTTCGCACGACTCCCCTGTACAAACCTGTTTTGCTTCTACCTGAACCTTCTGTACCCTATTCCTACAAATCCACTTATTACCATGAACTAACATGAACTAATTCAATGACTCTCTGTCATATTCATCATTATGTACATAAAAAGAATCCGCATGAGATGCTCAACATGCCACGGCACCAGGACGAAGCTGGTCATCAAATAAAAAAATTAGAAACTTGAGTCGCAAAGAAAATTTCCAGTGTGAACGCCCCAGGAGTATTTCATTTTGAGAAATCATTGCGATGACGCTTGTAGAGAAAGTCGTGGGAAAGAAGACCCAACGGGGGAAATATAGTCGGATCAGGGGTATCAAATGTAAGGTAAAGCGGATCTTTAAATCCATATGCCACACCAGCTTAGAGTACAGGCGCACTCATCGAGAAAGCCGAGTCCGTCACACGATCTTCGGGTTTCATCGTACCATTAAGCAAGGGACAAAGCTTCTTGTTCGTCTTGATGTGACCAACTTGGCCACAGTTGGCGCACTTGCGCTGAGTACCAGCAGGTTTTCCATCGGCAGGAGAATCGCCAGGGCGAGTAATGCCCTTCTGCTTCTCGCGAGCGAATCGGCGCTCTTTGTTGCGATTCAGACGGCTGAGCTCGGCTTCAATCAGCTTACGGTTGCGAGCGTCCACTTCGGGATCACCAGTTGGTTGGAGAGACTCCAGCTTGGTGGTGAGGGCTTCGGTGCGGTGGCGGTGCTGCATGTAATGTCTGATGACGCGGGGGTCCCAGACGAGTTGTTCTTTCTGCAGAATTTCACCGTTTGGAGCCTTGAACTGGCGGGTAATGCGCAGGGCCTTGCCTTTTTGGCTGGCGAAACTCATGCGACTGTACTGACTGGTTGTCTCGTCGTCGCCGCGTCTGTTGGGTGCCGGGGTGGGTGCTTCAGATCGTGGGGTGGGCTTGTTGAATTCTTCTTCCTCGCCCTGGTCGATGTCGCTCTCCTGGTCGGAGTGCTCGACAGTGGATGACAGACTAGCCTTCTGCGCATCCCAGATCCGGCGGATAGATGTCTCGTATGATTTTTGTTGGCGGGCAACGTTGTAGCTGTGGCCGCCGAGTTCCTTGAGACGCTGTGCATCCAACTTGTCTTCCACACTCTCACCGAGGGCCTTAAATCCACCCTTCATGGATGTCTTGATGAAATTGAAACCCTCGCCACGGCCGGTAGGATCACCTTCACCGTGAAGCTTCAGCATGGCCTTGCCCTGCGATGCTAGCAAGAAGTTTCGGGTAGCCTTCCAAGGAGCCATCTGCTGTTCAAAGCTCTCGCTTTCCTCATCCTCTTCATTATCTCCACCTGTCTCGGCATCATTTCCAAACCCAGTGTCGTGGAGATGTTGCTGACCAACTTGCATCGATTCTAACAAGCAGACGTCTTCAGGTTGAACCCAAGAGCGAATAGTGTCTTGGTCGGGGAGGACAGGGTCCAAGGGTTTCCAATATTTGGTATCCTTGTCGTGTTGGAGGAAATCCTTGACTTTCTGTCGGTTCTGCATATCAGTGGTACCGGGGATGTGGGCAGTAACGTCACTGATAGCGAGCCTTTCATCGGCACTCTTCTTGAGCAATCGGTAAACAAGCATCTTCATCCGATTCTTCGCGACGGTGGTGACCTTGCGCGAGTGGGGACCGGGGATGTCGACGGATGGGAACTGCTGTCCCGCAACAAAGAAGTTTTCAATGTTGCGCACGAAGTAATTGCTACCCCCAGCCCCGGTGCTATTGCGAATGACAAGGAAATCGTTTCCTTTGGCTTGGTGGGAGAACAAGGGTGCTCTGTACATAGAGTTGGAGATTGCAGGGGTGATCTCGCCGGGGTCCACATGACCGAAGATGGAGAATGGACTCTTATCCTGGGGAAGCAAGACAGCTGTTTCTCCAATTTCTGCCTTCGGGCGGGTTGGATCATCGGGGTTCTTTCGTCGGTAGTAATTGATGAAACGGTTGCACATGCCAAAGTTGGAGAGAACGAAAGGCGCTTCTTCGGAATATTCAACGAGCAACACATTCGAGTTGTCGGCCAGAGACAATGATTTTGTGTTCTCGTATAGGGCCTTGGCATCTTTGCCCTTTTGATGCTTGCGCTTGATATGGGCAGGATTTTTGAACCAAGACGTTTGTCCGACACGGAAGGCCAAGGCCGGACGATGAAAAGATCTAGCCTCGGTCTTTCCTAGTTCTGTCTTGTAGTATGGCCACTGCAAGCGTAAAGCTGGCAAAGCGTGCTCGAGGGTGACATTGCCAAGAGTCGATCGAATCTTATTTTGATGGTTCTGCTTTAGCATGTCGTATGCTGTATCATTTGAGATGTTGTATCGCTGGGTGAGTCGGCGAGTAACGTTGACGTCCATATCTTCTCTGGAACGAAGAAGATTCTGTCTTGGTTTGTGAACAGCCGCGTCGGGTCTGAGCTCCTCGACAAGAAGATGGGGGTCATTCATATCAATTGTAACCTTCTTGGCTATCTGCGTGATCACTTGTTCAGGGTCATCCAGTAGCGGTATATCAAGATGGGCCAGACTGATGACGTCCATAGGAGATGGGCCAGTCTTGCGCTTCTTGGATGGGTGATCTTCATCATACATCCAATCTTGGTCGTCCTCAAATATTGCGGACTCGGCCGGTGCAGATGGCTTCTGCTCTTTCTCGGTGGAAGGGTCCTCGTCTTTGATATCCCAGTCTGCGCAAATAGTACGAAGGTCTTGCATGGTAAAGCCACCTGGAAGCACATCTTCAGTGTCTGCACCGCCCAATTCGAAATCTTCCTTGGCATCTTGTTCCTCCTCTTCTTCCTGGGTAGCCTCGGTGATCAAGACGACACCAAAAGATTCATGGTCCAGTCCACGCTTGTTCGGCTGGCCAGTCCTGAACACGCGCTCCTGGTCAGGAGCCAATTCGATATTGACCTTGGTAGGTAGAACCGGTTTAGGAACTTTGAGGGGCTGCTTTCCCAGGAAATAAGCCCTTTTCTGTGGGATGAGCTCCAACCAACGCGGTAGCGTATCACGGTCGAAGCTGGGAAACAAAGAATGAAGAAGCTCCTCATGGTTTTCGGGTGGCGCGGGTACAGTGTCGGGTCCGGCAATTGATGACATGGCGAACAGCTGCTGCTGGAGTTTCCAAGCACGGAGGGTCGCCGGATCCATCTCCTCGGACTTGACACTGGCGTCATCCAAGAACTCGCTGTCGTCAAGAGCCATCGGTTCTTGCTGATGTTCCGGAGCAGGAGGAATAGGGGGTAGCTCGACAGGTTGATCTGTTAACGAAGGTTCCTCATCCTCGAAAAGACCATGCATCTCATCAGCCTGACCAGCAGGAGAGGCAGCGCCTTCACCGAAAAGATCATCAAGGTTGTCTTCCTGAGCCTGTACTCCCTCGCCTTGATCACCAAAGATGTCGGCGTCTCCGAAGTCTCCTCCCCCATCCCCGAAAAGTCCAGCATCGTCATCATCTTGAAGGTTGGCAAAAGGATCTTCGTTGTCGTCGGTAGGCGGAAGACGCGTCGAGTCGGGGACAGCTTCTTCCTCCGGGAGTTCATCGTCGTCAAAATCTTCGTAGTCGATTGCATCATCTGCTTTCTCTCCCACTTCCAAGTCACGCGACAAGAAATCGAACTGCGGGCCACCATCTTCGTAGTTGTTCAGCTGTCGCATCACATTTTCGAATGCGTCATCCGGCGGGGCCTCGGAGGCCGAGTTCTGGGTAGCGTGGGGCATTTCGAAGGTGTATACGGTGAATGAACTGAAGGAGAGTAAAAGTGAGACCAAGGGCTATATCGAGGGTCGGTCTGAACAGGCCAGACGGAAGCGGGCGCAGGCCAGGCAGGCAAAATAACGTGGTTAGGACGCGCTCATTTGGGACGTTGTGCTGTCCACCGATTTTGAAAAAAGAGCCGCCCAGCCGAGATCGAGAAAGAGAGCGTGTGTAGGGCGACAAGTGATTGAGGGTCGTTGGATGGAGGAGCGTGGCGCGAGATGGCGGAAAAGGCATCGACTACGCTAGCCCGATTAGGCAATCAGCTTAATGCTGTGAAGACAACGAAGTATACTCCAGCCAGTTACGAAACAAGTTTAAGTAGAGGTATTCATGAAAATGTAGATCGCTCAGAGGCAGAGAGAAGAATAAAGAAATTATTGTACATTAAAATCGCCGTAGTAAATGCACAGCGCTTTGCTGTGGCCTTCCATGCAGTAGTGCATCACCATTGCCTTTTTACCATCAGGGACATACTTTGCCAGCTGTTTCACATCCGATGTTCTAGGAAGAAAAAGAGCTATATGCGGGGTGAGAACTGAATACTCCTTGTAAAGTGTTTCTAGTGAGTATGGCTCCATGGTGCGGAGATTGAACACTTCATCAGATCTGTATCCCGGACCTGATATACATGGGTCAGCGACATCTTCACATCATGAAATGAACGAAACTTACCACCCCAAGGAGGACTAGCAAATATTACACTGTAAGGTGCCAAATCTTTGAGCTGATTTTTAAGAATCTCGAAGCAATCACCTTCAAACCAAGTGATCTGCTTGTCAACGCCATAGATCTTAGCATTGTGCTTGGCGCATTGAAGGACAGCCGGGTTCTTCTCAATCGCATAGACTCTTTTCCATTTGCCTGTCAGTGCGAAAGCAATACTGTTCCCTCCTGCTCCTGCAAAGGCATCAATCAAAATGCTGCGCCCGGCCGGCGCCGCCTCTGCCATGTGTTCTGCTATTTTGCTGTTCAACGTGTAAGCTAAATGAATCAGGAAAAGAAACGAAAAAGTGACTAACTTGGCGACTGGTTCTGCAGTGACACCAAACCAGGCATCGTCTGTCAGCCATACTCCCTCATCGTACTTGGTGAAGATGCGGTGACGCTGGTTCCAATAACTAGAGAACAAGTCAGTTCTGGCCGGCGAGATCTTAGGAGGCTCTTACTTCTGAATATCCCACGGAACTTCTTGAAGATTTTCGTAATGATGCACCTCTGGAGGTGCTTCCTCCGAGTCCGCCATAATGTCGAATATGCAGGTGTGATGTAAATCGCAAGTCTTCGATAAGTGATAAATGCGATATTGTTTGTTGTGTTTGCACCCGTGTGGCCAGCTCGCATGCTCGGAGCTTGAAGTCAACAACATCCCACCTTACTACACCTGTCGCCAGAACCTGATCGGTCGTCACAATGTTCGGCGCACTTAACCGATTCATGAGCCGCTTGGACGGTGAACCCATCCAGCAGCCTCGGAGCGGACCGAACGATAACGCCTTTGGATTCCAAGTCCTTCGCAACAAAGACGCCGAGATACCCTTGGAGCCGTGGTTTGATTTTATTGTTGGAATTAATGGCCATACAATTGTAAGCTTACGGGCCCAGGCATTGAATAACCTCAACAGCATTACTGATACACTGTGCAGGAAGATCCGGACCCGAACCTCTTTGCGACGGAAGTCCACAATTGCGCCGGTTCGAGCGTAACACTGGAAGTCTGGAGCGCGAAGGTAAAGGGTGTTCCTGGAGACCTAAGACGAGAAAACCCTCTAAAGCATGAATATCTGTAGGGCCAACGAACACATACCGTCAGCGTCCCCATATCCGCAACCAACCCATCCCTCGGCGTCGCACTACAGCTTGCCCCCCTTTCATCCACACAGCACATTTGGCATGTCCTCGGCATTCCTTCGCCCCTAAGCCCGGCCTACCGCGCGGGCCTGCTCCCGCATTCAGATTATATTATTGGAACACCAAGTGGGACATTACGAGGGGAATCGGCCCTCGGAGAGTTGGTGGAAGACCACCTCAACCGCACTTTAGTCTTGTGGGTATACAACAGCGAGTTTGACGTTGTGCGTGAAGTCGAACTCGTGCCTACTCGAGGCTGGGGTGGTGAGGGTGCTGTTGGTGCGGAACTAGGCTACGGCGCTTTGCACCGACTTCCCGTGGGTCTAGGTGAAGAGGTGGAAGGACCTGGCGAGGTCGTCTTTGAAACGCGTGAGGATAGCTCTGCCGCAACATTCCCAGGTGCCAGTGGTGTCAGTGCGCCTGGAGACTTCTTGGTACCTGCAAACATGGTCGCTCCTCCACCGCTCGCCTCACAAACCAGAGTGACTTCTCCCGGGGACAGCCGCTCACCGGCAAGCCGTCGTTCAGCAAAGGCGCGGGCCGGTGTGTCACCCAACAGGGCATTCGATGATTACTTTGCCGAGGGAGAGATGAAGAGTAAGGAGCACGATTATGCGCCGTCACGGAAAGGAACACCTCTCCCTCCGCCGCCCAAGACTGGGGTCTCGCCAGCTGATTTGGGGACCGCAGTCCCTGTCACAGAAGCAGATGAAGGTGCACCAGGGCCAACACAAGAAGAATAATACGCATGACTTTTCTAGCCAAATTTCATGTAGAGAATGACAAGTTGCAAACAATATATCAACTGGAATCTCTTTTAATGTATCGACTGCTTTGGCTATGGGTCTATTTAAAAAAGCCGTGTATATCTGTTCATTGGTTGCCTCCGACTTGCTGGGCATACCGACTGTACATCATATCATAGATCTGCAGATCCTGCTTGGCATCAGAAACCGTCGATTTGATGGGCTTGCCATTGACCAAGGCTTCATATAGCTCTTGGAGCTCAGCCGTGTATGCATCCTCATACGAAGATAGCACACGGCGGTGCTGAGCCTCTCCTCGCTCATTTACTTCATCGACCTCTACATAGATCGGAAGTCCCTTGACATAAGGACTATCATACTGTGCAAGGAGTCAGCAAGATGTCAACATTGAAGAATATTGGGGTTGCATACCTTGATCGTAACCCTCTTCTTAGCACCATAAACAGCCATATGCGCATCGAACATCGGAACCTCATCAATACCGCTCTCATAAGTTGTCGAGAATGTAGAGCCATCCGCGTTACGGAAAGTCATCATGGCAGTATAGAAAGGGTCGTTGACGGACACGGCTGCCACGTCTTGAGGAAATCCAAGGACTTCGCGCATGAGCGAGATATCGTGAGATCCCAAACTACCCAAGAAACGACAGTATTTCTTTTTCTCCTCGGTGATAATCTCATTAGGAAAAGCATCGGCAAAAAGGGCGTTGAGACGAGCGTCTCGTTCCTCCGAAGCTTCACGCGGGTAGTCGGAGTTTTTGACTTGGAATGTACCACTCTGGTTAACGAAGTTGGTGTTCGGACCGCTGAAGTCGCGGACGCGAGCATAGAGGATTTTGGGAATCGTCGCGATCTCTCTCTTGAAAGCTTCCAAGAAACTTGGTGCAAAGCGACGCATATACCCAACGAAGACGCGGGCACCGTTAGGAGCGTTCTTCTCGGCATCAATCACTGAGTCCAGAGATGGCAGAGACAGCGTCACTGGCTTTTCAATGAAGACGTGCTTTCCGGCTTTCAGACTGGCACAAGCTAGTGGAGCATGGCTCTCATCGGAGGTAAGGATGAAGACCACTTCGACATTGGGGTTGTCGATGACTTCCTGGGGCGTCGTGGTCTTGTGCGGGATGTGAAACTTGGTAGCACAGTGGTCCACTGTTTTTGCGGACAAGTCACAAATAGATTCAATTTTGAAAAGATGCGTAAGAAGTAGCAGGCACGGTCCATGACACACTTGAAAGACTTCCTATATCATCTTGTTAGCCTGCTCGAATAGCTCGAGAGGTGAAGTGGCATACCCCCGCACCGATGATTCCCAATTTCAATGATCGAGACATCGTCTGAGACTCTCTGCGAGGCCGACACTTTTTTGATACTTTGAAAAGCTCGTGGACTGATCAAAAAGATGGTAGTCAAGCTTTATCCTGTGTGCGCGTTGAAGTAAACTTGGTTTGGACTCGGTTTCGTCATGCTATTTGAGGTCGCCCATGTGGGGCACGTGCTCGTACCAGGCCACGAGCTATTTAGCTATGAAAACGAAGAAACTCGACTTAAAATCAAATTGTCTAAAATCGGGGCATCCAGAAAGACATCTTTGAATCTGACTGGTAGTGGCGTGGGCACTGTATGTTGGTGGGAACGAATCCAGACATTTTTCTACGGGGCATTACACATTCCATGAAGATTTTGGTCAAACAAAGGGGACGTCCGGATTATACTTCGGATCTACGAGTTCTAAACGTACATATGCAACAAATGAACACCCCTAACCATGGGTAACAACAGACAATATCAAACCAAAGCTGTCTAGTGACCCTTGCTGACCAGCTGCTCAAGCTTCTTGCGAGCCTCACCGATCTTATCCTCCATCATCTGGCGACCCATACCGCTGTGAGCGATACCGGTGTACCAGATGTGCTCCGCCCGCTCCCGAATAGCAAGGTGCTGGTTCGCAACAGCGGGGAACCGCTTCTCATACTCCCAGGTCAGATCGGAGACATTCCGCATAGTCACGGGCAGGAGAGTCCAGGCAGCGACAGTACCGAAAGCGAGGGGGGACAGGGTGCGGAGGAAGACGCCGCGGTTGCGAGACACAATGGAGCCGGCCATGGCGGCAACGACGACGTAGATACCGCCGGGGGTGAGGCGCTCACCAGATTCGGGGGAAGGAGCGAGCGACGCAATGGTGTTGGTGAAGGCATTTTCGATGTGCAGGGCCCGTGACAAGAAGTCGTTGAAGCCGTTCTCCGCGGCAAGGGAGTTCGAGTAGAGGAAGAGACGGGCTTGCCGGATCTGAGCGGTCAAGATGTCTGTCGGAGTCGGCGATGAGGGCTTTGTTTGCAAGGGCGCCAGGGAAAGAGTCTGAGTCTGGGGAGTCGGGGTCTCGGGCTCAGGCACGGCCGCGGGCGTGGGCTTGGAGAGTTCGGGGATGTCAGATGGGATGTCGTCGTAAATGGGTTTCCTCTGTTTTGGGCAAGCAGTCGTGTGTCAGACCGGGTTTCTCATCGCGTCGCAGTAGTATCAGAATGGATTTGGAGTATCTAACCTGGCTCGGCTCCTCAGCAAAGGCCGTCTGCTTAGGGTACAGAGCCATGCTTCCAGCGAGGAGAGTGGCTGCGATCGGAGCCACAGCCCGCTAGGGACGAGTCAGTACACGATTGATGGGTCAATTGCATCGGAAACTTGCGCAACCGGAGATGAGGAAAAATACCTGGTTCAACATCGGCCGGAACGACATCCTGGGGTTGTGGGGTGGAGGAAGCAGGTGGGAGGTGATTGAGGATGAAGCAAAGTCGGGTTCAGGCCAAGACGGGAATTATTCGGCTCGGCGGAAATCCAAGAAATCTCCGTCATCGCCCGTCTCCTTCTCTCCACGTTTCTTGCCCCAGGTTTCCTTTTGCTTGTTGGCTTTTGGGAGGGTTTCTGATTTCTTTGCTTATACCCTTCTTACAATGCTACGCCCTCTCGGGCGCCGGCCGTGGACATGCCGCAAATGTCTGCATCTGCAGTCACGAAATTTCGAGAGCGCCGCATACCCTGCTCCCCGAGCTCACGTCGACTATGTCCCCGCTGACAATACCGCACCGAAGAAGAACGCCGACGATGATACCCTGCGACGTGTTTTCGACTCCCAGCCATTCTGGAAAGAGTTCTCACATCCGCGCAGCTCTAAGGTTCCAAAGCGGGCCGGATTGGTTCAGAATCAATACTTGACGAATCCAGATGGCTTCAGGGCGTTTGCCAACGTGTCACTACAGAAATGTCAGACGATTGTGGCGAAGGTCTTAGCGGCTTCGACTCTAGAGGAATACCGGGGATTGGCAAGGAACTTGGACAGGCTCAGTGATCTTCTGTGTCGTGTGATTGACCTTTCGGATTTCATTCGGACGATTCATCCCGATCCAAAGATTCAGGAAGCTGCGACGCAGGCGTACGCACTCATGTTCGAGTATATGAACGTACTAAATACAACTACAGGCCTTCACGAGCAACTCGGCAAGGCCATGGCCAACCCTGAGATCACATCATCCTGGACCGAGGCGGAGACGATCGTGGCGGAGATTCTCAGGAAGGACTTTACAAACTCTGCGATCCATATGCCGACAGATGAGAGACAACGCTTCGTGAACCTTTCGAACGACATCAGCCAAGTTGGCTCCAGCTTCTTCAACGGTGCCGAGCCGGCTAAGTCCCAGTTGGTATTCAACGCGAACAGCCTCCAGGGATTGGAGCCAATGGTGGTTCAGAAAATAAAGAGATGGAATAACAAAGCACCGGTGCCCACCATGGGTATTGTTCCCCGCCTGGTGCTTCGGTCTGTGCGGGAAGAGTCGGTCCGGAAAGAAGTGTATCTTGCTAGTCGAACATCGAGCCCGCGCCAGATCCACCGTCTCGAGAAGCTTTTGATGAAACGATCTGAATTGGCAAAGCTGTCTGGATTCAACAGCTTTGCCCAAATGACACTGAGCGACAAGATGGCCAAGACACCGGAGTCGGTGTCGAATTTCCTGACCTCGCTCATTTCAAGCAACCGAGGACCTGTCAGTGAAGAGCTCGCCCAGTTGCAACAAATGAAGGGCAGCTCGGCGCTTCAGCCCTGGGATCATGCCTATTATGTTCATAAGCGCGTGCTGGAGTATTCCCAGTCCCGTCGTTCTCGTGAATTGAGCGCTGTCCCCGAGTTCTTCTCCCTGGGAACGGTTATGCAAGGACTTTCTCGGCTGTTCGATCGTCTGTACGGTGTGCGTCTTGTGCCCCAAGAAGCGACTCCTGGTGAGACTTGGCACCCCGACGTGCGTCGCCTTGATGTGGTGGATGAAAATGAGCAGCATATCGCCGTGGTCTACTGTGACCTATTCTCGCGACCAGAAAAGCACCCTAACCCGGCCCATTTCACTCTGCGCTGCTCGCGTGAAATCTTGGCCGATGAGATCGCAGAGTGTGCCTCGATGGACCAGTCGGCGCACCCGAACGATGGCATGGCGACCGCGGTGGATCCGCGCACGAAGACACTGCGTCAGTTGCCCACGATCGCCCTGGTTTGTGATTTCCAGGAACCATTATCGAACGGCTCGGGTCGCCCAACCCTATTGAGTGAACAGAGCGTGCGTACCTTGTTCCACGAGATGGGTCACGCCGTCCACTCTATTCTAGGCCAGACTCCTCTCCAGTCCATCTCTGGAACGCGTTGCGCGACGGACTTCGCCGAGCTTCCCTCTGTGCTCATGGAGAGCTTTGCCACTGCACCTGAGGTGCTCTCCCTCTATGCCCGACACTGGCAAACCGGAGAACCCCTCTCCGAAAGCATGATGCGCAGCATGGAGATGGATCGGCACGCACACGGCTCCATCTACGGCGCCGTTGAGAACGAAGCCCAGATTCTCATGGCTCTCGTCGATCAGGCCTACCACGCCATCCCCTGTGACGATGCGATCAAGGGCGTGGACACTACCGAGATCTACCACAAGGTCTTCTCCCAATACTCCAGCTTGCCCGATCCGGACAATGTCCGCCCGCGGACCTCATGGCAGGGCTTCTTTGGGCATTTGTACGGCTATGGGGCTACATACTACAGCTACATCTTCGATCGCGCGATCGCCAACAAGCTCTGGCAAGACGTGTTCGATTCAGGCAAGTCAGCCGTGGACCGAGCCGCCGGCGAACGCTACAAGAACGAAGTCCTCCGCTGGGGGGTGGACGCAACGGCTGGCAATGCGTCGCAGGCGTTTTGGGAGATAAGAATCCCTCGAACGCCAATGGTCGATTGGTGGAAGGCGGCGACGAAGCCATGCGTGAGGTCGGTCGTTGGGGTTTAGGACGCGACGGCATCTCCGGATAAAATAAGGAGAAGCTTCTTTGTACCCTCTTGTAATATTAGATGATATCCAACATTAACTATAAATTGAATCTGGGGTTTAGACCCTGGACAGCTACATCCGGTGTCGTTAGTCTTGAAAAACAGCCCGTATCTTGGCAACAGCAAGACCTGCAACGCTCGCCAATGTGCATTTGAGGGCTTGTCTCAGACTAGTCTGTAAAGCCACGCCTTAACGATTGGCGCAAGGCGACGCGGAATGTCTCACTCTCTTTGCTCGCGTCTGAGCGCGATAAGACTGCACCTTTTCCATCAACATAGTAACTACTTCGTACTTCATACCTAGTTTAAATTACGAAATCCTAACCATTCATAGAATAATGAAAGAACTAGAAGAGCTGAAAGCTAGACACGAGACAAAACCGGGCTCGCTTGGTAAGACATCTGCCCTAATCGTTCGCGCGCCACCATCCACTGGCTGCATGGTGGCTGCTGTAGTACTCCCCGATGTAAATGGCCAAGCGGAGACTTGCGCGGGGCACCTGATACAGGTTCCAAGGTTCCTAGGCTACCTGCACCTATTGGCTTGGAGCAAGGCATCTGGTCCTAAAAAGAAGGGTTCGCGTTTCGCAGGTTATATAGTGTTCCTGCTTCTTCTGCAAGGCTCGTGCCTACCACATCACCTACGACCAACGGCCTATTTCCCTTGGCGTGCGTCAAAGGTTCTTTAATTACGGTAACATCCATTTCTATCACGAGCTTCCTTTGGGATTCCCTTATTCATACCTCGGAGGGTGGTGTCGCCAAGGCATGGGTTTTCCGTAACTCCAGGGTTCAAAATGTCGGATTCCGAGCTAACGATAACTAAAGGCAATAGAGAGACATAAGTACCTGGGGTTGTCCCCGTCGGAGTACGGAGATCCTGGGTGATTCATCTGTCGACTCTTTTCATTCATCACCTATTCACACCTGGGCATTTGAGCAATGTCATATACCGCATGTCTCCACAGCCCCGATCATTGTCTCAACGACAATGTATCTGTTGGCTCTAGCTCTAGCTCCTCCTTCACCACTGCATATCCATCTCTCGGACCTTCACTCCAGCTACGCCGCGTTAAGACGGTTTCACAACTCACAAGGTGGGCATCAAAGAGGCTGTCCCGATCATCCCTCAGAGGTATCGCCGACGGAACAGAGCTGAGCGAAAAGAACCTCAACAATCTTAACCTTGCGATAACAACGAGCGCGGATAATACTTCCGAGACCAACGAGAGCTTTAATTCGGCCAGGCGCTTGCTGCCTAAGTCTCCAACCAGAGCATCCAAAGCAATCAACACAATCGCAGAGGACTTGGAGTCATCACCAGACCAAACACCCGAGAAAGCACAAGACATCCGACTGCGCGATTCCTATTCGGCCTTTTGTGAGCAATTCACTACGTCAGGGCCACAGAGGCCGAAAAGAAAGTTCGATATCTCCATGGATATGCTCGAGGCAGAACAGGACTATCTAGCCGACGCACAGCCCAGAGTCGGTTGTACCGACTCGTCCAACAATGACCAGAAGGAACCAGCCCCCGAAGATCAACAAATCGGTTCCAAAGCTTTGAACGGAATTATACAAGACAGAACAAGGTCATATGAAAACATCTACTTTGGCCAAGACAATACCCCTGCAATCATTCACCCTCGGCCACCACCCCATATCATGACACCATTAGTATATCAAGACATGCAGCGCGTTGCACTTGAGCGTAAGCTAGCACGAAGACAGAAAGTACTGGGACCCATCAGGTCTTTGTTTTCGAAGGGGCAGCCGTTACGAGGACAACGGTTGGATATCGAGACATGATGTCGACGTTGTTGACTATTTAATCAAGTACATAATTTAATTCACTTACAAGAAAAAAGAATGGGGCGTGATATTAATAGAATCTATAGTGTACATTGTGGTCGTGGTATCAATGGCTATGGTACCAATCGAGTGGAGTAAGTGAAAGCACATGAGTGGTGACGGAGGTTGTCGATACTCTGTCAGGGCTCTGTCAGGGCTCTGCTAGGGCTTTGTGGATGGTCTGTGGATGGTCTGTGGATGATCATATTGTCTATCCTCTTTTCCATCACTTATGAGCTGTAGTCTACATTTACCTCCGATGAATGCGGAACGGCGTGGAATGTCGGCAGTTTCTTTCTTACGCTCGGGGTTTCCGTATAGTATGCTAAAGTTAGAGTTGTTGAGCTACTTAGTATAGCCAGGATGAATTGCATTTTCACTTTTCACAAAGGCGAGGCCGGTGCTTGAGTCACAGCTTCTCAGGATTCTGTGTTGTCAAGTCTCGTACGCAGAATATTCTAAAAGTCGGAAAGGAACCTACTCCACTTCACATAGCTCTGCCGCAAGAAACTTGATATTGCCTTCACGCTCATAAATCTATCTCATCGACGGTCCGAAGATTTGACAGGCTATCGATATCCATACAAGTCACCTGACCTCTTCATCAGATTGAGCAGACGCCATTCTTTCCTCGTCGTCCTGGGTAAAAGCAACCAAGATCCTCTTTGCCTCTTCAATATCATCCGTCTCCCAGGGCTTCAGGCCGAAGCAATGCATGAACTGAGTCCATCCACCATAAGACTTCACAATCGCCCGTTCAGCGGGGGTGCACGGCGGTGCTGTGGTAGTGTTAGATAGGAGCGGGTCATGGGTGATTACAGTAGGGCCTACCAAGCGCGTCAGTAGCAGGCATTTCGATGATATCACAGGGGTGTAAGCGGGAGAATGCTTGGGTTTATTGAAGATAAAGTGAGGTGGAAGTAGTTGTTGTGAAGAGGTTGGAGAAGATGAAGTTCCTAGATCTGAGTGTTGGAAGCGGGACCCCCGCGATTCCACGCATGGTTACCCCTCCATGAACCCTTGAACCCTTTACTTCAACTTACCATAGAACTTTCTAGTGACAGCTTTAGTGAATTGAGACTTTTCTAAATCGCTTAAGAAATAAGGTTTAGTCTATAGATGAGAGCTATACCATGTGACTGGAATACGAGGCGATACCGCTACGGCATAAATATAAAGAACCAAAAATTGGAGTCTGTATCAATACGCCACACTAAAGTCACGAGGTCTGAACTGACTATATTCTAGGACTATCGCTTTGCATCAAAGGGATTTCCGCATTACTTTCACCCAACATGCGGGACGAGTGTATACGCACACGAGCCGAAGCTTCCGAGCAGCAGCATATCATGGCCGTTAATGTACGGAGTCTTGAGCAAACCACTTGCAATTTCCCCTCTAACTCATTCGAGGTTCGAACCTTGACAGATGTCAACATCAAAGCACTTAAAACCAATAAGCACGACGGAGGTGGAAATTAGAATAGTACAAAATATACTCAACAACCAGCCCACACAAAATATGCAGACCACGGTATGGCATTAAGCAATAAAACGTATTAAACATGAAAAGCCGGATAAGAAAGTCCAGGCATAAAACAGGGTATCCTGGGTCCTATTACATACAGCAAAGCCAAGACAGAATGAGTGAAACAGGATCTAATAAATAAAGCTCATGCAAACGCTAGCAACGGGTGAACAAGTGCGTTCCAAGTGCGAACACGGGTACTACCGTGCAGAGGGAACCTCTTGCTGACCGCGACTGCTGTCCGATTCGGGGGCGGATGCGAGCTCAGGGCGAGGAGTAGATGTGAGGCTTCGGGTGTCAGGGGTAGCGCGGCGGGAAAGTTGGGCCAATTCGCCGATGAGTCTGCATGTGATAACCGTTAGTAAAGGGGGATGGAAAAATATCCGGGGAGCGGGTACTGACTTTTGGTGCTCGCCGTACCACTCGTCGTTGGAGGAGCGGATGTGCTTAATCTGTTCCTGAATGCTTGCCATCTACGGAGAAGATGAATTAGTTGTTGAACATATAGTTTTTCATGTAAATGGGTGAAAGTCGGGCAAATATGAGGAGTAGGAAGACTTCAAACGGGGATCTCCCACCGTTCCCTCGATGGATGAACCAAGGTCAAGGTCCTCACCTTCTGTGGCTGGACCTCCCTCAGCTTTCTCTTCGCCCTCCTCTGCGGAGGCCCATTTGCTGGCATCAAGGCCAGACGAGGAGGTCTTGTTATTGGACGTCTTCAATGCGGCAAGTTCGGCCTCAAGCTCACGCACGCGGCGGCGGCTGCCGGAAATTGCAGCATCGACATCGCCAAGTTGGTTGAGGAGCTGCATGTTCTTGTCGATCTGCTCGCCAAGGTTACGCTCGCCAGCGGCAAGCTTCTCTTCCATGATCTTGGCGGTGGCTCGGTACTCTTCCAGCTCTTCGCTGGAGTTGGTGTGCTTCGTCTTCAGGGTCGCATACTCCTCACGGTACTGAGAAAGCTGCTTCAGAGCAGAGTCCAACTCCAATTTGTTACTGCTCGAAGCGGCGTCAGATTTCTGCAGGTCTTCGACCTGAGTGATAGCTGCGTCATGCTTCTTGCCGAGCTCGGCGTGGGCAACCTGGATCCTGGAAATCTCGGCAGCGTGCCTCTCCTGGAGCTCCCGCGAAGCAGACACAGCGGTTTCTTGAGCCGTAGCGTGGGTCTTCTCCGAAGCGATCAGTTTCTGCTCGAGCTCTGCAATAGTCGCCTTCAAGCCATCGAGAACAGATGTGTCTTGAGCAACAGCCGTAGCCTGAGCAAGCTGTTCGCTGACGCTAGCCAGAGCAGCATTGTGAGCTTTCTGAATCTCATCAATCTTAGCATTATGTGATGCCTCAAGCTGCTCCTTCACACCAGCCACCTTGGTTTCCTGGAGAGTCAGGAGCTCCTCGATAGCCTTGCCATGCTCGGCATCAGCGTCAGCCGCTTTGGAGATCTGGACAGCCTGAAGCTCAGTCTGTAGCTTGGTCTTGGTCTCCTCGAAGCTCTGCTGGAGCTCGGAAACCTGCCTGGTGTGAGATTCTTGGTCAACCTTGCTTGAAGCCCGAAGAGTCTCAAGCTCGGCTTGCAGTTGGGCCTGGGTCTCAGCGAACTGCTTCTGGAACTCAGAGGTCTGCTTCTCACGAGATTCGGTGTGAGCGGCAATTTCCTCAGCATGGCGCTCCATAGTCGACTTCAGCTCAGTCTCAAGCGCCTCAACACGAGGGGCATGAGTGGCGTGGGCAGACTCGAGTTCCCTGTTCTTTGAAACAAGATCGTCGTGCTTCTGCCGAAGCTCATCCAAAGCACCATCCTGAGAGCCAGAAGCCTCCTGCTTGGCGCGCTCAAGTTCAGCAGTGTGCCTGACCTTCAAGGCCTCTAGTTCCTCGGCGTGCTTCTCAGCAACAGAGTTGGCCTGAGCGGTCTGCTCATCCAGAAGTCGAATAGCCTCGGCAGCCTTGTCTTCCAAAGCCTTCATCTTGCTATCCTGCTCCTTCAACTTGCTGTCGTACTGGGCGTCCTTCTTCTGGAAATGACTCTCAACATTCTCCAAGCTGGTGTGCAGCTGCTCAGCCTCGGACTGCTTGGCCTGAACTTCCTGCTGTAGAGCCTTGATTTCGCCAGATCCAGTGGCCAGCTGTGTCTCCAGCAATTCAACCTTGTGGCGAAGAGCATCAATTTCTCTAATCGCATCCTCCTGAGCAGACGCCTTGCCCTCCTCAAGAGCGGTGCGGTAGTCAACATGAGCCTTCTCAGCTTCCTCGAACTTCGTCTGGAGAGTCTTGAGCTCTGCCTCATGCGCAGCGGTCAAGTCTGCAATAATACTCTCGTGGTCACACTGGGCGGCAGACTTGGCAGCCTCCAATGAGTTGCGAAGCTCCTGAAGCTGCTGGGAATGCTCGGTGCCAGTAGACTCGGCAGCAGCCTTCGCGAGAGCAAGTTCCTCGGCGTGGGATGTAGAGAGAGAGCCCAACGTGCTGTCATGCTCTGCCTTGAGGTTCGCAACCGCGGCTTCGTGGGAAGTCTCCAGCTCTTTCAACTTGGAGCTAAGGTCACTGGTAGCGCCATCCTGGGCCTCTTGGAGATCACCCTGGAGCTTCCCAAGGGCCTGCTTGAGGTCACTAATCTCAGTTTCCTTCTCAGCGAGCAAACTTGTGATATCCTCGGACTGCTGGGTAGCAGACGCGGCCTCGGCAAGCTTGGCTTCCAGCGAAGTAATCTGCTCCTGCAATTCGGAGATAGAGGTGTTGGAAGCCTCTTTGGCGGCATTGATCTCTTGATCCTTAGCGGTGACGAGCTTCTTGGCTTCGTTATTCAAGTTATCGATGACTCGATCACGGCCGTTTAGCTCGCGCGTAAGGCTATCGACAGCTAAAGCCTTGTTCTCCTCATGACTAGCCTTTTGCGACTCGAGTTCCGACTTCAGAGTGTTGATCTGCTCTGTAAATGCAGTAGCGGCAGCCTTGTGATCCGCGAGCTCCTTCTCTATGGCATCCAACTGAGCCTTGTGGGTCTCCTTGAGGTCCTCAAGAGCGACAGCGGTCACGTTGTCGCCAGAAGCAGAGGCAGACTGCTTGGCCTCCTCCAACTCCTTCTGAGACTTTTCTTCAAGCTCTTTACGCTGGAATTCGGCCTCCTCAAGACGCGCCTGTAGGGACTGAAGTTCCTCCGCATGGGCAGAAGCCAGTTTCTCAAGCTCTGCCGCGTGCTCTGCACGGACAGACTCGGCGGCCTCGCCATCCTTGGCGACATCCTCTCCAGAGACAGACAGCTGGCTCAGCTTCTCGTTCACGGACTCAAGCTCGACCTTGAGGCTGGCAACGGTCTCCTCACTCTCCGTAAGCTTGGACTGGAGAGTCTGCAACTTCTCCGAATCACCGGCACTTCTGGTCGCGCTGGACAGAGTGCTCAATCGCTTCCTAGCAGGGTCTGTCGACGAAGAAGACGTAGTTGGCCGAGCAGTAGTAGATGCAGTTGAGGGGCGAGTCAGAGGCCGCGTCGCAGTAGTAGATGTGGCTGTTCGGCTGGCAGGTGCAGTTGCAGCAGTGAGTCGACCCACGGGCTTGCTGGTAGAAGTAGCGGTACGAGAAGCGGTGGTGCTAGTAGCAGGCTTCTTCTCCAGACTTGAGCCAGCGACACTCGATCTGCGGTCCAGAGTTGAGGAAGTTTTCAATGGGGCCCGAGAGGAAGCTGTGCCGGCCATAGACATGCGCTTGGCAGTGCTCGAAATACCACGCTTCTCATCACCAGAGCTCGCAATTGACCGAGGCTTCTCGTCCGCAGAGCTGCTGACGGAAGGTCGGGATCGATGAGATGAAGCCGTCGACGAACTCAAAGGCTTCCGAGTGGCGGAGGTTGTAGTCGGCCGAGTCGGGGGCTTGCTCAGTGAGCTCGTAGAGGAAGTCGGGGCCCGCGTGGTCGAGGTCGCGGTCCTTGACGTGGCCGTCGAAGAGGAAGTGGGCCGTTTCGCGGCCGTGGAGCTTGACACTGGACGCTTGGATGCGGAGGTCGTGCTAGGGGAAGTTTTAACCGGAGATGCTGGGGCGTTTTCCTTGGATGCCTCGGGGCTAGACTTGCTGGCATCTTCGCCGCCCGAAAGCATTGACGAGTCCACTGGAGTAGCCGGGGGTGCGATTTCGACATCCTCATCAACAGCAACATTCACGGGTTCTTCGGTAGACGACATGTTTATCAACTGAAGTAATTAGGGTAGGTGAGGTGTTAATGCAGACAGAGGGACAAGTGTGGGCGCAGAAATCAATTGTACAGAAAAGGGGTCTAAGAAAGAAGAGATCAATTAGCACCCGACACACAAAGACGAAGATATGGGGTGTTGAAACGGCTGCCATGCAGGATATTATATTGAGTCCGAGCACATCCACAGGGGGCCATGCATGGGTATACTCATGCAACTTAAGCTCCGAAGCTCCGTACAATCAGGAATTGACAACACCAGCAGAGCGGATACGATCTTCCGGCAAAAGATGTGGCAACTAGGAAGGTATCCAGGGGATAACACCGTAGAATAAGATGGTTTGCGAGCCTTTCGTCCGATGCCGAGGGATTGGGTTCCAAAAAAAAAAAAGGGAAGTACTTACGCGCCACGCGCAGGTCGGAAGCTTCAGGGGTTCGAGAGAGAAGGTTCTCAGCAAAATAGCTGACGTTCCACCAGAATGGTGACCAGGAAACAAAAAAGGAAGTAACAAGTGTCAGAAAGGGCGCAAAAGATGCCTGGATGTAAAAGTAAAGAGGAAAAAGGAGAGAAGCGGGAAAAGCGAAAGCGGTGTCTCGGAGGAGGAGGGGGGGATCGCCGTTGCTCCATGCACTGCGCACTGGTCTCATGGTCGCCTTAACTATATCCAAGTCTCGTTTCTCGTTTTTGTAGTTGCTCAACTCTCAAGATTGACAATAACCTTTTGTCTCATACTTTCTAGGTACTAGCTGTGGCCTTTGTGCCACCCAACTATACCGCTCCATCATAAGGAGGTCTAACGTGTCGATCTCATTTAAACTTTTGCCCCGGATTCATTTGCTGCAGTCGTATAGTCTGCTGCATATCCCTAGATTCATCAATCTTGGGGTAGATATGCACTTCTCAAGTACGATCCTCCGCAAAACGCGGTGTGCGAACCCCTGAAATCGACCTGACGTGCCTTTGTTGACCAAAACAATATCAATCCATGGTTCATGCCTCTACCCGAACCATCGGAACCAACCTGGCACGGGAATCCGCCAGATGGAATTTTATACAGCCTGACCGAGAAGATAATCTAAAGTGCCCTCTACACTTGGTTCTTCAGCCCTTTTTCGACATTTTTCTGGGCATCACTCTCTAGCGCTCTTTTAGAGCGTCTTTTGTTTCTTAAAATAACCCTCTCAATGGCTTTGAATACCTCTGATGTAATCAGTCACGGCTGCCTAGGTAGAACCATTTGCATTATCTTCTTGGTCAGGCTGTATCAAGATATCAACTATTTAGAAGTGCTAAAGCAGAGAAAATAAATCTTAATTCAGTCTACGCGGTAGGGTATATAGCAAATAAAGAAATGTAAAAGACACGCCTGCTTCCAGATATCAACCCTCCATCATTCTCAATTCGGGGAGGTGTATGAACTTTCCTCTAACCAAGGATATTGAGGGAGAACACCATTTTGGCGAGCTTGTTCTAACAGCCTCTTGATCTCATCCTCCAGATCCCCAATGGTCCGCCGAAATAGTCGGTGCCCCAGGTGACGTTTAATCAATATACATCGATCATCTCCTATAGACGTGATGGATGTTAGACCAGTCGTATTTCACGAGAAAGATAGCCGAGGATACTGACCATTGTATTGCTGCAGTCCTTCAATAAGGGCCAATCCTTCCTGTCGGGTCCATGGCTCTTCTCGTTTGGAATTCACACTGAAGATAGTGGACTCTTCGCTTGGGGTCCGAGCGTGCAGATAGTTGAGAATACGTCTCAACGGAGGATGAATGGGCCGAGTCCAATCAGACGCATTTTCAAAATCATCTTGCTTAACTAGATATCCCGATTCGACCGCCTCCCTGGTCTTCAGACCGCTTTGTATCAACAAGAATAGAGTATCCTGGAGCTGAGCACTTGCTGATTCCCCTAACATCCGATACAATTTGAAGCCGTACAGGATCAGAGTGATGACCCTGGGTGTGATGTACGCTTGAAATTGATCGATCAGATATGCGCTTGGCTCATCCTTCGTCTCCCACATAGCGTAGCGCCTCAGTCGCACAAACTCCAGGAATAGTGAGTCCTTGAGATTTCGGAGATCCTTTTTGAGATCGAGTGATAAATACTTTGTCTCCACGATCTCCTTGTAGATGTGGCGAAGCTCAGTAACTATGGCAAATGGAGCACTCAATTCATCGGGTTTTGGTCGCGTAGCCTGTTTCCTTAACCATTTTGCTTTCTGCAATATGACCTGCGATTCATTTTTCAAATCTAACATCTCCATCTCCTGGTCGAACCACTCCTGTAGCTTACGGCGGTAGGCTCGGTCAATGTCTGTTTCGGTTTGCGTTTGTTCATTGAATTGTGAACTCAGAAGTTGTGAATCGAGAAGCTCTTGGACTTCGGGGCTCCCTTCAGCTTGATCTTGATCGGGCATTTCATCATCGCTTCGAATTTCAAACTGGTCGAAAAACTCGTCTGGAAGAGGATTCGTTGGCTGGGTGGGTGCAGGTCGCGGTGTCTCTGGGATGGAAGGAATTGGAGAGGAGCCAGGCGCGTCGTTATTGTCCCCGTTCGCGTCGCGGTCTCCAGAGGAGCGGCTCATGCTTGTGATCGGACCATCACTACCTAGTTCTTCCGACAGTCGGTTGCCAGTAGATTTATCTTTGTCGTCCTCACTTTCTTCATCTTCGCTCGACTCTGCGGCTTCGTCTGACGGCGCATCCTCCTCCGGTGGCGCGTCGTAGTTTTCTTCATTGTAGGATAGATCGGGCTCGGGTGTCGAAAGGCGATTTTGTTGGCTCCGAAGACCACTGCGAAGTGTCCTCGAGGGTGTTTCGGGTAATTCCGCAGGTTCAGGCGAGGCGGGGACATCGTAGATGTTTGCGCGATGAGTCGTGTGTCTTCTTCGCGGCGCTTTGCTAGCAGTGGCAGGGCTTTTCTGGGTCACCGGATTATTGACATTGTTGAGAATGTTCCAAGGTTCGGTCTGGCGCACTCTTCGCGTTCTAGCGGGCGCCATCGCGTAGATTGAGGGTACGCCTCTGGGAGCGAAAGCAAGGGACGCGGAGAGCTGATAACGTAGCTCGGGGGTGGAGAACCTCGGAACGTCGTCATCCCGCTTTCCCCTCCAGCTTCAACTTCCCCTCCGTTCAAACTTCACATTCAGTATGGGTACGGACGGTCGAACAATCCGTGTCCTGCCGACATTGGACCCTTTCACTACTCACAATTTTATCGCGCCCGTCAAGAAAATCTACGAGGGCCAAGATGTGTCGACCTTCCTCACCTCCAAAGCCTACACGGACATAATGACCTTTTTGCTCCAGTTGAATCGGTCAATGTTCCCTACGAAACTTCCCGACGGTACCGTGCAAACATGGCCATTGGGCACAGAGGACGTGCAATTCTCTGCCCCGGTCCGACAGCTACAAGGCCTTCTTTCAAAGCTCGAGGATATTGTACAGGAGGTTCCGCCAGACACTGGGCCGAGGCGATTTGGAAATATTAGCTTCAGAAAGTGGCACGAAGTGTTGGAGAGCCGGGCGTCTGATTTGCTTCGGGAGTTCCTGCCCGCAGACCTCTTAGATACGCCCTCTTCCACGGCCGATGGTCCTACCGCCGAGTCAGAGTTGAAGGCATATTTCCTGGGCAGCTGGGGCAGTGGTCAGAGATTAGACTATGGGTCTGGTCATGAGCTGAGCTTTCTTGCATTTCTGGGCGCGATGTGGAAATTGAACGGGTTCCCCAAAGCCGACCCTGGAGTCGAGGAGAGATCTATTGTGCTTGGCGTGGTTGAACCGTGAGAAATTCTGCAAAACAAGTGATCCGACTCATCTAACTAGTTTCCATAGATACCTGGAACTTGTCAGACGCCTGATCAGAACATACACCCTTGAACCTGCTGGCTCTCACGGAGTCTGGGGACTTGACGATCACTCATTCGTTCCTTATGTCCTGGGATCAGCCCAGTTCTCTCCTGCCATCGATGAATCCGATCCCACCCCCGAAGAGGGCTCATTGCCCGATGCACCTGACCCGGGTGGAATCATCAAGTCCAACATTGTGGAGCGAGAGAGGAAAACAAGCCTATACTTCTCGGCCATTGGCTTCATCTATGATGTAAAGAGAGGCCCATTCTGGGAACATAGCCCAATGCTTTATGATATCTCAGGCATCAGAGCTGGCTGGGGAAAGATCAATAAGGTGTGTCTTATCATTCACCTGCTATATATTCCTTCAAGCTGACGAATATCTGTAGGGAATGGTCAAAATGTACAACGCAGAGGTCCTAGCCAAGTTCCCGGTTGTGCAGCACTTCCCCTTCGGATCTCTATTCAGCTTCGACCATGATCCTAACGCTATTCCACCCCCAACGACTATTCATGCAACCTCCGGTCCTCAGGGACGCCCGGCCGTTCCCGACGCTGGCCACGCTCCTGCAGCTCGGCCGACTGTGGACGCAGGGTCTAAGGCACCTTGGGCCACCGCGGGAGCTGGCACTCGGGCACCTCCGATGGGGCCAACAGCAGCGCCGTGGGCTACAACAAGGCCAGGCCCGGCATCGACCGCAGCGCTTCCAGATACTTCACGGATGCCTCCAGGACCCATGGCCCCTACAAGAGCTCCTTGGGCAAACGCGCAGGCCCCGCCTCCACCCGGCGGCGATGCGCCCACCAAGGCCCCATGGGCAAAATGAGATGATATAGTGATTGATACCCAATCTAGCTCGCAGTGAGCTGAAAAAAAGAATACATGATGAACGTCTCAAATAAATTCTAGCGCTATATGGGGTATCAAACATATAAACATTTTGTAGTAGTGATTTTCGATTACTCGGTGTCGGAGGAATAGCTCACCAGTGCCGCAGCTGGCGTTGCCGAGCCAGTGGATGGTCTTTGTTTGTCGGTGACTGTGGTAGTCTGTGCTGAACTGCTGGCATCATCCTTCGATGTCGCCTCTTGGTCGGTTGCTGAAGATGGCTTCTTGCGCTTGATACTTGGCCTCCAAATATCCTGATCATCTCCAACATCGTTGAGAAAAGGATCCACAGCAGCGCGCGTGTTCCCCTTCAATTCATTTCGTAGGGATGTCTTGCGTTTTTCAATCAGATCAGCCGTACGAGTTCTTGAAACGCCACTCTTGCTCTTGCCGCGCGCTTTAATGCCAGGCAAATCCTTGACGATTTTGTTTTCGAACATAGGTCGAACTCGAGTCGCACGCGCAGCCACATCTCCCAAAGTTGCCTGATCATCCCCAAACTCGATCATACCCGCCCGTTGACGATCTCCGTCAGTCTCATCAACAAGATCAAAACCAAGACTCATCTTATCCTTCAAAGCCTCGCGGTTCGCCTCCAACTTCTCAAGCCCCTTCCTCTCGGTTCGAAACGAGCGCCGTAGCCGCTTCGACTTCTCATAAGGATCATCCCAATCCCTGCTCTGGCGCTCCTGCAACTCCAATATCCGAGTCGCCTCCGTCCTCGCTCGCTGTTTATCCTCGATCTTTCCCTCAAGCTTCGCGAATGGATCTTTCTCAGCCGGATCCTGTGTATAACCAGGTCGAATGGCAATTTCACCAGGTTGCAGTTCTCTATCTTCCCCCGTATCTCGTTTCCGTCCACCTTCTACTACCACGTAAGCTGTATTTGCCGGGTCTGTTCGGATCTCGATCCATTCTCCACATACAGTGTGTTTCATGCGGAAACTGTAGACGGGAGTGGAATGGTAGTTGCCGACTTTCTTCTTCTCAGCGTTGAAGCGCACACCTTGACCGATTATGACCTCGTTCGGTTTGCAGTTTGTGCACCATACTGCAAATGGCATTTCAAAGCGGACGATTAAGGCGCCGGTTGTTTTAAGGTGGCGCGCGCGCGCGCCAAGGGCATGCTTGCCGGCTAGCTTGTTCGCGGACGTGAGACCTTCTTGGTCCGGTGGGACGTACCTGCCGAGTCAGTCAGTAATGAGATATCTCGAAAGTCAGGTCTTTTTTTATTGAAGCGACGAACCGTCCCATGTCTGTCGTTCATGTTAGCTGATCACTGTTGCGCGATGGCGGGGTTGCGACTTACTGAAGCCCTGCATCTTGATGGGTGGCTGTCGAAGCCGAATGGATGTCGCTAAGTCGAGCAGATGTGATATGAATAGAGCACAAGACCGACTTGAGCCCTGTAGAGACTATTGACGGCCTGCGCTCTCAAACGGTGCGCTGCCAGCAGAGACAACTGTCAGAGCTCACCACCACGGAATCTGCGATCGGATTTAACGGGCATAAAATGGCTTACTCAGCACATGCACAACCCAAAAAAACCACTGCGTTATGAGAAGAAATGTATTGTCTGATATGAAATTGCATGAAAATCGGTAAGATTATCAAAGATATTTTAAACAAGTAGAGTACCACCATTGGACTCAATGACACTGCCCGTAATGAACTGATCCTTCATCAAGTAGATATAGCTCTCCGCCAGATCCTCCGGTCTGCCAACAGTGCCGGTAGTAGATGAAGTCTTGAACATCTCCAGCATGCCATTCAGCTGCTCCTGAGGCAGCCAACCAAATAACTCGGTGTGAACTGCGCCAGGCGAAACAACGTTGACACGGATCGGCTTGAGGTCCAGAGCCAGACCTCGAGCAAGACCCTCAACAGCAACACTCACAGAAGTCGCAAGAGACCAGCCAGGGGCAGGCTTGCGACCACGAACACCTCCAGTCATTGTGAATGAGCTTGCAGGCGACTTCTCGACGTACTTCTCAACGTACTTGGCCATGACGGCCGGCGCGACGAAGCGCACGTGCATGCTCTTCTGGACTACCTCTGATGTGACATCAGACAAGGGAGGCAATGACAGAGCATCACCGGCGGTGGTGACAATGTGGTTCAGCTTGACAGTGCCGCCGACAGTAGCGACCTGAAACAGAGCTTCAAAATTGGCATCGAGGTTGGCGGAATCGGAAAGGTCGCAGACGTGGGTGGTGATGGTCTGCTTTTCGGTCTGGGTAGGGTAGGCTTCCTTCAGACGAGCAACGGTCTTGTCAAGCTTGGACTGATTGGAGCTAGAGATTACCACGTTGGCTCCGTGCTCGATAGCGGCTTCAGCGACGCAGAATCCCAGTCCGGAGGTTCCTCCAAGGATCAGGACCCGCTGCCCAGCGAGTTTGTTGGTATATTTGAGAGACGGCGAGGCCATGGTGTGTGATTCTGTGATGTGTAGTGACAATTGATGCTAGTAAACTATGTCTCCAGGCCCTAGGCTAGGCCCATTATATAAGTAGAGGACATAATGTTGAAGATCGCCCGGAGATAAAAGTTAACTATCTTCAAGTTCCACGATTAACTCCGTTGTGGACCCTCACTCGATGCCATAACCTGCAACTTGCCCCGAGTCCGACGTCTCTTCTAGAAGATTAATAATGCCTTTTCATTGAGGTAACTCATTGGTTCTCGTCACCCCACGCGGCTTTTATGCCTGCTCTCCGGGCCAAAAGTTGTGCCGTTCAACCGTGCGGAGTAGTTTTCGCCCTTTTCCGAAGCGCTATAATGCTGGGATTTTCCATCAGCAAAGATAGCCTTCACTATGTCGCTTCCGCAATGACAGCTGGAACAATGACTGTGAAGTCAATTTTAAAAGTTTATAGTCGACTTCCAATTCTGGTGTGTTCTCTGTGGAACTCCACACATATGATAGCCGATAGATAGAAAAGCGTCATATTGAATTTTTTTATCCGGGTGTTCCGCAAAATTTAGGCCTGAAAGGGATAAACGCAGAAACAATTGAGATTTCGGGTCGAAATAAGTCTCAAGATATTGGGTACTTAGCGCCCGGTTTAGCCTTGGCTAACTTCGTTTAGTCTCTGGATTGTTTCCATCAAGCAGGAAGGAGGATGAAAGGAAAGATAATCATCATATTAATCTTATTCTACTAGTTTGAAAGTCTTGGAGCGCAATGATACCTTTTCAAGAGCAGTCTGAATTTTGGGCATTTGACCGGATTCAGTTGCGTAGTTCAAAGGAGTATACTCACTTTTGTCAGTGAGCTCCAAGGTGGCTCCTTTATTGATCATCCATTTCACGAGGGCTTCATTTTTGTGAATGACAGCAATATGTAGTGGGGTTCTTGCGTGGTTATCTTTTAAATCAAGTAATTGTTCCATAGCCGGCAAGGATTCATCAGCAGACAAGATATAGCTAATCCTAGCAAGAATATGAAAAGGCGAAGCAAAAATATTGGACTTGAGGAACACATGTCTCCCTAGTATGAATTCATGCAACGTAGCGAAAGAGAAAGCGCCCAAATTGTCGTTGTTGAACCTGGACCTATACTCTGCAACGGCCGTATTGAGGATTAGCGCGGTTATAGCCTCCTTTTTGCAGCGCAGAGCGTAATAAAGCGCATTTTACCCCTCAAGATTCATTGCATGAAGATCAATCTTCCTGGACTCAATGAAGCGAGTCGCAATATAAACCTGGCCTGTCCTGATGACACAGTGCAGTGGATTATATGTATAGAAAACCGCATTCCAGTAAAATTCAGGCGATCTATTCAGGTCGAGAAAAAAAGCAACCAAGCTCGTGCTTGCTTGGTAAGTTGCTGAATAGACAAGGCACCGGAAGACGTCCGTAGGTATCATTGGAGGGTTGTTCTTTGCAAAGAAGCTCTTGAAGTCCTCGCTGTTCGAACTGGCAATTTTCTCAAGAAAAGGAATAATCTTGGTGTCGTGAATATTGATGTATCCTGAAAGTTACAAAGTTTTGACTTCAAAATTGTCACGGCTGATCGCAAATCTCAAGGGAGTGAAATTGCCTAGTTCTTGTACATACTTGGAGATCCCCTTGCACTGGAGAAATAGCCTGACTATTTCTTCCGATCCATTGGCAGCAGAAAGATACAATGCCATTCTCCACCTAATATCTAAAATACGGTTGACATCGAAATCGTTCGAGCTAACAATGAGTCGTGCGATGGTCATACGACTAGTCTCTATGGCCCATACCAAGAATATATGTTGATCTAGATCCATAGTGATAGGTGTCAAGGCGTCAGGTTGAAACAGCCTTGTGAAAAGACGACCAATTTCGATAGGCAAAGGAAGAGCTTCGAGAATGTGGCATGACCAGTACATCATGGCATATTGACGGAAAGTAAACTTTTTCCTGGTCCCATGAAACTCATTGCGGGCCTCGGCAAGCGTTTGGGCAAGGCTGAAATCGGAGTTCGTTTTGCTTCGAAGAAGTTTCAGTGCGATTTTGGTGATGCGATCGGAAGAGAACTGAGTCGAGTGCTCATGATGATCCCCGTGAGAGCTGGACGCGACATGACTTGTGGGATAACTTTTGTTGACAACTGACGGTCAAAAACGGAGTAGTTGAGGTAGGTGATCGAGGTAAATCAAAGGGGACAATGTGTTCAGATATGTGACTTCCGAGAGGTTTCCCGATTCAATTAATTTGGCAATTCCGCACACAACTTTGCACATGGTGACCAGTATCCAGAACCCATAGCTCACTGGTCTCATACCACGATAGATGCTTGCCATGTGGTTATATCCAATCTGGCAGTCAAATGCCCCTGTCTATACTGGGAAGGCTTATTTGAAGTGCTGATAAGTATGCCGTCATACGAAGTTGAGCTACCGTGTTTAATTCGTGCTTGCATGATAAATGACGGTGACGCTTACGATGAAATGATGATTGCAATCGGATGTTTCTATCGATACATTGCGCCGATGCCTGAAGTGTGCAATATTTTGGGATGTTTCCTAGCTCCATGAACCTAAACGAGCCCCTACTGCTATCCTCCTCTTCAAATACCCCTTCCAGCCATCAGTCCTATCTTTTTGGTCTCTGTACCTCACTCCCTTCTAGCATTCTGTGCTATCGCAATATTATCTGTCCTTGTCCTTGTCCTGACTTCTGCCCTACTTAATGTCGGCCCTTGAGACAAATGTAATGAAAGCGAAGAAGTATGACAGGCTCCGCACATTCGCTGACTGTAGAAGAGAGGGCTAATATGTACGAGGTATTTAGGAAGACAATCGAATATATCAAGGCTCTGCCAAGAAGGACATCACAGTCAAGACGGGCACTGAAGCTCCGAAGTCGAACCATCCTAATAGAGGCCGGAAATCAAATCGGAATGAGAGAAACCAGAAGCAACACCCTGAAAGAAGCCCCAAAAGAGACAAAGTATGCTTGCCCTGCTTGCCAAGAAGAAATGCCCGCTTCCAAGTCTTTGCTCAAGAGGCCGTGTGGCCATCGCTGGTGCAAAGACTGCCTACAGCGATTAGTTGAACACTCTACTACGAATGAATCGTACTTCCCACCTCGTTGCTGTGGCCGTCGGATCCCACTTGGGTTCTTGAGTGGAATAATAAGCCCCGACTTGGTTCAGCGTTACAGGGAAAGAAATCTGGAACGCGACGCGTCGCGAACGTACTGTTCCTCTCCATTGTGCTCTATCTATATTCCAGTCGAGAACATTCGGAGCCACATTGGCACATGCAAAGCTTGCGGTAAAAAAACATGCACTCGCTGCAAGCGCAAGGGCCACAAACTGGAATGCAATAGGGATAATGTTTGGAGATTGATCAGAAAAAAGGGATGGCGGCAATGCGGGGGTTGCCGTAATGTAGTAGAGCGAGTAGGAGGGTGCAGTCATATGTGGTATATCGGCCCCAACGAAGTCGAGAATTACGAATGCTAAATCTTAAATTTTCAGGTGCCGATGTGGGTATACATTTTGCTATGAGTGTGGTCAGAAGAAATGCGGATGTCGTTAAAGGGGAGGAGAGACAGCTACCTCGGATCCCTTTCGAGTCGGGGGTAAACAAAGAACGATGGATGGATGGATCAAAGTACAGAAATGGGTACGGACCAGTGGAGTCCTGACAGTTAACGCACATCCCCTTTGCTAGCTTAAGAACAGGAAATGGACGATTGCTCAAATTTAAGATCATCCCCTAGCCGCGCCTGGAAGACACAAATCGCCGAAGCAGCAGCTAAGAGGTGCCGGATATATGACAAATATAGACTATTGGCGCTAAAATGATCAAACTATTGATCTAAGGATATTTTGAAAAGTCCACCGGCAACCCAGATGCCATTTTCCCAAATGGAACCAGTGGACAGGGGGGACTTGGGCCGTGACGTCGGGCCCAGACTTGGAGGATTCTCCACATTCGCACTTCAAATCTCAGAAAAATGCCTTTGTCGACCCACATCGGCCAGGTACCCGGAGGCTTTGACATCATAGCTCCATCCGGGCTCTGATCCCTCGTGCTTCCCTGCCAGTGGCCCTGAGGATCGCCCGATCGATCTCAGATCGGCCATGCAGTCTGGATGCACGCGCCGATCATACTTGCTTCGCCGCGTGCTATACAATCCATTCGCCCGTTACAAACAAGGAAACCGTGGATGAGATTCGATAAGTCGATTAGCACGGCCCAAGGGTCATGCAACCCCGTCATGGCCGGCGATCATGTCGTTTTTCTTAAAGAAACTGGTCCCCGAGGTTCAACGTGCGCACACATCTCAAGAATTTGCGCATCGCCATGGACATGCCCGATATTTCAGACAACCGGCCGGTCAGAGGAGGCTCGTCGCTATCCTTCTCGCCGACAATTGTACTGGATGAGACCATCGACACCAGGTCCGAGTACAACCAACAGCTCGACACGCCTCCCAATATACCCCAAGAGCAGTTTGTGCCCGAAGACCATAAGCCGAGGGAGACACTCGACGAACAATGGTTAGTGCGAAAAGCGCATCGGAAAGCGAGTGCGGGCTAACGAATCAGTCCCACCCCACCGAATGATTACAACCCGGACGAACTCCGATCACATAGCTCGGATATAACGCGCCGTCGCAATTACTACGTGAACCAGTTGCCTCTTCTTCAAGCGACGAATCCCTATGATGGCTCCGAACAATTTAACCCGGTCAATGAGGAGCACGAAGATGGGTCTTTTGATCTCGTTGCGCCCTACGAGGGCGATGGAACCCCACTCCACTCGCTCGAGCGCCAAGCAGATGCTATGTTCTGTTCCGAACATATGTTGACGATCTTGACCAATCCACCCTATCTGGCCCGCTTTCGAGATTTCCTTGTCGCCGAGCGGCCCAAGTCAATTCCCGTCTTAACCTATTATCTCAATGCGAACAAGGCATTGAAGGCGCTCCAGTATGCCAATTCCCTTGTTCGGTTGTCGATTGATGTGCCAACTGCCGGTATCAAGAATTCAAAGCAACTGGTTGGCGACACTGCAAATGTGGCGCTTGAGGCTCGTGTCCAAGATGCCCTTGAGGCCTTGACGGCGGAGGAATTGCCTGCGTTCATCACTTACACCTGCATTAGCATCACCAGCAAAGTCGTCGAAGAGCGCGTGCGAGGAACACTCCCGGAGAAGTTCCAGGGCACATCCGATGCACTCGCAGAGGTATTCTGCTTGACAGACCCGTCTCGCCCGGATAACCCAATTATCTTTGCCTCCGGAGGTAAGTGTATAGAACTTGCTTATATCACAGTAATTGGAGCTAACCCTACGTTCAGAATTCCATCGAACCACGCAATACGGCATGGACTATGTGCTCGGCCGCAACTGTCGGTTCCTGCAAGGCCCCAAGACCAACCCAAACAGTGTCCGACGTATTCGTGAAGGAATTCAAGGTGGACGCCACCACTCTGAACTATTCCTCAACTACCGTCGCGACGGCTCCCCTTTCATGAATCTTCTTCAGTGTGCTCCTCTTTGCGATAGTCATGGCAAAATTCGCTACTTCATCGGAGCGCAAATCGACGTCTCCGGCCTGGCAATGGATGGCGCACAGATGGAGTCTCTTCGAGAACTAAAAAACCGACAAGAAAACCCCGAAATCGACTCAGAATGGAAGAAAGACAAAACTGAGTTCCAGGAGCTGGGTGAACTCTTCAGCCCGCGCGAGCTGCAGAACATTCACGCATACGGTGGAAACCTTTTCCAGCCTGTTCTCAATGATATCAACCCTAAGAGCAGCCGTCTTTATATCCCAGGTAGCCCAGACCACGAATACGAGCCTCGGGTCAACATTAAGACGCCTTCACCAAGCGCGTCTCTTACAGGTGTTTACAGACACTATCTCCTTGTCCGCCCATACCCATCTCTTCGAATCCTCTTCACATCTCCGTCGCTTCAAATCCCTGGAATGCTGCAATCATCATTCCTCTCCCGCATTGGAGACACCGGGGAAAAGCGTGACAGCATCCTCCACGCCATGATGGCGGGTCGTAGTGTCACAGCTCGCATCAAGTGGGTGACCCGCTTCAGCAGTGACGAGGGACGGTATCGCTGGATCCACTGCACACCGCTTCTTGCTAACAACGGTGAGGTTGGTGTCTGGATGGTCGTGATTATTGACGATGAAGATGAGGCGGGTAGCCATGTTAGCTGGAACGGCAACTGGCCCAGCTACTAAGCTTGAGACATCGTGATCCTGTTAACTTTTCACGTTCTTGTATAGTGTATTATTTTGATGATATTTCGCACAGGATATGGCGTTTTTGAGAAAATGAGTCTTTGGGAGTTCTGCGTAACGGTTAAAAACACGCTTTATGTTTTGCATGTCTGCCTTCAACATTCACGATAACTTCAAGTCATCAATATTTACATGAAAAAAAAGAATTTACTTGAGCTAAGAAATTCCTCCTCCTAGAATCCCAGCAGCCATCGAGGTATCCGAAGTAGGAAAGTACCTCCCAATAGTATTCTTCAAGAAGCAATTCCCATCCTGCCCTCCATCAAATGCAGCCGTCAAGTTGGCAGTATACACAACCCCTCTGCAGGGTGACTCGCCCGGTTCTGCGTTATTAAAGTTAACACAGTCCGCAATGCACTCTTTCAAGGTATACGCAGTCGATGGGACGGTCAAATCCTCGACTGTAACATTTCCATACTGCGACTTCTCCCCACTGGGCCAGTCCACGCTGCAGAGGATTGTGAAGATTGAGTCATCGGATCCTTCAATTGTTGTCAAGTTTTTACCCGGGCACGGGTTCGCTGCTAATCCATTCGTACCAGAGGTAATGGGCGCGGAGGATGTTGTTGATGCCCTGCCCGTTGTGGTTGTGCCGGATGTAGATGCGGATGATGTTGATGATAACGGGGATGTGTTTGTGGTGGTAGAACTTGTGTTTGACCCCTGTTGAGTCCTATCCGAAGTACTGAGTATGCAATAATTAGTCCCGCCAATGGTTGAAATATAAGAAGCAAACTCACTCGGTCAGTGCGACCTTTTGATCTCGATTTTGAATGATCAATGTTCCTCCTACTCCTCCTCCAACGCCACCAGCAACCGCAAATACTATGATAACCAATAATATCCAGAATGTGCGAGCTCGAAGTCCACATATCCTTCGCTTGCTCTTCTTTGGCTCGTTTTTGATTATGTTCCCGTCAAGGCCTCCATAACTCGTGACGGGACCTGATATCCAAATCGGAGCTTCATGGTTGTATGCAACCTCCATTCCATGTTCGGGGGCGACTTCGAGATTTCCAGATCTTCCTCGAGCCTCCCATAGAGAAGCTGAAGGTGGCTCTCCGCCGTGTGCTCTTGTTTTTCTCTCATCTTCTGGAACCACTTCAAGATCTCCATAGCTTTTTCGAGCGTTGTTTTCGAATGCGTAGGGGTAGTTAGACTTCTCCATGTCAATATTTGCAGTCGACCCAGTGGCCACTAGATTTATTGGGTCTGAATAGACCCGTGTATCAAGAAGAATACTACCAGAGTTTTTTGCGTCAATCGAAGCCTGCATGTATAGTGAACAGATATTGTGAGTAGCAGCTCTCGGGTTGGGAGAAATTGATCGGCGGGAGAAAAACTTGAGAGGATTAGGAGCGCCTAATATCCCGAGTGCCCTGCCAAATATAATAATAGGGAGACTAATAGCCGCCTATGCATGGCTAGAGGATTCGCTTCGGTTTTAGGACCTTGGAAGCTAACTGTTTCTGGCAAGGCATTTCAAGGGCGCTTTATGCGTTCATACGATTGGCCCAGATGCGGGGGCGTGCGAGGCTGAGAAGTGAGCCAATCTGCGGTTAAGATTTTACGGCCCCCTGCAGCACGCTAGCCGTTTTTCGCTCAAGTGCACATAATTTGGAACAATATCAAGCGCAAAAGATCCGGGCAGGACATGCTTTGAATTGTTTAGCGGCTTATAGCTTTATTCGGCTCGAGAATTCCCTGACTAAACGCCTCGAGTATTCTGGCCAAAAGACTACACTCAAATTTATTTATGCACATGAGTATGTCAATATAGCACGTTAGTATAGCAATGGAAATGAGGAATAGTAATTTAGGAAGTGTGTAAGTTAAAGACCGTCTGGCTAAAATACTTACAGAATGAGCACACTCAAATTGAACATGGCCCCGGCGTTTGGAACATCACACGGGGCTGGAGATTTAGAAGCTGTTACCTCTTGAGCGCAACTTCACGCATAAGCCTTTCTACATATCGCGACATCCATCCATGGATGTGTTCACGGTCTGAAGTGGTTGAAGTGCCCAAGATATTTGAGGTAGGTAAAGACAAGTTGTCGCTAAAGGAACCTTGTGCTCTATCCAGATGGCTGTAAGCGTATCTCGAGTCCTCATATGTCCAGGGCCCATGTATTCGCGATCGCACAGGCTTTCAAATAGACACAGGCGCCAGTCACTGCTTTCTTGCCTTGCCAGTACCAGAGACTATATTATTGGGGTTAATGCCGTCACTCGGATTCAGTGCCACCAGTACTTAATCTCATGGCACTAGTCGCAGGCTTATGGCTGTGATACTTGTCACTGGACATATGTACCGAGCCCAAAACACGGACAAGGTATGTTAAAGCACTAAGATATCTCAAGGTGTTTGCGGCGACCCTGCTTGCTCTAAATATTGAGATTACGCTGTTGTGAAAGATTACTGGACCCAAAGAGACTATTCAGTCGGTCACTTCCGCGTGGTAACTAGACCTGCATTGCCAAGAACTGCGAGTGGTCAGCCTTAACCAACGGCCCTGAAGATTTCGGGAACATGAAAACTCTTTCGTAACAAAATCACTAGATATTGGTATATTACAGTTCGCGGGTCAGTTCATGCGCGGTGGACCCATCGCACGGTCCATCTATGACCGCATTCTCCATATAAAATTTTGACCGCAAGGGAAAAAAGGAATAAGAGAGATATAGGGCCAATGCCCTATTCATCTCCAGCAGATGTATTTAAGATCGTTCGGAAGCCCAGGTTTTAATCTCTGAACCCTCCCCGGAGAGTGAAAATTCACTCGTTATTGGCACATTCATGTTTATTGGATGATAGAATTGAGAATGCCATTCATGCCCGGGCTCCTTCACGACACTCACTAACGACAGTGCTCACAGACAGAATTAATTATCAGGGCATCCACTCGCTTCGCATCCAGGAACGATCAATCCCGGCACACGGCAAATATCATTGACCCAGATAATATCTCCAGCTTTATACTTCCCGCCATCATTCCTGCTGGGAACACTCCGACTGGTTAGGTACGGAACCTCCTTCACCCAATCAATTCTATCCTGCCCCACCTGCGACCATAAATTTGTACGCACAGCTTCTATGATGATCGACCACTTCCCTTTCTGCAAATTATTTGTCGAAATTGTGTCCATCTACATTGTTTTCGAATTGGTCTCTGAGTCGCTGAAATTCTTTTGAATTTGCCTCTTTCTTTGTCGTTGCTTCATGTTCTATTGTGATCCGTCGCTGATTGTTCGATTAGGTCCTTTATTCCGAGGTTTTATAAATATACCTCGAACTATATTAATGAATACATGTTGTTTGTTGTTTGTATCATGTCGAGTGCCTTAAATGTTGTCATGCCTTTTTTTCAAATACTCAATCGTTGAATCCCTCGGGAGTTGATGGTGGGGTATATCCACGGTAGACCTGTCATCGAGACTGCATCTCCTAGATTCAGGAATAATATTGGATCGTACGCCTGGTTCCCTCTCGCGGAAGCTTTGAAAACAATGGACCTGGAGAGGCTACGCGAAATCGAAATGATCGACCCCACCCCGCTGCCACCTTGGAGATCCGAGGCACTTTCAAAATTCGAAATTGAGCCGGACAAGGAGATCGCCATAGAACGAGCAGAGGCAGCAAGAGCCGCCTCAGACATTGTCGTCTACTCAGACGCCTCGGGACGCCAAGGCCACCTGGGCGCAGCAGCGACGGCACTCAATGACAGCACGAGGAGGGCCGTAAATATGCTATTCCTGTTCAAAACTTCATTCATACTGCAAAGGCAGCTCCAAGCTCATCTTTTTAGGAGATTTAGTAAATGTGCTTTCTTATGATAACGTTGTATTTCATAGTACAGGGAGTCAAGATACATGTCTTTTTGCCTGTAATTACTTGACATCTGATGAGTCCTCAGATACCCTCTTCACCCTCCTTAGCCAAGTCGCCAGATCAAAGATGCCGTCACTCAAGTCATTGACATTCCCGACAAATTTAAAAACATAACCAAAGTCATCCACGGGCTCATTGCCGTCAATATAGTTGATGCGACACGGATCGGCCCGATAATTATCCGTTTCATAGCTGGCAAGCCTCTCCCCATGCTCTTCTGTCTCGACATGATAGACAGCCCCATAAACAACCTTTTCTGGGGCATCTAGGAGAGCTGGATACTGGCCCCATAGCTTGCATTCGTAGCCTGTAATGGTGGCAGGTCGAAGTTGTGGTATTGTTTCCAGGCCAAGGACATCGCGGAGCATAGTGGGATCAGACAGGGTGCCGTAGAAAAAATGAGGCCCAGTAGGCGCAACAAATGGATCTTTATAAGATGGTGGCCGCTCGGGTCGAAAAGAATAGCCAGGAGGAGCAGACCTCAGCTTCATGACGAACGGGGAGACTTTCGAGCTTGGATCTTCGGGCGGAGGAGGTGGAGGTGGAGGGACACAGCCAGCGGCTCCCTCATTTGCTTGGTTGTCAGACATTTTTTCGATTGACAGCCAAGAGGGCGTCTCTATAGGGCGGAGGTGAGAAACAACTGGAGGATGATGAAATATCAATAGAATCTTCGACCTTTTCAACTCGGTGTTTGTGTTTCTATAGCTGCCCAGTGCGTGTATTATATAACCGCCGCCAAGCCACCCACTTGGTGACGGCGCCCGCGTACATAATAGTGCCCGAACATGGTTCGTTTCCTTAGGCGCCGGCCCCATCGTTAATTGAATAGGCGACAAGTGAACAGTGGATAGTACTTTACTAGAAGGCCCACCCAGGCGACTTACTAGTTTCGAACAGAAGGTCTTGGTATCGCTTGATTCGCAATAGTCAGCCGCTCGCGGTACAGAATAAAACTATTGAGAAGTTGTTATTGAACAGGGCGTTTATTTCGTAACAAGATAGTCTATCTCCATGGTTTGGAAGTAGATTTAAACCAGGTTGTGGCCTGGTGGCATTCGCGAATTTCCAGCATTTTTCTCAGGTGCTCCAAACAGCTGCTCTATTTGTCATTATTACTCTCCATCTCCCTAGCCTCCTTGACGAGGATATTTTGCACCATATTGGCTGTGAAAGGAAACAAATATACGCTTCCATTATAATGGCACGAAAGTCTGCACCTCCGCCGCCGCCGCCTCCGCCACCACCTTCCTCGATGCGTGCTTCCAGTAAGGAAACTTCTTCCCAGCAGCCATTTCGCTCACGCTTATAACACAAAGCAGCAAAGAAATCTGCAAAACCTGCGGCCGCTTCGCACCCCACTGGGAGCTTTGAGATTAGGGTAGAGGTTGAATTTCTTTTGAGTCCCCGTAGCACGAACAGTGTTGAGACTATCCGTGAGTTTTCTAGGATGGTTGCTGCATCTTACAACAACTACCTTACAAGAGTCGCTCCTGGACATCATCCTAAGATGCACAATGCAATCGATGAAGCATATCTTGGGCCGCAATTTGCTGAGTGGTCTCTTGACTCTGACTCAACGATCGAGATGCCAAATCGTGGGGGCGCACCGTGTAAGTGCCGACTGAACACTTCCTTCTCTAGTCTTTGGGCCATATGGTCAGCTAACAGCACATCTTCTAGGGGGGTTGGAGAGCATCTCCCCAATATTCCGAGTCCACGAAAACTCCACCTGGCGCCAGCACATTGAGTTTCTCTGGAACTTTCTGAGAACCGATTTCCAGGTCAACGCCAATACTAGCTGTGGCACTCATGTGAATCTTTCACGGGCAGGTGGTTATAGCATCGCCGACCTGAAGAAGATCTGTCAAAGCATTATTCATTTTGAACCCGCATTTGAGGCCCTGTTGCCTGAGGACCGATTATCAAACGAATACGCGCGAAGTAATTGGCTAGACAATACAAACTTTGGTCATCAAAATTTGTCTCGAAAGCAGAGTATTGCCGCAATTCAACGTGCTTCCAGCATGAGAGAATTGGTTCTCCTCATGAATCCGAATCATGACAAGATGTTTGGATGGAATTTCCTTTATCTTCTGAACAGCCCCAATGGAACCATTGAGTTCCGGAGGGGCGCAGCCTGCACGTCGGCACAGCAAGTTTTCGTCTATATTGAGATCGCCATGTCATTCATCGAAGCGGCCATTCAGCTGGGCACCATGGAAAATCTTGAAAGGGTACCGGGCACTGTTGGTAGTCTCAAGCGGTTCATCAGCGCTGCACGCCTCCCGAACAATGTTCCTGGATTATACGACTCAAGATATCTATCCTTGTTTTTTGGCAACAAGAGCGATAGCACATTCCGCGAACCAAAGCCGCTGGGAAGGCTCTCGGCCTATCAGCTTAGTAAATTAAGGAAAAAGAAGGAAGACGACAAGAAGCAGAACGTAGCAATGGTGAAGATGCTGCGTGAGCCATACTGGAGCTAGTTTCCTAACTTTCTGAAATATACGTATAGGGACGGTGGATCTGGGAGACCGAAACGACCACTTCCGTCTCCAGCTGACCAGGTAATAGGAATGTTGTTTATTTGTCTACTTTCATGCTTTCATGCTTTGATTTTGTTCTTTTGGCTCGCGTTTCATTCTGCCTACGGGCCTTGTGACCACTTTTCCGTTGTGAACAAAAGATCATTTCATATACTTCTGATTATTGGAGGGCGCCCTAAAGCTGCTTCCTAGCCCTTTTGATATGAAGCGAGAAGATTTTTTCTATGTTGAGGAAGTTATCAAAACTTTGGTCTGTAGTTTCTTCGTAGGACTGCCAGTTTCGTCGAATGAAAGCTATCAACTCGGCAAAGAACTCCTCAATATGATTCAAGTCTGGTGAATATGGAGGCAAGAAGATCAGCTTTACTTGGGCATCTGAACCCGTCTGTTCTATTCGTTCCGAGGGATGGTAAGATGCATTATCCATGACTAACACAGATTTGGGCTCGGGCCATCTCCCACTATGTTCTAGAAACTGTGCAATAAAATCCTCAAACACAGACGCATCGGTTGAGCCTTGAAAGACTCGAGACAGAGCAACGCCATCTTGGGCATAAGCAGGCAGTATCTGATACCGCTTATCACGATGGAATTTGGACACGTGTACTGGTGCCCCACCTAATGGAGGCCAGCCCGTTCGCGTCAAGCCTATTCTTTTGTCACATCCAGACTCATTCACATACACAAGGTTGGCTTTTCAAGCAGATGGTCGCACAAAGGATGGACGCACAAAGCCTTGAATATGTCTGGACTGATGCTACGGGTTTGCCCATCTTTATTAATCATTGAAAGATTCCAGTGCATCGTCCAGCAGGAACTTGGGTTAACGTAAATAGGCTATGAATAACTGAATCTTCCTGCATCATCCATGCGCCACACTGTCCTAGCTCCCACTCGGACACTCACGTATTATATCTCAGCTCTCCAAAACCACCTTAAGTAATATTTGGCCTGGCCATGGATTTACTTTATATTGGAGTGGTACGAGTGGTAAAATTTTATTGCTAATACTCGGTGCCCAGTCCTGCAGCCCGCTTAGCCATCTTGACATAACGCATACTATATTAGTGTATGCACATTTATAGGATAGTGGAGCTCATATCTACCCTTGGGGGAGTGGTTGAGTCTGCTCCAATATCCACCTTCGGGTGATCAGACTCCCGAACTGCATGTTAGTTTAGTAACTTAGTTGATCCCAGCACTAGATACAGTTCTAAATGCCGATCTGTAACGTATGTTGTCATTAGCCATGCTGGATCAGTAGCGCTCTAAAGGTAGGCCATACTTCGTATGGTAAACCGGATCAACTCGGGATACCCGGTTGCGCAGGGCAGTATACCATTCACTTTTTAAGGTATTCAAATATGCTAAGCAGCAGCGATAGTGCAAATGAAACATTTTGCCAGGAAGAGTTGTATACATCTCTTGGCGAATGGTTTGACCTCAGGAGTTGGGTTATGGGGTTTTCCTCGAGATTATTATCATCTTGCTGGTCTATATGAGGCCTATGCACACCGCTAACGATCGTCAAATTTCGGGATACTGAGCCACTAAAAGCATTCTTTCCAGCTGAAGTAGGGCAAAATCTGTGAATCTCTAGTTAAAAACTTTGTTGTGACCGGGGAGGTTCAGTCAGCCACAACATTACGGGGATGTGACGGACAAATCAATAAATTGAGTTGTCTCTTGGAGACTCTACTCGCAGACCGCTTCACTAGCTGCTACGACGATCTGAACCAGATGTTTATTACCGCTAAGTCTTAGTGCAGCTGCATTTTTCAAAGCCTAGCGTGGCGCATGCACAAGCCGAAGCTTTAGGTGGATCAACAGGCAGGATATCGCTGTACACATGCCGAAGTAGGCCTATATAGGATACCACATACTAATTTTATGACCCCAAATTAATGTCCCAGTTTTTATTGTACAGAATCCTAGCATGTCTGCCCATGCCTCACCGGCTAGCCGTTGTTTGCAATGGAGCTGCGGCCGACTCGTCATCGTCTTTGAGCTAAATGACCCACAGCAGGTAGCTTGGACAAAAAAATACCCTTCAAGACAATATTAATATCCTGGAGGCCTTCTCGAAGGATGGAGGAACTTCTTGAAAGGTCCAGCCGACCCCATTAGCCAACGATGCACGTGCAGAAGGCTCCCCTTTAACTGCTTACGTCGTGGCGCATGACGCTGATTTTGGCGAGAAGGAAGCAGTAAGTGATCAAACCCGGTACTGTGAAGCCATCAATGCTCATATAGATATAGATCCATGTTTTTATCTCAATGCACAGAGCCAATTTTCCGAAAAAGTCAAGCTTTCCGACGGGTCTTGGCAGACGATATCTATCGAAGGTCTTCCCAGCGGTAGACTACCTGATGCCACATCTCGTTTGAGTGGAAGCTCATTCGAGGGACAAGATTGGAATCCAGACGGGTCCCTGTGGGTATATTATGCCACGTGAGTAGGAGTCTTTGCGACTGGACCGTTAGCTTGTCTAATAACTTCACAAAAACAGTACCACTGGCACTACAGCAAAGATCATCGAAGTTCGACGGACGCCTAGTAGCCCTTGTAAAATCGAAAATATACTACCTCCACAAGCTATAGCGCTTCCCGGATCGGCGATTTCCAACTTCATCGACCGGGCCTCTATTGACATCTATCTCCAGGACCACCAAAAGATACCAGGAAGGGGAAAAATCGGGAAAATAGCTGGACTAGTGAGTGAGATCCCTGCACTTACTTATAGACTAGCACTGATCATTCTCTAGATGCGGGTGTGGTCATTGGTGGTGACAAAGTACAAGTCAACACCCCGATCGTGACCTTCAACTATGCCGGGAAAAAACCTGTACTCGTGGTGGATAACAACAATCCCCGTATGATCCAGGACTATGTCGGTGGTGCTGTAACCGCTGTAGAGAAGCTCTATCCAGACTCCTGGCTAGGGGTAATTCACCATGGAACCCCTATTCTCTTTTATAGGTCTCTTAGTCCGGTTGGAGCAATTGAGACAAAGGTCCTCAATGGGAGTGGCTGGGAACAAGGTGCTACCGTATTCGAATGAGCAACTGATGGTAGATGGTTGGATGGATGAATTCATTTACGCTGACTCCTGGTCGAAGCAATACGCAGCCTACCACTGCTATCTATATTTATCTTCCTATGTACATGTATTGTGTATCAATTCCTGAGTGAACTTAGAGCCTCGCCGAGGCCAGCCGTCATCTCGGTGCCGTCTTTGTATTCATGCTGCCCTCATGGCGCGCGGCTTTGAAACCGTTGCGATGCTTTAGCGAAGCCGAAGACAGCCTCAACTGTCTTGGTCCGTGAAGCACTGTCAATCTTACTTCTTCCTTCTTTTCCTGGTCCCCCTAACATGGTCGATATACTGCTGAAAGCGTCGCCAGCATTTCCTCGGAGCTCTCTCCTTAGCCCTCCCAATCTTGGACAGTCTAACAGCACGCGGTGTACACTTTCCTGCTCGCCACAGACGCATAGGTCGTCCTCGGGGAATCTAAAAGCCTTGGCAAATGTTGACAGCCAGGACGGTCCAGAACGCAGCTGCGTTAGTAAGTACGCTCGATTTCTAGGAAGAGAGCCGTAAATTCGTCTGGTGTACTTGGCCGGCTGTGTGTTATCAACCTGACGTAGATGGGCGTCGGTGCTCCGCCTTGTTCCACTATTTCTTCCACTGGGCGTGCCTGATGTGTGCTCTCACGTGATATCAAGCAGCATGTTGGAAATACAAATATGGTCACCCAATCATAAATTATCCATAATTGAACTTACTAATAAAGAGAGGTTTGGCTTGGCTGTGCACAAATGCCAAGAGCTAAATGTTTCACAGCCTGTAGCTATACCCAATGAGAAGCCGCCGTACTTCAGCTCGGCGGTCTGTGCAGTCAGCGCGCCGGCCCGCAGGATTCTCACCCGGTTCTCACCCCGATTCTCACCCCGTCTATTGCGCACTCACCCTTCTCACCCCTGGTCGCACGACGCTAAAGCGGCGCTTCCCCATTTCTCATCCTATTGATTGCACTGGTGATATAAACATGTGCCATGAGAGTCCTTTTCCGTTTCAAATCAAGTACATACGACCATAGGGTGTGGAGAACAGGGCTTCCCGTCCGCTCAGCCGTACTTAAGCCACACGCCGGCAGGTTAGTAGTTGGGTGGGTGACCACCAGCGAATCCCTGCTGTTGTATGTTTTCATTTTTTTTATTTTCTTTGCACTCATCATTGCCAGATTCGCCTTCGCCTGGGCAGTGATTCACTTGCCTAATAGTTCAACGATCAAGTTTTGATAGACTGGTAAGTAACCAAGAAAGCTCTTTCTTATATTTTGAGCTTCCTGGGTCCTATTTAGCGTTGTAGAAGTTGATCAGAAGTACCACCGAATAAGCTACATAATCCGAATCAATCGAAACGACATTTAACCCATTAACGCGGTCTTGTAACACGATTATGAATGAGTTTCATATTCAACAAGCCTCGTCCATCATGGAAACACTACAGCCGGGCCACAGAGATAATCTAAAGGGACCTAAAATCTTTATTCTCTTAATCTTTCTAGCTCTCTTTCTAGATACCTGGCCCATTCCAATGCCTCATTCAAACCCACCTTTACATACAACCAAGCAGACAAGCCTTGGCGACTTTAATTACGAATATCTAGAGTGTCTCCTTGCTAGAGCTGTAGATAAACTGGCTGACGCATAGTGTTCTCAATGCGGAGTAGGTGGAACCAGTGGACCATCCCATTTTAAATGGTTTCTTAAGATTTCATCACTTGGAGTATCATCGATTGAATAGATGATGCCACTGCTCCACTCCGTATATCTATTGGCAGGATCATTTGCGCGTCACTGGTTCCTTGTAACGCAACGATCTACATTCATTGCGAAGTTCCAAGCCTCGTCGACTGATGCCTAGCTCGAATTCATGCCATTCTGACTTCACGCCCTGGTGTGATGGATTCGGGCATTCCCCTGCCGAGACAAATAGTCTTTGTAGCCCGATAGTAGTCGAACGTGATTAGAATATAGGATAGGCCATTGGTGAGTGTTCATCGGAAAGCTACTACCCCGGATGGCGGATGGCTGGTTGCAGTTATTCCGAAAAGGGTAATATTATCACTGATCTCTTAGCCTTGTAATCGGAGTGGGTCCTCGTCGATTGTAACATGGATTTGATCGGATCAAATTACTTATGAGTTGTTTTCATTTTATATTTTCATTGCTCTTGGGATCAAGTCAACGAGATATCCAACCCTCCTACTCCTCAGCCCATTTCACATTCCCAGAGATCCAACAACCCTCAATATCTTCATTAGTCCCTCTAAATTGCACCTCGATCTGCGACGGTTTCCCCATGCTCCATCCTTGTCGAACGAGAATAGGTCGCTTGACATCGGACGACACAGACTTGTCGCTCAAAAGACCGAATGCGAGGGCAGCTGCAGCAATACCAGTGGCTGGATCTTCCACATACCCAACTGATTTTGGAAACTGACGTGCATCGACAATTTGATCTTTGTTATCAATGAAGGCATAAGGATAAAACCCGGTGGAATTTATCTTTTCGCATATGTCACGAAGCAGGTCAAAGTCCGGCTTGAGATTGTTAAGGATGGCTTGACTCTTCAAAGGGATCAACGTTTTTGTCCGAGACGTGCAGGCATTCTGCACCTTTGATAGCGGTGCCAGATCACCTGTTGCAATACCGAGACAGGACACAATCTCCTGGACAATATCACCACTCAGGTTTTCACATGAACCGGCCGGTTGGGAGACGAGGACCCGCGATGTCGACGTACTTTCATCCTTGAGTACTCGCGCTTCAACCTTCCCAGATCTGGTCGAGAGCAAAAGTCCGTCGGTTGAAGGCAACTTTCCAAGTTGATCCATCAACCAAATTGCACCGACGGTAGCATGCCCACACATCTCCATCTCGTGATTCGGAACCCAGTATCTCATGGTGAACTGACAACCATCCTGCCACCCAGCATCTCCTGACAAGACAAATCCGCATTCATGTCCACTCTCCTTAGCCAGTGCCTGCATCTGCAAGTCATCGAGACCTTCGGCGTTGAGGAAGATGGTGGTTGGATTTCCACCTGATTTCGCTGGGTCTCGCGAGTATGGGAAGACTGAGAGATTGTAAGAGCGCATGTTGTCCATTGTGTAAGGTTTGATTAACCTTGCAGATGACCAAGAGCTGGGCATATGTACGTGCGTGGGGTGAGTCACCGCGGCGAATGCTTATATTGCCGTACCTCTCGGAATCTCTTGGCGCAACTCGGCGTGCAGTAATGCCTTGGCGATAGAGAAGCACTCTTGGCTTGCAGCTTGGTTGAACAGTAGACCTTTTATAGCAATCACCATGAAGTGATTTTGAAGAAGAGAATTCGAAGAGCTGTCATTTCTTCTCGTTCGCACTGCTAATTTGACAGTCATCGCGAATGGTCCCTAGTAGAGCGTATCCGCTTATTCGCGTCGAATCGTTAAATGTCTCTTTACTTGAAATTGTGTTATTCGCAGTCAATCTGAATGGGTTCGTAAACTCGGTATTGCCAATAATTGAAAGCGCACGTTATTGGCGACGCTCAACGGCACCGAAGATACATTGATCGTTACAAGAAGCGGCCACAAGAAGCGGTCAGCGAGCTCTGCCAAATATCGATCTCTTGACTATCATAAACATCCCCAACCTCTTCAATAACAAACATGGCCCATGTTCTAATACCGATCGACAGCGTACGCACGCGTCGCATAGAGCAAAACAAGTTCCCACTTCCCGGCCATGAAAACTTTGAGACACCGCCTCGTTTGATTCTCGCAATCTGCAAGCGGGTCCCACATGTCTAAGACAAAACGACTTCGAGAACTTGTTCCAAGCCGTGGCTCAGCCGCAACGAACCGGTTGGAATAATGCCAACGGCTTATACTCGGTATTTGTCCGACGCAGTCCACCTTCAATTTTTTTTTTTCCTTTTTTTACAAATAAAAAAAGATCTGCCTTCATCCGGCAACCGCGCGACCGCGACCGCGACCGCGACCGCGATCGATTGAGAACGCTCTCTTTCTGATTGGACGCATCGGAGTTCGCCGGGATGTTTCTTGGTGTTAGTTCAACGTAGTTTTCCCGAGGTGGTTTTCCGTTGGACCCTGATTTGCCCCTCTTATTGGGGTGATCGTGAGGATGGCCCGTGTGTGCTTTGCATTCTTATTGGGGCATGGGCATGGGTGAGCCACGAGGGAGGCCTTCCGCATTGGGATTTGGGTTGGATCGTTCGCCGTACGGAAAACGATGACGCGAGGACTTTTGAATTTAACCCATAGTCATCGCTGGTTTAGGTTGCATAGGTCGTTGTGTAGCTTTGGCAGGCGGGGGGGCCGAAAAATGTACCCCTGGCTAAACCGCTGGGCCATGTCAGGTACACAAGACAAGCATATTATTTCAGAGCAATGACATCGGTCAGGTTGCATTGCCGAACGCCTGGAGACAGTGGCACATTATGTGGGGGAAATGAACCTCTGGATGAGGGAAGCCGATCAGGCCTACGAGAGACGAGGAACCGTATGTAGACGAGATACTATTGAAGCAACGCTAATCATGCCTTGATCATTCATAAATGCACGGAGATTAAGTAACAGGGATATTTACACATGTCCAGACGATCATGACTTCGTGATGTCGATGGAGAATTCGGGGACCCAGAAGGTAACGTTGGAGTCTGAGTAGAAGGCCTCGGTACCGAAGGAGAACACTCCCAGGTAATCAGAGCTTGATGGGTAGAGGTAGCCCGAAAGGGAGTAGAGATCGGTGATCAGCTGGTTAATATCACCAACGAAGCGCTCCGTTGTGTCGGCCGCGATCCAAGTGAAGACGTGCTGATTTGCCGAGTTGTTACCAGCCCAAAGAGTGCTAAAGAAGGTCAGTGGATGTCAGAAGAAGCGGCGCAAAGAACTACTCACAAGTCCGTGCCGTTCAGTTCCCTGCTGGTGACCTTGGATCCAATGGGGTCGGTAGCAACGCCGAATTTGGCAAACCAGATCATGACTTCGTACTTGGCGGCAGAACTGTTTTGAGCGGTGACCTTGTCGCTGTCGAAGAACATATCAATGGCGACGTTCGTGTTGAGGGTCTCGGCGGTTAGTGTGGATTCGACGGTGGTTTCAACGGGCTCGTTGCCCACGCCGTAGGTCCAATGTAAATCGAGGTCGAGCGACTCCATTTCGCCCAATTCGACGGGTAGGATACCGTCGACCATGATATTAGGGTAAGCGTGCACGGGCTGAGTCTCCGGGCCCGCCTCATATTTCCAGGTGACGGAGAACTGAGGAGCGGAGTATTTCGTGGGGTAGGTTTCGTTATTGTTGGTGGTCACCTAGGCAATGTGAATAAGCTGATTTGGGGACCGAAGTACCAAGTACTTACGTTCATACACAATGCGCCGACCGTAGTAGAGAGGAGACCCCATTGATTGGGGTTAACTGTGGATGTCAGTCTCCGATAGCCGATCACGGTCGCAGACAAGAACGTTTGACTCACGTGTGTAGAGTTGGCCATCGGACGGTGGTGAGATACCGTATGAGTCCTGGCAGTACATCGAGTTGGTGATTCCGTTGTTGCTGGTGCTTCCATCCGCCCCCGAACCACCTCCTGTGCTTCCCCCAGTCGATCCACCGCCGCTGCTATCACTGTCGCCGGAGAACAGCGGAGCCTGACCGGTGGCTGATCGGTGCGCATCGATTCCAAAGAGTGCGCCTAGACTTCCTCCGATCGGGATAACCAGCAGACTGGCGTTCACGAGTAATTTAAGCGCCATGATTTGGAGGGATGTAAGAACGAGAGATTGTCGGAACCAGGAGCGTGGAGTAACGATCAGGCCTCGCGACAGTCAGCAGGAAAAAAAAGTACAGAGGGTTTCAATGGATCCCATGTTATCCGGGATAACCGAAAGGGGCTTAGACGCAGGTACTAAAGCGGGAGCATAGACCTAGTGGTACGATCATAAAAATGGTACCTGACGAGTCCATCCCGTTGGCCCGATAACCCCCGGTGGAGTCAATTTGACCCGCCACCAACGCTTTTGCCCTCTGTTCCCCTATTAATCTCTTTTCTTGCCCCCCTGCGTTGCACTCCGAAGTGGAGGGTCTGGAGCTGAACCAGTCACATCCGCTTGACCGGCTGTTTTCCTCCACAACGCTGCTAGTGTGGTTGGAAACCCTGTCATGACCCTGACCAGAGAGACCCTATCACATCGCCATTCCTCTTTCCGTCGAAAAATAGTAACTTCCGGCAGTGGGCCGTGTTCCAGTTCCAACCCAGGTACACACCGTCGTAGTTCCTCTCGCCACACGGTCTCTTTTTTTCTTCGTTCCTAGGACGTCCTGTGCATGTACTGTGCATGATGACGCAAACGGGGCGCGTTGTCTAGCCTTTGGGTGGAGAGGAGATGAAATTCTATTAATACTCTTGGCAGCAACGCACATATCCATATCACACACCTCCGCCTCAGGGTTTTACCGATTGGCCCATAGCACTAAACCAAAAGAAAACCCAGATCGGCCACTACCTTTTGATAAGCATGTGCACGCGTAGTGGCCAAGCCTCCTCTCCCGCCTCTCTCTTACTTCCTTGCTCTCTCTCATCCTAGCTTCTCCGGGGGCTATACACTCGTTTTTTCTTGCTACTGGGCTCTGCGTTGCTGGACCAACCTTCGATGATCCTCTCGCCTTGAGTCCTCTTTTTCTTTCTATACCTTCTCCTTCTTAATCCTCCCATCCGGCCCGATATTGTCTTATCGTTACCATGAACGGGCACTATGGGCAGTCACCCTATGGCTACGCCGGTCACGAGGACCCGGAAGAGATGGTGGAATTGAATGCCGCTTCTCCTGGATATCGTAACCTCAGCCACAATAACAGCAGCAGCACCTTCGACTTCCAATTCAACGATGCTTCTTCTCCGAGTGTCGCTTCTCCGCGGCCGGTGATGCCGTTCCGTCTCGGTCATATGGCGCGTGATGACCTTGGCTCTCCATATAACTCTCCTCAACCGGGCTGGTTGCAACCGACGCCTCGCTCTTCAGTTGGACCTGATTCATTTTCATATGGTGCGACACCGTATGATTCCCGGTCGGCTTCCCCGACTCTGGTAAGCTAGAGCGCCTTTCATACCATCCCATACCATACTATACCGTCTTGTCATCTCTCAAACCCCCTCAGGACTCGACTAACTGTTTCATAATCCTCAGGTCGGTCAAAGCCGCCAATCTCTCACAAACCTCGTGGATTCACCTCCTTCTCCGGGTCTCGCCAAGGAGTGGGTCAAATCGGGATCGGTCGCTCGCATCAATGATCGCGACGATGCCGAGATCTGGAAGGGCTGGAAGCGCTATGTCTTTGCCTTGACTCCATTCCTCACCTTTGCCAACACCGCTGTATACTTGTTCTACCTGGGTCTGCGAATCTATTGTATTATCTCGGCGCAGAATCTCGCTGGTGTCAGCTATGCCGGTGCTTGGGTCTTCGTCGCAATCGAGGTCACTGTTGCGATTCCGTCTCTTTTGCATAACTGCTGGACTATGATGGCGCTTAAGAAGCGTGGCAGGCCCAGGCTGCGTTTGACCGGAAATGACTGCCCTACTGTTGATGTCTTTATCACTTGCTGCGGTGAGGACGACGATCTTGTTCTCGATACCGCCCGTGGTGCACTCGACCAGGACTACCCGGTGGACCGTTTCCGTGTCATTATTCTCGATGATGGCAAGTCGGCTACTTTGGAAGAGTCGGTCCACCAGATGTCTGTCAACCATCCCAATTTCTTCTACATGGCACGTGAGAAGATTCCCGGCAAACCCCACCACTTCAAAGCAGGTAACCTCAACTACGGTCTCGACGCGGTGCACTCTCTGCCCGGTGGTGCCGGCCAGTTCATGGCTGCCCTGGACGCCGATATGGTAAGTTCTGATTCATAACAGATCCCCTGCAGTTAACTTTGCAGCGATCTGACGTATGTGTCTCATGCTAATTTCCTGCAGATCCCCGAGCAAGAATGGCTGCGTGCGATTGTTCCCCACCTCTTAGTGGACCCCAAGATGGCCCTTGCATGCCCTCCGCAACTGTTCTACAACACCCCTGATTCCGATCCTCTGGCACAGAGTCTGGACTTCTTCGTGCATGTGATCGAGCCTATCAAGGATGCTATGCATGTGGCTTGGTGTACCGGTTCCGGTTATGTCGTCCGCCGCGAGGCTCTTGATGACATTGGCAACTTCCCGCTTGGTTCTCTTGCTGAGGATGTTGCGACTTCGACTCTGATGCTCGGAAAGGGCTGGAAGACGGCCTACATTCACGAGCCTTTACAGTTTGGTACTGTCCCTGACGATTTCGGCAGTCACTTGAAGCAGCGTACCCGTTGGGCCATCGGTACCGTGGATACTGCATTCAAGCTCAAGTTCTGTCTTTGGGGAGATGCCGTTCGCAAGATGACCATCGCGCAGCGCTTCTCTGGTTTCTTGTACGCGACCCTCAGCCTTTACACCTTGCTTCTCACGGCTTCCATGTTCGCCATCCCCATTATTCTCCTCTGGGGTAAGCAGCTCGTGGCCTACGCAACTACGCAACAGCTTCACTGGCTGATCTGGGCCTGTTTCGCAACTACCATCGTCAACCGTCTCTGTGAATTTGCTCTTTTCATCCCAGCCGGCTATCACACCGGCCAGCGTGGCTCCCGCTACCAGCTCTGGATGTCGCCTTATATTGCGCTCTGCATCGTTCGCTCATTCATGCTCCCCCGCTGGCTTGGCGGTCAAACCCAAGCCTTCAAACCCACCGGCTCCCTCGGCTCCGCCCTGAATGAGCGTGACCCGAAGCTGCGCAAGAACATCTTCGTTCGCTTGCGCGTCATCCTGTTCAACTACATGGCCTTCTTCCACCTGGCCTTCGTCTACGTGACCCTAGTCGCTGTGGTGATTTCGACTTACCGCTGCTTCGCGATACAGTCCAGCTTCAAAGGCATCGTCGTCTGCCTGATCACCCACGCCTTCTGGCCCCCCCTCACCTTCCTCTTCCTCTGCACCTCGCTGTGGACCCCCGTCTCCTACGCCATCGATCCTCCTTCGGTCCCCGACCGTGAGGACCTGCTGAAGCGGGATCCCAAGACCGCTGTCGCGCACCCAACCAAGAAAAGCAAGAAGATTGCCTTTGGTGGACAGGCGGCTTGGTTCGAGTTGGAGTACACGGTCGCCACTGCGGCCACGATTTTGATCTTTGTTTACTCTTTCTTCTTCTAATATCATATTGATGTACATTATGCATAATGAGTTCATTCGGCTTGGACGCCCTTTGGAGGGCTTGGTTTCGGCAACCTCATGATTCAATATTTGGAGAATATTTGGAGTATATTTTGAAAATCAATTGATCTGTTTTCTGTATTATAAATTATCCTTGGTCGTTTACTTGGCCTTTTGCTTCTTCTTGCTGGGCTCCTCGTCAATCCCGAATGCCTTTCTCCAAGTTCCGTTGAGGACTTCCCTGTCATCTCCATGTAGACCAATACTATATGCATTTTTCATAGCATCCATGCAAAATGTTCGTCTCTCATCAAAGTCAAACATAGGCTTCGGATACGTCTGCTCTTCGCCTTGCTCTTGCATCTTTTCTTTGGACTCAACACTTCCATCCCCAGAGATCCTGCACCCCCATTTCCGCTGATCGGCAATAGGCGCCTTCCACGGCTCAAAGATATACTTCTTATCAAACTTGGCAAGCTCAGGACAATACTTCCTGACAAAGTCTCCCTGGGGATCCCACTTCTTGCCAAAAGAAATCGGCGAGTAACAGCGGTAGTATTGGTTATAAAAGGCTGTGCATGAGAGCCACATCCAGTTTCCAATGTTACTGGCCATTTCATCTGGGAATCGTTAATTACTGAACCATATGCGGAGGTGGGAGACTCACGATCAATCAGCCATTCCTCGAATACTTCAGCACCTCGCTCCCAGCTTACGTAGCATCCGCCTCGCGTCAGGAAACAGGCTACACTGTGTCGTCCCAAGTGGTGAATCCAACCTTCCTGCTTTAACTGCCGCATCAGTGCATCGATCCATGGGAATCCTGTTCGGCCTTCTCGCCAACGTTGGAACCATTCCTCAGCTTCGGGTGAATCCACATGATACGGTTGAGCAGTCGGTCCCTCTTTCTCAAGTTCCTCGGGAGTTTTGGACTGCAGATGCCAATCAATGAATCGGACCATTTTGTTGCCATATGTACGCTGAAACTTGTAGCCCAGAGCTGCCTGCGCAGCAAAGTACATCTCCCGGAAAAGGAGCTGACCAGGCAGATTCGTTGGGATCGGTGCATTCTGCTTCTTCTCCTTCTTCCGCTTGCTGAACACATCCTGAACATCCCAGAAGAACTTCCGCACAGATAGCGACCCAAAGTGCAGATGCGGCGAAAGCAAAGTCGTAGACTGTGGCTCAAAAGCAGCCGGCGAAGTATTAGGTTTCTCAAACGTGCCAATATACTCCTCATCCTCAATATAACCAGCCAATATCTTCAAAGCAACCGACTCTCCACCCCGATGCGGCCCCTCAACCTGATCCTCCCCAATGCCAATCTCCTCCAATGTCGGAATTCCGAAATCCCCTTTCGGACCCATAATCCGACTATACTGTCTATCCTCCTCAACCCGATATGCAGCATTCAAATCCCCTTCAACCTCAACTCCCCCAAACTCAACCCCATTCAAATCCATTCTCTCCTCATTCCACGGATCTGGGACACTCCCCGGTGCATCGATAGGCCTGTCGGGCCTCCCCCCATTAATCTTGTCACCCGCCTTCTCAACCTGGCTCATACTAACAACCGGTTTCCCCTGGTTATTCCTGACCAGCATATCCGGATCAAATAGCGTCCGACCAACTTTAACAATAACCTCAATGCCCTCCTTCTCCGCTAACTTCATAACCCCCTCATCCCTGTCCCGCGCGTAAGCATCCGTATCCTGCTCGAAAACGAGATGCGTAATTCCCCACGCTTTCCACAGCTTTGGAAGAACGGTCATCGGCCCTTCACGCACGACCCATAACTTTTGCTTTGGATTTAGAGTGGTGTAGGATTTCGACAGGTCTTTTTGGCTATCTAGGAGGAAACGCCAGCGATTTGGGCCTACGCGGGCATGATAGACGTAATGCGGGTCCCAGGTCCAGATTGGGATAAAGACGGAAGGTTTGAGGGAGAGGGCGGTTGTCAGAGCCGGTGAGTCGTGGAGGCGGAGGTCGGTTCGGTGCCAGTATAGGACTACTGGGGTGGTTGGCTTGTGTTTCATTGTTGGGAGTTAATTGTGACGTGGGGTATAGGATTGGAGTTTAGATAGCGAAGTGGAGGTTAGTTGCTGAAAGGAGATGGGGGGAATTGAAGATGTTGGACGGTTCGCTTCCGAGATCGCGATCGAGATCGATGTTTAGCTCCTTGCAGATCGAGATCTAGGAGTGCATGACGTCAACCTTTATCTACTCTCGGATTCCTTGACCATGATTGTGTCCGTGGAATTACTTGTTTAGCTGCCGAACCTTATTTTGACACTTTCGCTCGATCATATTTTAGTTGAAATTCGTTGGACATGTTCAATTTATTCAATAAAGGGCTAACTAACACTAGATTTCGAATTTCAAATTCCGTAGCAGTCGAGCTGCGGAATGCCTGGACAAGATGGGAAGAAGCGGTTCAACTCAATCGAGCAATACATATTGAATGAATGTGATTTACAGTGCAAAAACAGCCGTTCCAGTTGATAATAATCGATCTGAATAGAGAGCTCCCTACAGGGCCGTAGCAGTTGAAAGGCTTGGAAAACAACTCAATCGTCGAGCCCCGGCATGAGGTCTAGGGGTAGTCAGTCCCTGCCCATTTGAGCGCGAGCAAAGTTGAGTCCACGATGGCTATGAGAATGGCGTTGCTTATTTAGTCGATGCCTTCGTACTTGAATTAAAGGCATGGATAGCCTTAATTTGATCTAAAAAGTACTTGAAACAGTGAGCCAAAAATGAATTTATTTTTTTTGAACTATTTTCATCTAGACTGGATCGTTGCATTAATTCGCCTCACAAGTTGAGCCATCCTCGGAGCGAGAGCACCCCGAAGGACACGGATATAAAGGATCGTATTGCCAAAGGAACAGTGGGTCGGTTTCATTGACGAGCAAATTACCCACGAGTCGTGCCGCGTTCGGCAAGTCAAACGAGGCCTGGAAGACATCGATAGAAGGAATTCGGATTTGGCCCCAGCCTGTTTGGATAAGTCGATCAATGGACGTTCCGTAGATATATTCACGGAATCCTGCCCATCGAATGCCAGACGCGCACTGTCCGTAGCAATGATGATCAGTTATGGAACACTCTAGCAGGAGAACACACGGTGGGATTGAGACACCCGTGGGCTATGCTTACCATCGGACAGCTCTCTGCGTTGGTATAAAGCGTTAGATCAGTAAAGGCAGCCTGGGCCTCGGACGCGGTTAAATTGTACCGGCCATTCGGATCAGTTAGAATCGCGGTACAATTTTTAATAGCGGCCATCTCTCCTATGAAGTAGTTAGCTAAGGCACTTTTACGCGGCCAAACTTGGCACCCGCTGACCATGCAGTGTCGGATTGCCCGTGAGGCTATTCTCGTTGGCACCGATACAGAGGAGATCACCAAGTCCGTCGGTATTGGTGTGGTTTACAATCACAGTACCAAAAGCCGCAAAAGGACAAGGTGACCCAGTGACAACTTTCAATGCAGCGTTGGCTTCGCGCATCCAGTGTATTCGTGTTGAGAATGGAATACTGTTCAGTGACATCTTTGGATCAGAAAGGACAAATGCCATGCCGACCGAGGCATAGCTAAGCAGAATGCCTGTAAAATGCATTTTGTAGAATTCGGGGGATACGATTTAAGACAAGCAAGCACAACAGGTTGGAGGGTATGACGGGGGAAAGCTGGGGGCGACTGGGAGATCAATTCTGGTCCAAAGAAGGATCCTTGATGCTGGCTTTATGTGTCTCTATTCACATCGGCCGTCGGCTGCGTATCATATTCCGAGATAAGGCAATCGTCATTTCCTGAAGAAGCCTCGGCCGAACACGGCCGGAGGTGGCCGATGCGGTGCCCAATGCGGGGGATTGAGGATAGTTTATAGGGAAGAGGGGTTCAAAGAAGACTGACAGTTTTACTGATTCGAATTACCATGGATCTCATCCATACTGTTGTATTCTCCATAAGGAATTTCCCTCCGCTTTCGATACAGGAAATTGTTTCCTCTTTCTTACACGCCCTGACGATAGTCCAACATTACGGGTGGATTGGAAAAACAGATATTAAAAACCGAAGAAAATATCGCGCTGCTTATATAAATAAAACAACATATAGGGCACGTGCCCACATGGTCTAAATGCAGTTGAAAGAGGACCTCAGAAAAATCTTGATCAGTGAGCGGGGATCACTGGAGCCACCATAAAATCGACTATTAGTAACAATCGAGGTTCTCAAAAGTCCAAACTAATGATTCAAACACGTGTAAAAGGATTCCTTGGACAATTTCCGATTTAGCCGTGGCCGAGACATATTTTAAGATCGCCGGTGAGGAATTCCCCACATGCCGAGGACCCGTGAAGAGCAAAACAGTAATACCAGATACCACTTTGCTCTTTTCATTGCTGCCTGCTTTGAAGGTTCCGACGGCTCACCAAAAGGCGTAAAGTAATTACTTTAATAGCATGGCAATATTAACGCCTCCCCGAAGATTTCTTGGGATTAATGCTAAACTTTTAATCTTTAATTCAACGTATAGATTCAATGGAAGATCAAGCTACTTCCCACGACGCCTTGCGTTTGCTCAAGGTGGATTATCAATAGTAAGTAATTGTATCTACACCTTCACGAAAGAGTATACGCCACACATAATCCCGCAGCTCCCGAGGCCAGTTTGGGGTTATCGAATATCTGATCTTAAGGCCAAGCGCATGGGTAGTTTTCACCTGCTGACGAAGGTTGGAGAGCTGATCTTTGGAAATTCCATTGTGATCAATATGTCCGATCGCTGTGTGGAAGCTGGCAGACGCATAGTAGCTGTTTTGATCGCTGTAGTCGGAGTTTTGAGGCGGGCTTTGAGCGGAAAAAGAAGAGAGTTCTAAGAGTGGAGCATCGTAGAATACGTCCCTGAGGGTGCTTCGTTCTAAGATGCGCGGGAATGGCACCTTACCGGAAGCAACGATCGTGAGAGGACCTTGCACTACCGCTGACCCATTGAAATACGTGAGAAGGCCGACTTCTCGAAGAGGCTCGAGGTGTGGAAGCAGTAGGGACCACGCACGATCTGGGTCAGCGTCGAAGTTCATCAGGAGCACCAGGGATTGTGTAGGGTCATTTTCGAAAACTCCAACAAGCTCATCTTCATTTTCGTTCGCCGCAAGGCGTGGATATTCCACCTCGGCGTTGTGTTCTCGAATTATCTTTAGCAGAGGATCAATGTAGAGACCGCGAAGATTTATGGCTCTTGACAGCATATTAGGATTGGGTCCAATCAGGAGTTCATTCCCAGTAGGGAAAAGGGTCATTTCAATGCTTAGGCAGCCTGAATCAATCGCGGACTCCAATGAGATGAGACGTCCACGGGTATTGTGCGAGTAACAAGTCAGAGGGTTTTGATCAAGTGTCGTCCAATGTGAGAAGACCGAGATGTCGTTTTCAAGGATATCAAAGCTCTGGAGCGCAGCCCCTGCATTCTCCCGGAAGAAAGCATCGTCGGCTTGTTGAGCCAGGTAAAGAAGTTTGTAGATACCGCTAGTTCAACCAAGGAGTTAGTTTTCTTCAGAATAGAACTTTTGGAAGTGCAAAAAAAAAGGAAAGAAACAATCCTTACATGACAATTAGAAGACTCCAGCAACAGCACCGTGCTGCTCGGTTGAACCCAGCTCGACTTGTAATCGGACATGGTTCATAGCCTCTGGCGCCGGGAGAAACAAAACCAGACGGATCTCTTTCTGGTCTTGTACCGGGCGGTAGAAGCTCCCAAGAATCTGAGCCCCAACTGTGTGAGAACATCATGGCTCTTGATCAGATGGAAGGCCAAGCAGAGTTATGAGGCTGAAGATCATATTCCTTAGGAGGCATTCATCACTCCAAGGTATACTCCCAACCCCCTATGAAATGCTTAATCATCTCAGGTGACATCAAGCATGTTCGATCCCTGTTTTTACGGAAACGGAGCCCTAGAGAGAGAGTTCTAAAGCTTACGAGTGCTGTTGACATGCCGAATATGTCTGCCTGGAACCTCCAAACCAGGGCGTTACTGAGATCGTAATGGCGTCCAGTCAGTGGGCTCCAATATTGGTTGTGACGCATGCTAATACGCGGTCGATGCAAAGATCGGCGATTGTCCATGTGGAGCCAGGGTCTGCTAAGCTCAATGCTCCCGGAAAGTCTCACCAGCGGAACCAATCCGGAGCTGCCAGTGACATCCTCTCCTTCGCGCAGCCCCGATGCCAAATACTCAGGGATAAAATTGCCGGTAATTTTTGATACAAGTGGGGCAAATTGTACGAAAGCGAATCCTCAAGCATTCAAATACGGGGATAAAAAAATAATAAGTTAATATAGGTAACGATCGGTATACGATAATTACACCAACAGCGGTAAAAAACACGCCAGGCATTGTATGCCAGAGAAACAATACCAAGACGCTTACTTATCGGTGACATCGGTGACAGCTGCTTTTGGAGAGGGTATTTACTTAAGCCGAAAATGCCTGGTGACCTGTTCATTCTCGAATCTGCCTTGGAGAGCGCATATTTGGGGCCGCCCGTGATTAACATGTCACATTAGACATGAACAGATGGACAGAAGTACCGCGGTAAGATTCAGCAGCGTAAGTTCACAAGAAAGCATCGACCTGAAACCACCAAGCTACCTAAAGGCGTCGATAACGTTACAATTTTGTCCATACCTATCGCATAAGAATGTATCGTTCTGCTCGTGGATTGTTCTAAGCTCGTAGCCAGAGTAGACAAAGTATGCAATCTTGTGTCATGTGCTTCAAGAATGTCGGATTTTCACACTTTCATTAGACTTATTCGATGAAGTACGAAGTAAGCCTATAGTCTCAACTTCCACCGTCCCCTTGCCAGTTTGAGGTTTCCAATACCAAACGAAGTTTTGCATAGCAGAAATTCAAAAATGATCATCAGCACACGATTCAAAATGTACAGATAGAGCCCAACCGCGACAGCACCCATTGTAAACCAAGTCCAAGGTCGAATTCCAATCCACATCAACACCTTAGCATCAGCTCGATGCCAAGTGCTACTTTCCAAATCCGTGATGAAGGGAGATAACTCGGTTGGATTAACAACCCCGACCCTCGGGGAAGGAAGAGAAGGCTGCTGAAGCAAGTAATCCTTGGCAACCATGGTCAAGAACATTGGACCAGCAGATATCATAATTGCACAGTACGGTTGCCATCGGGCCCACGCGCTCGTGATGGAATTGTAAATGGGCAGCTTAGCAATAGCGGCTGCGTAAACAGGATGTCTGGCAGATGTTATCATGAAATCATTCGTGACTCCGGTCGGCACTGTCGACTTGAAAAGAGCGTATTCATGATCGGACTCGAGTCTGTCGATAGAAATACTTCTGTTGCACCATGTATCCATGTCAAGATAAACTCCACCATAGTGGTATAAAACAAAGTAGCGAAGGGAGTCAGCACGCTGTATAGGGAAGGCGTAGTTATCCCATACATCAACGAACCAGGGATAGTTGACGGAGAGAAAGTCGCGAGTTGATGCATCAGTCCACAACTACATATCATGAAATCAAAAGTCAGAAAGACAAACATTGCCTACAAGAGTTAAGGCGCATTGAAAGAGGCTTACTTTGTACTCAAAGTCTCCATAAGCTTCCTTGCAGCTTTTTTGTGATTCAACCCATTTATCTGGGATTACATCCGTAGCAGTAGTCTGATGGAGGATTCGTGGAATGTGGACTGATCCATTCACTTCATGCAAATCCTTTAAACCGTTCAATCCCTGGAGACTAACTCGTGGCTCAAAAAGTTCTTCGTTTCTTCGTAAGAGTGTGATGAGAGGTTCCAAGGTATGGACGAGCAGGACAACCACGAGGACATCAAGTAGGAGGAGGGCGATAGTCGCTTTCCGAGGCCGTTTTATGCGCAGATAGTTTCTCCGCCGCTCCCACCAGGGGCTGACAGGACATCTTAGGCACTCTTCATCGTAATGTGAATTTGAATGGTTGATACTGTCGTCCTGAGAAACCAAGCGGTAGGAATATGGCCGTATATCAATCATTATGGAAAGAGCTTGAGCCCTCAGTATGTTGAAATTATTTTGAGAAAGTGGGATAGAACGGGCTTTTCATTCTCGATCGTGTGAGACACATTGTGCGTCTTTTTCCTATGGACCCTGAATGGCGAGGATGCATGTATCGCTGCCAATCATTGCGGCCACTGGGGTTCCATCACTAGAAAACACGATACCCGTATTTCCGGCCCAATCTATAGATATGATCATACAAGCCTAACCTTACTTAGCCTTGGACGCGTAATCATGCCGGCTGAATCGGTACATGGGCCTTTGGTCCCTTTTTCCTGAATCGAACATCCCTCATGTTGAACCATGGTGTCTGTAAAACCTGCCATGTGGCTAGCTTTGCGCTGGCCATGCACCATGGCTCTATTGTACGACATGGCAGTCACATAAAATCTCGTAACCGGGTTTGGAAACACATATTTTCCCTCCAAAAACAATTTACCGGTTCCCAAAAATATAGGTGTAGAGTCCTTGCCGGATTCGTGATTACATTTACGATACAAAATTTTACATGAATTACAAATACCGAAAGCAATACTTGGGCCCTTGTTATAATACCATGAGCCCTTTTGGAACGCCAAGATAACTAAAAGCTTGACATGAGCTTCCTACACCGATTTTAGTGTCATTGCGCACTCTCCACTCTTTTATCACGCCCTTGAATCATGAATCGAATTCGCCGTCAAAGGTGGATCCTGCTAATGGATGATGATAAACGAAACACGCCTGAGTGTATCTAAGCCTCTCACTACCCATTCGGTAATCGACAAAGGGGACCGGGCAGCAGCATTAAGGTGCCAAAAACTAGTGACCAGATGTACTTGTAACCCTTCGCTGCTGAATTTCCCACCTTTTATGCTTTTTCGACGTCTTTCTTGCTTGAAAAACGAAGATAGCATGCGTGGAGCGGGTGCGATAGTGCACGGATACTTCAAGAGGCGCATGTCTTGATTTATAATCTATTGAACTGGACAAGTACGTGCGGGAAAGTCTGACTGTACATAGATAGGAAGTCTAAATATTAGTCTAATCTTGATCCGCGCAGTGAAGGTAAAGATAAGTCATAAATTTCTTCAACTCATGGGGTAGGCTATATTTCCTAGGTTCAAATTAAAGTACATTGCCCGAAAAATGTATCAACCCTTCATGCTGTCTCAACGTGGGTAGCAGTCTGTTTTTCCAGGACCCGCTCTTCAAGACGGCGTTCTGCGCCAGCGAATCCATTGCGTGGGAGTGCCTTCTCCACCCTGACCGGATCAAAGATCGACTTCGAGCGAATAAAGATCTCATCAATTTCCTCAAGAGTGCGGCCCTTCGTCTCAGGGTAGAAGGTATAAAATGCCACGAATGCCACGAAACTGATGCAAGCATAGATAATATAGTACTTATATCCGATGTTGGCGATGGCTGTCGGGGAGGCTTCAGCAATGAGGAAGTTGAACAACCAGTTCGTACAGGCGCCCAGCGCAGCGACCTTGTGACGGATGGACAGTGGTGCAATCTCTCCGGCGTACATGAAGGGCAGCAGGAACAGACCCACAGGGAAGAAGAACAAGGCCACAAAGTAGAAGAAGATAGCAGCCTCGCCCGCCGCTTTGTTCGTGAGATCGGACATGAGGCCGGCTAACGCAGTTTGTGCGACACACATACCCGCTGCACCGGCCATCAAAAGCTTGCGCCGTCCAATCTTATCAATCAAGATGACTGCAAGTCCAGCACAGAGGAATTGCCAGATCTGGATACAGCCCGAGAAGACGCGGGCCTCAGTAGCGCTGTAACCGAGATGATCCTCGAAGATCTGAGTGGAATAGACTGCGTGAAGTTAGCTTCATGAGGAAAATAGCAACGGGATAATCGTAAGAGCAGCTTACAGGTGACAATATTAACACCTGTCATTTGAGCGAGCAGAGCAACAAAAACAGCGAGACATGCACGGTGGAAAAGTCGCTCGGGGCCCATTGTGAACAAAGAGTTGGAGTTTTGCCTCTTTTCCTGGTACGTGTCGCAAATGACGTCTAATTCCGCGTTGATGACCTCGGAATCATCTGGCATATCTTCCAGAGCACTGAGAACCTGTCGGGCCTCCTCTGGGCGGTCACGTTTGACGAGCCATCTAGGCGACTCCGGTAGGAACATGATCAAAGAGACAACGATGAGGGCGAAAAATGCTTGGAAGGCGATAGGGAATCGGAAGTTGACTTGGTTGTCCTTGACGAAATAGAGACCGAATTCAATCCAAGTGGCAAGTACGATGCCGCCGATAGCGAAGAATCCTTGGAGGAGAACCATTCGTCCACGAGTGGCGGCGCTCGCACACTCCGAAACATACATCGGGGCGGTACCGGTAAACGCTCCAACACCAAGACCTATATAGAAAAGGTTCAGTCAATCCATGTTCGTAGATAGAGTCTTTCCTAGAGCTTACCAGTAATAATTCGTGCCACGATCAGCTGGGGCAGGCTGAACGGTGTAGCTTGCAGAGTAACACCGACAACGACGAAAATGCCAGCAAGGAATAGCATGCGTCGTCGACCAAGGACATCACCGATAAAAGCACACGAAAGAGCGCCAATCGCACATCCGACCTCGTAAATCGCAACAACAGTCCCTATGCGTAGTGTGTTAGTGTCGCTAACGAAATTATCAAAAAGTGGTTCTCACCCTCGATCTTCGATTCTTTCATTTGAGGAAATACACTGAGAAACGTGGGCAGGGTAACCAAGCCATTCATGACAGCTTGATCGTATCCTATTTCGCTATGTTAGCTCAGGCTTGAACAAAGGTACGCGGATCTTGCATACCCTGTAGCATGAAAGCGGTGGCCGCCACCAAGCTGACAACGACACTCAGCCGCGAGCCTCTCAACCCGAAGTAGACCATATTGTTGAAATTGTGCTATAGATAGCCCGAAATGAGAAATAGAGAACGGAAAAGAGAAGTTTCCAGGTGTGCGAGAGTACCAGGTTAATAAATACCCACCACCAGGACTCATTATTCTTCGGATCCCTCCACGTATTCCCCCGCGCCGGGGCCCCAGATGGGCCCGCTTTTTTCAAAATTCTCTCGCATCAGGTGCAATCTGGTCCCGGTGTGCTCAGGCCATATGCGATACACAAAGTGTAAGGTCCCGCCAGGGCCAAAATGTGGATGAGATGGTAAGCGACTTTTGTTATTGGATGGCAAGACCACATCGATGCGTGGGGGTTCCAACTTCTGTGGACAAGCTATACGGCAATTAGTTAGCGTGGGTCTTAGCAGAGCTTCATTCTGGCCAAGCACGACAAGCTCTGACGCTAACCGGCGCCACCAGAATCTGGCGATAAAGACTCGGATTTCCAAATGCCCAATACAAGGGGTCCCTGAACTTTAATGCAGTGTTAAAGTGCAGAATGAACAGCCGCAATCCGGGGTTGCGAGATATAGCAGGGCTCGAGCGTGTGTCCTGGGAATAGGGTAACATTGTATTGGGCTGTTAGTCTCCACATACGGACTACGCGATGATGTTTCGGGTGCACTGAACCCCGGACCCCAGCCGAGCACCCCAACTGTCCTCGGGAGTTCGCCGAGCGCGTGGAGACCCCGCCGAATTCTCGGGGATTTTTTCGGGGCTTGTTAGGCTCCGTCTGACGGCAAGACTTTAAGCCGTACAACATGAGCATCTTCACTCTGATGTTCTTTTATGGTGTGTCTGAATAGCATTTCCAAAAACGTCAATATTATTGCCACCTTCATAAGTTAGGAGTTTCGTTAATGCCATGACCATTCACTTGTCACAAGGAGAGTACCCAACGCAACGGCTAGAGAAAGGAACGAGGCAGGGTTTGCCCGACTCTCGGCATTGGTCAGCTTGGAGCTGATCACCCCCGCAGCGTGTCCAATAGCACCGCTAGTATTAACCCCGGACACATAGGTCGTGCCATTACAAGTAAACGTGACGTCTAGATCAAGACCCGCAGTGGTATCGTACGGAAATGGTGTGGTGTAGTTGTAAGTCGGCTTTCGGCCTTTGTAAGCGTCAATCACGGCCTGAAGAATCCCGTTGCCGGCTGAACAGGAGTCATCTGTGGTCGGCACGGGCCAGCTAGACCGATATTTGGAATATCCCAAGGCCTCCAGTGGACCAGGCAGAGATTCATTGAGATAAAGATTGGTCGTATCCACGACGCAATTGGTGTGGTTGACCATGTCAGCCACCGGTCCGAAAATATTGGCGCCGCAGTCCCAGCGACCGAGTGAGGGTAGACCCCAATTTGCTGAAACGGTGGATATAGTAGAGTAGTGGGTATAAAGGGTATTGTCGCTGATACCGACAAGGTGTGTGGGGATTGCGCCCCCAACAAGGATGGAGAATACACGGTTCGGTTCGGCATATGTCTCTGTCTCGTCGAATGTGAGCAGAATCATGGTTTTATTCCAGAAATATGTGTTATCCATCAACCCTGTTATAAAACCACGCATCCAATTTGCACCGTAAGCAAGGCTGGTATCATGGCCGTCGTTTGTCATGTTTGGGGTGAAAAAGGCCCATTGAGGTAGGTTCTGGGCCTTTAGATTATCCTCAAAGCTCGAGAAACTCTTGATTGATTTCAACGCAGTGGCGTTATTCGTAATACTGTCGAATAGAACCAATGGGTTGTGCTTTCGAACATATGCTAGATCATGATGCTTGTTTGAGAAACTCTCACCCTCGTATCCAACCGAAGGGATGTCCTCCTGGTATTCGGCCCAAGAGATACCTTTCGTATTCAGAAGATCCACCACGGTCGACACATTGCTGGGTATCTGGTGAAAATTGTCTTGCATGGGTCAGCCGAGCTCATCTTCGATCAGGGCGATGGTTTACCATTGTCCATTCCATAACTGTCGCCCGAAGCAGCGGCACAGTAGTTAGGCTCGCTGGTGTGGCCAGTAGCAAAGTAATTGGTTAAAGTGATTCCTTTCTCCGCTAACCACTTCAAGTCAGTGTTTTTGGCAGCATCGGCGTAGTCCTAGTATGTTGTGAGCGCCGAGTACTTATTGGGAGGGTGAGGGCCAGTTACGATGTTTTCCAGCCAGATCTGGTAGAATCGGTCGCAAAAAACGCCTGGGAGATAAGAAGTTGAATATTCAGGTGCTGCATTGTTCTCAGAAATGCCAAAGCCATGGGTCACGATGGAGGAGGCCGCTGACAGGGTGCAGAATGTGGATAGAATGAGAAAAGAGGCCATGACGAGCGGAGAGGACATAGGGAAACGAGATAGGCGACGACGGGAGCAAGTCGCTCACATTGGGGCTCCTGCTTCCCAGATAATTTACAAGTCCTCAACTTGTAGATATTGATCTCGTGAGGACACCAACCTTGAGATTGCCTCGCGCGAGTACGCAAACGGAGAATGGAAGGTATTGTTTGCCTCGGTATCGTGAGTGACATGATTACAAGGGTAACATACCCAAAATTACGCGAGGGACGCGTCACGCACCCGATACGGCTGAAAGGCTAAACGGGGGGGGGGATCGAACATCAGACGAAATGAATCACCATTACCGAATGAGGGAAAATGCCCCGGTAGTGGTTATAAACATTGGAAGGGAGTGATCGCTAGTGCCGACAAGGTGTTCGGGGGTTGTGCCCCTAACAAGCATCGAGAACACACGGTTCGGTTCGGTTTCTGTTATGGTCTCGTCGAACCCTTGAATCCAACCGAAGGGCCCTCCTAGGACTTGGCCCAAAATATAACTTTCGCATTCAGAAGATCCACCACAGTCAACGCATTGTTATAGTGATATCATGATATACTCGTTATCCTGTCTAACTTTTTACACATTCTTATACAGCGAGAAAATAGTCTACTCGCAATTAAGCAGAGTCATTCTATGGTTGCTGAATGATAAAGCTGTACAATAACGTTCTTACTATGGTAATTTTGGGATTGAATACGACACTCTGCTGCGCTTATTCTAGCCAGACTGTAAGTGCAGATAATACCTAGGTCCAATGCAAATTAACCTCTGCTTGCCCTCTTTCTTTTAGTTGTCACGTATTTGAAAAGCTGATTTTTCTGCCCCACTAACTGCATCCTTCTCTAAACTTCATTCCAGGCGCGAATAGATTTTGAAAACTTATAGACCAGCACGAGAGACTGGGCCGAAATTAAATTGCCCGCAGTTGAACAGGGGAGTGCCATATTAGCGAAAGCTCCAAAACTTGTGGTGCAATTTCTTCTTGCAGGCGTTCAGCTTGTGGGCCAACTCTATGAAGTCCACAGCTTTATAATGATGAACTGCCTGTGAAGAAATGGGATCCATGCGGCCTAAACACCCAGTTGACCACCTCGAATGACAGCATAGCGGGCGGCTGCCCAAGGGAGATCGACACATAACGCTGCGGAATATAAGGAGGTTGCAAAAGTAGAGAGACAGATCGTCGCCAGTGGATTGAGTACTATGACACCAGTGAAAATGGCACTTCTCGTCTGTCAGCGAGTATATCGCTGTTCGCAGGGCGCCGACCCCAATGGGCTACTTGTTGAGACCAAGTTCGATCCCTCGGTTTCTGCCCTGAAGATAGTCACTGCCATTTACCGGAAATATGCCGCTCCGGAATTTAGCCGACTTCACAACGTGTTGATAGACCAGGGGCCCAGGAACGAGAATGATAAGACATTCTGTATCAGGTTTATGGTAAATAGTGTGGTTCCAACCATGTAGACACATAATTTGTCGCTACGCTGCAAGCTGGGCCTCAGAGTGCCCGGTTCATTGTCATGCGGTTATTCGGACGCTGATTCAAATATTCACTTCTGCAGATTAGGAAGCGAATGAAGGTGTAGAACTACACACACCACACAAAAAGCGCAGTAAACACTGACTCATACGCCACAAACGATACGAGGCACTAGAACCCCAGAGGTGTGGTACTCGCGGAGCAGACCGAGCACCGGATCCACCCGTCGTGGATAAGCGGGGTCGGAACTAGGTCCAAAAGAAATTTCCAGGGTTCCGATTATGACTCTTCTCTCATCGATCCTCCAACTTAAAAAACTACGGCCATCTTCCCAAGAGAACATAGAAGGAAAGTATGGCTTCAGACATGTCAATCAATGACACCCCGCTAGACCGGCGGGGCCGGCTGCGCATTTTCTTCATTATGATCGCGCTCAGTGTAAGACAGCCCCCAGTCTGAAATCCGATTGAAAGGGTACTAACCCCCATCTAGTTGTCCATGTTCGTCGCAGCTCTGGATCAGACAATTATGGCCACGGCGATCCCTACTATCGCGGCTAAGTTGCACTCTGCGGCGGGTTACACTTGGATTGGAGGTGCTTATCTGCTTGCGAATGCGGCTGGCGCGTGTATCTGGGCGAAGCTTTCGGATATCTGGGGCCGCAAGCTTATTTTGCTTATTGCTGTTGCGTGGTTCTTTGTTAGCTCGATCATCTGTGCAGTGGCGGTTAATATGCCGATGCTGATTGCTGGGAGGGCGCTGCAGGGTGTTGGTGGTGGTGGTATCTTGCAGCTTGTTACTATTGTTATTTCTGATTTGTTCAGCGTCAGGTATGTTAAGATTCTTTTGGTTCTGTCGTTGTTGCTAATTTGTGAACAGACATCGGAGCTTGTATCTTGGCTTGATGGAATTCATGTGGGCTCTCGCTGGTGGTATTGGTCCGCTGCTTGGCGGTGCTTTCTCCCAGTATGTCTCTTGGAGATGGACCTATTGGATTAATCTGCCAGTGTCGGGTATTGCCTTCCTTCTTCTTTTCTTCCTTCTGGATGTGCACAATCCAAAGACGAAGGTTATGGAAGGCATCCGGGCCATCGATTGGTTCGGCAGTTTGTCCGTCCTGGGCTTAACTTTGATGCTGCTTCTCGGACTCGATTTTGGCGGAGAGGCATTTGCGTGGAGCTCACCAACTGTCATCTGCCTACTTATTTTCGGGTCACTCTGCTCTTTGCTATTCGTCTATAGCGAGAAGCGACTGGCAAAGTACCCGCTGATGCCGATGAATATCTTCGCCCGTCTTTCCAACATTGCCGCTCTTGCTGTGGCCTTTGCTCATGGCTTTGTAAGTTTCTCTCGGCCTCCATCTATGGGCAGTTTTAACCGTTTTCTAGGTCTTCATCGCCGGAGAATACTATATCCCGCTATACCTTCAATCCGTCAAAGAAGCATCGCCCATGCGATCGGGAGTCCTGATCCTCCCCCTCTCCATCGCCGAGGCTGTCTCTGGCATCGCCACCGGAGCAATCATTCACAAAACAGGCCGTTACCTGGAACTCATTTGGATTGGCATGGCCCTCATGGTCATCGGAAACGGCCTATATATTCACTTGGACGTTACCTCATCCGTCGGTGAAATCGTAGGCTACCAAATTATTAGCGGTGTTGGTGCCGGTTTCCTCTTCCAAACACCTATCATCGCCCTCCAGGCTATGGTTTCCCAGGAAGATACCGCCACGGCAACCGCTACTCTCGGCTTCATCCGAAATATCGCCATCGCCTCATCAATCGTTATCGGCGGCGTGGTCTTCCAGAACAGCATGAGCAAGATGGAATCCAGTCTATTGGCTACGGGTATGTCTGATAGCCTGGCAGAGAAACTGACGGGCGATTCTGCGGCGGCAAATATTGAGTATATCAAGGATATTAAGAATCCGGTGCAGTTACTCGCTGTTAAGCATGCCTTTGCGTGGAGTATGCGGAATATGTGGATCTTGAATACTTGCATGGCGGCGGTGGGGCTTATCTGTTCTGCATTTATCTTGAAGACGCGGTTGAACAAGGAGCATGTTGAGACTGTTACTGGGCTGAAGAGTGAGAAGACGCCCCTTAGTGAGGATCTGAAGCTGCATGCTGTGCAGAATCTCCCTGCCACTGTATAGATTCATGGTGGGTTGATTAAAATTGAACATACATTTCGCGTTCAAATGTCCATAGTTATATACTTGTCGGTTAAATGACCATGTTAAGGTTCACATATACACTGTACAAAGAAAGGGCAGAGTGAATGGATAGGCCGCCGGGAATGGTGACAAATAAATCAAGTAAAAAAAGATAGCAGATGGAAGGCACGGAAATGAGGGTGGAATACACGGAGAAGAAAAAAGAAACAAGTGAAAGTAAACGGGAAGAAATGTCTAGACTGAAGAGCATCCCCCATCAACAGTGCAAACGATAGGAAGATCAGCGACGCTGTTCCCAATCCAGAGCTTGACACCCTCACCATTGATAGGTGCCTTCCAGTCCTGAATTACGACATCCCAGACACTCAGATCCTTGCGAGTGACAGTAAGAGTAAGAAGCTCGCTCTGACCGGGTGCCAACTCTTTAGTTTTCTCAAACTGGCGCAGCTGGAGTTCAGGGGTGTCGAGACCCAAGCTAGAGGGTAGCTCAACGTACAACTGGGCAACGGCCTTTCCCCGACGTGATCCTGTGTTCGTAACCTGGACCTTGATGGAGTACACAATGTCAAAAAGAGCGGGGTTTCCGCCTTGGCCGCCACCTGCGCGTGCTTGAGGCTTGGGTGTTGTGGAATACCCGTCAGGGTAGGCATACTCGCCGGAGGTGGTAATGGACTCAGGGTTGTCCAGATATGGGTATAGGTAGCGCCAGATGCGGGTAAAGCTGGTAGATGACCAGGCAACCTCAGAAGCGGCAGGGATTGCGTCGTCGTATACCGGAGTGGCTCCCTTGGAAGGTGCCGCTGGGGGATAAGCGGTATTGAGAGCAGTCACCTCATTAATTGTCGGGCTGGAGATGTTGAACGTAGTATATGACAGTCCATGGCCGAAGGGATAACGCGGGGTGATATTGGCTTTCATGAAGTGGCGGTAGTCCACGTACAACCCCTCTGTGAAAGTATCTTGGATTTGGCCAAATGGCTGGTTGATGATGCTGACGCTTTCCGGGTAGTCGGATTCGCTCTTCGGGATGGTGTAAGGCATGTGGCCACTGGGACTGTAGTCGCCGAACAGGATATCGGTAAGGGAGTTACCCGCTTCCTGGCCGGGCAGGTGTGCCACAAGAACAGCTTTGACAGACTCGAGATCAATCCACTCTTCCATGATCACGGGTCCGACAGTGTGGTAAACGACCACCACACTGGAGAACTTCTCTGCGGCAGCCTTGACGAGGTCGTCGCCACTATGCCAAGCGTAGAGGCCAGCTTCTGTGCGGTCGCCAGGGTTGCCTTCGACGGTAATGTAGTTCTCGCCAGAGTCGGCGTTAATAAACACAACAGCAATGTCGTTAGAATTGGCAGACACATCAGATGGGAATGAGTCCGTGATATGGAACTCGGCGTTCTTCGTAATATTGGCGATGGCCTCCTGGGGAGTAATGAGATAAGGCAGCCTTGCAGTTCCGCTGCCCCATCCCATAGTTAGAACACCCTTATCGCATCCTTGGTCACTGCATGAGTTAAGACCATCAGAGTTGCCACCGGCATCGGTTCCAAAAATCTTGAGTGAGTCATTACGGCGAAGGGGAAGGAGGTCATCTTCGTTCTTCAACAAGGTGATCGCCTCACGGGCAACAGCACGCGCAGTGATGTTGTGGTTTCCCTGGACGTTAACATATTGGTTGACAACACCACTGGGAGAAAAGAGGGCACCGGGGTAGAGAGGGCCAGTCTCGTCGAGTGTATTGGTCGAGAAGTTAGGCAGAGGGTAGTCTTTGTCCTGACCCATCTTGTACCACGTCGCCACGATTCGAGTAACCTGCACGACTAATTAGCACATTCGGAACTTTCCACTTGGTTCCACACATACCATGTCATTGAGTCGCCCAACCGGAACACTGCCATTCAAAATAGATCGAGACAGCTCGGAGCCCCAGTAGCTATCACCGAACAGAGGAACTGCACCGTCACCGGGCATAGCCATATCGAGACCAGCAAGGGCAGATCCCACACCAGAGTAATGGCCGAGCCAATCGGTCATAACGAACCCCTGGAAGCCAAGTTCATCCTTGAGGATTCCATTAAGGAGCTTGCTGTTCTGGCTTGCAGCCGAGCTGTTGATCTAGAGGTAGTTAGCAACAGACATACTTCAGTCGCAAGGTGAAAGACACTCACATCATTGTATGAAGTCATCAAAGATCCAACACCAGCGCGAACACCTTCAGCAAAAGGCCACAAGTAAAGCTCGTGCAGAGTACGATCATCAATATTGGACGAATAGCCCTTGGTAATGATACTGCTCATACGATACATCTCCTGCTCGTAACCGATAAAGTGCTTGATTGTCGCAATAACGCCTGCACTTTGCATACCCTTGATCGTGTACGCTCCTCCAAACGCCTGCAAAGTAGGATCCGCGCCAAATCCCTCCCAACCACGACCTCCGCGAGGCTTTCGTCCAAGAGGACCAACTGCAGGGCCCAGTTGCACATTGATGCCCTTACCCCTGGATTCCTGACCCAGGGCTCTTCCCCGCGCATACATAAGATTCTTGTTGAACGTCGCACCGACCGTGATACCGGCCGGGAATGCAGTATTATGATCTGAATTTCGGATTCCCAAGGGAGAATCTTGTAAACAGATATTCGGGATGCCGAAACGCGGCGCACTACCCGTTTGACCGACACAGGGACCCATAAAGAAGCCTGTTCCGGTGGTCAGATTGACCTTCTCGGCGAGAGTCATGTTGCCAACAACCTGCTGTGCTTTTTCATAAGCTTCAGCCCAGTCGGATACCCAGCCGCCATCGGGCGTGGGATAGTAAGGCGGAGAATCATAGCCCTCTGCCGCACGTGTGTTTAATTGAGAGGCTTCATGGTTTGCATCTGGCATGGGAGATGCGACGACTACCTGCGCAATCAGCGGCACGAGGGCCAAACGCGTCCAGGGAGCCATAGTTGGGGTTCGGGCGTCGAGTCACGTCAGATCAGATGCAAACATTCAGTCAGCCTGTACGACCCGCACAAAGAACGAAGAACGAGGTTGTACAGGTTGTCTTACGAATGTTCGTATCTTAGGACTTGGGCGTCAACTTTGAAAGGAGAGGAGCAAGGGCGTCCACGTGCCATCCAAGTATGCCAGGCACACACGCATCCCCTGTGTGGTGGAATGGATCGTCCAGATGTGAGCTCGCTTGCATAACCGAGCTGGTAGTCGGTTCAGATTGTCCCCCCATAGGTGGAAACCCAGTTCATGTTCGCATTTTCTCCGCTAGTGAGAGGTTCCTGACTCTTCACGGTTACGATGAACGCGGAGCCCCGCTCCCCGGAACATCATTACCCTAAATAGCGGGCCTGTCAGGGGTATCCGACAGGCCCCTGGTGGAAAATAGGAATAGCGTCGTTGTGTCTATGGGTGACATTCGGCACGCGACCGAAGTTTTCCCGATAATTACTCCATATAGCAGGAAAGCCGTTGTGATCACGATCGACCGGCCCACGCGTGGATATCGTCGATCTTCGATTTCTGTTTATACATTGACTATTTGTGGACTTAGATCTTAGTGTACCGCAGGTAGGGCTTGACCTCGCGGACCTCGCCAAACTTCTTCTTCGCATCCGGGGTGCTGACCGAGGGGGGAACGATCACATCGTCACCGACCTGCCAGTCGATCGGGGTGGTGACACCCTTCTTGTCACCGGTCTGAAGGGAATCAATGACACGCAGCACCTCGGCAGAGTTGCGACCGGTCGAGGCGGGGTACATCATGGTCAGCCGGATCTTCTTGCTCGGGTCGATGATGAAGACGGAGCGAATGGTGAAGGCAATGCCCTTCTGGTCGATGTTGTCCAGGTCCTGCTGGTCGATCATGTCATACAGGAAGGCGACCTTGCGGTCGGCGTCGGCGATAATGGGGAACTGCACATCCGTCGAGGAGACTTCGTTGATGTCTTTGATCCATTCACCGTGCGAACCAATGTCATTGGCGCTCTAGTATAGATCGTTGGGTTAGCTGGGGGGCTTGCCGCATGCGGTGGGGGATAATAACCAGGCCAATCATCTTCACACCACGCTTCTCAAACTCGCCCTTCATCTTCGCAAAGGCACCAAGCTCGGTAGTGCAAACTGGAGTGAAATCGGCCGGGTGGGAGAAAAGGATGGTCCAGCTATCGCCGATAAACTGGTGGAAGTCGATCTCGCCCTTGGTGGTCAAAGCCTTGAAGTTGGGGGCTATCCTTAAGAATTAGCATGGTTTTCATGCAGACATCATCCATTGTAGCCATACCGGTCGAGCCCAGACGCAGGCGTGGCTGTTCCTGGGTGGACGCCGCGTAAAAGCGGCGGAAGGCAGGGGCCCGCGGCAGCTGGGCATTGAGACTGGCCCAAGGGGCAGCCTTGGGTGCAGCTTTAAAGGCACGGAAAGCCAGCTTCGAGGACATGATGGAAGCCATTGTAGGTGTAGAGAGATACTTTCCCCGGACTCGCGGAACAGCTTATTTGCATTTACATCATCGGAGATTATCTCATTGATCACGTAATGGACCTGGAAATGGATCTAACGCGATCGGGTAACAAGCTCTGTAGTGCCCAAAGAATTTATTTTCTTAGTCCTCTCAATCTTTTCCTTGAAAGTTTGTTAAGAGTTCTTTCATCCGTTTTTGTTCTCTTATCCAATATATCGTTCAATCACATCTTGACCTCCTGCTATGGGAACAGCTCATCGCCGCCTCTCCAAGGACATTTAGAATATCTCCGTCCTGCTGAACAAAAACGGCCACTTTGTGAATTGCACACGTAGGCAAACTCTTCCAAAGACAAATTGCTATGAGTCGCTAATTACTTTTTAATCCTGCGAGGCCGTAGAGGCGTCTAAAAATGAAGGAGAAGCGTGTCATGTCCAGGTAAGCGCGCATCAAGGCTAAAGAACCTAGGCTTGCTGGAACCCACATGATCATCAATCAATCAATTAATCAAAGCTCTATTAACCTGGTAGAGCCTAACGAGATGTGTCGAGGCTATGCAGGCGCTTCGTCCAAATCCGAAGCAGAAATTGGTGTCCTTAACTCCAGACTCGCGGCTTGCATAAACAGTAATACAAAGGAAAACCGGCCTTCCGCAGGAGGCCGCCACAGGAAAGAATGTTTTAAATCCAAAGCCCACGCACAATAAAACCCATATAAAATCAACCCCAAAGTAACAGTGCCCACAGTATTCCATTCCTTCTGCATCCCCTCGTCAGCGTGTATGCTCCCGCCTCTCCTTCGCCGGTCCTATCTCCAAGCGCTCCGGTTCTCAATTGATTGTGGTGCATGGTGAATCGCCCACATTATCATCTGTAAAGTGTTACAGTTGCAAGGGTGCGGCAAACGAAATCGATGTATCAAAACATTAACTCCACATTTGTGCAAACGATACCGGCGACGAAGTTTTCGTAAATTATATTCGACTCAAAGATGCTGAAAGTCCTTGAACAATTTCTGACGTCATCGAATAAAAGGTCAGAGTCTCTTCCTCAATCAAAACGTTACCACGCAGTCAGAATACGCGTATCTACTCCAGCTTTGTTCACCCATCCATGTCTTGATTGTTCCTCGAGAATATGGACTGCAATGCTAAATTCGCAAAAGATGAGGCCAGATGCCGTGGATATTACGGTTGAGAAAAGGGGAACACGAGTCGCGGATTTGCTCGTCGGTTTTGATTATCCTAATGATGCACGAATGCCCCAAAAATGGCTCATGCCCAAGAAACTTCGTTGCCATGTTATCCATGTGCAATCCTATTGGGACCATCACCAGCAGTGTCATGGGACCACTACAAAAGAAGATTGCGGAGCAATTTCATGTTGATAGTGAGTTGTCGATTCTTTGTACAACTTTGTTTATGATGGTAAGTGCAAGTCTGTGGCATATACGATATTCATGGATTCATAATACAAAAGGGATATATCTTCGGATTTCTCACCTTCGGGTCCCTGTCAGAGGTATTTGGCCGTAAATGGCCCGTAATTTATGGCATTGCAATCTTCAGAGGGGTGCTCCATCTAAGACTTGTATCGGTCCGATATCAATTCCATCTCCCAAAGAGGAACGATCCTGGTCTTTTAGTAGAACTTCCAGCCTAAGAAAATGGCTAGAATGATCTGAATCTCGATATAGTGCGAGAGAAAGCTGATCGCATCGGACGTTGAACTAAAGCAGGACCAGCCCTGAATCAGGACGAGGAAAATCTTCAACCCGACGGCTAGGGCTGGGCCCACGGGGAATTTGAAGAGTTTGAAAGGAAGCATATGCTCCAGATTGTAATGGCGAGCGGCGGCATGAAATCTTATGTAGATAATACAGATGCAAACCCAGGAGACATGATTAGAAACTCCGACCTCAAAGCTGACCAGCACCAATTTTGTTCTTCCCAAAGCAGAGCGCGCTGATGAATTATGTAGCGAGAACCGCTACCCAATGTATTTGGAAGCGGTTGAAGAGGTCAAATTTACATGGAGCGTATCCTTCTCCTGCCAAGGTGTAGAGAAGATGAGACCTAGAGAAGAGGGTCGCCGACGCTTGTCATGATCACGGCGTTGAAAAAACTGCCAGCTATGGCGCTGCCCGCTTCAACAAAGACGATTTTCAAGGGACTAATAGAATAAATTTCGCTGTAAATACCCGAATGATTAAATGATACGTCGAGACCTATGATGGTAATTGAGACCACGTAGAAAAGGGGAATCCGCCAGAAGACGTTACGGATTACTCGGGGATAGGGCCACACTGGGCCCCTGGTCTCACAGAAGCGACCGCCACATTCTCTGTTCCGCGCTATCAGCACTCAATTAGACATTATTCGTTGTATTGGATATCATTGTCTTACTATGCAAAAGATGCTGTGACAAAGACAGAAGCAAAGCTCCCGACCCAACCGACAAAGTGATCGTCACGCACGTAGAAATGTGTCTCTCCAAGATATGTATGAGGGGAGTGGTGGCGCCACAGTTCACGATGATGCCGACAATCACGAAGACCTGAATTCTATTAGGTCGACAGTGCACTGGGAGTGAGATAACACCAATGCACTGACTATAATGGTCACAACCTTTAGCAAAACAGCCAATACTCGGTCTTTAAAATCAGCTTAGAATACCACCTTTGCAGCCTCTAATTAGACATACTGACCTCTCCATAGACCTTGACAGAGCAAAGGTTCAAGCCGAGAAGAAACGCCAGACAGATAAGACCAAGAGCCCAGCCGGGGAAATGCTCGGTCCAGGATTCTAGCAAAACTTGCAGTCCTGTAACTTCCTCAGCAGTAGAGACAGCACTATTGGCTCAATAATTTCAGGTCAGTGCGAAGCCAAAAGCAGGGTCCACAAAGCGCCTTCAGCCATTAGACAACGCCTGAATCCTGCTGTAGCGTGCTTACACTTACCCTGCAAATATAACGAGTGAGCCTGTCACTAGAATAAAAGCCACCATCTCTCCAAAACCTAACATTGCCACAAAGAAAATGCCCCCCACAGATCGTATAGGCTAGAAGCATTGATGCCGGACCGCCGGTCGCCAATGCCTTACCGTTGCCAAGATACAATCCCGTTCCGACCGTGCCTCCGATAGCGATCATCTGGATCTGGTGAGGGAATAGCTTGCGAGCCAGTAGAAGGGCATTGACATTTTTGATTCCTGCACAAACGGGATTGTCCGAGAAGGCTCTGAATGTTGCGTTCAAAGGCGGCTGTTTCTCAGCATCGCAATCTGGCATCATTTATGGCAGTTGAAGGCCAAGGAGTTTCGTGGGGGATGAGGGGGAGTGGTGCGATCGATCAATTGATTATTGAGCAAAATGGACTTTAATCACCACTGAAAGGATCCAATGCACTTGTTAATCGACAAACAGTGGCGCGAAGCATGTCTACTTACGCTTACTCACACATCTAATATTCAATGAGCTATAAAATGAAAAGCGTAAAATTGCGCCATTCAGAACATAAATGCGTGATCGCTAAAGTGTTAACGACGAGTTAGGAAAGTCGCCAGTTCTCTACCAAGGCTACTCGGCCTTCGAGTAAGTGAGCAGTTTGCTTCCCCCGCTCGCGGCATTGTCCATCGTCCTAATTTCGCCTCCGTTTACAATTCATCCACTGTGCTAAAAAAAAAAATAGGAAAAAGAAAAAAGAAGGGGAATTGGTAGACATGGTTCTATATCATACAATGAGAATGCTTAGAAGGGAAAGTAGATGCCAGCCAACAGCAGGTCTACAAAGTATTTAGAAGATATTGATCTCCCTTCGAGCTTCTTCCAATTCACCCGCGAAGCTACTTATTTGCAATACAGTCTGTAGCGAAATCTGCTTCCTCCTTAACGACTGCTTTTCTTTTCTCGGGACCCACTGCGAAGGCCCTAGCGCAGATCATTTATTGATCGCCCCATACTAAGCTGATGGCGGCAAGAAAATGTGCCGGTACTGTATCCCCTTACGTAATATTAAATCTGGTGCTTTGAAGCGATAAACATTCATGGCAACTGTAATAGGTAAGGATCATTTTACGGCGGCCCTCAACCTAAACGGTCTAGTCAATTAAGGCTCTGCGCTGAGGCCTCGGCACTGGGTCCGGAGAAAAAAAAACCGGTCACTGGAGAGGAAGCATGTTTCGCTACAGACTGTACCTCCCTGGACGCATGCAATCGAATCTATCCTAGAAAAGCATTTTTGGTGTGGATGTCTACTTTGATGGGATGGAAATGCTCGAAGCAAAGATTGGCGTTTAGCATTCATGAAGAACAAGCTAGATACAGGTAATGCATTGATATAAGTGTCATTGCAATACATTAGTGCATATATCTTCCAGTGTTTGTAGCATGCCTCACGACTCGTGTCAATTGACATTTTCTCAGATTAAGTACTCGTTTTGCCACGGCCCATGTCCGCCTAATCATTAAGAAAGGGATGGCCAGCAAGGTGATCCCAGAAATTGATTTCAAAATCCTGAAGACTATTATTGTCCCATAGACCCCATGTCGCATCATCCAAGGCAGCCATCTGTTCGGACTCTGCCAGTTCAATTGGTTGATTGCCCGTAGCGGTGGTTTTGTTGTGCAAAGGCGACAGCATGCGATGTAGTAGAGACTTTATCGTTTGTGTGGCACGGACCAGCAATGAATAGTTAGGCGAGTCAACATACACCAATGTTCCATGTTCAACCTCTCCAACAAGGATGCTCAGGTCTTGGAATACTTTTGACATGCCAGTATGAAGGGCTTCCATGGCATAGGACTGATTAATAAGCGTGAGGGATATAAGCCCAGCAGCTGATAAGCCGTAATATGCTACCTTGAAATCAAAACTTGATGAGTGAACTTATTCTTACAACGAGTGTTCCGACTCACCTTCCAGACCAATGACGTGCCAGAATTGATTATTTGGTCTTTGAGCATAACCGTCTCCACGACCAGACCAAGCATGTCCAGCGAAATCCTGACCAACTCCGGGTTTGGATTCATGGTCATGGGATTGAATAAAGCCAGCTGCAGAAGAAATTGTACGTGAAGATAGTTGAGCTTCATGTTCACCATAAAATCACGCTCTACTGGCCGCCGGCCACATGCCTTGAGATTGCAGTCAAGACGATAGCTTTCGGGGACCCCATTCCATTGGGCATGGGTATCTACATCAATGGGCCTTTAAGATGATATCAGCAATAACCCGAAACGGGAGAATAAATTTCCATCGGGCATACCGTGCGCGTCGATATCTCTCATCATAATCTTCCACAGTGAACAAATCCAATATATCTTCCTTTATTATTGCACAGAGAGCAGCCCACCTCGAGTCCGTAACGAAATCTGGCCGTTCAGTGGGCCCCCAGGTCGCTGGCCGGCGGGTTGCTACCTGGGAGGACAATACATGGTTTCCTGGAAGGCCAAAGTGGCAGAATTTGCGGATAATTCGAGGCGGCCTACCGAGAAATATTGACACATTCTTATCTGCGGAGTATGTTCGACAAAAGGCTATTTGGCGAATATCACGAAGAAAGAGCGGGGCTGCGCGGAATGTTTCTGTTTGTTGCTGGTGATAGCCGAGAGCGAAAAGCGAGGCTGCTACATCTCCTAGTTTCCGCCAAGAGAGGTAGCCTGCAAGTAAAGTTAGCATTTCTGCATTAGATTATTTCTGAAGCGGAAAAGATCACCTACTCTGATCACCGTCCACTTGGGAATGAGAGATAAAATTCTCATACTGTAGAACAAGCTGTAGATCATTCATACAATCCAACGGTAGGCAGAGGTCCAGACATCGGTCCGAGTACGACAGGGTCAACTTCTGGATCTTACGACGTTGTTGCTCAGAACCGTACAGCGGTTCTGCATAAGCCAAGTCTACCGAGGCTCGGCAAACAGCAGTAAAAAATATGCCAAAAGGCTCCCACCGCGAGTTATGTCCCGAGAAGTTGGTGCAGTATTCGTCGAATGTTGTTTCGGAACTGGCCATTATAGACTGACGGGTAGAATAAAAGAGGTTCCTAGAGATAGCCATTGCAGTTGTGTGTGTTCCATCGCACTGTGACAGAGTGTGGAGAACTGTTGACGTACAAGGTCCCGTAAGAGGACCGGCTAAAGCGAGATTTGTTCCTGTTGCTACCCAACTCTTGAAAACTTGTACGAATTGCTGCATGGTAGATATTCGATGCAGTTCAAGAATTAGCTCTGCGCCTCTTGAGATGTAGATGTCATCTACCACACAGTCGGTCTGGGAATTTGAGGTATGTCCGGTCTCTCGGTCCGAAACGTCATGTTCTGTATTGTTTCCAAGCCGTAGATGGTCGAAAAGTGTCGTATGGCTGGACGAACCTAAGTAGCCCGGATTGGGATATTGGTCCAATGGAATGTCGAGACCTCTGGATGGTCCTGATCTTGACGCAAAAGATGTTGCTACATCTTCCCTGGAACTACAGAATTGCTGATAGAGTCAATATTAAGCTACAAGTAGCAGGAGACAGGGTCACTCGCTTCTGTTTCGATATCCGCCTAAAGGGCGCCGGAGGCCGTCTGAACGGTTTCGGCCGGTATACACAGTCAGCAGCCCGGCTTCTATCCTTGCACCTCGAACAAACCGGTCTCCTGTGGTCGCACCGCAGTTTCAGTGCCCGGCACGGATCACAGGCCGGCAGCTTCTCGGACCTTGAACTCAGGCTCGAGTTCGGAGTCGGCATCTTGGAGCGTATTGACGTTGGGGTGGAAATGTGAAAAGTTTTCCTTTTTCCGAAGCGGCGTGTTGCGCAAGTCCGATTGGCTGACCCTATATTCGACTGACGGGCCTTGACACTTACTCCGACGCTGACGCCGACGCTGACTCCGACACCGATTCCGCCCTACGCATGGTTCTACTATAGATTGGAGAGAAAAAAAGGGGCCTAAAGCTCTTCAAGGTCCATGTGGGCCCAATTCGTAATTTGGTTTTTCTATTGCGACATCGTCGCGTTTCTGGTAGAAGACATTTCAGCGTTAGAGTTGGAGTATAAAAGCCGAGAGCGCCATAGCATCCATGGCTGTTTATACGCCTCTAACCTGAATTTCTCTTTGTTGCGCCAAAAACGTATCATCTTACTGAGCAGACCGAGAATGACGATCCCGTATCCTGATGGACATCTTGACATTGGGTACATGCCCGACTATGACCAATACTTGGCACGCGGCAAGCGTAGACAAGAGACCGAGAAGCTCGATAATCATCTTCCCAAGGGTTTCCCTTCCCGCCTATCTGGCAGCCTCGTCTGGGACCCCAGAACTGTAGCCAGCAGTTATGAATGGAACTACCACCTTACTGCAGACGACCTCGATGAGATCAACAATGCCCTTCAACACTTCAAGTGTATGTTATTTGCCAACTATCTTTTTTTGTTTAATGGGTATACCCATACTAATGTATCGGTGCGTTAAAAGCGTTGGGCAAGGCGATGGGCGAGTGCTCCGCCGACACTTTCCCTCTGCCCAAGTTGCATGCTGTGCTACGCGAAATCTCCAACGAGGTCCATAACGGCTACGGTTTCAAAGTGATTCGAGGTCTTCCCGTGGACAACTACACCCGCGAAGAGAACGTCATAATCTACACCGGCCTCTCATCGCACGTTGCGCCTATTCGTGGTCGCCAAGACAACAAATGGCAAGGCAGACCAGCTGATGTCCTTGTTGCCCATGTTAAGGATCTGAGCCAGTCGTGCAACTCTAAGGACATCCCCGGTCCTGTGGTCACGGCCGATAAACAAGTGTTTCACACCGATGCCGGCGATGTTATTGCCTTGTTATGTCTAAACGAAGGTGAATCAGGTGGCGAGAGCTATCTCGCGAGCACCTGCCATGTTTACAACGTACTGGCTGCTACACGCCCTGATCTGATTAAAACTCTCTCCGAGCCTTGGCCTTTTGACGAGTAAGATTCCCCTTTATCACCAGTCCTGAGACTCCTTAGTACCATAAACCCCCACCAGCATAGCTGAAAGACTAACAATACATTTATCATCTAGTTTCGCCGCGACTGGTGACGTGTACAAGCTGCGACCTCTACTGTACTACCAGCCTGCTACTGAGACCGACCCCGAGCGACTCATCATCCAGTATTCGCGAAGAAATTTGACTGGCTATTTGGACTGCAAGCGGTCGGCCAACATTCCGCCGCTAACCGACGCACAAGCAGAGGCTTTGGATGCGGTTCATTTTACGGCCGAGAAACACGCTATCTCGCTGGACTTCCATAAGGGCGACATTCAGTTTGCCAACAACCTGAGCATTCTACACGCCAGAGGATCATTTAAAGACTCCAGTGAGAAGCAGTCAGTTTATCGAAACTGGTTTTGAAATTCAGAGAGCTAACGGCATTTTGTAGACGCCACCTTCTCCGACTTTGGCTGCGTGATCCTGAATATGAATGGACCAAAGCCAAAGAGCTGAAAGAGCGATTTGACCGGGTCTATGCAGGCGTGACAGTCGAGAGCTCAGTTTTCCCACTTGAAGCAACTATCCGCAGCAGCAATGTGGCTACATAGAGATCGACTTCCTGATAGTTTATTTTCTGATCCTCATTATCTTCTGCATTTATGTTGCAGTTGACAAGAGAAGTGTAGTCGAAGCAGGCCTTCAAGAAGATCGCGATTGGAGAATAAGAATGTACAGGATGGTCAGAAGAAACAACGAGATAAAATCTAGATGAGTAAACTTCCTTGTGAATCATCTCAGCTACCTGGAGTTGCTGTCATGTGGAGGGAAATGCTTCAAAATGCGCTAGTGGGAGTTGCTTACTCTCAACCTTGGAAACAGTTGATATTGGACCCATTGGCAGGCCTTATGTATTCTCTCCACAAACACCTTTAAGCAATGGTAAAGATGAAGTGGCCGCATCAACCCATTCCTGCTTCGCCTCGGCCGTCTGAATGATTTGCTGTCAAGTGTGAGTCTTCAAGTCTCTTGTGATGTTCGTACTCCCACAATACAGTGCATGGTCCCCGAAAGCTAATGTAATGATAGAAGGAACTAGCCTTTGGGCACACGGAGCACCAAGCAGCATTCTCGGGAAATTGTGTGTATATGATGAGTGCAAGGACTCGTTTTCAAATTGATCACGATCCTAGGCTTGTCCCTGTCGGCTTAATTGGAGAGCTAGATTGGGGTTTGTTCAAGGCTAGCAACGAATAGGACGCGCAATAGATAGTAAAAGCCATAGAAATGAGGAACTACACCTTGACCACCAGAATTAGTTCTCTACAGCATTAACATTTCGACGCATAGGGCAAGATTGAGGGGAAGTAATGTAACATTTCCATGACGATAATTTATTGATTGGATAATTCTGCCCATCTCCCAAGGCGGTGACCTGAAGGGAGTGCTTTCGGGCTTTTGTATTTCCCGGAAATCACGATGTAAGAGGGTGGATGTACAACTGGAAATCGAAAAACACTAATATCTGGGGTTATTGTCTGGAATTATTATGATCCAGTTCGCAAGATCCAGGGATCAGCATTTGCCCGGACATTATTTGTCACTATTTTTGATTCTAGGGTCCTGTGGTGGCTTATCACACGCAGGGTCTAGATTAGGGCACATGGCGCAGCCGCTATTGACGGCTTGCCGAATGCGTCGACAGATCGCATGTTCTGCCATTGCCCATTTCCCATTTCCCCTTTTTTTTGGTTTTTTTCCCCTCTCCTTTGTACTGTTTTTGTACGATTTTCGATGGTGTGAAACTATACAGGAACTCGAATAATCCGTACTGTGTGAAGATAGAAAGGTGACTATTTTTATCGCTCCACTTCCATAAAATAACCAAGTGTCGGCATCTGTCGGCTCGTAGTTATATTAGGGGAATGTATTGCCGTGCTCAGGTCGGGGATCTGTAACTTCAGATTACGCGCCCCACTGGAGCCGAACTCGTGCTTCTCTCCGAATCCTTCATTGGACCCCGGTCTAGATGCATGCGATGGATCGGGTCTCAGGGTCTCAGCTTATGTTATTCGTCATGACTGTTTTCGAGTATTTTGCGTAATTTGACACTCTTCTTATAACGGGACGTTCACCCTGAAAGCTCTTCTTCACAGTGTCACCCACTGTTGCTGAAGAGTTCATTGAAACCCGCCTTGCTTCATATTGTGCTAGTCTGGTGGTTATCCAGGATCCACAAAACTCCGACCGGCTCAGGATCTTCAGGGTTCAACCATCAGGGGAACCGTGACCAGTTCAACATCAAACAGCCGATCTCTTCGCTCTTTCAAGCACGGGCCTTGCTGCTCATCGCAGCAGGATCTGTGATTGTCACTCGCTTTATCTTTACCAACACCGTCGTCAAGAGGGCACCCGACCGTCATGGCCCGCTACTCCCACTATTTGTTAGCGCTGCTGTCCGCATTTGTCGCAACTCTCTTTTGGCTATCATGGGGCTTGAAAGATTCAGTCCCAACTATAGCACTCACAGTAGGATCAAATTGCATCCCAAATGAAAACGCAACACCCACCACCGCACCATATGCATCCGAAACTCCCAGCTCCCCCGTCAGTTCTCCCGTCAGTTCTCCCGTCAGTTCTCCCGTCAGCTCGCCTATCAGCTCACCCGACGACATCGACGAAGCCTACGCAGGATCCGTGGCGTATAAACTCCCCGCTATTAAGAGCAAAGAACAACTAGCGGCATCTGCATTCCCGGCCAAGTTATGGCAAAAGTCCGGCACCCACGGAATCGACGACTCCCGCCGCGAAGATATGCGATCGTGGCAAAGTCAATCACCCAACCTCCGACACGAAATCCTCACCGACGGCAGTGGAGATCAGTACATGCGCGAACAATTCGCCGACTACCCCGAACTTCTCAACCTATATTCCTCTCTTCGAGTCCCGATCCTCAAAGCCGATCTTCTCCGCCAATTCATTCTCTACAATGACGGTGGCATCTGGAGCGATCTCGATGTCACATGCCACGCACCTATCGATACCTGGATCCCGGAACAGTACAAGGCTAGAACGAACGTCGTAGTCGGACTTGAGTTCGACGGATCCCAATTCGCTAGCTGGACGGTCATGGCTAAGCCCAGAACCAGTCACATCGCTTCTGTTCTTCGGTATATCGTTGCAGCGCTTGAGAAGTCTGCACTTGATTACAATACGACTATTTCTGGTCTGACGATGCAGACTATTAGCGATGTGGTTGACGTTACGGGGCCTCAGGCGATGACACGGGGCATCATTCAAAGCTTGGAGAAGGAGCTGGGTCTTCCGGTTGGAAGACCTAATATTTCAGAGCTTCATGAGCCGGTCCTCCTGGGTGATGTCCTTGTGTTGCCTAATGCGGCATTTGCTGCTATGCAAGGTGGCTGGCCGACTGATCGAGGCCCGTACCTTGTTGAACATCACTACGCTGGCTCGTGGAAGAATGACAAGGGGGGTGAGATTAAGGCCGAGGATAAGAAACCAGAGCTTCAGGAGCCCGAGGGCCAGGCCTCGGTGACTGAAACCCCAGAGATTCAAAATCCAGAGACTCAGACTTTAGAGACTCAGACTCCAGAGATTCCTGTACCGGAGGTTCAAGCCTCAGAGGTCCAGACCCCGGAGATTCACCCAAAGATGGACAATGGGGTGGAGTTGGCATAATTGACGAATATTTTCATTCTGTGAGATGTGTCACATCTCGCAGTAGACTCTGTATTTTAATAATGATGGCGTTGGAGGCATTTACTTGGCTGCATACGAATATTTAGACTGCATATGTGGCATTTTGATACACTAATTCAATCTACATTCAATCTTGCTACACTGCTGGCAATATCTGGCTCTTTGCATCTCAACCTGCACATTTACATAAGTTGTGAGCGAGCCAACCTTGCCCACATGCATTTAGTCTTACCTCCCATCCCGGGCCCTATCCCGGAGTAAAACATCCCAAGTATCACAAGTCAGAGAAACAATTACCTGTCAAGGGGGAATTTTAAATGCAACCATGTCACAGAATCATATGTAAAGAGCAACTGTTTATTTGCGAATCATTGAGCACAAGGTCTTGTCTATAATAGCCATGTAACAGGCATTAGACCCAAAGATTACAACGCGAGGATCGCAAGTACAACAGGAACACCCACCGTAGGGAGCGCATTTTCCTCTTTGGGACGACTGGCCAGAACAGGTGGGCCTGTCGCGGAAGACACGGACTTTGATCTCGTAAGAACGTGCATGAGGTCTTTGAACTGTAGAACAATGTACTAGACTAAACCCGTTTTTCTCTTTCTACTTCCAGCCTCGGAACCCCTTTTGAAGTTGCGTTCATTTCAATGTATTTCTATCTCACTAGATCCAAGCAAGGTAATGTTGCCTCTCAGATCATGACGTACGCTAAGGTTTAAATGGCTGACATTGCCTGGTGTGACAACCGAAACGGCAATTGAATCAATATTCCAACGTCTGCTTGATCGCATCGTATATCCCTAGGTAAGGAAGTGTTAGGTATCCGCGAGAAAGAAGATAATCGTTGGAAATCACTTACTTGTAACATCAGGCAGGATAAACTGCTCGTAAGTCAAGCCTGTGTGTGTACTCCAACCAGCAACTCGCTTGACTGGGGCTTCCAATCGGAGGAATGCACCCTCTTGCAGAGTCGCGGCAACCTCGGCTCCAACGCCGTAGTTGACCATGCTTTCGTGCACCACAACGGCCCTTCCTGTTTTCCGAACGCTCTCGAGAACCGTCTGGCGATCCCAGGGATAGATAGTGCGTAGGTCGATCAACTCGATGTTGACGCCCTTCATTGTCTTTTCAATGGCAGAAATGGCGGCTGAGCATCGGTAGAGCGGTTGGCCGTAGGAAATGATTGTGAGGTCTTTGCCCGGCTTGACAACCTCGGCCTTGCTGAGAGGGATGGTGTAATACTCATTTGGGACGTACTCTGCCGCCGCTCGGTAGAGACCCTTCGGTTCCATAAAGATTACTGGATCATTGTGTTCGAAGATGGATGATAGTAAGAGGCCCTTGGCTTGTGCAGGTGAGCGGGGCATTACTACTCGGACGCCAGGAATATGTGCGAAAAGCGACTCGGGCGATTGTGTATGGTAGCTATTCAGGCTGTCAGTTGTGGGTCCGTGGTGAACTATCCACTCTCCAAGACATATACTTACAGAGCACCATGGCCCACTGCACCACACGGCATGCGAATTACTAATCCTCCAACATTGACTCCAGTGTTACCTTCTCTGTATCGGAACTTTGCCGCCTCATTGACAATCTGGTCGAAGGCCGGATACATGTAGTCGGCGAACTGTAATTCTGCTACCGGCTTCATGCCCTCTGCCGCGGCACCGATAGCGAATCCTGCAATACCCTGCTCCGTCAATGGTGTATTGAAGACTCGATCCGAGCCAAATTCTGACTGTAGGTCCATAGAGCACCGAAAGACACCACCGAATGCCACATCTTCGCCGAAGAGTAGAACCTTGTCAGAGGTTGACAAAGCGGTTCGTAGAGCGGAGTTGATGGCTTGGAACAGATTCAGTCGCTTGCTTGTGGCTCCAGCTGGAAAATTTGGGACACTCGACAACGTCGCCGGAGTGTGGTGTAACAGAGGCGTGGTCTTGAAGTCAAGGGGTAAGTTGAGCTTTGCCGCGGGCGAAGGAGCTGAGTAGTATCGGCGCGGTATTTGGTGCATCAAACCCCGTGGGGCGCGAGGTCGTACCATCTCTGCGATATCTGGAATATGGAGACAGGTAAATCTAGGAGAAACATCAGGGACAGAGTTTCAACAGGACTTTTCTTTATAAATGAGATCCTGTTGTTCCGCCGGCATTGGAGGATTGCGGGGGATGCGCCGCGGATAACCGAAGGTGCAAACAGTGCAAATGCGGAGGCAATGACGAAGGTTGAGGACCGCGCCAAGGCTTGATAGATAAACTCTTAAGTCTCCCAGAGGCTGTCTAGACGCATGTTACCAGCAAAAGTACCTTATTTTTCATTCGATTGTGCTAGCCACAGCCGGTCTGCACTAGAGAAGCAGTTTAGTCATGGGCTTTGAAAATGGAATCTCCGTTCAAATAACAGGACCTGTGCCTTTCAACTGCCTCACCTCCATTTGTCCCTCTGAAATTAGCTGCATAGCTCGAGCCAGTGGATAGGATGCCAATTATGCAAGGTGAATGACCCCGTAACAGAACGAGTCAAACTGTATAGCAAAAGTATGATTGTGGTAAAGATCGTCCTTATCGGGGCTTATCGGCCGGTGTCGGCGGTGTGACTCCGCCGCACCAAAAATCCGCTTTTTTCGGGTGACTCAACCTCCCGACCTTCTTCTCAACTCATTGTTTCCCATACTTCATTTTCATCTACAACACAATCACAATGTCCAAGGGAAAGGTACGTGCTTTTGATGTCTTGTGACTGCCATTGCCATCACGAATATCCTGCTTAGCACCAGACCGCCACTTCACCCCACCTTCTTCACTTTCGATTGCCCGCATTACCTTTCGACATCACTGACAAGCTTCTCAATAGGTTTGCCTCGCCTACTCTGGTGGTCTCGACACCAGCTGTATCCGTATGATTAATTCCGACATCCGATTTCAATCAATTGCCATCGCTAACACCAGATACAGTCAAGTACCTCATCGAGGAGGGCTATGAGGTCGTCTGCTTCAGTAAGTTGCGCGCGTCGCTTAAGGAAACGACACAAGTAACATGGTACTGACTTTTTTTTTTTACAGTGGCCGATGTTGGCCAGGAAGGTATGGTTGGGGTCTTCGCCGAGAAACTCGCAATGCAAGACTAATGTTTTCCCACAGAGGACTTCGAGGCTGCCCGCGAGAAGGCCCTCGCCATTGGTGCCTTGAAGTGCGAGATCATCGACATCCGCCGCGAGTTCATTGAGGAGCTCTGCTTCCCCGCCATTGCTTGCAATGCCGTCTACGAGAACGTCTACCTGCTCGGTACTTCTCTGGCCCGCCCCGTCATTGCCCGCGCCCAGATCGACGTCGCCCAGGTATGCCTCATTGGCTTATTCCACTTTGACAGATTAGTGGCTAATTTGTGGATTCTGTAATAGCGTGAGGGCTGCTTCGCCGTCTCCCACGGCTGCACTGGTAAGGGTAACGACCAGGTTCGCTTCGAGCTTGCCTTCTACGCCCTCCAGCCCAACATCAAGGTCATTGCCCCGTGGCGCGACCCTGTCTTCTACGAGCGCTTTGTCGGCCGTAACGATCTCCTCGAGTATGCCGCCGAGAAGGGCATCCCCGTCACCTCCACCAAGTCCAAGCCCTGGAGCATGGACGAGAACCTGGCCCACTGCTCCTACGAGGCCGGTATCCTGGAGGACCCCGACACCACTCCTCCCACTGACATGTGGAAGCTCACTGTGGACCCCCTGAATGCTCCCGACCAGCCCGAGGACTTCACCGTCTCCTTCGAGAAGGGTGTCCCCGTCAAGCTCGAGTACACTGAGAAGGGCCAGAAGAAGACCGTCACCGACTCCGTTGAGCTCTTCCTGACTGCCAACACCATTGCCCGCCGCCACGGTGTTGGCCGTATTGATATTGTTGAGAACCGCTTCATCGGTATCAAGTCTCGTGGCTGCTACGAGACCCCCGGTCTTACCTGCCTGCGCTCTGCTCACCTCGATCTTGAGGGTCTTGTCATGGACCGTGAGGTCCGTGCCCTCCGTGACCAGTTTGTCACTTTCAACTACTCCAAGCTCCTGTACAACGGCATGTACTTCTCCCCCGAGCGTGAGTTCCTCGAGGCCTCCATCACCGCTTCCCAGAAGTCCGTCAACGGCCAGGTCCGCTGCCGCGCCTACAAGGGTACCGTCTCAGTCCTTGGCCGCTCCTCCGAGACTGAGAAGCTGTACGACATGACTGAGTCCTCCATGGACGAGATCGGTGACTTCTCCCCCGCTGAGACCACCGGCTTCATCAACGTCTCTGCCATCCGTCTCAAGAAGTACGGCCAGATGAAGGCCGCCGCCGGCGAGAGGATGTAAATTGTCTTCAACTAAAAATTGATGGGCTGAGAGCCAAATGTTGAGCATCACTGGCTTTCTACGGCAGCTCACTGGCCTCGTTTCATGTTTACCACCCGACGTACATTGGAATGGTTTCCCGATTTGAATGATTGTATAATGAAATAGAAAAAAGTTGCAATTGTGGGAACAAAATGAGCACCACGCTCTCTGTGTAGACTTGTAATTGTACATAGGCCCGATGTTGAATCTAACTCTAAAATGAATATCTGGCTGAACGCTCATTCTATCAGACGTTGTAAAATCACGTTGTTTATGATGCCCCTTTGAAGAATTTTACAGATTGGCTTTCGCCTTGGTATCTTCCACCATGTCTTGCGACACGATCCGAATTAGCCTTTTAACATCACGCACCGGGACGGGGATACATACTGCTCCAAACTTCTAATGCCACCTTCTCAGCATCCCATCCCCACAAGAACTGCTGTGTTTCACGATCAGACCACTTATCAGGGTTGGAGCCACTTGCCGATTCCAGGAATTGCGCGTCTCGCGCGAGTTGCTCTGGGCCGTCCGGCAAGTGTAGTGTGATCCGATTCTCGGATCCGGAAGCTTGAACTGTCTCTGCACGCTGTTTTCGAGACTGCTCATAGACCTTGAGTGCGTCTGGGATTTCATGCCGTGATGAGATTAATGAAAGCAGAACGCCGAGTGCTGCCGCGTCCTCGACTGCCTGTGCTGCTCCTTGAGCAACATAAGGGCTGTGACATGTCAGCATCACACAGGGAAGACAAAAAGAACCAGATCAACATACAGCATAGGATGACACGCGTCACCGATCAAAGCTACTGATCCCCGAATCCAAGTCTTTAGTGGGCTGTGCAGACACAACTTCCACTCGAGGACCTCATCTTCTTCCACAAGATCAATGATCTTTGTAATCTTTGGGTCCCATCCCTTGTAATTATTCACCATGGCCTGCTTTGAGCCCTTTGTCGTCCAGGATTCTTCGACTTCTTGTCCGTCTGGATGAAGCAGAACAACATTGTACAATTCGTGCTTGCGCACGGGGTATGCAATGATGTGGCGCGAAGGACCCAGCCAGCGAGTCGCCTGCGGCTCGTCGATGAGCTCCTTCAACTCGGGATCTCTCTCCATGACACTGCGCGGAAGCATAATTCGGTATGCTGCATCACCGGTGGCAATAGCCTTGATCGATGAGTCCTCAAGCAAATGGCCCCGAATGGTTGATTTGATGCCATCGGCGCCGATAACAACGTCTCCACGAATAATTGTGCCGTTGGCAAGCGTTACGGATGCAGGGTTGAATGCGACATCGGTAACAACAGAATTCTCGTGGAGATGAACATTATCAAGAGCAAGTGCCCTGTCAATCAAGGCGTTGTGCAGGTCTGCACGGTGAATGACAACCTGTTGGCCGAATGTCTTATTCACCGGTACTGATGCCAGGAGCTTGCCATCTTCCCACCGTCGAACATGGATATGCTCCAAGGCCACATCTTGGGCGTGTATCAGGTCAGAAACACCCCATCCTGGTTCCAGGTTAGTTCAAAAGTGACACTACCTTTCGGCGCATGGAAAGAGGCAGTTGACTTACGCTCAAATAGTCGTAACATGTTTGGAGAGACTTGGATTCCAGCTCCAACCTCTGCGATCTATTTCGACCACCATTAGTAAATACAGCAAGATTCATGGCCCCGGGTCAGATCAGGGGACATACTTTGGGGGCAGCTTCGAGGACCACCACACGGTGACCTCGCATCCCCAGTGTCAACGCCGCGGCCATCCCACCAATGCCTAGCAAACGTCAAAATGTGCCCGGTTTGGACCTATACAAGGTCCCATGCAATTCATTATGAACATACCGGCCCTGTTTAAGGTTAGAATGTCGGCCCCTACATAGTGAATGTGGAGATGAAAACTCACCCGACTACGATCACGTCCAAAGGGACATTTGCCGTTTGTACATTCATCGTCCGTAACTCGATGAGCAACTGGGAAGGGAAAAAATAAAATAAAAGTATGGGTTGAAAAGCACTCCAAGATGAGCACGCAGTAGCTATTTCAGAAAAATTAAATCCGAGCTTACTTGTCCGAAGGTTTGCCGTCCCACCCGTGCCACAGAAACCCGCTACCGTTCGGCTAAGAAGAGCGATCTCCATTCATTTCTATCCCCCTCCCCCTTCCTGAGGCCTGAGGCGGGGCATAGTTGATCGTCGTTCTGAGATTGACCGTCTATTCTCCCCAGATTGGAGGCTTGCATGGGATGCAAAGCCTAGCTTAATTGACCTATTAAGGTTCACCATACCGTGAACCACGGCACTTGACGGCTCCTGGCGGGCCGACATAACATCAATATGCATGATAACAGTGTTAGCATATGTTGGTCAATTCTTGCAATGTAATCAATTTCTACGCCCAGGTCCCTCGATATACACTGTAAGGGCCTATACAGTTCAATTTCTCGAACTCCCGATTTTGCGGCGGGCACCCGGAGCCTCCAGGAGGTCGCCACTCCGCTCGGCAAGGAAAAGAGATCGGAGCGCGGGCTCCGCAGCCATTAGCTTTCGACATTGTCTCTGGGGAACCGACTAAGCCCGGCTCTTCTGCGGATTTCTATCTGCCGACTCCTCGCTCGGTCAAGCAACTACGCCCCTAACGCCGAACATCCACTGTCTCTTGCGTTACATATTGGGCCCTCAGACCCACAACGGGGTCGCGACCATCTTCCCCGATTTATGATCCTGTGATGTCAATTCCAGCCCATCCTAGCCTCACGGCATTTTTGGACATGATCTGTTGCCGATTCCTTGTCTAAAGATCCAATTTAGTATTATTTTCAATCGCTAGAGCCTTATCCGCGTAGCTACAATGCGTACCTTTTTTAGATATACGAGATGCATGGCCGGAATGAGTATGGCCCTCCATATCCGCTTTCCAACCGTTTTAACCGTCACTATGGACCAGAGCAGCATGGTTATCCTCTGCATTCCTGGAGCTCCACTCTACCTTCATAGGCAATTTTAATCTCATTCTCGGTCACGGAAAGTAGCCAAACGCGCAAAGGAAAGTTTTGACCCGATATTGTATTTCTGACGTCTTAATGCGGGGTCTCCAGCAAGGACTCAAGGCGCCATCAGGTTCTGCGAAAACCGTTTCGGACTCCACACACGTTGACTCCAGTCGATGCTCGGCCACCCTTTGCTTGCTTTTGCGAAGTACAGACATAGGTTTTATATGCAGCTATCTATGGCCAGCGTCGAAACAAGATCAATGTGATATCAGCGCGATTGTTTACCCGGATTCCCGCGCCACGCGTCCACCGAGCAAACAAATCTGCATCATAGATTCTCCGTTGCGTAAAATGTACTCATGCGATACTGAGTTTCGCCGTCATACACAGATAAATCCTGCAAAGCCTGTCGACCTTCTCGTTCAATGGCAGCACGGATTTCTGGACTGCGTGGCGTGATTCTGCACTCGAAAGGATTGGGTCTCATGTTGAGACCATTACTGCACGGCGATCAGTCAGTCCACGTGATGCGATCAGATAAATCTCTTGACTAGTGGCCACTTACGTATAATCGAAGATGTCCACAGGTATTTCGTTGCCTTGATCATTCAAAGCCTTCTCAATCCGAAACCCCCATAGCAGTCTCGCCACGGTGATGAAGGTCCCTTGCTCTGCAAGACCTTGCCCGCTACACACTCTCCGCCCCCACCCAAAGGTCATATATCCCTTCTCACCGGGAAATGGTCTTTGATCGAGACTATCCTTGACATATCTATCCGGGTTAAAGCGGTCGGGATCGGGGAATTCCCGCTCGTTATGGTGGATGGCCCACACGTTTCCCTGGACCCAAGTGTTGCGCGGGATCAACCATCCCTGGATGCATCTTATCAGTAACAACCCGTGTGCTAGGCCGCTTTGAGCGGCACGGAGAGTTGCTTAGCTTGCTACCTTATAATGATCGTCCTTTATCGGCGCGTGAGGCTGCCCTCCGATAATCGCCACTGATCGCCAGCGGAGCACTTCCTTTACAAACGCTTTCACGTATGGTAGATCTGCTTCGTCCTGGAACATTGGGCTCCGGTGTGGCCCCACCACCCGGTCGAGTTCTTCCCATGCTTTTGTCAGTGTTTCGGGGAAGGCGCAGCAGGCGAGTACGAAGGTTACTAGTGTTGAGCTTGACGTGTCGCTTCCTGCGCCGAATAGGTTTCCTGAGAGAGAGGATATCTCCATACGGGAGAGATTGTGTTTGGGCGCTTCTTCAAAGATCTTCTTTGCATAACACTGCTCGGCATTGGGATTGTTGACTGCTTCTTCGGCCAGGGCGTAAAAGAATGGTCTGCCGCGTCCTTGTCCCTTTCCTAAGCCCTGTTTCCACGGCGCCATCCAATTTGGAAACTTGGCAAGAACTGTCCCCCAATTAGCAAAATGACACATCGGGGTATACCACGGGACACTGAGTAGACCACTCACATGGGAACGACTCCATCAACATAGGAAAAGTCTTCCCAGGTACATTCAACTCCGCCGCACGTTGCATGACCGCAATAACCTCAGTAATAATAGGATCCGTAAACGTAGCAACGCGTCTCCCGAAACCAATAATAGATACCACACTGGTTGCATATCTCTCGAAATGCTTCACGTATTGCTTGGGCTCTCGCAAAAGGTCGAACGCAACTACCTTGCTTTCATCATTCTGGAAACCACGGTAGTTGCGTACTTGCTGTAAGCCGACTCCCATATGTGTCAATTTCCTGTGTAGTCTCCATCGATCACCGTAGTACATGTTGACTAAATTGGACTGCCCTGCGCCTAATTCACTGAATACGACCATGCGTGGTCGAGACGCGTAGATTGCGGCTCGTTTGTCGAGGAGTTCGTTGGCTGTCCAAGCATCGCAGATCCAGATAGTTGGGCGTCTGCCTGTCCAGAATGTGATTATTGGTGAATTGAACTTTTTTGATAGTTGTTCAAAGTAAATCCACGGCTTGCTGTCTGGGAGGAGATGAGTATTTCCCACTAGAGGGAGAGGGAATGGTCCTGGAGGCTACAGAATATCAGCTCGATCTTTCAAATTCCCAACTTGGCTTACCATTTGAAAATATAAGTAAATCATGTAGCTATAGTCTAGCAAGAGTAGGAGCCCCAGAGCTACCAGTGCAACAAGTGCTATTGTGCTGATGTTGACCTGGTTCCATCCTGAATAGGTGAGAATCCTCTGAGTCTGCAGAAGAGCCATAAGCTCTTCGGCCTTTTCAGCAATCATCGTGTTGGTTGAGTTTGACTAGCAAGTCTTGAATTATTGAGACTAGAGGGGGAAAGCTCCAACTAGAAAATCAGGAGGAAGCAGCAACGCCGCTTGTCCGCATCCAAATATATCCAATGTCCCAATGAATTATTTCACATTAGCCATGACCTATTCTTACCCCGCCTGTGGGTCTAATCTGAAAATGCACCTGTAACCAGTGGGGAAGATTGATGTGAATCCAGTGGAGGGTGAAGTGTGAGATATGGGTTGAAATGCGGGCGAGAGCACCATGCTCTGCAGGGATATGCGAAAGGCCCCACATATTGAGCCCATTAATGAAGGCATGCGCACCCCCGTGGTATCGGCTTGTGGAGGAAGATCGAGACAGGACTGCAATATCTCGGCATAGGTTGCTTGTTAGGCTCATGTAGATTGCGCGATACCAGAGCTGAAAAGAATGCAGGAAAACATACGTAGAAGAAGCCCGTCGAGAATTCCGATTGTAAGTAGCATCGACACATCTCTTTCCATGAATCACTGTATCCCGAATTGAAAAACAGACCAGCTCAGTGGGGCTGCCAGCCCCAGATTTTCTTTAGCTCGGGAAGTATTTGCGGGGTTTGTGGGGGAATCACTTCCGGGTCTGCTAGAAACGCAACATATCATTGCTTCCTGTCTGGATAATAAGCAATAACGTGTCATGCACTCCGCAGATACATCCTCCAGCCGAGTAGTCGCAGCCAGGTATGGGCCTGCAAGCGCCCCTCGCAAAGTCCTCGGCACAGGTGATTTCATCTATAGCCGGAATGTCTATATTTGATGAATACTGTCACCCCTTGTAGTGAACATGAATCTTGTCTCCACGCTTTCCATTTCAAAGCGTACTTCTATTTCTAGGCAGTGCTTGGCACATCTCCACCATGGAAGACAACAGCTTATCCACAACAACTCTATGGCAGAATCGAAAATGCCTCCTTCTTTGCTGTCTCGTCTCTATGGCCAACATGCAATACGGCTTCGATCTTGCAGCCGTTGGATCATTACAGGCCATGCCTGGATTTCTCAAAGTTTTTGGATACCCTGATCCGACAAGTGACACAGGGTACGGGATCGATGTGAGTATACAATCCACGAACGACCTAAAAGTATTGACATTGGAACTAGAGCACAGTCCAACAACTGATAACATCCCTTTTGACCCTTGGATCATTCGTCTCATCCCTTGTCGCAGGCTTCTTCTCGGCATATCTCGGTCGACGGCATGCACTATGGCTCGCATGCATCGTCAACGCCGTCGCAGTCGGCATCCAAATCGGAACAACAACACCTGGCGTTCTATATCTAGGCCGTCTGCTTTTGGGATTCGCAAACGGGTTCTTGGTGACCTTCTCCAATATTTACACAGCGGAAGTATCGCCCGCTCACATGCGCGGCGTAATGGTCGCGTTATTCGCGTATTGGGTGAATATCGGGAGCGTGATGGGTTCAGTGGTTGATAACAAGACCAAAGAGCGTCTTGATAAATTATCATATCGCATTCCATTGGCTTGCCTCTACATTGTGCCAGTTTTGCTCTTCGTCGCGCTATTCTTTGTCCCTGAGAGTCCGAGATGGCTACTTCATCGTGGGAAAAAGCAGGATGCTAGGAAGGCATTGGAACAGCTTCGTGGGAGTAGCTATGCGACATTACTTGCACCATCCCGTGAAAGTAAAAAGGGCGATGAAAAAGCCAATGCCAAAGTCACGAGCACAGTCCCAACTCTTCTAGAGATAGAATGGGCCGAGATGGTGAAAGGAGTCGAAGAAGAGAAACGGGAACAAGGCACCGTTTCCGCCCTCGATATGTTCCGAGGTATATTTCTGAATTTGAACCCTCCACAGCAATCATACTAACAAACCCCAGGAGTTGACCTCCGTCGCACGATCCTCTGTTACTGCATGATCGGCTGCCAAACCGCTTCAGGCGTGTGGTTCCTAATCGGTTACCAGACATATTTCTTCACGGTATGCGGAATAACGAAAGCCTTCGAATTCTCCATAATGAACACTTGCTTCGGATTCCTCGGGGTCAATGTCGGCATGTATGCTATTCGTGAACTCCTCGGTCGGCGCGCAATCCTCATGCTCGGCGCTATCGCATGCGGTCTATGTCAACTTGCCAGCGCGATCGCTGCTACTGTGAGCCCTGCGTCGCTGCCAACAGGCCAGACACTCGTGGCATTTACTGCTCTGTTCATGTTTTTCTATAACGGATGTGTCGGCGCAGCCAGTTACCCTGTTGCGACGGAGTTAGTTAGTTCGAGGCTACGAGCTTGGACGGTTGGAACGGCGACATCGTTGGGGTATTTGTTGGCTTGGTTGGTTAACTTTTGTACGCCGTATTTCATTAATCCGGAGCACTTAAATTGGGGGGCTAGGTATGGCTATATTTGGTTTGCTTCGAATGTGCTTTGTGTGGGGTTCTTTTATTTCTGGATGCCGGAGATGAAGGGTCGCTCTTTGGAGGAACTGGATGAGATTTTTGAGGCGCAAGTTCCGGCGAGGAAGTTTGAGGGTTATCGGACTGTTATTAGGGAGGTGGCGAGGATTGAGGCTGTCAATGCGAAGGAAATTGGGATTGGTGAGAAGGATATGGATTGAGTTTTGCGAATGGTATGTAAGTGACGGAGGTCTAAAGATCAAAAAGATGTCAGAAAGGCAAGAATCTCGATTATTTGATTGGCTTTTCTCTTTATAAAACAAAGTAAGGGACCACCATACGCCAATATTCATGAATAGTTGAGATAAATGCGATAACGCCTTAACATGCTTGCATCGAATAGATTGAAAAAGAGCACGACTGAACAAAACGTGGCCTTTGGAGCAAATGAACTGGGACATAGAGGGGTCATGTGGGGTCATGCTGGAGTGCTGAAGTCGTCATCATGGATGCTGAGTAGTATGTTCAAGGAATGGTTTCGTGGGGAATGTACAAAGATAGTTTCATGAAGGACATCAGCTTGCATATATGTCAAGCTACAATAATAGCCTTGCGATTTAGTTGATTCATGACGAAGAAGGAATCTGTCAGTGGGTTGGGTCGTAGTCGTTAGGCGGTAAACATGAGTCGTAGGCGGCTGGGGCCCTTCTTTTTCTTCTCCCTGGGTCGTTTCTCTTTCTCAGGGACGAAGCTGCCGGACTTGGAGGGTGCTCGGCTAGGGGCTTTGCTGGGCGCTTTGCTGGGGACTTTGCTCGGAGCTCGACTGGGTGCCTGGCTGGAAGCTCGTGGTGGAGCCTTGGAAGGCCTGGAAAAGAATCCAGAAGGTGCCCTGGATGTGGTATCGTAATCGGCCCTAGAACGCCCAGCCGAACGGGCACGAGTGTGCCGGGATGTACGCGAGCGACCAGAATGGCGAGATGATGCAACAGATTCATCGTCGAACTTGAAGCGCGGGTCCCGCTCTAGGCGCGCAGTGGTGACATCGATGCCCGACATTGCTGCTGCCTTAGGCGTGATGAACTCCCCATCTACCGAGGTCCCCACACTCCTAGCTTCGATATCTGCGACGCCCCGTCTCCACATTTCCACATGACTGAGTTGTTCCACGTTGAGCTCCATCATGTCGTCCATGCCGATCGACTCCTCTTGCTTTCCCCCGCTAGCGGTCTCGCCCTGGATCTTCTTGATGATCTTGTACCCCCCAGCATGACAACTGTGACACCAAGTCCGACACCGGCGGCGATAAGGAACTGCGGGCTCGATAGGAGGGCGAACACCGCGGGGCTTGCAGATTTCAATGCGGATAGCGCGGCTGGGGCCATCTTGCTGGCAAGAGTGCTGATCTCTGCCAGAGTTAGAGCGACAGCAGCCATCGCATCGGGATTTTTCTGAAGATGCGATATGGTGGCTGTTGCGCTGTGTTGAACGCAGTGTGCTTCCTCCAGAAGCCACTGTGCCTTATTCACCAGCCCGTCGAGCTGATTTTGATCATTGGGGCCAGGAGGGCTGTATCGCGACAAGGCAGCAGGGTGAGCTTCTCCGTATGCAAGGTCCATATCGATGTGAGCATCGGACTTAGACCGAGCAGTGAGTGGGCGACCCTCGGGTTCTCGGACAGCGATTTCATGGTGAGTGTGTCGACGGGAAATGCCCGACGGAGCGTAACGTGATTCCCGACCAGACGCAGATTGCAAGTCCTGTTCATAGCGAGAAGAAGCACGACCGCGATGAACACTGCGAGTGGCATGATGTTGCGACTTTGACCGGTGACTCCGTCGTGAGCCTACGGACTTGGAGTCGTCGATCTTGTAGTGAGCAAGCGCCTGGAGGGCCTGTTCCTCGGCAAGCTTGGCATTTCGCTCCGCGTCGAAATGCGACTTGCGCTCCTTGTAGGCAGCTTTAGCCTGACTAAAGACACCGAATAGTTGTTTACTCTGCAGAACAGTTAGTTCGTGTCACGGGGGCCCTTGGATATTTGTATTGAGGCTGACATACCGTGCTGACAACCTTGCCGGACTTGTCAATCACGGCGATCGTCTGGCCGAGCGGCGCCATGGCAAATGATAAGTGAAAAGAGTTTGAAGATCACTCATGGGAATTTGAGGATCGCCGGGGCCACGAGGAGCGGTGTAGAGCCCTGGCGATTTTACCCGGGGTGCCTGACAGGCAGGATATAAATAATGGGAATAGCAAGCCAAGTATAATATATAAAAAAAAGACAGGGAAGAGAGAGTCGCGCGCGGACGTCCGGACGTCAGAGTGCAGCGACGACTGCCCAAGATGATTAATCAGGCCTCTTATGTGCCACCGAAGCAGTGATCAGCGTAAAGGGTCCGATCGGAGGCTTCTCGCACGTAGAAAAAGTGATGCGGGAAAGCAGGAGGCTGGGGATCAGAGCGATAGCATGGCATCAGCGTGCAGAGGGGTGCAGATGGTTGGGCAGAGCAGCGAACGGTGGCTGCAGGAATTATAGGGCTAAGGGCCCAGTTGGGTGACAGCGATGCGAAGGCAGAAGCGAATCAAGACTCGGCGGCTACTGGATTGGAAGCTCACATCTCATCACACAGCTCGTTGGGCGCAAAGGATCGTGTGGAGAAGTGGTTTGCTGTCGCCTTCTGATTGCACGAGAAGTGAAATCCAAGTGAAAAAGAGGGCGATAGATTGAGAATAGACTGAAATTCAATAAATCGGGAAGTCACACCTGGACTCCGTCTACACAGAAGCAAAGAAGCGGTGACCCGCGGGTTGTGATTGGCCCACTCGGTCACCGCCACTGTGGCTGGTGCTGGCCGCCACAGATACTGAGCAGTGGCGGTGCTGCCTGCTCCCTCTCAGCTCAGCAGTGCTGGGTCCCTTATGGAATACATCCCTGCCGACGAATATATATACTGTAGGCAACTACGTATTTCCACGGACTCCGACTGGTAGCTATCTAGATTGGAAGGAGCACGATGACGACGAATGGCGCGATTCCCCTGTACTACTCGCACATTCAATGCCGCTTGGCGTAGGTTGAACACTGCAGGAACTTAGAGTCCGATCCGATCAGGGGACGAGCCCCAAGGTCATCTGTCTTATCTGTCTCTGCTGATCACAGTCGGTGGACTTGTTTCAACGTGTGCTGTGCTCCATAGGCTAGCCTATTCCTTTCAAGCTAGAGAATCCCAAGATCCTCTTTGACTCCATTGATAAACCCATTTTGATCCACGATGGCAGTACTCGAGAGCCATCGAGCTCAACCTCCATTAGCTCGACTGCTATGGGAGCCCAGGTGAGTCACACTTCAGTGGTGGGCGATCAGATCCTCATTCTGCGGCGATAGTGATAGCATGAGGGCAGACATGCGACCGTACGATACGGACACCGTAATGGCAGAGCACGATCAGAGCCCCCGAAGGACTTCAGCTAACGGTAGATCCACTAGGTCCGCCTGTTGCAGGAGTCGTCAAAGGCATGCTAGGGGTGGTGAGTCGAATATTTTATCGATGGTGCAATTGTTGTTTTTGGGAGTTCCCGCACCGCCCTTCCCGAGATGATTCATTCGGTTCGGTCCACCTTCACTTTGGCTCTTCCACTCCCCGGAATTTGGTGCCCCCAGAGAAGGGAGTATAATTGAGCCAATTGATACGAGACCGGGTCCAATCATCTACCACGGGCAGCTCAGATCATCCTGCAATTGCACCTTTGGGAAAGACGCTCGTTGGCTGACGCAGTCCCCATGATGGACACAGTGGATTCAGGAAGCACCTCCGAAGCGGAGGACCAGACCAAAACATGGGGATCCGATGCTGGACGGATTATCCCGACTTCTGACGATGCGAGCAGTTCTTTACCTCCCAGTGACTGCGGCATCGGGCACCGTGTCGTAGCCAGTCGCTCGGTTTTGGCGTTGGTTATTGACGAAGAATGTGTCTTCGCGGGTTTGCAGGGTGGTGACATTGTTGTATGTTTAAACGGCTCAAATGGGGCATTAATCTTGAAACCCTTACTAAACCTTCTGTACAGGCGTGGTCTCTGGAGACATACGATCTTGTCTTATCCGTGCACGCTCACAAGGAGAGCGTGCTAGGGCTCTACCTGTCCGATGACGGCAATCTGCTATTTTCTAGCGGTGGCGACTCTATGATCAATGTTAGTATTTCGACCAGCACACAAAGTAAGTTGGACTAATGCCTTGGTAGGTTTGGTCAACGAGGACGTTTGAACGGCTTTACTCCATTTACTCACACCACGACGTGGGTGATGTATTCTCGGTGGTGTACTCCAGCATGAACCAGACCATCTACTGTGGCGCGCAAAACACCAGCATTCAGGTACTGAAGCCCTTTCTGTCTCCCCCGTGACTCTTGGCTGACTCGTACAGTGGTGTGATCTGTCCGAGGAAGGCTCTGCCTTCAACCAGACCTCGTCTGGTAATCCACCCAAACGGACACATCGTTTCTTCGACTCCAAGGGACCCGATGGATCTCGTGCACCTGGTTCTTCAGACGGCAACCAGTCCGTCTCGGGAGGTGGCCGCACTTTAACGTTCAAGCGTGACCATCATAAGTTATTCGCCCACCATGGATATGTCTATTCTATGCTCCTTGTGAAGGGCCTGATTGAGTCGGCACCTTCCGAAGAGGCTTTACTGACAGGTGCGGGCGATGGTGTTGTGAAAGTTTGGCGCCTCGGCGAAAAGCCTGGGGCTGTCCCAACTCAGATCGCTAAGCTCCAGAATAGGGATTCGGTGCTCTCTATTGCTGTAGAAGGCTCCTTACTTTACTGTGGTCTTGCTGGTGGAGCTCTCAACATTTGGAATCTCGATTCCCATCAGCTGGTCAAACGGATCGCTAGACATACGGGTGATCTTTGGTCAGTCGAAGTTATTGGAGGCGTGGCAATTTGTGGAGACTCGACAGGAACAGTCAAGGTACTATTGAACCCGCGTTGCAGTTTATGCGCATCTGTTAATGAACCCAGAAATTCAATTCACGATTCGAAGAGGCCGGCGGGTGGGCTGCCCATGAGGGCACCATGCTCGCCTCTGCCGCGGGCCGGTTTAAAGACCGATACATATACGCCACTGGAGGAAACGACAATACTGTTGGGATCTGGGATCTGACAGAGTTCTTCCTGACACAGGATGAATTGCCTCCTATCAGCAATGGCATGTACCGTACCGCTCGGCAGAACTTGAGAGCCCTGCTAATACATTTGCATATAGACGAAATGGTCAACAGCCTTGCCAAATTTGTCTCGTACAAAACCATTTCGGCAAGCCCCAAGTTCTCCGGAGAGTGCAACCAGGGAGCTGCCTTCTTGCGCCGACACTGCAACTATCTCGGTGCAAAGACGAAACTCTTGCCCACAGGCCAAGATACCAACCCTATAGTATTTGCTAGATTTAACGCTACGTCGAACGACAAGGTTGAGAAGACAGTTCTCTTCTATGGCCACTATGATGTTGTCGGCGCTGATACCAACCGACTGAAGTGGAAGTCAGACCCGTACCAGCTCACTTCAATCAATGGATTCCTCTACGGTCGTGGTGTTTCAGATAACAAGGGTCCCATCTTGGCTTCACTCTATGCGGCAGCGGACCTCGCCCGGACGAAGTCCCTCCGTTGCAATGTCGTGTTCCTAATCGAGGGCGAGGAGGAGTCGGGGTCCCAGGGCTTCCACCAGACTGTACGAGATTACAAGGATGAGATTGGTGCAGTCGACTGGATTCTACTTGCCAATAGTTACTGGCTCGACGACTATAACCCGTGTTTGACCTACGGACTCCGAGGAGTCGTGCATGCCAACTTGGTCGTGACGAGCGACCATCCCGATTTGCACAGTGGTATCGATGGTAGCGCGTTGCTGGATGAACCGGTCAAGGATCTTTCACTTCTCTTGGCTACCATGGTTGGACGCAAGGGTCGTATCAACCTACCAGGCTTCCATGATGCCGTCCGACCTCTCTCAGATGCTGAGCAAAAGCGCTTCGAGGCCATTGCCGATGTTCTGCTGCCCCACCACCCAGAGATTACTGATAGCCAGGCCCTGATCAAATCCCTGATGTACAGATGGCGTGAGCCCTCGTTGACCGTCCACTCGATGGAGGTCCCCGGGAAGAGCGGAGCCACCACGATTGCGCGGCGAGCGAAAGCCAGCCTCTCCATCCGTATTGTCCCTGATCAACAAGCGGAAGAGGTGGCAGCAAACCTAACAGCTTATGCGCAAGAGCAATTCGACTTACTCGAGTCGCAGAATGATCTGACCGTTGAAATTACCGGCAAGTCAGACGCGTGGCTCGGAGATCCCGACAATCAGCTCTTCGCGACCCTCTCACAGGCCATCACCGCCGCATGGACCCCGGACCAGCAGACCTCGAAGCACCAGTACCCAGCCCTTCCGGCACTCTCCAATGGCCGGGCACCCGCGAAAGCATCCGGACCAGGCCTTTTGCGCAAAGATTCCAACGACAGTCTCGCCTCGCATGTCGACCGAGTGATCAGCTCAACAACCACTTCTTCAGCCGGAAAAACGGGCGCCCACCGACGCTCCACACCATCAACGGCTCCCGTCCCAACATCTTCAACGCTTACCAAAGCCGCGAGCGACGATCCGGCCACACTACCGGTCTGGGACAAATCCGACCCGCAGCCCGAGAGCGGACCCGTCACCGGAACAACCTCGCCGTCAGCGTCTGCCGTGAAACCGATCTTCATCCGGGAGGGCGGATCCATTCCGACAATACGGTTCCTAGAAAAGGAGTTTTCGGCCCCTGCGGCTAATTTGCCATGTGGCCAGGCTAGTGACAATGCCCACCTGGACAACGAGCGGATGCGGGTGGAGAATCTGTACAAAAGTCGAGAGATCTTCCGCTACGTCTTTGCAAACCTGGTGGATTAGCTTTGAACTTGGTGCATTCTGCTGGTGTCATGATTTTTTTTATTGTTGCCTTTCCGTTTCCCCTCATTATGCAAGAGGGGTGACTTTTGCATGTCTCATTTCTGATACTGTGGTCTTTTTGTAAATCGTGTCCGATCCCTGTTGACATGGATCCCGAGTCATGAGATGGTGTACATGGGTCGTAGGTCACTTGCAGCACTCGATATGGGGTGTTACCCAATTATCCAACGAGGGGCCGCTATCATCCGGCGCATGGCAGTGGAGAAACAACATCATCTTTCGATATTTAACTTCACCAATTCCTGTAAACTAGTCCGAACAGATGGGTTAATGCACGCAAGTTGATAACATCTCCCAAGGAGGTTTCGCCCCCCTATTCTTCACCGCGGGCCGTTTCATGTCTCAGTCCACCCGGGCCGGTTCCCCGCATAAAGAGCAATGTCCATTCGTTGGAACTGTTGGAAGGATTTTGATCCGCGTGCTTTTGTCATGTCCTTGTTCCTTTGCATCCTTAACCCTGGGTGTGTTGCGTATCTATCGCATAGCCGGTTTCAAATTGAGGAGACCGTGCCGGAAGCCAATGGTATGACTTGGAGCTTACTCCAAACATACAAACCCTCGGGTATTTCTACTGATCTTTATACTTTGGCAGTCGGGGATGGGGAAAACAGACTGGTCACAAATCAGCAGCAGTGAAGAGCGGCCTTGACTTTCCTTATTGGGTCGTGAGGATCCCCACCGAGGATTCCGCATTGTGCATTGTTCGAGTATAGGTACTGGAGTACCTTCGCACAACCAAAGGGGACATAGGGGATATAGGGGACGTAGGGGACACTGGGAAACATAGGGGAAAGACCACGCCCAGATGTTCCCCAGCTCCGTAGTCCTTCCGAGGCCGAACTGGCGCCGCAGGCTCAGTTCAAGCTGAGGAAAGTATAATAATGGTGTGGTCATCCCGAACCAAATCCCCTCCCGTCTTTTCTGGATCCATCGCTTTTCCCCCCCCTCCGTTACCTTTTCATCTTCCCTTGTCCCTGCAATCATGGAAAGCCACTGTGATGAGACTATTTATCTCCTCGGGCGGAGTGAGGCCGAGACCACACGGTAAGTTCCACGCACTGCGCGTATGTCGACGTCATGACGATCCCGCGTTCCTCAACCCGATCCCCCAATCTCCCAATCCCACAATCCCAGCAACACACAAAAACAAAAACAAAGACAAAAGCACACGACCCCCCCCGAAAAAAACAAAATGAACATGTTTTGCAGCCTGCCATAGCCCATACCGGGGGCCAATTCTCTCTCGAGGGGATTCCACCGGGCTGGATTGTCGGGCCATGATCCCTGTCCAAGCAGTGATTACGGGACCTGCAGGCGACCCGACACTCTGGACATCCAATCTGCAGGCCCCAATGGTCACCCACTTGGCAACCCACTTCTTCCAGAACCTTTGGGCTAATTTCTTAGTCTGAATAAACAACACCGCTTCCTGGTTGCAATCTCCGGCGGCGAACTGATCCATCCATCTATTCCTATTGAAGGAATTACCGCTGTTGCCGACGTCGGTACTGGAACTGGGTATGTCTTGGTTGATCCACGTGCCCAATCCGTTACCCAATATACTCCCAAGCCATCACATTTCAATTCCCCGCTTGAACAGTGAAAGGAAAGAACTTGAAACATATCGACAGTACCTATTTTAAAGAAAAAAAAAAAAAAAAAAAAAGGATTCAAAATATAATACTTACCCCAAATACAGAATCTGGCTCGCAGACCTCGCCAAACGCCTCCCAAATGCACCATCAGTCTACATGCACGGATTCGACGTCTCAGACGCCCAATTCCCACCCGATAACACAATAATTGGACCCCAAGGTCGAAAGATCCCATTAAATGTTCAAGACGGCTTGAAGCCATACCCGGCAGAACACCTCGCTCGCTACGATATAGTCCACATCCGACTATTGACAGCAGGTCTACCGCAAGATGGTTACGCCACCGTATTGAAGAACGCCCGAGACCTGCTAAGTAACCCACCCCATCTCAATCCCGAAAATGCCATGGTTTATCAAGACAAAATACTAACGAATATAGAACCAACCGGTTGGATCCAATGGGAAGAGGTCGACCATACCACGTTCTGCACAAACAAACTCCCCGAACACCCCGCAATAACGAAACTACGCAATGCCACCATTGATGCAATGCTGAAACTAGGTCTGTGGCCATTCGCGCCACAGCGCGTCTTCGATGAGATCTCGAAAGCGCGGTTTCAGAATGTTCGGCGCGAAACGTACACTACTGTTGGGAAGGAGCATTTGCATGAGATAGCGCCGAAGTGGGTTGCTAATGTTATGCGGGCGTTGGTCCCGCCTTCGATGGTTGTCAATGGACAGGCGAGGAATGAGGAGGAGGGAAAGGCCAAGGTTGAGGTTTTGATTCGACAGTTTGAGGAGCATTGTGAGGAGGCGTTGCCGTTGGTCAATTTTGGAGTCACAGTTGCGCAGAGGTGCGACTGATCATTTTTTTCGAGGGAGTACTTCTTTGTGGTCTTGGCGAGCGTTGTACTTATTGGAGGATCACTACGCTTGGTCTTGGGCTTTGGTTTGGCATTGTACGCACACGCATAGCATTACGGATATTTTGGCATTGCAGCAATTGTTTGGTTTCATTTGGGGTATTCTCTCATTACTACATGAATTCTGGTTTGAATAGACACCGTCTAGCTTCCAGTTACTCTGTAAGCTGGATGGTTGGTGATGAAACTATTGTTTCTGAAAGGAGGTTGCACCCGCTCCCGGGGGAGGCCTCTTGCTCGCTTCTTGACCGCTGTGCGACTCATTATACTCGTGGATGCAAACTCCGCGTAGCAGTGGAGAGAACCTCTGAAATTTAATATGTGACTACGGCGGTTATCAGGATTTCCCAACAAAGTAAGATGGATTCGAATACTTCGTCAATGTGACCGAGGGGGCAGCTCGGGAATCCCGGATGTATAAAATCCAGAGGCGTGTCAACCCATTGATTGAGCGTGGTATACCCTGCTCTATCCTGAATTTCTTGTATAGTGGCATCGACTTTAAGTATAAACGGCACCCCCACATCTACTGGCTTATGAGCCCAGCAGAATTGGGCAAAAATCGCCGTTGTAATAACACTGAGAGTCGTAAGTTCCAGGGTTGTGATGGTCAAATCTTGACATGCACGACCAGTGCAGGTAACAACGAACCATAAAGCTTGCGAAAAGCCAATGATCCTCATAATCATTGAAGCCTTGTCTTTGTCGTTGATGATGTCCCTCTCTAGAATGATTTGATTTATGATTTGATTTGAAATCATTGGTTCCTTAATCCAGTCTTCTTCGATTAAGTACCACAGCTCTCTGGCGTCAAGTGGCCAGGAGAGACCATCTCTAGTTTTTTAGGATGAACCCCTCCCCCCATGTCGGCAAAAAGGCATGCATCATAGACCACTGGGGATATTTCTTGCTGAAGTCTTTCACATATTGGCTAGTGGATTCCCATTGCCCGACTGCATTGTACTGAATAAAGTCCGGAACTAATTTGCAGGCGCTGTCTAGGAGCATTTTGCGATGAAAGCGCCACGGAAAAAGCCTGTATCCGGCGCACTAATATTGATGCAAAGTACAGACCAGGTACAGAGGAAGATATTCAACGAGCACGACCAAAGAATGTCAATGGTTCCCCGCCCGTCCGGAGAAGAAGTCCAGCCTTGAACGTCTATTATAGAGTTTGCCATACTAATCACAATGCACCTGTGTAGGCCTTCATGCCGCAAGAAGTTTTGTAAGGGCTGTGTACATGAAAATTCGAAGGGACAAGTGGCTAGCAGGGAGTTTATAGATTATGGTAATTCAAAATTAAAGATCAAAAAAAGAAACAGTGATCAGGCACAGTTATAAGCAGCCTCACAGATAGACTAGTGTGGCTGTGTGCACATGTCACTAAATGGATTTGGGGCTAGCGCCTCCATAGCCTCCTTCGCAGAGAAACAATTCGTAGGTGTATTCGGGGGAATCTATTTTCGAATATGGCAGTATGGTATAGAAACTGATCCTTCGTAGCCAGATAACGAAGTTTCGTGCCATTTTTCATGGATTTGGATATTTGTTGGTGCGAAATTAAGATGTCTGAGTTGAGGCCACATCATGATAGGGTTGGTTATTATCAGATCTCAATACATTACCAAACGGATCTCTTCGGTTTCATCGATTTACATACTGTAAAGATCTAACAGTTCCCAGCTCATCTCCAGTGCGTGCCCGACATTTCACTGGTCAAGCTCTGCAAGATAACTTTCGTGCATAGTATCTTTAACTTGTGCCTCAGAATTTGCCATCTTCGAGATGGCCATCGAATCTTAGTGAGCATATTAGTGTATACGCAGAGGTGCTGACAAAAGACTTGTAGGTTTGGAGGAAGTGCTCCCAGAACGTAGCTACGGGCACGTCATTTGAATTCTCTGTCAATGATCCACCATTCTCGTGATGCTGGATCATTAAGTTTTGCCTCGGAAGGACTTTAGCATGCGATTATTGTCTGTCACATAGTCGGAGACTTGTTGCAAACACGAACAAGGAATAGCAGAACCATCAGTAAGACCGCGGCGAGAATCGACGACCAAAAGTCAAGCATGGTTGCGACGTGGGGCATTTATTGACGTCCACGGGTGTTATCAAAATATACCTGAAGACTGAAATTGAGGTGAGCTTGGTTCTCGTAGCGCTGGGGTCTAGTAGGCGAGGTCGCAGAAGTGAATGTACTCACAAGTGAGTGACAGGCATCTTGGTGACACTACCGTCGACACATCCTGTAGAAGTGCATGGTTGGCTGTCGATATATTTGCAACGGGGACATTAGCCGCTGGTATCATCATCATCTAGAGAACGGAAGCAACAAGGGATCTTTCAAGTGATTGATTAAACATTTGAGAGTGAGTGTGTGGGATATGAACATACAACTGATCATTCTTTGACTTCTTGTTCGGTTTGATATGAAAAAATGGATGATATTATTCGGGTACTTTCACTGATATATATCTAGCAACAATAAAAAATAGAGCCAAAACACTAACATTGTTTACGAGATGCTTATTTCGTGCATCCGAAGACCTTCAGGACCTTTATGCCCTAAAGCACTCCAGGGTTTGAGGTATTGTAACAAGGTGGATGCAGGTGTTTCGACACCCCAGACGGCATCTATCTACGTACAGAATCTTTTCTTCGCATCTACCTTTCCCCCTCCACCTCTCCAACCTCATTATATACAGTATCTGTAGTCCCCTGTTCCTGAGCCTGGAATTTGCCCACAGTATGTTGATTGCGCAAATAGGATCACCGTTTTGACCTCGCACGTTCCATCTAGCCAACTTGGGCAGAAACGCATATATTTACCTTCTCGGGCCAGATCCGAAATTTTTTAAAATAAAATTGACCCACCCTGCTCCACTTGGTCTCGTTATCTGCTGCGTGAAAGGAATTTTTTTTCTAGGCTAAACGGCTTGCGTGGCACTTTGCCTTTTTTGGGCTCGGTTCCAGAGGCTCAAAATGAAAATCTTTGTCGAGTGGACCCTGAAATTAAACACTATCGCGCGATGCGCTCTAGCCTGAACCATCTTAATGCACCTGGCCCAAAGCGTTTGCTACATAAGCCCTGATCAGTGCACTCGGTGTAGATTTCTCTGAGCACGTTCCAGGTGGTGGGTATGCGGTGCGGCGCGGCGTTCCGTAGGCCCACGTTCTAACGATCTTCGGCAGGTGGATGCTCAAAGTCCTCGCAACGGGGATCAGCCTTAGCCTCATTCGCTCGGCATGAAAATTCAGAAGGTGAAGCGGCTGATTGTGGCACCTGGCGTAGGTGTAAAAATCGCCCTATCCATTCCAGCTGAGCGGCTAAAGACGGCACGTTCTGTACCCAATCGAAGACGACAACTAGGCGTTCATACGGAGTTGTACGGGATTGAGTATTGGCGCGATGTTAGTTGAGACAAATGTGGGTTGCACCTCCGAGGTCGTTTTCAACCGCTTGTCAAAGGACGTACCCTCCCATGGTACGTAGTACAGCCTGACTAACAAGACGTTGTAAATGCGCCTGAACAATTGATTTTTTTGGTCCTTGGAGGTCTTTCAAGACATCTTAAAACAAATATTCGTATACGACTGTCTGGACTGATGTTTATGGCCGCCTAGAAGACCCACTGATGTCTCTGGCCAGGCCGTACAACAACTGAAAACGATAATACTTCAATACGAGCATAACTGATCATGAAACAGGGATAAACAATGCAATCATATCATCCATTGCAGAGATTCAATGACTTGTGTAAATCCAGGAGTAGCTTTGGAAAAAATAGTAACAACAGTCCGATGCACGCGCAGAACAAGGGAAAAATGAACAATGAATGTATGCAAGCTTGCACAAAAAATACATGCCTAAAAATATGTCACAGTTGCAACATCTCACAGATCATTGCAGGAGGCATCAACTCTGGGAGAGATCGCCGTCAACGGACTCGACTCGTTGTCCACGCTTCTTGTGGCGTCAAAATTGCAAATTCTCACGTAGGTGATGCAGAGATATTATTGCAAGAGAGGTTGATCCTCAGAAGGACCGCCGTCCGCGGGTTTGGAGTGTTGTCCATGCTTCTTACGACGACGGCGCTTTTTTGACTTGGAGTTTGAATGTGCATCAGGAAGTTCCAAATTCAAAGCATCTGGATCTGTCGCATCGGTTCTATGACTAGGTGAAGAGTCGCCAGTGGGGCGCGGCGAGTGCTCGCCGTCCGATGAGCTAGTGGCGGTGGTGTGAAGGACGACCTTGCGAATGCCGTTGACGTCCACGATTTGTTCTGTGATGCTACCACTTCGGGCTGGACCGCGGTGGTGGTATATAAATTCTGTGTGAGATTCCGTAGAGCGAACACTGCAGGTCCCCGAACTGCCTTTGCGCGTGGACCCAGAGATAGGTCGCTCTTCGCGCTCTTCGCGCTCTTCGCGCTCTTCGTGAACAGCTTCGGGGATAGAGAGCGGGGGGAGATCCTTGTATGGTTGCGTATCTGTATTGTCGATGATAAGGTCAACAGGCTGGGTTTCATGCGAATCGTAGCCATGGTGATTAGATTCAGAGTCGTTATAGTTACGAGAGATGTTATCGTGGGAGGTGGTATCTCGCGGGCTATGTTCGAAGGCAGGAATGGTGCCGTAGCCAAGCTTGAGAGCATGGGTACCATCCTTTGCGTCAACTCCCGAGCTAACAAGGCCGGCACCGATTCCACCCTGGTAGGCAGTGTTTGTAAACAGACGCTGGGAATCAGATGTGCTCTGCCCAGATTCGAAATCGGTCTGGGCTGAGCGGGATGGGGAGTTGCCACTTCGTTTGATTTTCACAGTATTGTACCGGGTTTGTCGAGGACGACTGGCCAGGTTGGAGGGGCCAAGGTGCTTGAGGTGTTCACGGATTTCATCCGTGGCGCCTCTTTGGGTGAACCACGGTTCATTGGAAATGGAAGTGATGTCGCCATTTTGTTTGCGCAGCTGGAATCGTGGAGGAGGTGGTTCAACAGAGCTTCGACGACGGGGAGGATCTGAGCGCCTTGGAACGGACGTAGATCGCGCTTCGTCCTCAATCAACTCGCCATCTGGGTGAGAAACAGACATAGGTGGCTCTTCGATAATCTTTCCCTTGGGAACACGAGATTTGGGAGCGGGTGCCATCCGACGGATGGCCTTGTGGACATCAATGAAGACATCAGATTCATCAATGATTTCTCTGCGAGAGCGTGGTCAGTGACAATAAGCCAGATGGGAATTTGGAGGGAAGCGTACTCGCCAATCAATTCTTCAATCACATCTTCGAGGGTAACAACTCCGAGAGCCCCTCGATCTTCACTTGGATATTCGGATACAAGTACCATATGGGACTTTCCTTCCTGGAAGAAGTTGACGATATCCAAGCAGCTGGTCTCAGGTCGCGTTTCTGGCAGCGTTGCCAGGGCGAATTCGCGAACACGCTTGCAGTCTTCCGGGTCGTAGGTAATGAGCATTTTGACGAGCAGCATACCGACAAAGTTCACCGGATTCTCAGGCGCGTGGATGGGTATGCGAGAATATCCTTGGGACAGGATGAGATCCATGGTATGCTCATCAAGGATGGTATCGGCAGACATGGTGAATACATCTTCCATCGGCGTCATGATGCTTCCGACGGATTTCTCCTTCAAGTCTAGGACGGCGCTGATTATGGTGACTTCGTCTGAGTTGAGCTGCTCTCCGGCCTCGCCCAATGTTTTGTGCAATGTGACGAGTGTCTTCAAACCGGCCTTTTTGTAGATAGTGCCATGGTCCTCGCCGAGGAGCCGGTCCAGTAGCTTGGCGACCGGCCAGGCAACAGGTGACATGACGTACATCAGGAGCAGGACACAGGGTGCCATCCAGGCGCCGATCGGTAGCCCGTAACGAACACAGATAGATTGGGGAACGACTTCTCCGAAGATGACGATCAATGCGGTACTTCCCAAGACCGCCGGCCACCCGCCGCCGAGGGTCCGATCGAGAACGATCGGCAGTGTCTCGTTCGTGATCACGTTGCTTAGAAGAAGAGTAACGAGCACCCAGTGCTTCCCACGTTTCAGCAGGTTCAACACACTGGCGGCATATTTCTTTTCCGATTCTTCCCCAGACGTCTTGATCACCTGCAAGTAGACCTCATCTTGGCCCATCAAGGCGATTGTAAGTCCCGCGAAAGCTCCACCACTCAGCACAAGGGCTGCGGAGATTCCCAGGTACAGCCATAAGTTTGGATCGGAGGGCTCGATCGATGGTTCGGCTTCGGTCGGCGAGAGAATGTAAGATGAGAGGACGGGAGCGGCCGTTGCGAGAGGGAAGTGAGAAAAGGTGAGGACGACAAGCTTGGCCAAGCTCAGCACGAGCGGCCGCGCGGCGAAAAGACGAGTCGCGGGCGAATTCATGTCAGGAATTGTCCGGACGCGAAGGAGTAAGTTCGAATCTCAATCTTACGGTCACAGCGGGGACATTGCCGTGACGTAGACCCGAGTGACTGCGGGCAGGGAAGGAGACAGGGAAAGGGCAGAACGGAGGGGGGGAGTGTGAGGCTGTCAAGGGCGAGTAAGCGAAGGTGGGTTTAGCACCGGTCTTGTTGCGAGCTCGAGACTACAGTATGACGCTGCACGCTGAATTGGGTTTCAAACAGAACGAATGGCAGAGATAATCCCGCGCACTATCGACACCTGGTGACTTAGGCTCTCCACTGCGGGTCCTTGTCACCCAACTCCATCGGCTCAGTCAGCTCCACCAACCCTCCACCCATCACCCAGAGCCGAGCCGTGTGCTCCCGCGGTTCTGACCGATTGGCACCGTTTTCCACATCGGGGGGTTTCCAGGAACCAGATTCGGCCCGTGCATTATATCGCGAGCTGGAGAAGACGTGGTTCCTTCGTTTCTCCTCTCTCCATATTCACTGGTCATTCAACTACTACCCATTGACAAGAGATATTCTAGCTATCACCATTATTTCATTCAAGTTCCTCCGGGCAATCATAGCTTCCTTATCCCTCATCACTACCAGGCCTACGAGGAACAGGGCCGTATTATCTATCGCCATGGATGTTGGTACTGTTGAACGATAGAACCCCGCCGGAGGTTAGTAATAAGACCAGTAGCGACTTAAACATGATGGCTAACTGACAGTCCATCAATGCTTGTGACAACTACTTAATGGCGACACGAGAGTTTAACGGGAGTAATTTGGGCAAAACAAGGCAGCCATGTGATCGTATACGATGAATGCTTTCATGCAAAGATAGTTTTCCCGAGATGTAGACCTAGGTCTAGGTATCGTTAAAATCCGTATAAATTCATAATCAATGTAGCATGCACCGGGTATGCAAACCAGAAACGCCAGGGTATCGCAATGAGAGTAGGAAAGAAAGCTCAAAACATAGAACTCCGCTTTTTGTCTAGTCGATTTCGACTGCTGCTCTCCTCCTTGTTCCGTATAAACCCAAAGAAGCTGCTCTTCTTCGGCTGCAGTTGTTGCGGACTCGGCTGTTGAGCAGCTGGCAAGGCACCGCTACTCGTAGGGGTGGGATAGAATCCCACATGGGATTGAGGCCTAGGCTGGGCTTGAGGCCTGCCTTGAGCCTGCGGTCGAGGCATGAGCTGGGCGGTTGATTGAGCTCGCGGGTCCATGCGGCTCGAAGTGTGGTGGTAGGGGCTGCTGGCCAATGTGGGAACTGGTCCGCTTTGTGCGACTCTGTGAGGGCGAGTTTGTCGAGGGGGTTGGTGTGGTCCTTGAGGTGGAAGATGAGAGTAGGACTGCGAGTATTGGTGAGCGTATGGCCTTGCGGGAACGCTGTGTCGCGGGGGCAGATGCGGTCTTGAGGACGAGGCCGGGTTAGGCCTTTGTTGGCGCGCATGCTGCTCTTCCATGCCGTAAATGTGTTGCAGACGCTTTGTTTCATTGTCGACCTCCGATTGGCGTTGGCGTCGGGCCTTGTGCTGAGACCGTTTCTCCGCTGCAAGGAGCTCTTGCGTGCGGCGGGCTTCTTCTGCCGCGAGTTCATCCTGTCGTTTCCGGGCCTGGGGGCCTGGTGGCTTTGAATTGGGGATGTTCAATTGTGGTGGAGACGGCTTGGTCTTCGGCACGACCACCGCCGCGGCAGCTGCCGTTTGTGGCTTTGGAGTCTTCCTTCCGGTGGGTGCGGCTTGGGGCCGGGTGCCGACCGCCGGGGGCCCGGCTGCGGTGATGTGGAATGCCTCCTTGGCTGGACCGAAGAAGATATCGCGAATTGCAACAGCCGCGAGAAGCAAGACAACTTCCAGACCCTTGAAGTCCTCCATTTCAACGCGGTAAAGATTCGGTTCGTACAGAGTGAGCTCTTTCAAACCCTGGAAAAGAGCCACCGTAATATCGGGCTCCTTGCTCTTGCTACGTGTATCTGGCACGCTTGATGTCTTTCCATGCAGCAAACAGGATAAATCCTTCGACAACTTTCCATCTTTGCGCCAACTGAACCGCAACTTCGGGGTCACGTCAGCGACGGAAGGGTCGCTCTGAGTTCGGTCCAGCTTTGACGAAGAGGGGACTCTAAATGTCCGCTGAGGCATTTCAAATTCCCATCTCGCAGGTCTATTCCATGTCTTTGCCTTGTGGCACACAACGATCTTTTGGTCGGGGTTGTAGAGCTGGATTGTAAACTCGTTCGGGAGGATGGGTTCGGGGGGTGGCGGGACGCCGCCATTTGCACGGATTGTATCTGCAGACAGGCTGGGTTGTGTCCATTCTGGGACCACAGCGACTTCACCGTAAACGATGTCCGTTATGAAAGGGTCATACAAGGCGACACCGTAGCGGTTGTTCGTGGTGGGGAGAGCGGGATCAAGGGCACGGAGAGTATAGGCGGGCTCAGGGTCATTTCCATGCTGTCGGTGGTAGATGGTACTCTGCTGAGGGCTCTTCGAGTTGTTCTTTAGGAAGAACGCTATTGAAGAGTTAGTGTCATGTGCGGAGAACCGAAGCCGGGGATGACGTCGGCCTTCCAGATAATGATCCGACCAAGGGTTCAAGGGATAGAGCTTACTTGGCAGGTTTTCATCGATCATGTTGACTCTCGACTGGAGACTACTGTGGCCAGCGCGAGTAATATATGATGCATGAAGAAAAGCCCTGAAGCCGAAGCGGGAGACGCAGCCACAGATGATCGGCGCCTATTTTTAGCGGCAGGTTAAACACCGCCCGCGTTGCGAGAGTTGCCCGTTCGTCTACGAGGCAACATCATTACTACGTATCCACACGGCTATGCACTCTATCTGATCGCAGGTACCCGGAACCTGGCTGCCTACTACTCGTGATTGGAGAAGCGCACGGGGCCTGCAAAATAACTCGACCATCTATCCAAAACAAGTTTGATTCGCGCGTGCTATATGTCGAGCAGGGAATTCCCCGCGACCCACTCATCCGCAACAGCCTGGCTTGAAAGAGTCCGAGTCAGCATTTGCGTAGGCAAGAGAGGAAAGAGGGCTCGGGAAATCTTACTATCTTTTGAAGCGCCCAAGCCACCATCCTCCGCTTTGTCTCGTGTAGACCGGGCCTCCAACATACGAATTAGGGGGTGTATTCCATCCCGGTCTATAGTCTCGGGTAGCAAGCAATGCGAGGGTAGGGGTCACCCACCTTTCTAGGGATTTTATTGGCGAGGGAGGATCCTAAACCTGGTCAGCCTTTGATGAACGTAGTAATCCAGACGCACCATTGTTTATGTGTAGACAGCTTCAATTGGTTGGAAAATATGGGAATCGATACGTCGACTTAATCCACATCGTTAGCTGGAGCACAAGGGGAGAGATCACGTACCTTGTTTCTTCTGCATAATTGGATCCCAGCATTACGAATCGGCCGAAATCTAAGACCCGATTAGCTTTCAAGAAATGAACCTGACTGGGAATGTACCTTCGGATAGACATGCTTCCACAGAGCTCTTGTGTACAAGTAATAAGAATTCAATATTGATACCTAGATAGATATCAGTAATAACGCCAGAGAGGAAGACTTACTTGGGCGGCCGTGGTTGTCGTCGACTTATGACTCGGAAAAGTAAAGCATACCAGTCGTCCGTCTGGAGTATCTTGTCAGTGGAAAGATCTTTGATAAAGGTTAAACTAACTCAGGATAGCCTTAATTTCGTTAGTGGTCAGTCAGCTCAAATGGCATGGACAGAATTGAACTTGGCTATCCGAATATCCGGTTTCCACAGGTCAGGCTTAATTTGAATTTTAGGTTAGTTGGATGCAATGCGCCCTATATACTGGCTAGTAACAAGGTTGGAGAAGGAGCGATTCACTGATCATCGGTCTATTCCGGTTTGCACCTGTATGGTTAGTAGATTATGATGGATCCTAAGCTCAACAGACGTTGGTTTCGTGGCAGTTGAGAAAAAAGAAAGAGAGATGTACATAGCTGGTCGGCAGGGCTGGAAAGTAGGGCAGTTGAAGCTCAACTTCGGACCTGTGCGAGTTTTTTAGAAATTTCCCGGGGAATTGACTGAAATAAATGCTCTCGACTTGTTATACGATAGTGGTGATGGAACTGGCCCCTAAAACGAACTGTTAGCTTTGGGGAAGGGACTGACAAACTTACTGAAATTTGAAGAAAAAGTACTCGTGGGCTAATGGCCTGGCGAGATCTCTGAAAATGCTCTTAATGAACTGCGAAACTGTGCTGGTGAGTCTGGAGTCCATTTGAGACGGGGACTGCATTGTATTATATGGACTTGTCCTGACAATAGCCCGCATAATGGCGTTGTGCGCTTCAATCGAGTCTCTTTATATAACCCTTGTTGATTGTGTTTGAGCTTGTCTTGAATGAAATTCAACGAACATATGCACTATCAAAGCAAAGCAAAGCATGAAAGAATCCCAGAAACTAGGTGAGACTGCATACTATGGCGGCCCGAAGACATCCTCTCGGGGTTCTCCCTTCAATCCCAGGCGTACAGGAGGCCCGGGTCGCATCTACAAAGAACGAGATCGGAAAAGTGAAACTCGGTCTGAATGTACGTATCCATCAAAGTTCTCGAAGGTTGCTTTTAGTCTATCTGCATCGAATCTATGCGCTCTATTTTTAATTGCTCTGTTCGAGACATGCGAATTCCCGTTACAAAGGAACATCACAGTGTCTATCACGTCATCTAGAAATTCTCTATACGCGCACACCATCTACCTCCTTGCCCTCGGGCACCTTAGCGGAATCCCGTTCAGCAGTGCTGAGCTGGAGGCCCTGGTCATCCCAGCCCTGTGTACCAATCTTGTAAAGGGTCTTCTGCTGCTCACGGTGGGGGGTAGGGCCAATCTTGCCACGGCGCTTCCGAGACTCCAAAGTCTCGGTAAGCGTGGCGTTGTCGCCGTCTAGTGGGTAGCCCTCCAAGTCATCTGTGTGCTCCTCGTCGCTGAAAGTGAAGGTGCGGTATTCGGTGTTCGTCCAGCCAGTACCTGCGTAGATATTGTTAGTTTCTGCAGCTCTGGGATGCAGCCGTAGCTTGTATGACGTACCCTGGAACTGGCTGCTATCCTCCCAGTCCTCCGTGAAGTAGTGCAAGAATCCACCGTGCGTCACCATGACAATCTCCTTCTCGGGTCGGGCCTTCAACCACCGGCGTGCAGCGCGTGCACGCTCTTTCAATGCTCCGTTGCGAGGCGCGTAGCGGCCATCCTGGGTTCGCAAAAACGTATGAGCTAAATTTGTTGCAGAGTGTGTCTTTTGACCAACGAACCTTGTTGTTCCACCCCTCATGTACCAACCCCAAGTCCACATTCTTCCCCGCAAACTCCTCCCGTAGAACTTCTGGATCACTTCCGGTGTCGCAAGCCACATCAGAGGTCTCTTGGACATCGGGTAGAGCAATAAGTTGCATATCGGGGCGAGCCTTGAAGACGGGCTCAAAGCTTTCCAAGGCTGTGTAGATAGTGCGGCGCAGCGGCGACGCAGTGACCAGGTCGACATCGGCATGGCGGGGGAAAGACCCATGGAGCTTGCGGCATTGTTCATGGCCGAGGTCTGTGAGGAGGGGGTCAGGGATGACATGGTTCTCGGTACACAGGTTGTGGACGCCCTATGAAACAAGCCCGTTAGCTCAATTGAAGCCGAACCCATGGAAATATTTGCAAGTCCGCGTGAAGATTCGCGCTGGGTTCTGTAAGACACACAATTGGAGGCGCGATGTGCGACGTACCTGGGCGTGGCGGACGCAGTGGATGATCGGGGCCATGCTGGATCAAACGTTCAGATGAGCAGGCAAGCTAGGGGTCTGGTTAGCTCTTGTAGACAGCTCGCGTTGAAAGACCCTGGAGACGCCTCTTATCGGAACGTGGGGCAGCGGGGGAGAATGGAGGCGCAGACTCGGCAGATTGCAACCGTGACTTACATTCCAATGATCGACTGATATCGACTGTTAAAAGCAATAGCAACAAGCTGTTACCAAATTGATCTCTGAAAGAAGTTGCAAGGCGAAGAGTCATCGGAGGTCAGCACTCCGCCTTCTTTAGGCGTTGCCACAGTTGCTCCGATCGCCTCAGGGCGAACCACACGCCGTAGATGGGGCCGATGCAAGGCTTTTTGTCTTTGATTTGTCGGCGAGTCTGCATCTTTGAACCCCACGCGCTGACAAACAACCGACGGAAGGTTGGCCGATACATTTACTCAGCTGGATATAAAGTTGAAGATATTGGGAACCTTGGAGATGATCGCTTATTTTACTTCACCCTAAGCCAGACGGAATATTTAACGTAATCAGAGCCTCAAGTACTGTACAATGGCATGCTGCTTTTTCATTCCACGCACTTATAGAACAAAGAAATGGGTATGTACATCCTTCGAGAGATTCCTCACAATCCCGTAACTACGCAACGCCGAATCCTCGCGCGTTTTCAAGTGCCTTATCAAGCTTCTCAGCGAGGGCCTTTTTACATGAATACTCCGGTAACAATAGACGACCGAAACACGTCAAGCTGGTCGGAAGACGCTAGATATCAAGTTAGTATGGAACATAGAAAGGATGAAAGGACTTGCAACGTACCACATCGCCCACGCCGTTCTTTTGAATGACGAACATGATGCTGGGGATTCCATTGACTGGGATTCGGTCACTGGCAGTGACAAATTCCAAAAGTTGTGCCTTCTTCTCGGGTGAGTACTGCTGGACAATGCTCCAGAAGTCTCGGATGACGCGATGGTCGGGTCCGAACCCGCCCTCGTAGCGGGCATGGTTTTCTAGCTCCTTAATGTCGATTTCGTGGAGACCCTCGACGACTGTCTTCAGCGCCTCGGGGTTAAATATAGACAAAGCCGACCGATCAAGACAAGTTTGGAAGCCTCGAAGAAAGGCTTCAAACTGCGGTCGAACCGATTTGTCAGTGAGCCAGAAAATATAATCCTTGACGAATTTTTGCCGATTATCGTTTGTCACAAGAGCGGCTTCCTCGCTTGCAGGGGTCGGAGACTGCGTTGACAACGATTCGGGCTTGGGCATCGTAGTCTCCTCGGTCGTTTCAGCTGTCGTAGGTGAAGGAGGGCTCAAAGTCGCCTTATCGGAAGAGGGCACCTTAGATAACGCGGTAGCATGGCTGCTGGAAACAGGCCATGTTGCATCCCGACCAAACTTCTGCATATCAATGGTCTCAACCTGACCAAACGACTCAAAACTGAACTCATAGGTGCGCACAAATACTTCGCCAACATCACCGTCCTTCCATTCAAGGAGTGAGCTGAGACCCTGAGCAAGTTCAGGCCAACCGTCCTTTATATGGTCCAAGTGTTTCACCTTGAGGCCTAGCAGCTTTCGATAGAAGGCAACAGGGAAGTTGATTGGGAGAGTGAGACCGTTGTAGACAGCAATAGAAATCAGCAAGCCGAGGAGCTCAAACTTGTAGAGCGGCTCATGAGAGCAGGGCCGGAACCAGGAGATACGGTGTCGGCTATCCATGGTGAACATGCCATAGGCTGGATCGAGCGCTTCCGCCATGAGCACGCGGAAGAACTCTTGTTGCACTCCGCCATGATCCAACCCTTCTTCACCCTCATCCATTCCCATCTGGACCTTAAGAGGGCGCATCAGCTCACGTCTTTCTCGCCGCCAGAGCTGGTTAAGAGCATCTGTCAAAACGTTATCACGCCTGACGGAAATAACGAGGTATGTAGACATGGAAACTTTCATGCGAGCCAGGAGTGCAGCATCGTTGGTGACATGGATATTGCCAAACGCAGTCTGAGTGACATGCCTGGTTGTGGTCATGGCGGCCTCAAAGTACTTGGTCATGGCGGAATGATTGAGAGCGCGGAAGTATATAACCAGGGATGATGGAGGGAAAAGGAAAGGGTATGACAAGACATGCATAGTGCGATTGTTTGAAAGGCTGCCCACCCACGCGACAGGCATCTCAAGAGGGTCCAGCCGCTCAGCGAGAATTGGTGTTTGGAAGTCCTCGGGGGTTAACCCCAATCGGTTTCGTTCCTTGTACATCATGGCCATAATCTGTATAGCGCCACCAGCAGCACTACTGCGTGCCATCTCCGGGTTGCCATCCCATTCCCGTAAGAAGAGTGTTCGAAGCCACTCAAAAATCAAATGGGCAGGACCAGTGGGCTGAGGTGATGAATGTGCATCAGCCGCGTCATGCTGAAGGTCATAATGATCGGTGAGATTGTCAATGATACGATCTAATACGCCGCCTTTCCGTTGCTTCGGTAGATCAAGTGAGTAGGCTTGGCGTGCTTTAGAAATTTCATGATACGCAAGTCGCGCGGTAAGAGCACGGACAAGGCGGTTGACCAATCGGAGACCCAGTTCATGCTCAAGTCTATCAGTTGCCTCAACAGCTTGTTGGGCATGTTTGGGGGACAGCTTCTGCATGTCCGCTGACGATGCAACAGTCCCTGCAGCACGCATTCGCAGAATCCCTCGCCAGGTCTGCGAATCGAGGTCTGGGACAGAGCTAACTAGAACGAAAAAGGCAATCGTAGCAACGTAAGCAGCATCGGCGTCCGACAGGTGCCCATCGGGTGCGGACTCTGACAACCTTCGTATTGCTGGGGGAGGAGCGGCAGAACTAGTCATGGTGGAACTGCGGGATGAGCGACGCGAAGCTCTGGTCGATGAAGTGAATTCATCTGGGGGCAGAAACATTTTATCGAGACCGGACCATAAGCTATGCAATGCAACGTCCCATGGGCAGATGGTGAACAGGCGCTGTAAAGAGCCTCGAAGATTGGGAACGTCCAGACGGCTGTCTGCTTTTGTCTCTGATAGTCCATTCGGGCCCGTTGAATCTTTACCAAATGATAGCAGCATCTGTTTCGCATTGCTGAAGACAAAGAAGACACTTTGGGCAATGAAGGGAAATACCTGACGTTGACGAGGTGTGGCGAATCGCCAATCGGGATTATCGAAGCTTCCCATCGACTGGATTCTATCGAGCTCCTCTCTCCAGGTTTCTGCATCCTCCTCTGACTCAATCATGACCCTCGCGAGACCGCTGATTATCTCTGGATTCAGATGAGTGACAGTCTGGGCCAGAGGACCCAGGTCACGAGTGCTCCGAAGAGAGCTGTTTTTGGATTTGCGATCACTCGGAGAATCAATATCGACCTGGGGCTTTGGCGGAGGAGGCTTGGGATAATTCGGAGACTCTTGGAGCAAAGGCTCATGCAAGATCTTCTCGCTGTCCCAAGAAACTCTCCTTTGGGCCTTGGACCTTTCTTTCGGGCGTGTATTGTCCAAGCTGTCGATTCTTCCACGATGCTTTTGCGGTCGATGTTTCAAAGCTGGGGGCGAAGGAAGACTTGCAAACTCATTCGACGTTATATGGTTACCCACGGGTATTTGCTTATTTTTGAGCTCGGGTCGCTTTTTCTCGTCTAGGCTGTGCCATGATGACTGCCGCCAATTTTCGACCTCGGTGAGTGATAGTCGTTTGACATGCTGGTTCTGGAATTTAAGCTCGACTGCGGCTGGCTGAGTCCCGACATTCCGTGAAGATGGAGTACGAGGCTGTACATTATGTGAATGAGAGACAGTGGATTCGTCTTTAATTGGGTGCCGCTTCTCGGCCTCCATTTCTTGATGACGTCGTCGTTTGTCGGAGGTTGTAGGTGTGCTCTCGGGTAGTGAACCTGAAGGCTTTTTCTTTGACTGGAAGGATTCGGGCGCTCGACGAAGTGGAAGCCATTCAACCATACGTAATGATATTGTGTCGAAGAGGTTTTGGGTGAAGGATTTCGGATCTTTGAGCGGTTGCTCAACCGCGTAGTCAAGGTCCTGCCAGTAGTAGTTGTCTGTTGCTGCGCCGAGATTTGATTCCAGGCCATCTGTATGACCTTCTATAGTCATTCCATCTTCCTGCGAGGTGCACAAAGTATCCTTGACCGCGTCTTCGGTAAGTTGACCCTGGTCACCTTGCGGGAGCCTGCCCGACTCGGTAGTGGCAGCTGCAGCAGTCTGGGCTTGGAACGTACGGGATCGCTGTAACGAAATGCGGTGATAATCATTAATTGTCAATTCAGAGGAATATCTCGGGTTGTTGCAACATAGTCCACTGTCCGCGTCATCTAGACTGGCGAGGTAACAGGCAAGAGTTCGGGCGCTGAGTTCCGTATAGCGGCGGTACGGACCTTCGCTTACTCGTCGGCGACGGCTGGCACAGGTGGTAGTACGACATCCGGGATCATCACATCCATGCAATAACTGATTTTTGTATCTATCCACCAAGGTCCGTCAGCCTCATTCCGAAACGACACTTGTTCGCGCCACCGCTCACCTTCGTACTAGTATATTGAAGCGCCGTCTGCGTTCATCTCGGTACCATGGGAGGACCTGGGATGGGTCCGATACTTCGACTGTATTCTGTACAACGACATCCGGTGCATTTGGGGGAATCTTGGACCGACAGAACTGGGGTCGCTCAGCGCTGCCGTGTCGCTTCGTGTCGGGGGATTCAAGTGAAGCTCCGCGGAGCCTTGTCATGATGAGAAAACCCGTCGCATACCTCGATGAGACGGGAAAGGATAAGGGGATCAGGAGTCGGAAAGGAATAACCGACCTTATGGCTGGGGAAGCAGATGCTCAGCTTACCTGATATCATCAGGGCCAATGATGGCCTGAGGCAGAATGTCCGGGGACTCGGCGATCATTTGATCCGAATCACGTGCAGAGGCGACGTTTAGCCCAAAAAGGGAAAGCGGCATCTTCTGTGCGATGGTTGATAAGAGTGGTTTACAAATCTGGTTCGGACAATTTCACAGCCCTTCTTTGATTTTGACGTCGAACTGAAGCAGCTAGAGATAAACCTTCGAAGGTAGCTGTTTCATTTTCTATCGAATTTGAAATATTTACTCTTCAAATATCGACTTCGTGCAAGCGAAGAATCCACCTTCGACAGATATTTCATCATACCCCGCCTGCGATAAATCTTCGATCCACACCCACTTTTTTTCTGCCCAAGGAACACTTAACCGTTACAACCCCTCGTGATATTTGACAACGAGAAGCCATGTCGACAGCCACTCAGACTGCTGCTTCTGCGGCCACCCTTCCCTACACTTGCAATACCTGCCTTGTCGCTTTCCACCGCAGTGATGCGCAAAGAGATCACATGCGCAAGGACTGGCAGTAAGTGGCCCCGCGTACAAAGATTAAAACCAGTTGCTGATACACGAATATAGCTTGTACAACATGAAACGCCGTATCGCTGCTCTGCCGCCTGTCTCCCTCGACACTTTCAACGAGAAAGTTCTTGCCGCCAAAGCCACAACCAGCGAGGCTGCTGCAAAGGCCTCTTTTGAGAAGACTTGCCATGCCTGCCAGAAAACCTTCTTTAGCGAAAACTCCTACCAGAACCACGTCAAGAGCTCCAAGCACAAGCAACGTGAGGCTCGTTTGAGCAAGGAGGGTGATAACGCGTCCGTGATGAGTTCCACATTCTCGCTTGGAGAGCCCGTCAACAAGCCTCACGACGAGGTCGCCAACGTCACCGATGGTCTCAAATCTGCTACCATTCAGGAGGAGGAGGAGACTGGCGACGAGGACATGCACAAGGAAGATTTCTCGTCTGCTCGCTGTCTGTTCTGCCGTGCCGATGCGGCTGATGTTCACACCAATGCCGAGCACATGAAGAAGAAGCACGGAATGTTCATTCCCGAATGGGAGTACTTGGCTGATGTGGATGGTCTCGTCAAATACCTCCACCGCAAGATCAACGAGAACTTCGAATGTCTCTACTGCCATGCCATCCGCAATAATGCCGCTGGATGCCGCGCTCACATGAACGACAAGGGCCATTGCATGATTGCTTTCGAGACCGAAGAGGAGCAGATTGAGATTGGCCAATACTACGACTTCCGAAGCACCTATACTGACAACGAGGATGAGGAGATGGAAGACTCTCCTAGCAAGAACGGTGGAGTCAAGGTCTCTGATGGAGATGACGAAGGGTGGGAGACGGACGCCTCTTCTGTTGACGACGAAGAGGAGGAGATTGACTCGAAACGCAAGCAATCTCTCCTCTACCAAGATGAATTCGAACTTCACCTTCCTTCTGGCAAGAGTGTCGGCCACCGCTCTCTTGCCAAGTACTATCGCCAGAACCTGCACAGCCACCCCTCGCCCGATGAGCGTGCCGCTCGCCAGCTTGCTATTGAAAATGGCGAGATCGAAGCCGATGAAGAGAAGCCTCGTGGCCGCAACCACCACCGTGCTGTTATCACTCGTGCCAACGGTGGTACGGGTATGATTGGAGCCACGGAAGAGCAGAAGCAGACGGCTCTTACTTCCGAGCGCCGCGAGAGAACTCGCGCTCTTCGCCAGGAGAACCGCTATACGGCCCGTATCCAGCGAACCAACAACTCCCAGAAGCACTTCCGCGATCCCCTTCTCCAATGATCGGATATACCCTTGGTTCATCTTTGCGAAATGGCATCTTGTACCTTTCACAAAGGTCTCTTTCCCAGCGCTTCGCTGAGTGGCCTTCTAACTGTCGTCCACTAGCAAAGTGCATTCGATATCTTTAGCAAGCTTAAGGAAGAATATACCCCCAACACCCAATTCTCCCTTGCCCGACATGTCACTCGCGGGCTGCTAGAGGCTTTCCAAAGTCGAACTCGGTGTCGATCTATGGGGTACTCTTTTCCGCCGGGTCTTTTCTCCCTTGATTCCCAAGAGGACTTATCCTTCCCGCTCGGTTTTACACAGGCCTCATCGACCGGACTACCAAACCTGCATTTCACGACCACAAGCACACATGCTTTCTAAGATTTTATGATTTGATCCTTCCACGGTGAAGCATATGTGTATACGTCAGCATACTCATGGTTCTTTTGTCTTTCATCGGGGCGTTTGCCATTTTTGAGTAGCATGAAAAGCATGATTATGATCTCAAGTCAATTTTAAATGTTCACTTCCACGCATTCTGCGTAGCACAGGGCCGTAGTAAATAGATGTGGCAAATGGGCTTTACCACATTCCTAACATTCCATTCTTTCGATCCTCTGTGTAGACACATTCGGGCCGACATCTACAACTAGCATAACGTGATAAACTTACTTCCTGATGCCTGATTATCAAGATATCTACTACAAACTTTAAATGCGCGGAATTACTCGTTAAAGAGGTTACTCCACCTAGGTCGGCCGCAACGTCCGGAACAAAGCTTTGCCCGGCCATGTCAGGGCTTGTCACCATCTTTGGACTAGTGCGTCAGTGACTAACATCCATGTCAGCCTGACTTTTCAAGAAACCTGCCGATCCGTTGATAGTCACTAAATATGTATGGATCCCTCCCACAGGATTTCAAAGCCATGACAAAATATTGGTGCCACGGAAACTAATCATTGTGAGTGGGGTCACTCGCTTAAAGGGACAAAGAACTTGTGAATATCCTTCATAAGTGTGGTGATATGATGTTTGAATAGTCAAACAGGTTCAATACCGGCAAGAGAGAGTTTCCTCGACAGTGTCGGTCAACATGTAAAGTTTGTTGCACCCTAGGTCAATACTACCTGGGACCTAATCTATACATTTATATGAAATGGAAACGAGATCCATTCCAGGGTCCACCTCGCCAGGTTCAGAGATATTCTAGAAACCTGACAATGGATAGCAATCCACATAGTCCTAAATTTACCCCCACTCCGATCACGTATAAAGGATATGAATTTTCAAGCTCGGAATCTTTAATTCTGTTTTCTCGTGCCACTCACGTCTTGTCTCTCGTCCCTGGCTTTCTTCGATCGCCATGAGATTCTTCCGCGCTGTGGCTGCGGTGACTGCCATTGGCACTGTCTCTGCCTCCTTCCAGAACAACACCTATGACTACATTATCGTTGGCGGCGGACCTTCTGGTATTATCACAGCCGAACGCATTGCTGAGGCCGGAAAGAAAGTCCTTCTTCTGGAGCGCGGCTACGGCCCGACAGTCTCCACAGGTTCCAATGAAACCCTGGTGTGGAATAACACTCTGACCGGAATCGATGTTCCTGGTCTCTCCGGCGATATCGGCAGCCTCCCTCAGTGGAATCAGTACGTCTGCACGGATACTGCAGGTCAAGCTGCGTGCGTTCTCGGTGGCGGTGTAACGGTGAACTATATGGTTTTCGTGCATCCCCCAGAGCGCGATTTCAATGACAAATGGCCCCAAGGATGGAAGTGGAATGATGTGAAGTCGGCTGCAAGCCGGTTGTATGAGCGTAATCCCGGTTCAACCCTCCCATCGCAGGACGGTGAGCTGTATGATCAAGCCCTGTACTCCACACTGAAGGCCTTCTTTAGCAACCTTGGATGGACTTCAGTTGACATGAGTGAGCAACCGAATGAGAAGTATCAGGTGTACAGCCACCCTGCATGGAACATCAAGGATCAGAAGCGCGCCGGTCCACTTCGAACATACCTTCCTCTCGCCGAGCAATACGATAACTTCCAGCTTAGCATGGGTACGAAAGTTCTCCGGCTCATGAGGACCAATGGCCAGATAACGGGTGTCGAGGTCGAATTTGCATCTGGTGAGACGGAAATTATCACTTTGCCCCATCATGGCCGCGTGATTCTCTCTGCGGGTGCTTTATCTACCCCTCGTGTCCTGTGGAATTCTGGTATTGGCCGAAAGGCGCAACTCGAGGTCGCCCAACAGAGCGGCATCAATCTTCCAAACGAACAGGAATGGATCGACCTCCCTGTCGGCGAGGGTTTGAAGGATCACCCTATCTTTCCCTTTGTTGTGAAAACCAATGGCTCTTTTACTATACCTGACTACCCTGCGATCGTTAATGGCTCGGATACAGCTGATATCTCGCTCTATCGCGAGGGAGATGGCGTCCTTTCCCAAGGCAAGCACCGCATGATTTTCTTCACTGCCAACGACGTGGATGGCCAAACCCGTTACTACCAGGGATCCTGTGCTCCTTCTGCCGAAAACACTGTTTCCATCACCGCCTACATGACCCACGGCGCTACATCCTCTGGTGTCTTGGGTCTGGATGTTGATGGCAACACAATATTCCTCAAATCTCCTTACCTCAACACCCAGGGTGATCAGACAGCGGCGCAAAGCTTTGTCCAGGGCTTGATTGACGATGTGAAGACCGCGGGATGGGAGCTAGAGACCTACCCGAATGCCTCTTCTATTATTGAGAACTACACGCAAGGTGTTCACTGGACAAGCACTGCCATGATCGGTATCGATGACGGACGCAAGCTTGGCGGTTCATCCGTGGTTGATCTTGACACCAAGGTTTATGGCACGAACAACCTGGTATATACTGCCCCGCTCCTTCCTCCCCCTGTCTCTCTCCCGCATTTTTGGGATTTTTCACATACTAAAATTACATATTTTTAGTTCATTGTCGATGGAAGTATTCACCCCGACCTTCCTTCCGGCAATATCCAGGCTACCATCATGGTCGTTGCCGAGGCTGCGGTCGCTAGAATCCTTGCACTGTAGATTGCTTACGGTTTACCTTCGAGAGAGGCCGTTACTGCGGATAAAGTCGTTGGTACAGACATGTTTCATCGATGGAGGGGTTTTCTTTCCAAAATAAAAGTATCATACATAATGGGTTATAGATTGTAGGTTATAGATTATAGATTGTGAGTTATAGACGAAGAAAATCAACTACTGATATCGAACAATAAAAAGATGGGAAAGTGCTATGAAAATTGATTTCTTGACAATACTAGGTATTTGTGTTGTGAACACTCCTGGAAGTTGTTCCATAGCCCTCCAGTCAGACCAGGAGGAGATGACAAGAATGCTCTACATGCAAGTATTAGACTCGAGAAAAATTTATTCAGCCACGGCGGAGTATGAAGTTTTGCACAAAGACGACTTTTTACATATGCGACAGCGCGGCGATTGCAAGGTAGACCAGCAACGCTATTTAGATAAACATGAATCACATGATGGTGTGTGTGCCTCTGCCACTAAGAATATAGAATAATACGTGTACACGAATAAAAAGTGGTTGAGATATCGCTGTTTAGTGTTGAGCGAAGCGCGTAACTAGCGCGTTGGTTACTTGTCGCCTATCTGTAGCCTACGGGCCTCAAAAGAGAATAAACAAAGGGACGTCGTAAGACATTGAATACAGTTTTGATTAGACTTTGCGCATCGTCTGGTACAGACAATCCGAAATAGCTTAAAGATTGACCTTCGAGATAGTGCCCCAAAAATCCTTGCCCTGAGTTTCGGCGATTTCCAACTCCAAGGGAGTTGGCTGCCGGGAACCATCCGCAGCCTATCATCGCAATACATTAGGGTCAGAGGAGCGCTGGAGGTGGACGGTGGAGAGTCACTAAAGGATAACGGACTTACCGCGAAAGTACCAGCTCCCCAAGGAGATCCTCCATGCACTTCATCTAGATTTCCTAGCAGTGGGAACACGGTCTTATATCCCAAAGGAACATAGATAAATCCATGATGAGCGAGAGTACTCATGGAAGAAATAGCAGTTGATTCCTGTCCCCCGCCTTGGGTACCTGTGGAGACGAAAACGCCCGCGTACTTTCCCCAGTAGCCACCTGAGGCCCAGATACCACCAGTCCTGTCCCAAAATGTTTTCCACTGAGCAGGAAAGTTGCCGTAACGGGTTGGAATGCCAAACAACACCGCATCATACTCCAGTAGTTTGTGAGTGTCAATGACAGGGTAGGAAGACTTCGGTGGTGCGTGCATCTTTTGCAGAACGTCATCTGAAAGAGTCTCTGCCACCCTTAATTAAAGTTAGTCAGTTAGTGTATGTATTATTGTGACCATTGAACGGTGTATGAGAACGTTGGCATCAAGCGAGGAAATCAATGCAGCTGGAGGACACTCACTGGTAAATATCGGCCTTGCCACCAGCAGAAACAATGCCTTTCAATTCCGCCTCAGCTAGCTTCTGGATATGCCCATAAAGCGAGTACTATAATTTGTTAACATTGCTTCGATCGAGTATTGGAGAGAGTGAGGAGTGAGAGAGGTCTGCCTAGCCACAAAGGAAACGGACAAGTAATTAAACTTACAAATACAATTGCGACTCGAGGTGCCATTATGTTATTGTAGTGTATAAGATAAGTTGAATGTTAAGGAGTAGCTCAAAATTGTCCCCAAGCCGAATAAGAACAGGGCCTTATTTATGGAATTATTTCTGCTTCCATTATTCCTATCACGTAGCTGGAGCTCCTAGAGACTAATCTAGCCGAATTTTGCTTTATGAAAATGAAGTCAGTGTCCACTAGTCCTTCTGTCCGTGGTGAGTCATTCAAAGTGTAAATAGCTCTGGTATTTCAATTCCATTGGCGTTCATTTACGGAGCATGGCTTTCGCCGTCATCGAGTATCAATTAAAGTTCCTCAGAATCTTGTTGATTTAAGTATACGAATCAACCACATTTTCCCTGATTTCAAAATTTCCTGGGCACCTTGCGACGTTCCATGTACGGTTAATACTTTTCAATTAAGTCAACCAGCGGAAGTGGAAGTCGCTCAACGAATCGCCAAAATAAAACTTCATGACAAGCTGAATATGGACGCATATGACAGTTCCAAACCGCAATTGGTTTACAATTCGAGATCATGACGTCTATGAATAGCACAATTTAACTAAAGGATCTAGACACTCTTCAACTCTCGTTTTCTTTGTCCCGAGGTGGAGACGATGACGTCCCCCGGGAGCTGGCGCTGCTTAGTAACAACTTTAAAAAAAAAGATGAGACTACTGATGAATGCCACAGCCATTGAACACTATATAAATCTTCGCTAATACAAATGACGAGGAAATCAAGTGCTGCTAAATCAGTGCATCTAGTTTATTGCTGACATTTCATCTTCTAAAGCCTAACTACCGGCTGTTCACTACGTGGCTGTCAGTCCCACAGGCTATATGCCTGAAAGATCTTTCAAGTCTGAAAAGTAGCGCAATCGTGGTAACGGGTGCCTCTGGTCACCGTGAAATTGGTATCAAGGTAGCTTGTGGGAACCTTCCAAATAACCATCTCTGAACGAACTTGGGTACGCCAAAATTGCACACGTTGAACGGCTGCTCGAAAGGGCCTCAGTAGGTCTGGTTCTTCTGGCTATTATCCAAATTACATCGGATAGATTGACTATGCCATCAAAATTGGCTGTGTCGGGAATAATGTGCGGGAAGTCCTAACTGTCGTTGATTCCCCGGGTGATCAGCAGCCGAGCCAAAGTATCGATATCAGCTACGGCAGTGGTAGTGGATGGAGGGACTTCCCTGTTTGGGCCAGCGATATAGTTTGTTAATGAATATAGGGTATTTCCAGGGGATTTCACGGCTACCGTGGCCGCCTTTCCCCTATTGAGCGCTTTTGTCCGACTCTTTTAGTATAGATCCCATGGAGCTCCTAGGCACTAAGCATATGAGACAGCCTCGACGGGGTCCGACCGGTGCATGAGCAGTACTGCCAAGTAAGTTGACAAAATAGTAGGCTCATGCAATCACTGAACTGCAAAAACGAATGAATACTCCTTTTCGAGCCCCTTTATTGTAGAAATGTTCATGAGCAGTATATTTCCGATTTCATGATATCCTCAGCGCTCATAATATTTACTATAAAGTTCTTTCTTCTATCGATCTTGCTTTTGAGGCACAGAAGGGGGGGCTTCGGAAGGCGAACGGAGCAGATCGCTTACAAGGTATGCTAAATATCTTTTGTCTGTCAGCCGTGGAAGCCAGGACAGGGCCCAGGATCTCGAAGAATGAGGATCGTTGAGTAGAATCAAGCTAGTTTTCTTTGATAAAAAGTGTTCCCCATGTAAGACACCTAGAGCGTAACAGCGCAAGCACTCAAGACCCCGCCCTCCTTAGCCAGATCGCTAGTAACCTGCAGCGGGACATCACGATCAATCCCAAGAATCATCAAAGCTTCATTCAGCGAGGAAAATTCTCCCTTAGCCACGGTATTCTCAGAGCCATCCTTGTCAGGAGTGAGGCCCAGGTCATTGAAAACTAAGTTTGGCGAAACAGGTGCTACGGTCATGAAGTTGATGTTCACACCTGCTTGCCCAAGTATACTTCCCACAACCCCAATCTTTCCTGGGGAATCGTAGTTTTCACAAATAATAAGATTTCCTTCGGGCTCGAAAGAAGCCTCGAATCTTCCAAGACGAGTGATCAGAAGTCGATCACCAGAGCAAGTGCCTGAAATGATGCGCTGGTTGTGTCCTTGCGGTGCTCCAGTGACAACCTCCACCGACGCCGGTGCCCGAGATGAAGCGCGAGATGGCGGCCGAGCAACCAGAGTAACAAGAGAAGAGTAAGAAGAAGACTGGTCTGCCGGGTCACGAGAGTGCCGCTCAGATACAAAGATTCCACGCTCGCGAGCCACTAACTCGGCATTGACAATGTTGATGTTGATACCATCGGCGCTGCTGATGGGTGCCAGGAGGCCCTTGATCAAGGCGGCAAATAGGGGCTTAGTATTGCTTATACTGGCAATCTCACCTTGATAGATGAGATCGAATGTGTTCCAGGTCATAGAACCTCCCGGCATCGCAGCATAGTGCTGAGTGTAAAGGCTGCCCAGTTTTTCGACAAGACGCACGAAGGGCTGCAATTTCTGGTACTCTTCCGGCAGAATGAGGGGTGCATTGACAGCACTCCGTGGCAGTGAACCTTTCAGGATCTCCAGTACTTGCTCGCACACATCGACCGACACATTTTCTTGAGCTTCCACTGTTGAAGCGCCCAGGTGTGGTGTCACGACTGCCCTCGGATGGGCGACGAGCTTGCCTGCTGTTGAATCCAAGTCTGGCGGCTCGGAGGTGAACACGTCTACAGCAGCTCCTGCCAAGTGGCCGGACTCGAGAGCTTCCAGCAAAGCTCCTTCATCAACTGTTCCGCCCCGTGCCACATTCAGTATGCGAGCACCGGGTTTCATTTGGGCCAATTCGGCTTTGCTTATCATCCCGCGCGTCGAAGCAATCAAGGGTGTATGGATGGTCAGAAAGTCAACGGATGGCAGGAACTCGGCCAGTGAAGAGACGAGGTTGACGGATGCCAACGCAGCAACAGCAGGTGAGGCATACGGGTCCAGTGCATTGACGGTCATACCTAGTCCCTTGGCCAATCGAGCCACGGTCAATCCCACTACCCTCACGGCATTAGTCAAACTGCAATTCAGAGCATTCAAGGAATCGTACCTTTTCCCAGCCCTATGATGCCCAGTATCTTGCCTTTGACCTCCACGCCAACAAACTTGCTTCGTTCCCACTTCCCATCCTTCAGACTAGCACAAGCTTCAGGGATCTTCCTCGCCATGGACATCATCAATGCGATGGTGTGCTCGGCAGCAGCGCCAATGTTTCCAGATGGGGAGTTGACAACGACAATTCCCAGCTTCGTAGCTTCGTCGACGTCTAGTTGAGCAGGTTAGCCCCAGTCCTCTTGGCGTCGTCGCTGAAACTGACCAACATTGTCCACACCGACTCCAGCACGAGCAACCACTTTCAAACGCCGAGCAGCTTGGAGTACAGCAGCAGTGACCTTGGTCTCGGAGCGAACCAGCAAAGCATCGTAATCGGGAATAATTCTCAGCAGCTCGTCGGGAGTGAGACCCTTTCGCTCATCGACATCGAGGGAGCTTTGCAGCAATACAAGGCCATCAGGAAAGAGCGTTTCCGGTACGAGGACTTTTGGAGTAAGTTCTTTGGGCTTAAAAAGAGGCATTGCAAAGTGGTTAAAAAAATAGACTTGCAAACCCCAAGAGAAGTATGTCAATTGACAGCATGTCAGGTTTAAAAAGAACCAGAGGAACAGGTAACACTTTTCTTTCGCGCGGCAGGCGCGCCCAGCAACATTGCAAAGGCAGCCAACACTTAGACAAAGACCTCTGCCGAGGCTTATATCCAATCATGTAGGTTTTAAGGACAGTCACATCGTACAACGCGGGGTAACGAGCCCTTGATTGGAGACTCACCTGCGATGTCGGGCAACCAGGGTACTCGTGCTGATAGATGAGTCTAGATCAGGTAATACAGAGTCTGGTGTTGAGCAGTTATCCCTAGCCGCCAAAGTAGATTGAGTGTTTAAGGTCAAACTCGGGATTCACCTTCTCATTGTTTCTAGTCCGACTGCGGAGATATAATCTAAATCTCGTGAAAAATCATCTCATAGCATGTCGATGTGGCGGTGATCAAAGAGGCTAACGGTGATATCTTAAATGTGTGAATGGTATGTTTGAAAAAAAGAAACCAGAAGAGCCAAACAAAACAGACTCGTCAGCCAACTCTCTAGGAAGATGCTGAGAAGGAGTAAAAGGATCAAGACAATTGGGCCGCCTAAAACTACCTTGTCTCCTTAGCCTGTAAGACCCCATTTCTCCCTAGATCATCCCTATCTGCAGAATGTGCACCTACAAGTCTCTGCCTATACTCATGTCTCGGCATTCAATAGCATCCAGATCTGAGTGGGTCTTCCGTAGCTCCGGCTCAACAGGATGCGGCTAATGGAGGTCCAAGCATAACCAGCCCCTGACGAGATCCTGCATCACTGTGTGCAGTGATATACCCCAGGCACTTGCATGCCCTGGACTATTTCTCCAGACAAGCTATACCATACCTCGATACCGACCCAACTCGAGACTGGTAGAGTACGACTCGGAGACGATTGCCGAGCTGTCACTGGATTCGGGTCCGAGCTCCACTCGATGCTTCTCGGCCTCGGTCCCTGAGCTTATCCTCTTTTCTTCACTTCCACTATCTTCCGCCCTTGACCTGATCGTCATCTCCTGTCTCGATCCAGCACAAAGACGCCGATGCGGATGATTCGTCAGCTTCCCGCGATGCCCCTCGATTGAGAATCGTCTGCAGACCATGGTGGGGGTACCACACAGTACCGGCTGTGCTCTGTGTCGCGAAAGACACATCAAGGTAAGCGCGCTCTTGTGGGGTGGATCTTCCCATCCCGCTTTACAGGATCGTCGCTGACGCGGCATCGCAGTGCGACGAGGTGGTTCCTGAATGTACCCAATGTCAGCGGTATGGCAAAACCTGCCCCGGATACCGTCGCACATTCCGGTTTCAAGATGAAGGGCCTAGCCTGGAGAGGCGACATCAGTCGACTGCGCGGAGGAAGTCCCGCCAGGTGTCGAGGGGAGCATCGACCTCGACGACAGCCACTTCAGCACCAGCGCCCACGCAGGCCAAACCCGTCAAAAAAACCGAAAATTCAGATGTCGCCGGTGCAGCGGGTATAGTTCGCGAGAATGCGATCGCGTTAATGCGACGTCACTCCGCAGTAGCTCTGGACGAAAGCTTATCGCCATCACTAGTGCGCAAGTCGTACCAAGCGGCGCAACCACAATTATTCTTAGATTTCATCAGCGCATCGTTTCCAACGCTATATTTCCACAATCGCTTTCGCGCCGGTAGCGACCCCGGGTTTCCGGAATTTATCGTGATGAACTTTGGCGCCGACGCTTATCTCGACTCTGCTATCTGCTGCCTAAGTTCTGTCTACTTGGCGCATTTGACACAGGACCCCGCTCTTCTTCAAACAAGTCGCCGGTTGTATGGACTGTCCTTGGGCGAGACCGTTCGCGCCTTGTCGAAACCTCAACATGCCTTGTCGGATAATATGCTTTGTACCGCGATGATGCTGAGTGTCTATGAAATGTACGCCCAGACCAGTCCCGACGCTTGGGTCGTGCACTCCGACGCCGTCAGGCGACTTATGGTGAGTCGTGGGCCTTCAGCACATAGAACTGGATTTGGGCGATCGTGTTGGATTGCCTTTCGAGGATTTCATATTGCCACGGCAGTTTACCAGGGCAAGCCCTGCTTTCTCGATGGTAAGGAGTGGCAGAACTACTCCGAGTATGTTATGTCTGAAGATTGTCAGAAACCAGGCGAGTGGTCCGCCTATGCAGTCATCTCCGATAGGGTCTTTATGGAAATTGCGCGGTGTCCACGGTACATCAGCGAAAGTCGCGAGCTTCTATCCAGCGAAACGGAAAGTCAGGAGGTCCTTGAGGCACTCCTTCGACGAATACAGGATACTTCGATTCGATTGAAAGAGCTCACTGCCGAGTTAAGCGCTTCTATCAACGCCCACAGTCAACGTCAACAAGGTATCATTCGACGGCCGGGGACCTTTGTTGGGCCTGTCCCTGAAATCTTCCCCGAGACAGGTCCCTCGTTGCTTTTGCGTGGGTCGGAGAATATCCAAGCGACCTTGCGCCAAATCTCTGCCCGCCTGCAAGATGAAGCGCGAGTTCAAGTGGTAAAAGAACTCTCGCCAGATTCGGCTGTTCAATCGCCTCGCAGTGATGATAGCGGTGACTTGTCTCCTTCAAATGCCAGTTCCATGACCTTTAGACTACCTTTCCGGATTTACTCCGAGATTGGTCGTGGTCCATCGCAGACTTCAGATCAGAATGATCCTCGTGCTGTCATCTGGCTAGATCGCGTCGCTTCTTCCATGGGAGTCCTGGGAACGAGAGTGATTGCCGATGACTCTGTTGTTCGTTTTGATGATGCATCATGTGAAGCTTCTGGTCCCCGCAACATCCAATGACACATGCGCATCTCACTTTTGTATGAACAACACCTTATAATACCCATGTGCAGTCGCAATCGAGATATCCAATTTCTAGCATGTAAATGGTTTCGACTCTATATACAGCATGCCCCATTTTATCAGAGCTCCAAAGCCCAGCATCCGAAGTTCAGATAGCCTAATAGTCCAAAGACTCCTCCAAGAGCTTCCTCAACTCACCCCTCTCAGCCTCAAGCTCACCACTGAGGTTCGGTGCCAGCATCAGCACACGCTGCTGAGGAATAGTGCCCTCAACCAGACCCTCAAGATCCGAGCTCTTGAAGCCCAGATCCTTCAATCCACGAGGCTGGTCACCCAACTTAGCCAAGAACTGAGCAATAGCCTCACCGAGAACTTCACCAGCACTCTCACGCTTGACGGTCGAGATATCAACACCGAATGCCTCAGCAGCAGCCAAGTGACGGTCTGGGTTCGAAGCACCGGTGAAGCGGAAGACAGCAGGCGCGGTAACAGCGACGGAAACACCGTGAGGAATGATAGGGTGATCGACCTGATACCCCTTGTGCTTGTAGCCCGGGTTCTGGCTGGAGATGGGATAACTCATGCCGTGGCACAGGTGGACACCAGCATTACCGAATCCGACACCGGCTAGCGTAGCAGCTAGAAGCATATTCGACTGCGCCTCGTGGTCTTCTGGATCCCTCACCGCGCGGGGCAGATACTTAACCGTGCTGCGGAGGGCCTCGAGGGAGAAGATATCCGAGATGGGGTTTGCGCCCTGATATGCGGGGCGGTTGATGGGGTTTGTAGGACGAGGAGTACGCTCGTGGTAGGGAATTGCGGTCCAGGACTCGAGCGAGTGGCAGAGTACGTCGAGACCGGAGGCAGCGTGGACCGCTGAGGGCATGGTGCGGGTATTGAGGGGGTCGCAGATGCCGAGGGTAGGCTTTAAGTTGCGGTGGGCAATACCAGTTTTAGCTTTCTTGGAGACGAGGTCGAAGATGGCCGTGCCGGTTGTTTCGGAACCGGTTCCCGCTGTCGTGGGCACAGCGACGAGGGGGAGTAGTTTCTTGTCGACGGGCCGGCCCTTGCCTAGTGGCGCATTGACAAAGTCGAGGAAGTCGGCTTCTGGGTAGCAGTTGTATAGGTTCATAAGCTTCGCTGTGTCGATGACGGAGCCACCACCTAGAGATTGGTTAGTCGGGCTGTGCAGCATCCTCGGCGAGTATATAACGTACCAACTGCGAGGAAAGCATCGGGCTTGTAAGGCTTGGCGAAAGCAATAGCCTCCATGATCCTTGGCAGCCTTGTCAGTAATGTGCATTGAAATGGCGGGATGGTGCCACCTACGAGCTGTCCTTCGGCTCCGTGCGGACCTTGTCGAAGATAGTGAACTCAATGCCCTCCCTGGTCAGACCTTCAACAGCCTGTTTCATAGCATCAAGCTTGGCGACGTTGGAATCGGTCACAATGCAAACACGCTTGGCGCCCATGTTCGCAAAGTCCATGCCGACTTCCTTGGTACAGCCGGGACCGAACCGGATGCTCGAGGCAGCCATTTCAAATGCATATTCCTTCTCCCGCGTGGGGTCAACAGGTGTGGCCAGATGACGCTTGACATGGGTCATAAGCGAGGGTGTGTTTGTGTTGTGGTAGCCCGGATTGCGATGGCAGGGACAGCTAGGCGGGTGAGTGAATTGGACGGTGCGTAGGAGATTCAAGGCACGATTAGCAGCTGAGGGAGCCACCCTAATTGCTGGAGTGACCATTGTGATGTGCCTTTGAATGAATTTGGAGGGGAGGTTAAAGGATGGAGGTTGCTTAAGAGCCGAGGCGAATGTGGGAGTTGGGGAAATGGAGAAATGCGGGGTGTCGGCCGATTCGGTGATCTGTCCGAGGTCCCAACTACGTAGTTGTTCGATCCGGATTTGGGGATATTCTTGGGGTCAGATAAACAGATAGGGTTGAGTCTATCTAGATCGCCTAATTACAAGTCTTTCCCGTTCAAATTTGTTGCTTCTAGGTAGCTGCCGCGTGTATCAATCCCCCTGGCCCGAACAACCGAGGTTCGGCGACTGACATCAACGTAATCGTCTGTGGAAACAGTGAGGCTTGAGTCCAAATTGGAGAAACCGGGGCATTAAAGCTGCCCCTGGATGAACATAATTAAGCTATCTAAGCTAAAAATCGAGTGTACAAATCGTAGGTACATAATGTTTCCAATTCTAGCGTAACTCGTCAAAGCCCTACCCCAGTTAGGAACCTCTTCCCCGTATTGCATATTTCATACTTCATACTTCACCGTTTTAGTTAACATACCGTCAGAACCAAATCTCCTGAGGCATCCCGCACTCGAACCATACTTCCACTGGGCGGAATCCCATCTTGCCAGAGGATCTGAGGTTCTGCTGGCTGCAGTGTAACCGGATGGCCCGCGAACGGGTCTCCGAACACGTCGGACAGGTCGTACCACACACTACCACCGGCCAGATTGTATGCGAAAATCGTCATGGGCGAGCTCGAGTACAGTCCATCGTGCACGGTGCTGATTTTGAGCGCAATGCCGCCGGTTTCTTTGTCGTGGCGATAGGTCTCGAAGAAACGTCCGTACGGGAGGATCGTGGCTTGGGGGCGAATGATCGACCCTACGGACCAGATGTAAATTGGAACTTTGCAGCGATTTACTATCACGGCTCGTCCGAGGTGCTCGACGTCTGTGGATGTAGGAGTTGGCGTCGGAGTTGGCGTTGCGATTGGAATTGGCACAGCGGGGGTCGATGACACTGGGAATGCCCCCCAGGGTATATCTTTTTCTTTGCCGCTGTTTTCATTTGTGGGAACGGCGACGGCCAGTGTGGCTAGAGAGAAGACGGAGAACAGCTTTGCGAATTTCATTGTGATATAAATTGAGCTTTTCGATGTTCGCTATGCTTTTCGAACAGGTAGCATGATCGAGGATCTGAGGATATCGGCTACTTTTTATAATTAATCATATTGCCTCGTGTTTAGCACTCTACTCTCTCCAGATCCAACAGGATTGCTCGGCGCCGTAGGCCATCTCATTATGGTCATGCGCGGAATGTAGCATCTCCATAGCGAGATGCATTAATTCAAGCTATGGCAGTGAAGTGGTTGCTAGACGCCACTACATTGTGCATAGACATTGTACAATGAATGGTTACCACAGTATCACAAAGTGTCTGAGAAATTAGACGGGCCAATAAGTACAGGAGAACAGTTGGTAGAATGTTACATGGCCACGATTCATTACTAAACTGGACATGCGACCTCGTGTGAACGATGCGAGTTTGATTGTCAGGCCGGTCCCTCGATTCCACGGCTGTCACAAGGTGGAATGTGATCATTTGCTTTCCTGGGTGATTTGAGCCGACTCGGATACTTTCTCGAATCATTGTACCTGGCGTCTCCTGGGCAAAGGCTTGCCTTGTTACCTCTCCAACCACACTTGCACAACGGGTTGAGGCCTGATAGTCTCGTGCCTAGTCTCTACTTCTCAACTATAATTTTGAGGTTTCATTGAATCTTCCACAATTGAAATGTCGTAGGCCCTGCCACACTATCATTGTGATTGATAAAGTCGTCTAGTATCTTGTCTTCCCCATTCTGAAGTACACGGCCGGCTATTTGGTCATTTTCCGATCCTCAGAGTTGAAGTCTGGCCGGTCTAAATCTCACAAAACAATCCTGGAATTAAACAATCCCGGAATAAAAGAATCCTGGAATTGTCCAATCGGCGACATGCAAATGCACGGAATACCCAGACAATGGCGAGCTCTCTCTTGGAACCCGATTCTTGTGCCTTGCATAAGTGGAATGCGCGATGGTGCCTGTCAGCATTCCGATCCAACCCCCGCGCGACGAAGCCCTGAATTAATGTCTAGGCCTTCGCTATATAGAGCTGGGGAATCTGAGGGGTTTATTTACACGTATGTATCATCTTACCCACCCGTAAGTAACTGCGGCCAATTGATCGGAAATTCTTGCAACAAACTTCACGAAGCCTCAGTACCCGTGGACATCCAACCATATTGCAACCCCCATTCTCACGGATCTGTTTCCATTGGTTTCAGGCATCAGGCGAAGAGACAATAGTGAGCAAACGGCGGCGCCCAAACGCTCGGGGCAATACTCAATTACTATCAAAGGCAAAATTGGCTTCTGATACGCATACCGCAAAACTTATATTAGATCTCAAGTTCCGTTCGAAAGCTTTATGTGTTCAATGTTGAGATTGGATGAGGCATTGACAACTCGAATCCACCTCGGAAAAGATAAAATTATATACAGGAAAATGCCCTGTCAGGGCCATATACAGAGAGGTTCAAGTTGCATAGCGTAATCAGCGTAGCAAAGGCCAAAGACCTATAAAAAAAATTCACAAGAAAAGAAGTGTCCTCACCGAGCCGTATTCGCTCAGCTTAGAAAGTGACAATCTCAGACGTTCCGAGAACAGCGTTACCCTGACGAGCAACAACCTGAAGGAAGTCGGTAGGGGGACTGGTCACATTGACAGCAGTCTCAAAGCCAGTGCGGTTCGCAGAGCTGAGCTGCTGGGTGGTAACCGAGGTGTTGGAGGTAGCCGAGTAAACAACCCAGTTGTCATACTCGGTAGCACCGTTCCAAGACATGAAAACCGTGGCACCCTCATCGGTGCGTTGGACAACAACAGAAGGCTTCCAGAAGGGAGTACCGACCCAAGGGAAACGGTAACCACGGTACGAAGCAACGTCATTGTCGTCGCCGAACTGGGCGCTGAAGACGACCTTGTCATCGCCGTCATACTCCTTGACCTTGGAGATGGAGCCGTAGTCCATGAACACGTGGCCGTCGGTCTCATCCAGCAGCTGGTAGCTGCCCTGGCTGACGGAATGGATGGGGTCGTTGGGGTCGCTGAGAGAGCGGAGGCCGGTGACTGTCATGTTGGTAGTGTTGATGGAGAGGCTGACACCGGTGGTGACAGATTCCTGGTCGGTGGGGGTGTTGGCGTTGTTGAAAAGGTCCAGGACGAGGCCGGAGTCGGTCTCGTTGTAAACACGCATGTCATGCTGCCATGAGAAGCCAGCCTCGCCGACTTGTTGAAAATCACCGCCGTCTTCACCACTGACTTGCCACACGACGGTACCGTTGTGGAACAGGTAGTAGCCGGACCACATGTGGCGCAGAGAGACTAGGTAGCCGTTGTTGGTGGTGGTAATGGCATTGATGTGGTAGGCGTCGTAGGGTGCGTCCTGGGTGCCGACGTCGTTGCCGACCTTCTGGTGAGAGCTGGTCAAAGGGATGGTGTCCTCGTGCTCGAGGGCGCTCCAGGAGTTGAGGATCTCGTTGGTGTAGATGTCAATTTCGTAGAAATGGCTGTCGAGCATCCAGTCGGAGGAGTTGCCGCCGATGGAGGTCAGGTCATGCTGAGTGAGGTTATACGCGGTAACCATCAAAGTGTCACGCGGGGTGATGTGGCTCTCGTGCAGGTCAATGTACGAGTCCTGGGTGGAGTTGTCCGGAGTGATGAAGGGCCCGGTCAGGGTGATAGTGTGGATCTCCTGGTAGGAGTTGTCGAGGATGTGGACTGTGCCATACCCGTAACCCAGAGACAACATGTCTCCGGCCCAGAAGGTGATCACGTCGGAGCCATTCAGTGTCTGGACACGGAAATTGGCAGTGACCTCCTCTGGTCCCTCATAGACTAGGTTGCCCGCATTATCGTAGATGAGCGCCGCCTGGCCAGCAGACTGGACACTTCCACGGGGTCCCAGGAAGATATAGCCCGGATCGGAAACACCAGTCTGGTTAATTTCCAGAGTAGGCGGCTGGAAGGGCATAGAAGTATAGGTCGAATAAGGCCAAGCAACGGCGCCCATTGATAGCAGCAGGGTGCTGCTAGCCGTGTACCACCATGGAGCCATCACGATTTTGCAGTGATATTAGTTAAGATTGAACGGATGATAGGGCTCTAGCTTGAAGCCAAGAAAGAAGGAATAGTTGAGATAAAAGAATGACGACAGTGAGAACTGCGAAGGCGTGCGGAAGGTATATCGAAAGACTGCAACACCGAGCAGAACCCTTTTTTAAAGACTGCATTGACCGGCTTGTGCTGGAAAATCCGAGTCCTGAAGATCATTGCCGTTACACGGCCGAAGGTGAGTGGGCTGTGATCTCGACACAGCCCAACCAGGATGAGCGGTAGCATCGATCGCCCCCCGGATAAGAAGGCACCCGCAACACTAGAGATTCGGGATTTTGGATGAGCAGGCTTGGCCCCCGTCATTGGATGGGCGCTCTTCACCTTCCCGTTCGGAAACGTGGCCTGGTTCCTGTATCACATCGTTTCATCGAGTTCTCCTACAACTACTGTAGAGATTATCCCCGAGGCGCTGAGCCAACCATGATCAAGAAACGGAGTTCACGAGAGGGTTAGGTCGACGATCGGCACAGTGAAAACTTGGCAGGGCTTCCTCCTGTGCTTTACAAAGATAAGACCCTGCACGCGTAGGTGGCTGCCAAGATCATTTGCCGCGTGGATAAAGTCCATCCATCAGTGGAGTTGGAAAGTCGGATAAAGTAATGCGACTGGGTGTTCCAACACATTCGAACCGGTGGAACGCACGAGGCGGAAACTCGCCCCTGGAAATAGCGCGGAAGCGATCGGCTAAGTCTATTCCGAAAGGAGTAACTATCGAGACCCTACTGTAGAATATCGTTTCGGATGGTTGGAGATAAAAGTAGCGCCGGTAATTGCCGACGGAGATCGTCACGGCGTCAGATTGATTTTTTTCGGACTCCGGAGTTGCGCTCTTGTCGGCCGGGTTGGAGATTGTATCACCTCCGAAGGTTACTAGGCCAGCGCTTCAATCGGGTGCCTAGTCCTTGAGGACTATTTATGGCCTCGTTTTGCTATAGCAGTAAGCTGACAGGTCTTCCCATACTTTTCTGGAGTCTGTTCAAATGTCACCCTGAGACGACTCCGTAGACCAGACAGATTAATTTCCGGCTTACTTTCCGGCTGTTGGTTGTCTTCAAGTGGCCACAAGCGAATCTCCATCAATGACCCTGCGATAGGAACCGATGAGTTGATTCCCTTCAGTCTTCAGAGTCGGCAGTTTTTAGTCATTTTCAGCCACTCTCCTTTCCATGATGTCAATCTTTGCCTTTTAATTTGACCATATCCAATCCGAAATGGTCGGGATTGTTGAATTCATACACAGATTTTGAATCGAATCTGAGACAGCGCCGCAAACCTCCACTCAGTCAAATTGATGCCGTATTGATCGAGGCAGTATCGGTGCCTAGCCCAGACGCCAGACATCTTGGTGTAATGACCGTGATGCTTGCGCACGAGGGTCTTTCAGAAGGGTGAAAAATCGAAGCGAAACGGATATTGGAAGAGCTATCGGTGCTTAAAGACTAGATTTCCACGTCTCACCACGCCTCATTCTCTCTCATTCTCTCCGGCATATCCAGGGCGCTTGGTAGTTATGTTTTGCAATGTAGAACCCAGTCCCCTCGCTGGACTGACAGGGGGTGGAAAGGGTGGTCCGCGTTAAACTGCAAACTTTTCTGATGATTGCCTGTGGAGCGAGGTTTCATTCGTGATGCTGCTTGATATCTAATCTCTGGCTAAGTGTGCGAAGACCGTGCTCACCTCATCCGCGTAAAAGCGAGGAAAAAGGTTTGCAAACAACTGCAGCCAGAATGTTTTGATGAATTTCGCGACAAGGGCAGCAGTTCCAGCGGCACGTTACAGCTAGGGATGGGGCTGAGAATCTGAAAGAATATTTTCCCCCCAGGAGCAAATACTTTCATCGCAGGATCAGGTTTTCAAATCTTATACGGCCATTTTTATCAATATTCATAAACCGTGTGGCGGGTGGCGGGTGGTCAACAATGCAGATCCAGCCCCCCCCCGCCCTGCGCCCAAGGCCACCAAGTCAGACTCTGAATCACGCCACAGCCGCGTCGGCCGGGGGGAAGGGGCATAGATTGAGATTATCACAGTCGTAAATACCAGAGTCGAAGAATAACGGATGAATGACCAGGTCTTAGGACCTGAACTCTCTCCCTTGGCCTTGAAAGCGGCCTTATCCCCTATGATCCCCTATGGATACCGTCGGCACTTGGGCCGAGGCATGTACAACCGGGCTACGGCCGCATTTCCCAATACCAGATCTAGACCAAAGGTCGCGGCATTCCATGATCAAAACTCACTTCGGTAGACCCACAGAAAAACTAAAGAAGAAATGGCGCTAGGAGGGGGAATCCGTCACCGAGAGATTGCAGGAACGCAAATGTGATTCTAGTATCATGAATACAATGTCATCGTTGAAGTCAAGGATTGACATGATAGATCCTAAGGTTAAGAAGTCCTATCAAGCTCCAAGCGGAGCCCAGCGCACCGTCGCAAATCCGGGGTGTTTAGCCTCTGCGGGGTGAAGCTCCACTTCACCAGAACTTCAGTAGATGCACAAGGAATGGATGCATCACACCTCAAGTACCTACAAGGGCCCAAGCACGCTATGATAGGGCCCATCACAGGGCCCCATGTCCATATCCCGGTATCCAAATATTCCAGCAGCTCAAAATTCCGGCATTCAAGCATCCGAGCAGCTCATCGAGTCCAGTCACGATGCTGTGGGCCGAGCAAACTGACAGCCTACACAATCTCCTCACTCGACTGCATGCTGGGGCCGCCTTTCGCTCACCCTCGCCTGAGCGTCTGAGAGTCTTAACTCCGAGTGGACTCTTCGCTACAAATCAGCGCCCAGGCTCCGCGGGCCAAGGCTTCACGCTAGCCTAAATACCCAGTCCAACCGCCAATAGATATGCGCCTCGTACTCGGGTGCAGGCCGATCGGCTCTCGCGTGGCTGATTCTGACTCTGGGATCTGAGGTCGTGATTGTAGTTGTGGTGGTAGTAGGGATCTCCCCGGATCTTTTAAGGAAGTCGAGGCCGCTTTTGGCCGATCTGTGTTTCCCACAGGACTTTTACTCTACGAGCCGGTGCTACCTTGCAATTTAATGAATGAGGGGTGAGATTTCAAAGACATCGTTGAACAGTTTAAATTTTCTAGCTCAACTGTATCTCGAACGCGTTCACCATGGGTCGCAAGCTGGGGCTCTTGCGAGCTGCCTATCTGGTTTCAGCCAGCTGTATGGGATCTTTTGCATTCGCCTTTGACACGGGCATTATAAGTATGTTCTGCGAGATTTACTCAGGCCCCTAGACTGACTCTTGTTTCCAGGTGGTGTACTCGCGTTAGAATCCTTCGAGCGAGACTTCGGATACTCGCACTATACCAAAGCGCAAAAAACCACCGTCAACTCCAACGCTGTGTCCATCCTCCAAGGTGGCGCATTCTTCGGCTGCTTCCTGATCTCGCCAATCGCCAAATACCTCGGCCGCCGCTCCGGTCTGATTGTCAGCTCGCTTGTCTTTACTCTCGGAACTATCCTGCAGGTGATCAACTCTGGTACCCTGGGCACATTCTATGCCGGCCGTGTGGTTGCTGGCTTGGGTATTGGGTCAGCAACTGTATTGATCCCCATGTACTCTGCGGAAATGGCCCCCAAGGAGTTTCGCGGTCGTCTAGGGGCTTGCTTCCAGTTGTTCTTTGCACTCGGTGTGATGATTGCCTATTGGGTGACGTATGCGGTAGGTAAGGACCAGGCAACTGGAACGAGCCAATGGCAGACTGCATTGGGATTGCAACTTCTCGGATCAACACTACTGTTGGTTGGTATGTGCACAGTCAAGGAGAGTGCTCGATGGCTCGCGGCCAAGGGAAAGATAGATAAAGCGCGCGAGTCACTCAAGTGGGTGCGTGGTGGTGAGGAATCAGAAGAGCTGCAGATGGAATTTGATGAGATTCTTGCCGGCATCGAAGAAGAGGCTCGCGTTAAGGAAAATCTCACATTCAAGGAGCTGTTGCTTCCGGTTAATCGTTACCGACTGTTCATCGCCGTCACAATTCAACTCAGCGCACAGTTGACCGGTAACACATCGCTGGCCTACTATGCCACTCAAATCTTCGGTGCCGTTGGCGCAGGAAGCTCTGCGAAGCTGGTAACAGGCTTCTTCGGCGTCGTCAAGGTGACTGGTGTTGTCGTGTTTCAGTTGTTCGTATTGGACCGCATCGGGCGGCGGATCCCATTTATGGCCGGTGCATTCGCCATGGGCTCGTTCATGCTCATTATTGCAATCATTTTGGCCACGCATCCGGCCAATTCAGACAGCACTTCGGCCGGGCCCACTTCAGCTGGCATTGCCTGTATCATCATGACTTATGCGGAAGCGTTCAGCTACAATATGTCCTGGGGTCCGCTGCCCTGGCTATACGTGGGAGAGATTTTCTCCAGCCGCACTCGAGAGATCGGTGTTATGGTCGGTGCGGCGTCGCAGTGGTTATTTAATTTCATGATGTCGCAGGTCACTCCACACGCAATCGTAAACATCGGTTGGCGGATGTTCTTGATGTTCGCTATTTTCAACTACGCGATTATCGGATACGCGTGGCTGGTTCTGAAAGAAGTATGTGTATCTTGTTGTTCTCTTGGGGTCTTGACTAAATCTGTTAGACTTCAAACCACTCGCTTGAGGAAATGGAGAGGGTCTTTGGTGGAGAAAAGATGCACGAGAAACACCTTGAGAGCGCGGTTCATGAGGAACACGCTCAGCTGTCTAAGGAGACTTGAGGGCAAGAGGCATTTTTAGTATGTAAGGTCAAGCCATCGATAGCGACTACAGCATGGAACGAAACCAGTCTCACCACAGCATTTCCTTGCTTCCTTCCTGAATCCTATTTTGAAAATTACTGCTCTTATACTTGAGCTAGGTCCGTTCGTGAACTGAAACATATTTTAAGAAAGGTTTTAATTTTAGCCGTACCAGTAATTTACGAGCAATACCTATAAAATCGATCGTAGCCGAAGTATTCAGACTCTATATAATGGAGACATTGCTTTGCTTGATATACTCAAGTTGCTCTAACAAGTACCTCGAGCTAACCGCAGCAGACCAGAACGGTATGATACATTCTATCCCACGATGTAACAAACTACTGAATAACTTGAATGCAAATCTTACCCACGTGCGTACCAGATGAAAGAAACTCATAGGCCTTGATCACATCTTCCAGCGTGAACTTGTAAACTGTCTCCACGGGTAGACGAAGACCGTTGCGCGCTACAGAACGGGCCACCTCCTGAAGAAGTTGAGTTGAACCCCCTTGGATACCGCGAATGGTGGCACCTTTTGCTAAAGCAAGCGAAGCAACATCCGGCATCCCGTGTTGCTTAGCACGGGACAAAAATCCAATAACCGAAACATTTCCTCCCATCTTGAGGCAGTTGATACTCTCGGAGATTGTGCCGGAGCCACCAGTTTCAAGTATGAAATCCACGCCCTCACCATTGGTGAGCCGAAGAACTTCTTTAGACCATTCAGGGTGTTTCTTATAGTTTACAACCATACCAGCCCCATACTTCGACTTAGCAAGCTCAAGCTTTTCATCACTTGAGGAAGTAATGATAGTAGTCGCTCCTGCGGCCTTAGCAAGAATAAGCCCGGTAATAGAAACACCTCCAGTGCCTATAAAGCGCATTGGTAGTTGTACGATATTATTTTTCAAATCACATACCTTGCAGCAATACAATCTGGCCTGGGCGTAAAGGCACGTTACCGTATAGCGCATTCCAAGCGGTCACACCGGTAACAACAAGAGTTGACCACTCATTGAAGGTCTGAGGGCAATCTTTAGGCACCTTGACCGCGGAAATTGCAGGAATAGCAAGGTATTCCCTAAGCACACCATCAACGGGCCCACCTTGTCCCCCTAGCCAGTTCGATTGTTGGCCGAAGAGATTGTTGAAATCCAAAGTTCCAATTATATGGTCTCCGACAGCTAGTATATCTCGTACATCCTCGCCAACTTCGACAACAACTCCGGCGGCATCGGAGCAAGGGACCACGTTGTCCTTGACGGGGAATGGATACTGGGAAGTGGCAATTGCAATATCCCTGTAGTTCAGAGACACTCCATGAACCTTCATTATCACTTCATGCTTAGAGGCTTTCGGGACATCTTCCTTGTATACTTGCAAGCCACGAACCGAAGATCGTTCTTTGTTGAGACGGATGACAGTCTGCTGCATGATCGTGGATGGCGGAGTAGACTGAGGTAGACAAAGCCGCGGTAGCTATAGATTGATTGCTGTACTTCGTCTAATGAGTGGTCGATGAAAAGGAGAATCAGGCTTTAAGTACTCAGATACGATACGATGATGCAATCTGTGACATACACTCGGAAAGATATAGGGTCGGCATAAATATCCGAGGATTATCAATTTCTGACGAGCCCAACTGGAAGATACATTCCTTTTAGACTCCTATCATTGCACCCGTGGAATACTGTCCCAGCTTAACATTGCAGAAACATTAGCAGGTCCCACTGCACGGGAAGCTTACCAATTTCGGTGCGTCTCGCCGCTTTCATGATGTACACATTTCATACTCGAAACGATCTGAACACCTCCAACAGTCAAGAAATCGCTTGGGGGACTTCTTTTTCATAGAATCTATTCTCTTTTTAATTGAATAATCATAAATATCTTCTAACGTATTTCCCAGTCCTCCCGCCTCTTCCCCCGGTCTTCCCTCGGTCTTCCCGCCAGGCTCAGAACCCATAGTAAATGTGGTAAACTACAGCTTCATATCTAACCAAAAATAGATTATTCTAGAATCTTTATATAATAGAGTAATTAGCTATGTCTGTCTTCAAAAACTTTCAGGATATTAAATAATACGAAGTACGTTTCCGAAGTCACGGCTGTATATATATTTCTGTCGTGACGGCCGGAGTGAATTTTAGAAATTATGGTATTGTTGGTTTAGCATTTATTAACTTCCTCCAAGGAATGGACATTCCTTGTTATATCAAGAATTAGCCATGAGCGGAACTTTGTTTAAAGACTAATCGAGAGATAATAAGTTAGAAAATTGCATATTGTATTGGATCTTAGAGCTGGCGGAAAGGATGGGAATAGGTAAAATAGTGACACCTCCAAAGTGTTAACATCTCATAAGAGAAAGGCTCTTCTACCGCCCTTGTCGCCCGTCTTTCAGTCGCGTTGGGAGTTTCTAAACCACTTTCTGGGTTCCCATTGAGCTAGATGAAGCCGAACAAGAGAAGGTAATGCGCACTACCGCTGAGAATCCTAAAATCACGCGCGAAGAAATGCTTGCCTAAGTGTCCCACAAATAAAGCTGCTTTGCCACTACACTTAGCCGTTTCTATCCTTTCTTTTTAGGTAAGATACGAGTCGGTCCACCCGATACTAAACGCTAGATAAATGAGAGTGGAGTCCAAACGAGCAGACCCCCGTCTTTTTGGCTTGTTTGCAGAAACGACGTTCTAGAAATCTTGGTGACCATACAGGTCCATCTAATATTGACGGTAGCTCTATGCTTCATTCACAACTGTTCTGATTACTGCCAAGACTAGGGCTCAGGGGAGGGGGGACTGTAATAAATAGATAGAGCGTGGTTTGAAAGAGGGTTCGAGAAATAGTCTCTGGGTGTAGATAATAAAACTGATTTCGACCCGCCCTCTATACTTTGGAAGACAGATCCTTTCATTTCCACACGAACCCCTTAAAGTCAATCGTCAGTTTAGTGGCTTGTTGCCCCGGACATCGGCCCCCGGGAAAATAGCGGAGTTGCCTAGAGGCTAGCATCTAGCACCTAGCACCTAACCTTTTCGTCTCATACCATTGAGGCAGCGACATCTGTGCTTTTACTCTTTCGAAGTCTTTCATGTCTCTCGGGATAATGTTCACAAGTTTCCAATATGTCTTTTCAATGTTAGCACACCCAGAGACCACCGTTGAGCCCTAAATACGAACCAACCCCCGCAGCTGCCGCCCGACTCTAGCGGGCGCCACGCACACCCTATCCTCCACAGGCACGGATCATCCCGCGCCGTGAGTGGCGGGTATGCCGAGCCAGAAAGCCTCGAGCTTTGACGGCGTCACGGAGCACGCGACAAAATCGGCACAGGCCACGATCTGGCCAGCACGGTTGCTCGACTCGAACGAAGGCGTAACAAGTAGACACTACGCTGTAAGGTACACTGCATTATGACTGGCTGTACCACAAGGTTGACCAACGACTCCAGCTACCCCTCGTGTTGAATGACCGCACACCTCGCTAGTCATCCACTTTCACTGGTCAGATTGGACAGGGAATTGTTGACAGGCCCTTAGAGTAGCATTGGCACGTCTGCCTCTGGGGCTCATGTAACGCAGGTCAAATGAAAAGATTGCCAAAAATACGCGTAAGATAAAATCTCGGCGCGGAACAGGGGTCTTCCCCATGTCAGTGTTATAGGCCGACAAGCCAATGCGCCTTTTTATTTTTGTGGGTTAAACCCAGTTTGCCATCGTAAGGCGACCGGCAGACTGTTTCTCTACACTTTGCTTTTTCTTCATCCCAAACTTGCCTACATTGACAGACGTGAAATAGGTGACTGTGTCTGACGACGTGTTCGTTCTAATTGTTATATGGCCTCTAGCCGTTGAAGAAAACGGCTTGGATATTTCCTTCGTGAATGGTGACCTGAACTCTAATGCGTGTACGGCTACTCATTGAGACGGCTCTTTTTCTCGCGGACATTGGACACTTTCGCCCCTTCTCCTAACTTTGCTTCTCCATTGCCCGTTCGAAGTCACTACGGGTTCAAGCAGACTTTCTGTCATGAATTAGCACCATGTCCGACACTGGAAGGCCCACTAACCCAGATGGTTTGGTTCTTGAAGCCTGGGGTCAGGGCTTTATGCTTGGTAGTCTGCTGATCATGGCTGCCATCACTGTCTGCAACATGAAGAAGCATATTCTTCTTCACAAGCTTATTCTGGCCGAGGTAGGTGCTCGATTTCTGTTGCGATGAGTCGTGCTAACCCAATATGCAGTTAATTCTGGCCATGGCCAATGGCACATTCATTTTCCCCCATGATCCGGTCTATGGCTGGTATCAATCCGTCACAGCCATAGGCCTCAACATCTCCTGGGCTCTGCACAATGTCATTGCCTGGATGAAAAACAAACCTTTTCTATCACGCCGTCTCTCAATGATCTACATCATCACGGTCATGCTTTGCTGGCCGTACTGGATCGTCGAGATTTATGCAAATTTCACCTACTTCAACAATATCAACACAATATTCCTGAAGACACGTCCCCTTGAGCCGCTTTTTCGGTAAAGTCATTTCATCAAATCTAATTATCGCTCCTTCACTGACCAGAAACAAGAGATCCCTGGTGGGTCTTCACTACCGTCTCCCTCTTCTGGACCATCAAGCGCGAATATAATTTCGGATTGTGGGAGCTAGTCCAAATAAGCCCACGATTCGGAATCATGCTACTTTCGATGTGCCTATCAATTGCCTTTATTATTGTCGACCTGCTCAGCGTTCTCAACGTCTTTACTGACTCGCTGCCTACGGGTATTGAGCCCTTTTGGAAGGTACTTCCCACTTTCGATGATCCTGACTCCATAGCCCCCCTATCTACCTCATTTCTCAAACATATGGACCAAGTTAACATGCTATCTTCTCCTAGTTATCTTTCATCTTCAAATGTCTCTGCGACACAGTAATCCTTGACGACTTCAAAACTGCCCTCGACCACATGCGCAACTACTGGTTACGCAAGCAGGCCAGCGATGAGTTATTACTGGCGAGCCCCTATGGGCACTCACCACGACATGTCGCCGCGGTCGGTGATGATATCGAGGCAGCCACTGGGCCGATCGGTGCACATAGGCTTGTGCGTAGTAAAAAGTCTTTCTCTGTGCCGAGAGTTGTGCTCAGGGAGAATGTATAATATTCAAGGTCAATTCAACGAGGGCTTCCTATCTATTTGTCATTTACAAGCATGGCGTTCGGTGGTTACTGCGTTGTTATTCATATGGTCGGATGGATGTTAGGCAGATGGGGAATATCAGTGTAGGGGTAAACCTGGAGAGCGTAGTGAAGAGATCGAAGTTGCCGATGAATGATAACTTCATTATTTTGAAAAGCCAAGCTATCGTCAGTAAGAAATCCCAATTGCGATGCTAATCTTCATCCCGTATCAAGCGCCACTGTTGAAGCATCTACTGCCTCGAAATGGCAGATTTTGTATAATTCAACCCAGGACAATGACTAGGAACTTCTGAGTACCGCTGAGCCGGAGCCCGTCATGGGAGGGATCCAGGGTAGGCCTTCTTTGTGCCTAATAGACATAACGCATGATTTTGGGGTATGGGATACTCCAGAAAATGAGGGCTGCCCAAAAATCGTCAACGCACTACCTACCACAGTATGAATGGCCCTGTGCTTGTCTCCTTTGGGAATGATCTAGGCTGAGTTAGACGAATGAGGGGAGCTCACTGAGCGATACTAAGATATCATAGGGCATTCACTGGGCGGTCCTGGAGTACGCACTAAGCAGTCAATACGCACTTACTAAGCAGATCATGGATTACTGACTCGTTCGATCGACCGCTCTTAACACCCCTTTCAGGGCATGAGTGGTTGTGTGTGTTTCCTTCTGTTGGTGTCACCCAAACTGAAAAGCCAGACTGCCATCGAGCCATCCCATTTCAACATGTACATACAGTCGTCTCCACCTGGAGAATTGGCTCGGAGAAATACGAAATAGCTTGGACCCACAATTGTATACTCAGCCGATCGCAAGACTCTATTCAAGGCTCCTTATCCTACTGGGCATTAAGCCCTGTGGAAACTGCTACACATCTGGAGAAATACCCTATTTCTCCGAGCTGGCCTCCCACCCGTGATGCATGGGCCATTCCAGATGTGGCCACCCCACACTGGCAGCAACACCTAAGCTCCGATGAACAGCCTCTTGGTCAAAAATGGAACAGGAAACCAAATGTAAAGGCTTTTACTCGCCAATGATCCAGACCATGCTGCTGTGGGGCTGTCTACATGTCCAACTGATCACCATGCGGGGGCGCAAATGCTAAATACGGTTGAGAACGGTACAAGAACAATATTCAGTAAAACGGCGAGCATAAATAGCTGCATTTGTCCCTCCCCAAGCTCCTGATCTCAGTCAACCTTAAGAATGACAACTTCTCACATAACCACAATGGCCTCAATCGACATTCCCAACACACAAACCGTCGCCTTGGTACGTGACCTCGGCGGCACCGTCGAGTTCAAAACAGACTACCCGGTTCCCACACCCGGCCGCAATGAAGTCCTCGCTAAGGTCCTTTACTCCGGCGTCTGTCAGAGCGGTATGTGCTCCACCTCTCCTCTGTCCAAGGGGAGTCAAAATTCTAATTGAATCAGACCTACACACAAAGGCAGGAACAGCTGCCGGCCCCAACGGATCCCCAATCACGAAGATCAAACTACCTCACGTCGGCGGTCATGAGGGAATCGGACAAATCGTATCCTTGGGCCCTGATATTGAGCATAGCGCGGGTCTGAGGGTTGGCGGATTCGTCGGAATCAGGTTTGCGAGTCGTATCTGTCGGAGGTGTGAGTTCTGTCTTGCCGGGACGGAACAGTATTGTATGGCGAGTACGAACCATTTGCATCATGAAGATGGAAGCTTTCAGCAGTATATCTCGCTAGATGCGGATTATTTGACTGTGTTGCCGGATGATATTGATCCGGTTGTCATGGGACCGGTGCTTTGTGCTGGGCTGACGGCGTACAAGGTATGGTTCTAGTGAACTTTGTAGCTGGGTCTGGTTTCTGATGCTTACAGGCTGTTCTCAATGCGCATGTGCGTCCCGGGAGTTGGTTGGTGGTTGTTGGTGCTGGAGGTGGTCTTGGACATTTGGCTGGTGCGGCTTTTTCTTTTCAGGGTTGCTTTCATTTGCTGATGAATTTATAGTGCAATATGCACGGGCACAAGGAGCTTTGGTAATTGGAGTCGATACTGGTGCCGACAGGAAGGAGTTCGTTCATGGGATCGGCGCACAGCACTTCATCGACTTCGCTGTTGAAGATCCGGTCAAGAAAGTGAAGGAGATTACTGGACTTGGAGCGCATGCTGTGGTCGTGACTGCTGGGAATGCTCAAGCCTTTGCCCATGCGTGCGACATGTTACGAGTCGGAGGCACCTTGAGCTGTGTGGGCATTCCTCCCGGGGCACCTTGTATTGAGACACCCATCTGTACCATTGTCATCAAGGGTTTGCGGATAACGGGTAATTTGGTGGGATCATTGAAGGAGTGTATGGAGGCGGTTGATTTGGTTCGTCGCGGTGTCGTGAAGCCTGTCATCAAGGTCCGACCCTTCAAGGATTTGCCGCTGGTATATGAGGAAATGGAGAAGGGCGATATTTCGGGACGAGTGGTGCTTCAGATTGCAGCATGATCGAGAATTTGGTTGCAAACATGGTAGATTTGAAGGCAATATTACTTGTTCACCACGATCTTCAAATGAAACTTTCACTTCCAGCTGCTGCTGCTGTTGTTCAATTGACCTTTTTCCTTACCCGATTCATGTCCCTGGAAGCCATTATCGCCAAGCTGTCTCGTTAATAGACGAGCTGGCGTCATGACTAGAACCTCGGCAGTTTTGGTGCGCAATATTGAGTTGAGCACGTCGTCTTGCTCCAGAAATGGTGCAAGTTTCTGATACAGCGCATGCAGAAAGTCCTGGGGCCCCAACTCGAACCCTGGTGGAGAGGACAAGGACGTAAGAAGAACGGTGTCTGCGAGCGAGTTTGCGACTTCGAAGCATTTTAACAACTGTCAACCATATCAGCAGACAATCTTGTGACATTTACGACGAACTTCTCACTTGATCCCGTCCCAGCGGTAACAAATCCGATTGAGAAAAGCACCTAAGAGCTTGAAGGAGATCATGACCAACTTGAGCCGGGAACCCAAAGGTCATGACATCTGCAAATGAGGCAGAGGATAACAGTCCCACGGACAAAGCCTCTTGCCAGATAATAGTTCTCATCCATTCCCGGGTAATATGGCAGTCTGCCGTCCGAGTTGTGACCTGGTCAGAAATGCTCAGACATAATGAAGAAAGCTTGTTCTCGATCTCGGTTAATTCTGTGGCAGAGGTAATTCCAAGAGAGGGCTTTCGACGAACTGAGATCTGATCAAATGCGGTAAAAAGCCTCACCAGATCCAGAAGTCCTTGTACATAGATATCGGCATCTCGGTAATCCTCCAGATCTGGAAGGGCAGGACGGTCGAGACATGATGGTGAGAGACCCAGATGCAGTGCCCATCCTCTGTTTGATCCATTAGCAATGAACTCAGTCCTTTTCCTGTATAGCTCACCTCTCCGAAATCCAGAGCAAGGGAAAAACCAGCTCCTTATTCGCAATCAGATGGCTACCCAATCCAGAGTCAATAGACTCCTGCAAGCTCCCTTCATCCAGACGCAGAATCTTCGCCCTCGAGATAGCCTCTTGGATGTACATCATAGCCGAGTTTCGCTGATTGACTTTAGCATGGTAAACATGTAGGAAAAATGAAACGAGAACACTGCTGATATCAAGATCTTCCCCTTGGCTATCACAGCTGCCCCGCATCCGCAAGCATGCTTGTGCCATAGAGGAGCTATCCAATATCTGGGATCCGTCCACTACCGGAGCAAGATGCAACTGAGCCATTGTAGCCGCACAGAGAGCTGTAGCTAGACAAGCCAGATACTTGGACCCGTTGCTTGTCTTTTCCGGCTCTATATCATCAAGATCCCCCAGTAGAGCATCTGTATCAACAACTGGCCAAACACTATACGAATACTCCTGGTAAAGCCGTATGATGGGCGCAAGTATCCTTTTAGAAATGCGCCGGGGCATATAAGACTCCTGGATCTCTCGCGCTCTCTTCGAATCATCCAACACATCATCCAAGCTGGACCAACCCTGGCTCCCATTTGATGAAGATTCAAATGGTACGTCGGAATCCAGGCCCCAAGTAACACGTCGAGCCTTCGGACCTCTCTTGCGCACAGGCCTCAGGTACGTACAGGGAATGCGCTTGACAGCATTTCGACAAGTATCGCAGGGCCAGGAGCCGTTGCATTTGACTTTGCGGGAGATACAGGCATCGCAAGCTCGTTTTGGGGACATGAGGACCGTGTTGGTATATGGTGGGGAGCTCAATGCGGAGAAGCTGGGAGATGATGTGGAGGGGTGAGAGTACTCCGGTAGGTTTGCCGACATGCAGTAACATTCTATACAGCCTCACATTGCTTCATATGGATAAACATCCGCAGGGACGTAATAGTTTCGATCTTCCCCTCCAAAAAAATGCACAGGATCAGTTGAGCTGTCTTGAAATCATCTAAATGCTTTGCTTCAACTGATGGCGGTCCAGACATCTAATCGGAGCAACTCCGTGTGGCGCCACCCATTTAGTTCATTCCGCATCAAACAAGACGGAATCCCTGAAGCAGGCTCCTCCCGGGCTTCAAATGGCCTGTCCCTCAATTTCAGCACCGAATTAGAGGTGTACGATATCAACAACGGCATCTCAAAGCAAAGGAAGGTCCACCCGCGGCCTTGTGGATCCGACAGCAGCCGGTGAATGGTGGTGAATGATATTCCCAAGGATCCCAAGTCCCGCTCTCCACCTCCTCTACGACTCTCTCCACACCTCATCTATAAGTCCCAATTCCCTCCTCAATTCTTCCAACCCTCTTCAAACCCTTGCAAGAACCCCTACCACATTCCACCATGGCCCTCTCCACAGCCAGCACGGACGTAAGTCACCACCCCAAGCCTCACCATAGAACAAAGAGGAAACCCCATCTAACACCCCGCACAGTCCGCAGTCCTCATCGCTGAAGAAACCAGCCCCTCCCAAACCTTCACCACCTTCACAGCCTCGACAGCCTGGACCCTCGGCACAGCCCTGCGCAACCGCATCCTCTCCCTCCCCGACTCCCAACGCAAACCCGCCCTAATCTCAATCGCCCTCGCCACTGCGCCCAGCGGCGGCGGCAGCCTGCACACGCTCTTCCAAAGTGCCACGGACAGCGGCACGATTCCCGACAACGAGAACTGGGTCCGGCGGAAGCGGAACACGGTCCTGCGATGGGGCGTGTCGAGCTGGGCGATGCGGCAAAAGGTGATTTCGGGAGCCGGGAGCTCGGCGGCGGATGTGGTTGAGGCGGCATTTGTCAAAAAGTATGCGCTTGCTAGTGGGAATGGCGGCGCTGTTGCGGATGAGTATGCTATTCATGGTGGGGGATATCCTATTCGGATTAAGGGTGTTGAGGGAGTCGTTGCTGTTGTTGTTGTTAGTGGGTTGAAGCAGGAGGATGATCACCAGGTTGTTGCTGAGACGATTCGGGAGGTTATTGCGCAGGGAAACTAGACTGGTCTATATCTTAAGATATTGGTAGCACTGGTGTTTAAATATTAGATGAATGAAGAATCTACGACGAAACAATGAATATAAAGGTATCATGGTATTTGGTGAGCCGGTTGTCAAATACCGGACTCCTGCGACGGGGACTCCGCCCCGCGCAGATTCAAGACTAGAAACACAAAAGCAAAGATGAAAACTCCATGGGTAATGCCTCAAAGATAATTTTACAGTTCGTCATGGTCCAGAGGCTCGTCGTCCTCGGGAGGAGCACCAGAGCCGTAGAGCTTGCTGGTAATGGGGTAGGCGACACTAGAGAGCTGCTCTTTCTGCTCCTCGAAGTCCTCGGCGGAGGCAGTGGCGGCATTATCCTCGAGCCAGTCGATGGCCTCCTTGACAGCATCCAGGATAGTCTGCTTGTCGTCCTCGTCGATCTGGCCACCAAGACCATTCTCGTCATTGGCCTGGTTCTTCAGGCTGAAGGCGTAGTTCTCAAGACCGTTACGGGCCTCAATCTTGGTCTTCATGGCCTTGTCCTCCTCGGCGTACTCCTCAGCCTCGGCAACCATGCGGTCAATCTCCTCCTGGGAGAGACGACCCTTGTCGTTGGTGATGGTGATGGACTCGGCCTTGCCGGTGCCCTTGTCGCTGGCGCTGACCTTGAGAATACCGTTGGCGTCCAGGTCGAAGGAGACCTCGATCTGAGGAACACCACGAGGAGCGGGAGGGATGCCAGTCAGCTCGAACTTGCCGAGCTGGTTGTTGTCCTTGGTCATCGAGCGCTCACCCTCGAACACCTGGATCAGGACGGTGGGCTGGTTGTCAGCCGCAGTGGAGAAGATCTGCGACTTGCGGGTGGGAATGACAGTGTTACGGGGGATGAGCTTGGTCATCACACCGCCAGTGGTCTCAATACCCATGGTGAGGGGGTTGACATCCATGAGAACAAGGTCAATGGTACCTTCCTCGCCGGAGAGGATACCACCCTGGACGGCGGCACCAAAGGCAACGGCCTCATCGGGGTTGATACCCTTGCTGGCCTTCTTACCACCGAAGAACTCCTCGAGAAGAGCCTGAACCTTGGGGATACGGGTGGAACCACCGACCAAGACGATGTCGTCAACCTCGTCCTTCTTGACCTTGGCGTCCTTGAGCACCTGCTCAACGGGCTTGAGGGTCTTCTTGAACAGATCCATATTCAGCTCCTCGAACTTGGCACGGGTCAGGGTCTCAGAGAAGTCCTCGCCATTGTGGAAGGCCTCGATTTCAATGCGAGTGGACATCTGGGAAGACAGAGTACGCTTGGCCTTCTCGACCTCGCGCTTGAGCTTACCCATGGCCTTGAGGTCCTTGGCAACATCGGCGTTGTTCTTCTTGTTGTACTGCTTGACGAAGTAGTCCATGACACGGTGGTCAAAGTCCTCACCACCAAGATGGGTGTCACCAGCGGTAGCCAGAACCTCGAAGACACCGTTGTCAATGGAAAGAAGGGAGACATCGAAAGTACCACCACCAAGATCGTAAACAATGACCTGGCGCTCGTCACCGGTCTTGTCAAGACCGTATGCGATAGCGGCGGCGGTGGGCTCGTTGACGACACGGAGAACGTTGAGACCAGCGATGATACCAGCGTCCTTGGTAGCCTGACGCTGAGCGTCGTTGAAGTAGGCGGGAACGGTAACAACAGCGTGGGTCACGCTCTTGCCGAGGTAGGACTCAGCGATCTCCTTCATCTTTCCGAGGATCATGGCGGAGACCTCCTCAGGGGTGAAGGTCTTGTTGGACTTGTTGACCTCGACCTTGACGTGAGGCTTGCCATCCTTGTTGACGACCTTGAAGGGGAAGTTCTTGGCGTCCTTCTGGGTGTCTTTGTCGTCAAACTTGCGACCAATCAGGCGCCTAAAAAGACAGTTCATTAGCACGTAATTCCTTCCGACAAGACTCGCCATGCTGGTAAACTTACTTGACGTCAAAGATAGTGCGGGTAGGGTTGGCGGCGTATTGGTTCTTGGCAGCATCACCAACGAGGCGCTCCTCGTCAGTGAAAGCGACGTAAGAGGGAGTAATACGGTTTCCTTGGTCGTTGACAAGAATCTCGACCTTGCCGTTCTGCATCACACCAACACAACTGCAAAGAAAGTTAGCCAATTGCTTCAATTGCCACGGATATTAGAGATGACACTTACGAGTAGGTGGTTCCCAAATCAATACCAATAACGGTGCCATAGTTCTCAACGGAGTCGTCCTGAGCCTGGGCAGTGGTGCCGAACAGGGCCAGAGGCGCAATCAAAACAAGGAGGAGGTAGAAAACGGTGGTCCAAGTGAAGGGCTTGGACGCGCCCTGGGGGCTCGCGAAGCGAGGCATGGCGAGTATATGTGAGAGAATCAAGGTTCAACAAAGAACTCTAGGGAAGCACCCAATAAAACGAAGCTGTCGGAGACCGAAAGCTGCAATGCGCGCAAGAAATAAGCGCAGAGAGTAAACACGTATGTCGTACTCGGACCCTTGAATTTGGTGAATAGGCGGGAGGGGTGACCCGGAAGGAAGGGAATGGGGAAAAGAAAGAGAGTGGAGGAGGCGAGTTCTTGAATATGAAGGGCAGGAAACACGCAGCGGCCAGCATGGCCTTTTCCAGTTCAGGTCACTTTTCGCGTCTTGATTGGCTGCCACCCGTTCAGTGGTGGCTGACTCAGCGTAACCAGGGACCGCCGTGTTTAAAGGCTCACCGCCTGCCTTTGCAGGGCTAGTGGCGATTAAACTATGTCCTGATCGGGGTTAGTCTACGGATCCCGTCCAGGACACGCCCCTGCCCTGTCCCAATCAGAATGCGCCAACCTGTCGAATATGCTAGAAGCAGCTAAGCGTTGACCCTGGCTTGGCCCCCCTGATGCCATTTTTGGGGGCCCGGCTACTGACGAAAGTGTGCCACGTCGACTGAAGAATAGAGCCAAGTGGCCTGTACAACATCTCATCCTTATGAACACGTTACCATCCTTAGTCCGTGTGATCGGCAGGCATACCGATCCTGAAGCATGGAGTCTAGAACTGGACCCTGGAGCTACAAAGCCGCACTTGCTATTCGTCAAAGCATGCGTAAGGCACAGCATAGGCACGGGACGCAGGGGACGTCATAGAGTTATGTACCATCAAGGTAGTTTAGTATATTGGAAAAAGGTACTTTTCTAAATGGTCTATGGACATACATGCCTTCATTCCAGTAGTCCAGCTGCCACAGTCGAGCCCCCATGTCGCAAAACAATGCGGGTTGGTGCCTCAAGCGGCACAGCTTGGTCCATCTCGACAACGACTCGTGCAACAGTGCCGGGTGCAACGATCTTCGGCCGTTTCTTGCTAGGCTCGCCAGAAGCCTTGTCTAGGGATGCAACGAGCTTGCTGATGCGGCCAGGGACATGAAGACGGCCACGGTGGACGTCCACCATCATAGGCATTAAGTGCTCGAAAGCGAGGACCTTGGCAGTGAAAGTGGCGATGTTGGGAATAGGCGACGAAGCATGGCAGACAACATCTCCAGAGCGCAGGTGAATGGGGTCGATATTTGCCAGGTTCAATACCACGTTCTGGCCAGCCACAGCCCAGTCGTTGGGTTCACCGTCCACTTCCACGCTGCGGACGAGGGCAGTCTCACCACTGGGCATGGTAAGAATTTGATCGCCAATCTGTAGGCTGCCAGAGTCTAGACGGCCAGAGATCGAGAGTGGATTCTGCACACTTCCACGGAAGACATCACCGACAGTCATGCGTAGTGGCTTGTCAAGAGCATGTGTATATCGCTCTGAAGTCTCCAGCTCTTCGATCAATGTTTTACCCGTGTACCATGAAGCTTGGGCATTGTCGCTGCGCCGACTGATGTTGTCTCCCAGCACACCTGAGCATGGGATAAAGGAAATGTTCTTCTCCTGGAAGCCGGCTGTCGTCAAGAACGAGAAGATCTGTTGTTCGATTTCCTCAAAGCGATCTCTGTTCCACTGGACAGTGTCCATCTTGTTCACAGCCACAACGATCTTTTGCACACCCATGCTGCGCACCAACAAGGCATGTTCCTTGGTCTGGCCCTTCAACCCAGACTCGAACTTGCCTGTACTCGAGTCAATCACCAGCACGGCGAAATCAGCCTGACTGGCCCCAGCAATCATATTCGGAACAAAGTCTTTATGACCTGGTGCATCAACAATCGTGAATGCAGTGGACTCCGTGTCGAACTTGTTGGTCGCAATGTCAATGGTGACGCCTCGTGCACGCTCCTCCGAGCCTTGGTCCAACACCCATGCAAGAGCGAAGGATCCCTTTCCAATCTTCTCAGCCTCTTTCCGATACCTGTCCAAAGTCCGTTGGTCGATTGCTCCCTGATCAGCCAGTAGACGTCCCATCAGAGTACTTTTTCCAGCGTCCACGTGTCCTGAAATACAGTCAGAGGGTACTTGCACAACAATGAAATGAACAAACACCTACCAATAACAACAAAATTGGCAGACTTCTTCCTCTTTGATTTGTTGTACTCCGCTAGAACATCCAAGTTCTTGCTCTTGACAGAGACCTTCTCATCCACGGAGAGGTCCTTCAAGCCACCAGCAAGATCGGCCGGCGTCTTCTTATCCCCGGCCGACTTGGATGCAGCGGGTTTGGACTTCATTCCTGCACATTATTAGGTGGAAAAATCTAGACCTTTCTGCGAATCGCCAAACCTTTTGCTGTGTTCTGAGCATTCAGCACCATATCATCGGGGCTGGGGCCTGCAAAGTCAAAAGGTTCAGCATGGTCTTGGCCGTAGATTCTGAGCAAATCCACATTGTTCGATTGTACATGGCTGGGTTGGGCCATAGTTGGTCCTGCTGCGTTGCCAACGATGGCACTCGCGAATCCAGATGGCGAGGCACGCATATCAAGCGATGGCTGCTCTGGTTCCGGCTCGTCCTTGGGTTCAGCTTTCTCGGGCAAAGAGAACTCTGGATTTTGCATAGGCTCTGGTGTCGGCTGTTCCTGAGCTTGC